GACTAAAACCCACTTCTTGACAACATTTTCATCAAATCCTTACAAGTCATTATAGGCATTAAGAAAAATGTACAACTGTTTATTTTGTCTTTGTAGAAGTGAACATAATTCCTTGAACTGTTGAGCTGAATCAACTCTTCAGCCATTCAACAGTTAATGTTGCTGAGACAGTCTTTGTTTGGTTTCGGGGGTCCTTGGGTCTCAGGGAGAAGTATATCTGTTTGTCGTCTGCATATCAATGAAACGAGACTGCTGAATTATTTGGCCAAGGGGCAGCAATACTGTAGATAGAAAATTAATTTGGACCTAAAATTGAACCTTGTGGAACACCACAGGCAATGTTATTGGTTGAGAACGAGTATTTGCTAATAGTGACCGCAAAGGTTTGATCCTAAAGGTGCGGTCTCCCTGATACCCACCCATTTTTGAGACGATCAATTAAAATTGTCTGTATGCTACACTCAAGCCTAAAAGAATTAATAATTACTTTTGCGTTTTTAAGTGAGTCTGATCGCTTTTAGTAAAGTGACAACACTGTTTGAGGTTAGTCACAGTTATATGATCCTGTAACACATTGATTAGAACTTATTAGCACCATTTTTGGCTGTAAGTTAAGTGTCAGACAAAACAGTTTTGAAAAAATTGTCTTACATTTTATTAAATTTATTCATAGGTTTTCTGTCTAAAGGAAACGCAAGGACAAGCCAAATTCTCAAAGAAACAGCTGTTTTTTTATACATGTGCAGAATAGGAAGCACTTTTCTGAAAGTTTTTTCAGTGTTTCCACAAGGAGGGTTTTCAGCAGGGTTGCCACTTTGATTCTATACACATATAAAAATATTTAAGAGCCCTGCCAAATAATGTTAGATTTGGTTTATAAAGAAATGAACACTAGTCCCCTCATGATTGACTGAATAAGCCTCTATGAATCTTTATAACCAGATAAAGTTGTGGAAGTTATAATGTGATATAATACTCAGACTTCAGGAGACACAGTCATTAGTTTTGCATTGAATAAAATACATTTTAAATCCTATACCTATGCGGCATCAAGCTAACTGCTTATAGCACTTCTTTAACATTAAGTTGTCATGAATGCTTATAATCACTTATATGTGTTGTTATAGTGCCTTATAAATCATCAAACATTAACAAAAATGAAACAGACTCAAATGAAAGACTAAATCTGTATGAAAAAAACATGAGACACAAAGACCGGAGATGGAGAAATCAGAGGACTCAGGGGCACTACATATTAAACCAGTCCTCAAAATAATTCCCTGGAATAAAGTGCAAACAGACAGTCAGGCTGCAGGAGGAAGGCATCTCCAAACTGCTCCTTGCATGGAAAACAATAATGAGCATTGATGGGAGCTTTTGATTTTCTAAGTGGGTGGACATAAGTGAGGTGAAATGTGGCTCTGGAATCAATCTGAGCAGCTCCCACCGTGAGACAGCAAGTGTTTTATTGATTAATTCAACAATAAATTTCAAATCTAACAAACTGCTCCACATCTATCACACTGTAGGCAGACCTCATTGACAAGAATATTGGCTTTTTAAATCAGGAGAATATTCAAGTTGAGTGTAACTAAGGAAACATTCCTAGGAGGCTTAAGTGAGGGAACTTAGTGTTAGGAGGATAAAAAAGAGGAAAGAAAGAGAAGGAAGGAAGGAGAGAAACACTCACCCTGTACTTACCTCAGCGGCGAGGGCAAGCGAGGCACAGTGTGGTTTGTGCTGTGTTGTGAACAGCGTAGGCCAATCGACCATGACACTTCATTTTTTACCCTCGACACACTGAGCAGATGTGTGCTGACAACGCCATCACCCACACTGCAGCTCAGACCATCGGCACCACTCTGAAAAACATACAAACGACCCTGAAGAGGGAATCAGAGAAGATTTTACACTCACAGGCATTTGATGATGGAAAATAGTCTCTTTGTTCAGAGTTTAGAGGGTCACTGTTTAAACCATAACACCCATGGTCTTACCCTCATTATTATCAGTCATACCCCTGCACAGAACTGTACAAACTGCAGTGTTAACTAGCTAATATGATGTATCACCTTTTCCTCTCTGCAGACCTTTGTATGTCAGCTGATCACACCTGCAGCCTCTGATTGGATGCAGACCCAAACAAAGATGGTAGCCACTTTCTAGCATAGTCTGCTAATAACATTACTATGGAGAAAATGATTCTAGGTTTGTCTTAATTTTTTTTTCTAATTGGGAAAAATATTTTGCATTGCACAATTTTCCTCTTACTATTCATTAATACAGTAGATTACAGTTTTCTTTGATGTTATCATGTCAGAGTCACTGGACCTCACTGCAGAAATATAGCACTGTGGCAGCAGACAGTATCTGCCCTGAGGTGGAGAGCACCTCATGATGCGTCAGGCACAAACTGCTCCTCTCTTATAGTGAAATACTTTGAGCCAGCATCTGTTTGAATTAAAACAAGATCGTGAAAACTCATCAATAATTGGTTAAAACATTGCATGAAAAGGCTGATGTAATAAAATCCAAAATGGTGCAATTTGGAACCACATATTGGTCTACGTAGAGGGTCACCTCTCGCTGAGCTGAGCCAAATGATCTGGATCACTGAATTCTTTCTAGGCTGCTTTAGAAGGGCATACTGTCAGACTTTGACAGGTTAATAAATTTAAATGTTAATATTAGTGAGAATTCTTTTAGTGGATTAGCTCCATAACTGTAAATATGCTGTTGGGCTGGTGGTGAAGAAAGGTTTACAGAGTGGTGTAGTTTGTAATATAAATGTTCAAAACTGTTTTTCTGGAGATACTTTAACATAAGAGTGTGTGACCTTTCATCCTCCTCCAGACTGCTTTATAGAGGGAGAGAGGGAGAAGGAGAGAGAGAGAGAGAGAGAGAGAGTTGCCTCTTTCTCTCTTTCTTTGAGGGAAGGAGAGAGGGAAGGAGAAAGAGAGAGCTGCTCTTATTAGCCATGGCAGGCCCGGGTGGCTATGTGTGATAAAGATGGATGGTCCTCCTGTGGCCAACACACAAATGCACACAGGCCCACACACACACACACACACACACAGATACACACACACCATAGCTAAACTGCCATCACACTCTTTATCACACACACACACCACTGCCCTGAGAGGTCACGTCACACTCTGGAAACAGTAGCAGCAGCAGTGAGTGTGTTTGTGTTTGTGAAGCAGCTTTAAGTGTGTGTTTTATCTCTGAACAGGTGGCAGAGAAGCAACAGTGTGTGTGTTTTTGTGTCACTCAGATCCTGGTTTACATTTTCACAGCAGTTCTGATGTGTGGAGGATGTGCAGACCAGACTGAAACTAATTTCAATTCACCTGACGGGGCATTACAAACACACAGACACTATCCTGTTAAAATAGTTTTTCTATTAGCTCGGCTGTTCAGCTTGTGGTCGAGCACTTCTCTCCTCCTTTTGGACATTTTTGCAATTATGCACCTCGGCTGCACAAACTGCACAGAGAGGCAAATTATCAGCAGCCTGACGAGGGAGTGTGTCTGCAAGATTGGCTGCTGCAGGGATTAGAGCAAGCGAGGCTGGGAATGAAAAGCTGATGCTCCGAGTCAGGGCTGATTTTCAGGAAAATACAAGAAAGGGTACAAGTTTAAAACCATGTCCTGGATGGTGTCGTGGTCTCTGTTTACAGGAGCTCAGACAAGCGGTTGTGTCAATGCACTTCGGTTGATCCTCAACATCTCACTCAGATAAAAGCTGAAGATGTTTCAGCATAGCAGCGTCGGTCGATTGGTCTCACACTTCAGTTCAGACGGATTCCTCTCAACAACTGCTGGATGAAGTGCCGTGAAATTTGGGACTATCAGCCTGATACACTCACTCCCTCTCTTGCGCGTGCACGTGCACACGCACGCACGCACACACACACACACACACACACACACACAAAAACTGAAATTGTAACTTCTGCCTCCTTTAAACATTTAATACTGACATTAATGTTTCCCTCAGGAGGACTTTTAATAACTCTGTTCATCCTCTCACTCACTCTCTATCTCCTTCATTTAAATTCATACATTTAAATTCATGCTACACTGAGCCTGCAAACATTCAGATTAAGCTAATTGATCATTTTATTTTCCTCCTCTGTGGCCACAACATTCTCAGTCTGGAATGTCATTTGGTTTGAATTACTGTCTACACTTTTCTACATGTGCCTGTATGAAACAGAGAAAGCAGCCAGACTGAAACTCCTGAAAAGTGTAGATACTGTTGCATTAACCAGGAGTCAGTGGACTGAAGTGAGAAATCAAACTTATCTTAGAATAACTTTAGAGCACTTTATTTCAAAAAGTAAGCCCTATAAAGCCATGCCATACCTTTAATTCATGGTTTCAGACCACACTGGTAAAGCAGTGAAGCATTTTTTTTTTTTTTAATTAACTCTAAAAACCCAGATAGTAAAGTAGCTGTCATTGCATTTGTTGGATTCCCAAACCAAAATACTTAAAAAGTTGTTTCATAGTGTCAATTAGGACTCAGAAACACCTTAAAAATTAGATTTTAAACATATTATTAAAATGCAATTACTCACATTTAACTATTGAAATTGTGCGATTGATTGCAATTTAATAAATCAGTCAGTCAACAGCCCCTGTTTCTGATAACTAGATAAGAGAGTATGACTTATGAAATGAAATAAAGAGAATGGTAGGTGTTTGCATTTTAAGATTGGGGTGTCAAAATCTGCTTTCTTAAATGCATCATTATGCTTTTTAATTCAATAAAAACACAAATAAAAATCCTCTTAGAAGCTTTTTTTTCTCTTTGTCTTTTCCCAGGACTTTAACAGGCTCCCTCTTTATTTCCAGTTTTTTGTCTTCTTAGCTCTGTTTTTCCTCTCTTCTCTTCATTTTCCTGTTACAGCAGTCAATGTTATATTAAGTGTCTAACATGATGTTCTTAAAGCTTTCATCACTTGAGCAGACAAATGTGTGACAGACGAGTGTTCACTGTTTTTATATTTCTGCTTTGCTTTTATTGAACCATAATCAAACACTGAAACCTTCAATCACCATGTTTCCACCTGTAACTGGATCTGATTTCACTGTAAATAAATAAACCAACAGAAATGTTTCCCAATGAAGACAGAACATAAATTATAATAAAATATCAAATAAATTTAAAAAAATCAAGAGACTCTGAAATCATGTTAAAATGTGTGATGATGTGCTAAAATAAATATCCTTTCCACAGGGTGAAGTGATTCAGCCTCTGAGATGAGTAAAGTGGATCTGTTGGCCAGATAGGTTCAGAGGTTTTTCACGTTATGTCTCAAAAAAACTGTCTGTTTGGAGAAGTGTTTTTCGTGCTGATTGCAAACATTAGACACATTTACAGAGCTTTATTGGTGTTAGTCTCTAATTTAGAAAAGCTTTTAAAGAAACAAAAGGAGGAAAAAGCTGCAGAGAGCAGGTCTGTTTGTCTGAATCAGCTCTCACTATCAGCCCTGAACAGCTTTACTCCCTCTCTGTTACTCATCAACACCAACAGCTGCAGTGTCACATTACTATAAATTACTCACAGGCAAAAGGTGAAGCACTGCATTGTGGGATTGTTAGCAGAAAGTTGAGTTCTGCCATAGCCACCTGTTCTGACTGACTCCTGGGTGAGTAACCTGCACATAAGAGGTGACAGCATCAGTGCTGGAGGATAAATACAGCAACATATGTATGCAGCAGAGCAGCAGATTTCTATATCATATAAGGGGCCATATATTTCATTCTACAGGTATCACAACAGTAAGCTCAGTAGTAGAAGAGTCCAGGTGTTAAACTGGCCTCGACACCTAACAGAAATGTTTGGAGTGTGACGCAAATGCATCCTTTCACAAACTTTAGAAAGACTTTTTAAGCAGAGGTCACCTCCAGACTGAGCATGTGCAGAGCTAAGCGACGCATATATCCAGATGAATTCTGAACTTTGCCATTTAAGACATAAAACCGAGTGACTAGGAAAGTTTGTGAAAACAGCATGAACCAAATTTCATACTGGTAAGATCATGGACACTGCACATGAGGTCTCACATGCCATACAATTCAGTATACACCAAGGAAGGTGCAGCCGGGTACTCTTACAAAGCCTTCAGTGAACCTTCTTTAAAATGTAACTAGGGATTGAAATGAGGTGGACCACAAGCCCTGTCGCTGGCTTGCTTGGCAATGGACATTTCCAATCTTGCGGTCATCCCCCATCCTGTCTTCTCTGACGTCTCTCTTTTTTATTTATGCAGGACGACATTTTTCAGCTCCAGCTCAAGCATATGACACTCAGATTCAGTTGCTGTGTTTTCCCGTGCTTGTGGCAGCGTAGAGGGAATGGAAAGCAAACACGCTGACGCTGAAGTATACAGGTTTCACTGTTTAGCCAATCATTGCTTCCTGTTTCTGTTCATATTTTATAGATTTTTATTTTTTTTATCAAAATGGGGCATTATGATGATGAAAGATCTGTAATTTTCTTTACTTGGTTAAAAAAAATGAGTCAGTGATGGACTTCATCAGAGAGAAAGAGAAAGACAGGACAAAAGCCACTTTCTGGGATAAGTAAAGAAAAAAAATGAAACAAAGCCAAAGTTCTGAAGATCTTCTGCATAACCACATAACCAGCACTCCCATATTTTTAAGTTTGGGTGTGCAACAACCTCCAAAAACCCTGAATTTGTTCACAAAGCCAAAGAAAGTACATCCTGCTCAGAGTGAAAAGACTTCTGTCCTTTTGACACGTTATAATACAAACTGGTGTTAGTGGAATGAGTGGACAGTATATGACCAAAGATCAACAGTAGCAATAAAAGAGTAAACATGGTGCATCAATGTCCAATGACTATGACAATACAAAATGCAACTAAGCATCATTCAGCGCATCAGACATCTTCAGAAACTTCTGTGAGTCTGTGCAAACTTCATTCTGAGGTATTTGGTTGAGGAGCAGGAATGAATCCACGGTCCGACACCCTGAAGGCAGAAACATGAAGAAATAAAACATGACCAGGCAGAGGTCCTCATGTTCCTTTTCTCCTCTCTGTCTTTAAAGGTCAAAGTGTTTGAGTTTGTCTCCCCGTCGGGTCATTATCTGTTGCACTGTGTCCCTGGATGGATCCTTGTTTTCAGCTTTGACCTATTAACCTGTCAGGCTTCTTTAACAACTGATTTACCTGCTCTCTATCTCTGCAGCCCATAAAAATCATGCCTCACTGTCCTCTCTGTGTGCGCAGTGGAGTGAATATGTGGTTCGTTTGTTCATTTTTGGCTTCACTTTTCTATAATCTAAGACAAAGAAGTTGGTCATCCATATTTACGGTTTCAAAAGTTACACTTCATGGTTTGAAACCTTCACCTCAAGATCAAAGTCAGAGTCACAATAATATCAATTTATAACCTAAAACAAGCAAAATGAACGTCACAGGAGCTTGAAACTTGGCTTAGATTTAAAAGAAGTCTAAGTATAACTTTAAAAAGTAAAAATATCAGCACATTAAGTTTCAGATTAATCCATTTACTGCAAAAATAATATTACAATTACTAATTTTAATTCTGAGAAGCAACATTTTAAATAAAAGTAATAAAAACCGACTTTTATCACAGAATTTAAAGCAAACTTTCATGTGTAGCTCAAATCTTCTTCCTTTCCTGCTAGTTTTTCTTGTTTGTTGTGACTCAGATTTAAAGATCATAGGTCAGGAAGAAGTTATCTTGAGGTAAAGGGTCAAAACATGCCTGAACTTGCACCTGGTCTCCAGAATCATCCCCATATTGTGTCCCTATTTATATCTTGAGTTACAAATGGTGAGACTAATATAGGTTTGTGGATTTATGACTCGTGTGTGTGTGTGTGTGCGTGCGTGCGTGTGTGTGTGTGTGCGTGTGTGTGTATTAAGGTTGGAGCAAATATTCTGCTGGTATAAATCTTTAACCCTCAACAGCTGCAGCCTGACGTCTCTGTGTCTGAGCTCCAGGTGTGTCTCAGTGCAGAAACATCAGCAGGGCAGAGAGCCAGTGAACCAACATGCTGCTCTTCAACCTCAGAAACAGTTCATACAAGCTGAGCTTCAACAGGTTCACAGACTCGGACAGAGAGATCTGCAGACGCCTTGTCCTGGACCGAGCCTTACTCCTCTTGTGCCTGAAGACAAGAAAAAGTAAAAGAAAGGTCAAAGATTAAAAAACAGTGTGAATAAAAGGGTCTCTTTTCGTTTTAGTTAAGAATCTTCCTGCACTCTTTATGTGCAAGGTTCAAGGTCAGTCAGGTTTATGTTGAGTGAGTCCATCTTCTTTACACCACAGTCAACAAAAAAAATGAACAAAAAGCTCTGATAATATGACCAAGTGCTCAGTACCAGAAGGTACATGCATGTGTGTTTGGCTTTCTTTCTATTCAGCACGGCACAGAGAAATTTCGTTGCACCTTCTGTAATGCGGATACATCCAGTTTAATTCAATTCGATTCGATTTGGTTTGGTTCAATTCAATGCTGGACAATGCAATTCACTTCAATTCAATTCAATTTGTTCGAATCTGGTTTAATTAAACTCAATTCAATTCAATTCAATTTAGTCCAGTCAAGTCCCATCTGGTTGGGTTGGGTTGAGTTCAATGGAATTCAATTCAATTCAACTGTTCAATTCAAGTTGGCTCATTTCAATTCGATTAGATTCAATTCAATTCAATTCAATTCAATAAATTCAGTTCAGTTCACTTCACTTCAATTCAAGTTAATAACCCTCCTAAAAACAAAGCTGAAATAAAATAATGATTTTATTGATCTACAGACCACTTGTCGGGGTTACATTAAGTTACAATGAATACAAAAACAATGTTAAAAATCTGAAATAATCCACATGCAAACAGAGAACACATACCAAGGCCACTGCTGTAAAAAAACAACACATACAATAGTGCACATGAGTAAACGTTCCATATAATGGCATTTTTAGCTGTTTACAACATATCCTAGTTACGCAGAGATTTTGAATTTGGCTGCAAAAAACATAACAAAGCCAGCATCTATGGAGGATCTGCAGCCTGAATGGATTCTTGAATCTTGTCACCAGTGCAGCCTGATGCAGACTGATGCAGAGGAGAAAAAACAACAAAATGAACATGGCAAGTCCTCAAGAACCACCCACACCAGTCCACTACACATATGATCCAGAATCTTGCCAAGAGATGGATATGGAATTTTTGCAGCTTATGTTAAAAAAGCATGTTTTGAGTTGCAATGGTGCTACAACAGAATGTAGACATTTGTGTTTCTGTAGCCAATGACAGAGCAGCTGGCGTGTCTGGCTCCAACCCTTGACATCTTCACTTTGCAAAGATGCAGCATAAACACAAACCATTTGATGACTAGGAATGGTTTTGCATTCAGAGGCTGCGTCACCACTGAGGCTAACTCAGATTCCCTTTTCCCATCAGTCACAGAGAAGCCTGTTAAAAGCCTGGGGAAGATCTTCGACTGCTCCCTGAGGGATACAGCTTCCATCAGGGCTACCAACGAACAACTGGAGGGCTGGCTAACTGCAGTGGACAAATCTGGTCTCCCAGGGAAGTTCAAGGCATGGGTGTACCAATATGGCATCCTGCCCAGGATACTGTGGCCACTGCTGATATATGAATTTCCCATGTCCACCATGGAAGGGTTTGAGCGGAGGGTCAGCAGCCACCTCTGGCGCTGGCTGGGGCTTCCTCAGAGTCTCAGCAGCATCGCCCTCTACGGCAACGACAACAAGCTGACCCTACCAATCAACAGCCTCACCCAGGTTTATGGTTGCCAGAGCAAGGGAGGTTCTCCAGTACAGGGAATCGAAGGACCCAAAGGTTGCTCAAGCTGGCATAGAGGTGAGGACAGGCAGAAGGTGGAGGGCACAAGAGGCGGTGGACCAGGCAGAAGCTCGGCTGTCCCACAGAGATCTTGTGGGATCTGTGGCTACTGTTCGAGCAGGACTGGGAACTGTACCAACAACCCATCTCAGCAGGCTCAAGGGCAAGGAAAGGCGGGACTGGGTCCAACTCGAGGTGCAGGCTGGAGTCCGAGAGCAGCGTGCAAGCCGGTGGGTGGGGCTAAGGCAGCAGGGTGCGTGGACCAGATGGGAGGAAGCCATGGACAGAAGGATCTCATGGTCGGACTTGTGGAAGGCTGAACCGCTCCGCATAAAATTCCTCATCCAGTCTGTCTATGATGTCCTGCCCAGCCCGTCAAACCTCTTCCTTTGGGGCAAGGCTGAAGCTCCATCATGTACCTTGTGCCAGGGAAGGGGAACACTGGAGCACATCCTCAGCAGCTGTCCTGAAGCACTTGGAGATGGCCGCTATCGCTGGCGCCACGACCAGGTGCTGAAGGCAGTTCCATCCACTCTGCCATTGACCACAGCAAGCACCTGCAACCACTGAGGCACAGAACAGCATTTGTGAGGGCTGGGAAAAACCTCCTCCCCAACCAAAGGCCCAAACAGGACTCCTGGGAACAGCAAAGGACTGGCAGCTGAGGGTGGACTTAGGAAAACAGCTTAAGTTCCCTGAGAACATCACCGAAACCAGCCTGAGACCAGACATAGTTCTACAATCAGAGTCTTCCAAGCAGGTCATCATGCTGGACCTGACGGTGCCCTGGAAGGAGAGGATGGAGGAAGCCAGCGGGAGGAAGAGGGAGAAGTACGCCGAGCTGGTGGAGGACTGCCGCAACAGGGGGTGGTGTGCAAGATGCCTGCCCATTGAGGTCGGGGGAAGGGGCTTTGCAGGGAAGTCACTCTGCAGGGCCTACAGTCTCCTAGGCATCACAGGGGCACGTAAGAGGAGAGCCATCTGCTCAGCTTCAGAAGCAGCTGAGAAAGCATCACGATGGCTGTGGATTCAGCGGGACAAGGCGTGAATGAACGCTTCTTGGACACAGGCCGGGAACTGATCACTCCCGGTCAGGTCGCCTGGGTGAGGGGGTCTGAAGTTGAAAGACCCGAAACCCCCCGTGACCCCAGGTACTATCACTGATGATGTGTCCAAGATTTTGCATCGCAAGATTTTTCAAACAACAACAACTTTAGATGCCATGTGTCTTCCTGGTATATGAGCTACAGAAACAGCTTTTTTCTACCTCCACATTTTCAGGGTTCCTTGGCTGGATGATTACCAGAGTATATTGTAAACATATAAACCAAAAATAAAGGTTTTCGACCTTGAGGAACCTAAGAATTTGGTTTATGAAATAAAAAAGATCTTGCTAGAAAGAGAGAGAGAGTGGGAAAAATGAAAGATTACAAATTTTTTTATGCATCTTCATTAAGCTTCATTTATTTTTGTACATGATAGTGAAACTTCCCAAATCTCTTACAGATATTCTCAAACCACTTTATGAGAAATTTTAAAGCTTAGTTATTTTTTAATCTTGTCACTTTGCCGTGGTTTGGCTGTTAACAAAAATGCTCACCGATCAAAGCTGGATTGCAAAAGGGAAAGTATCATCTGGAGCAATAATAGTGCTGAAAAGTCATGAATATCTTCATCTGTGTGCTTCTTCAGCATATACTGGAGGTATAAAAGCTGCTGCAGAGTGTGTGTGAACAATAGAGGCAGCTCTGAATGCAAGCAGCAAAAATGAGCTTGTCAAGATTGTTATTGAAAATGAGACGCTATAAATCTCCATTACAGGCTGTGTTACCTGTTTCAGTCAAAATTCAAGTGTTGGCTAGACAGTGAAGATTTCTCGGAGCTTTACGGAGGATAAAAATGCTTAATCTGAGGGTGACATAATAGAAAACTACATACTGTGTCAGTTTCAAAGCCTGAATAGTCAGAGAAATGAAGAAATTAAATGAAGCCTTCGAGTTCAGAGAGTGTGGAGCTGTCCGCGGTGCTGAATCTGCTTATAGGGGCTTTAATTCAACTGAATCCTGCAGAAACTCTCTGTAACTTGCACATACTTATTAACTCCTTTTACACATGCACTGCTTTCACAAAGATGTCTAGATAATAATTAAACACTGAGTGTAAAAGCAGATGTTTAAATCAGAGAAATCAGAAATTAAAGCGATTTTTCTCAGTTAGACTTCCAGTATGTGAGGTTTGAGATTTTTTTCGAATGTTTCTGCTTTTAAAACTCTAATAATTCATACTGTTTCTATTGTTTTATCTTGAAAGACTCTACAGCTTTAGTGATGATGTTTCCTAGGTTGGACACTAGAGAAAACTTGCCTCACTAATAGTCAAACTCAGCCGCTTCTCCTGTCTGAGAACACAATAAGAACACATGCAGTAACATCCCCGCCTTTCTGTGCATCAGGAAAAAAAGTGCTCAAAGCCTGAGAATAAATACTATTAGCTGCTGACAGCACAAGAATTTAGTGTGAGCTGCAGAGTCAGACTGAAGAGCCGAGAGCTCAGACTGCTGAAAGTGAGGAGAGGGAACAAGGGGGCTGATCCCTGCTGTCTGTGTTACACGACCACTCACGACGCCACAGTTGGTTAATATTTCATTAAATATGCTTATTCAGACAAGCTGCACCTCTGTCGGCAGCACAGCAAACAGGCCTAGAAGAGACCTGAGTGTGTGTGTGAAAGTGTGTGAGTCACCATCCGTCAGCTCAGAGCTGAAGTGACAGCACACACCTCTCCCCTTCAAACCTACAGTCCCAGATTTCAATTTCCCCTCCAAAGCCACTTACTTGTCAGCTTAGTTTGTCTTTATTTCTGACACATCTCCATGTCAACACTCCTCCACGTGTGCTCACACCTCACAGGCTGAAGGATTTTACTCTCAGGTCTCCGAGGAGCCGCTGACGTTTCAGTAAAGACGGGATGTTTTTTGTGACCCTTTGAACTCCATTAAAAAAAATAAAAAAAAGTTGGCACTGACGTCATGTTCCCACCAAAACATGCTGAGCAGCAAAACACTTCCCAACGGGCTGCTCTAAGTCATCAAGTCTTAAAACCTGGATGAAGTTTCTGTGGTATGTAACTGAATCTGAAGTGAAGTCTGACTCAGAAATAATTCACTACACCTGAATTATACAGGCTGGATGGGATATTAGTATCTTTGAAGTGGTTCATCAATAAAGGAGACTCTTCTACTCGGGCTGCCTTTTTCCTTTTGGTCATGAAGTACAGTATATACAGATAAGGTGTTAGTAATCGTTTCTCGTGAGTAATTTAGAGCCAGTGTTGTGCTTGAACGCACTGCAATGAACAAGTGTATTGGACACACTCAGACAGCGGACTGGGGAGCTCATTTTTCAATCCATGAACAAGAACATGACCAGAGTTCACTATGGAATCAGTAAACTGCCACTAACTTTCCAGGAGGATCAGAGAATTACCAAGAACTACCAGGAGTAACCAAAGAGTTAACCAAAGTCACAAAGAGTTATAATGAGTTACTGAGAATTAACAAGAGTAACCGGGTTACCGGGAGTTATCAAAAGATACAGAGATTTACTGAGAGTGAACGAGAGTCATTGAGAGATACAGAGAGTTACATGAAGTTAGAGCTACTGTGAGTTACAGAGAGCTATTGAGAGTAACCAGGAGTTAACAAGAGTTTCTGAGAGTTATAAGGAGTTACCAATAGTTGAAAAAGTAACCAGGAGTTACTGAGAATTAACAAGAGTTATTGAGAGATACAGAGTTATAGAAAGTAAGATTTACCATTAGTTACAGAGCGGTACTGATAGTAGCCAAGAGTTATCAAGAATCACCAAGAGTTAGCGAGAGTTACAAAAGTTACTGAGAGTTACAGAGAGTAGTCAGGAGTAACCAAGATTAAACTCAATTACCCAGAGTTAGCAATAGAGTTAGTCAGACATACTGAAAAAAACAAGTACCGTGTGTTACAGCAGCCAGGGATGGAAGTACGACACCTGACACTTTTTGCTCCTGTCATGTGACAACAGACTAAAAACCCTTAGGGTTTCATATAGGTTTGACTTTTTGAGGGTAGAAACATGAAAACCATCTCTCACACATTATCAGTTGTGAAGAAGATTATTCCACATGTTCGGATAAAAAATCTGAACTTTTAGCTAAATTTATTCCAGCAAATATAGTTCTTCTCTGGTTTTTAATACTGTAGATTTTTCCTGTTTACTTGGTAAAACCCACTGAAATTAAATTGTCTAAACCAAATAATTGTCTGTGATTCAACTGTGGGTTTGATCACCTAGCTTTAAAAATGTTTGGAATGGGGATCAGAAATTAAAGTCCAAGAGGCTCAGATGGATCATTCAGATGCAGTTGAAACACAATGAACATAAATTAGTTCATTTTTAGGGATTAACTTAGTTCAAAGTCAAAAAAGTGAAATATGTACGTACATAAACGAGTTCACTTTGATTGGTGTGAGCTAAGCTTTGAGTTGTTCATTTTTAGAATAAACTTACGCAACACTTTTAAGAGCTAATACATTATTAAGAACCACTTATTAACAGTAGCATCTTCACCCTAGTCTAAAGAGTGACAGAGAATTCATCACATCTGATTTGAATCAAAGTTTTTTGAATGTTGTTCTCCAGTTTGTTCCTCTTATTCCCTTTAACTGATGAAAAAAGAAAGGGTAAAGAGTCCAGAGTTTCTCACCTGGCCATGGCCTGTATACAGCAGCGAGACATGTTGATGAAGGAAGAGGAGGAGGCTCTGGTCTGTAAGGTGGTCTCGATGCCCCTCAGCAGGTCGTTGGTCTTCAGGAGCAGCAGCATCTGTCGGGGTACTCGGTTCAGCAGGTCACTGATCTGGGGCAGGTACAGAGCTGCATTGGTCCGAATCTCAACATCCTGCAAAGACAAAAAAGGCAATAAGAGGAGTTTCCCTTTGTCTGTGTGCATAATGGATCCACAGCAGCAGTTACCTGCTGATCCACTGAAGAAGAGGTTTAACCGCAGAGGAGATGAAATATGAAACAACAAACCGAGTAGAAACAAGAAACGTCCAAACTTTTTTTGACTTCTGTATATGAATCTGTCCACCCTGAGCATTGTTGGAGCTGTCAGTCCAAATAAACAGTGGGAGTTTAATGGCAGAGAGACAGAGAGAGACAGAGAGAGAGAGAGAGAGAGAGAGAGAGAGAGAGAGAGAGAGAGAGAGAGAGAGCGACAGCGAGTTAACACATCCTGGCACAGATAAACTCTGTCTGTCTCTGTTCACATCCCTTCCTGTGGGCATGACACACAAAACACAGCAAACCACAAGCATCTGATAAAAGCACAATATCAGTGACACACACACACACACACACACACACACACACACACACACACATCTATTGGTTAGATCTGTTTTGACATAACAATTTTCAAGACAGTGGGTCTCATTCATAAAACATGTGCAGAACCAAATCTAAGCATCAACTCTGCACCATGCTTGTCAATCCACAGGAAGAACATGTCCACATTTCCTTATATGGTGTTTAAAGGATATTGGTGGACAGAGATTTATACTGATTATGAGCAAGCATGAGTGCACTGTTGAATTCTTTTTTTTTTTTATCTTAAAAGGGTCAGAAAAACATTATTTACATCAACTGAACTTGAAGATGTTTGTCAAAAATCACCATTTACAGAACCAACAACAGAAAATACAAAAGAGCGAGGAACAGCATGTTAAAACTCAACCTAAAATAAGTGCTGGCTTTGAGAATGCAATCAGCCAGTTATGGTTTAGAGTTTCAGACACCCTTGGCCATCCCCTAAGTCCACCCTGACTTTTTACAGTTTAAAGGTATACCTATACGTCTCTTTAACTCTAGACCAGGGGTCAGCAACCTTAAACACTCAAAGAGCCATTTGGACCAGTTTCCCACAGAAAGAAAACACAGGGAGCCACAGAACCCCTTTGACATCTAAAATGAAGATAACACTGCATATATCGTTTTTCAACCTTTATGGAAAGTATATAAATATACTGTAGTGTGTTGCATTTATGAAATAAATGAAATGCTTTTCTGATGCTACAGGACATATCATGAGCAAAGTAAGTGCAAAATTGCATTTCTGAGTATTTCTGCATTCAAATCACTGTGAACCTATGACAGACCCAAATCTCAGATACTGTGAGATTTCCTACTGTACAACTGCTAGCTCCGCCCTCGGAGCCCTGCTGTGCAGGCCACACACTCGATTGCGGAAAAAGTGTGCGTGTTAAATAAAAAACACTATTTCATTGCACAATGTAAGATATATATTTGCAAAACAATTGCTGATTGAAATGTTACATTTACTTGCTTTATGTGAATTTCGTCTCCACACAGCGTCTACACATCAGGACAGTATGACCTCACATTCATCTTCACACAGGTTTTCGGTATTTGCAGGATCCATGTCTAGGTACCTTCTGTAATACTTTTTTTGCAAATCCAGGTTTTTGTTTTTGAGGTTTTTTTCCCACTAAGTTCCCACTAAGGTTTGTTTTTGTTCCCATTGGAAGCTCCTGTAAGGAATTTTCAGTTTGTGTCAGTTTTGGTGTCCCCTATGGACAAAACAGTCCTGCCTTATCTCGTCCTCTAGAGTTTCCTGACATCAATTCTCACCCTGATGACTTTTGGAGGTCAAATATATCACTGACTGTGATATAAAGTGGAACCTATTCCCATGCACCAGTTCAATGCATTAAAAATTGTAATATATAAATCCCAGGTTGTATTGCTCATGGTCTTGGTTGCTTTTGGATATCATAAAAACCTTAATCCTAACGGTTAGGTTAAGACCTAACCTCAAAGGAGCTCTAAAGTATGCTTCTTTCCACAATTCTACAGTACACAGTAACAAAGTGGTATAAGAAAACAAATGCATAAAAAAAAGAATTGGAACAACTGCATGTTGCCATCAGTAGATTGTTTTGTAGTTGACCCAATCTCCCTTCACACTTCTCCATATATATTCTTAATTTACTAAAAAAAAAAAAAGACTTAACATTTGCATGTTTTACAAAAGCAATGACTTAAACCAACAACAAAATCCCCATTACAAACCCCCAGCAGCGCCAATCCAAATAAAAAGGGGGCTGGGTGCTCTGAAGGGCCCTGCTTGGGGAATAACAATTAGTGGCAATTATAGGAGGTTGGTTAGCAGGCCTCACAGCTGTCAGGAGGACACAGAGACAGCGACGGTGCTCTCATTTGCATCTGAAAGCTTCAATAAGGACATATTGTATTGTGAGTGGTGCGATAATAAGCTGCGTAAAAGGCAAAGGGAATGTAATCGGGGAGGGGGGGGGGTGATTTTTCTTTCTCCCTGAGTGTATTAGACAGTCAGCGGAATGATTTCATACAGCAGCCAGCAGGCAATAGAAAATGGTGTGCAGCATAAGGAGGGAATGTAAGGATCTATAGTAGGAGCTTCTACCAAACAACACTGGTTTAACTCTGCGACTCTGCAGATATACTCAGGACGGTAAATCAGTCAGTCTTTTATTAAATAACAGACATTTGCTTTACCCGGTAAGTGACAGTAAACCAGTTTGTTTCTAAGGAGTGAAAAGCAGCTAAGAGAGTTGGAGATGGATCCGGACATTATTTTAAGTTTGAGCTTGGGCGTTGACCAATTTTTCTGACTTCACTAAGGAGGGGACGTGACTGCTGGTAACAAAACCAGGTGCTCAAATGACCTTTAAAGCGGCTGCCAATGACAAGCACATCCATGACAATAGGAATAAGCTTGGGCAGGCTGCTGGTGGCCTCCTGACCAGCTTTATATCCTATGGTCTGAGTTTGCTGCACCGCAAGAGTCCAGGAACAACTAAAAAGACCCTAAAGATTTAAAAAATGGCAAAGGGCTTCATATAAGGCAGTCTAACCTTCACCCTGAAAGGCCAGTCTCTGAAAGAAAGATTTCGAATCAGGGAATCCAAAAAATGTTTAGACTAAGTCTAACCTTGTCTGAAGAAGGGATCAGATGTGTTAGGGATCACTTACACTCCTGTTATCATGGCTGACGTAAAACCTAAGAATACAAAATGTACCACTATGGTAGATTTCATAGATGCAAAAGGGTGCAAAAATGAACCACCAGAAGTCAGAGTCAGGTTGGCAGCCTCTCGCAGAAATTTTATTGCAGTCTCCAACATCAACCACATCTCACGACAAATCAGTAGACAGACGGACCCAGAACCAAACACTCCCAAATCCTTTATACTTCTCCAATGATGTCAGCCATGGTTTTTCCCGCAAGTGGTCATCTGAATTGTTATCTTCCAGTAAGTGTACTTAACATTGGAGTCTGATAGCCAACATCATGACTTTTTTGGAAACATGTTTTTCTCGCTGGCCAGATTTCCTGTCGAATTTTGGCAGAGCCATGTGTGACCAGGTCGACGTGACCTCTCAGGTCGTGGCCTGCATCCTGTTTTTCAACACATTGCAAAAAAAGGCCATTAAGTCTGTTTTTGCGAATCTATTGTCTGTATTTTTCCCCTACACCACCACTCACCTAAATTAACACTGTAGGCAAACTACATGTTTTATCTGTCACTTTCTCATGTTGGCCAAGTGACCATGTGACAATAAACCTGGTTTATGTTATAGGTCAGCATAACCATGGACCCAACACAGGTTGCAGATGTGCACCTTTTCTAAAGTTTAACCATGCATCAAGATAATGCAGACTCTAAGCCCCGTGATTGGCCTGCTGTAGACTTTGGTATCACCACCATCTCCCGTCCTCTTTCTAAGTGGCCGTATTGGCCGTCTCTTCCCTCTTTTCTCTTATTTGCAGCTTGATCAACTGCTGCACAACTTTTATCAGCTGGAACTTAAATTCATCAAGCTCAGATTCAGCTGCCTTTTATTATATCTAAAGTAATCATAATGTTGTCCTCTAAAATGTGCTTGTTTTATGGGCATCTAGGTCTGAAACCCTAAAGAGATAGTTTGTGAGATTGTTGTGCTTTTTCTTGCACCTGGGAAACAGATCTGCAGTGCTTTATTTCCAATTTTTAAAACCAAAAACTTTGCTGTCAAATGAACAAAAGATTAAAATGCAAAGAAATAAAGTCCCATTTTGACACAGTCCAACATAGTAGCTGCTCAAATGAGACTCGAGACTCGATTCTGTTTGTGTCTACAAACACAAACTGCTAAAGTTCAAGAGACCATGTAAACATCAGAGTCTGGTGAGAGCTGAAAGACACATCAGAAAGACCTGCAACAAAATCTTCTTGACTTCTCCAGCCCCCCTGTCATGTTTCAGACTAATTGCTTTGTTTTTTAATGCTCTCAAAAAGAACATTCATTAAAAAAATAAAATATTCCGGCATGTGAAAAGAGGAAGCAAGAAGCCAGTGCTCTAAAAGCACTCAACATGCGTTTCCTGAATGTGACTGCATTAACTCTAATGGAATGCATCATCGGCGGGGCTTAAAAAATATCTGCACATCGCAGAGTGAATAAAAATGACAACAAAAGGACAGAGGAGAGGAAAGAGGAGTGGAGAGGAGATGTTAGAGGGAGGAGAGAAGAGGAGAAGGGATGTCAGAGGAGAGGAGAGGAGAGGACAGGGTAGGAGAGGAGAGGAGGGGGCAGAGGAGACAATCAAGAATCACAGAGCAAGCGAGTGGACGCGGATGAAGAAATGTCCACATTTTTGCTTTAGCTGTTTCACAATTTATAGGTGCGTTAAAGTGGAGGCACCAGAGAAGGGTCTGTCTAACGGTTGTGTGTGTGTGTGTGTGTGTGTGTGTGTGTGTGTGTGTGTGTGTGTGTGTGTGTGTGTGTGTGTGTGTGACAGAGATAGATGGCTCAGATTGATGGGAGTGCGCTCATCTGTAAGATGGCACACAGAGGAGAACCACACACCTCACCTACACACACCCTCACACTGGAGTACGACTACTGTGTGGTGATGACTGCACCGAGGAAACACAACTTCACTTCATGACTCGGCACAAGACAATGAACACAATGCTGCCTCACTTTCTCTTTCAACAGTGTCATGTCAACATTGAAGGTCCCATATTATACTCCTTTTCACAAAGGTCTCAGAGGTCCCAGAACAGTCAATTTGAAGTTTGTTGTCTAAAAACCCAGTTTTTTCCTGGACTTCGGACAGCCTGAAACTCTCTCTAGTTAACTCTACCGAGAACATGCTGTTTCTGTGTGCTGTGCCTGCATTTCTCTGGAAGAGGGGGGCGTGGCTTGCGCTACGGTACCATGTGTTAATGTTTACACAAAGTGCTAGTTATGGCTCATAGAAGTGCTGAGGTCCAGCCGTACCAGTTTGGTCCAGAGTCTGACCCAGACGGAGAGGCTCCTGAAGAAATTACAACTCTGTGGCTGCATGTTCATGAATGGCTACTTAGTTCATGTGTTGGTACACAGTGACTTACATGTAGCTATACGTAACATTAGCTCCTGCTAACGATTACATCTCTGCTGTCTTCTCGTAACTTGGAGCTCTTTTGGTGAATGCGCAACATTGTAAGTATGGATATCTGACAGGAAATGACAGGAAAAGCAGAGCCAGGGTGAGAAACCTGTTTTGATTAGAGCTCGCTTTCAACAGGTCAGGCTGTACACTCTACCTCCACTCGCTCCTGTTTTCACAGGGACAAAGAGGAGAAAGGTCAGAAAGGAAGGAGAGGAACAGTTTTAACTGCTCTTTAGTTTGCCTCTACTGGAGATCATTTCTTCCACTTATTCAGATCCATTAACATGTTTCCCTGTTTTGTCTTTTTGCCCCTTTTTCACAGATTTTCCACGCATGCCCACTTCTTTTTAAATTTTATCTATGCAAACCTGAACTTTTCATCCTTGTTCAGCCAAATCTGTATATAGTGGCGTTTTCCTTTCATCAGTCTCCCCCACAGAGTCCTTCCAGGACACACTGAGCTCTATTAAATAAACTATCCACTGACTCACAGATGATACTTCATGAGGACGACTTCAGCTGTCATATATACTGTAAGAAGGATGTTCTCTACCATTACGTGCTTAAAGCAGTGTTGCTCCTGATACATATGTGAACTGTGCATGTTTGCTTACGGAATGCTGGCATGCTGTGTAAAATCTGAAACACTGACAGAGGCTAGAAGAGTAAGCAAGGGATAATTATGGGTCTTGTTTACAGTGACGTTATCTTTGTTTTTTCTAGCTGGTGGTCTTGCTCGCTTGATGTAACTCTAAAGTTTTACCCCCTGAACCATCTTTGTTTTAACACTCAGGATAGTCTTGACGTCCCTGCTGATCTGGGGCTTATTGTTGAGGAAACAGGTTACCGTCAAGGTTGAGGTGCCAGAAACATAGTCCACACAGAAGTTGATGTATCCTGTGATGCTGTGTATAAAGCCCTCACTTTACCCCTCACCATATGGCTCAGTCAGCACTTCCCAGATCGTGATGGACTGGATGACATCAGAAGCCTGTGCCGCGTGGGCCGAGGGCACAATGTAAACAGCAAGAATAAGAGGAAGTTTGACTCTGTGCAGATTATAGGGATGAAAAAACAACCAATACTGATAATTATCAGCCAGGCTGCAGACTCATTCATGGCACCAGCGTGTCCTGCATTGCACCCTCTGTTATGAGAACAAAAAGCATCCCTCCTTTTAGCCTCACTGCTGTTTTTTCTCCCATGTAAGGCCCTGAACTCTACGCAAAAACTCCACTTCGATCCTTATGCAGTTTAAATCATCCAAAAACCAAAATACTTAAACAAGTCCTCCTAAAAATGTAATTTTCCAAACAGACAGAGGGAGTTTTTCATGTCCTGATCCTTGCCAAGTCCAGTCTTGTACTGGCCATCATGTGTGAGGGGGTGGCACACTGTAGCAGACTGTTTTGTAGTACTTTTGCCAGCTTCAAAATGTTGCATAACTGAGGTATAAATAAACTCTCTCTCCAGCACAGATGGCGTGGTGGACCCCTGCAGTTAATAGGACACTTACAAACACACACAAAACAGTTTTTTTCCGATAATGGATTCTAAAATCAGTCTTTTCCGGAAGAATAACCTACTAACTCCAATTAAAACTTGAAGTTTGCTGTCAATATCTACACCCTCTTTCCTGGAAATGATTGAGAAATACTTCATGGAATTAGTTGTGAAGGTTAAAGCTACAGTAAGGGGTTTTTCACTGGTTATGATACAGACTCATATTAATACTGTTGCTTATATATGACCCAAAGACAAACAAGATCACCAGCACAAATAGAGATAGTTTCTATTAAACCCTTTTCAATGCCTGAAACCACTGCAGAGAGTAGGGATGAGGATCAAGACTGGGTTTCCTTTTAGTTTTCGAAACAGTTAGAAGTGGCAGCTTACAGGTACGTGTAAAGAGATCTAAAGTGAGGCTGCATTTAACTAAAGATAAAGATAGAGGTGCAACAAAATCCAATTTATGTTACAAAAATAATTATTGCAAGGTTGGACACAACTTCCATCTCAGTCTCTTACCCACCTACCCTCATCATTGAAAGGAGTTCTGGATCCTATCAACTTTGATCCCAGGATTTGCTCTCACTGTCAGTCCTGAGTGTCGGGACTGATCTGGGAAAAAGGCGTATATGTTTGCTTCCTCTTTTATCTGGAACAAAATTCTGAAAAGTCAATGACTTTGTTTCTTTGAAAGTTTTTCAAAAATGCTTGATGACTTGGAGTCAGACTCAACTGTCTGCAGATGTTCCCTCTAAATGACCATGGGGTTTAACAATTGTGTGGGCGTGACATGTTTGGATTATGATCTTTTATCTGATGTATCTATATTTCGAATGGCTGTAAATTTGTCTGTCGATGTCTTTGATATAACTGTTGACTATGCTGCTGCCTGTCTTGGCCAGGTGGTGTTCCTGGTTAAATAAAGGTTAAATAAATTAAATTAGATTAACTGCAGATTCCTGGTTAAATGCTGTATTAAAGAGGTTACCTCTGCTGTGTTTTTAAAGGTTGAAATTTCTTACTCTGTTCACAAACAGGCACTTGTTCAGCAATGACAATAAAGCCAGTTCTGTTAAAAACACATTATCATAGTCTTTCTACTAAATCATAGAAATATGGATAAGGGGACTGCCATCCATTCCAACTCAGGAGCTTTAAATTCAGCACCAGTGGGCTGGATTTTGGATGCATAGTGACCAACACTACGTCTCTGTTTTACTTTGCCTGTACAAGAACAAAGTGAAGGTTTCAAGGGAAGAAAAATCTATGCCCCTTTGGGCAAATCCTTACTCCTGGGCAGCCAACTCTCCTGCTATATTTTGTCAGTGAAAGCTCTGTCTGAGTCTGTGACGGTGCAAAGTTTGACTGTTTGACAGGTGGAACAGCTATCCGGCCCCTTATTTAGAGCAACAGGTTTTTTAAAGACCTGTGACAGACACAGACACCTGATTTTTAGTTTTTCTGTCAGAGCATTTTATCTCAACTCAAGTCAAGTCAAAAGTTTGTTCTAAAACAACCACAGATGAACTGAAGTGCTGTAAGAGCCAAAAAAACAGACATATTATGAACCAAACAAGGGTTAAAGGACACTAAAAACACTATCAATAATATGACAAGAACACAAGAAATTGGAGCCAATAAGAGTATCCAATGTGGCATGATGGTGTTCATATCCAAGATAAAGCAATGGTTCAAACTTTCAAGGGTCAGTGTTGTCCTTTTTTAACATGTAGACTGTCTCAGAGTGATGTAATTTAACTTGAGCATGTTAGGGCAATGACTCAGACACACAAGACATTGCCGGCACAGGAAAGGTTAAAAAAACACTGGCAGAAATGTTCCCTGAAACTGACACAAAGCCAGATCCTGGAGTGATGTGGTCCAATCAACAGACACTTAAACCAGCTGTAAATGATGCAGTGATGTCTGGTCAGCACCAAAATATGAAGAATTACAATAATCCATAGTTATGTATTGACCATCCAAAAAATCTATAAAAATAAGCTGCCTGGTCCAACTTTGAACTCTCTGGACTCTCTGAACCCCTGAGCATCAACATGCTGCTTTAACATCCTCAGACCTACAGATTTCAGATTTAAGGCTTTCAGGATTCACTAGATGTTAGATCTGGTTGTAACAGCTTGCTGCGAAGGAAAAAATCTCTCGTCTGCATGCAGCGCAGATGTTAGACCTGCCTGACTCTGAACAGCTGTAAGTCTTCCTTTATACACTGATTTCTCGAATGGTGCAAACTTAAGTTTAAACTCAGCTTTACTGTGTGGAGTCTACAAGGCTTTTCCTTATGTTGTTACTCTCACTTGTGTTTGACTCTCTTCTCCACCACATCTGTTTTTGTTGTTATATTTCATAACTCCGTAAAGCACTTTGAGTTACCTCAGTGCATGAAAAGTGCTCCACAAATAAACAAACTGAAGCCACAGCCTCAGTTATCACACCCACCATACATTATCTACAATATCAGGCATAAAACACCGCGCTGACTCTCTGGAGGACATCCTGTGAAGGTGTTATTTGTATTTGCAGCAGCTCTGAAACATCTCCTGGATTTCCAGCTCCGACACCCTGTCAGCACCGGATGGATCTCCTCCGAGTGTTTCAGTCCTCATCTCATGCGTGTCTGATGGAACTGATGCACTTCAGTTTGAATCTGTGCAGCTGTCAACACCAGGCCACCACAGACTCCCGCTTCACTCAGACTCTGCTGCTGCTGTGACTGAAATGCAAAGCTTATCCAAACTTCTGAATTCCTCCAAAGCAACTTGACGCAATTTTAATTGGGAGCAAAACTGGGAGCAAACTGCACCATCACAAAGGCTCTGCAAGCTTTGTGGTGCAGCTTAAGATTTTAATAGATACCACGTATGTGTGCAGGACTTGATACCTCAGCATGTGTGACAGGCACAGAACTGATGCCAGCGTTGACAGCATTCCAGGACCTAGCTGTGAGCACGCAGGCGAACAGGGGGTACAGATCTCCAGCTCCCAGTCGACGGCTGTACCGCTCCACCCCGGACATGTCTCCTTGTATCAGAGCCTGCCACAGTCTGCAATAGTCCATCCTGAAGTCTGGCTGCAGGACCTGGAGAGGATAAGAGGTCAGATGATAAGCAGGTGTCTTTTGTTTGGACTTTATCTTCTTAAACTGAAGGTAATGATTAGCTTGAAATAATAGACTGAGTTTCTCTTATAAAGAACCCTGATATTTTTTTGTTTGTTTGTTTGTTTTTTAATCTATTTTCTCTGCAGCTAAGGAGGTAAAAGAGGCAGGATCAAACCTAAACTGTGCTGATGGTTGAAATCAGAGCCTGTGAAAGACATCCTGGTTTCACCTGCTGGTTTGGAGATTGGTCTTTGAAGTCTTGCATTTGGCATTATGATGTGATAATCGAAAGTGCTGATACCCGATTGGTCAATACTGCTCAGTCTAACAACAAATGGAGCAGAATCTGTGATTAGATACAGATTAATTTGGTGGGGTTTTTTTTTCATATTTTCCATTTTTTCGTTTGGACACATGCAGTCCTCGACTACCTGTACCGGACTTCTCTCTAACCCCTGATGTACCTTAGATACAAACATACTGATATATAACAACAATGGAGCTGTGTGTTTGTGTGTGTATGTGAGGAGTAGATTAACACAATTTTCCAGGATGGCAGCCTGGATCTGGGGTCGTTAGGAATAAATTGGAGCCATTATGGAGTAAATAAATGCTCCCTGTGAACACAGGAACCAGCAGTCAACAAATCCATGTCAGCAGACCTGTGTGCTTCTGACTGTTAGTGGTGTGTTAACAATCAAAGAGTGTGTGTGTGTGTGTGTGTGTGTGTGTGTGTGTGTGCGTGTAACGAGAGAGTGCATGTACAGGTCTGTATGATTAAGGCAGTGATGTGTCAATCCAAAGCGAGCACACTGCACTCTGCTAAAAACAACATCAAATGAGTTGTTTATCAAAAAGCTTTTATCCCCCTGTAGCTGTACCCCTGAAAGCGTGTGTGAAAGTGTGTGTGGTGTCCATTTTTTATGTGCATCCTGGCTGTTTGCTGCTCTGCCTATTTACTCAAGGCCTCAGCCAGCAACATGAAAAATGGACTGCAATATTAGAACAAATGGTGTTTTCTTTATGGTAGTGCCGCCTGGAGATTTTTCACCTGATAGAGGCCGTGATCGAGCAGGACAATCTCCGTCTTCTTCCTCTTGGGGCATTTTCGGACCAAGACGTTCCCTGGATGGGGGTCGCAGTGAACAAAGCCGTGTACGAAGATCATTTCACTGTACATCTTACCCAGGTTCTCTGAGATCTGAAAGAAAAACAACAGGTTCACACATACAATCAGCTTGTTCAGAAAGGCTGAGCTGAATTAATTCATGTGCACAGTGCCTCTGCATTAGGAAGTCAAATTTTGAGAGACTCGGAAAGTTATTGTCACAGATTTCTTATCAGACAACACTCCACAGCATCAGCCTGTTGTTTCATTAAAAAGCAAACCACGTCTATCATTGCAGCTAGCTCATACTTAGACCCTAACTCATTCTTCATATTCAGGATTCATGCTGATTTGTTCTGATACATTTCTATGTCTTTGACAGAAATTTTCTGGACCACACATCCTCCAAAACAATGTAAAGTGATTGTATTTAGCGACCACCACCCTGCCAGGGTATATCTGTTCAGTTTTCCACAGCTTTTTGCATGTTCTTTACTTCCTCAGTATTTTAGGATTAAAAGGTGGGGTAGGCAGGAATCCGTTCAAGAAGCTTCTTTTTTTGTGGTGTATAAACAAAAAAGCTTTTAATATCAGTCAATAGCTATTAGGTATTGATGATATTTGGTAATATAACAATATCGCTGTGTTTTGTTATGTCTCTGTAGTCAACATTTAAAATTGCAGAGCGCTCCGCTCTTTCTGACTATAAACAAGGCCATTCCCTGCTTCCCCCAACCTGATTGATTGTGAGGCAGATGCTGCTCCCCCGAGTCGTTCAGGAGCCCAAACAAAGTTAGCGTGCTACAATATCTGACAGTAGAAACTAGGGCCTGACCGATATGGATTTTTTGGGGCCGATGCCGATTATTAGGGGGGAAAAAAATCTTATTACCGATTAATTGGCCGACTTTTTTCATTTTTAATGAAGTTATAATATATAAATATATGTATATATATATTTACATATATATATTTATATATATATGTATCTATATATATATATATATATATGTATATATATATATATATATATATATATATATATATATATATATATATATATATATATATATATATATATATATATATATATATATATATATATATATATATATATATATATATATAAGGAGGTAGACCGGACAAGAGCTAAGAAGCCAGGTCAACAATGATGGGGGACGCTTCAGGATCATACAGACCCTGTAACCTTTCTGCTGGATAGGTTAACCGCTTTAACAAAGTAAGCCAAGTGTCTGTAACTGAAGTGTTTCTTGTCAAATGGGACCTGCTGCGTGTTGTAGTGCCGCTAAACTGTTTACCTCGGGTCCTGGACTATGTCACTTTATCCTAGTTGTAGAAGTCCTGCAAACATTGTGTTTGCTGGTAGTCTGTTGGCATCTACAGTAGCACCAATGCTGTTTACTTTCACGTTGACTGGGCTCCATTTGTAATTATCTTAAGTATTTATCTGCATTATATCTGAATTTAATTGGAACGATATGAGCGAGCAGGAACGCCTGTTTGTGGGCGGGGCTTGCTGGAGTAGAGAGAGAGGGGAGAGAGGAGAGAGGAGGCAATACATTCATTAATTGGAGGACATGTTTCTGAGGCAGATATGTGGAAGAAATTAAGTTTGATTTATGTTTCCTTTTATTAATCTGTGTGAACTGTTTTGCAGTTTATTGCACAAAATCTGCAACTTCCCTTTTAACCTGGTGCATCAAACTTCAATTCGAGGCTGCAAACACCTGATGCATTCAGAGTCACCTGAGATATTACTGAGAGAGTGACATTAAAATATTCAGTTTCATTCATTTTGACTGATGTCTGACCATTTCCACGTATTTGTGTAATCTAGAGGAAGTCAAGATTGGAGTACAACCCTCGGCCCTCTAATAACACACTGCTACATCCCCACTATCACGCACAGTGATTCACAAAGAAAAAAACCCCACTGTATTTAAGAAAAAAAACTTAGTGCACCAGGCAGTAACACTAAAGCAGGCCTGGTGACAGAGCAATGCAGAAATGTCCACACGTCAACCCAGAGAGGTCCTCACAGTGATAGAAATACAAGCCTCCAGACACACACACAAACATCTATTTAGAAAGAAAACAGAGAGGCAACAAATTATCTGTGAGGGGAATGGGCAGACACTAATAGCTGTTAATTAGAGCTCCTCAGATCGTCTCTGGAGAGAAAGTGCGGCTCACACAATCTGAAGCAAGAAAGACTGCTGCTAATTTCTCCGTTTGACCTGCAACATCCTGTTTCTGTCTGCTGCACTGAGTGTCTGAACTGTCTCAGCTTCACTCAAACACACTGTCTACTGTTGTTTTCTTTGAGTCTGTCCAGAGGTTAAACTCAGGTTCAGCTCAGAGGGCATCAGTCAACAAAGACCTAAAGTTTCTCACTGGAGCTTTAAGGACAATGTGGTTACAGTGTCATTCCAGAGAAAGGCTAAAAATGACAGAGGTCACTTGAATAAGTGAGTAAAACAGACACTGAATCCAATTAAACTGTGATCTACACTGTGAATTCATTATAGAGCGATTACACTGTCTTGTAGCTTTGTGAAAACGTGTTTCTGTATGTAGAGCTCTGCAAAGAAAAACGTCTTTTTTTCGAATAAGCCGTTAAACTGCGTCATCAAATTATTTTCCTGGCAGGGCCGTGACCCCATCAAGCCTCATACAGATACCACAATGTCCTACATATAGTGCTGCTGCATTTTCCAACAACAATGAGCTTCAGACTGAAAAGCTGAATAAAGTTTGTGACTTGATAAGCTTTAGGGCTGCATCTGGATGAGGCTGCATCACACTCTGTCCTGAATCTACCTTTTGCTGGTCTGAACAGTCACAAAAACACCCGAACAATGGCAACAGCTTTGAGACACATCTTTACAGCCGCATGACCAATGTTAAAAAGTGTTTGGTCAGACATGAGAAGTGAAGTTTAGGTGGGTCAGCAATTCAGTTAAAGGCCCACCCTAATGAAAATCATGTTTTTCTTGTTGTCTACATGTTTATATGACATTTTTCTGATGCTACAGGACATATCATGAGAAAAGTAAGTGCGAAATTGCATTTCTGAGTATTTCTGCATTTAAATCGCTGTGAATCTCTGGCAGACCCAAACGGCAGGTTCAGACACAGTGAGATTTCCTATGTAGCAAAACCAAGCTCCGCCCCTGGAGCCCCGCTATGCAGGCCAGACTCAGAGAAATAAAGAGTAGGATCCCAGAACAAGCGTGTGCATTAGCGTATTGCAATGCTTGTAAGAAAGCTTATTATGATATCAACTTCCATCCTGTTCCCAAAGACATTAGTGTTCAGGAGCTGAACAGCTCCTATGTTACCTGCCACTTCTGCTACACCGGCGATGTTAGGCTGCAAGCTAACGTGAAGAGGAGTGAACATGATTTTGGCAAAAAAACTTCATAATCACAATTTAAAGACCACTGAGAACACTTGAAGTAATAAAAAAAAATGGGAGAGGAACTTCAAGTTGTCTGCCAGGTTCACACCACAAATACTGGAGTTGACTCCCCACTTTGGACCCTAAAGTTCACTCACTGCAGAGTGTCTTGGTGTGAAAGTTTGTGCACTGCCTTTGCATGATAAAAACTGCCAATTGCAGGTTGTATTGTCACATGAGTCAAGGTGCATGGATCCACACAAGTCTGCAGATAACACCCCGTAAACAGTGCCACTTCAATTTGTCTCCACCTCGACCTTCTGTCTCCTTCTTACTCTTGATTTAAAAGTCCAAGAATTGACTCTCTGGACCACAATTCATCACCTGGGATGCAGGGTTAGATATTATGAGGTTATTTACCACTGGACATGTAAATTTGTCTTTAGAGATTTTCCCCTTCCATTAATAAAGACAGAGCTTATGTAGACCTGCCAAAACTTCAGGGAATAACAATTCATCACTTTCCATTGACTTTGTACATGACAGTGTCTCTTTGTCACTTTTTGTCTGCCAGCAACAACAGAAGAATGACCCAGAACTGAGTCTATATGAGCCTCCAATTCCAATAACTGAACCTTGATGAAACCAACAGAGCCAGCAGGCAGAGAGACCTGAGTCATCAGCAGGAGGAATGTGAATACCGGAGGATACTGATACTCTGTTATTCCTGCAGTTTTTTCACTGTGCATAAAGATAGATAAAGACTGAAGAGGTGTTTTCAAATCCTACCGCTGTACAGAAATGAAGCCCAATACCCCCAAACTATGAAGAGAGCTGGCTTTATGTGCTTTTAAAGCCAGACTTTGCAGCAGCGACCAGATGGTGGGGCTGCTGTACAAAAGTCCTGCCCCTCACACTGAAATATTTAGATAACGGAAATCTGTTTCTTTTAACCTGCATATATAATAATGAGCCAAAGGGAGGCATTTCACCACAACTATTTGGAAGGAATTTCCAAATTCTTTAAGTTTTCATCAAAGTCCCATTTCTTAACAGGCTTTATGACCTCTTCTGCGGCCAGTCTGTAGGGGTCAGCTGGTGAATGAAAACCAAAGAAAATCTTGGTTGACTAAAACCCAGAAATTCCTTACCAAAAGTCGACTAATGGGGATGGGGGGGGGGGGGGTCCGACTCTGACGGCAAACCCTTCTACTGCGGGGGACGACTGGTATCAGCACAAGAAGACAATAAAACACCAAAGGCTAAAATATTAAATATATATCAAATAAATATTCTGCAAACTACCAGACATTGGTGAACGTGGACGCTCTCCAGTGGGTTGGGCAAATCCAAAATGGTGAAAACAAGGGAGGTGTTCTGAGACAGGCTGTTACCTGTGAAACGGGGGTGCCCTGAAAACACCCCCATTAGCACTTGATTCTACGAATTTGCGCGGTTATTCGGATATTCGTGTAAACAGGGCTGTCCTTACTATCCGTTTAGTAAAAAATATTTGTTTATTCTATAAAAAAAATTAAAAAAAAAACAGGGGAAAAAAGGAAAAAGCGAAAAAAAGCTTTTTTTTTTTCAAATTACGTTTTTACCGTCATGTCTTAATAAAAGTGTGCATTAAACAAGCTAAAATGTGTGGATCATTTGCGTGCGACTCTTTCTGCCTGGCTCGCTGCTCTGGGCTCACAGCACTGGCCTGCAGCATGCATGGCATCGTGGGTTAACTTCCTCAGAGTGAATCAACACATGCAATCAGCCAGAGCGATGTCGGTGAGAAAAAAAGAGCAAAGTTTGGGAGTATTTTGTTTAAGATGAAAATGGCACACAAGTGTCATGCAGATAGTGTCGATGACGCAGCAGGCTGCTTGGCTTGAGCGCAGCGGAGCGGAGCTTAATTGCTTTGATCTTTCACCTACTTTATGTCACTCTCCAGTGCTAAAATAAGATTCTGTAACATATTTTAATATTATAAGCATGGCTTTTACGTACTCTTAATATTTATTTCAGATGGTATCTGGCCATATAGATCGACATGTGCTCAATTTGGGCTATTTTCTGGGAGTTAATTAATTTTCTTGTATTCGAATATTTGGTTTCAAAATTGTCGTTTAAACGTCAATGAAATTAACCGCTGGGAACATCCCTACTTGGTTCATTCCTTCTGATGGAATTAACCATAGACTGTAAATTATCATGGGAAAAAATAATATCGACCAATAAGTTGACAAGTCCAGTGGGACTTTACAGCCCTATGTCAGTGTTAACAGTGAAAATCTGCCAAACAGTGCTTAACAAGGGATCAAAGTGTCCTGGTGAAATATATGAAGGGGATTTTCTTAGTATGGCTAACATTAGTAGAGCACCCCTCTCTTCCCCTTGCAGGTTGTGTATTGAATATCCCTTCGGTGATAAAAAGAATGCTTCTTATCTTATCTTATTACTCTGGTTAAGTTGTTGTGAGTCGTTTTAATCATAATCAACCGAAATACAACTTTAAATTTCTAGACAAACAGCACCCTACCAGACAACACTGGTCATCTGTGCTTGTTCACATCTACACTACAGGCCAAAAGTTTGGAAGCAAGGCCATTACAGGCCGAACAGTTGGGAGTAACTTCAAGTTTTTGTTCACGATGCTTTTTTTAGAATCCAGCATGAGTCGTATGCATTTTGGAATGTATTTACTCCATGATCAGATGTTGCTTTCATGGAAATGCACCATGTTACTCCATTTACCTTTAGATATAAATTGATGTTAACAGACCATTGCTAAATGTATGTCAGCAAAAGATAATAAGGGCTTCGTTTTAGGGTTGAAAACATTTGCAAGAGTCACACTGAGTAAAGAAACAAAAGTACATATTTGTACATTGAGGAAAGAAGGATACACAGAAAGAGAAATTGCAAAACTCCTAAGGGTGTCTAACAAAGGAGTCCACTACACTCTGAAGAGACTAGAGGAACCTGGAAGTTACGATGATAGAAGGCCTGGACGAAAGAGAGTTACTACAAAAGCAGAGGATAAACATATCATTGTCACCAGTAAGAGAGATCAGCGAAAGACAGTGTAACGGAGCCGACCACTTTCACTTTGAATTGAATTGAATTCACTTTGAATTACAACCCTATTCTAGTAGGAATAGTGTAGAAATGTTTAGTTTATCTCTTAATCATTTGTTTAGCTTTGTTAACCGTTAGGTAGTTACTGTTAGTTAATAATCTGAATGTTGGTTTGTAGAATCCATTATTAACTGTTATGAAGTTCATTTACATGTGTTTACCCTTGTGTTGTTCACAGTTCATATGTGTTGCTTTCTGTTTTATTTCAGAATAATTTAACATGATCAATGTTCTTTGAAAAGTGATACACAAAGCATAATGAGAATGTTTGTTAATGTGATTCTACAACTCTTTATCTGTGTTAAGCATCAAATCCTATATTTTGAACCAACCATTCTTTAACATTAATCATAGTGAGTGAATATTTGATCTGACACCTTTACTAGCAGAAGTATAAGTTGGATCAAACAATCAGGGCTCTTGAAAGTCTCCTCTCAAGAAGCTGCAGCCGGAGATCAGGTCCCCCTCCTGTCTCCTCACACCTCAGAGACACTCCCAGTCTGAAGAGTATAAAACCAGTAAAGCTGGGGTGCACGCTCCCACTTTTTCTTCTTAGCTTTTTATCTCTTAGTCTTAATTTTTTTTTAAAGTCTTTTAAGTTTTCCGCCACATGTTCATTCATGTTGATTTTTCTTTACCATCGTCTTAGTTCAAGTTGTGAAACTTTAACTTTTTGTGCGCATAGCAATCCAAGATTAAGCCTTCAATTGATTTTTCTTTAATTTGGCAAAGCCATTTTTGAAATAGTTTCAACTGGTCATCGAGTCTCTTTTTCTTGGTTATCTGCGTGATTGACAAGTCACCTCTGAACGCCACCCAGCAGGCCCAAAGTCATCCTCTGAGCCAGAGTATTGCAGTGAGGCCAAAGAAGCATTCAAAAGGATCCATAAGGCATTGATTTTTGCATTCGGGCCTGTGTGCTGTGACTCCCAGCCTGTCCTTCGTCTGACTTCGGTCCTCTTCAGAGCTGAACCTCTCGAACCGGTAGCCTGGACCTACTGAACCTGCTCCATCTTTTCCAAGGACCAATAATAAAATACTCACTTAAGTATCCAAACCTCCAGAGCCCCAAATAGGGCTGATGCTGTCTCATGCTTCATAATTCAGTTAACCACATCTAAATTTATCTTTACATCAAAGTTAATGTAGGTTAATATGTTAACCGCATATGTTAGCGCATATTCACTCACTATCATTAACTTAATGATGACTAGAAACAAGTTCTCTGGACCGATGAAAGCAAGTTTGAACTGTTTGGTTCAAAACACAGTCTATGTCCGCAGACAAACTGGTGAACATCTGAAAGCACCATGTGTTACACCCACAATTAAGCAAGGAGGTGGTAGTTCCATGGTATGGGATGTTTTGCAGGTGATAGAGTAGGAGATTTGTTTGTAAAGGGTATCATGAAGAAGGAACAGTACTACTCCATCCTCCAGCACCATGCTGTTCCATCTGGACTCAGACTTGTGGGTCATAAGTTTGTTTTGCAGCAAGACAATGACCCTAAGCACTCTGTCAGGGTTACCTAGACAAAAAAAGGAGAGGAAAGTGTTCTTCAAAAGATGGTTTGGCCCCTTCAGTGTCCAGACCTTTCTCCAATAGAGCTAGTGTGGGATGAATTGGATCGATTGGTCAGAAATGCGCGTCCCACAAATCAGCAGTACCTTTTAATGAACTTAAGAAAGCTTGGAATGCAATCCCTGGAACATACCTTAAAAACTTGTGGAACGAATGCCTGGTATATGCCAAGCTGTTGTTAAAGCTACAAAACTCAAATACCTAATAATTATAGCCAAAATGTCTTCTGATAAGTTACTCTTTACACAATAGTCATGTTTATTGTGTTGCAAAGTATATTAATGAAACTATGATCTTTTTTTGTATAAATCTGATCTTGCTTCCAAACTTTTGGCCCGTAGTGTAGGTCGTGGAGCATTACGGCATAATGGCAGTGCACTTAAGTGGAGCTGCAGCCCTGGGTAGTGGCAGGTGTCTGTGCTGCTGCTTAGACACAACATCCCCAGTAGGGAGAGCTCCACGTGTTTTAGTTTCACACATGGGGAGCTGTTACGTCGTCTAACACTTTATACATCTTTGGTCCAGATAAACTGGAGAGAATAGGTGATAAAATAATCCTTCATAGACTGCAATCTTGTGTTTTTATTATTTAACAGTCATTCTGTGAGCACTTCAGTTATTGGCTGCATATAGTCGCCCAGATTCACTCCACAGCAGATGTAATTAATAGAGAATGACTCACAGCACTCTGTCTCTAAAGCTTGGAGTATAGTGCTTTAAGATATCTGGACCATTAAGCCACTGTGAGCAATAAGACTGAAAATCACATAATAAGATGTTTTATATCACTGAGATCCCATTTGTGAGATTCACCATAAATTCATCTCATTAGGCAAATTTATTTTAATTTGCAGCCGACAGATAAACAAAGAGGCTGTGATTATACTGCATTAAACACCACTGAGATCACATTAGAAGTATTTCCACCCGCTCCTAAGAATAAGACACACATCTCAAACCAGAATGCTGCAAAAGGTGTGGCCTTATGAATGTGGACTGTTCAGTGAATGCAGCACGCAGTCATATCTGAAATCTGTGCAATATGGGGGCGAACGCCGAGAAAACTGGAGCAAGGCACTGACTCATTCTACTCACGTCAAGAGGCCAAGTTCAGAGGGAAGTCTATTTAGGCCCTCATCCATCTTCTGATTATCCACACAGATACACACACACACACACACACACACACACAGGGACCAGCGTGCAACCTAATAATACTATCCACTCTGTCTTTGTGTGTGTGTGTGTGTCTGTGTGTGTGTGTGTGTGTGTGTGTGTTTATTATTTAGTCATCACATGTATAATATCTGCATTACTTCTCTGTCTGTTTTGTGTGAGTGTGTGTGGTATCACAGTCAAACCACAGCGACAGTGTGAAGAATTTAAAGACCTATAGAGTGACTTCTTAAAGCTTGAAAGTGTGCTTGCCATGATTTAACTTATTTCCTACAGATCCCAATAAAATAAATAAAAAGTACATAAAGTTTTTTTAAAAGCTATAGAAAGCATCTGTATCTGCTGCATTGTTGTCTTTTTGCACCACATAACATTAATATTGCGTGTACAAAAAGTACAAATTTATCAATACAGCAATCTGGAAAAACAAAATCATCACAAAAAGCTCTTTAGTCAGTTTTGGAAACTCAATTCTCAGTGCTAACGTCTTTGACTCGATGTCAACAATCAGGAGTAAAAGGTGACTGAACTATTTTTCTGTGGGTTGACTTGATATGACAAGCTGTTTTCATTGTGCAGAATTCATAATCCCTGTCACGGGATTTTGACCAACTAGAATAAATTATACTCTAAATGTCTAAATACAGCAACAGTGCTTTTTTTTTTGTTTGTTTTTTTTTAACTGTTTATTAGCTCTTAAAAAACACCACATTTGCATGGTTGCATTTTTGCATCTACTCACATTTCTGATAAAAATTGCAGAATGAAAACTTAATGTATTACAAGCTTTAAAAATATCGCAGTAGCAGGAGTTGGAGTGTTTGAATGTGGACAGTTTTCACATTGTTTAGCTGTTTTGTTTGGTCCAGCCTAAGCTTCCAAACCTATGAGCTAACTTTGGGAAAATGTCCTCTGAAAAGACTTTATAAGACTTCATTGTGTTCTCATCTCAAACACCTGAAGCAGCAGAACGATGTTCTTTGTCCAACACAATGTCTTAAGGAGTCAGTTTGAGACGTTCCTGAAGTGGTCTTTACTGAAAAAAAGACTCAAATAGACCAAACTGTGTCTGACTGGTGCTAAATGCATCCTCACACACTCATTACACTGATGCCTTGCCATCTTTATTCTGGAGGTGGGTCACACCCTGTACAGCAGCTTGTCTGGACTGCTTTAGAAAGGTGCCAAAACCTTCAAATCAAAGACAAAGTGGCCATAAAGGTCCTGAAAAATGACCCTGATTTGGTCCAGGATGCAAAGAAAGAGGCAGATTTTCTGGACTCTTTTTGAGTCTTATAACATATTAGCAGAGAGAGGTGAATGATACTGAAGCTCAGGACAAAACAACTGATCTCCCTGACTTCTTACACTGCAGATGTGGTCTGTTCCTTTAGAAAAATCACAGAAGAGCAAACACTTGTCCTGTCTCCTCTTTTCTCTCCTGGTGTCTATCTTAAAGGTCATCTCTGTTCTTAATCCAGACGCCATCAATACTGTGAAGTTCTTGAGGCATTTTGATCATCTGGGACAAATCTGCCTGGCATTTGAGAATTTGAGAGGCTTGTTATCAATCTGTATGATCTGGTGGTTAACCAAAACTGGAAACCACCGCCCCTGATTCAGATCAGACCAATCACAAAGCAGGTAGTTACCACTGTTGTATGAAGGCAATTATCGGCTGTATTATTGATAAAGAAGGGCCTCCAATCTTGATCCCTGACACAGGGTACAGGTAGGTTTATACTGCATCGCTCATTCTCATCCAAACATCCTTGTCATCCTCTTGTTTCCTCAAGGAGTGACCCGTAAACACATGTTTGGAGTAAAATGAAAATTAAAGAAAAAAGGGAAGAAAAAGGAATGAAGGAAAAGCAAAAAGGGAAAGAAAAAAGGTAAAAAGGAAAGGAAGGTAAGAAAGAAAGCAGAGAGAGACTAAAAACAGGAAATATATAAAAGAATAAAAGAAAAAGACAAAAAGGAAAAAAAAGGATTAAAGAGAGGACAGAGAGAAAAAAGAAACTTGGTGATTAGCAGACACACATGTGCTGATACTTTCCTTCATTTATAACAAACTCTGTATAAACAGAACTTTGTCTCAGTGGTGTCACCTGCTGTTTTCCGATGCCTTTCAGCAGCAGATGCCAAATTAAAAAATGTCGACCCAATCCAACTCTCCTTTAAACCTGGGTGTTCACCTGAACAATAAACTGGACTGGGCTCATGACACTAGACACTTTACAAAAAAGGACAGCACAGACTCTATCTGCTCAGGAGGCTGAGGTCTTTTGGGGTGCGGGGGGCACTCCTGAAGACCTTCTATGCCTCTGTGTTGGCCTCTGCCATTTTCTTTGGAGTGGTCTACTGGAGGAGCAGCATCACAGCAGCTGACAGGAAGAGGCTGGACAAACTCATAAAGAAGGCCAGCTCTGTCCTGGGATGACCTTTGGAACTTGTGGAGGAGGTGGTGGAGAGGAGGATCACAGCCAAACTGTCCTCCATGCTGGACAGAGACTCTCACCCCTTCCAACACACACTTACTGCACTGAGGAGCTCCTTGAGGGATAGGATGCTCCACCAAAAGTGTGTGTCAGAGAGGTATCGCAGGTCATTCCTTCCTGCAGCTGTCAGACTCCACAACAGAAACCTCAATGTGCAATAAACCCTAGTATTATGTAAATTCTGTACAGATCTAAATATGACACATGCATGTATCTTGTTTTAACTCAAAGTTACTTTATTTTTTAATTTTTGTCTTTTTTGTATCTATACTATGCTGCTGTAACTTTGAAATTTCCCCGTGTGGGACTAATAAAGTGTTATCTTATCTTAAACTTAATAATAATAATAATAATAATAATAATAATAATGCATCAGATTTTATAGTGACCCTCAAAGCGCTTTACATTGGATACATCATTCATTCACTCACACAGTCATACCTCGGTGGTGGTAAACTACCTTAGTAGTCACAGCTGCCCTGGGGCAGACTGACGGAAACATGGCTGCCAGTTTGCGCCTACGGCCTCTCCAACCACCACCACACACCACTCACATTCATACACCAGTGGAGGACATACACCGGGAGCAAGGTGGGTTAAGTGTCTTGCCCAAGGACACAATGGACAGACCAGGGACAGGACGGGGCTCGAACCGCCAACCTTTCAGTTATTGGCCGACCGCTCTACCTCCTGAGCTACTGCCCTTAGAGAAGGGGAAGTGGAGGCAGGCCTTGAGCCTCACTGTTAACAGCTGCAGTTTACACACCTGTCAGTCAAGTCAGCCGTGTCTCTGATGCTGCAAAAATCATGAACTCAATTACTTAAAGCCAGGTTTATGAGCCTTATAATCAATGAACATGACACCTTAAGAGGGTCTTATTTATTATGTATTACACCTTAATGCAAAACTAGAGACGTCATCCTTTAAATTCAGGGTTTTGAAGCGCATTATAACTCCAATAACATCATCCAGTGATAAGAGTTCATGGAGAACTCAGTCAGAGTAACAAATGAGTCTTAATTCCTATAATCCTCAAATGAAGCTTTTTAAATGGGTGTGCATGTGGTTTCTGGTGCTTCTGCAGACAGCCTCAAGAAGGGACTTGAGGAACTGCAGTTTTAAGCACTTCAGCATCGGCTCCACTTATCGAGATCAGGGGTTGCTGCTTGGCACAATGATTTGTTTTTTAACAAGAGCAGAAGCTATTTTCAACACATTAGCTCTGCAGAAGCACTCTGTGCAGCTCCAAACGGGCAGATTTAGACTCGATGCATGTTCATGTCTTCACCACATCAGTTTAATCATGTCAGCTGCTTTAATTCAAACTATTTTAATGAGGTTGAAGAAAAACTACACATGCAAACAAAGCTATCAACAGTCTGGTCTAAAACAGGTCAAAGCAACAGGTCATACCTCGTTTACGTTGATGCCGTGTTTCCTCATATAGTCTCTGTCGTTCACCTGACCCCCCTCTGCAAACTCCATGGTCAGGATCCTGTTTGTGGACAGATGCCAGTGGATCACTGGAACCTGAGGAGAGAAAGAGAGGACAGAATGTTTATTAAACTTCTGGATAAAGTTTGATTAGGTCCACAACTCTATCATTATCTTGTGTTTTACTCTGAGCTTTCTCTCTTCTCTACCTGCAGGAAAACACAGTTTCTTCACCGGTTTGACAGCTGAACATACAGGTGTTTGTGGAGACTTTATAAAGCAGAATCAGACTGTGAGTTTATGTTGAGTCAGAGGTTTCTGTCGGGTTTAACCAAAGACTGTATATACTATGGACAACTTGGTTCCGCCTTCCATCATTACACAAATTTAAAGCCAAATTGCTCTCAGTAATTCCCGGGATTTTCTCCACTTTCTGGAACCACTACATGCGCAGTAGCGTTGTACGCATTCAGCAAGAGAGTTGCTGTGATGACGCTCTGCTTAAACAGCGTAACCTCCGGGTGTGCTACGCAATCTTTGTACGCCCATAGGCTGTAGCAAGTATCAATGATCGAAAACATGAACCCCCTAATAACTTTTAAAAATGGAGCTGCACAAAAAAAAACAGGACTTGAGCACAAACCATTTCAACATCACAAGCAGGGGGAGAGAAATGTATATTCTGTGTAATTAATTTCTAAAGTTTGTCCACGACTCCATAGGGATTGCTGAAGGAGGTGGGATTTATGACCTATACTGCAGCCTGTCACCAGAGGGTGCTGTTCTCGGGGTGGCTTCACCCAGCGAGGAGGCAGACGGCGTGCATTCTATATACAGTCTACGGGTTTAACATTAGAAATGGACGATGACATGAAAGTAGGTCAGCTGCTTTTTGAAGTAAACTTGATGTAACTGTCTTGCCTTTCCTGAACTTGACTGATAGTGTTTCACAAATGCTGTTACTGTAGCTTTTGCAAGATGAAAATCTGATAACCTGACAGACCAAAAATTATCCTCAACCTTGATTGATCCCAGAGATGTTAAGTTTAAACAAAAAGCAATAGTAGAAATAAAATTACACTGTGTCCATGAGAGCTAACTGGCTGACAAGTAGACAGTCATACCAGTCTCATGATGTGGTGCGACAGTCTTAGTATGAACTCAGTTAAATGCATTGAAAATGTCTAAAACGGAGCCTGTCAGATAACCTGAGTCCTCCTCCTCCTCCTCTTTTTCATCTCAGCACAGTTAAAGCAGGCTTCAAACAATCCTCCTTTCTCTGGGACCCTGATTAGTTTTTATACACAACTCTCAGATTATATAACTCTGTGTGTGTGTGTGTGTGTGTGTGTGTGTGTGTGTGTGTGTGTGTGTGTGTGTGTGTGTGTGTGTGTGTGTGTGTGTGAGATAGCATCCGGATTATTACGCATTCAAGTTTCCCTTTCTGTATACAACAAAGGCTCCTCCATATTTAGCTCAGTACTTCGTCGTCCCTCATGGCGTCACTGTTGTTGACTACTGTTCATTGTTTCTACGTCCAAAGGAGAGAGAGAGTCACTGACATGACTTTTAAACCACTCAGCTGTCTACAAAACATGCTGTGTCAGATATTAATAATACCTCTATTAATCAAAACATGTTTGAAAAGATGAATGAGCTCTGGTTGGATCTCTACAAGGTCCTGAAAGTGAAACTCATTTCATTCAGGCTGAGCTGGGCCTCTGACAGATCATCAGCATCCATTAAACAATAAATATCAGCCAGAAGACTCATTCAATAAGAACATGACTAAAAGTGTTTCTTAAAGTGGGCTCATTTACTTTCTTTATTTGGGTCAACATGACTAATAAGGAGGACAAGTGTCGAATAGGCTCCTGGAAAATGGTCTCAATCAAAAGAAGTCCACCATCAAAGCTTGTTCTGTGTCCTAAAGGGCTCAGTTTGAAAATTAAGAGTCTAAGATCATTTCAGATATGATCTTGAGAGAAACAGGCTAGTCTACAAAAAAGAATAATATTTTGTAAGAGAAAGAGCTAATACTGGATCAGTTTTAGGGACGCTTGCCTGCAGAGCACCCCAAAGATCTGTAATAGGATCAAATATGTTCATATTTCCAGTGTGACATTTGAAGTAAAATAAGGTAAACTGGTCCAATTTGCAGAAGAAAGAAAAACAAAAGAGTTCAGTTTCTGTTTTTACACACAACAGAAGCAGCTATTAATTTATCTTTTAGCAAGTTTGATTTGGTTTTATACCTGCTCTTACCTTGCTTTTATCCCAGAGGTTAACTATTTACTCACCACAGTGTTATTAATTTATGAGTGTCATCGATAAATGTCATCAGCTTGCTGAAAAACAAAACTACTTACAAGTGCAAACAATGTCCCTTGAACATTTTGGTAGAGGCACCTATGACTTTGTTTTTATTTTCTGTAGATATTTATAAAAGCACACCTCAATTACAAAAGGTATATAACCAGCCAAATAAGATTCAAACTGTGTGGCATCTGCAGCAGAAACTTCTCACAGTATCTGAACCATGTTTCTAAATCTCTGACAAAAGTTGAACTTTTGAAATAAAGCGCTGATCAAAAACACAAGGTTGCAGTTTTTTTCTTCATACTTCGGAGATTCATGGAAGGTGTTAAGGAGAAGTTTTGGTCAACTCTTGTGCTTTGTGGTATTTGCAAAGAGTTTTTCATTCTGCAGAGTTTTATGTCTCAGTCCCATACCATTTTATACAATTAAAAAGTTCAGCATAAAACAGAAGCGAATCACAGAAAAAAAAAAGAGGAGGAATTGGAGAAGTTTGAGCCCTCTGGGAGTGAACACGTAACAAAGATGGGCTGCAAGAAAGAGGAGTCCAAATCACATTCAGCAGAGCTAATAAAAGTTCTCACACAGGCATATTAAGAAAAAGGACACCAGGAAATTAAATGATAATTGACGTGAAGTCCAACTCTGTTGGGTAAAAGAAAATGATTTGCAGTGTTCAGCTATCCCCCCTCTGTTCGAAAGACAACAGACAGTGAGTCAGTGGCCCAAAATCATCTGAACTCCATTAACTGTCTTGAGCAGCTGTTTGATTTTTTAGGCTTTGAGTCAAACGGACTCTGATTGTCACTGTTTGTTTCTGTTTGTGTGTGTGTGTGTGTGTGTGTGTGTGTGTGTGTGTGTGTGTGTGTGTGTGTGTGTGTGTGTGTGTGTGTGCGTGCGTGCGTGTATGCGTGTATGCGTGTGTGCGTTAGTGTGTTAGGAATACAGTTAGGAATAAATCCCTCTGTGAGCATTGTGGATCTGCTGTTAAAATGAGAATCAGAAGTCCAAGTTAGTACCTTGAGAAAAGGGAAGTGCCCCAGCATCTTGGCGACCTGCTCAGCGTTGTGACCCTCATTAAGGAAGTCCAGCTCCAGCGGCATGTTCTTCTTGGCCTCCTCCACCAGCCACATGAAGGCGAAGTCCGGGAACAGCCAATGGACCGCCCGCAGTAACACCTTGAGACCACAAATCACAATCAGCCTCACTGTCATGTACAATAAAACAGGCCTGAATGTACAGTCCTGTCAGTGGCTGACACTGGACGCTGTAATAAATTTGGTGGAGGAAAAGTGACTGAGAGCTCATCATTTTGAAAGTCTGAGTGCTAAACAACCTTAATTTAAATAAATCTGCTCTGTTGAGAAGTTTACCAAACTGGTATTAGCCACAGATGATATGTTCTGCTCCAAATCAAACCAAAGTCAATAAAGATAAAGAAAAATAATTAACACTTTAACTATTTGGTTTAAAACAAAGAAAAACAGATTTCCTCTTGATATAAGTCGGTGAGTAAGGCTCACTGACTCAGAGCCCTCAACTCCTCCTGACTTCTTCACTTCGCTGTAGTTCAGACAAACTCACCTCCATCACCACAATGTCCTTGGAGCTTTGTCTCTGCACTTTGGGGTGTTGGACCTTGACGGCCACCGTCCTCCCATCATGCAACACTGCCTTGTGGACCTGGGCTAAGGAGGCTGCACCCTGAGGCTTCTCTTCAAAGGAGACAAATAACTCTGACAGCTGCAGGGGGGGTGATAAATAAGACAGGAGGAAAAGGGGTGTGAACCTTAAAGTGGGAGAGAAGTGCGGCCATCAATCCCATCAGCTCTGTTTACAAGCTATTATTAGATACTGTAGAAAATAAGGAGGCTAAACAAGGGGGATCAACCTGTGGACTAGAGTGATTCATTCTCTCCATCATCTCTGCTCAGAGAAGGTAGAGAGTGATGTTTAGATTTGGATTTATTCACTTTCAATTCTGCTTTCATGGTTACTCTTTTTCAGTGAGACATCAACTTTTCAGCATGCACATGGGTCAATGTTGTAGTCTGACTTACAGGCTGATTTTCAGGACTGGTGACTCAACTTGGACTGGTGCATTGCAGACATGGACTCATACCAAGACTCGGGCATTAACTGTTGTTATGCTTGTTTAGCGCATAAGGTCCTTAGAGTTTATTCAGTTTAAAGAGAGGGCTGACAAGTGTGCTCACCTGCACTCACATTGTGTGTTTTGCCTGCAAAGATTTTACAGAAATTTTAGGGATAAGAACAGAGCAACATGTTAGAAATATAAAAGAACTATCCAGGAAAGAATGAGGATGAACACAAACTTTGAAAGAGGTCCGTTGAGGTGCAGCCAGAAAAGAGAGCAAGATGCTGTTACCCTAAAGTTACCCTAGTAAGTTACCCTAAACTCTTGATAAGCATGCTAACAATAACATCAGCCTCTAAAGAGAGTTACCCATTGGATGCAAGCTGTTTAGATAGCTCAAATTTTGATTAAATTTTCCTTATGCATCAAAATAAAAAGGAGATGATGTTGTTCCCCAAGTTCTCAGTGGTACAACAGAAAGATGGTCCAATACTTAAGTATCTAGAATAACATCCTGAAAAACTAACCCGCAACAATATCAGTTAGGCTGTAGGGACTTTTAAGTGTGTTGCACCTGTAAAACCCATGAGTGTGTCTCCTTACTAAGAGATCAACAACGCTTATTTTGCTTCTTTATATCTGTAAACGAATAAAACTGAATCAGTTTAAAGGTGAAGCTCAATAAAGAAGAATCAGTTTAAAAAAAATGAATTTCACAAGGTAAAAATATGTTTTTTTAATTCTCGCTTATTCAAATTTTATGCTTCACTTTTTTTTTCCTGTAAAAACACTTTGATTTCATCTCACGGTCTCCAAAGTCTGCTTATGTAAATACATTATGTGCAGATTTACAGGGGAGATTTAAGATCACTGATGATATGAGTTAGACTGAATAAAACATTAAAACATGGCATTTCAATTTAAATGTAAAGGGAGTAAATTTGTTTTTCTTCTTGAACCCCAATAAGTGTTGCTGTGGGATTTTTTTCCCTTCATTTCTTTATATTTTCTTTTTTCTTTTTTCACAGTTTTATCACGTTTTTTACATGTTCGAGGACTTTATCTCTCTCCTGCTTTCCTTGAAGTTTCCCTCCAAGCCTCCATTGTTCAAATCACTTTGTTAAAGGTGAAACTTAAATATCAGAGTCTGAGGAGGTTAAAGAAGCGGAGCAAACGGTAGTGTGCAGAACCTCAGTAAAAATGTCAGAATTGACTCATATTAGATCCAAAAGTGCCACAGCTCTGCAGACCAATGTGTTTGCATTTTAAAGGTTAAAAGTCTGTCTGACTTATTCTGGTGGATTTTTATCTAGAGATGTCCAATAAAAAGGTTTGTCTCTCCCTCTTTAGATCCTGCAGCAGGACCACTCTCCTCATCTTTCAATCTGTACTTTTTCTTGTATTTTGTTTTAAAGAAAGGTTATTTTAAATGCAAATCCAGCTTATAATGCAGGTTTAATACACGTGTGCATTTGTGTATATACAGTGCATCCGGAAAGTATTCATACCACTTCACTTTTTCCACATTTTGTTATGTTACAGCCTTATTACAAAATGGATTAAATTCCGTCTTTCCCTCAAAGATTCTACGCAAAATATCCCATAATGACAAAGCGAAAAACTTTTTTTTGAACATTTAGCAAATTTATCAAAAATAAGACACTCAAATGTTGCATATACATAAGTAAAAATATCTGCTGCATTGAAGATCCCAAAAAGCACAGTGGTCTCCATCATTAAGAAATGGAAGATGTTTGGAACCACCAGGACTCTTCCTAGAGCTGGCCGCCCAGCCAAAATAAGCAAGCGGGCGAGAAGGGCCTTGGTCAGGGAGGTGACCAAGAACCCGATGGTCACTCTGACAGAGCTCCAGCGTTCCTCTGAGGAGATGGGAGAACCCTACAGAAGGACCACCATCTCTGCAGCACTCCACCAGTCAGGCATTTATGGTAGAGTGGCCAGACAGAAGCCACTTCTCAGTAAAAAGCACATGACAGCCCACTTGGACTTTGCTAGAATGCACCTGAAGGACTCACCAACCAGGAGAAACAAGGTCTCTGGTCTGATGAAACGAAGATCGAACTGTTTGGCCTGAATGCCAAGCGTCATGTCTGGAGGAAACCAGGCACCACTCACCACCTCGCCAATACCATCCCTACAGTGAAGCATGGTGGTGGCAGCATCATGCTGTGGGGATGTTTTTCAGTGGCAGGAACTGGGAGACTTGTCAGGATCGAGGGAAAAATGAATGCAGCTAAGTACATCGAAATTCTTGATGAAAACCTGCTCCAGAGCGCTTGAGACCTTCGACTGGGGTGACGCTTCATCTTCCAGCATGACAATGACCCTAAGCACACGGCCAAGAAGACAAAGGAGTGGCTTCAGGACAAGTCTCCAAGAATGTCCTTGAGTGGCCCAGCCAGAGCCCAGACTTGGACCCAATTGAACATCTTTGGAAAGACCTGAAAGTAGTTGTGCACCGACACTGCCCAGCCAACCTCACTGAGCTTGAGAGGATGTGCAAGGAAGAATGGGGGAAAAACTCCCCAAATCCAGGTGTACCAAGCTTGTTGCATCATACACAAGAAGACCGGAGGCTGTAATCGCTGCCAAAGGTGCTTCGACCAAGTATTGAGTAAAGGGTGTGAATACTTATGTATATGCAACATTTGAGTGTTCTTATTTTTGATAAATTTGCTAAATGTTCAAAAAAAAGTTTTTCGCTTTGTCATTATGGGATATTTTGGGTAGAATTTTTGAGGGAAAAAATGAATTTAATCCATTTTGGAATAAGGCTGTAACATAACAAAATGTGGAAAAAGTGAAGTGGTATGAATACTTTCCGGATGCAGTGTATATATAGTATGAGTATGTGTCTGTGGGTATATACATGTGAATACAGTTCATATACATTTTCCTCTCCTGACACTAACTTTAAAGTAAACACTGTTGTTTTATTAACACAATTATGATCATGAGTTTTACTTTTTTTTCTTGAAAAAAGAGAAAAGTTTGAGAAATAACTGATGTGGTGTTTTCACTCGAACTCAACGATAATCTGTTTTTCTTCACAAAATTAATCACAATAAGAAGTGCAAAAAAAACTAGTGCACAACACTGTGCTTAATTCAGGAGGACCAGAGTAATTACAGAAGCCCGACTGATGTTTTTTTTGGCTGTGTGAGCAATTTCCTCGGCAAAAACATTAGAAAATAAACATAAAGAGTCAGAATAAGATTTTAAACGCTGACTGTTTGCAAGAAAACAAAGATAAGTGGGAATAGAAGAAGTCAGACAAAGACTCTGGATCCAGGTACAGACGATGAGGGAAATGTGCAGTGTGAGATAAGAGGAATATTCATTATGAAATAAATATATATGGAAGAAAACTCTGGGTCTGATGCTGCAGCAGTAAAGACACTGTTGCCTTTGATACACTCAGCCCACCTCCAAATCTCTTATCACAGTGCTGAGCTATTAGCATCAAGGGAGCCCTCTGAGCAGAGGTGGTCCCTCATTAGCTTCCACTCATCTCTGTGGACACAGTGAACACACACATGGAAAGCAGCGTGTGGGTTTGAAGGTTAAACGGGCCTCCTGAGGGACCTGGAGTCATTAGGACTGACTTATTGTGTGCTTTAGAGCCTCCACGTTTACCCTGAGGCCGTCCTGCAGTACAGAAACAAACCTGTCCACTGAGTGAGGAGGGGGAGGAGGGACACGTCTGCAAGAGTGTACCACATGAAAGTCTGTTAGCTTTCAGCAGGACAACAACACAACAGGCTCATCATGAGTCATCAGCACCATGTTTTACAAATCAGTTTGATAAGAGTGAAAATTTAGAGACAAACGTTGCATCAGAGGTGTGCTTACGTTTTCTGCCCATCCAGTGTGACCTCTTTATTACTCACTCAAACCATCACCTCATAACTCAGACTGGCATGTGATTGGCTCGTCTGAACTAAGATGTAAAGCTGGGAGAGAGACTGAAGGTGTTTCATATTCATACTTCAGACTGTGCCGTGGGAGGGAATTCCCTGCTGTCGCTACCTTGTGAAACATCAAGAGAGGCTAATTTGAACACCATGTTGGCCCATCAGGTAGATGCTGAACATGAGCCCTGCAGAAGATGCCATCGGATGATAAATTATGCAAGCAGCTCGGGATCCTTTGTGGGAACAGCTGAGTTCCTCATTATGTAAATATGTTAAATGGAATGAAATTGTCTGCACCCTGGAGTGTCTCACACCACGACCAGGGAGATCCAGAGGGATCTGACATGCATAAAGAGTTTTCATGGGTTAAGGAAACATGTCATTTCTCTGGTGGGCTCGCCACTTTTAGCAACAATAAGGGATCCCAGTGAAATTTGCCATTTTCCCTTTAAAATATTCCCAGAAAATTCATGTTTTTACTCATTTGAATGTGTCACCGTCCACTGCTGCAGTTTTCTTATGATGCGAGTACAAACACTCTGATCTCGGCTCATGTTAATCTCAGCTGTGGAGTTAATAAACATGGTAATGTATGTGTGGGTCCGCTCCCACTGGGCAGACCAGCAATGACATACGTTCCCAGAAATGAGTTATGGCACAAATAAAACAGCCCCTGAGGCCTCAGCGTTGGATGGGAACATGGTGGTGTCTGTGTCAGCGCAGTGAGGTGGCCGTTTGGGCTGCTGGCGGACGGCCACAGCCCCAGCTGGAAGAAGACACATAAATCATTACAGTGCAGAGGAGGAGAAATGAGAGAGAGTATTTTACTGAGAAGAGGAAATCAAAGCTTTCGGAGTAAAAACTCCTGCATCCTCTCTGAAGTGTCTAAATGTGAGGCTCAGGGTCACTTCATTAAGGAGGAGGCTGTGCATGTGCACTTTGTTCATGCAGAGTGAACTGTGCATTTCCACACCAAGGACAATCATTTAGTCATATCTAAAATGCAAATTTGAAACCTTTAAAAATGTTTCCAAATGCAGAAAGAAAGAGCTTCACTGAGCTGGAGCATCCACGTCTTTACTGTGCATTTATCAGGTTTCATTGAAATAATTAACTAACTTTTTAAAAGCACTTAAATACACTCTAAATGTGCATGTTTAACCATTTTTCTGGGCTTATTTTTAGAAGTGGAGCTCTGGTGTTTTGGGACCACTTGACTGTGCACGGCCAGAGGGGAGGTATTATTCAGCTCGTGGCTGTGGGACGGTGGCACAGTTCGTTCTTTCAGACACAATAATACTCCTGGCTGGGGGCCAGCTGGTTCCAGCTGTTACTACAGCAGACTGAGGCCTCCATCAGTAGGAACCGATTGATGGTGGAAAAACAAAGAATTGGAAACAAGTTTGAAAACTCAGAGCTGAAACAGACTCTGAATTTCAAACTGAACTGGCTGTTGTTTCCCTTTTCAGTTGAAGGTAGGACTGCATGGTAAGTTATAGTAAGTTCTTCAGAGGAAACCTCAGCGTCTTCTGCATGAACCTGCTCTGCAGCTGTAGAGGCTGTAAGTTAACGCTGTCCCTCTGTGTGCATGTTCACAGGTAAAAGCTCCTTCATGCTCATCAAACAGGCTGAAATTCATTTGGATGCCTTTTCGTGATAACCAGAAGAAAAGCAGACCAGCAGCAACAAGACTGACGGTTTTTATGTTGTCGTTTTTTTAACACTTGAAACCACCAATATGAAAAACTAATTTAAAAGCAGACTGGAGGGGTCCTGTCCTGAAAAAAGCTACAGACCAAAATAAGGACCAAACAGGCTAGCATAAGCTCTTTCTGACAAACGCTGCTCAAAGAAATAATACAGATGACAACAAACACCACCTGATGACTGATTTATTTGTGTTTTTACTGGTTTAAATAATAATTCTAGGGTGTAGTGTGTTATGACTTTATCAAAACTATAATTTATAAAACTCTAGAAAGATGATGCACCAAAGATGAAGTTATTTTCTTTAAGACCAGAGTTTATGTTCTGTAATCGTGTGTGTATCTGCAGAGGTCTTTTCTTCAACATTTTATTGCTTCAGTCATGCAGTGCTGGAGATCCACAGATGGAGTAGATGAGTAGAGACAGTCACTTTCTATCCTCTGCTCTTCGATGTCTGCATAAAACTTAAAAACCATGTTTGCATCACAATGAGATGCTAAAAGGACTAAAATGTGTCTTTAAAAGAGCTTTAGGTCACACTGTAAACTAATTGTTTACCACACTTTTGCACTTTGCAGAGTTGTGGAATTCTGGTCTTACATATTGCAGCAGAATTGCAATGAAATAATGTCCTATTTTATACTTTGCTTACTTACAGTGACGCACCCTCTTTAACTTGATCAACCATCACTGTTCCCTCTCTTTCACCAAAAACTAAACGTTACAGTAGTTTAATTAAGCATGGTATTAATGACCCACTCTGATGAAAATCATGTTTTCTTGCTGTCTACATGTTCATATGGCATTTTTCTGATACAACAGGACATATCATGAGAAAACTAAGTGCAAAATTGCATTTCTGAGTATTTTTGCATTCAAATTGGTGTGAACCTCTGGCGGCCAGAACAGCAGGTTCAGACACAGTGAGATTTTCTGTATCACAAGTCCATGATTCTACCCCAAATCTGTAGGCCAGACCCCAAGAAGTAGGGAGGGCAAAGCTAATTATGATATTAACTTTCATCATGTCCCCAAAAAAGACATTAGAGTCCAGGAGCTGAATAGCTCCTGTGTTACCTGCTACATCGGCAATGTTAGACTGCATGCTAGCATGAAGAGGAGTGTGCAGAGCAGCGCTGTCTCCACCCCCGACTCAGAGGCACTACTGGAGCTCTGAAGGAGAAAAGTCCTTGAAAATGACACAGGTAACATGACTTTAGCTAAAAACTTCATAATCCTAATTTAAAGACCACTGAGAACACTTTAAGTAGTAAAAAAAAAAAAAAAAAAAAAAAAAAACGATCAGAGTGGGACTTTCATATTATTGGAACTTTAACAACTTCAGGAGAGGGGCTGTCATTTAGAGATGTTGTGATTGCAGCCTTTCATGCTTTTTCTTTTGCTTAAACGCGGTTTAAAAGCAGAAATCTTGAGTCCACTTCAGCATTTCAAACAGGATGGTTAGAGACCTAACTTCAGTGGCCTTCAAAACACTGTACGAAAATACACAATAACCTAGTCGCCGTGAAATCTGAATAAAGCACTGTTGTCCTGCTAGCTCTTGAACCTCCAAGTCCTTGAAAAGACCCCAAGTTCTCCAGATGCAGTTTGTGTGACTTAAGTTGTGCCTCAGCACCAGCTCAGCATAAAGTTCAGATGTCTGGAAACAGATTCTGCTCTGTAAAACGACATATTGCGCAAGTTGGCCTTTCAGCAGTTTCACTGTGGAGGGGAAATGGCAGCCAGAGCGAAGGCACGGCTCTCCAAAGCCACGCACAGTGGGAATGCATATGTTGCCACAAATGGTGCTGAAAACAGCTCGGTGCTGCACCCTCCTCACTACTCTCTACTTGTATATCCAACAGAAATGAGAATAAATACACATGTGAATAAGGGAGCATGTGTAGCTGCAGGAAATGATGCTGAAGCTGACTTCAGAGCTGCCTAGCACCACTCATCAGAGTCACTTCTTCTCCCAACACTCCAGAAGAGAGGAGGGCTGATTCACTCTGCTGCCGTCTTTGTACACAGAGGAGATATAGCTCCATCTATTCAGGCTAATGATGAGCCGCACAAATACAGCAGGAAATCACACTGAATGCACACCTTCATTTAAAAGAAAATGAAGAAGATGGAAGAGAAATTCTGCAGAAGTGGTTTGAATTACAGGGTGCAACTTGTGTTGACTGTGATTGACTCATGTTCATCTTATTAACACACTCCTATTGGTTTGTAATTGTTTTATAAGGTTTAAAATGAAACCTTATAAACCTTATTATAAAAATTTATGCTTTTCAGACTCATTTCCCTTTTGCAATATTTTACTTTTGGGCTTTTTGCATGACTTTACTGATACTAAGAGCTAGTCATTTCCAAGTGAAGCAGTTTGGAAAAGTTGACTGAAGCTGCTGACCTTTAAAAAAGATAGATGATATTCTCTCAATGGGAGTAACAAAAAAGAGTTTGAATCTCTTTATTACATTTGTAGGAATTCAAAAAACTACAAAAATCACCTTAATTTACCATTTTAACACAGTTCACTTTAAATTCAAGGCTCCTTTACGTTTTACAGAAGTGCTTAAAAACTGCAGTTCTGCTAGTGTCCACTAGAGGCTGACTGCAGAGGCACCAGCAACCACATACACACTCATTCAAAAAAGCCCATCTTTATACCACAAACACATGTGTTTACAGCCTGGTTTAAAAAAATGATTTTGGTCTGAATAACTCATTCCTTTCTCTGCAAATAGTGGATGAATTTTTTTAATGACACATTTGTTTTGAAGATATTGAGGTTGTTAGCTTGTAAAATCAGTGCACCAACTTGGCTGATAGGCAGGAACACTTACACTGTTTGCAACGATGCTAAAGGCCTGCCTCAACTCCACCACGGTAGCTTGAAAAAGTTAGGCTGCAGTGACAGTTACTTATGGGCTTCACTGTGTTCATGATTTATACAGTGTAAGTTACACACAAAACCCCGACAGATGAAGAAACAGGAGGGCAGTGAAAATGAAGAAGAGGTCATATCCTTCATATGACAGATGCAGTGTTATAGGTTTGCATGTTTTCACTGACTGACCTACAAGCAGTCTCTTGCTAACTTGTTTGTTGATTGTTCTTTGTATGTAACGTAATCGAAAAAAAGTTACTTTCTAATGATAATGATAATAAAATTCAGTCTGTTATATAGTGCCTTTAGAAACAAAACTAAAAGAAACAAATTTTAACAGCAGAGTAGAAATAAGTCTGACATTTCGCAAATAAAAGGCCAAAAAAAAAAACTGAATAAAAGCATTGAAGGACAAAAAAGGCTCCAAGTTAAGGAAAAAGAAAAAGGGGAGGGAAAAATCTCTTAGGAGTCTTCCTCTGAGCCATCACAGCGATATTACAATAACGTTACAGATAAGAGACAATGTGGTGTCAACTGGTGACTTTGCAAGTTAGAACCACAGACAATGTAAATGGTTTCACCGCTGGAGCTTTAAGGAATGGCTGCACAGACAGCAACTTGCTGAAATACATGTGCTCATCTCATGGTGTGTATCCACATTTCAATCTGTGCCAACCATGTTTGACAACATTTATTTCTAATTTTAACATTAATGAATTAGCTTTTACCATGTTACTTGAGGGAAGCAGTATTTTCACTGTTCCCAATCTGCAGATAAATGAAGTTTATCAGCACAGCCGTTCCTCTAACACACACACACACTCACAGAGAATAAGCTGAGGCAGTAATAGAGGGACAGGACCAATGTACTGTATCTGAGGAGAACAGAACGATGGGCTCACCTGCAGTGGCTCTAAAAAGCTTTGTAACAGCCAGTCTGAGAGCAAACTCTGTGCTCGGCACTAACAGCAGCATTAACAGCAGCATCAGGACCGCGGCAGGTTATGAAATGTAAAAAGGACAAAATGTCAGAAATATCCACTTCTGCTTCATTAGCTTTTTTTGTTCTTTGCTCCCTGCAAAGCCTTGGAGCACAGACAGGTAGTCTCACCTTCAGAGGGAGAGAGGTAGAAAAATCGGGGCCTGCGCTTTAGACAGACTAAACATGTAGAATTACTACAAACTACAAATCTCAAAAAGAGGAACAAATACACCATGTAAAGACTGGAAATATCATCTTGAGCTCTACCTTGATATCAATATTTGGAATAACATAATTGATTTATGAAGTAAACTGTTGTAGTCATGGTAACACTGAAGACCAACAACCCAGGATATAGAGAAATATCCACGCTAAAGAAAATTGAAATATTATCTGTAAACTCGATGTCAGACTCACCTCCTTACCCAGATCTTCTCTGATGACCTGCCGGATCTCCTCCATGCTGCTCTGAGGAGCTCGGCTGTGCAGCACCTTCAACGTGGACGTGTACTCCTCAGGCAGCAGGTAGTCCAGAGCTCCCAGGTGCTGACCCACCTTGATGAAAGTTCCCCGGTTTGCACAGCACAAGTCTCGAAGACGCTCCGCCGATCGCCGATGAACCTACAGAAAAAAAAAAAAAGAGGAGTGTGAGTGTGACCTGTATTAAGTATAATGCAGTATAATAATTGCAACTGGAAACAAAGCATAATAGATTTCCAGCTAAAAATACTTTCTTGATTATAATGCAAAGCCAAATTCTCTGAAAACATGCAGCATATATTTCAAGAAACTTATCAGGAAAATTTTGCTTGATGTATTTTTTTCCTTATTGCAACCAGAGGTTAAGCTCTTCTTATTGAACAAAAGTGCAAACACCAAACACAAGAAGCCAACAAGCAAGCAAGTGCAAAATCCTTCAAAGAGTGAGCAATAAGAGGAATATAATCAAATGTCAGTTACATTGATTAAGGGCCCTGAATGGTGTCTGTGGTGCGCGGGTGTGTATGTGTGTGTATGCATAGGGGTCATGCAGGCCCCTCCCAGTCTGCCCCATTTGAAGCAGCTGGAGGTGACAATGCTTATAGAGAGCTCCTCTCCTGAGACCAGCACAAATAAAAAGGCGTGAAATTAGCTCCCCTTAACCTCTGTAACCCCCCCTACACACACACACACACACACACACACATACTCTATCACAGTAATGTTCCCACAGGAGCATTTGACATGAGTGTCATCTGGGCTGTTTTGACAAAGCAATGACAGAAACAAGCCGCCAGAGATTACCAGATGAGCCTCTCTGCTGCAAGTTAAAAAACACAAACCACTGCACCATCAGAGCCTCACACTCATGTCTGAACAGGCAAAACAAGGAGTTTCACACACAGTCAGAACAATAACCTGATTACTAAAAATGCACAGTCACCTAAGATTAAGGGAAAACTGAAGTTTGGCATTTTAATGTTTTTTCTAAACTGTAAAAAAAAAAAAAAAACAGGCTTGGGTGTCAAGTCAAAAGTCTGCTGCCCAAAAGGCCAATGGCCTGGTCTCTCTGGCAGCTACTCTCCACATTTTCTGTCTCAGTACAGCTGTCCTGTCTAATAAAGGCAAAAATGCCCAAAATATATATTGTGTCAAACAAGATTAAAAAACCAACATGGGACTCTGATTCTGAGCTAATCATACAGGTAGAGCTAATCTAACTGACAATGATAGAACCGATAGAACTATAATTATGATTAATGATCGTGATAAATTTCAGTTCGATCACGGTGATCAGCTGTGAGCATATTTACTTGATCAAACATGGCGGAAATGTGCGTGACAACAGCCGATCAGAGTCAAGCTTTTCTTGCTCACTTCTGTAAGTTGCTGTAGAAGTAAACAGGAGAAGTAAACAGAACGACCAAACGTGGAACTAAACGCAGAGCTGAGGGCAGCAAAATAGATGTCAGTCATGACTTTGAGTCATCCTCCGAAGATGCAGTTGTTGAGAAGAAAAGTTATTCAGTGTCGGTTGTGTGGTGGTGGTTCAGGTATCTCCAAAATGATGTCGAGTAATTAAGCCAATGCATAAGGTATGTCTGCAGTTGGTGCCCTTAAAAACTGGAAACCCAACAAATCTGTTTGATCATTTAAAGAAATGCTTCCCGAGTGATTATGCGGAAAGTATGAAAATGCAAGTGGAGTCTGTACAGCCTGCCACTGTTGATAGCACTAGTGGCATGAGCAGGTTTTTAAGGCATCTTCATTATTCCTGAGGGGGCGGTTTGTTTATTTAGGGTCTTCCATACCTGCAGAAACACTCAGAACCGTAAACCAGTTCACTGTATTATTTAATATTTATCTACATTTGTTGAACTGTTAAGTTAAAATGGTTTTTATATTTTTCAAAGTTTATCTTATTTAATTTGCTTTGTTTTTTACTTTTGTATGTTAATACAATTTTAAACTAAACTCTAGTTTCTTTAGTTTCTAGTACAGATGCTTTAAAACTGGCAGTTCCGAAAAAAAAATAATGATAATACTGGAGATCGGACGATATGACAAGATGTATAGTGATCTTTTTTTTTTGGCAAAATCGCCCAGGCCTACTAGATAATCACAACACAGATGCTGACACGGCACTACTTTAGAGGGTGTGGATAGAGACAGGCCTGTGGTTCAGATCTAAAGGAAGCACTCTGGCTGGTTTGTTGCTCCCCGGTCATTTGCCTCGTCAACATGGGGAACAACCAACCAACCAAACTTGAACTCCCAAAAAGTGCAAGTGCTGTTGCATTAACCAGGGATCACTGCAGGTCAGTAAGTAATCCAAATAATCTCAGAAGAACTGCACTTCTTATCTGACAGTTTGGACATGCACTCCTGCATATTTCTTAAAGCTCCTGTGAGGAACTTGGAATTTGTGTCATTTGTGGCACCCCTGTGGACAAAGAAGTGTTTGCTCATGTTGTTATTCGCATATTTTAGTGGTGCACTCTAACAAAAATCTCACCCTGCTAACTTGTGATGGTCACATGTATCATTGATTGTCATCCATCTTGCCACTGATAGTCTTGTTTGTTTTTTTGTACAACATAAAAGACTCTAATATGAGTTTCATTCTATTTTATTAACATCCAAAAACGCCTCACTGAAGCTTTAATGTGTGTTATTCTTTAAAAATCATAAAATAAGAATACACTGTGGTTGAAAACTGGTACAGCAGTGCAGCAGTTTTATGAATAATAAATCTCAGAGCCAAGTTTAGAAATAATATTTAAATGCATCAAACACATTTCCAAATACATACGCTGGTAAGAACGGCTTTGCATTGTACATTATGACTTAAAACTATTATTAAATGCAAAATAGTGGAATTTTAAATGATTGATAAATTGCAGGTAACTGTTAAAATTCAGTGTTTAATGAGGGATCTTTAAAAGAGCAATACTTTGGTATTCCTGTTTTTTTTTAACAGGTTCGGGTTGCTCATGAATAACAGGTATTTTCTTATACTTTTGATCATCATTATTTTGGTTAGGCCTCATCTATCATCAATAAGGATGTTATATAGGTTAATTTTAGAATGACATTATTACTGTTCAATGGTTTGCGTCTCTACAAACTAAACTGAAAGGTTATTTAAATCTCCTGTGCTTTATCATTTTATCATCATATTTCACATTTTAGGACATGTAACATAATCTTATTGACAACAGCAGAACGTAATGACCACAAAGACAGAGGCCTGAGCTTTCTTTTGAGAACAAACTGAAGGCTGTGGATATCAGAGTTTTTGTTTCAGATCCACGGAAACAGGATTATAAAAACAACAATGTCCTGAGGCTCCCAGCAGGAGGTCTCTTTGTTCAAAGGCTTTATTGCAGAGAATTTTTGAGGACATTTCTTTGTAGTCTTAAAGCTTTATTCACCCCTCTGTCAGGAAATGACAAAGTGTGGTTGAATGTGAGTTAAAAAAATAAAATAAGAGCCCAAAAACAAATCCTCATCAGTGGGTCTGTGTTTAATTCTTAAAGTAATTTCTCCTTAATCTGGATTTTTTCAGACAGCAGCCCCAGCGGTGAAGCAACAACAGATCACCTGAGGTCGTGTTTGTGAGCTGATTTGTGGGTCTGATCAGTAAAAATCTGCCTCCTGCTCTAATCATCAGAGTCTTCATCACTCCTCTCTCCTCTCACGGTAATCAGAGGGCTTTGTCCCACGGAGGCGGACTCACAGCAAGAGGATGACATCACCATGGCAATGCTGCTCGCCGTCAGCCTGATGGGCGTGCAGCTCAACGATTGGCTGAAGCCGGCCTCCTCCCACCATCTCCACACCTGCACCAACCAATCAAACGGCTTGTCAGAGAATTAGACCTACGGGTTAGCGTGAGGAATGACAGAGGAGCTCGGCGGTGAACGCCGGGAGGTATCTCTGCACACATCCTCTGCACACAGTGAGCAGGCCCAGTAAATAAAAGGCCTGAGGTGTGTAAGAGAGAGAGAGAGAGAGTGTGTGTGTGTGTGTGTGTGTGTGTGTGAGAGAGAGAGAGAGAGAGAGAGAGAGAGAGAGAGAGAGGAGTGAAGAAAGGGGGTTATGAGTGTAAGAGGAAGAAAGGAGAGGAAAGCAGGGGAAAAGCAAGGAAATGAAAGAAAAGGAAGGCAAGTAAAAGGGAAGGTGGAAAAGGAAAAGGAAGGAAAGGAACAAAGGGCTAGGAAAGAAAGGAAAGGAAAGACAAGAATGGCAGGTAAAGGTAAGGTGGAGAAGAAAAGGAAGGAAAGGAAAGGAAAGACAAGGATGGCAAGTAAAGGTAAGGTGGAGAAGAAAAGGAAGGAAAGGAAAGGAAAGGAAAGGTGGGGAAGACAAAAAAAAGAAAAGGAAAGGAAAAGAAAATAAGGATAGGACTTTAGGAGGTTAATAAATGGGAAAAAGAAGAGACCTTGAAAAGCTTTTAGAGTCTCACTACACCTCCTTTACCTTGCAGCCTTGTTTTTTAGATACTTTTGTAATTAAGGTGAGATTCAGTCAAGCTTGTGGAGACGTGGCAAACAAAAAGGACAGACATAAACATGATTACTGCAGGCGGTTTATCATAAAGTCTGATCAGATATAAAGACCTACCGATGACTCTTTGAGAAATGAATGTTTTCATTTCATTTCACTGTTAATAAAAAAAAATCCAATTATGAACAAATTACCAAACAAAAAAATAAATGAACAATTATGTAACTGCAGGCTTTGGTGTCTGCAGCAAACACTGTTAGTATGTATATATAAATATTTATGCGTCTTTGTGTTGACAAACTGTGCATCTACTACAAGCATTGGTTTGAGTCCAAAGTTAATGCAGAATTAGTTAAAAACAGCATTTAGAGCTGAGGAGTTGTTGATTATATGGTTCCTTAAACTAATTGGTGACTAAGATTCACACCAGTAAAAAATTATGATGATGTCTGCTGGTGTAGCAGGAGTCAAAGGTGTGTGCGTGTTGTGTGCAGCTGGACAGCAGAGCAGTGTCCTGCACTGGGAGCCCAGCTGGAGTAATTGATTTCTGCTGCCACACTGGGGCTAAATGACTGGGATTAGTGGACTATGAACAAGGCCTATTTATTATTGGGATGCTCATGATTAGCTCGTTACTCAGCTCACTGAGGCTCATCTAGCTGCCTGTCACAGGGGAGGGAGAGGGGGGCTGCGTGCAGATGTGTGCAGATTCATGCCTGTGTAGTCAATAGGACCCGTGTATTATAGCTACAAAGCCTGAGGAGTTAGCAAAGCCATTCACAGAAATCCTCCACAATTTAATACAGTGATCCAGAATGTATAGTATCTAAACAGACCGAGGCTCCGCTCAGGCCTCTCTGCCGCTCTGCATATTAAAAATGTCATTTATTTGAACACAGGCCAGCAGCATTACAACAAGGTGGGAAAAAGACAAGCTGTTTGTTATCTGGTAAAGCTGAGCGTAGACGTAAGCCCTCACTGTGCTCGCTGTGATGCTGCTTTCTCACACTGTGAAACCAGAGGTCGAGCAAAAATATGGGAGTCAGTGCCAGAAGTGGAAAAAAATGAAGGAGGGATAAGAGGAAGAGAGGTGGTGGAGGAGGAGGAGGAAGATGAGGTGGTGATGAGGTGGTGATGGGGGGGGGGGCAGCCACAGCTAATTTCATGCTCTGCATTTTATTGTGATGCTTCAGTAATTGTGGTTCGGCGGCAGATAACGGCCAGAAACACTCTTTGTCACAGACCGGTGGACACTCAGCATCAGTGAGGATCAGCACATGAGGCCTCTAACTGCAACACATAATGTCTCTACTGTACGTTTGTACTTTACTGTGTTCATAGAAAAGGAACAAATACACAACTAAAAGGTTTTTATATGATGCATACCTGGTCGAAGGTGAAAGCTTTTAGCTAAGATGTTTCTGAATGGATTAAAGCTGCTGGGTGTCTCATATCAAACTGAGTTATAAGACCTTAAACTGGTAAACATTAAAAATGAAAACTTTCTGTCAAACTTCAGAATTCAAAATATTACAAATTAGGACACAAACTTTGTTTTAATGCCTTTGACAAATTTTTGATGAAATCTGAAACATTCAGCATCATATACAGGAGGTACCAGTTAATCGGTCACTTACAGTTGAGTTAAATTGTTTGATCATGTGACTTCTAGCCAATTAGAGAGTGGGATGGACAGGACATAGGTGACTCAAAGTGGGGCAAGAAAACAGACCCAGAGGGAGAGACACACCAACCTATCTGATAACCAATTTAATAATCTGTTTGTAAAATGAATGACTAATACTGATGCAGAATGCAGAATATCAGCTCCAAAAATCAGCTTACTTAAATCTTACTACTTCAGATTTAAAAGTGTGTAACTGTCCTTTAGAGGGCTACAGTTACCCCAAAGACACCTGACAAGCGTAAGGTAATGCCCTATTTACAGGGCATTACCTTACACTTGTTTTAGCATAGTGTCAATATTTAATTTTATTGAACAGCTCTAATGTACAAAGGTTTAGGTTACATGAGGAAATCTTTGTATATGTAATTGTATTTCAGACACAACTAATGTTCCACAGCTGATTTAGAAGATGGAGGCTAAATCCACAAAGTTTCTACCCGACAGAGACAACGTTTAGTTTATGACTCCGTATCATCATTAAACATCCATCCAGCTTCTACTCTTCTCATGCTCATAAGGGATGCAGGGAGGAGAGGGAGAGAGCACAGTTTATACCTGCATGTGTAGATGCAGTGATGAACCGTGTTGAGCTGTAACTTCTACTACTACTTCTACTACTTACGTACTATGTAAAGCGTCTTTGAGTGTTTTTAAAAGCGCTGTACAAATAAAATGAATTATTATTATTATTATTACAGAGTCAAAAGGCAGAAGGATCATCCAAGGTTCATCTAGTCTTAGTTTTGGCCCTTGTCCGTTATGAAATCAACTCATTCTCTGACACTTGACACCAATATTAGCTCACACAGTCTCTCACAGAGTGGAGAACCTCTTCCTATCTTTCCCTCTGAGAGACTCAGGCCTTGTCCACACGTAGACTGGTATTTGCTGAAACAAATACGTTTCTATACGTTTTGGCCTGCCATACACACAAAACCGCAGGACAACATCATTAAAAATGGTGCTTTTGGAAAACTTAAGCCAAAGTGAAGATTTTGGAAAACACCAGTTTTGCGTTTGTGTGTGGACATATAACCAGAGTTTTAAATCCCAAAACGTCATTGTGTGCGGCAACTAATAGATAAACATCATATATAATGTGCCCTTGTTTACGTCAGGCAGTGGACAGCACAGATATATACAGAATATCTATTTTTGTGAGGAGCAAAGAAGAGGGAGTGCTTTCTACACCAAATAACCTTTCCTCTACCTTTCTTGTGTCTTGTTGACTTTAAACTCCAAAACGATGCTTATAAGCAACTTCACCTCTTTGTTGGTCCACACAAATAAACTACACAGTGCTATGTTTCATGTTTGGAGAGGTGACGACAAGAAAGGGAAGCTTGCTCTAATTGGATAGTATGGGTCTAATATTTTGGCAAATACTTCCGACTCCAGGTCTGGCGGTTTTGTGTGGATGGGCTTTTATTTGAAAACGATGAAGTGTGTATGTGACTTTTTTTTTTTAAACAGGGGGGTTGGATATTTGTTTATAAAAATACCCGGCTACGTGTGTACAAGGCCTCAGCCTCTCTGAATGTCCTTTTTATACCCACTCATGTTACTTACCTGTTGGAAATTAACCTCATTAACAGGGAGATGTTCCTCAAACACTTTTTCAGAGTTTGCTTGTCTCGGTAACGACTCTTCTGGCACCAGATTTAGCGGAGAAAAGGAAGCTTGCACACTTTGCAAATAATGGGTTATGTGGGACTAGAAATATTGAGTTAAAGCATTTTTCTGTCCCTAAATTGTCACCACTTCATCTGAAGATAACTAAAAGCTTGCTTAAACTTCATCTGACACATTAAAGTGGTGTAAAAGCACAGTCATTATACCCAGGCCTCCATCAGACAGGTAAAACATGACCACCTGAGAGAGAGAAATAATAACTCTTATTAGCTGCAATAATTGTAGACTTGGGCAAGATAATCACTAACATCTCTTTAGTTCGTGGCCTCTTGAGGTTGCTTGACTCATTTATTTTTAAATGCAAACAATTTGACTTTACATAGTCAGTAAACAAAAACTGCCTCTCCAAAACCTGAGGGGAAAAACTGCTTCAGGCAAGAAAATAAAAGCTTCTGTCATTTTCTTATTTATGACACATCAAGTTTGAGTAGCCGCTCCTTGAAAAATCTTCACATCTACTGCTCTTAGGCGTCGTGCCAGCTGCTGTTTGACTCCTCTGCCCCGGGTGGCTCAGAGAGAGCAGCAGTGACGGAGAAATGAAGCGTTTATGCTGCTGCTGGAGATCAGCTTGTCAGCCATGATCTAACTACAGCAGGCAGATGGGAGGCAAATGTTAAACGTTCCCTGCTCTCCGTTCCCCTCAAAGGATTTTCCCACCTCAGATTTGTTTGGCTGATAAGCTGCTGTCACGAGCCCGCCAAGGTCAGCGGTTATCAAGCCCCACCCTCGTATTTACATAGCGTGTCCCTCAAGAGAGCTGGAGCCCGAGGAGTGCTGGTGGTGGGCACTTGTCTATGCTGAGTACCCTCCTCCTATTTTTCTGTGGGAGGACAACAGTGCTGATACACTCAGAGAGATGGTAAATACTGACATCTGCTGGTGCAAGGGTCAACTGCAGTCTGTCTGTTATTATGATGTGTGCAATGGTGGACTGAACCAGTTACTACAAGTGTAAAGTTATATGACTACTGTTGCTGATGGCGAGAATAATTTCACCTTATTCTTGATAAACTTGCACCACTGCTACAGAAATACTGCAAGTATTATTGTGGATACCAATCTGATATAAACCACACCTCCACCTGTGTCCACCTGTGTTTTCTTTACCTGTCACCTCCAGGTTGGGTCACTGTTTCCCATCAGCAAAGATAACACCTGTGCAAAGCTTTAAAACACCTGCAACAGCATCCTATAAGGCTGATCATCCAAAGTCCTCAATAAACTCCACGTTGTTCTGTATTATAATTGTAATTCTTGTAGAGCGTCTTTGAGTACTTGTAAAAGCACATTACAATAACATTTATCATTATTATTATTATCATCATCATCATCATCATCATCATCATCATCATCATCTTATTATTATTATTATTATTATTACTATTATTATTACTATTATTATTATTATTATTATCATTATTATTATTATTATTATCATTCTTATCATTATTACTATTATTATTATTATCATCATTATCATTATTATCATTGTTATCATTATTACCATTATTATCATTATTATTATTATTATTATTATGATTATCATTAACTATTATTGAAGACATTCCTGCCTGATTGTTGATGATTATGCTCATCGGATACTCATTTCATTAGTGATTTATTTCAACTAAACCGAGAAATGGCTGCACCCCGAGCTCATAATTGCAATGTTGTCAGCTGTATTTTTACAGGTTTGACAAGCCAACAAAGATCGCTCAAAGTTGCTGAAAACAGCATTTAATATGTTGTCAACCACTAGCCACCCGTTGCTAAGAGACATGGCAGCATCAGTGCAGGAAATGATGGTCTGTCACGAAGGATTAGGTCCTTCAGCTCCTGGACTAACCCTAACCCTAACCCTAACCCTAACTGATGCAAATTTCTCTTTACAGTGAAACTCAGACTCATCAGGAATATAGGTCACTCCCGGAGGCATAAGGAGGCAGGAAATGACGTTTGTTTGTATCATCTTTGGATACGAGGATGGCTCATGAGATTAAGCTTTAACATTACTGTGAAACCTCAGATGAAACCGCTGCAGTAAGGGTCAAAGATGACCTTTCTTGACCTTGAGGTGACATTGGGGAAGGGTTTTTATGTAGCTATGCAAATATGTCGAGTGAATCAGCGTTTTGTTCACCTCTTTCATCTCAGCTGTGAAAAAAAACCTTTAAAATGGCTGCTTTCCAGAATCAGCTGTGTGCTCCTGCCTCTTTTTCATGCAGCTGAGGAGGCAAGGGGATCATTAGACATCAGTATCTGTTTGTCCTCGCTGTCACCACTTCATCATTGCCCCCTCCTCTTCATACCCCTCTTCCTCCTGTTTTCAACCCCAAAATAACCTTGTGACTTGTAAAAAAATACCTCATCTTGTGTCTCATCTCTTCGTGACGCTGCTTTCGATTCAATCTCGCAATCTAAGACTGGATCTCTTTGTATGCCATCACAGCCTTAGCCCAAAATACTAGAGGTTATACTGAGGTACATCAGAGTATTATCAGTGCTGACCTGAGAACAGTGAACAATGGAATTCAGAATGCTGGATGGAGTCGTATGAAGTGATCCTGCTGACCTTGGTGATTAGACAGGTTAGATTTTTGTGCACGTTTCCATTGATATATTACAAATGAGGGAAGACTGAACCAGTTAAAGGTCATGCTTTATCTCTCCCACTTCACTTAACACACCAAAATATGACCGTGCATTTAGTATAAATCAGCATAGCACACTCTCTGGGTTTATTTGATATTTGGTCTCGATCTGGGTCTTTTATTGCAGTAAATTTCAACATGTTCTCATGGAAACACTCCTGAATGGTTTCAAAATAAACCATCAGCACAGCACTCTGCATTCACACACAGGACTCAGCAATCAACTTGGCAATTACAATGTATACCCAAGCTCATGTTGGAGCTGATTGGCTGATCAACCCATCATTATCTGAGTTCTGCCCAATGATCCAGTATGCCCTATAGCGGATTAAACCTCAGATAGACCCTTTTGGTAACCCTATTCTGGCATACACTAGGGAAAACACCCAGTCAAAAAAGTTTGAACATATCTCCCTATAACAGCATGAAGAAAACAGACCTGGGTGTTGTCAGGCTGCAGGACAATCAAGAACTTCAACTTCTGACTGAAGAAGGCACTAAAAAAGTGACTCCAGTACTGGCAGGTGGACAATTTGTCTTATATGCCAATCGGCCTTAGCCTCCTTACAGTTCATCAGAATAAAGTTTTAAGAAACTCTGCACTGGACAGACAGACGTGGAGGTCTCTGCTGTGTATGCTGGCTGTAAAGATGGAAATAAACACAGAAATTACGATGAAAACAAACATCTTCAGGATAATAGGAATGAAGTGTTTACACAGCCCTCCACAGGTCTCGACAGTGTGACCATTTCACTCGCATTTGCGACTGAAAATAGATGTGTGCAAATTGTAAAATGTATTTAGGGGTACATGTGCGCATAAAAAAAAATTAGCCAAGGCAACAAATGTTTTTTCATGTAAATGCCGCGGTGAAGTTAGTTTTAGGTTGGATATTCGACGGACATTCACTGCTGATCATTGACTGTATATAGAATGGACAGAGTCTGCCTCCTTGCCACTCCAAGAACAGCACCCTCTGTTGATGGGCTGCAGTATAGGTCATAAATCCCGCCTCCGCCAGCAAAGCTTATGGGGCTGTGGACAAACTTTAGAAATTAATTACACAGAACATACATTTTTCTCGCCCCTACTTGCGGTGTTGACGTGTAGTTACAGTAAGACTGGTTTGTGCTCAAGTCCTCTTTTTTCTATGAAGCTCCATTTTTAAAAGTTATTAGGGGGTTCATGTTTTCTTTGATTGACACCTGATACAACCTATTGGCGTTCAGGGATTGCGTAGCTCACCCGGGGGATATGCTGTTTGAGCCGAGTGTCATCACGGCGACTCTCAGCGATTCTCGCGCCAAATGCGCACAACGCTACTGCACAGCGCTGGTTTCAGGAAATGAAGAAAAATCCCAGAAATACCGAGTTTTTTTGGCTTCAAATCTGTATACAGGCAAGAGGCGGAACCAAGTTGTCCATAGTATATACAGTCTATGCTGCTAATATATCGATGTCTTCTAACTCTCCATAACCGAGAATAGCAACGCACGGTTAAATCTGCACTGCTGTGAAGTTAGTTTTAGGTCGGATATTTGACAGACATTGACTGCGGATCTACCGGTCTCTTCTCACTCTCCATAACCGGGAATAGCAACAGCAGCTCGGTTAGATCTACTCGGCACCCTCACTATCAATGTCAGGTGTTGAATAAGGGACCATCAATAAATTACCTGTTGGTGTTCTCAAAAAAGGCTGTTTTCCTTCAATAGCTCCCATCTCATGTGACCAATTGACCTAAAATTGATTTCAAATAGTAGTGTTTATGTAGACTTATATGACACACATTATTTGATCAATTTTCATTGTGCCCCTGAAGTTCTTTGTGTGCTTCTTACTTTTTTAACTTAAGAGCATATGTGCTCATTGTGAAAAAAAGTTAGTGTCAAGCCCTGCTCCATGTCCATAAGCTCTGGTAATTCAGTATCTGCGGTCTCTTTCCCTGCCTCTGTTTGGCTGACCGACCTTTTCTGTGCATGAGCATCCAAACCATTTTATTTGTGTGGAAATTTGAATCTAATTTGTTGGGTCAGTTTTTTTGTTTAAGTGCTGGTAAGTGAAGGTTATTGGGGGAAAGGCGATTTGGGCTGTTTAATAATTGAATCACTTGAGTTATTCTGATAATCGTTTCAACACTAATACCCAATTCAACCAACTGGCACTTGATTTACAGGCTGCAATCAGGCCTATTCTACTCACCTGAGCTCACAACAAGTTTGAAATGCTGTGCATAAATATTTATCACTACTTTCTGCAGACCAGTGACAGAGTATCCCACTGCTGCATGATAACGAATGCAAGAAACAATCTTTTTCTTTTTACTTAAATGTCATCTCCTGTGTTCTCTGGTCTTGCATCTTGAACTTTTGAACTATGTAAATTTTGCTCGGTTTCATAGGTTTTAGCCCTGCATCCTCCCCAAACTTCCTTTGAAAGTTTTAGTTGTGTTACTTCTCCCAAAAATGTGTTTTCTGAGGATTTAAATTATTGGAAAATGCTGATAATGAGATAAAAATGAGTGGAAACTCAATTGTTTGTTGTTTGTTAATTTGTTTTCCAATAAACAAATTCACACTCTTTAACAGCCGCAGCTTTATAATTAACATATTTGTGATGGGAAAAATCACTAAAGAGAAGCTACAAAATGCAGTTTTCTGTACAATGGGATGGGTTCGTTTAGATTTAGGGCAGAAAAAAAAAACGTTTTGAAATGAAGTAAAAATAATCTGTTCATCTTCATTTGAGCTCTGTTTTTTGGCATGTTTACTCGCAATTCTCACGCCATACATTTGAGACACCCCTACATATCCCACCACCACCCCTCCTAACCCACAGGCCTCAGCCAAGGCCCCTCATGCATTATTCAAACGAGTTAAGCAAGCTACATTTAATTTCCCAATCATCTGCTGGCAGGGCTTGTAATGAGATGCTGATAGCAGAGAAAAACTTGGACTCCCTGAGAGGGGGAGAGAAAAAACGGGAAAGAGAGTTGAGGAGAGGTGTTAAGAATTGCACAATCAGTCCAGAGATAAGGACCTATCTTCATCACCCAGTGCTCTCTGTTGTTTTGGTTTCTACTGATGTGCATTTTAGTTTCTCTCTTTCTTTGTTGATTAACCGGCTCTATCGGACTGGGACTGGAGAGATAGACAGATGTTAAAATCCACAGTGCGTGTCTTTGGAACTGAACATTAAACACTTAGGCACAACATTTAAAAGACAAATGGAGTCACCAAAGAGAATTATGAGTATGCATGCAGCAGTTTCAGAGAGCTGCATGGTTGTACTTGGTAGAAATGAAAAACTGCAGTCACTGTATCAGCAGCTTCATCTTTTCAGAAGGTTTTAAGATGAATTACCACGAGAGTAAGATATTCAGCTCACTGAAGTGTCAGAAGCAGCCTGCTTGAGAGAAGAAATGTATAATATCCACTCTATGTACCTTCTTTCCATTTCATACCGACTAGCAGGAGTACATCAGCGTTGAAACAGTATTTTTTCTCTTGGATCAAAAAGCTCTGTTCTCTCCAGGCATGCACACTCCAGCTGGCATTTCAAGTGTCCTTTAAGTGCTAACTTTCACCTCGCATAAAAAATACATCACGTAAAGCTCCTTCATAACCAGAAGATTCTAGCATCCAAAGTGCACCATTATACAAGCCTTCAATAAGGACAGGACTGACTGAATTAAAAGACATGATTAGCAATACAGAGAGCTAGCTTGCTTAGTCTGCATTGGTCCAAAAGTCGACAAACCTTAGTGCTCACACTATTTGTGTCAAATCTGCCCAGAGCATTAACAATACGGAAGTTCTATTGAAAAACTGTCACAGACATTAGTGTAAGCTGCAAGAAGAAAGATGGTTCCTGCAAGGCCAACAAAGTCGAACATGCTGCTGAGATGACCTGTGCCATTTTCATGTGCTGAAACCTCCAAAAAGAAAGAGATACCAGTACGGATGAGAATCCATAACCAGGCAAAAGCAGGAGCGGAGCTTATGTCTCAGCTTCATCTGCTTTAAATGCAGAAGGTAACATTGAACTCCTCCAGGTCCTGTCTGTTGTGTAGATGTTCGAGCCATGTTAACCCCCTTTTACTATATAAATACTCTCCATCTCCTTAAATTACAAAGATGGCGATGACTGCCAGAGTCATGCTAGCTCAGAGGCTGGCTCTCACACTGGCTCAGAGGCTGCAGTGAGTAGTTCTCGCACACCTTTGGCAGCCCCTTTCATTGAGGCCCAAAGACCCTCATGTTTTGCAAGGTACACAAAAACTGCATAAGGCCACTGGGCCACTTGACATTAGAGAAGTAACTCAACTAAACTTTTTTTGCTAAGGTCACATAACAACTTATTAGTGCATACATATGCCATATCATCTGTCCAAAGGTGACAATACATTAAAGAGTTAATGCGAACAAACCCATTTGTATCATCTTATTTCTCACTCAATGAGAATCAATAAGAGAATCGATAAGGAATCATATCGATGAGCAGTATCGATAATGGAATCGGAATCGTATATTCTTAACAATTCCTATCCCTAGGTACCAGGGTATGCAGACTTGCAGGTGGCTATAGTTTGATCAGTTTGCAGACAGAGGAGATGAGCTTGCTGAGCTGCAGTGGTTTCAAGCTAGTGCATTCAGGAAAAGAGGCCATGAAGTCTGGTAACGGGCTCGTTCGTTGGCGACGGCAGCAGACCAAATTTTCAGACATGCCTGGAATTCATCACATCAGACACGAGCAACCAAACAGGTGGTAACCAGCCTCTATGACCGCATTTCCACTGCATAAAATACATCGAGCAACTGAACTGAAATTTGGCCCAACTGTAGCTCAAGAACAGCCTCAATTTGCAACATATGCAAGGCCAAAAAGAAGCTTTGTGATAAAACGCATGAGGCTGTCGAGGACTGAATTTAAAACAGAAAATGTTTGAATGCAAACCATGCGACTCATTTTTGCCCATCGTTAAGTGTTTGCTGCACTTTACGGAGCAGTTTAATGTAGTGTGGCGCCCCAGCGTGTTCCTGAGGTCGAGAGAAATCACAGCAGAACTTAGAGAGCTGCAGAGGACAAAAAGCCGTCCATCTGTTCTCTCATTGCAGGGCATGTTCCTCCACTCATTTGGCAGACTTGTGAGTGCTCCCATGCTCGCTCTGTGATACACTCTAATTGGCTGTGAATGGCCCCTCGGTTCGCTCAGGGCAGCCTTTGATGAGCCTGGAAGGCTGGCTGCTTAAGTGGCTTTTGAGTGAAGCTCTTCACGAGAGGCTGAAAGCAGCTCGTCTGCTCCCAGAGATAAGATGAGATGCAGAAACAAGAGCTCATTAAGAGTGCAGTCAAATGTGGCCCTTGTGATGAGAAACAAACACACAGTTGTAGGTCAGAGGGCGCCAGCGTAAGAACTTCATCTGATAGAAAAGCCTTTGAATGTGGTTTTTGAAGCCTGTTGCTAGAAATAATATACACACAGACATCATTTTATGAGCTCCATTGAGGAAACATGATTATTTACAAAACTCTTTACTACACAGGGCTGGACAATGAAACGCTCTCTGCCATTCAAAACCACAAACATACAGGAAGGAAGTTTAAATGTGGAGCAAAAAGGATGAACCCACCTTAAAGTAGTAATCTAAAAATGATGAGAATAATGCTCATTTGTCTGAAGATGGGTGCAGCTAACAATTGCTAATTTTTTTTAATCAAATGAAAGCAGGGTCTTGATTTAAAAAAAAAATAAAAATCACTGTCGTAGGTCCTTTTTTCATTCACTGATGGCAGTAGAAGATCCAAAAAGTTGCCCCTCACTCTCAGAGGCAGATATGTCAGATGAGCTGATTGCTTTCAAGATTTGGTGTAATCAGCTGGAGCAAACCAGATTATTCCAAAGGCTGTTTGACTACAGAAACGGTCTCTCCCTGGAGACAAATGGACAAGCACTTTACAGCTTAAATACAATTCCAGCAAGACAACTACAGCAGGTAGTAAAGATAATCTATACAAAGGTCCTGAAGACAAGATTAAACCTCAGGGGGAATTAATGAACCCAAGCAAGGGGGGATTTTGTCCAATTTTAGCTGATTTTATTCAAATAACTTTGATGCTCTCATGCAGAAGCAGAAAATCATTCACTTCTATTTAACCTCACTGACTGTCCGTACTAAGAAGTGTCATCATGCTTCAGCCCAACCTTATACCTCTTCCTCATCCAGCATTCATCACGAGTGAAAAACTAGAATCACCTCCCATGAAGTGTTTTATCCTTCCTGTCATCCCTCCATCCTGTCCACTGTTTACAGGAAAAATCAGCAGCATAAAGACCCTAAACAAGAGCGGAGCCGCCGTGCTGTCGGCTCACCTCTATGACTTCATAATAAAGAGGAGGGAGCCCGCGCTCTGTATTCAATCAGCAGCATGCATTAATTCTAATCAGCCGGGGTAGCCAGGCTTGACCAGCCAGGCCCAAGGGGTTGAACCAGGAGTCTATGAGTGTGTGCACGAGTGCGTGCACAAGCGTGTGTGTATGCGTGCATGGCACATACACAAGGCCAACCATGCTGAACCATGCTCTTCAAGGTTCAGTGCAGCTGTGTCGCTGTAGCGGAGCTCTCCGTGCACTTTTTGTCAGAGTAGGTGGTCTCTGACCTTTCAGCAGCCGTCTCCTGAGTGAACCTGACTGAGCTGTGGCCTTTTAACAACCACCAGCACACATCACTCACTGCACATCACCTGGCATTTACTGTTATTACCTTTATACTTGCTGCCGTCTTTGCAGGATGGGAACAGGAACTGTATGTTTAATAGAGACTTGCCATGTCTACTTGAGGTACATACTGTTTGTACTGGTGGTCACAATGAGTCAGCGCTGCGGGAAACAATTAACCAGTCAAAATAGCAATACCAGGAGAAAGGGAGCTGACCCTGGCTATGACGTGCATTTTAAAAGGTGCTTTGTTTTGTCTTTTTTGTCATTAAAATAGAATTTTGGAAACTGTGCAATGCTTGAGATGCTTGCATAGAGAATTTGCGTCTTTCTCCACAAGTTGTTGATTGTTATTTTAAGAAACTTGACAGCATATATGTAGTGCTGCCAGGGTGCACCGGATCAGCCCTATAAGAAGATTTATTTTCTCAAAAAGAAGATCTGCAGTTTGCAGAATAGCATTAAAATCCACACTTTGTTGAACAACATGATTGTCGTTTCACTTGGAAAATCAAGTAGTCATGGGGCCCCTAATACATACCAGCTTCTAATGGTAAAACTGGCATATCGCCATCTCTGCATACCAGCAACACTGGTGCCTTCTAAGTAGGGCTGAACGATTAATTGCATTTGCGATTATATCGCCATACGATAAAATGCAATTCTCTAACCATAAAGGCTGTGATTTTGACAGGTCACATGATCTAGTCACATGACTTGCGAGCAAGCGAGGCAGAGCAGACCAGATAAAGAGAGACGTCAACACTGCACTCTGTTGCACTATGGTCTAATTCCACAACAGCAGCTGACACTGCATAAAGTTTAGTACTAAAGAAGAGCAGCACAAAAGTTGTGTGGATTTATATTGGCAAAAAAAGAGATGCCGCTGCGCAACATGTACAGAATCTGTTGTGCTACTGTTGCTACATCAGAAGGTAACACTACGAACCTTTATCAACACTTACAAAACACAACAAAGCCATGTACCAGTGACCACTAGGCCTGCACGATATATCGTTTGAGCATCGTCATCGCGATGTACGTGTGTGCGATAGTCACATCGCAGAGCCTGCGATATCGGAGGTGAATGAACTCAGTTAATTTCAAGGGTAACTGACTGAGATACACTGCATGTGACTCTACATGTGCTGTGCAGCAATCCACCAATCACCTTCGTTCTTTACTCAGTTGCTAATCAGACTCAGTTCTCAGTTGCCAATCAGACTACTCTGCCAGCTGTCAATCAAAATCAGAGAGGAGGAAACCCACCCCTGCACATGGAGGGAGTCGCTGGCTGGAGTTGTGGTGAGAAACGTTTGTCTGCTGAGAATTACTTTCGGAACATTCTTCATCACTGTTTAGCCCAACAAATAAGAACCGTATGGGTTTTAAATTGTACATTTCCGTGGACCACTCTACTATAAGCAGTGCGCGTTTTGTGAGGTGCATGCAATTCTCGGAGGACATGCGTTTCTCAGCACAACCCCGTTAACAACAACAACAATGATCGCAAACTGAGCAACAAACAGAGAAAACCACCGAAGATGAAGACTTGTTGCCAAAAAGAAAAGGAAATTCAGTTATCTGGAATTATTTCGGTTACAAGATGGATGATGTCGACCAAAACACGTCTTCTGTGTTCATCTGTTTCGACAATAACATTCCAGAACAATAAAAGCTAAAAATATCTCTGAGACAGACAGAAGCCATTCTACAAACATTCACAAAAAGAGGTAAGGTCAGAGCAGGTTAACTGTCCTCAAGATTTCAGCAGTGCAGCATAACATAAAGTGCTATTCAGGTCATCTGGTGAAAATTCCTCTATTTTTAATATCGCAATATATATCGCAGGGTTGAAAAAAATCGCAATGTTAGTTTTTTCCAATATCGTGCAGCCTTAGTGACCACCAGGCTAAAACACCAGTGACCAGCGCTTCAACTTCAAACCACATCTACATAAGAACAAATAATGCATCCAATATAGTGATGGCAACACAGCTAAATGAATAGACCCAAATCCATCGGTATGTACATTAATATCATGACATATATTGCATGTGTGCAATAGTGTGTGAGCAGAGAGAGCCTGTGTGTGTGTGTGTGTGTGTGTGTGTGTGTGTGTGTGTGTGTGTGTGTGTGTGTGTGTGTGTGTGTGTGTGTGTGTGTGTGTGTGCGTGTGTGTGTGTGTGAAATGATAATGGTCAGAAAGAACAATTTATGAATAATAAATCTGATACTGTTTACTATAATACAGGTTGATTTATTGTTTGTGTTTGTTGAAAAAAATACATTAGAAGAGGACCTTGAAAAAATAGTTGCATATTAAATCGCAATATTGAGGAAAAAAAGTAGGGCTGAACGATTAATTGCATTTGCGATTATATCGCCATATGATAAAATGCAATTCTCTAACCATAGAGAACACCTGAACATGTAAACATGCATGTTTCTGAATGAAAAGAGGTTTGCAAAAATCTGGCCACTGTGAGTCTGAAATATGTTTCTGTTCATTGAGTGTATCTAAAAATCTAGCAGGACAACACTACAGTAGTTGAGAGATTTAGAGAATCAGAAAACACTGTTTAAGAGGTTTGAGTTGCAGTGTGGTGAGCCAAACTCTGATCACATGCAAACAGTGACGCCCTCCATCCTGAAGCCAAGCCTTGTTCTCTGCTTAATCGATTAGTTCAACATGTGTAGCTGCTGCAAACAAACACCATTAAAGTTTCTCTGTGTTGAGCTTTGAGTGCTGATAAAGTTTGAAAGTTTAGTCTCTCACTTTGAGGACAAGTTTTTTTGTGAGGACTGCTGCCCTTACAGCTGGATTTGGTCTGAATATTAACTCCAAACATAGATTTCATGTCATAGCTTAGTGAGAGTATCACTTTCCTCCTTATATTGAAACTTTCCAACAGCACATTAGCACACAACCTTTGTATGACAGGTTAAGGAGTAAAATAAAAATTAAATGTTTAAAAATTAGGTCAAGATGTTCTGAGAAAAGGATCATAACATTACAAGACTGAAGTTGTAAAAAATAGTCATACTGTTATGAGGATACAGTCATGATGAGGTCATAAAATTTCAAGATTAAAGTCCTAGTTAAGTTTAATTATAAACAGGATGTAGTCATAATATTATGAGAATAAGGTGGCAGTTATGGCATTACAATACAAGAATAGAATCAAAATGTTAACAAAAAAATAAAGCCATTATATTACGGCAATAAGAAATAGTAAAGTCACAAAATTACTTGAATGAAGTCGAAATAGAACAAAGTCACAATGGGAAACAGGTCTGATTTAATTCATTACAGCCTCAGAATAAGATCATGCTAAAACCAGCATTTAAAGAGTAAATAGTCAGAGTCAAGTCAGAGTATTATGAGAATAAAGTTAAGTTGTAATAGCATGATAAACAAACTGTAGAATTGGAATAAATTGTAATTTTTTAAGTCATTTCATTACAAGAATTAATAATCAAATGTCACCAAGTAACTAGAAAAAAAAATAAACTCAAGTCATATTATTGACAGTATAAAGTCATAACTTCCAAACGATAAAGTTGTAGTTGAGTCACAATATTACAGAAATAAAGTTGTGGGAAAGTCATCATATGACAAAAACAAGGTCACAGTTATAATTGAAGAAAGCTATAGCCTTGTCAAAGTGATAACAAATATAAAGTGTTCAAAAAAAGATATGAGAAGAATAAAGTCATTATACAATGTTACTTAAGTCATGTTTCTGAGAGAATAAAGACTTGTCCAAAGTCCAAATTTACTGGAATCAAGTCACAATATAAAGACATCAATTCATAATATGACAAGAATACAGTTGTAGTTTAAAAGATAGATAGATAGATAGATAGATAGATAGATAGATAGATAGATAGATAGATAGATAGATAGATAGATAGATAGATAGATAGATAGATAGATAGATAGACAGATAGACAGACAGACAGACAGACAGATACTTTATTTATCCCAGAGGGAAATTCAAAAATGACTCTCTCTCTCTCTCTCTAAATAAAAATAGATTGATTGTTTCATTTAATCGTTTCTATTATCATAACATGATGACTTAACTCTCTCACTATTTACAAACTTATTCTCTTAATATTGATGACTTTATCCTCTCAATCTTCATTTTCCTCTCAATGTGGCCCCAACACTCTTTTATACGTAAATTTTAAAGCAGCCATTTCTCCAGTTTCTCCATGTTTGTCATGAAAACTTTGTGTGTTTTTCTACCTTGGACTTGAGCGCCCAGTAGTCCTCCGAGCCATGGTCCACATGTTTGAAGGCTGTCAGATAGTCGTAGCTGATAACCGCTGTCTGTAGATGAACAGAGCAGTGGCATATGAATGAATGAATGAATGAATGAGGATAGGAAGACCATTTCATTAGAAAAGAACTAAAACATAGGTATATCATTAAGTATCCATTAAAGTCAAGAGTCTCACCGTTAAATGATTACGACATTATTAGCTATACAGTGTAGCTTCTGTTTGTAGCTTCTGCTGACCTACATGACTGACTGAAATGAACAGTCAATAACTCTAATTAGGCCAACCTGAAAAAAAAAGTATAAAGGGGTACATTAACTCACTGTCACAGCAGCTCGTCCAAAGCGGATCACACTGAGGTCACTGAGGTCTAGCTGTCTGTTGTAGAAGTAAAATCCAGTGGAGGCAAACACTGCTGTGGCCAGAGAGGAGACTTTGAGGAGTCGACCAGCCATCAGGGGTGCTGAGTGGAGGAGGAACATGAGACACAAATGAGGAGAGCTGAATAACGGGGTCACAGTTAAAGCAAAGGTAAGTCTATCACTCATGTAATTCTTCTACAGCTTTTACCAAAGTCGTGTAACTTAAACAGACACAAGCTAAACTTTAAGACAGAACTGAGTGTGTGCTTTGTTATGCTAAACTCAAGAGTTTTTCCTGCTTTAGCAGAAGTTTAATGTCTTGCCATGCAGTCATACACGCATACAATACAATACATTACCCATTATAGAACCCCAATTCTAAGAAAGTTGAGAAACTGTAACATTCTGATACTTTGCCAATCATTCAATTTCCTCTGCTTAATTCATCATTTATTCCTCCCCAACCCAGCAGTGGCCTGGTGGCTGTCTAGCATGAGTCTGGTCCTACCCAAGGTTTCTGTCTGTTAAAAGGAAGTTTTTCCTTGCTACTGTCACTCATGTTAGATGAGATGGGCCAAATCCCATCTTAGGTTGGGTCTTGATAATTCATCAAACAATGAGCATGGTCTAGACCTTCTCTTTTTTTTTAAAAACGTCTTGGGATGACAACTGTTGTGAATTGGCGCTATACAGATTTAATTTGATTTGATTTGATCAGCATCAAACTGCAAAGAATGTATCATCTATAGGACATACAGTCACTAAGATCAGTGAAATCTCTGTCCAATGCCAAAAAAAAACAATACCAAGATTACAAAGATCTTTGAGCTTTCAGGCAGCACTGCTTTAAAAGGAGACAAAGCTGCAGTTGGAATCAACACATGGGCTCCAAATCAGATATAATAAACCAACTTCTGTGAACATTGTCTGTTGCTGCAACCGCAAATGCAGGTTACACTACAACTGAGCCATGCAAAGAGGAAACCTTATATGAACGTGATCCAAAAATGCTGGTGACTCCTCTTGGCATTAGCCATCTTAAGAAGAACTAAGGGAAAGAGGAAAACTGTCCTGTGGTTTGACTAATCAAAATTTGATATTATTTTTTGAAAATCCTGGTTGCCAAGTTCTCCACTCTAAAGAGAGGAGGGGCCCCAGCATGAAGTTCAAAAGCCAGCAACGGTGAAGGCTCCATTAATGCTGAACAATATAGGTTTAGCAGCAACATCTGCTGCCATCCAGACAAAGAGTTTTTCAGTGAAGACCTTCATATTTCAGCAAGACAATGGCAAACCACATACTGACAACAGGGATTACAACAGCATGGCTCTGTAGTAGAAGAGTCCTGCTGAGAAACTACAACCCTGACTTGTCCCCTGTAGAAAATATTAGGTGCATATTTATATGAAAAAATAAACTGAAATCTTGTATCAGACAAGAGTGGGACAGCATCTTTGCAATTTATCGCATTTAATTTTGCAAACTATTATATCCTGTTTTCATTCAGATTTTACTCAGTGTTTCCTCACTCTTCTGAAATGGGAAGTGTTCAAACTTTACATCCTAAACTGGTGATGCAGAATTTCTGTAAGGATGCTTGGTGTTAAAATGAAAGCTCGGATTAATTATCCTGACGTTATCAGCATGACTTACTTTTACTGTTTCCAAACTGGACAGAAGTTTGATCTGTGACAAGCCCCTTATATAAAAGTTGCCGCACCAAATCGTGCATGAAAATGTGTAAATAAAACATGCTCCTGTTTCCGCAGACATGTTTTAATGAACTAACCTTTAAGAATTACGACTAAAATTTCAGAAGAACTTACTTTTGAATTCGGCGTTCATCCAAACCAGCTGGCGTCAGTCATTCGCATAAATCACACCCATCAAAATTAGTTTACCTGTGCCCCCAAAGAGGCGCTTTCCGACTACACTGGGCAATGAACGGGATTAAATCATAGAGCTGCTGGGGGTGGGGGGTGATTTTGGTTTGGGTTTAATGCTGTCTAATCTGAAATCTGATTCCTGAGAGAGTTCATGAATGTAAGATTATTGACGCTGTTACCTTATGACAACTTCAGCGGTGTGTTATACGAAGAGTCTCTGCGTTTCACAATGACAAAGTAAACAAACACCACACAACAGGCACACTGTCATTTACACAAAAAAAGACTAAAAAGGGAGAATTGTCTTACCAGCGTCTCGACATGCGCTGACTGTCTTTCAATCGCCGGTTTTGTTTTGACCTCTTCGGCTGTTACGTTAAGACATGTGAGCGCGATGCATCATGGTTAATGTAGTGCTACTCCCTATGAAAGCTGACGAAGAAAAAACGGATACAGCTCGAACAGTTTCAAAAGGAAAAAGACTTTCTTGACGTATCCGATCACCACAGTTCTCGTTTAAGTGTACGTATAGAAAACTTCAGGCTGTGTAAAATAGCTGTTGTAGATGCATTGTAAAAACTACAACGCGGTCGATCACAGTGACGTCTTCCACATGCGACACTAAAAGAAGGCAGTGAATGACTAAAAAGTTTTAATTTTTAAGGGTTGAAAAGATTTTTCTTTTGAAAACATTGAACTATTTCATCATATTACCCAGTTTTTAATTAAAAAAAATGAAAATAAACATTTAAGCCTCCTTTATCAGCTGTTTTAATCAAATGCCACAAAAAAAGAAAATAAAATTTAACATGTCTGTGGGGAGATTGAAGCTCGCGAGAGAAAAAAGACTGAAATCAATTCTGATGTCTTTTTGTACAATGCAGTTGCAAACAAGACCATCAAAATGAAGATTTGACAGTTTTTATTCAGCTGTTTTCTGGTATCTGAAACATTAACAAGAGTGTCAGTCAAACTATTAACAGCACTTCACCAAAACTACTTCTTTCAGCACTTATCATGTCAAAGATTTTCAATGAGTGATACATTTGAGGGGTAAAATGAAGTAGGACTAGATTTTAGATTATAAAATATGGCTTGTACATGTGCAGGACATAGTAGGTAAGAAAATAAGTGATACCACCTTGTCTTCAGGACATACGAAGGTCAAGGCTTAAGTTCCCCAGAGCAGGAGTTATTTTAACCATTTAAGCACCCAAAGTCAAACAAACTGTTGCACATAGATGAAAATTATTTAATTGAAGTTCATAACCAACATTTCAAGTGTGATAACATTAACATACATTTAAAGAAAAGGATGTGTGACACCGGAAATCCAAAGAGGGTTTTTTTTAAATTAAATAATATTCTTCTTATAAAATCTTGGCAAAGAAATCAAACTTAAAGTAAATCAAATTATTTCCAACATATCAAGACATTATTTTCTAAATCAATGTTTTACCAACAGTACTGCAAAAAAACTTTTGGCCTAAGTCCCCCATACAGCCACCCCATCGAAATAATAGGTTTGAAACGGGGAACCATAAAGACTAGATCTACATTTACAGGATGTTATTGTGAACCTGGTTTCTTGACCAGGTGCTGAGGATGTTCCGCTGTTAAAGTTAGCTACAGTCTCTAGTTGGTTTCCCCAGTAATGAGGGAGTCAGTTATTCAGTTTAAACTCCTGTTCAGTGTTTTTCAGCTTGTTATAAAATAGATAAAGACAGATAAAGAAGACTATTTTGTTGAGGGGCAGTGATAAACTAGTCATAAATTAGTGCAAATCAAAAATTCCTCAAAGGAGCTTTAGAAATTAATCTTTTTTAAAGTGAATCTTTTATTTTTGTATAAAAAAAAGAGAGAAAACCTAAGGTCTAGATACATTTCTTACCAAAAAAAACGAACAACAGACATCACGGTTAGAGAAAGTTTTTATTGCCATATATGAAATGGTGTATGATACACCAGCTTTTGTTCTGTTTACAGTTTGTGACAGGATGGATGAGGAAGTACAGCACTGATAATAAATAAAGACATCAGGTTTGTACCCATCCTCCCTTCAACACAATGACAATAAAGCTTCAAAGTGGAAAATTAAAGCCCAAGCTGTCATGTATTGGTCAAATGTTTTCTCTGAGGTCACACAGAACGGAAACTTTTCACACATGAAACAGGCTGCAAATATGAGCCTGACGATTCAAACAACAAATCTGTATATCCTCATTCACAAGATGGCTCCAAAGTCCTTCAGTCTAATTCACTCTCTTTGTTTGCCTTCATGTCAGTGAAAGCACGTCTGTTCATCTGGACCTGGAGCTGAAACAAAAACAGCAGATGTTTTGAGTTTAAAATTAAGATAAATAGTTAATATTTTCAAGTTCAGACTCTTCTTCTTGAAACTTCATGATGCTTTGTTTATTTATCCCACACTTTACTGATGTCACAAGCTGCTGCTTTTTTTGGTTGATTGTTGTGAGAAAAAAAGAAAAAAGAAAAATTCATCGGCTTTCACTTTTTTATTCATCCCGAGAATTAAAAACTGTGTCAGTGTTTGTAAATGCAAAAGCAGAAATTTTAACATTAATTTCCAGAAAATTCCTGAACTTAACTGTTGTAAAAACTATATGTGAGGAGAGAAAAAAACAGCAACAAAATTCAAATAAACTTTGGCAAAAACGATTTTAGTGATATTTTTTTCAGTTTTAAATGATAATATTAGGATATATTCTTTGAAATAGAAAAGGTGAATGTAGACATGACTTACACCAAATACAACTATAAACAGTATATCTGTAAAAGCTTTAATGCCATTTTTTCTCAAATGTGCTGCAAATCAGGGAGACATGAAACAGAGATTACACAGATTGCACCAGATTTAAACCCAAACTGTAAATAAATGAATATACTGATGTCCAAGACAACACGGCAGTCCAATGGTGGTTCCCCTCCCTGATTTAACCTTCAAATGTCATTTTAAAACAACTTAGGACATAATTTTAAATAAAAAGTGATTTCCTCTTACCTTGGTCCCCTCTAAAATGTGAGGGTCTTTCTGCAGAGCATTATTCAAACCGTCCTCTGTCGAGAACCCGACCCAGCAATAACCTTTATGGAAACCTGTGTCTTTATCCTGATGAAACACACAAACACACAGTCACACAACAGTGTTTTGATCCAGAATGTCAGACAGTCTCCTATAAATTTAAATTTAAACTTTATAATTCAGATAATAAACATGATATGTATAATTAATTATCAAACAGTTCTTTCTCAAATTTGACAAACTGAATAGAAAAATAATTTCCATTAATGTGCCAACAGTGTCCCATATTTGTTACAACATGCAACCTAATCACAATCCCTGCATAATATAGGCAGATCATATTTTTCACACGAGAAAGAGATTAAAAGAAAGTAAAGAGGGTAGAAGAGGGTAAAAGATGGTGTAAGAGGGTAAAAGGGGGTACATCTGAGGCCAGATTCACATAGTAAATGTTAAGAAATGAACAGACCATCAGTGGAGTAGACTGATTACTTACAAATGGAATTAGACACCTTTTAACCTGACCGAACTGTCCGAAGTACTCCCTCATCTCCTCTGAAAAACAAGCGCAACAAATCAAATTGGGTTTAAATCAGGAATAAATATTTCTCTTGGGGATAAATACAGATATTCTTATCTAAAATAATACTCAGTGTCTATTAGGACTGTTACATTACATGATGTTTATAAAAACATAAATAAATACACTGGGCTGCTGATGGAATGTGTCCACTGAAAAGCCTCCTCGTACTAATGTCAAACGTTTAATATTTCTATATCTTCTCCAGTGACCGTTTTAAAACATGAAATCTCTGCAGTCCGGATTCTCTATGGTCTGGTTTAAATATGTTATTTTCAGTCCCTGTCTTAAACTGAGACATTTATGTTTCTCTGTCGAGAATCACATTAACTCAAATGTCATTTCTCCATCATTCAGAGGTTACGGTACAGCGCCGTGATAAACACACTGAATCACATTCAAGACATCTAAGTGCTGCCTCACAGACTTTGATAACACTCTTTACGAGTTAGTAATTAAAAAATTTTATAAATACTTACTGGCGGCCACAGTCCATGGTATTTTAGCCACGAAAACCTCGAACACCTTCTTCGTGGAGGACGCCATGTTTCAACATGCAAACTAACGTGTGACGTAAAGAACGTGATTGAAACTTCTTCTTCTCCTATGGCTGGAGAGAGTCATGCTCACTGCTGCCCTCATCTGGACAGTTTTAAAAACGCTTCTTGTCAGGGTACAAATGTAAAGAGTACACTACAGTCTATGAGAGTACATGATCTCTGACAGCAGGAGGAGCCACAACTCTACAAAGAGGATGCTACTGGAAATCACTTGTGAAATGGTGAGGAGAATAAAGAGAAAAAAACTGATAAAAATAAAATAACAGAAACCTAAAAGTTGAAGGTTTAATTTATCTCGTGATCTGGGTTAGCTAAAAGGGTGATATGTTATAAAAAATTAGTGTTATTCTCCGACGTTTTGTACAATAAATACAAAAAATACATAAATGTAATAACAAGGCTTTTAAAACTCTGACATATTTAGAAAACCTTAAATTCATGCATCGACATAGCCATGGCAATTTTGATTGTTTGTTTTTCTTTGCATAATGTTATTTTTTATATTATTTCAATATGCATTAATGGAGAACCTTGAAATAAAAAAGAAAAACAGAATCGTAAAAAAAAAACTTTACTTTAAAGTCTCTCCAAAGTGATGCATCAGTGATGATGATGATGATGATGATGATGATGATGATGATGATGATGATGATTATAATTATTATTATTTGCTTTTAACATGTTTTCCTTTGTATTGTGTTTTCTGAGTTTAATTTATTTTTTAAAAGAATAGATGGATCATTGATCACCCACTTCACAACACCTTGATGGATCAAAGGGCCGGTGGTGGTGGACAGCTCCTCTCTCTTCGCTGCAGGACAGAAAGATTCAGAAGATCTTTTGTACCCACTTCCATCAGACTTTATAACTCTTGTGTAAATAGTAGGTAACTTTTAGAGACATATTATGTGAGACAACAGACAATTGAATTTTCCTTCGGGGATTAATTGGATTAAATGTTCTTCTTATTCTTATTCTTCTTATTCTTATGAAAAAAAAAAAACAAGAGGAAAAAGGGGGAAGAAAGAAACGCACCAGAACCAACTTGGGTTAACAGTTTTTAACATGTGCACACTGCTGAATCTGGAAGATTGGAACAATATGAAGAAGCTGCTGCAGTATCTGCAGTCCATTGGTATAACAGATGTTATGGATTGCAACAAAGACTGAAATATAAAATAGGTAAATATAAATCTAAACTCAGAGGGCTTGGATGCTCTGAGCTCATATCCTGTGATCCAGATAGTGCTGAAGAGAACTATTGTTTTGGAAAACCCGGATACAGACAAAAGATATTCCTTAAACTAGATGATCTGAAAGCCAGTTCAAGGTACTGTCTCTGAGAAATAGACTGCTGCAGTAAAAATGTGGGAAACGTTGCACTGGGTATGCTGTTAAAGTTCCCAGTTCATTTAGTTCTCCTTGATGAAAATAATCCTTAACTAAATTAAGCTTGTGTTTGTTCTCAGATTTTAATGATTTAAAGCCCAAACTCACTGATAAAATTGGTTTTAATTTAAAAAAAATCACTGCAGTTTCATGCAGAAAAGCTTTAAAACAAGCATAATGTGTGTCATCACAAGTTTCTGAAGCATTGTTCATGTTCATTTTTGATTTTCTATATTCATATATAAAGGAAACGTGAAGTTTGACTGACTTTTTTGGCTTTGGAAAATAAGGAAGTACATAAGTAAATAGGTAAGTTTAATATTAAACAATTGTAGGAATGACTCAAAAACTCCTTAGTTGGGACTACTTAAAAATTCATGCAGATTGTTGCCCTATATGATATAAAATTGATTTTAAAAAATGATTTAAGATTGACTTAATGTTAAATTTCTGAATAAAACTTTTGTTTCTTTTATTTCCCTTTCATTCGAGTAGGTGGTGGCCCTATATCCGAGTGTATGAATGTCCTATTTTTAGACAATGATCAAATATTAATCTGAAGACATTTATTATAAATTCAAACCATTACATGTGCATTATCTTTTAGTAAGACCCAACACCTGTCCACGGGAGGCTTTGGATGACTTATTTACACAAGTGTTACGTTTTGTCCGCTAAAATATAGCCATTTATTCCCACAAGATGATTATTTTAAAGCTCAAGAGATAGTGAGCTGGTTTCCACCAGATCATATCTTGTACACACAAGTAACTTGTTACTATAAGTTAGCACTATATTGTCAGTTTTCTGTCAGAGCTCTCTGAGGAGATATGGAATATCTGACATGAAATCTATCTCAGGTGGGATCTGCTACTAACAGTTTTCTACTGAATATAGGGAGACACAGGAAACATGAAACCATGGCAGCGAGGTTGAGAAGCTGAACAAGGAGTAAAAGTATATTCATAGACAGAGAATATGGATAAGCACAGAAAATGTCTCAGTATGAGAGTCTGACTTCACATACCTTTTGCTAAAGGTATATCTTGCTCAGGTATATCAGATGTGTATATCTGGTGTGTGGTCTGGTAACAAACAGTTGAATATTTTTTTTTATGAAATAAACTTGATCTCCATGTTCAAAGGCTAAATTTCAGTGAAACAGAAAAACTATGCCAAACGTCACCAATGACAACAATTAGTTTGCCATGAGTTCAACATTTGATAACATTTTTATGCTGCATTCGAGCATTTCCCTTTAACCATGAACTTGAAGCTTGATACGTTGACTGAACCACAACACAGAGCTAAAAGAGGCTAAAGGCTTGGTGGAGCTGTAGATTTGGTGATACTTCTCTCAGATCTGGTGGTTTCTCTGTTTTCAGGAGCTTCTAGACTCCTAGTTGGCTGCAGGAGTTAAAGAGCTCAGTTACAGAGACTGGACAGGTTGAGACATTTGATCAGAGTCAGATTTTTCTCAAGAAGAACTGGAACATTAAAATGTGTGTCACACTCTATCACAAGGACCTGAGCATGGTTTGTCTGCTGATAGTCACCAGGTTTGGCTGATTTCACACCGGCTGTTAGGGGACCTTATAAAAACCATTATCAAGGGATGGTGCCTGATTTAAGGCTTGAAATTGGTTGTGTGTCTAGTGAATCTTCAGGTGTGTGGTGTCGGTAGGACTTTGCTACTGCTACTGAACGAGTGCGAGCCTCCTGACCTGGATAATAAACATCACTCATGCTTCAGATTGACAGGCTACAACGCCCCTCAGTGGTTACTACTGACCACAGCCATCGTCAACCACGTTTGTCTTCCAAATTCACATTTGATCGTGTGGGTTTCTGTGAGATCTAATGTCTGTGGAATAACCCACTGGGGTTATTATACAAGTTAACATGTAAACGACATCCAGCCCACCACTGGAGCCTAAAATAACTGAGGCTGCTGGTTAAAGACTAGTTCACTGAAATGTGCTGCTGCTTAAGGACCTGGTTAGTGGCACATTTTGGAGGTTCAGAACAGGTTACCTAACAAATACCACTAGTAAAGGACTGGTTAACTGACATGTGCTGATGGTTAAGAACAGGTTAGCTTTCAAGGGCTGCTGGTTAGTGACTGGTTAACTGAAAGATGCTGCTGGTTAACACTAGAGGGGCAACAGAGCAGCCATTTGACTTCACCCCCTTTCGGGGCCACGGGGCAGCCGATCGGCTGGAAGGCTTTTAGCTAATATCCTAAATCAACTGTAAACACTCATTTTGTTATGCAAACGAGGCGATCGCTGGCGCACCACAGGAGGGGACTGGACTAAGTGATGTATGCAGTGGGTAGGCACAAGAGAAAGGGAGGGATCAACACACATGGGTTTTTTACTTTGTTTCTGAAATTTATTGATAAAAAATAAACAAAATAAAAAAAAACATTTATAGAACTAGAAATGCACTCCGAGAGCGCAGACCTCCGCCAAGCAGCTCATGTCCCCCCCTTGTGATTCACACCAAAACTTTTACTGTTATGTGTCTTTTATTAACTTTTATTTGTGTTTAAACTGGTATGTTCACTGTTCATAATGTTCCTAAAACAATAAAGCTCGTATTAGATACATAAATGCATAATTTATTATGCAATATTTGTAAGTGTACACTTCCTTGTATCTTCATTGGTTATCTTTCAGCATTGAAAATTCCAACGACACCCTTATTTTTGTGTGTTCTGGATCACAGTATCCGGAATTTTGTCTGGATCAGGATCAACCTTTGACACCTCATAAAACTCATTGAGATCCTTTTGTGTAGTTTTTTACGAAAGACTCTGGCCATTTTTATAGAGTTAAATGCAAAAATTCCAAAATTTGCCCTATCTCACAATGATAAAGAATCCTTAAAAAAATTCCTGGATCCAGCAGGCGATCCAGATCACCACCAAAATGTAATGGGATCCTACTGGGGCTAAGATGCACCTCTGGTGAAAATTTCAGGTCAATCCGTCAGTAACTTTCTCCGTAAAGTTGCTAACAGACAAACAAACCAACGCTACCGAAAACATAACCTCCTTGGCAGAGGTAATAAGAACAAGAATATGCATCATCAGGATACAGTGTTAGAGAGTGGCAGTGAGTGAGTACATTTCAGCAATCACTCACAATCCTGGCACTGCCATGGTATCTCCCTTCTGCATTTCCCACATGTGTATCTGTAGCAGTCAACACATCGCACAGTGGCATGATTGTTCTTACATTAATTTTTAACCTGGCACAAGGCTTTTTGCCAAAGCAGTTCTTCCTTTCGTGCCTTCTTCGCACCCACATGAGAGTTAGCCAACTCTCTTGCAAGCTCCACCAGGAAGTACACCCGTCTCTCCTGCCTCCCGGTGCGTGCTTGATACAGCACATGTGCATTCAATGCCGCCATATCAATCATGTTATAGAACACAGGGACTGGCCAGCACCGTGTTCCTGTGCGGACAGTGTACTCCCACACAATCTGGTCCATCACATCCACGTCGGACTTTGTAGTATTGTAAAGGGTGACAGTGTTTGGCTTCTTTTTGGTGGTATTCTCAGTCTGAACCACGCTGTGCATGCTGCTAAGAACGTAGACCATCTTCTTCCGTTTGGGCGCATACACCATCAGCGTGGCTCCAGTGGTTGAAAACACCTGAGTGGTGAATTCATTGCAGTCCCTCTGTCTAGATGATAGTAGAATTTCCTGGCGAATCTTGTTGACTGTGCCTAGGATGGTGGTTTTCTGTCTAACAGCGATGTGAAGAAATTGTCCGTGGTAACATTTCTGCCATTGTCCAGGAATGGTTGCATCAGCCTCATAACTATGTTCTCGGACAGTCTCTCCCCACTGGGACGACTGGGGTCCTTGCCAAGATATGGGAGGACATTGCAGATGTACTTGGATTTCAAGTCACAAGCCACCCAAAACTTGATCCCAAACTTGTCAGGTTTTGTTGCAATGTACTGCAGGAAACAGCAGCGAGTCTTTGACGGGAAAAGCTGTTCGTCAATGGTGATGTGCTGACCAGGGTGAAAAGTGAAATGATATCACAAATGCATGCTTTGAAGCTAACATCTTAAATAGCTCAGCTAAGGTGCAGGGACATCAGGAAAAGTAGAACCAAACAAAACAAACAGAGGCCTGCACTCAGAAACAAAATAGAAAACAAAATGGCTGAAATGAAATCTAACCTGAAGAAAGCTCAGATAGCTCAGAGTCTGAATCCAGCTGAAGGTTTATGTCTTCTCCATCCGAGTCACAAGGGTTTACTCCATCCAGGACCATTTCCAATTCCTGTTGAGTGTTGAGTCTTCTCTGCATCTTCGTTCCATGGAGAGGAGGTTTGTACACCACAGAATTCTTGAGGGTGCTGAAGTAGTAGGCTATGTGCAGTGAGATATTTATCCACTACAGCACAAAAGGAATTACCTCTCCTTTGAGTGCAATAGGCCACATGAAAATGTGATAAATTGTCAATCAAACAGTGATTCTGTGAATGGAGGTGGTTGCAGTCACCTGAGTTGTCACATGAGTCGTTATGGTCATTCTCACATTCACATTCACACTCTCAACATCTTCACCAGAGTAGAAAAAAGTAGTGTCATCTGCAAACAGTATGCAATTTAACAATTTAAGATATATTAACAATGTCATTGATATAAAGTATAAACAGTTTTGGTCCTGGGACTGACCCCTGGGGCACACCACAGGTTATATTTAGTAATCCAGATTTATTTATTTGTACAAACTGTCTGTGCAGTGGCTATGGCTGAAGCAGTTTTTGTCTAAAGTTGTTGCCAGGTTGGAAATTTTGATATAGGGATCACTGAGGTTTCGGACACCCCTCAAAATGGCACTAACCCCCATGTAGTCATCTATATAGGGGTTAGGGATCCATTTTGGACACAGCCTATGACAGTTTCTAACCTTGTTCGAGCTGTAGTGGCCATCTTTGCGGTTGCCATGGTGCTTCCAAAAGGCTGGTGGTTTCCATGGTAACAACCATCCCTCAGGTTGTTGTGGTTGTTTCTTTCTTCCTGTCCTCTGTAATGGTTTTCCTGCTGACTTAAGCAATGCTCTTTGCACTTTGTTTCCTCTACCAGCTGAAGTCTTTCTCGCTGTTGTTTCTGAGGAGGTGGTCACCATTGTCACCTTGTTTATGAGGTCATGTCCCTCCACCACGTCTCTGTTGTCATTGCGATTGTAAAAGCAGAGCTCCTCTCCCCTGCTGTGGTTTTGGCAGTTGTTTTGGCATTTTGATTGGTGATGCACAGCTGCTCCACCTCATTGGCCAACAGCTCGTACAGACGGCTTGGATCATGTGACCCCTAAAAACAGCAAAACAGAGGAACAGTGGGGTCACACTCTGAAAAACAGAGAGTGATGGAACAGTGAAAACAGCAGAGAAGATCTGAGAGAAGACCAGAGTTCAGACTGTTCACTGTTTTTCTGTTACAGTGACCAGACGCTGACCATTCAAAGATCTACCAGTCTGTCACATTCCACACACACTCAGTCTGGACTGCCCTCTGTATTACTTACAGGGACCAACACCAGCATCAGGCTGTCCCAGATCAGACCCTCTCTCATCCATCTCAATCCACCATGAGAAAAACACTTTCCAGCATTAAGAGATTTACAGTGGAGAGGAAAAAATTCTCTTCAGGTAAAACATGCAGGAACCAGAGTTTTCTGTAACACTTGATGACCTGAGTATCTTTTTTGGCCTACTATTTGAGAGCATTATGGCAAAAAGAGTTAGGTTCCTCCTATCTAATCCCACATTTAACCATTGTGATGGTGGAGATCATCAGGCTCTGTAAACTGTAAGACACTGTGCTGAGCTTCCTAACACATCAGATCATATAGAGGCTTGACAGCTGCTAGCAAAGGCCCTGTAACCCCACAAACCCTGAGGATAATATCCAGGACAATGTACAGGAAAATGTAATGTATGAGATAGTGTATAGGATGATCTAAACCATAATATACAGAGTGATGTATAGGTCATACAACAGAATAGGATAAAGGTCTAACAGATATCGCATGGAAACAGCAGAGGGCAGCAGTATACTTCGGGTGCGTCTAGTCTGCCAAAACCAAAGAAGAAGACTTGCATCGAACTGTCAGTTACGTCATGGCTAAGATGGCGGCCTCCGTGGTGGAAAGTGGTGAAGATGCATTTAGGAAAATCTTCAAGTTTTACAGGAGAAGAAACCCTCCGCCAGATTTCAGCGATGTGATTGATTTCTCCAGAAGTTTGCCGAATGACAAGGTGACGGAAATGTGACAGTGAGAGGAAAGACTGCGAGAATTACGTGACTGATTTAGACAGACAGTGATGTAAAACCCTCTCGAATCTGAATAAACTTTTTCTACAGCTTGATCATATTCAAATGGTCGCATAGTTGTTAAAGGGGCTGTATGAACAAGTCTGTCAGTCCACAAAGTTTATTTTAATTAAGGAGGAGGACCTGCTGAGACCTGGATGTTGTATTCTTACTGTATCTGTCTCTTTGTGTGGTTGACAGATAGTTCCTGCTGATCTGGATCCTTCTGCACTGACTGATGTGGAGGCTGCACAGGTTGGACTGCAGCCTGTCAGAGACTGGAGAGCCTTCGGACTGCGGGGCTACCCAGGTGAGTGCAGGTAGACCAGAGAGAGAAACTTCAACATTAAAAGTATACATCTGACAGTCTGAATATCTGCCTTTTATCTATCTTTAATCCTGTGGTCAAAAAATTAATTCACAAGTTAAATGTTTCACTAGCAGACATGTTGATGACAAAAAAGGAGGAAAATGCATCCTCAGAGGCTTCTGTGTTTCTCAGGTTTCATCTTCATCTCTAACCCGTTCCTCCTGGGCTCCCAGTCTTTCTGGGTCAAACAGTGTCTGAAAACCTACCCTCAGAAGCCCAACGTCTGTAACCTGGACATGCACATGTCTCCGTCTGAAACTCAGGACATCTGGGGAAAGAGTGTGCATGGTTTCAGGTGAGACAAGCTGTCCTCTGAAAGGTCTGATCCGTCTAAACTCAGCCAGTTAGCCATCATTGATCTTAACTATAAAGATGTCATGACTGATCTTAACAGACCTCTTCATGTTATTTTACCATATTTAATGTGGCTGATAAAGTATGAACAGCTTAGATTGTTTTGTTTTTTTAAAGAAATTTTGGCTCTCTCATACTTTGTTGAGAGAAAAGGAAAGTGGGGTCAAAAAAGGGATGAGAGAGGGCAGCAGATGAGGTGCAGCAATTGGCCAGAGTCAAGAAGGCTGTCATTCCAAGGACTTCAGCCTCTGCAGAAAGCATGTTTGATCTAACCAATAAGCTAAACTGTTGAAGCTGTAGCAGATTTATTTCATGTAACTGGACGTCTTTGTAAATGTACTTTGTGTTCGATTCCCTCCTTAGAAATTCCTCTGGAAAGAGAGAACCAAAAACTCTTCTGGAGAGGCTGCGCTGGGTCACTCTGGGTTATCATTACAACTGGGACACAAAGGTGAGCTGATATCAATCTGCTGTAATCAAAGAGACTGTAGCTTCAGGTTAACTGATGTTGAGATGCATACACAGATAGTAATAATATTATGGTCAACATATACAGCACATCAGTATGTAAGTCTGTTCAACGACTTCAAATTTGTCCAACATTTTTATGTATTTTGTTGTTAAGTTCTCTTGTGGGAAGTCTATGTTTGTTAAGACAAACCCCTCAAAATCTGGGATCCTAACAGAAACCACTTATTTTAAGTTTAAAAGTTTCAAAAGGAGGCAGCACATCTAATGTTCCAATTTATGGAGGACAAAAAGTTGACATTTCACCAGTTTATTTGGCTTACATCACAAAAACAAACGCTTATGCATTTAGGCACAGGGCCTTCATAAGAGGATTTACCTTATTCAAAGGAGAGCAGTCACTAAAAGTTACAATAATGAGGTCAAGGTTTCTATTTGTCATCAAATTTTATCATATAGGACTTCATGTTATGTATATAAATGTATAAAAGACAGAGTCGTTGGCTTAAAGTTGATAAAAATGTAAGTCAATTCAAATGTCGAGCCCTGTGGCACACCACATCAGATTTGTTTTTGGTTGTTATGTGCAGTTAAACCTTGTCTTATGCTTCTTTTAACCTTTCTTTCCTGGCTTTCTTTTATTTTCATTCAGGGCATCATATGCCAGGATAATGAGAAAAAGTTGTTTCACCCCTTTTTAACTGAAATTTTAGATTCCTAAATTAAGCCCTAAGATCATTGTAAGAAAATGTTAGGGTTTTAAAGGTGACTGATGACCCATCTGTCTGAAATACCCTTATGCAGTAAATAAATAATTGCCGAACCTTAAGTTTTGAGATGATGTTTTATATTTATGGACAGCCTGTTAGAACATGCGGTATCTCCTTTACTCATTTTACTCGCGTAAGTTCGGATCTTTTCTCTTGTGTCATTCACAGACTTACTCTGAAAACCATCACACTCCTTTCCCCACTGATCTCCACTCCCTGTCCTCTAAAGTCACGGCAGCCTGTGGGTTCCCGGGGTTCATCGCCGAGGCTGGAATCCTGAACTTCTACAGATCTGATTCATCTCTGGGGATTCATGTGGACGAATCTGAGTTGGATCACAGCCGACCACTGCTCTCATTCAGGTTTGATCTATTATTTTATTTATAACTGTCATGATTTATTTAAGTTTGGGAGGGGGGTCATACTTATTTTGTGTTTCATTTCACTCATAAATAACATTCAAAGTGAAAACAGACTTGACTTGTTTATGCTGTTACTGCGGAAAAATGATCCTTTTCCTCTCCTCTCATAGTTTCGGTCAGTCAGCCATCTTCCTCCTGGGAGGGACCCACAGACAGGACCCTCCTACAGCCATGTACATGCACAGCGGGGACATGATGCTAATGTCAGGACAGAGCCGCCTCCTTTACCATGCTGTCCCCCGTATCCTTCCAGCACCTGAGGGACACACCGCGTCAAAAATGGATCCCTGTAGCCCTATTTCCCTCCTGCAGGACAGCCCTGTGATGGAGACAGTGTCAGAGGAGGACTGGAGGGTGTGCTCCAGGTACATCCAGAGCTCCAGAGTGAATGTGACTGTCAGGCAGGTGCTAGGGCCGGGGCAGAGCTTCCCCGAAACCCCCTCTCCTCCCCAAAGAACTGAAGCAGGACAGACAGGAGGGTACCATGAAGGAGATGGAGATCAAGACAGCGGAAAGAGGAAGAGGAGTAGTAGCTGTGACTCTGCTGATGCTGTTGAGACATGAATCTAGATAGCTGATTCTACAGGAGAGGACTGTGTGATTGATAGCTTTGCATTGATTTGTCTCAGGGCTCAAGTTTGAGTCTGTCTGCTTACTTCATTGGTGAGCACTGTTTCTATAAGACTCCCCTGAGCTGTTTTTGCAGTCATGACTTTTTGTTTTTCTGATTATCATTGTTAATTTCAATCTTGAAAACAAATAATTAATATAAATAAATTCATACATTTAAAACATGTCAGAGCTGAATCTAAAAACTTGTTCAAACCAAATAGATGTTTCTAATATTTTTTAAGCACTGGTCTGTTTTCAGTCTTTTGTTGACCCTGAACCAACTTTTTAGGAACGTCTTACAGCATCAAATTCAGAATGAGTGAATATTTATGAAAAAAACAATCAAGTTATCAGTTTGAGCATTAAATATCTTTATAGTTTATTCAACTGAATAAAGTGGAGAAGGATTTGAAAATCATTATATTCTGTTTTTATTCACATTTTACACAACATCCAAACTTCACTGGAATCAAGGTTTCTTATTCTGTATCGCCACCAAACTTTCATTTGGAAATTGATGAAGTTTTATTTGAACCAATTTTTCAACAAACATAATAAGATGGTAAGAAAACTAGTTCATGTGTATTTTACTGTTTTAGGACATTTAGTGTTTTAATTCCTAAATTCTTAGTCACAGCATTTCTCACATTTCTCTTTTATTTGTAAAGACTTTTACTTTCTTAAAACTATTTAGATAAATTATATTTCAATTTTTATTATAAATAATAAAACTTTTTTAAAATAATACAGGGGAAATAAATGTAAACAGGTATCAGTGGAAAGCAGTACCCATGTTTTTGGTCTGTTTAAAAAATTAACGGTCATATGATTGATCTGGTTTTATTTTGTGGACCTCAAAAAGACTTTATCAGACTCTTCAGCAGAGTTCTTGTCACATTCAAGTCCTTAAATCTGCGCGGATCCATCCGACGACCATTCTGGCGACTTCTCTCCCCATATCCAGAACGAAGGCGTGTCTGAACCCGTTTTCACACAGTCTGAAATCTCCCCGTGGAAAGTCCTGTTTGATGTTGTGATAATACTGAACGGGGCACCAGTGATCTGTGGCTCCGTAATAAAATATCAACTGAAATAAGAACATTGATTCATATTTTAACTGAGGATTCAAGCAGAAATATTGTTTTACTTCATATGGTTTGATGTAATGAAGGGTTAACTTGAAGATGTTCAGGCAGTCACACCAGCAGTAAAGTTACCTTTACCTTTTCTAGATTGTTCCTGATGGTTATGTTGTCTCTTTCCAGAACTTTCCTCATTTCTTGCCCCCCCATGTACATAGCATTCGCTGCAACGATAAAAACCCACCAAGTTTAAGTTCTTGCTTTATTTCAGGTCTGCAAAGTCAAAACAACGTTAAAATGTTCATCCTGGCAGAGATGTGATGGATCATCTATACTTAAACTCCACGACTGCGACATGAAGTTACCGCCAAGTGGTCTGTCAACATTTTTAACACAGTCCAGTTAAGGATTTCAGAAGAATATTACTGACCTGCACAGTCTCCACTGAGCAGCCCGACGGTAGGCTGGACTACAGTTTGGTCTAAAGATTTGATCCCACTGAATATCAGTTTAACCAGACTGGTTTTGAGTCCCTCAGGCAGCAAAGAGAGCAGGAAGACAGGGAGGTAGGCCACATAACGCATCTGACACAGGACAGGGGTCATGACCTTTCCCTGAGGAGTCTGAGCCATGCGCTCGATGGTGGGAAACAACATGACAGCCTTTATAACCTGCATTAAAAAAATGGTTACGATTTTATGAGGGAATGAGGGGCAGATGGAGCCTCATGAAGCTTTGAGGTTTCCAACTCTGCAAACGAAGTGACAACCACAAATTTTAGGAGTTTTGATGCTTGACCTTCAACATCAAAGCTTTATGACTGACCTTGAGTTCAGGATCTCTTTTCATCATCTTCAGAATAATGTAGCAGCCGATGGAGTGTCCCACCAGCACCAGACTGGTTTCTTTGGGAACATATTTACTTAGAAACTCTAATTTGTGTTCAATCTGCCCGTTTAGACCAAACACGTCCATCTCTGCTGCTGAAGAGCTGTCTGTGTAAAAGAAAATGGAACAATCAAACACTGCAGCTCAACTCTTTCTCTGCTGAATTTCAAGATTTCACTCTGTGTATTTTTGTACTTCAGTGTGTTTCTATACCTTCCACCATGTCCATGGAGTCTGGTGGTGCACAGTGTCCAGCGTGGCTCACAGCCCACACCGGGTGCTGGTATCCAAACATACTGTGAATGGTTTGCATGAAGGTTCTGTAAAAGCCAACTACACCTGGGTTACCTGTGAGGAAGAAAAATCAGCATAACAAAGCAGGGAAAGTGATTTATATTTTTTAATGTCTGGATTTTTTAAAAACATAATAATGTTTTAAGATATTATTTTAGGGAGACAGTGAGGAGGGGCATTCACTAAAGTCTACCTAGACTAAAATCTGTTCTTTAACCAGTGTCATATTATCGTCTCTGGATCGGCCTACTGAGTCAAAGCTGCACCCCAAGAAACCTTATAAAGCTCTCATCAATAATCCTCTAATCTGGTTTAACGACATAGTGCATTACTAAATTATGAAAAAGGGCTTAATTGTGTTTGTAGCCTTGTCAGTGTACCTGCTGCAAAGCAACATCCTCTTCTTTGATGACAGCAGATCAAATCTAACAGTGACTATCAAGTGTTTCATATGTGTTCTGTTATAATTTAAAGAATAATTGTAGGAGCCAAAATATATTTCTTGAAAGTTCTATTTTTTTTAGGCATGTCACTTCCGGGATCGTCACTGAGGGGTGTGGGTTTGTGATGTTTGGCGGGTTATTTAAAACTCACAGGTGCAGTCAGACAATGGGTTTGGTAAGCACTGATAATTTGACCGCTCTTTGAACATCTGGACCGTTTTGAGCGTGTTTTGACGCGTTTTGACCGTTTCTCATTGTTTTTCACCTTTTCATTCATTCATCCTGTTTTAACCTCATTTCACCTTTTCAGCTGAAGGCAAAGGACTTGGACCCAGATCAGCGTGTTTTCTTTCCCTTTTTTTAACAATAAATAATTTTTTCTAACACTCAAATCGGGCTGATCATTCAAGCGAGTCACAGATGCATGCAAACCCAAACCCCAGCAGCCTTTTTTGTTGAAGGAAAGCAGTCGCTACAATAATGAACTTCAATATTTTCACTGGAATAATTATGTCATGTTCTGACATCTGTAACATAGACCAATCATTTCATGAATCAATTAAAAATCCACCAGAATCAGGTTTCTGGCTAAAATAACTGTAGATCAAACACGTTTTTTCACCTCTCTGCTCCTGTCAGAACATAAAACGAGTTACACTGTTGATTATTATTTCAAGGAAGGACTTTGTATATTGCTGTGACTGAAACAAATTAAATTAAATCATTTTATGTCGAGAAATATCCACCAGGTTTGTAGGTTTTACTTGAGAAATATAGACAAAGCACAATCCCAGCTAAAATAATGAGGGTGTTCAATCCAGATCTTGAGCTAAGGGCTCTTCCACACTGACCACAGAACATAAGCAGAATGGATTACCTGTGACTGTAGTGTGTTTGAGATAAGATAAGATAAGATAAGATAAGATAAGATATTCTTTTATTCGTCTCACAAGGGGAAATTCCCAAATTTATAGCAGCTACAAATACTTAAGAAAAGTTAAAGAATGAAGAAACTTAGGAGTTAAAAAGATGTTTACACTAGTGTTACTTACAGCTGTTATGTACATGGTTGTTAACTGACCTGGAATGATCAGAAAAAGCACTTTCTGTCCTGAGTGTAACTGGCAGGAGCCAAATTTAAGGACCTCTGTGACGGCTCCACAGCAGTAGATGAAGTCTGTCTGTGGTTCATCTCGCCTTTCTGACACAGTTTGGTCCATTTTGAAAGCTTGAGGGAAAAGAGTGAGAAAATATTAGTATAATTTGATATTTTTTGAACAAGCCACAAATGTAACAGCCAATGAGCACCTTTAATTTGTCCAGTTAGTAAACACAATAATACACAAACAGTACACTGAATAACAACAGTGCATTAATAAGTGGCTCTAAAAGGTGGATTTCTTAGCAGGGTCCAAAGGTAAACCATCCATAATAAGTGGCTCTAAAAGGTGGATTTCTTAGCAGGGTCCAAAGGTAAACCATCCACGTCAGTGTTTAAAGAGCAGGCCCTGTATGTGCGCTGTGTTTGTGCCTGTATTTACAGAAAAAAAGTTTTAAAGGTAATCCTTGTTCATAAAAGATGGTATTTTAATTAAACTGATGCACCAACTTCTGTTTTATCAATGCCGAATCGAAGAATTTTTTTACACTCTCGTATAACTTCATTATTGATAGATATTGATAAAGTTTGCACTTTTATTGAGATGGAGTCGTTAAGATGTTAATATTATACAGTACATGTAGTTCTTGAAGGAGTGAACACAGATTAACGCTTACCGTGGTTAATATGAATTCATAAATGACACCATATACAGTCCTTGCAGCTAGCTTTTAAACCTCATCTAAAAAGTGTAATAATATCGATCAAAATATCTCTTACCTTTCAATATTAGTAAAAATATTATTATGACATCCCTGCCAGTGATTTCTTCTGTCACAGCAGCACGAGTACTTCCTGCTTGGAACACCCCTCGATGCCAATTGGTTAGTTTCCCTAACGTACTTCTTCTGTTTTTTTTTTTGTTTTGTTTTTTTTTTCCCGAAGATGAAACCATATGACAATGACTCTACTGCCCTCTAACGCCAGGAGTCTAGATAAATAAAATCTTAGTGAAGGAAATGGCCTACATTTAAAGGAAAATAGCAGCCACAAAGCTTTGCAGTCCCTACCCTTACGAGTACTAGGGCTACATTAAATTGGAAAAAAAAAAAAAAAAAACTTAAACATTTAGATATTTGTTTTTCAGACTTACAGTTTTTGTCACTAAGTCACTTTCTCATATGAATAAAATCATTAGTGTCACATTCAAATCTGCAAATTTGATGACCACTACAGCGTATTAAGGCTACTTCAAGATTTAGATTTAAAGTCTATTTTCAGTCATTTACTGCGCTGTCTGTGCTCCATTCTTGCAAGAATTAAAGAATTAAATGCATTTTCATTACATATCCCGAACTCTGGTATCTGCCTCTTGTCATTTGGAAAAGAGTTCTCTATCAGTTGTGGAAAATCTGTTTGTCATGAGAACAAAGTAAAAATTATCTTTGATGTGGCCCTTATTTTCCATCATAAACATGTAATTACAGATAAGTCATTGAAATGTTCACTCTGTCTATACAGTAGTTTTTTTAGTAGTGCTGGGATGAGCAGCTATGCAATAAGAGGGAGGCAAGGGAGATATAGCACCAAGGAAGTGCCCTTGTATGTCCCGTGATACTGATAAAACATGATAAAAGGCTTTCCATGGTGCCTTTCCAGCAGATAAAAAGTTAAGAAAAATGCTTTTCTAACAGATGAAACTTCAATAAGGTGCATTTTTAGAAATGTAACCTTTAAACTTGAAGGATTAGTTGTCATGACAGGTTTTTTGATTTTTGTTCATACTGAGTGAAATTTCCAATGCAAACATAAAAATTCACCAGACCTCCTGGACAGCACGAAGACTGTACCATTGATATTGGGACCATTTTTTTCCAAATGTAACCAGCTCTTAGCTTGTTTATTTGCACTACGGGATAGTTAAAGTACAAGTTGGCTGTTGCTGTTTCAGAGCTGTAGCACCACCAGCATCTTTCTCCTTCTAAGTCAGCCTCATCAACAGCATTGCAGAGCTGCAGAGGTTTGTAGTTTTATTATTGCAACGTACTTATCCAGGGGTGAAAGGGGATTTTTTCCCCCAATAACCAATTGTATTTATGAAAAACTATGTCCCCAATAAGCTAAATTGCAGAAATGCTAAATAACTCATAATACCTCACTTCACCCAATGATAATTTCTCCCAGATCCCTGCAGCTCCCATGTGAATGATGACTTAACCCTCACATACTGTTCAAATCCTGTACCTTCACAGTATGTTCCGGGTCAAAATTGCCCCTTCAAAGAGTTCAAAGAGCAGCTTTCTGTCACAGAAAGTTCTCTTGACTAGTTAGGTCATTTTGACCTCTGTCTAGGTGTGTCTGTGTGACTGTATGTCTGTGTGCGTGCGTGTGTGTGTGTGTGTGTGTGTGTTTCTGTCAAGGTAATGATAGTTTCATAATGATTTGAATATATTATTTTGAACAACAAACCTTATATTGAACACGGTTGTTACTGTTTGTCACTTGTCCCACACTGCTAGATCTAAAATCCATCTAAATATAGATACGGGTCAAATTTGACCCATAACAGCCTTAGAGGGGAAAAATTTGTAGCACATAAACAAAAATACACATGAATATTTTTAAATTAATTTCATGTATTTTGGGTTATTTCAGGAAAAGTTGTCAAGTTTCAGGCTTAAAAAATGATGTTTAGGGTATTTTTACTGCTGTTAAAAGTCAAAACGGGTCAAATTTCACCCCGAATGGTATGTGAGGGTTAAGTGTGACAGCATTTCTTGAGAAGTTTGACACAAGCAGTATGACACATTTTGTACTCAGTATTGTTTAATTGAACACTATCACACAACAAACTTGCATCCAAAAATTCTCATGACTGTATTTGCTGTCAAATTCACATCAATTATCTCACAGAAAGAACAACAAAAGAAACCTTCAATCTCAATTCTTTTGCACATCAAACCGACAAGGTTATTATTCACTCAGAGAATAATTTTCTTTCCAGACACTCAATCATCGAGGCATCCTTCACTGCCGTGACTGTGTCGGCCATTCGCTGAAAGACTTCCAAAGGAAAGGTAAGGGAATTTCAATGTCCACCTTTTTATTGCTCACTTTTAAGTATGGTGCTGTGCTTTGGGACGCCCTTCTCATTAAATCTACTCCTTCATTAAGTCCTCCATAGAGGTGTGACTGCAGTATATTGATTAACTCTGTGGTATCATTATTCACTCGCTCCATATTTAAAGCATTATAAACCTCTTGGATCTTCATTTTGGTTTGATCTTTATACTCAGCCACAAATCCCTCTGCCTCCTCTATGTGTCGTTTGGAAGACTGGATAAACTTCCAATGGAGGGTTTCCACCATAGAGGCAATTTCTTCATTTTCATCTCTCAGGTAACTGATGACATTCTCACCTTTTTCAGCAATCACCTGCATGAGATCTTCAATGGCCTTTTGCAGCCATTCAAACCCCCTCCGCACTGACTCTCTTAATTGATCATATGCACGTTTTGCTAAGGTCTTAATCTTATCCATGATCTCATTTCCATTAACAACAACCTCAGTTCCTGGTATTGTGAACTCTATTTCCCTGATGGATTCAAAGATCTTTCCCATGAGGCTGGCAAACCTTTGGGTGGCCCTGTCAGTGGCTCTTGAAATAGACCGACGGGCTCTGTGGAACAACTCTAGACCAGACATCCTTTCTTCAGAGCCAGGGACTGGGAACTTAAGGTCACTCAAGAACTGTGTGATTGCATCCAGCAAGTCATAGATCTTGTTTTCACTGCGTTTCAAGGTGTGCCTCAACTCACGGGCCAACTTGTCCATTTCCTCCTGCACACTGAGGGACATCAAGCTGTCTGAAGCCTTTGTGTACATGTCTTTTCCCTGATCAAAAGTGTTTCTGATTGAATCCTGCAGTGAGTTAAAGGACAAAGGAACCTCATGATAGGCTCGCTCTATGACATTGGAAAATGTGTTTTTCAGTTTCATGCCACCGCGGCTGAGATCAAAACCAAAGTGAGCGGTGTGATATTTGTTTATGAACTTAAGGATAGCATCAGTCATCGCAGGAATCCTCTCTTTGGTCCCCTCAATCAGATCATGGAGGAAGTCCCAATTCCATGACATCTGAAGCATCAACTTCTGGGAGTTTTTCAGCGTGGCTTTGGTAGTCAAAACATCTGTGTCTTTCTCAGGAGATGACTGAATTTACAAGAAAGAAGCAGAATAAGCATCAAGTTAGACTCAAATATCATAAATCAGTCTGTACATTTCTGTTGACAAAATGCCTTTATGTTAGTCTTACCAGGTAGCGACTAAACAGTTTTCCATACAGCTGTGACGCAGACCTCCGCTGCAAATGCAAACCCAGGAAACCAGCCGATGGCGAAGAAATCGATGCAGTAACGCCGTCTTTGCGGGAAGCGAGACGAAAGTTCACATCAGCAAATGTTTTGCTGGCGACGTCCACATTAAGAGTATGACGAGACTCCCTTTAAGACAGACACAGTCATCAGTAGAGCTTCTTTGTTTTACCTACTGAAGCTCAATTAAAAGAGTTGTTAAATTCTGCAGAAAATAATAATAATAAAAAAAAAAAACATACATGGAATCAGGAGCAGTCTGGCGCTTCATCCTAAAAAAAGAATCATATTAAGTCAGTAAACATGCAGAAACCGCAAGGCCAGCAGTCTGTAGCCAAGCCTTTACCAACCTTTCCAGGCAGCTCATCATACCATCATGGCTGAGTAGTAAAGACCTCCATGTAGACTTCATTGAGTAAAACTTGAACTCAAAGCCACAAAATGTGCAGTGAATATTTACCTGAAGTTACGAGACATTACGTGTTGCCAGTCGACAGTAACGTCACTGTGAATCAAGTTGCACTTTCCAATTAGATTAAAGAATCCATTTTCAAATCCAAGAGTTGCACTGGCTGAGGGGACAAAAGCAAAATAAGACTTGTTTTGAACCCGTTACCTCATACAACAAAATCTTATGAAATGAACAAGAGTCCGTCCCAGTCCTACCAGAGAGATCGTACTCCAGGAAAATCATGGTCGAAGTACAGATGGAGTTCAATGAAGCCACAAGTGCATCCCTTTCCTCCAGACTGGCAGTTGTTGACATGTTATAAATGGGGGACTTGAGTTTGAATGTTGCACTGAGGGCTCCAAACTTGGGGATAAACAGACCTGTGGGCATGTGAAGGGTGATTTTTGGAATTTCAATTTTCTGCTCTGGAATGGTGATGGTGGGAAGCTCGAAGTTTGAAATCTGGGTTGTGATTTTATTCAAGTTGAAAGTGTATTCTCCAAAAGTGAAGGACTTTGGGAGGGTGAAAGATGGCACTGTGATATCATACTGTGGTATCTTAAATGACAGGAATGGTATTTTCTCCTGTAAATACTCTGTGTCAATATTGTAGCTTGGCACTGACATTGTTGGCAAGCCAGGAAGCATGATTTCAAAGGCGGTCGTTGTGATCACCTTGGGGATGCTGAGACTCTTTGGATTGATTGTGAAAGGCTCCACATGCAAGTTTGTATATGGCACTTTAAAAGCTGGGACTGAAATTACAGGTGGGAAAGCCACGTGGTCAGGGATGTCAGGGTTTTCCAGTCGCATGTCTATGTTCCTTATGGAATTTGGGATTTCTCTCACCCAAGATGGCACTGCCACGTGAATCTCAGGGATGCTAAGAATGACACCATCTTCAAATATTTGGGATGGTATTTTAAACTCTACACCGTCTGAGGTCTTTGTGTATACAATGCTGGAGGAGATGTTGAGGAATTGTAAGTCATCCATATTTGCGACCTGACCAAACTTGAGCACATCCCAGAGGCTCTTCTGATAAACAGGAAGCTTAACTGACTTCAAGAATGCCAGATGGCCTTCAACAGACTCAGTTAAGTCCATGCGTACCTCAGAATCATCATTGGACACAACGAAATCACAAGCATGGATGAAAGATGCCAGCTGCTCCTTTCCACTCCAGGTAAATGACTGTTTCTCTGAGGTGATGTCCAATTTGACATTCTGAATTAGTCCAACATGGCCTAAACTGCTCGGCTGATTTGCATCACTGTTCAGTGTCATCTTGAATGTTGTTAGAGGAACAAAATCTAGATTTCCATCAATAACTTGCCTTCCATTTGTGTTGAAAAACCCTAAATCAACATTGTTACTGCTCATGTGGTCGACCTTGGCAAACACACGTCGCAAGGAGACCTCAAGGGCCAAGTTATCATTCAAGTCAAACTGGAAGATGTTGTTTGAGTTGCGTTTTTGTCTTCCCTGTTTGTCAATGGCCGAGTCCAAAACAGTCTTGATAGTTGAACGTAAGCCATTGGCATTGAGGTAGAAATTGGCCTCATTTTGGAGAGACCCTCCAAATGTGCAACTATCCATTAACATGATATCAGACTTTCCGTTTACTAAGGTCACCAAAGACACATCGGAGGAAAGAGCTTCCAGTGCCCAGTTTATATCGAGGTTTCCTTTGCTTGCAGATTCAATCAAAGGAAAATTAAACATGTATTTGATATTTTTCTTGGATACAACATTCGGCTTCATTTTAGTACTTCCACTGAGTTCCTGGTTGAACTCCAGATTTAGGAACGGCAGATTGATTTTCACAGTGTTGGTGACGGATGCCTCCATGCTCCTCTTGGCGAGACTGACAGCACATTCGTGGTTGGCACCTATAATATCATGCTCCAGAGACACAGTGGTGGCCAGTTTTATGCCCCTCTTCCTCGTCAGACTGGAGGTGCCATCGATTTTTCCATTCAAAATGTCAAACACAGACACAGAGAAAGCACTGAACCGGGTGACGATGTCAGGCTGGTTATAGAGCCCAGCGTTGGCGTTCAAGTTAATCACAGGGGATTTGAAGGAGAAATCATATGTCATGTTACCCATGGCTGGAATCACTATTCTGTTCTGAATGGTTGGCAGGGTGAGAGTGGGTAGTTGTATTTCACTCAAAGTCTCTGGAACATAGACGACCGGCAGCTCTAGGGATGGTAGCACGAGAGTGTATGATGGCACAGAGAAACCGAGGGCTGGGATCTTGAAGCTTGGTGTGCTGACCTCCTTGGGAACAAAATAGCTGAAGGCTGGCATCTCAGCTCTGAAGGCAGACACCTCGATGTTTAATATTGGGATTTTGTATCCTGGCACAGTGAAGATTCTAGGAGGCATGCCAGATGTGTCAATTTTGTGTTTGATGTACTGTGCCTTTGCTTGGTTGTACGAATCTTTTAAAAGTGCAACTATTTTATCCCTGAATTCTTCAAATTGAACCTGGATGATGTGGGCATTATCAATGATTGTGTTGTATATTGGCTCGAGGTGTACTTCAATGATGTGCACATCAGGGTTCTTGAAGTAATGAAGCTTCAGATTCATATCCATCGATTGTTGAGGGGTGATGAGCAAGGTTTTCAAACCAGCATGTTCCCACAGAGAGAATTCTCTGATTTCAGGGGTGTTCATATTCAGGTAAGGTATGATTATCTCTGGGATGGACAGAGGAACAGTCAAAAAGTCCAGATTAGCCTCCCCATTTGCTGTTGCATGTAAGAAAATGTCCATTTCATTGTTTTCTGCAGTTATGTTGTGATTGTACTTGTACTGGTTGAATCTTGCCAAAGCAAAACAGCTAGCACGCTGCTTTTTATAATTCAGACTTACTCCGCAGTCATGCTGGAGATCTACCTTTCCAGTGAGTTTCAGGGGGAAGAACATCTTTGTGTTTACTTTATTCTTTGTATCAAGCTCGATTTCAAATGGATGGGCCTTGAACTCCAAAGTGTTGGCCATGAATCCAACCAGGTTTCCAGTGAATTCAGCATCATGAGCAGCTGTCAGTGCAACCTTCAGGTCTCCAATACTGGCCTCCACATTTAGAGTCATGACACTCTTCTTAACAGATGGAGTTTCAGTTTCACATCTTGCCTCGATGGTTACATGGCTTAAAGTAACAGATTCAACAGTCAATGTTTTCTTTGATTTCAAGGCTTTACAGTCTGTTTCTTCTGAGAAAGTCAACTTAGCAGTATTAAAATCAACATTGAATTCAGTTTTACTTGTGTGTGTGCCTTCATCTGAGTAATCCTGAATGGACCACTTTCCATTTCCTGTAGTTTCTCCAGTCACAATGACTCTGCCAGACTCCACTTTGGTTGTGATATGCTGCTCCATTGCTGCCTGACTTAGGATTTCAATTGCAGGGATGCCCAAGTTGTGGTTGTAGGTTGTGTTTATGGCTGCAGAAATTTCATTGTTCAGTGTCAGTCCCATAGTGTTGACCAAGTCTGCTGTGTACACTTCAGTCAAAGCCTTGGTAATAGTTTTGGAAGAGGCCTCAGCAGAGGATCCAGTGAGTGTTAAAGATCCTTCATGGTCAACAGAGAAAGCCATGTGTGTCAGCTTCATTTGTTCTGTGAATAGCAGCTTCTCAGCTGAGCGGAGCGGCTTCTCAGCTGAGCGGAGGCTCCTTCGAAGCCTCCACTGAGCTTCCAGCTGAGCAGAGGCTTCAAAAGAGTATTCAAGTGGCCTGAAGATTGACTTGGCCTCAGAGTTTAAAGTGGCAGTGAACTGTGGGTTTTTAGGAGTGGACGTGGAGTTCTCAATCTTCCCAATGGTTACAAGTGTGTATAATGGAGAGGCCAATGTGAATTCTCCTTGGAGTTTCCCAAAAACTGGGACACAAATATCACTCGGGATCTCAGGCAGCTGGATTTCTGGAATTGGAAGCATTGTGATTTCAAAGTTCTCAAAATTTAATGTTGGGATATTGACGGCTGGAAATTTGATCTCTGAAAGAGTTATTTCTGGCAAGGTGAGATCAGGTAGGTCAGACAAGTAGAGCACTTTTAGGTCACCAAATATGTCCTCAGGGTCGGTCCACTGAATCTCAAACTCTTTCATCCTGTCAATGACTTTGATTATATTTGCTTTGAGTTCATCAAAATCTATGGTGATGGCTGGCAGTGTGTGGAGATTGAGAATGGTGAACTCAGGGATTGAGATTTGAGCTGGGATGCTGATCTCTTGCAGTTTGTTCAGGTTGATTGTAAATGCTGGAATAACAAGGTCAGTGAGAGGTACAATGAAAGTGGGAACTTCAATCTCAGCTTTTTTCAGGGCACTCAGGGCTCCATCTAGACCTTGTTTTATCTGAGAGATGGTCTCACTGTCCTCTGTCATTTCTCTGAGCTTTTCCATCAGTTGGTCTAGCTGTGTAGAAATGTAGGCAACAATATTAGTGTAAGACTCGCTCGCTCTTTGAAGGTGAATGTACATTTCAGTTCTGATATCCATGTCAAGGATTCGCTGTCTCATGTCCTCAAGGATATCCATTACTTTCATGTACATGTCATCAAAAAAGGTGGTGTCGAGCACATTTTTCAGTCTCTTCAGAGCGTCAGCCACCTTTGTGTCTTTTAATCCTTCCAGATATGTGTAGATTGTACTTTGGATTTCTCTAAAAAACTCACGAATGGCCTCTATTTTCTGGACAACCTCATATGTTTTGATTTGCTCATTAATGTAGTTTGTCAGATCTGCAATCTTCTCATTGGTGTCATCAACAAATGCATTGTAGTCAAATGCCTTCATTGACTGCAGCATTGAAGAAATGCTTGCATTTAGGTCATCGATGCTCTTTTTGAAGTCAATCCCTCTGAGCTCATTCGTCACACTTTGCAGAAATTGTATCACTTTATCATAAGCCAATTCAAAGTTCAAAGAGCTCAGAGAATCTACCATCAACTGCACGGTTCCATCAATTTTAAAATCCTCTATAAGAATCAAAATCCGATCCATTAAGTCCTTAAACTTGTCATCAAGCCTGTATTTTAAAAACAAGTCTCTGATGTAAGAATACACTGTGTTCAGCTTGTTGGGGATTTCATATTCATCAATCCAGTTGAGGATAACATCATTCATAGAATCGATCACTTTTGCAATGTCCAAAGAGGATATTTTAGAGGACAACTGCTCAGCATGCTTGGCTAAGTCAATTGAGAGAAGGTACTCCTTTACATCCTCCATAAACATGCTGATCTCAAAATTCTCAATGAGCTCCTTCATGCTAATTAATGCATCTTTGATTTTCTCCAGGATTCCATATTTAGAGTCCAGCTCTTTCAGCCAGGTAGCACTGTTTTCAGAGAGCTTCTGCAAATCAATCTGCCCGATTATGTCATCAATGGCATCAAGTACTTTAATGAGTGACTGCTTTATTTTATACTGGTCATCAAGCTCTTGAAGCCAGTTTTTAATTTTAGAAAATATGTTTGTGATCTTCTCTGCAAGGCGTCCGTCGTTGACATAGTCTGTAACCGTACTGGTAAGGTCTTTTATATTGTCCACCATGTCCATCGCTGTTTTTTCAAAGTTCCTTTTTAGATCTTCCATTGTAAGCTCTAGATCATCCATGGATATTGAAAACTCATCCATCAAATAATCTAGTGTTGCTTTTACTTGATTAAATTTACCCTCCAAGTCCATTTCTTGCATGAAGTCCCTCACTTGTGATGGGAGTTGATCTAACTTGACTCTGAAGTCAGCGATTAGTCGATCAATATCCAAACTGTTGATGCGGTCTTGAAGCATTTCTAATGCTTGTACCAGGGTGTTTTTGAGCTGCTCGAAGGCAGCAGGAAAGCTTTCGATGAACGGTATATCAATGATGTGACAGTCACTGTTCTTGTCATACCTGAGGAAACCAGTGATGCTGAATTTTTGTGCTTCTGGTGTTGATCTTTTTTGCCTGCTTAACCTGCTGAAAAAGTCTGTCAACAATTCCCCTAAAAACTCAAACCCATTTTTCTCGGGATCATTGTAAGCACTGATTTCTTGTTTGTAAGCATGGTCATTCAGGTGAGATTTTAAAAGCCATTTCAGAGCTTGGTTACTTGGCATCAGGAGGCCTTCAAATTTGTTCTCCAAGTTAGTGGAAATCGACTTACTTGGAAGCACATGTGCAGTTGAAACTCTGCTGTCATGTGAGTATCCAAAAGCGAGAGGCTGAGCTTTGACCAACAGCTTACTGTACAGCTGTCCAGTGTGCTTCCCGAGGAGTTCAATCTGCCCGTCGCTGTTTACCAGAGCATCAATCGTGAGGCTAAAAGGCAGCGCCATGGTGCGAACAGTGCTGTCAAAACGCAGAGGCTCAGAGTTTACCCTTGTTTCACAGAACAATGTTGAGGAGAGTCCTGCGAATTCAAACTCACAGTTGTGACTTAGCTGTGAATCTACTATGTTTCCAGACAGGCTGTTTTTTATTGCACCTGCCAGATTGTCATAGTTGAGTTCATACGTATTTTTCATGTAGTTGTCATCTCCGTAAGCTCCCTTTAAACTTCCGCTCAGGTCCACTTTTATTGGCTCAAGCCTCATGTGGCCTTCATTGACCACACTGACATCATAAAACTTCAGATCATTTGTCATATCCACTGACATGACAAACGGTTTCATATCAACCTTGGTGTCTTGTTTGTAGTAAACATCCTTGCAGATGAAGTTGTCTGTCTTGGACTTAAGGGCGAGAGTCCACAGAGTGATGGTCAATGAGTGGCTGTTTTCTGTCGTCATCTGTTCCAGTGTTCCCATGGAGTTGCTGGTAAAGATTAGACCTCTTCGGTTCAGTAATAAATCCATGTTGTTTCTTGTGGTTGCATCATAAGCATGGCCTTTGAGGACACCATTCACGGAGGCTTCTGCAGCTGTGATTTTACCCTCAATGGTCAGCTCTCCTCTGCTCTCTTCAGCCATAGCTTTGGTCGTACAGGACAGGCTCGCTCCATTGCTGTCTATGGCCCCATTGAAGACATTTTCCACTGTGACAGGGCTGCACTGAATGCTGTTGGTCCCACTTGTGGTCAGACCATCCTTGTTCACTAAAAGAGAAGCTTTGTGCAATCCACGGCCTATATCAGAGACAAGGGAGCCCTCAGAGTTTACATCAAGTCCATTCGAACCGAGAGATCCTGTTATGAGGGAGTATACTCTGTTTTTGTCATCATCTGCCTGTGACTCAATTCTGAGGATGGCCATTTGGTTGGACACACCAAGCTCCACTTTGTTATTGAGGGATGTACCCTGCAAAGGTCTGGCAACGCCGTTGCATTTTAAGGTCAGCTGTGAGTCTTTGTATTTGAGCTCTGCCACATGCTTGACGATGTCGTCTTGGGTGTTGGTTCTAGACACAATGTTCAACTCAGAGTTTGCATAGGCTCCTTGGATCTTATTGTTGACTTGGATAAATGGCATGTTTAATTGAAGAGTGGACTCTCCTCTCCCCTCTCTGTACAGAGAACGCAGGCTGTAGCTGTTAGAGTAGGTGGAATTGGCGACAAACGATCCTAACCTTAGTAATCCATCCACAGTGCCATCTCCGTAGACTTCTTCTGCCTCAGTGGAAGTGGACTGGGCGGAGTAGTGGAGAGAGACTTGCAGGCCTAAAGGACTAGATGCTTCAATCTTATAGTTGGCTCTTGCAATCAGTTTGTCTGTTATTCTCACACTTTCTGAGACACTAAGGCTTGTTTCAATGAGACTGTGGCTGAAGGAACTATTCAGGAGATACTTGAGACTGTCATCAGCTCTTCCAGACATCATCCCAGTGCCTTTGAATAGAGAGAGAAATGATATGGTGTGAATCAAAGCTCGGAAACTGTTGGCAACCGGCATTTTTCATGAGCATCAAATCTTGTTTTATGTTTCCAGTGTCCAAAAATAACTCGGCCTCCAATTATTCTCAAAAATAGGATCCAGAATCTGAATCAGGATGGGAAAAAACTTCACTTCTCTATGTGGGAGTACTTTTAACTCAGTAATTCAGTTGATTTGTAATACGGGGAACTGGTGGTTCTGCTAAGTTGCGCAGCACTGATAAACCAGACTCTGCTGATGTTGAATGACTTGGAACCTTTGAACTGTTACTTACCTTCAAGCTTGTATGACAGCAGGTTGAAAGGTGATTGGGCAATGGCCTTGTACTGCAAAATGCAGCTCGGAACATCGACAGTGTTGTTGCCCCCAGAGACAGAGCCCTCCCAGCTGTAGAAGTTGCTGTTGATCTTGGTTGAAGCTTCAGCAAGACCAAGAAGAGGGACAGTGAAATCCAGAGTTGGTGGTATGGTGAATGGTGGTATAGGGATGCTTCTGGCGGGGACAGACAAGCCTATCTGTGGTACATCTATGTCTGGCAGGGACAGAGAGGTTGGGATGTTCAGCTCTTCTGACTTTTTGCCTCCGTGTGGAAGAGGAAGCGAGATGGACAGTTTATCCTTATTGAACTGGTATCGAAACAGGCTGTCACTGTAATGGGACCAAAACAAGCAGCATCAGTATGGTTCTGGTTTTGGATTTTTGCCTTTGATAACATATTACAAATTAAAAGATGAAAATGATTTTGGCCCCAAAGGTCAAATGCATAAACATAAGAAATGTTTCACCTAATGTCAAAATGCAAAACTATGTCATGAAACACAGGAACAATTTCAAAAATACAAAAATAACGTCATATGTTTCACAACGTGTTCATAATGTGCATTTTGGTTTGTGTAGTTTGCCTTCAGGGCCACCATAGGTCATGGACAGATTCCTTTGGTCACTATTTGATTGTGCTAATACTGAACTTTTTTGAATTCCACACTCACATCTGTAGAAACAGTTTCTCAGGCAGAGCCGGCAAGGTGAGATCTGAGATGCTCCTCTTGCTTCGCAGGTTTGCAAGGTAGGGGATGCGTTCAGTCAATTTTCCGAACCATATATCACCGGCCTTTAAGAGGGCATGAAACATAACATTTCCACCTTAAAATTAAAGACAAAACCTAGACAAAACCCAGTTAACAAAAACTGATTATGTTGTTAAAACCAAAGCTTCACCTCGATTCCTTTGGTGACAATGTGGCGCAGTTTCATATCGGTCTTGGCCACCTTCTGGTCCAAGATTTGATCAATTAACTGTTGCAGCTGTCTGTGATGATCCTCAATATTCGGGATCAACTTCTGAATCTCTGAATTCAGGTCTGATTTCAACTCCAGTTCCAACTTGTCATCATCTATCAAGAAGAAAAACCTTACATGAATCCTGCAGAAATTCAAGGTTCTGTCTTAAGTCTGCTCTCTATGTTGGGGATGTGATTTCTGGCTGACAGTTACCGTATTTAAGAGTCGCTTTCTGTTGAGAGGAAGTCTCAGGAAGGTTGATGACCGTCTCTAAATCCAAGATTATACCTTCATCCCTCTTCAGGATTGCAGTGATGGAGGCATCAGTTTTCAGAGAGGGGATGGCCATTTCAAGCTGCAGCATGACCTCCTTCATCATGTCAAGCCTAACATTCAACCAAAGAGGAGTTTGTTCCTTATGTACTACTTTCAGGATGTTTTTTCTCCTTTAATTTCCTGTCTAAATACATAATCTAAAGAAAACATGCTGCACAAACAGTCAGATATACAGTATGTACCTTGAGCGTCCAATGAGAGTCAGCTGTGGGATGTTCTTGTTGGTGACATCAATGGTGATTCCTCGCATCATCTTCCCTTTAGCCTCGCTGTCCGTCAGAGCCAGCCTGATGCCTGCTTCCACATCAAAATCGGGAATGACAACCTCTGTGGTGACCGTGTTTTTGTTGTGGTTGTATTTCAGGGTTGCAGTGGCCTCTGATGAATCATCACCTAGTAAAAGCAGAGATTTTTGACCTGAGGGTTTTGAAAACAGCTTTTAAATTAGTCTAATCCAGCACCCTAGGACACCTTATGTAGACTACAAGATCCCGCAAAGACTGGGTGACTTGCCTAGCCACTATATACAAGACTACAACAGAAGTATTTGCAGATTGTTTCCCATCATGCTCTTGTTTGACATTTACCACAAGAAAAGCAAACAATGAGACAGAAAATTTTAGCTATTAGGGCTTATGGATGCCCACAAATGGGTGTTTGCAGATCGATAATGTCGGGGGGGGGGGGGAATGCAGTACACGTTTGCAAACTCTTTAGAGGAACTGTCTTCCTCCCTTTTTTAAACCTGCTCCTGAAAAAATCAACCAGTAGAAAAATCTATGGAAGCACTAGAGAGCTTTATCCACACATGTATGAGCACCTGAAAACTTGTGTGAATGCAGAATCAGGCGACGTTTGTTCCTTAACTTGCACAAACCTTTTCCTGCCTTCTAGTAAAATCTCCACATAAAGTCAGGGTGAGCTGATGTGCAAATGGCACAGGAAAGATTTAGGGTAATGCACTGAAAGGAAGCAGGGTGGTGATGGTGCTTTAATGATGGGACTGGGTACCTAAAATTGCCATTTTCTGAGGGTAACTAACTCAAAGTGTTGCTCTTTGTCCCTCTGGATTTCCAGCATCAGTGTTGTTTATATTTGCTTATCATTTGGAAAAGCTTTAAAATGATCAGTTGCAACATTCTGGCAGGTCATCTTTACAACATTGTAGGTTGTGTTGCTCTGATTGGCCCTTGTGTGACGTACCCTCAGCCTTCAGGGTCAGCTTCAGAGAGCTGACTTTGTTTCGACCCTTTTTACCCTCCCTGAGCGTCTCTTGAGTGATGGTGGCTGTGTACTCTGAGACTTCTCCTGTGGGCTGAATTTCAATGGCAAACCTGAGAAAACAAAAACTGGTTTTATTTACTCCTCCATTATACCAATAGAGCCACACACTTAAAACAATGTGGGGTCGATATGCTGGAAGAATCAATTTTCAATTTTTAATGAAACCCGTACTAAAGTATAACTTCACAAGGTGCTAAAAAATACCAAATAGACAAACAAAAATTTTTCTCTTAAATTATCAACTTAATTCTTGTTTGTTTATGCCTGTTCTCTCAAAATCTCACTTTTTCCTTCTGAAATGTTGTGTCATAGCATTTAACTTTAACCCATTTATTTTCTGCATATTTAAACCATGAAATACTGAGTTAGGATTATCAAAAGATAGGCTAATTCAACATTCACGACATGTTTTCTATACAACACAGTCTGTTTTTTCCCCTTACAGATTGTGGTGTGTATTGCTGACTGTATTTTAATAAGCTCCAAATAAAAAGTTTTGGCAGATTTTCGAACGTGTCGTCGTTTCACCTGCTCTCTCCTGTCAAAGGGTAATACGGGGCCTGGTCCATGGAAGTTGCGTTGGAGTATCGTGTTATTGTGCAGAGTTGCAGACCACTTATGAACAGCTGGCAGTCAGTCGACTCGGTCCTGTCCTCCATCAGAGGTGGCACAGTTTCTGTTTGACCTGAGGAGACTGACAACACCTCTGTGCTGTATTTGGAAAAAAGAGAGAAAGGAGAGTTAAAAAAAAACACTAATAGCAGCTGATTCATGTTACAAGTCCGAAGCATTTGATTTCAATGCTACCAACCTAAAACTAAGTAAGCGCATGTTTGACTTTGGAGCAGGAATGGAGAGCCTCATCTGGTTCCCGTTCACTGTGATCTTTGCGCCGAGGGAACTCTCATGATATGCGTGAGTGTGCAGCTCCAACCCTGACTCCACAAAATCTGGGATGAGCACGCCCATTTGGGTGATAAACTCGAGTCCAACTGACGGCATGAACGAGAGCTCAGCCTGCAAGGACAAGAAAGTTATGGGACATAGCTACTGTACATGTGGAAGTGTAGTTTCATTTCACATGTAAAACTACCTCCCTGAAAAAGAGAACAAGAGTTGATTTGAGATGAAGACAAACGTACCATCCCATTTGAGCGAGTCAGACCTCCTTTGGCACCAGGTGCAAACACACCAGCTAGGGAGAACTTCAGAGGGAAGCCAGCAGCAGTGGGCATGAAGAAGGCGTTCTCCATGAAAATGTAGTGAGCAAAGACTTCATTTTCAGTGCTGGACGTCAGCTCAAGAAGGGCCTGATGGACAGACAAAAACAGAATGGATGTAATTTGGAATGTTTATGGGGAATTGATTGTCAAGAAATGAGTATGCATGCTTTGTCAATATGCATATGGTACAGAGATTGAAGGTGTCAATAACGTAAGTGCTTTGTGTTGGACGTGTCTCTTTGTTCTTGGTTTTGCAAAGTTCATGAGAGGACCTCTGATATCTTACATTGAAAGGCAGAACCCTGATGAAAAGATGGTAGTACATCAACAGAGTCTCAGTCATCTTCCTCATGTCACCAGACCTTATGTATCCAATCTCATCTCCCAGAAGCCTTAGGTAGGCGATGGCTTCAGGTTTTGAAGATAAACGCAGGTCATTCATGAGCTTCTGGAAACTGCTGGAGATACCCTTTAGGAGATCATCTGGGACCTGCAGAGATGTTCAGAGTGAATGTGTCAGTTTCTTACCTTGCATGAGCAGTACAAGGAGATTAGCAAAAAAGACTGTGCTTAATGACCTATTCTGCTGTCAGTCAGCAGGGGGAGTTCTACACATGTTGGCTTCACTTTTAGAGAACCTTCCTTTCATCCACCTCTTGTGAATCAACACATTAAACATCCATGTTTGTTTACGTCTTACCTGTCTCTTCATTCTGTTTCTATCAGGGGCGATACGGTCCAAAACCTCTCTGAGCATCTCAGCTTTGTCTCCAGCCCAGTACATGACTTTGGAGATGGAGTCTGGGAAGAAACCTTCATCTCCAAAGAGAGCATCAATTGTTGGTTCAAATCCTGTACTCTCAATGCCGACCTGGAGGGGGGAAAGTTTTCAGTTTACACATCTTTACACCAACTAGTCTTTTTAAAAAAAAACTTTGATAAATATTGATTCAAAGCGTACCTGAAATATGTCGCAGTTATAATCGAAAACCTTCAGAGTGGTCTCCAGCATCACCTCCTTGGGTAAGCTGTTGGTGCTGTCAACGATAATGTTGCTTTGTATTGAGCCCAGAGGAGAGTCCAGTTTGTAGTTTGCTGACATGCTTTTCACTTGAGGGGAGTATTGGAAGGCTGACTCAATGTACTCTTTGACTCTTTAGAGAGGAAGACAAAGACAGTTTTATCAACAGCATTCAATGCTACCATTCAGCAGTATCTGTTTAATACATCTCTTTCTTCTGAGGCTAAGTCAGGGATATGTGAACAGGCTGACCATTTATTTCACAGGGAAGTAACAAGCTGGTTTCACTGCTCATGGATAACTCACCCCTTCATTTCTGGCATGTTGGATTTGTGGATGTTTCTCAGGTGGGAGATAACAAAGTTTGACAGGTTCGGATCATCCACATTTGCCAAACTATCCACAGCGTCTCCGACCAAGTCCCGGTCCGGGTTCCTCATCAGAAGCAAATAAGCTGCGATGCGTTTGTCAACAGGGCTCTCAGGTTCTAGATAAACTTTTGCGAGGACTTCTTTGACCTGTGGTGATGGATGATGCAAGTTACATGTTTACTTTTCACTGCCTGTCCAAAACATATTTACATAAATTTGTATGTGAAGTAACCATACCTCATTGGTTGTTTCCATCAGCCTTAAGGCCTGTAAAGCAGCCTTTTGGTTTGACAGTGGGGTGTCTGATTTCTGGGCACAACGCAAAACTGAGGAAATCAGGGTGGGGCTGACATCTTGCATGGCTTTACCCATGACCCCAATGACCTAGAAGATGGAGAAAAAGTATTAATTTAGTGCACCAATCCTCTTGCTTATAAATATAAGAAAAAACTAATTCTAAATAAGCTGGGTCAATATAGTGTGTGGTTTACAAAGTGTTTAAAGCCTTGTAATTGGAATTGGTGCAAAAACAGCATATCAAACTGAAACTGAATAATGTCTTTGTTTTGGAAAGGTGTTTGTCTATTTTGAATTTGATGCCAGCAACATGTTGCATAAAAGCTGGGACAGGTACAGGTGCATGCTGCATATTACAACTTTGTTGCATCACCTCCTCTGTAAACAACAGTCTGTAAATATTTGGGAACAGAGCGGCCCAGTTTCAACAGTTGTGATAGTGAAACATCCTATTTTTGACTGGATTTCAGCTGTTCAACAATTCAGGGGCACTTTTATATGTTTCCCTTATAATTATTCCAAAAATGCTCTCCTTCGGGGACAAAATGAGGCTGCAGGCAGTCCAATTTTTCAGTAGGACTCTTCTCCTACAGAACCATGCTGCTGTAATCCCTGTTGTCAGAATGTGGTTTGTCATGGTCTTGCTGAAATATGAAGGTCTTCCCCAAAAATTTTTTTTGTCTGGGTGGCAGCAGATGTAGCATTAATGGAGCCTTCACAGATGTGGAAGATACCCATGACATGGACCCTGATGATCCCCATACCATCAGGGATGCTAGTTTTGGACTGGGAGCTGATAACAAGCAGAGAGGACCCTCTTGTCCTCAAAGTGAAGGACTTGGCAGGCATCCATGATTTCAAAAAAAAAAAAAAAAGACAAACTTTGATTTGTCGGGGCACAAAACAGTCTGTGTCACCTTATTCCATCTTCAACAGGTCCAGGTCCAGAGAAGTTGCCAGAATCTCTAGGTCGTGTTTTCATATTTACTTATTCAATGGCATATTTTTAACCTGCATTAGTGGATGCAGCAAAAATCTGTGGCCACAGACAATGGTTTTTGGAGGTTATTTTGAGCCATGCAGCGATTTCCACTACAGAGCCCTGTCTGCTTTTAATGCAGTACTGTCTGAGGTGATCCTGAGAGTGGTGAACCTCGTCCTATCTTTCCTTTTGATAGATTCAGCCTCTCATCACTGAAGATGTTCCATTTCGTCATTTTGTTTTTTTAGCATTACACAACTTTTTCAGTGTTTAGTTGTCCTTGTGCCAACTGTTGTGAAACATGGTGTTGGTATCAGGTTTAAAATGAGCACAAATTTTTCATAAAACACGAAGAGATTAAACCTTCAACACCTTATCTTTCAATTTCTTTTGGTTAAATTTAGGGTTGAAATCATTTCCTTCCAACTTCTTTGGATTTAAGGTGGTGATTAAACCCTTAATGGTAAACATTACCTTCAGTACTAGGAAGGCCAGCTCATGAGGATCAGGGGGGAATTCAGAGTCAATATCGTGGACTTCTCCAGAGCAGTCATCTAAAAGTAATTCCATGAACTCTGACACTTCAGTGACCACTGGGGTAACCTCACCTTTATGAAACCTGAGGAACAGAGGAACAGATACACTCACAAACTCTGGTTTTGACTGAAAGAATCCAGTCCAGCTCCTGCTGTTTTGTTGATGCTGCACCCAATCCCCTTCTTTTTTTTTTAACCATCCTTTTTATCCTGAGCACCATAACAGCTGACTCCTACACTGTGCAACCATCCTTCTGATTTTTCACATCTCTGTTTTTACTTACTTTTTGACTGTGTTGGCTAGAGCGTACATGATCGCCCTGCTCTGTCTGTACTGAGCCATGCTGAGCATATCTCGCACCCGTGCAGCATCAGGGTTCCCCTGAAGACTCAGCCCGTAAACCAGAGCATCCACTTCCAGCGCAGCTCCATCAAGGCCCCAGATGACCTGCATGATAGCGCTGGTGCACTCTGAGGTCCCACACTGGAACAGGGCCTGCATGCTGAGCCAACGGGACGTCTTTAACATCTCAGTGACTGTCCGGCTCAGGGTGTCGTTCCTCAGCACACGCAGACTGGAGACCAGCTTGTGAAAGAGACTGGTTCTCTTGTGACCCTGGTCTGTCCCTGGTAGATTTACCAGGTCTGTCAGGGTGCTCAGAACAGCATTTTCTGTCTGTTCAGAAGCTTTATCATCGGGGTCTTCGAAGTGGAGAGGTTTTCTTTGGCTGGGGTCCACATCTGTGTGCAAACATGCAAAGAAGCTGAATTTATAACCTGCAGATCAATCAGTCATTTAGATGACCGTGATTATACACAAGATAGATACCAATAAATATCCAAAATACAGCAATGTGCAACAAAAGTATCACCAGCTGTGAATCTTAGAGTATTTCTCAGTTGCTAACACACTTAACCATGTTGTCTGAATCAAAGGCTCAGCGGCCTGAACCTTTTTATTGAATCTGTCACTCTTTTGGCAAGCCATAAGCACTTTTCTCCTGATTAGACACAACTTGCAAACATATTATCACTCACTAAAACACTCATTGTGCACTGAGATGCACTTGTCTTGCATAATGGTAAACACAGGTAACAAAAGTTGAACACATTTGAAGCTCAGGTGTCACAGCTTAAATACAACGACTCAAAACTGATCATACTTTTTGCTAATAATGTCAGGAAACCAATTTAAGTCAGTTCAGAGGGTTTTTCCACCATTAGGGAGAATGTGGCTTGTGATGTGGATGAAGTCCTGTTGTGTGGCCAAGCATACAGACCTGATAATGTGGCTGAATGATTGTAGATACTGTAAGCACTTGAGTTTGATATTGTGGTTTGCAACATAATGTGCTTCTCATTTCTATTGTTTTTACTTTACTTTACTTTAGAAATGAACAATCACTTCTACAGCTTCATGTCCTGAGCATTGTATTTTCCTTTTCTTAATGTAGTGTGTAATGACTGCTCAGTAGTGTTTTTCATTTTGGTTAACTTGGGGTTTGATCTCACTAAATTGTTTGGTTTTGAGCACAGATTGAACAGTTTTGAAGAAAGTGTTGAGAAAAGCATGTTGGACGACAAGAAATGTGTTTTAGCAGCTGAGAAAAACTGAAATTTTTATCGTCTCTCACCAAACACTCGGTTGTTGATCCTCTTGGAGTTCTGGAAGCTGAGATCCTGGGTCACCACCGATGAAAGTCCGTTATCCCTGCAAAACAGGTAAGGAAAAAGGTGATTACTTTGCATGTATGTGCCTCACATGTGTGCATTAATACACACTCAGAATGACTTACTCATTAGAGAAGGGCACGTAGGTGTGTTTTTCTTCACATGTGGCCGATGTGACATGCTTTCCCTTGTTGTCAAACTGGTAGTTGCAGTTTTGTGTGCTTGAGATCAGTTTAGACAAGGGTTGATGCTGGAAATACAAAAATCACTTGGTCAAAGCTAGTTGAAGTAGATATCATTAGTCTTTAGGTGTGTCCAGACTTTTCGAAATGGGGTTGCCCAACCTCTCAGAAGAGACATTAAAGTGTACCACTAACCCTCTATTTCTTGAGCCCCTACTGACTGGGCTACACAGACCTGTCCACACCTTTCAGTGGAGCTGGCCGTTCCAATCACAGAAGCAGACTGGAGGGTTTTTGCCCTTCATGTCTTTGTTTAAGCTGTTGTCAGGCTTCCAAAACAAACTGTCTTGAACAAAGTGCAGTTTACACAACAAGAGCTTGAAAAGTGACCTTTAAAACCCTTTTGAGCTCCATCAGGAACAAACTGCTAGAATGTAAGATGATAAAGTCAGAATACATGCATGTGAGACCAAGAGAAGGTATGCTCTGCCCACCTCAGGCTCTGGCATTGCTGAAATTACAGAAGCATGCACAAGTGGAATATTAGTCTTACTCCTCCCCAGAATGGACTTTGGCACAAACAACTCAGAATCCTAATTATGATAGATTGAGTATCCAGTTGTATTGACACTTAAACCAAAGTACAACCTCACAAAGAACCCTATTACTCAATTTAACCCTTCAAAATAACAAAAATGCTAACTGTGCATTAATTTAGTAAAACTTTTCTAATACATACAAAACTTTAGCCAACATCTCAAATCCTGCCATTCTGAACCAAAAACCAAAGATTCCTGCAGAAGCTAACTTTGCATCTCATTGTGTAGAATTAAACTGGTTTGCCGAAGTCTCACCAGTTTTTGTAGCAGGGCCAGAGGACTGTTGGCTGATTCTCTGCCGGTAAACTTGTCACAGTTGGGCAGATATCTGGACACGCTTACTTCTGTGGCGATGTCCTTCTTCTCGTTTACCTGGTAGGATGATGGACACTGGCCGTGCACTGTGCTCTGAAAAGGACAACAACAGTTAGAAGTGAAATAAAAGCTTTATTGGCATGATGATCGGTGCGTGTCTGAATCCTTTAGATGCTGATTTTACTCGTTTCGGGATCCCTATCTTTTTCAATTTTTTATTTCTACATTTTATGCTTTGTTGGTTTTATTCTTCTGATAGTGTTTTATTTCCTTCTACTGATAAGTTAAAGCAAAGTCTCTTTTTGTTGGTGGAGGAAACTCACCATGAGTCTGTTTTGGTTGTCCTCAAGGAGGGGCACCATTAATGCTGAGATTATCCCTCTCTTTATGTTGAGGATGTTGACCAACTCCTCTGTCTCTGGGAAGAGGTCAACAGCGGTGAAGTCCTCCACAGAGAACTTCAGAGGGTTCCTACGTACAGAAAATGCAGGATATTTCATCACTAAAACAACACTGAAATGACAGTTTTTGTTTATCTGAATTTTTCCTTCACACCATTATCATATAATGCACATTTTGCTGCATTTCTCGCTCATCTCAGAGCTCAAGAAATGTCTCCTGGTTTCAGAGTAAACGTCAGATCAGCCCATATCGATTTGCCCCACAGGACCTCAGCCTGAGAGTAAACATAGAAAGAGTTTCTATCAACTTCTACTGTTCAGATAACGACCAGCCTGGGTCCCCCTCTGAGGAAAACTGGGCCTCAGATCCTTTAACTACCAGGATACTTTGTGGTGTCTGTTATGTATGACACATGGAGGTAACTGGATAAGATGGAGGAGTGACAGCAGTCATCATTTTGGCTTATTAAAAAAAGGAGTGATCATACAAATGACACATGAATGATGCTTTCTACTAACGTTTCCATGGCAGCCCTGAAGGCGTCAGAGCCTGGAGCCGGTTCAAAGACAGGCTGGCCTTGTGGATCCATGACAGACACCTTGCTGAGAGCACAGTCACGGGTGTGCATGATGAATCTGCACATCTGAGGGACTTCGATCTCAACCTAAAGACATGTGGGAGCATGCACAGGATCAATACAGGTTGGGAGGACGCTCTGATAAGAAGATTCTGTTATCAGGTGAACTCTGAAAGTGGAACAGGATCAGTGACATACCTGACAAGAGACATTGGGGCCGTTCTTCAGGTCAGAGGCCCCCATCACCCCGTTTTTGCTGTCTGCCGTGTAGCGGTAGAAATACTTCCTATGGGCCTTGAATCTGGACCCCACTGCAGTCCAATAAAGGTGTTGCATGATTATTCAGACATGCAGATAAGTCATTTCAGCCTTTGAAGACGGGGTCACGTTCTTATATGAACCTATAGGTTCACTCTGTATCTTCAGGTCACAGGCAGAGCTCCACATCATCACAACCTTTGCACCCATAGAAACTTCATGTTCTTTACAGTGAACAACAGCTATTGTACCGAATCATAAACAATGTCCACAGGCTGTCGCCACTATCTTCAGAAAGAAAAACAGGTCATGTGTTTATTGGCTCAACATAGACGCCATCGATCGATTTGCAGGTCAACCACACACCAAACATCCCCCTCACACACATGCACACACACTTCTAAACACTAACAAAGTCCAGTATTTCCATCAATTCATCAATTTAACACCAACTTTAGAAAACTTTACCATTAATTCATCATCTGTCTCAGTTTTTTTTATTCCAGTTTGTATGATAAATAGAGTAAATCGGCCTGATGACATTCTCTTATAAAAGACGTTTCAGGCACAGTTTTTATGATAAAAACTTACACAGACACGTTGACGTTTGCTCTTCATCTTCATTGCCATCCTCTGCAAAACAAAACACCATAAAAACACAATAATGACAAACAGAAACAGAAGACATTATCAATCTAGGTTTTATAGCTCCACACAGAAAGTTTTAGGTGTGTGTTGATTTTAGCGCCCCCTGTGGACAATATCAGATTTTCATCTTGCAATTTTTGAGGAGGTAGATTAAGATTATGACAATGTTTTTGGAAAATTTAAAAATAAAACAACAATCAGTTAAATTACAGTAAAGCACGACAAGGATGGAGCAACACATTACTTTCATAAACTTAAAAAAATGCAGTTAACTTTCATGTCAACATCTATTTTTTATAATGTTCAAATTAATGGTTTATTCCCATCACCAGCTGCATGAAGGAAACTTGTTTGGAGAAAAAATAGCCTCGTAGAATAAGTGTTCTCATGCTTTTATTTTGTTGTTTTTCTTTTTCTATTTCTTCTTTAGATTTCTTTAATTTCTGCATTTTAAAACTGTGCTTTTACTTTGAAATCAGTTACCTCTAATAGACTGAAAGTTACACATTAGAAAGTGTAAGCTGACTAGTATCCTGGGGATATTTAGAATAGATCTTTTAGTTTTAGGTTTTAAGAGTGCCTAATCATGTTTTAGAGGGATGCTAAGCTAACTCACTAGCAGCTGCTGCTTTTTCTTTGTCCAGACTCATTTTAGTGACTGTTAACCCAGCCCAAAAGACCCCCTACTGTGAACTCATGAGATAATCCTATAATTTTTTTTCACTTCTTTAATAAAGATGGTTATTGTCAATACCAGCATACTGCAACAGCCCCTTTATATGAACTATATATCAACTCCTATACCCAAATCTTCCACAGTGGGTACAGGCTTCATGATGTACAACATAAAAACTGTCAACCTTGTCACTGATAATTTTGTTTGCTTAGAGGGATCATAAAGAGTCACTACTAGCTGTTTCTGTCTAGTTCGAAACCAGTGGTGACTCTTTATTTCATCTGTTAAACCAGTTAAAAACTCATCACAGGAGCTTTAAACTCAATTTTAGGTCCCTACCAACTGCTGGTGGAGCTACCAAATTCCTCTGTTTGATTTTGGTCAGTTCCTCAAATTTCATAGTCAACGTTGGAATGCAAGAATACGAACTATTTACAAATAATACTGCCCTCTCTCTCTCTCTGTTTTTACCAGCTGAAAACTCCTAACAGGGTTTTTTAAATGTATAGGTTATTTAGTTTTTTAAATCCAGTGTTATTTTTGCCCCTTATGGCACACCACCATTCAGCCACTGCAGTGTCTCCCTGCTTCCATTTGCTGCCATGGTTAGAAATAACACCACCAGTCTCTCCAGCTTTCATTCAAATACACTCACACATATATGTATATATGCACTCAGATATACACTAATGCAAACAGCTTAGTCATCTAAGGTGGACACTCCTGACTCGTATTTCAGAAAAAGAAGAAATTTATAGATGCTACTATCAAACTTACAGTCACTGAGATTATAAAAGACTCAGTTAAGTGTTAATATGGACTTGTTTTTGTTTTAAAATGTAAAATAATTGAGTTTTAACATTCAGTTAAAAATATGATTACTGAATATCTGGGATTAATCATGATTTTAAATATTCAACAATCCGAAAGTCCCACTTTTAAAAAAATACCACCTGATAAATCTTTTAAGGCTTCCTCGTTTGCAAAAAGTTTAGCATGCTTGTTTAATGCTTGTCATTTATTTTAAGGATTGGAAAATTAACAAGGATTTTCTTCATTTTCCAAAATAAAAGATGTACAGCAAATTAAAAAATGCATGTATCATCACAGCTAATGAGTGTCATAAGTTTTGTCTTTTTTCAGGTTGATATTTTTCTCATTAAAGCTGATAAAATACTCTGAAAGAAATCCAACAGAGAGTGTTTTAAGCAAGTTGATAAGATGATAGGAAAGATGATGAAAAGCACACAGATATAAATTCCTAAACCTAAACATCCACTCTGGCAAAAAATCCTGGAAGAAGCTGGTGCCCCTTATATTAACTTGTTGAAAATATCAAAAGTACTGTGACAAACTCTATTTATCTGATCCTAAGTGTTTTGTACTTACGAGCCAGTGTGTAGCTGCTCAGCAGTAGTAACAGACACAGTCTGCTGTAACCCATCATGGGATTAAGAGAAAAGCCCCTCTTTGTTCTTCAGCTCTCAGTCTCAACTATTAATGCTCCAACCTCCTGAACATCTTTTATAAAGTCTCTCTCTGCTGTAATAACCCAGCCCATCCAGCAGCAGCAGAGGTGTATAGAGAGCCCACCCAGTCGCTCCAAAGTTCAAACTCTGACTAAACAGAGAAACAGGCCCAGCTGTCTCCAGATCTCACTGTTAACTCTATGTTGGAGTCATAAATCAGTGCGATAACAATCAGCTTTGTGTTTTGGTGATGAATCCTGAATTGTTATTCTGTCTGTGGCTGTAACTGTAAATGATGAGTGAGAACGGTCTTGGATGTTTGATTAGATAGATCTTGCAGTGACAAAATGAGCACATTAGTAAATGTAAACTACTACATCGACTTTGGACCTATTTTGACAGCAAACGTCTCTAATGTACCTTTAATATACAGCTGATGATCTGCCAGAGCAATGACCTTTTTTAATGTCAGATTAAACACTGAAAAAGGCTGTAAAATAGCAAAGATGACCTCATATTCTAATGTTTTCATGGAACTTATCTGCAACAGTTGTTTGATTTATATGCTGTTTTATGGATTAAATTGATTATAATATTTTTGCTTTGTTGCATGAGCATATAATGGTATGTAATCATTTTTTTTAATGTAATTGCACTTAGAAAAAAATCTGCTCTGGTGACTTTGGATTAATGAGACAATTATCTCAGAGTTATAAGAAACGTTTATGAATTAAGTTCTGCTTTTTGAATTAACATAAATATCTTAAACTTGCTAGATGACATTTCTATAAATGAAAAGTTTCTGCTCTGTTTTTTTCTGAACTAACAAGATAGATATCTAAAAATTATGAGAGAATTTCAGGGATGGAAAATCTGGCAGAATTTTATTTATTTACTAACAAGTTATCTTGTAATTTTAAGATAGTTGTCTCTTTAATTCAGAAAAACACTGTAAATATTTTCTCCTCAGAGATGTGTCCACAAATCTTATCAGATGAACAAACCCCCACTCTGAAACCTGCTGTTGTAACCAGGTGAGCCCTGTCACGTTTGCTGCAGTCACACTGACCTGTTCACTGAATCCTGTTTGTTTGAACATGCAGATGTTTTTCAGGCACATAAATTTCCAGAGTTTATCTCCCACCACCTCTGCTGGCACATAAACAAGAGAAGTGTGAATGTTACAGACTGTGACTTTAATCCGGGGACATATACAAGTAGATCCCAAGAATTTAACAACAGATTTAAGACTGATTAAAACTAGTGTTTGATCAGCACAGTGAAAGAAAGCAGGGGTTCTTAAATTCAATAGGGGTATGTTTTAATCTTTGGACCAATTCAGGTAAAATCAGGGGGTTAATCCTCCTATTAATTGTATTTTTCCCAGGGGCATGCCTTTGTTAAATCTATCTGCGTTTATCTCACTCTGTGCAAAAGAAGCCATATCAGATCATGGTGTGCCCAATCAGACTCCTCATAAACTCATTTTGGTCTTAAAAGACAGAAAAATAATCATGTTTGTGCTTCATAATCATTGTCGTTTGTAAACCAAAGCCTGCCATGTGTACTCCCGTGCAGTAGGTGGCGGTATGACGGTGAAAGTTGGTGCCTCAACCTGCTAAAAACGTCGAAAGACAGAAATTAAACAGAACTTCAGCTTTGGACCAATCTCTCTGCATGTCCTTGGGCCGATACTACATTCAGGTCCTCCGCAACTTTGCTTATTCAATAAATAACACCTTTCAAGCAAAGGCAGTGATAAAAAAACAGGACATTTCGCCGGGGCTTGAAACAGCTTGTAGCAGTTTACCTGTGAGGCTGGAGCTAACGCTAGTAGGTACGTGTTGGGGTAAGAATACATTTGACCACTGATGCGCGTCTATACGTACTGTTGCGGTATGGAAACTGTATAGGTGCCCTGAGCGGACAAAAAGGGAAGATGACGTTCACATTTCGTCAAATACATGCAGCCTATGGTCAGATATATCACCGTTAAATTGAATATACCGGCCTCTGCTTCGGTTATCCATGCAAAAAAATTATGTGGTATTATCACGTAATTTCTAATATAATTCAAATTAAAACGTTTGGTAAAATGTGCAGTAAGTGTTTGCCCCTTGAAAACAACTTAACTTTAGTTTGGTGGAAAAGTCGCCTCAGAGTAAGTAAAGTATTCTTCGTTTAAGAGCCCATGACCTCTTTATCTCTTGTTAAAGATTGCTTAAAGCTTAGTGGAGCCCCGTTTTTGAAGTAATTTTTTTGACATTGCCACTGCATACTCTGTTATTTATTGAACTTTTCTTGACTTGAGAGTTCTAAGCTCATTCCAGGAATTTTTCAGTCAACAAAATAGTCTGAAATGCACACCGATGCCTTTTTATGAAATGCAAAAACAAAAAAGTCCATCAGCAATAGTTGCGTGGGCACTGACGACTGGAGCAGCAGTGATGAAGATGCCAATGAAAATCATGATACACTCACCGAGACAGTGTGCTTGGTTGAATTTGTAATGTTTCAATTTTGCATTTTCAATCAATTTCGTACCATTTTTACCGTTTATGCCTGTTGCTGCTAATTTGCATCATAACCAAAATTATATCTAGGCCATACTATGTGTTAAAGATGAATTAATAACCTCCACTTAATTTAGCAAAACATTAAAAGCCAAAACAGATGATCAATATTTTTATAGCATTGTAAATAAATTCAGGCATCAATATCAAACACTTCTAGATTTGCTGTTGAGTAATTACAGCACACATATTAAAGTATATCTCTAGCTCTTTGCTGCTTTAAAAGGTGGCTGTCAGGGATTTGATATGTTCTGGTTGTTATCAGAATAAACCACATGTAGGACCCAGGGTTGAAAGTTTAGGTCCAGTTCATTACACATGGTGAGAGAGAGAGATCATACTGTAATGTACAATCATACATAAACTGGTATTCGCAGAAACTTTTCACATTAAAACTTTTTTATAGAACTTTTTTTTGCAGAAATCAACATTTGGAATGATATGGAGAGGGACTCATCATGAAATCTTTCTATCAGTGAATCCAGGGAATAATAATCTCTGTTATTTTATGTTTTTGTGTCGAGGTTCAGCTGAGGTATGCAGACTGCTGTCAGAGCTGCCAGACGATCCCTCCGACACTGGAGGAGTGTCTCTCACTCTGCCATGAGCTCAGGTACACCCCTATAAGACATAAACATGCACATATACTTGATGTTCTCTCCTCTTTTATGGGACCATTTGTTTTTGTTATTCTGATGATATACACTTCAGAGAGGCTAGAGTAGGATTTATGAGCCACTCAGATAAAATAGCAACTGAGGTAAAAAATAATAATAATAATAATAATACAACAATGTACTGGCATGTCCTCATGGTTCAAAGTCCTCTTTTATGCATTTATTTCAATTTTTACAGCGGTTGTAATGCTTAAGCAATATTACAGGCTGTTTATCTTTTTTGTGATTACAGACAAATGCATCAATAACCTGGCAAGAATCTGGTTTAAGGGAAATATCTGGGATTATAATTTAATATGTTTAATTGTAAAGTTATAATGAGTTGCACTCTTGAGAAGCTGTGCAATCCCCGAATTTACTGACAGAGTTGAAAACTGGTGAAATAGATACAAAATAGAAGTGACTTTTAGGAAACCTTTGTTTGGTTGATGTTGAGGCTAAAGAAATCCTGTTGGATTTCCTGGGTGGTGTCAGCTGAGGTCACAGTGTCATACCACAGATGACCCACAGGGTGGCAGCAGAGAGCAGATCTTCTCTGTCCTTGAGCTCTGCAAGAGCAGGAGACTGAAGTTGAAGGTAAAGTGTGAAGCAGTAAAAGCTCAGAATAGATTTTTACTAACATTTAACAACCACATGACACAAAGCCATCTTAATGTTACTCACTGGACAAAACGTGTGTGTTGGGGTGTTAATTTTGGACCCTGTTGCCTAAATACAACAGGAGTGGAAGGTTACACCTGGGGTCCGTTTCACGTAGCAGGTTTAGTGGAAACTCCGAGTTTGTTAACCCTGAAATCAGGGAAACTCTGAGTTTTCCGTTTCACAAAGGAGAGTTAGTTAAACCAGAGAGAGAGGGGTAACTCTAACCTGTTTCACAAAGAGAGGTAACTCAACCTCGCGGTCAGTTACCACAGTAACAGACTCCGTGAACCTAACCTGCTCGGGAGCAGGTTTAACTCAGTAAACCCAGAGTTTCAGGTGAGACATCGGCATTTTCTCATTTTGATCATGTTTTACATTGTCAAGTAAGTATTAAGTGGCAGTTTGATCCCTTAAAAAATGCTCTTTTCACACTCAAAACTGAATTTTACTCTCTTATGATGTTCCGTGAAATGATATTAAACTAACACAAAAACGGGTGGTGGTCCAACAGCCCCACCTTTAACGCAGGCAGAGGAGCTGCCCCCCCCCCCCCCGTTCGACGATCGCGGCCGGTCCGATCGCACAGACACACACACACACACACACGCACACACACCAGTCCGACGATCGCTGCTACGGGGTGGGGGTTGCGATCGTCGGGGGGGGGGGGCTCCTCTGCCACCGTTAAAGATGGGGCGGCTGTGCCACCACCCGTTTTTCTGGCATCTGCCCTCTTTCTGTTTGCTGAGTGAAAGTCTATTATTGAGTGTAGTGTGTGTTAGTTTAATATATGTACATATGCATACTGAGAGTTAGTTTAATATTCCTAATCATTTAACGGAACATCATAAGAGAGTAACATTTTTGAGTGTGAAAAGAGCATTTTCTAAGGGATCAAACTGCCACTTAATACTTACTTGACAATGTAAAACATGATCAAAATAATTCAAGCAGTTTCCCTGCAACAGTCTGTCATTGTGATTGCACGAGACTAGATTTAAAGTTACGCATTGACGCGCGCAGCGATTTCCTCCCATGCCCTCTCCCTCTCCTTTGCAGCTGCTGCTGTATTGCACTTTCTTTTAAAAACGTGCTGTAATTCGCTGTTGGCTTGCTGCTGCCCCCTCCTTCTCCCTGTTTCCATTGGTTGATCATTGAATCTGCGCTCCACAGATGCTGGCTGTTTATGTCTGGCGTGCACGTGCTTAACTCCAGGTCAAACTACTCGGAGTTGTTAAAACCGTCTCAAATCAGGTGTTGTGAAACCGGAAACTCAGAGTTTCCTAACTCAGAGTAGATCAACTCAGAGTTAAGGATTTAACTCAGAGTTTGTTGAACCACCTACGTGAAACGGACCCCTGCTGTTCTCTGAGCTGTATTGGTTGCAGAACGAGAGGGATTTGTTTATTTATTGGTGTTATGACTGCAAAATGCTAGTGAGTAATAACTGACCAATTTTTACAAATCTTTTCTTCTGTGTGCCTTTTTTCCCTCTTTGTTCACTCTGTAACCATTTAAAAATCAAAGATTAACCACATCGTTTTCTTTAGTGAACATTAACCCCAGTGAGCCAGTCAGAGTATTTTATTTGTCTAAATGACAGGAACGTCTTTACCCCAGGTGTTTTTGCTACAGCAGTAGAACCAGAAAAATCAACACACCTGCCTCTTTAAGTTACATAAACGAACTACCTGTGTCTGATCACAGAGACTTAGAGAAGAACAGAAAGGTCTTAGAGTTGTGTTGTTTGAGTTGCATTCAAAGTCAGGTGGTCTGTGATGGAGCAATTGGATGGTTTAAAATCTCTGAGTCCTGCTCATCTGAGGCTGTTGATCAGGAAGGAGGATCCTAGAATAAAAACCACGTCTGGATTAGCTGAAGGTAAGAGTGGTTCATCTGTAGAGCAGCAGGTGACATTTTTACTTTTCACCTAAACTTAATCCATTTGGAGAACTTGTGCAAAATTTATGTATGCATATCATTGAGTTCACTTGGTATGACATGGTCTGCTTAAAGGAATCCACATATTTAGACATGTTGACCTTAGTTTCAAACAGCAAAAAAAAGTCAGATTTGATCCATAACTTCTACTTTATGCATGCTCTGCAGACAGTCATCATTTTTAAAGGCAAATAAGGGTAAACCATAGACTGTATATACTATGGACAACTTTGTTCCGCCTACCGCCTGTATACAGATTTGAAGCCAAAAAGCTCTCTGTATTTCCGGGATTTTTCTTCATTTCCTGAAACCAGCGCTGTGCAGTAGCGATGCGCGCATTCGGCCGCGCAGTCGCTGAGAGTCACTGTGATGACGCTTGGCTCAAACAGCGTATCCCCTGAGGTACGCAATCCCTGAACGCCTATAGGCTGTATCAGGTGTCAATCATAGAAAACATGAACCCCCTAATAATTTTTAAAAACGGAGTTTCACAGAAAAAAGAGGACTTGAGCACAAACCAGTCTGACAATAACTGCATGTCAACATCACAACCAGGGGGGAGAAAAATTTATGTTCTGTTTAATACATTTCTAAAGTTTGTCCACAGCCTCATAAGCTTTGCTTGTGGAGGCGGGATATATGACCTATACTGCAGCCCATCAACAGAGGGTGCTGTTCTCAGAGTGGCTTCACCCAGCAAGGAGGCAGACTCTGTCCATTCTTTATACAGTCTATGGGGTAAACAGGCCCAGTGTTCGATTGTAGTGAGGTCCAATCATAATAAATCAATCAGTCAAGCCTTATTTATACAGCACTTTAGACTCAATCCGTCCATCTGTCGCTCTCTCTCTCTCTCTCTCTCTCTCTCTCTCTCTCTCCTCTCTAAACCCAGCTCAGTCTCAGCAGATGACTGTCTAACATCAATCTGGTTCTGGAAGGAAGTTCTTCTTCTCCACTGTTACTCCCTAACAGCAGTAAACTGATCTTACATCTTTACATTGGGTCTCAGCTAGTTTCTTTAAGCGTCTTGGAATAGCACTTGTTGTGAAATAGCGACATTCAAATAAAGATTGTTATTGATTGATTTGGCATAATAGGATATCAAACACACTAAAATGTGTATGTGTGTTTCAGGATACCAGCAGGCAAATGTTGTCATCCTACCCAACCATCTAGCTGATGACTTTGAGGATTTCTGTCAAAAAAATCCTGCCCCTCTTCCTCTCCTTTACCGCGGCCAACCAGGAGAGACTTCCTGTCCACCTCTTGCAAAACATGCTGATATAAGGTGTATATACGCACGCACACACACACACACACAAATATACCAGATCAAATATCCAACAGATGAGTAAAGATAAGGACTTGTCACTTTGCTGCGGTATTATTTCAATAAAACTCTGTAAAGGGTCAAATATTCTCTCTTCAACTTAGTTTAGTGAAAAAATCCCCAATCAGGGTCAAGAAGCCCAAAGGTAGATCTTGTCTTGCTCCCTCCTGGATGAATGATTTTCTAGAATGAGTAAAATGACTCACCTGAGAACAAACATAGCTGCCAGGTTTTACTTTAAAGGTGGGGTTGGCAGGATCTGAGGAGGTGCCAGTTTTTGGGAGAAATCTTGAATGTAAACACTACCCCTCCCAACCAGTTTTCCCCTCAGCTCCTCCTCTCCCCTCCCTCTCTGCTCCAACAAGCCCTGACCACAAACAGACGCTCCTGCTCGCTCGTATTGTTTCAATTAAATTCAGATATAATGCAGATGAATACTTCAGATCCTTACAAATGGGGCCCTGTCAAGGTGAAAGTCAAAAGCATTGGTGCTACTGTAGATGCCAACAGACTACCAACAAACACAATATTTGCAGGACTTCTACAACTAGGATAGAGTGACATACTCCAGGACCCGAGCTAAACAGTTTAGCAGTGTTACAACACGCTTCAGCAGGTCCCGTTTGACAAGAAAGACTTCAGTTACAGACACTTGGCTTACTTTGTTAAAGCGGTGGAGCGTGCCTCATAGCACAAGGGAGCAGCGTCTGCCTCACAACCAATCAGGTCGGGGAGGTGGAGAACGGCTTCGTTTACAGACAGAAAGAGCCGACTGCTCAAAAATTTTAAAATGTTGACTACACAGACATAAGAGACCACAGCGACATCGTTATATTCCCAAATGTCATCAATAACTAATAGCTATTGACTGATATTAAAAGCTTTTTTGTAAATACACCACAAAAAAGATGCTTCTTTAATGGAATCCTGCCTACCCCACCTTTAACTCATTTTAAGAGATTTTTTTTTAGATACTGACATAATAGTTAAAAAATAGCAGTTAAATAGGATTACAATCTGTTCAATGAATTTTGTTTGACAGCAAAGTGGAAGATAATGTTGGAAAGCTGCATTTCTTCAGCATTTTACATTTACTGCCTAATCTTTGGATTTGGGATTATTGGAGGGAAATTAACAACAGCTATTAACACTTCAGCTGCCACTGCTTTGCATCAAAAAGACAAAGCCTTTTAGGTGGTCCTGAAGTCTGAATGAATTGCTTAAAGAAGAGAAAATATTTCATGCACATGACATGCACTTGACCTTTCCCTTTTCACGCATTTTCGTTACAAAGCTAGAGCTGTCAGCTTTGTTGGTACAACATGGACAGTTTTAAAGAAACCTGCATTTTGAGTTTATTATGGAATCAGGAAAGGAAACTTTAACAAACATGCTATTCTTATTTGCTGCATTTTATCTCACTCATGCAACAATGAACAATCCTGCACTTACACATTACACCTTTTCTTTACATTTCTAGGCTTGATGTAAAGCATAACATTTAATTTAGTGCATAGACCTGAATAAGTTATTAAAGTAAAGGACAACAGCTGTTTTAAAGGGGATGACATGTCTCCTCAGGTTTCTCATCTTTATCCTTTCTTGCTTCTCTTCTCTATTGGGCTCTCTGTAAACTCTGCAAACTTAACCAGTGATGCCCATCTGTGTGTCTTTGTTTCTGAAGGACGGATATTTCACAGTACTGTGTGTACGAAGAAGGCCAGATGGTGAAAACTGTCTCCAGTCTGCAGAATTACATCACCAGGTATTTGGACAAAACTGAAAACACACACACAAGGACAGATGAATAGTTCTGGGTCCTCTTTGCATCATCTCTTCTTTTAATTCTGCCTCCAGGACTGGATCTGAGCAGGCAGCTGATTGTGGCTTTTGGTCCAACATGGTGTGTTTCTATCAGGGCTGCAGTTTTGGCTTCGAGGGCCAACTGAAGAAGGCTGGAATCCCTGTGAGGAACATGGAGCAGGGCAAAAACGTCAGCATGTACAGGGTAGGGTGCACGTATTTATAACTGACCTAAAGGGGCAGCAGATTAGTCAAAATTCAGCTGAACTTAAGAGCTTTCCTGTTAAAATCACCTGTTCTTATGAGCCAAATGATAAGAAGCATAACTTTGTAAGTGTGTACTCATGATACGCTGAGGGAAACTTGTTCTGGATTTAATTTGGGGCCTGTAAGATGCTTTTAAATGTCTTTATGTTATCTTTATGTGTCTTTATGTGTTTGTGTGTCCAGACTGCAGTTCCCTGTATCCCTGCAGGAGGATTCAGCTGCCCCCTAGTGGTCACTATGCGTCCTCTTCCTGCTGCAATGTTGGACACAGTGGTGGAGGTCACACACCTTAATCCCCAGGCTCATGGAGCTCCTGTGCACATAGGAGACCCAGGTGAACACAACCACACACACACACACACAGACACACACACACTACATAACAGCTTACAGTGTGTGATGTGCTGTTATCTGTGTTTGCAGCTCTTCTGGGAATACAGGATATTTCCTCACCTCACTACGGGGACGGGGTGGAGCTGCAGCCTGGCGATGTCACCGTTTTCTGGGCCTGTGGAGTGACGGCCATAGAGGCGATACTCAGCAGCAGTGAGTGATCTGATTAGCTGATCTCGTTTCTGCAGGTGATCATCATTCAGACCCGCTCTCTCTTCTTTCAGAGCCTCCTCTGGCATTCAGTCACTCCCCAGGCTGCATGTTCCTGACCGACATCCCAGACTCCCCCTCCTCTACACACAAACCTCTAACCTGTGACGGTGTAGACCCCACAGACCCTGAGCAGATCCCCCTCAGCTTTTTGATATCCCATAATCCTTTGTTGTACAGTTTGGCATCAAAGAGGAGTGTGGGAAAAATCAGACAGCTGGAGACGATTATTGGAGAGGATCCAGGTAAATATGAGGAGGTAGTGTCTACATTTGAGTCTTAAAATGAAGTTAACTCAGCCCAGGGTGTCTGTGAGCACGTCCACATAAAACTACAGAAACTCTGTTTGTAAGTCTTCTGTTTAAGTTCTGGTCAAAATCTCTACATGAATTAGTTTAAGCCACACAGACCTGAACGAGTCCAAATATAAATCGTATTTTACGATAATGAAGACCTTAAATATTGTATAACTAGTGACAGTATCTGCCAATGCAACACAGGTTTTCTTACAAGACGCAAGACTCCTTTTGAGAAACTCAGATGCATATGTGGACAGAAAAATATCAAAATGCACAATACATCAGTGAACTGGGCAAAAGTCCAGTTAGCTGGAACATAAACCTACACAGCCAATCAGTGTGCTGCGGGCCAGAAAACCACAAATACAGACAAATGGACTCACTGATGGTAAAGTGAATCATTGGGAGACCTCTGAATAAGCTGACATCATTATTTGGGTCAGAGTTTCTTGAAATGATCAAAATGACCCCGTCTGAGAGGCTGGAAGACCAGCTTCAGCTCCAGTTCTGTGGCTGGTTTCTTAATAAAAGGGCCGAGCTGACAAGGACCTCCGAAATGCAGTCAACATATTACTTAATAACAAATTATCCCTCACATGTGCAAATTATAATTTTAAAAGTCACTTCATTTTCAGTTTTGCACCATACATAGGAGTGAAATTTCTTCTGTTTGTTGTAGCAGAGAAAATTTTCCATGAGATCCCAGACAAAGGAATTTCCCTTTGGGGACAAATCAAGTCCTTGTTTTGTATTAAAGGGTTTGTTGCTGTGATGTCCTCCTGTGGGGTGCGTTAAGAGTTTATTATCTCACCTGCTTAAGGAAATGATAAAAACAGATCATGATGATGATTTAACTTGAATCATAGCAAAAAGGATGTTTTTATATCTTGAAAGTACAACAAGTACAAGATAAGAACTTTATTGATCCCCAAAGGGAAATTCAATTAATTAATTCAATTCAATTCAATCTGTGTTGCCTCTGTCAGTGTCATAGTAAGATCATTTCAGTCGAGCATAAAGCTGTCTGCCTCTTTGTCGTCCTCCTCTCCTCTCTCCATGAACTCATAGAGTCAGTCAGTCAGTGAGAGCTTAATCAGGGTCTTAAGAAGGTTGCAAAAGTAATAAAAATCCCTTTTAGTTTCCTGTGCCGTTGCATTTTTCTGAGATGTATAGATGATGAAGATTATCTGGATGATGAAGATTTTTGATGCATCAGGTCATTTGAAAGTGATCATTTTTTTTCACTTTGTTTCTCCAGGCCAACGAGGGATCAAGGCTTTATTTGTGCAGGATGAACTTCTGCGCTCCTGTCTGGCACTCTCTCATGCATCCCATGTTGCCATAACGACTGGCTTCCCCACACACTACATGCACAAGTAATTAACACACACTTAACATAATCACATGAATAAAATAAGGGAGGAAGGTGCACTCTCTGGCTTCAACAAGTGGTGAGTTTGAGATGCAGTCATAGAAAAACAAGAAAAAAATTCAAGGTAAAATTAAAGAAGGTTGGGCTCGTCTCGCAAAAAAATACTGAAGCGTGTTGAAAAGACTTGTCGTCTTAAGATGTTGTTGGTGAATAAGGACCAAAGCGCTTTGACTTTTCTTACCTCCAGCAGCATCTTTAGGGACAATGCAGACATTGATCCCACAGAGGAGTATTTGCAGGATAATTGTGAGGAATAACTTTTTCTTTGCCTTCAAGCCCTCCTGATGAGACTGACGGTCCTCCAGGAGCCATCGCCATGGCTACGATGCTGCTGTCACTGGGGAAACAGGTGACGATGGTGATTGATAAGAGAGATGTGGAAATGAACCAGGCCATTATTGATGAGGCTGTGAGGAATGGTGAGAGAGGTTAAAGTTTTATCTGTTAGCCATTGAAAGATAATCTGTCTGTGCTTCATTATTTCTATATTATAAGAAAATTTGTGTTTGACTTGAAAAAGAAAGTTCCAGTTCAGTATAAAATCGGTTATTCTCTCTCAGGTGTGCTGAAAAGTGCCATCCCTTTGGTCACATTTGAAGACAGCGGTCCTGACTCGGCACTTCACTTCTTGTGTCATAACGGAGACCCTAATAAGCCCAGGTGAGCTGACATGCTTTCAAGGTGTCAACTGATTTCATCTTTGCTTACATAAAAACACAAAATTTGTATCCAAGGGGAAGTCTGGATTTCAGGATGAAGAGGGTCCTGCATGTTTGTAGTGTTAGAGTTGTATTGGTCAATCAAGCATCAGCAAGCTTTGATGCATGTAAAACTGGCCAGAGAATAGAACCAGGCAGTGCAATCTACTATAAAGACATCCAAGCTCACATCGGCATTAATCTGTAGTGATTTATTTCTCTCTTTAAACAGCTGCTCATCTGACCTGCACCAAACTTAATCCACCAATCTGCTTGATGCTAAATTGAGAAAACTGACCGGTGTTAAGATATTAGAAGTGTCTTGAGTGTATTTAAGTTTTTAATGTAACCTTCATTCAACAACAAAAACACTCTCACAGATCCTCCTTCTCCTCTCACAGACAGGACTTTTACCTTTTCACGAATCTGCACCATGATGTTGTGACTTAAGCAAACTTGAGACCTGTTAACTAAAATAAAATGTGTTACTTCTGCTGAAAGAAGCCAGAGTGAAACCTTTACTGTAAAACTGAGACTCACCACAAAACCACAAACTTTGGGGGTCATAATAAACCAAGTTGCATCGCTGTTAAGGATGCAGTCACATAAAAAAGTAAGTTTGGCCTACTTTTGGACTGCAGAAGAGGTGATCCTAAATGATATATCCGATGTGTTTGCAGCCAGAAAAAGACATATTCAAGACATTGTAGCCCTCATATAAAAAGTTTTATCAAAGGTTTATCAATTGTCAATTACTTCACCTCAATGTTTTTCCGTCAATGCTGCTGGTGCAGATGGGTTCACAGGCATTTTTATCTGAAATATTTTAATGTTTTCAGCCACAGCAGGTCATAAGAAATGTAAACAGAGTCACAAATGTTTAGAAGAAGTGTTAAATAATGTGGAAACTCAGGCAGTACATCCAAACATATACATGTGAATGAGTTTTTAACCTGCTAATTTTTACAGACAGCTGTGTGGAGTGAAGTGTCCGTTCGTTTTAGTTGTCTGACAGTAACATGTATAACCAGGTATGACCACCTGGTGGCGATAGAGCGCAGTGGACGAGCTGCAGATGGAAACTACTACAACATGAGAGGAATAAACATCAAACATCTGGTGGATCCCATCGATGATCTGTTTATTGCTGCCAAGAATATACCTGGAATTACAACCACAGGTAAGACACGCTGCCACCTTAATTATCATCAAATTACTTTCCTTATTGGATAGTTAATCCCTGCATTGTCTGTTTTATGGAATTTTAGAAAAAATGCACGGAGTAGTATCTCAAGTCTTAACAACAAAGGCAGGGCTGGCAAAACCTGAACTTTACAAATCCCATCATGTTTGAACTGTCTGATGTCTGAAAATATACTGAGGGCCTGCACACCATTTACACCTGTGAACTGTGCTGAAACCTGTGTCTGTCTGTGTCTCTGCAGGGATTGGTGATGGAGGTAACGAGCTGGGGATGGGGAAAGTGAGAGAAAAGGTGGAGAGCCTGATGCCTAAAGGGAGTCTCATAGCGTGTGATGTTCCCGCTGACTACGCCATCACTGCTGGTACGGACTTACACTTTACCAGAGCCTCACTCTCACTTACACAGACTTGTAATGGACGCCCGTAAATCAGATGTTATTTGGTGAGTAAGAGCTTGTATGTCAGACACCTTAGTATTCAGACGATGATACAGAAGTGATGAAGAAGTGAAACTGAAAAGAGGAAATATTTTGGAAATAATAAATTCAGTTGTCTGTCAGTGACGCACTCGGCTGAAGGAGCTGTACCAGGAAAGGAGGGGGACCAGATGTTAGAGTTGACCCGAGTTTATCTGGTGTCTTTGTTCACCATCCAAAGTATGGACATGTCCTGCTATAAAACATTTATTCATAGATTCTTGTAGCATTTGAAGTACAATTTAGGAGTGAACAGCTTTCATCTTTTATTTATCTCTTTTTTGTCATTTCTCACTGAAGTTTTTCAGTAAGAGAGAATACAAGTACTTCTCCTGCTCTCTTCTGCAGTCGTCTAAAAATACATGATTTGACTCATTTTGTCCCCTCCTCCTGCAGGAGTGTCCAACTGGGGAGGATACGCTGTGGCCTGTGGACTGTACCTGCTGCACACCTGCCCGTCTCATCTGAGATACCTGAAAAAAGGACTGGGACTCACAACCCCCCAAGACCAGCTGCAGGACTGGACGGCCAACCTGCCGTCTGTGGAAAAGGTGAAACTCCTGAATCTGTTCCTCCTGCTTTCTCATATCCTCTTTGCTTTTAAAAATAATTCTCTTAGTTTTAAGATAGAGCAACAATAATTTAACACAGAGTTCAGTTTAAACCTGCCCTGTTGGATCTCAGGATGACTTTTTTGGCACAATTTAAATAATGATTGATAAAAGGACAGTAGAGCATCATTATTCCTCTGTGATGTTTAGTTGTATTTTTGATAAACTTTTTAGATAGAGAAAAGCAGAGTGAACACAAATCCTTTATTTAACTTTTAATGTCAAGACTCGAATGAAATCAGATCCCCTTCTCAGAGCTCAAAATTCATGTGCTACATGCAGTTATGAACTGAGCGCCCTCACATCTTGGTTACAGGATGTTATTCTCTTCAATTAAAAGCCCTTACATGAACACACGGTCATGTGACGGCAAAAAGGGACAGGTTAAATGTTAGTCAAGCTAAAATCAGCAGTGATTTTCAGAATGTCAAGCTACAACCTTTTTATAAAGAACAATCAAAAAGTTGAACCAGGACAATTATTTACATTTGCACTAACTCTTGCACAGATTACAAAATGGTTGAATCCTGCTATTTTCAGCTGTAAGAAGTGTCTTAAACTGTATACCTAGGTATAGTTTTTGAAATTAAAACCTTAAATAACAGATTATCTGATCCTGAAGATCCTCTCGCCTCCACAGAGCATTTAGTCTGAAAAAATACTCACACAAATCTGCTGTCGGGCACAGTAATGGACTTACTGATGGGCTCAGAGGAGCATTTGGCAGCCAGAGAGACAGATGTTTCCCTCAGGAGGACAAAAATGTGCTAAAAATAGGCTAAAAAAGAAGGAGCATTACACCATGCACATAAAAACAGACTGCAGCGATAAAGACAGATTTAAAAGACTGCTGTGATGTTGACTACCAAGCTGAAATTCTTTCAGGAGGAGTCGATTCTTGCCACACTGATGAACTTTGGAATAAGAAGTGGGAAAACTGGAAACTTGGCCATGGAGGTGGACGGTTTGACCTTTCACCCCACGCACTCGGACATCATCACCAAACTGCTGGAGGCCACACAAGGTTCCCCTGCATCTTCAAAGGCCTGATGGACCCGTCCTGATCATCCAGTGCAGTATTTCTAACTCATGACGATCTGATAATAACGAGTATTACAAGTATGGCTACATACCTGAGAGTCTTCAGAGCAGAGAAACGGAAAAATCAATGTGCTGCCGAGTGAAAATCTGTTTCCTCTCTATTCAGAAAGCTTAAAGAAGTGTGAAAGAAAAAACAGTCAAAGGAGAGTGAGCGTGGGTTTAGACGCTGCCGTGGTTACCTTTCAGTCCTCTTCCTGATGATGGAACAAAGTGGACTCACATAAACCAGCTCTTTTCTCTCTCAGTCAGCCCCGCTAAAAAAACGTATCAGAGATTGAACATCAGTTTTATCATGAATAGATAAAAGGTTTTAAAAATGACTCTAAAAATGTCAAAATGAATGTGATATTAAAGAGGGATGAATAGTTTGGTCGGCACTAGATGACAGTATTTGAAACTGACTCCTTATTGTCACATCTACTGGGCTCGAAATCATTCACAAGTACAAGAGGTTGTAGCACTGCTGCAGAAGACTGCAGCCTGAAAACACATCTGCTGTTTTTTGACCATGTGTTGCACAGTTTGTTGATTTTAGGTGGATACATGTGGGAATGATTAAATTTACTCTCAATAGTTCATGTTGCCTGACATTAAAAAATTGTGTGATTTTGACGTCTGTTTAGTGACTCATCTGTGAATTTTTTTTTTTTTTTCAAGCTAGAAAATTTAATTTTATTAAGGATGAAGATTGTATTCCAATAAAAGATGTCACTCCTTGTCAGAAATCAGAGTTATTAATATTAATATTCTTGTTCTTCTGAACCTTTTTGGCAACTTAGCAAGACTCAGACGATTGGTGACTTAGACTTTTATTGTCATTCAGGTGTATACAGACAGAAATTTAATGTGTGTGTGATGAGGGCTAGTGGTTGCAACAATGTTCACGAACTGCAGGGGGATAGAATTTATATGAAATAAATATTAGATTTGTATCTGTACAGCAGATATTTAAGGTGTAAAGTGATGGAACAGCAGCAATAAAAACAAATATAAATATGCAGCAGAAGTCCAGTGTAGGTCCAGAAACAGTGAGTTATGTACAAACAGCAGTAAAATTGTAGTTACTTAAAAACCTGATGGCTTGGGGGATAAAGCTGTTATAGAACCTGGTAGTCCTTCTCTGCAGAAGTCAACAGGGTAAACAGAGCTGCTGGTGTCACAGAGAGGAGTCATTGCAGATCTTTCTGGCCTGAGACACATAGCAGTTCTGTGCAATGTCCTGGATGTAGGGGAGAGAAGTCCCAATGATCCTCTCTACTGTCCTCACACTCTTCCAGTCTGAGTCACTACCGCCTACACACCACACAGAGAGATACAGCTGGTCAGGATGCTCTCCATGGTGCTTCTGTAGAATGTGGTGAGGATGGGTGGAGGCAAGTGGGCTCTTATCCTCCACACGAAGTGCATCCACTGCTGTGCCCTCTTCACCAGTGATGCAGTGTTCACAAACCAGGTGCGGTCGTCTGTAATACGCAACCCCAGAAACTGCTGATCACCTTCACGGCTGTGTTGTTGGTGAGAAGTGAAGCATGGCTGGGCTGGTTCTTCCTGAAGTCCACAATGATTTCTTTAGGTTTGTCCACATTCACTCATATACTGAACACATCACTGAATAGTGATGTGTTCAGTATATGATCTGAAACAAGCTGTTCATCAGTGAGGGATTACTGAATGATCTGTGCATGTATGCAGAAACGTGTCCATCTTCACTTTCTTCATAGAAGCAACTGTTGTAGATGCATTTATGGATAGATAAGCTCAAGTAATTTGGAGTACTAGAAAACTCGGTGCTCAAGATGCACTTTTAGTACATATTTTGCATCTAACACGTGAGCTCTGTCCTGCACACCAGAGCATGTAATAAAAAAACAACAGAATAAATGCAGAGAGGGGTACTTCATCGTGTTTATACCCTGTAGTCAGAGGATGGTAACCACCTGCTTCACTAAGCTTTGCCGTGCCTCTCTTTAACAGCATATCTTCCACATATTGAATTTCCCTTTGGGGATCAATAAAGTCATTTCTTTCTTTCTTTCATCAGTGCATTTAAGGAAAACACACTGTTGAGTAAAATACAACTTACAAGATATTGGTTTGAATTTAAAATCTCTCAATTTAAGATGAGTGGTTAGCAAAGGGACTTTATAACTACTTTTCTGAACACCCAATATTAAAGTTACAGCTTCCACCCTTTCTCGTCTGAGAAGCAGACTATCTGTGTTTTTTTTCTGCTTTTGCAGGAGAGCTTCAGTCGGTCAAACACATTAAATATTTCTTCAGTTGGTGCTAATTAGAGTTTCATTGATTTTTGTCCACACAGACGTGCTTTATTAGTTAGTTTGATGCCAGGCGATCAGTAACTGCCTTGTCTAATTACTTTCCTCAACAAGAGACTCAGGACTTACTTCACCAAAAGACTGGCCCTGCTTCACCTGTGCAACCGAGTGAGTGAGATCAGGTTTCAACTTTCCAGTCATCATGATAGTTTGACTTGGTAAAATGTCAGAGCTGCTCAGTGTGGTTTTGAAATATCGGTTGGAAATGAAACACATAAACAGGTCAAAAATATATCTAATGTTTTCAGTACCAGACATAGTTTAATAATGATTCCCTGGAAAGAAGTGCAGCTCAATATGAGAGTTTCCATCCACAGTAATGTTTTCATTTGGAGTTACGGTTTTGTTCCAGCCTTTCTGAAGGAAAATGAGCCTCATGATAGAGTCTGCTGCATTCACTGTTTCTTTTCTTGACTGCAGTAGTCATCCGAAGAAAACTGCAGACCTTGTTTAGATGCATTTACACTGTGGAGAAAGGCAATAGGATTTGATGGAATAGTCCAAACAGAGAGGCAAATGATGCCTAAAATGAGATCTGTTATTAGAGATAAATCTGTAATATGTGAGGATAAGCAGGCAGCATGCGTGGTGTATTTTGTGTTTAAACCACACCATTGTTCAGTGGCCTCACACATACTCAGTGCACCACTATATGAGAGTATAACTTTCAGTCCTGCTTCTTCAGATTTTATTCTGTTCACACAGTTTGGTGCAGTGCAAGGAAAACATGCTCCACATGGAGTTTCCATAAGAAATGTACATTTCTCACATTTGTAATTTACTAAATGCGAAGAGCAGCCACAGGGAGAGGCAGGAGACATAAACAGTTGAGGTTTGATTCCTTGACGGAGTTTAGAGAGCCTCTGTTTTTTTTTTTCCTTACAGTGGACTACAGACAGCATTTCTTCACTGAATGGAAACAGTTGAGTCCCAGAAAGGTCACTGCAATCACTGGCATACACAGAGTGAGGACAGGAGAGACAGGAAGGGAGGTGACTTTTCAATCTATATGAGAAGACCCAACTACAACACCTGTGGGAAAAGATTCTATGTCATGTCTCTGAATGGGTAACCATATGAAACAGAAGATTCAGTTGTGATTCATGACGAAACACACCAGTCAAGTTTTGTTCTTATATTTCTGTTAGCAACAGTGAGATTCATGATGTTCTTACAAATACAACAAAAAAACGACCAGTCAAATGTTCATTCTTTACCTTATTTATACACCACCTTAGTTATGTGAGTGGATCGTTAACTCTGATGTCGGGACAGACAATCATTTAAGTGCTGTTTGGTAATTAATGTTTTCATTCCTCCAAATAGAGACCTTTTTGGCTGCAGCGTTTTTCTTAACTTTATATTTTTATCTTTTTCAATTTCTTGTAATTCTTCTGACCTTGTGTTTTACAGTGACACACAAAGACAAGCTACAGTAGGCCAGTAGGCCTATATGATGTACACACATACATGGTGTCATCAAATTTTGTTAACAGTAAAACCATTTTTTTATATATATATATATATATGCCAGTCATTTAGATTGATCATTCCAAATTGATGGGTTGACTCCCAGATTCACACTGAGACCTAAAGCATTGACCAAATCATGTTAGGTGTTTCAGACAAACTGCTCTTTGACACATCCTGAAACATATGCAGTGGTGGAAGAAGTACTCAGAACATTCCTGACCCAGAACAGCACCCCCCTTGCTGTTCCAAGACCTCCTCAAGGACAAATTACACACTGGAAATGTGGCACCCTACTTCCAAGAGGAAGACGAGCAGCAAGCCGTCGGCTCTAAACTGAGAAACTTTGAACATCTAGTGAAGTTATACTTTAGGTGTCATAAATCACCAACTAATGTTTTTCACAAATCACCAGCTAAACCAGCTCCTCACTCCAGGCTGGTTTTTAGCAGATTAGACATAGGTTCATTAGAGCTATGAAAAAAAAATCTGGAAAACTTTTTAGGAAAAAAAGCTTAAGATTGGAGGTAAGTTTCATCTCACTCTTCCTTTGTGCTTCTGCTTTATCACGCTGTCTTCATCTCACTCCATCTCAACTGTGACCTTTGACCCCATTATGACCAGAGTTTAATGTGACTTCCTGCTGGATGACAGCCACAGCCAGGAGCAGCTGATACTGCCAAGCTTAACACACAAACACACGCACAAGCATAATTTGGATCAAATTAAGGCCACTAGAGGAAGGATTATGAAAACAAACACAGTGACACGCAAAGATCCGATTTATTTGCGGACTCTGATTTGAATCTTCATCTCCTGATCCACCTGAGAACTATGATTATTAATCTCCTTAAACCAACAAACTCTGAAAACTCATATCAAGCCAAATACAACATCAGTGAAGCCAGAGCGGAGGTAAAGAGACAGAAATGAGTCTGATTCTGCAGCTTGAAGCCAAAACACCATGGGACCACAACAATGCTATTGACACTTTTGAGTCCTGTGACCTGGATTTATGAAACACAACATTTGTCCATCGTCACTGTTGAAGATGATAAAAGAGCTCCGGGAGTTAGTGGGGAGAGATTCAAAGTCTATCAACCACATCTGTAAGGACACAGTTGCCACTTTTGCGCATGCAATTGACTCCTAAAAGCACATGAACACATTCAGGGGGAGCTGCACATGTGAATGCCGGCAGATGGATTTCTCACCTGAACTTTACCTGGAGTTTTTCCTTCAGCTTCGTAGTAACTGATGCAAGATTTCAGGTTAAAAGAAGAAGGCAAAAGTCAGGAAGATTCCAGACAAGCGGATGATAGAGGTGCTGATGTTTAGATCTTGTACATAAGGATGCTTCAATTTTTCTGTACATTTGTTGATAGTCAGAACACGTGCAATTACAGGCAGCAAGTATGTAAAGGCAAAAAAAAAAGTCAAGACAGCATTAGCAGACTCTGTTTGTAGACTAAGCTGGCTGCAGGATCGTTTGTACATCACCTCCTGCCTCCTGAGCCTCCTCCTCTTCTATCTGACAGGTAACAGGTGTAAGGGAAAGGTTGCAATACACAGCTTTGTCTGTCGGCAACTTCAGCACCAGAAAGAAAAATGACGAGCAGTTCAAGTATGAATTTGAACTTTTATAAAAATACTCTTCATCTCATGTGTCACTGTGATAATACATTATATGAACATACACATCATTATTTCAAGATGCCATTAACTTTGATGAGAATATTTTATCCTTGTAACAATTGAATCCACTGTTATGATGCAAAAGTTTTTATGTCTGACATTTTTAAGTTAATGTTTCTCATCTGAACAGTCACACTGATGTACAACACTTTTAAGAGTCTCTTCGATAATTTAAGTCTTGATATATTTTAAAACAGTTAGACCTTTGAAAGTTTAAGCAATAATGTTCATGTCCAACAGCTAACACGTTTACATGTTTGTTAAAAAAATAAAATTATGATCATAACAACGATATAGTTGCCACACATGCAATATGTAAACATTAGAGGTTGTTTCCCTTTAGCAAAGATGCACACCTGCACAGAAGCATGCAAAGAAGTGTCAAAACCACAAACTGACAGATTTTTTCTGAACACCAATCTGCATTCACCGTTTGAAGAAAGTTATCTGTAGAGGCAACGTTCAAGTTCTGCAAGATTAAAATCAATGTTTTTGTTATTCTAGGCAAGTGGTCACACAAAAAAGACTAGAGTTCTCAATGAAAAAAGCAGGTTTGATGAGAACTTTACCCAAGGTTCATAGCCGTCGCCCGTTTGATTATTTCTAGCCTTTATTATGGGTAACTTTCTGTTCTCACCCAAACAAGTTTGTAAATTATGGCTGTCATAAATTTGTTGAAATACTTACAAACAGTAAATACAGCCGTTGGATACAAATTTGATTCTTAAAGGGTATTTTCCCTTAAATGATGAGCATTAAAGCCTGTCATTAAACTCCTTCGGGGTTTCTGACCAAATTTACTTCCACAACCCTGTTTACAGAGGAACTGGGATGCTGTGCATGTTTTAACAGAGACAGAATGGGATTATTGCACAAATCAAAATCCCAAATTAAGTTGGAAATAGCCCATCTAAACAAAGAAAAGTTGTTAATTTTGGAAAAATTATGCTGTCAAAAGTTGGAGCAGCATGTATTCAGGTTTTGGGTCCTCATATGCTGCCAAGCAAACAAAGTATTTATCAGAGAGGGTTTCTGCGGGTTACAACAGCATGGCTCTGTAGGAGAAGAGTCCTGCTGATAAACTGGCCTGCCTGCAGTCCTGACTTGTCACCTATCAAAAATGTTGCATTATATGCATTATAAAAGAACAATACAATTAAGACTGCTGAAATCCTCCATCAAACAGAAGTAAAACGATGACAGTTGGTCTCCTCAGTTTCTCAAACACTTGCTAAGTACTGTTGTTGGAAGTGGAGGTGATAAAACTTCACAAAAACAACAGTAAATTTCAGTTTCAGTGTTTGATATGTTGTCTTTGATAAGACCAGAGCTTCAGGTCAATCACACTAACGCAGCATCTCAACTTATTCAGTAACAGGTTTGTTTGCAGATCAATAAAAACTGCCTCCTGATATGTGAAGGATGTACTGCCATCTCCTGTAACCTGACTGATGAAAGGTCCACAGGTTGTTTGTAGCTTAAAAACAGACTCACACCGGCCTATCTCTGTCTCAGCTGTCACATCAGAGGTTTGCTTGAGAGAGCGAAAATGTTTTCAGTTGGGTTAAAACATGAAGATGTAAACACAGCTGGAGGAGCAGCAGGCTCACCTGTCAGTGCAGACAAGTGTATTGTGTTCAGTTTATTGTGCGTTTCTCTGCTTTCACCGTGAGTTAGTTGTTGTTCTTGTTCCCGTCTGCCCTCTCTGTCCTTTTGGTCCACTCCTCCATTGCTATCGCACAGCTGGGCTTCCCGTCATCATCCACACTTTTATCCAAGTCTTTGTTTTTGTGTAAAATCAAAGATTTTAACGTCTTTTTCTCAGTCTGTGTAATCAAAATTCTATTTTTCACTGAGGAGTCTTTTTTTAATTTGTGGAGAATGCTGGTGTGTGTGAGCAGCGTCACTGTCGGATGCCTATTGTTGTCCTCCGTGGCTACCTCGTGGGAATCGGTGGTAGGGTTGCTCGGGCTGGCGTTCCCTCGGCGTAAGCAGCAACAGAGTACCTTGCCGAGGGGCCTGAATATGACTCTATAGAGGCCACGGCGGGCGCTCTCGCTTACAAAGCAGTAGAGAGCAGGGTCAGCAACACAGTTTAGGCTGGTCAGCAACAAGGACAGGTGGTAGTAGTTAAATATTCCTGGAAGTGAAGGGAAAGGTGGCAGTTTTAGTGTTTCAGAAACCCCAGGGAGAGATGATATGAGGTGTTTCACGTGGTGGATGTAATCAGAGTGAGTGAACAAAACAACAATGATTCATTGGACTTTCGCTGAACATCAGGCTGAGCTGGCTGCTAAAATCTAATAACCATGTCTGACTTTTTTTATTGTAGGAGTAACACCACTCATCACAAGTTCATGCTTGGGTTTTTGGGGCTTTTATGTAAGAACTTTTATTTCACAGTCCTCCTCAAAAACACTTCATGCAACAGATCGTCCATTATCAGCATTCAGGTCTTTACCTGTGATGAAGTCACAGTTTCGCTCCAGCAGGGTGCGCACTAACAGGAAGACATGATAGGGAGAGAAGCAGACGAGGAAGATAAGGATGGTGCTGCTGACTAACTGTCTGACCCTCGTCTTCTGATCTGGCTGAGTTCCTGCACTCCGACCCACGGCACGAAGGACACACAGGTAGCTGATCTGAAGAGACAAAACAAAAATAATTTACTTTAAACTGACCTAAAATCAAACTCTGGTCTTCTACTATGTATACTGTAATATAAATGATGCATCAATTAAAAACATACATAGTTGTACACATGAACTGAAAATACCTGCTTTGACTGTGCACCGAATCTTTCAGTCTGTTTCATACCTCATCAAAAACTCCTTACAGGGGCTTTCGGCTTTAAGCTACAAGACAAATGCTTTGTTTACAGATGCACTGCACTCTTATAATACCCTGACATTTCCAGGGTGGGCTGCATGTGTGAACCCAAACGGTTATATTTCTCGCCTCGGCTCTAACCACAGTTTTTTTTCCTGCCAACCTTAAAAGTAAAAGTTCTACAGAAGTTGGCATGAGTCAAATGTGAGAGCACAGAAGGGGAAATTCATCACCGTCAAGTAGGCAGGTGTGATGACTGGCATAACGCACAACACGAGCTGCAGTTTCACACTTTTTAATGCTCCTTTCCACTTACATGTTTGTACTGTGGATGCATCTGTCACAGTTGTAGGCTTTTCTTGTGTGGGGACAACTGCAGCAATCTTTTAATGTCATGTGATCCCCTCTCTCTCCTTCCCAGCAGATAGAACCTCAACTATAAAGCCCTTTCCAGACATGCACTTGGTATATTTCGGGGGCCTGATCATGACCAGAAAAGTTTTACCTCCCGGCAAGATTAAAACTGCTGATCCTTTAACTTCCAGAAGGTTTGATTTACATTCAGTCTTATTCTCTTAGTTTTTCTTTCCTCTCAACCCTGACAAAATATGTCTGTCTGTAAATCCACAGCTGTGTTATTAGGCTGTGAATCTTAATATTAGATTGTGTGTTAGAGGATCAAACCCACTTCTACACCTCCGACAACACAAACAGAGAGAGCAGCATCAGCATCATAATCTTGCAGCAAACTTATTCCAGTTAATAACCCGAAAACACAGACAAAAAGTGCAAACCGACCTCCTCTGTTATTGATCTGCTCTACAGCAGCATTTTTCAACCAGGCAGTGAAAGTAGACAGAACACTGTCTGCATAAGAACCATCAACACAATATGTCAGCCGCCTCTAGCAGGGAATTATCAGGAAGATTTGCTGCTGCTTACCTGGACTTTACCCTCTATGATACCAGGGAACTACCAGAAAATATACCAGGTGACATTGGGGTGGAAAACCTGGATTCTGTCACATGTACAGCTCACTCACAGGAATACTTTCAGGCACTTTGTACATGTCTGAAAGTGGCTGAAGTAACTTTGGAGTAAAAGTTCTGGGAATTTTCAGGAGTGCTCATGTGCTTAACCTGCAAACAAAGCATTGCTACTAGATGTTTTTCATCTTCTTATTTTCTGTCTTTATAACTTCTTATTTATTGTTGATTTACATCAACAGAACTCTAGTTGTATTATCTTTCATTCTGTCATTCTGCATTTTTGGCCATGATAGATCATGAAGCAGTAATCTCACTGATAGGATAGCCAGCGGGAACATGAAGCCAATGGTAAAGCGGTAATAGTTGATGGGATACTCCCAGGGCTTCATGGGGTAATGCTCGAAGCACACTGATTGGTTCTTTTTGTTTTGGCTCAGTTCTTTATGTCTGAAGAAAACCACGCCCACAGCAATCTCCTTCAGCCAGATGAGGATGCTGACGAGCCACGCCGCACGCATTGAGCGGAGAGACGTGAATCTGCAGGATCAACAATAGAGAGAGAGTGGGCATGTAACATCAAATTATCCTTATAAAGCTTTATGTCAAGGTCAAAGTTATATATATATATATATATACACACACATACATATATATATATATAAATATATATAAATATATACTTAAATCAACCTTAAAGGATGGACGACAGCCAGATAGCGGTCCAGACTGATGCAGCAAAGAAAACCGATGCTGATGTAGATGTTCTCGTAGAGCAGAAAACCACAGAGCTGGCACAACCACTCCCTGTGACGCCAGTCGTCATCCTGAGATGATATCATCATAAAAACAAACTCCACAAAATAAATAACAAAAAAAAAAAAAAAACAGGTCATTCATGAGAAGATCTGTGACATTAAGGGATGAATTCAATTTGTAAAGAGAAACTCTTGCACTTTATTGAATTTCCCTTCGGGGATCAATGAAGTTAATCTTATTCTTATTCTTTAACTTTCAGATTCAAATGGAGCAGCAAAACTTAACACAGTGTAGTTTGTATATTATAACCCTCGGAGTAAAACGAGCACATACAGCTGAGGCTAAAATAGAATTTGGTTTGAGGAAACGTGGAGAAGAGCTGGCAGATCATTTTTTGGAAATACTCAGAAATTCAGTCACGTTAGCGGGGGTCCTGGCTGCTTTCGTCTCAACAAAATATCTTTCTCTACTCTTTAAGATGCAACTCTGTTGACTGTTTAACTTTCTCACTGGACAGCTTTAGAAATGTGGAGAGAGAGAGAGAGAGAGAGAGAGAGAGAGAGAGAGAGAGAGAAAGAGAGACAGACATCTATCTATCTATCTATCTATCTATCTATCTATCTATCTATCTATCTATCTATCTATCTATCAGAGTAGCAATGTGTTTTAAAGTACCTGAAAGATGTACTGCAGCCACAAAGGTAAGGATGCCAGGTACAACAGGTCAGACACAGTGAGGTTCAACAAATAAATTCCCAGCTCATTCTTCTGCTTCAGCTGCACTGCAGCGTGGTACAGAGCATACAGGTTGGAAGGGACACCAATCTGGAACAAAGAGGATCAGCTATTCTGGTTACCTTGTCTTTCTCAGATGTCTTTTTTACCACTTTCTTCAACCCTATTATTCTATTTCTGGGCACACACCAGAACATTAACACTTGGCACTCTGAAGACCTACTCTAAGATCATAATACTGCAACTACACACAGAGCAAAATTGGTATTGGTAAAGCTGATGATTGCAGCAGCAGCAGCAGAACATTGTGTCTGGTGTCTCAGCTTCAGCCCTGTCACTTCTCAAAGATTTATTTTACATGCATTAATTTCAGGAGTGATGACATATTATCTCTCTCCAGCAGCAGCCTGCAGGTGGATGCTGTGGAGGCGTCAGGTCTGAAAGATGGAGTGCAGCACTTCCTCTGCAGGGCAACAGAGACAATGACTGACTGAAAACTCCTCAGATTGAGAGGACACATTTTCAGGTGTCTGTCAGAATATGAAATAAGAGCAGTATGAGTTTTCATGCCTATTTCCCTTCAGGTTTCTGTCACAAGCCTGTCCCTCCTCAGCAGTCTCTCCACTGCTTCACAATCCTGTCACATCACTATACAGAGGCATGCACAAATCTATGTGATTTGAAGCCCTTAGCTGTCTGAACTTGCATGTTTGTCCACGTCTGCAGAAAAGGTGGAAAACAGAATCAAGTGGTGTCAGCAGGAAACATTTTGGGAGTAATTTCTGGATCTAACTGCTTCAACACCCAGTATTGTACAGGTGCTGTTTGACCACAGGAACTTTCCCCAGGAATTACAGACCTTTTGAGGAACTCTGTGCATTTCACCTGGAGGAACGAGAGTCTAAATTTAGTTCTAGGTAAAAGATCTGCCCCTGGAAAAGCCCCAGCTCAAAAGAAAGTATTTTTTAATAGTTCAGGGACTTTGGGAGGCAGGATATGATGGTTTCTCTTACATAAAATCAACAGGTCGTCAATGTACATATAAAATACAGGCAGCATAGACACACACACAGAAAGATTCTGGATTATATCTTACATGACCAAATATTATCTGATCAATAAAACAATGTATTTTCATTCTATTTCAGAATATTTTTTTCATCTCAGGGATGCTTTGGGGTGTTTTAGGGGTTAATCTCATCAGGACTTAGCCTTGATTACAGTACAAGATGGTTTATAATTTACACACAGACACCAGCTGAGTAAGGATAGGGTTAAAATATTTCCAGTAATCTGATGTTATCTATTAACCAATACAGCTTACCTGCTGCCAATGGGATAAGTGAATTTTTGTTGTTGGTGTTTTTTGTAAAATCAGAGGCCTGATTTGCATTATTACCCCTGAACTTCAGAAACATAGACAACAATACACACAATAGCCATTTAGTTCCTTAGAGAAAAGAGTTTTGATTGAAAAGCAACTATATTGTGACTAACAATGGCAGAGAAACTGCAACAGCCAGAACCTTCACAGGGAGAAATATGCTGCATAAGTTTTTAATGATGCAATGAAAAACATGCTGCAAAAGACTGAAATAACTGCATCTACAGCAAATGTGCTGCACATGCTCAGTTGATGCAAAGCTACCAACAAAGGATGAAAACACCTGCAAAATAACGCTGCCAATCAAGACTTTTAATGGAGGTGCTCCAGGCCTGTTGAGGGCGCTGTGTAAAACAGCTCCTTATAAAGATAGTTTGATCATTTGCAGATACTTTGCCCTCAGAGCCGCTGTGACTGTCTTGGTGCAATAATATGAAACAGGCTGCAGAAACGACATCAGCTCTGTCGTGAGTATCATTGCTTGAAAACAGGAAGGGCTGGTCTTTTTAAATCCTAAAATATGATCATTTCCTGTGTCACAACAACCTACATCCATTCCCATCACATTTGCAGATTATTTAGTAATCAGACATCTTAACCCTTCAGTTTTAGGTGATCGTTAAAACACACACACTTACCAGAAGAACAATGATGTACACACAGGAGAAGAGGTACTGGTGGATCTCATGGCTGATGGTGCAGTTCATCTTTTCCTCCTCTGACATGTTGAGCACCATCACACACACCATAAACACACGCTACTTCACATCTGACATGCACACACACTCAGAGTGTGGTTCTCAGACATATTCACTTATTGTGTGACACACACACACACACACACAGCTCCTCATGTCGGTTGGAGGCCTCTGTGATACCTTGAACTTGAGTCATCTGGTTGAGTTTCTTTCCTCTCTTTTACAGTCCCGGTTAATTTGGCTTCTGTGAATCACAAAGAGATGTTCCTTTAGATATAACAACTATAAATGTTTAACTGTGCTTCAGAGTTTCTACAGTAAAGCTTCTTTTAATGAATGATGATGATGCAGTTTGGTTTCCAGCAAAGCCGATGTCATGATGAACAAAATTACAGGTATGCATACTCTCTAGCAACAACCTAATTTACACTGTAATATGTGAGAGTTTCACTGATAACTGCAAAGAATCACTGCAACACCATAGGCTTCTGCTCTAGAAATTTTATTCACTTTAACATTTAATAATGTATACTTAGCACAAGGAAAAAGTTGATATATGTGCAGGTTTAGGAGTTCTTTGGCTAAGCTCTGAGTCGGAAAACTAACACTATGAGAGTAGGAAAAAAGGTAAATAACACAAAACATGGTTGATATAAAATTGAAATAATCGTAAAGACCCACTGCGATGACAATCATGTTTTTCTTGTTGTCTACATGTTTATGTGGCATTTTTCTGATGTTACAGGACATATAAGAAAAGTAATGCAGAACAGTGAGTATTTCTGCATTCAAATCGCTGTGAATCTCTGACAGACCCAAACAGCAGGTTCAGATACAGTGAAATTTCCTACGTGGCAAATCCAACACCCCTCCCAGAGCCCCGCTATGCAGGCCAGACACGGAAAAGTAGAGAGGGTGATAGCGGAACAAGCATGTGCGTTAGCGGATTGCAATGTTTGTAAGAGAGCTACAAACCCCCCCCCCCCTGCAGAGGAGTGTGCAGAGCAGTGCTGTTTCCACCCACCACTCAAAGGCTAATTGCTAATGAACTACTGGAGCTTTGCAGAAGAAAAGCCCCTGAAAATGACACAGGCAATGTGATTTTGGCAAAAAGAAAAAAAAAGGTTGGAGTGGGACTTTAAATATATTTAACAACAAGATTAGATGGTGGCCAAGTATGTCATTCTGCTAAAATTAACAAACGCATGGTTAAAAATAAAACCATAAACAGGCCACATTTAACTGCAGCAGCCTGACAGACAGACTCACTTCACTGATACTGGACTGTGGCTCATGGTGCTCCAGTTATCTCACTAAAACCATTTGGACCAGATTCATGAAAGGTCAGTGTCAGTCATTCAGATGGAGGATTATTTTAAACTCAAGTGAATAGACTTTTAACCTGCTGTAGCACTGAAAAAGTCAATGGTCAAGGCTAACACGAACAAAAAAAAATATTTAAAAAAATGTAGGAACTAAAGGACAGAGGAGCTGAGTTTACAATGAGGAAATACTGGAAGGATAATAAAAATACCATGAGATAACACTTAGAAATCAGTTGAGCAATAAATAAACTGAGATTAAAACAAAAAATATTAAAGTAATAAAAGAATAACATAAAGCAAAATAAAACATTAAAATTTAGGGAAAAAACAACCCTAAATTGATAAATTAATTAACCAACAAAGATACCTGCATAAGGTAAAAATCAGTTTATAAAGGTGGAAGTTAAGATTGACTTGGCACAGTTTACCCTAACCTGGGGACCTGACAGTTCTCACAAAAAAAAAAAAAAATCTGATAAATGAGTTGGTGCGAGACCATTAAGAGCTTTAAAAACCACTAAAAGAACCTTAAAATCTGTTCTCAAAGATACTGGGAGTCAATGCACAGACTTCAGAATCAGTGTAATGTGGCCTCTCTTTCTGGTCTTTGTCAGTGGTCTTGCAGCTGAGTTCTGCGTCAGCTGAAGTTGGAAAGGGTCTTTTTAAGAAAAACCAGAAAGCAGAGTGATACAACAGTCAAGTCTGTAGGTTATAAAAGCAAAAGCCTGAGTCTCTGCATTGATGTGAGAGAGAAAGTGTCACACTCTGCGGCTGCAACAGTTTTTTCAGGTAGTAAAAAGCTATTTGTGTTTTGGTTAAAGGGAAAAAAAAAACACTTCACTGAAGTTTCCACAGAGCATCCTGTTTTTTAAATGTTCTCTTTTGGTCAGAGTTAAACCACCAACGGTGGTCAGCTTTTGGTTTTTGGACATTTAAACCTCAGTTTAAACTGGATATCAACATTTATTTGCGCCTATTAAATGTTATTCACAATTCCAGATTTCTATGAATGGTCGAGGAGAATTTTCCTCCCAGAGAAAGAGAGAAAACTAAATTTGCTTATGCAGGCTGTGTGTGCTACTCAAAATTTGCACTTAAAAAAATGACAATGACAAAGACAGGACGTGTAAGGTAAAGAACAACATTTGCAGAAAACGCACTGGCTGTTACATGCAAAATAAGTTACCTAAGAAACATTTCCTGCAAATTCATCTCACTCACCATTCACAGGTCAAACTAATCACCTCCATCTGAACCACTTTATTTTCTTTATTACATTGCATGTTCCAGGGCATTTAAAAATATTGACATCAGCATTAAATCTGGACTTTGCAGATTCCTCCTTCATGCCGACTGAAGTCTGACACTTCAGCTATCAAGCCTGGGTGTGAATAGAGATGATGAGAAAAAAAGGCATGTGTTAAGTGTGAATCATTAGCTGTTTAATGGAGCTAGTAATGTAAAAGCTGTGATTTCCTGTTGTCTGACTTCTAGAGTTACTAAAAGCTTTATATTCATTCACTGCTGGGTAAAGGTCCTTATGTTCATTTTTTTACTGACCAACTCATGAATGAGCATCTGTGTTTACTTTAAATTAAAACCATACCACGCAAAAAAAGGAACAAGACAAAACATTTTTTTTACAGTACACGTGTTTACAGTAAGTGCTGTGGGAATAAAGCAGTGGGTGAAAGTGAGCTGGATTTATGAATAACTTCTGAGTGTGGCATTGCTGCGTTGTCTTGACCTCCTGCTCCAGTGGAACATGATCAGAGTGGATGTGAAGCCTCTGAGTATAAACTGCTCTACATTTCTTTGTTTTGGCGTCCCAGCATCTTTAGAATGGCTCCATAATGACATGGTATAAAACCATTCAGAGCCACCAACACCACAGACTGAAACCACAAGCATCATCTCTATTTTCCTCACACTCTGTGTCCCACTTCATGATGTCTTCTCTCTCTGTTGGTCCTGAATAAAACCACCACAGGTCAGATTAAAGAACAGCTGGATGAACAAGAAATTCCTCTAGAGTCAAACTTACCCACGGTTTTAACTCTTATTCAGCCAGGTGAGTCAAACAAGTAACAAAATATATACACTTTAGTATAGTCTTTTTTTGTTTTGAATATAGAAAAACTTTTTTTTTTAAATCAGGTCTTCAGCTACTGACCAGTCTTTCAGTTGGTGTATTTTTTTCAGTCCAGGGCACAAGCCCTGAATGCAGAAAGAAAACTAAGAATAACATTTTATTGACATTTTGCAGAGAGTTAGAGAGCTTGCACTTGATCAGTCAGACATAAAAACTCAAACAGTATTACATAACTCAAGGAGAAATCATATTTCACTGTTTTCAAGGAGTTGGTTATTTTTTAAACATCATTATCACAAAGATTCAAGGAGCATCATGGGGGGAGGAGCAAACTGAACAGAGCTGACAAATTTTCTTACACATCACAATATCAGGTTCAAGCTCTACTATGTTCAGCCAATCTTTAACTTTTTTGACAGTTCAAACACAAACTGTACATTAAGATGTTTGATCAAAACTTTAATCTTTAACTTTAATTCACAACTCAACTCAACTTTATTTATAGAGCACTTTAAAAACAACCAAAGCTGACACAAAGTGCTGTACATAATAACATAAAACAACAATAAATAGTTGTTTTAAAATATAATAAAAAGCAATAAAACAAATGCCGTCTCATGCTTGGTCAAAAGCTAAGGAATCAAAGTGGGTTTTTAGACGGGTTTTGAAAATGGACAGTGAGGGAGCTTGTTTAATGTGGAGAGGTAAATCATTCCATAACGTAGGAGCAGCAACAGAAAAAGCTCTGTTTCTTCTGAGCCTCCGCTTGGAACTTGGTACCAACAGGAGCAGCTGGCCAGCTGACCTGAGGCACTGGGCAGGAGCATAGGGGTAAAGCAGCTCAGAGAGGTATGATGGGGCCAGACGATTTAAGGTTTTAAAAACAAATAAAAAAATCTTAAAATGAACTCTAAAATGCACGGGCAGCCAGTGGAGGGAGGCCAGAATGGGAGTGATGTGCTCCCTCTTACACATTCCGGTTAGAAGATGAACGGCCGCATTCTGGACCAACTGGAGAAGTGCGAATGAAGACTGACTGACTCTATAACAAAGTGCGTTACAGTAATCTAGCCGAGACATGATGAAGGCATTCAAATCACATTGCTGAAATCCTCCATTTACCCTTAACTTCACTCTTAATCTTCAAATCAAACAAACATCACCTGCATCCAAAACTCCTTGGTCGGCTGGTGTACCAGTCTTCAACACTGGTACCAGTTTAATTAAAAACTATCACATCCCTGACTGACTAATCTTTAACAATATATCTTAAATTCTCACACTGTGTGCGCTTGTGTGTGTATGTGTGGGTGAGTGCGGGTGGGTGTGTGTCTTTGTGTGTGTGGGTCCATGGGTGGGTGTGTGGGTTGGGGCTTTTTGTTGTTAATTGTTGTTTTTGGCCTCTGTGAGGCACTTTGAACGGCATTTTTTGTCTGAAAAGTGCCATACAAATAAAGTTGAATTTGTATTTAATCAGGTCTCCTGCTACCGTGATCAATAAGAACATTCCCTGTGATCAATACTGCAATACAATGCAGCATGAACTCTGTGATCAGTGACAGCAGTTACCACGGAAACAGCAGTACGTCATTCATTAAACACCAAGGACCCCTGACATCACTATGAGTAACAGAGTACCAGAGACACTAAATCTGTCACATCATCTCTGTTATTATCTTCATCACAGCCTTCACCTCCATCCTTGTCACCATCATCATCATCAGCAGCAGCAGCAGCATCACTGACACTGGACTCAGTGAATCTACTCAGTCAATCTAGATAAGAATGATCAAATTTTGTAAATTCACTTTATTATGGATTAAAGATTAGATTATCAAGTTAACTTTTGTCCAATATTGATTAGCACAATTAAGACCTGTATCAAACTTTTCAGGATTACCAAACCCAGATTACTGACACTCTGAAAATTACTACACATTTCGCAATTTGTCCACAAGATGCACCAAAACCCACACAAACCAAACAATCCTGACATTGCCTTCAGTAGACAGGTAACTGAGCAACCTTTATTCAATTCAGCTGCCTAAATTTAATCACATTTCTTTTAAACGACTAACATATTACAGCACATCATTAGAAATAACCTTAATGAATAATGAGACATGATTCAAAAATGCTTTTATACCTGAGATCTTTCTAAATTGATTCTCTATCAACTTTTCCAGAGCAAAATGCCAGGAAGAGTCTACAGAGGGAACTCAGATCTAATACTGCATCCTCAAAATGTCAAAGCAAGAGGAACTATAGAAGAAAACATAGCTGCATTGAGACTGTGAATTAAGTCTTTCTGACTGAGCGTGCTTCATGACAACAAACATCCTGAAACAACATTAATTTTTGCTTCAAAGTTTTCTTTCAGCTCAGCATGGTGTGAAACGTCCCTCCCTCTTTGTGAGTTATGGGTCTGTCTCTATTCAAGCGCAGCAGTCAGCTGATTAAATCACCTGGCAGACATGTTTGATTTACAACACTGATAGGGAAGAAACTCTCTCAAACCTCCCACTCTCCACACTTGCACTCAGTAACACCACAATCACCATTTTTGAATGTAACACACTTGTTTTCCACGTGATAAAATGCCGTTAATAAAGAAATATCTTCACAGTTGTATGTTTTTTTTTCTTTCCAGCTCTCAGGGGAAATAATCTTCATTTTCGACCTGCTGTAAATCACCTACATCATGGCTTTAGTTTGATTTACTGTCCCCTTCTGTTCATGTTTTCCAACAGATCTGATTTGTAGTCTACACATCCTGGAAGCACAGTGACATACATCCCACTAAACTGTTTATCTACCTGTGTCATATCCATCAAGGAACACATGTGATAACACATGCTGGGGGGGAGGGGAGTCTCATACAGACGGGACTCACATGTAAGGAGGATCCATTCTCACTTTGAAGACTTAAAATCATTAATGCTCTTCATAGCTGCAGGGTGAGCTTATTTATTAATACTGTGATCAAAGATAAAGTCATTTACATACTGATCTGATGATTGATTAAGTCACTTTTGCAACTTGAAAAAAACATTTAATCATGGTGGCCAATTAGCTATCAAGCCCAGGTGTGAATAGAGATGATGAGAAAAAAAGCATGTGTTAAGTGTGAATCATTAGCTGTTTAATGGAGCTAGTAATGTAAAAGCTGTGATTTCCTGTTGTCTGACTTCTAGAATTACTAAAAGCTTTATATTCATTCACTGCTGGGTAAAGGTTATTTTGTTCATTTTTTTACTGACCAACTCATGAATGAGCATCTGTGTTTACTTTAAATTAAAACTATACCAAGCAAAAAAAAGAACAAGACAAAAACACTTGTTTTTTTACAGTACACGTGTTTACAGTAAGTGCTTGTTTAATGTTGTGCTGTGGGAATAAAGCAGTGGGTGAAAGTGAGCTGGATTTATGAATAACTTCTGAGTGTGGCATTGCTGCGTTGTCTTGACCTCCTGCTCCAGTGGAACATGATCAGAGTGGATGTGAAGCCTCTGAGTATAAACTGCTCTACATTTCTTTGTTTTGGCGTCCCAGCATCTTTAGAATGGCTCCATAATGACATGGTATAAAACCATTCAGAGCCACCAACACCACAGACTGAAACCACAAGCATCATCTCTATTTTCCTCACACTCTGTGTCCCACTTCATGATGTCTTCTCTCTCTGTTGGTCCTGAATAAAACCACCACAGGTCAGATTAAAGAACAGCTGGATGAACAAGAAATTCCTCTAGAGTCAAACTTACCCACGGTTTTAACTCTTATTCAGCCAGGTGAGTCAAACAAGTAACAAAATATATACACTTTAGTATAGTCTTTTTTTGTTTGTTTTGAATATAGAAAAACTTTTTTTTAAAATCAGGTTTTCAGCTACTGACCAGTCTTTCAGTTGGTGTATTTTCAGCCCAGGGCACAAGCCCTGAATGCAGAAAGAAAACGAAGAATAACATTTTATTGACATTTTGCAGGAAAAGCTAAAAAGAATGTGATCCAGAAGAGATCTTTGCAGGAGATGTTGAGAGTTAGAGAGCTTGCACTTGATAAGTCAGACATAAAAACTCAAATAGTATTAAACAACACAAGGAGTAATCATACTTCACTGTTTTCAATGAGTTGATTAATTTATAAACATTATCACAAAGATTCAAGGAGCATCATGGGGGGAGGAGCAAACTGAACAGAGCTGACAAATTTTCTTACACATCACAATATCAGGTTCAAGCTCTACTATGTTCAGCCAATCTTTAACTTTTTTGACAGTTCAAACACAAACTGTACATCTAAAATATTTTTGAAATTTAAAAACTAAAAGAAACAACTATTTGCAAATGTTTGACCAAAACTTTAATCTTCAGTTTTAAGTCATTAAAATCACATACCTGAAATCCTCCATTTACCCTAAACTTCATTCTTAATGTTCAAATCAATCACACATCACCTCCACCCAAAACTCCATGGTTGGCTGGTGTACCAGTTTTCGACACTGAGACCAGTTTATTTTAAAAAAATAATATTAACATAACAAACATCTCTGACTGACAATTCAGGTTCAAAGGTTAACACGGGCGCCGATCGGAAACTCTGTGCGCAGCGCTTCCTGTGTGAACCAGACACCCTGTGTCTGAGCTCATAAAAAACTTGTTTTTCAGGTTACAGAGTTTCCCTTTGTCACCCTGTGTGACACAGTTCTGCTTTCCGGGTTGAAACGTAGGTAAGTAACTGTTTTTGACTGTTTAAAGATAACTCTTCAATTCATTTAAATGCAAAAGCAGTTCAGAACTTTCAGTTAACTACTGGGCTTATTAGCTTCTCCTAGAACATGTAGGCTACTGTGAAACAACAGAGAGGGAGCAGCATTTTCAATAACAGCTAACAGTGCAAAAGCCAACAGATTACTTAAAGACAAGGGGAGGGGAGCCACTGCATCATCGCATATCTAATGATTGTTTTAGTTATGAGAGTAATTGTAGAGCTTCAGAACCTGACAACAGGTACACAACAGGACACAAAGCTTCACAAAATTAAAGGGATCTGCATATTAGCAGGTTTAAAGCTAGCCTGTGTTCCGTAAGCTATAACTGTGTAGGCTTGTCTGTACAACTTGTTAATGTTTGACTTCAGTACAAACCATCAGGGTGTGTAAGTTTAGTCTGAGCTGATAACTGAGGAAAAATGAGTGGAATGGTGGAAGTCCTGCTCTTAAAGAGTAACAGAACTAAGGGACAGTTAAAAGTTACTCATGTGTCAAACATACGAATTGTGACAAAACCCGCTTAAGTGTAAAGTTCTTCAAGAAAGAAAACTTGTAGAGAGCCGGGGTATGCTAGTAAATCTGTTCCATCTGATTGTGAAATTAAAAAGAATATTGATGAAATGGGATTATGTATTTGCCTCCCTTTTCATCTCTGAATTCAACTCTTCTCACCTTCAATGATTCCTTTTCACCTTTATTTTTTAAGGTTCACAAGTTAAGAATGAAAATTTAAAAAAATCCAGAACAAAAAAAAAGAAATATAAGATAATGACACCTATCTTTTAAATCTGTTTCTAAAACATAATTGAGAAAGGGGATACTAACTCATTTTCCTAATTCTCTATTCAAATAAACAAAATAAATAAAGGTCCTCAAAAGCCACACCCCTTGAACATCTGCTCAGAGTGTCACCAGTTAATCTAATACTAGTTAAACCGACACACCACCTCCAGCTGTGTGTCTGATACGTGTCCTTTTCTCCTCAGGTTGTTTTGGGCACAAAACCTTCGGACGGACATTTCAGAACACCTTGGCACTCCTGCCTCCTGTAGAGCGGTAGAAATCTTTGCGTGAGTTTTGCCATCCTGAAAAAAGTGCAGTATGAGCTCTGAATAATTCTCAAGTCCAGCCATTACGCCAAAGCCTGAGTCTTGTCCTCTTGACCTCTGAGTAAGGCTCAATTTGTGGTCACAAAACTTTCTACAGACGAAAAAATCTGAATCAGATCAAACTGTCATTATCCATTTATCCCACTTTCATTTGAGCAGATGGAAACAGATATCGGAAAACGAGCCGCTATCAGTTTTTTAATTTTCCTTTTAGAAAACGGAAATTGGAAAATGAGCCGTTTTTTTCATTTTTCATTTTTGTTTAAGAGAGAAATATTGAGATTTTTTTTTTCTTCGTTTTTTCATTTTTATTTTTATTTAAAAAATCGAATGAACGAATGATACACAGATTTTCATCCAATGGGCTCTATGCACCGATCCACTACTTCCTGAATTTAAGGCGGCTCCTTTATTTCCTGTCCTACATTATTGGACAAACTGATTAATCCAGGTGGGTCTGAGTAGTCACAATAATCAGTCACACCTGGATTAATTAGTATGTCCAGTGATGTAAGACAGGAGATAAAGGAGCAGCCATAAATTTAGGAAGTAGTGGAGCTGTGCATATAACGCATTCTTCCATCTCTGATTGGCACATGTTGTGTAACCCCAAAGTGGAGCTCCAGAGTGCTCACAAAGTAAAAGCACTGGAAGAATACTCAGAGCTGGGGGTACAGTTTTTCGAGGAAGGCAGAACACATGCCAAGATTTCCACCGCCCTGCAGCAGTCAGAGTGTCTCCAGACTGACGCAAAAGTGCAAACTTTAAACACTGCCAGCAAACTTTAAGTACTACTGTAATGTATTATCCAGCCAAATTGTATTTTACATGTTTCATTACAAAATGTCTCATGGCATCATTGTAAAAACAAAAATATTTTACAAATCCACTGTCAAAAAAATCTTGTAGGCCAGATATTATTGTTGGCAGCTCAAAAGAAATTGGTTACAGACCCCTGATGCAGACTGACAATGAGGTGATGATGAAGGTGAATCTGTCTCTTCGTTTCCTCCACAGCTGAAGCACCACAGTCTTTCTGACTGGATGTGACTCCATCTGAAGTCACAGTGTTGCTGTAGTCACAGTGCAGCAGAGGGGAACTCTGCTATGAATCAGAATGAGGACACAGAGGAGGGAGCCCCTCACTCTAAAATTACTCGGCTACCAGAGTGTGAAGCTCTGCGTTGTGATGAGAATCTTTTATGGTACGTTCACACCAAATGCAAATAAAATCATTTGCATGAGTGAATTACATGTAAGATTAATGTAATGACATAGACATAGATTGCTGTCTGACAAATGATGCAATGAGGCAGCGCAAATAGTGTGAATTGAAGAGAATATTTGCAGGAATTGAGCAGGTAAATGACTTTGACTGTGAACACAACATGACTGTCCAGGTCACTTAACCTTGACACTGTTCATTACATCACTTCACCATCATTTTTTATACTCCCATCACATCTGCTGCTCAACTACAGAATAGGAGCTTACACCCGCTGATAATGTTATTTGTTTGTATCAGGATGCAGGAGCAAAGACCAACATCTCCTGGACCAAGCTGCGATTCCATGAAGAGTGACCAGTCTAAAGAGCTCGGTTTTATCTTTAAAGGTGGACATTCTGCAGATGAAAAGTAAGATCTAAAGGTTAAATTTTATTGTCTTCCTCTCCTTAGAAAATACTGAAATCATGGCCCAGAAATATAAATACTTTCATTGATCAACTCTTTTTTAGTTTCACGATGAAGAAGCAGCGTCCATCATCTCCTGGACCCAGCTGTATTTCCATGAGGAGTGACCAGTCTAAAGAGCTTGGTTTTATCTTTAAAGGTGGACATAGTGGAAAGTAAGAATTCAAAACTTTGTCATCTTCCACATGTGAATCTGTGTTACAAGTCCACAAATGTGAATTCTGTTGAGTTCAATTCATTGACACAGTGTGTTTGCTCTGGTTAAAGAAATTTATTAGTGCCTCTTTGTTCTCAAGCATGCTTTAATAAGTAGACAATATAGAAATAACTAAGCGAGTTTTGGTAAAACTCTAATATAAAACATTCTCATGGAGAACAGACATTAAATGATTTAAACAAAAATGTAACATGCTTTTAGAAATTGTATAGATGAAGATTTTCTCTGTTCAATTTAAAACAATGTAAACAGACACATAATTCAACTATGTGAATTCACACTAGTAAATGGGTAATTTATTCCATCCACATTAATTAACACGCAGTGCCACGCATACCTTATTGGTCGTGTTAACTCAAGGGGAGTAAACAGAAAACTTTGAGCTTCGCTGGTCTTCACTTTACAAGTCTTTTAAGAATATTATACAAAGGAACTTCATTTACCATCCTCCTCTCCCATAAGTGCTCCCAGCAGCGCAGGGAGCATGGATGTGTCGCTGAAAACAATAACCTGTCCCTCACTGTTGCTCCTGAACATTAGTTCCTCAATGAAGTGATAGGACATAAATGCCCATGTGTTTTAAATCATATTTATTAATTCTAAACTAATGATTGTAACTCTTGATTTTTGTCGTTTTAACATATCACTGAGTTTAACTGACTGAGTCTAATGGCAGCTACAACAAACATCTCATTTTGATGAAATTAAAAAATGATGAAACTGCCAAGGGGACTTTTTAGATTCTTCTCCTTCCTCTTCATATCCTTCTTCTTCTGACTTATTTTAGCTTGAAAACAACTCTATTCCCTTCTTTATAGCTTTTTGTGATGACAGGCTTTTGTGTTTTATGAAACCTCTTCCTTTCTGGTACTCCTCCCACTCTTTCTGCCATATTTCCATTCCTTCCCTTTCCTCTTGATTTTTGCTTTTCTTTCCGCTTTTATACACACACACACACACACACACACACACACACACACACACACACACACACACACACAGTGTCCAATGCACCTCTTGATGAATACAAGATCGAATGTAGGAACAGAGAAGTGACAGTCTTCTTGAAATGATCTTTTTCATTAGTACTGTTATTAATCAGCTCCCTGTTGATGTCAGGATGAGGAAGCAGAGTCCAAAGTCTCCTGGACCCAGCTGTTTGTCCATGAAGAGTGACCAGTCTAAGGACCCCCCAATGACCTTCAAATGTGGACATGCTGATGAAGAGTAAGAATTAAAAACTCAAGTTTATCTCTTTTTCTTGATAAAGTACTCATAACTCAGCCCAGAGGGTCAGAATGTGTTGCAGAACCCATTAGAACATTGTTCAGAAATGATATCCCAGTGTTCACCGGTACAACAGTCATCTGTCAAGAATCATGTGATTAGGCTAACATGATGAAAAAAATCAGTATGTTTGCGTGTCTCACAAAACATCTCATCAGAGGAGCAGCAGACTTCAGAGATGGATTTTCATAGACTGAGGTCATGATCTTGGAAGATCTCACATTGACAATCTGAACAAATAAATGATGATCTGATATTCATGCAGGTCTGGACCTCTAACACTATTTTAAGTCAAAGGGAAATTCAAGTTACCACTTTCATCACTCCATACAGCACAGAACCCCAAACACGAATGAACCCACAGCCAAGAAAATGCGCCAGACATCTGGCTCTGATCAATACGTATAATAAGGTGTGCTTAAATATACAACCTTCTTATTTAAATGACATCACCGGTTCCATGCAAAAAGGGCTTCTTAAAAATCACTGTCTACCTTTGAGTCAAACCTATGTCATACTCAAACCACATGTCCCCAGCTGGGAGTAAAACCATATACTGTATATAAAATGGATGGCATCCATTCTACACTCACCGGCCACTTTATTAGGTATACCTGTCCAACTGCTCGTTAACACTTAATTTCTAATCAGCCAATCACATGGCGGCAACTTAGTGCATTTAGGCATGTAGACATGGTCAAGACAATCTACTGCAGTTTAAACCGAGCATCAGTATGGGGAAGAAAGGTGATTTGAGTGACTTTGAACGTGGCATGGTTGTTGGTGCCAGAAGGGCTGGTCTGAGTATTTCAGAAACTGCTGATCTACTGGGATTTTCACGCACAACCATCTCTAGGGTTTACAGAGAATGGTCCGAAAAAGAAAAAATATCCAGTGAGCGGCAGTTCTGTGGGCGGAAATGCCTTGTTGATGCCAGAGGTCAGAGGAGAATGGCCAGACTGGTTCGAGCTGATAGAAAGGCAACAGTGACTCAAATAACCACCCGTTACAACCAAGGTAGGCAGAAGAGCATCTCTGAATGCACAGTACGTCGAACTTTGAGGCAGATGGGCTACAGCAGCAGAAGACCACACAGGGTGCCACTCCTTTCAGCTAAGAACAGGAAACTGAGGCTACAATTTGCACAAGCTCATCGAAATTGGACAATAGAAGATTGGAAAAACGTTGCCTGGTCTGATGAGTCTCGATTTCTGCTGCGACATTCGGATGGTAGGGTCAGAATTTGGCGTCAACAACATGAAAGCATGGATCCATACTGCCTTGTATCAACGGTTCAGGCTGGTGGTGGTGGTGTCATGGTGTGGGGAATATTTTCTTGGCACTCTTTGGGCCCCTTGGTACCAATTGAGCATCGTTGCAACGCCACAGCCTACCTGAGTATTGTTGCTGACCATGTCCATCCCTTTATGACCACAATGTACCCAACTTCTGATGGCTACTTTCAGCAGGATAATGCACCATGTCATAAAGCTGGAATCATCTCAGACTGGTTTCTTGAACATGACAATGAGTTCACTGTACTCAAATGGCCTCCACAGTCACCAGATCTCAATCCAATAGAGCATCTTTGGGATGTGGTGGAACGGGAGATTCGCATCATGGATGTGCAGCCGACAAATCTGCGGCAACTGTGTGATGCCATCATGTCAATATGGACCAAGCTCTCTGAGGAATGCTTCCAGCACCTTGTTGAATCTATGCCACGAAGAATTGAGGCAGTTCTGAAGGCAAAAGGGGGTCCAACCCATTACTAGCATGGTGTACCTAATAAAGTGGCCGGTGAGTGTATATTCTATGTATGGTTTTACTCCACCCCAAGAACAGCACACTCTAGTGGGGCAACAGTATAGGTCATAAATCCTGCCTCCTCCAGCAAACCTTATGGAGTTGTGGAAAAACTGTGTAGTAGCAGGCTGCAGCTACATGCAACCATAGCACTTTAACACAAGACGCCGACAGCACTGTTGGTGAGAAGAAAAGAAAATAGTGCTACCCCCCACAGAAATGCAGATGAAGGCTCAATCTATGACAACATCCTCGATGTCGGTGGTGTGGAGGTATTTTAGTTTTTTGAGGTCTGACATGAAGTAGAGTAGGGCTGCAGCTATCGATTATTTTAGTAATCGAGTACTCTATCGATTAATCTGTCGATTAATCGAGTAATCGGATAAGAAATGTTTTGCTCTCACTGTAATACTTTGCATTGAATCACGTTTGCCTCAGAGCGGACTTAATGCATGGACCGGGTGTTTTCTTTTAAGGTGCTGCAGCATTGACGACGTGCTGTTGTGAAACGCCAACTCCGCCTTACAGTGAACGCACTGCACGGCGTTTTCTTTCCTTTTCAGTGTGTAATGGTCCCACACTTTAGACACTTTCTGCCGTTTCCTCTGCGTGTCATCTCTTTCTTCCTCTCTCTGTCTGTCCACGTTTCCCCCCATGATTGAACCAAACGCGCCATAGACATAATAAAAGATAGACCCCGCATCGGCCGCTACCACGAATGGGCGCTGTCGAGAAATGCGGCCGCCATCTTGGTCCGGTCATCCGCCTCACTCTGCACCGCTGTTTAACCGGCGGAATGAAGTCTGAGCGCATTAATGAATCATAGATCGCTCAATACTACGTAATTTTCTTCTCTGCAAACGCCATTCAAAGAGGCATGATAGAGGCCTTATTTTTTTTGGCGTTTTCAAATACTCAGAATGAATAAAATGATATTTTAGAACATGGCAGCAGTGGCTGTATTATAGTATAACAATTAATCAAGGATATATTTAGGTTTAGAGCTAGGTTCCTGCTATGTCTCAATAATTATTAATAACTGGCGGTATTAATAGGCCAATTCAATATATATTGCTTTGATTATAATTTTTTATATAGTTTAATTTTATTTATCCATTTGTAGACACACACAAATAATGTCATATAGAAGCACTATTTTAATAACTGGAAAATACACACAAATATATAGCCTACATATCAAAAAGATTTAAACACAAGAACAGCATGACAGGACAGCATCTAAACTACATATCAATTTGCTTGTTGGCTACACAGCACAGAGGAATCACTTGCTGCGAATTTCTCCCTCTAACAGCAATCTCCCACTTCTTCCTCAAGTTTTTGTCCTTAGGAAATCTTCAAAATGAAACAGGAGATCACCACAAAGAAATCTTTAATAAAACAGATAATAAAACAGAGCTCACTTTCTTCCTTTTTCTTTCTATTTTATTTCTTAACGTTTCTTAGAACCTCTCTCAAACAAAAGTTTTTCAATCTAATGCAAATCTGTTGATAATCGACCAAAGTTGCTATTATTGTGAATAAGCTAGCTGTTCGCAAATGCTGTTTCCTTTTTGGAGTTGACCGATAGTCTTCCTCTTTGGCCTACAAATGACTCTACAGTCAAGTGTAATGTTTAAAAAACGTTTAATCATAACTGTGAAAAGTTATTTCTTGAGCCCTGTTCTCTGCTGTCCGCCTGTTGGCACAGGAATACGCCGCACAGTGCTCCGGCATCGCTGAATGAATGAATATGATTGACCGGAGCGTATGGGAAGCTTGACCTGACCAAGATGGCGGCCGCATTTCTCGCTGCGCAGCACCCCCAGCGGGGTCTACCCTTTTATTATGTCTATGAAACGCGCGGCAGCGGAAGGAGCGGAAAGAGCACGCTGCTGCGCAACAGAAATAACCGTCCGTGTCAAACACCGTGCGCTGCACATGGTTCCGGATTTAAACGATTCCTCGAGGCATGAAATTTGCCTCGAGGAATTTTATTAATCGAGTTACTCGAGTTACTCGAGTAATCGTTTCAGCCCTAAAGTAGAGTAATGTGTACTGTAAATTATGTCGAGTACATGTTCTCACAAAGTCGGAGAATACCTCAAATCTTTTTCACCACCTGAAGCAGCGCCACGCCGCAGAGTACACGCAATGCAAAAAGTTACAAACCCTGAGCGGAGCAAGGAGCCCATGGCGCCTGTGCAGCCGAAACAGGCGACCATTCAGTCTGCTTTCTCTAGAGCAACGCCTTATGACAAAACATCAAAGCGACACAAAGACCTCACAGATGCAGTAGATTATTGTATTGCAAAAGACATGCGACCAATAAACACTGTTACATTTCATTGTTTAAATCGTGATATATATCGGCTGATATGAAAAAAAATATACCGTAAAAAACTTCTTCCCATATCACCCAGCTCTACATGTAGTTACTGTCAGACTGGTTTGTGCTCAAGTCCTCTTTTTTTCTGTGCAGCTCCATTTTTAAAAGTTATTAGGGGGTTCATGTTTTCTTATTGACTTACTAGTGCCACCCTTCCGTATAAATCATGAACTACATGTAATCCTTGCATGTCAATTTAACAATCTATTAGCTAAAACTTGCATAGTTAACACTATAGATACTGTTAGGATTTATTGTTCAATCATAAGAAATTGTTTATGGAGTCCCTTATAACCCATACCAAAATATAAACATCAATCCAATTTTATCCTACACACTATGGTCTGTGGAAGTAAGAGTTGCTGAAACCAGGCACCCTGTTGTTTTTAGAGGATGAATTTCAGCTGAGAAAGTGCAGTGTTACCTTCGCTACGCTTACTGTTCCTGTAGAGACTCAAAACATGGTTTTAAGTTCTTCCTTACTTGTTATTGTCCATAGTCTGACTCCAGTTCTGCCTCCAAAGATGATTGCAAAAATTATTTTGCAATAGGAGTTTTGCTGCAAATAAAGGGTAACCCTTAGTGAACCTCTCCTCCATGTGACCTAACAGGCTCTCACAGGTTTCTGTCATGACTGCAGTCATGTTGGTTTCCTCCTTTTTATTTCCTGCTGCTTTACTTTAATGTACAATCACATCAGCTTGTTCCCTGGTTGATGTCAGAAGTATCTATGTCCCATTCTTGCAATGCCCTGTTTAGGTTCCTGGATGTGCATGGATGGACCACAGGCCTCACTGACTGACTCCCTGTGCCATCTGTCCTGTGTGTGAATGTTGTCCAATAATCCTTTTCCATGATCTAGTCTTGAAATTACACCATGTGGATGGAGGTCCTTGGATGTGTCTGTGCCACGATGGTATTGTTTTGAAGTACTGTATGTAGTCTAAAGGTACTACAGAATACAAAAATGTTGACAACTTTTGATGGGTTGCTTTTAATCTTTCACCGTCTGGTGAGGTACACTTTTGTGCCTGCTTTGCAGGCTGATAAGTCAACAAAGATGTTTCAAAAACTACTGCATAATTACTAGGGCTGTAAAGTCCTAGTCAACTTGTCGACTTATTGTGTCGACTAGTCGACTGTGATGACGCTCGGTTCAAACAGCATATCCCCCAGGTGAGCTATGCAATCTTCGCACGCCCATAGGCTGTATGTATCAAGTGTCAATCATAGAAAACATGAACCCCCTAATAACTTTTAAAAATGGAGCTGCACAGAAAAAAGAGGACTTCAGCACAGACCAGTCTGACAGTAACTACATATCAACATCACAAGCAGGGGGGAGAAAAATGTAGTTTGTAGCAAATGTAGTTGCCGAGACTAACCCTGCACCAAGCGCTTCAAAGCCAGAATATCTTCAGTGTGCTGTGTTATCAACTCTCCTAAAACTTGATGTTTTCTCTGCAGGCTTCAGCAGAGCTCAGAAGATCAAAGCAATCAGTCAGACCAGCAGCATCAAACAAACCTGGACTCCATATTTACGGTGTTTAAGACAATGATTCATATGTTTACAAAGAATTACAATTGCTAAGATTTTCATGCTGAATCATCAGCTGACCTTTAATATGACAGATGTTGTGTTCTGCCAGTTTGAACTAAATATCGAGTGTTTCTGTTCCAGCTGCTGGAGATGGACATTGTCACCTTTGTGAGGAAGGAGCTGAGGAGAGTCCGAAGGGCTCTGAGTTCAGATGACCCATCATGTTTAGAGAGTCAGAGTGAGGATGAGGAGGTTTTGGATGGTGAGGATAAAGAGCAGGGGAGGAGCAGCAGAGAAGCTTTTCTGAAAATCACTTTGCATTTCTTGAAGAGGAGAAAGCAGGAGGAGCTGGTTGAGTGTCTGCAGAGCAGTAAGAAGATTTTAACAGATTTCACATAATAACACAATAAACTTTGTAGTAAATATGATGCACACATCTTTTTGGACCCCACGAGTTCTGCCCTTTACAGGTGGGACAAAATCCATGAATGTATGAGAGATTTTCTTCTATGGATGGAAACTCTCTGCTACAATACAGTCTTTCACAAATATACAGCTTTGTACATTTATCTCTGTCTGTCTGCAGTATCCACTCAAAGCTTTCTTATGTTGCTTGTATATTCAGGAACTTTTGATGCAGTGTGTCAACGTAAACTCAAGTCTAACCTGAAGAAGAAGTTTCAACGTGTGTTTGAGGGGTTCGCAAAAGCAGGGAACCCAACTCCTCTGAATCAGATCTACACAGAGCTCTACATCACAGAGGGAGAGACAGAGGCCAATGAAAAACATGAGGTCGGACGGATTGAAACAGTATCCAGAAAACAACCTAAGCTAGAGACAACCATCAAACAAGAGGACATCTTTAAAGGCTCACCTGGAAGAGAAGTACCAATCAGAACCGTGATGACCAAGGGAGTGGCTGGCATTGGAAAAACTGTCTTAACACAGAAGTGGACTCTAGACTGGGCTGAAAACAAGGCCAACCAGGGCATTCAGTTCACATTTCCATTTACTTTCAGAGAGCTGAATGTGCTGAAAGAGAGAAGTTTCAGCCTGGTGGAACTTGTTCATCACTTTTTTTCTGAAACCAAAGAAGCAGGAATCTGCAGCTTTAAAGAGTTCCAGGTCGTGTTCATCTTTGACGGTCTGGATGAGTGTCGACTTCCTCTGGACTTCAACAACAGTGGGATCCTGACTGATGTCACAAAGTCCACCTCAGTGGATGTGCTGCTGACAAACCTCATCAGGGGGACACTGCTTCCCTCTGCTCGCCTCTGGATAACCACAAGACATGCAGCAGCAAATCAGATCCCTCCTCAGTGTGTTGACCTGGTGACGGAGGTCAGAGGGTTCACTGACCCTCAGAAGGAGGAGTACTTCAGGAAGAGATTCAAAGACAAGAAGCAGGCCAGCACAATCATCTCCCACATAAAGACATGCAGAAGCCTTTACATCATGTGCCATATCCCGGTCTTCTGTTGGATCACTGCTACAGTTCTGGAGGATCAGTTAAAGACCAACAAGAAGAGCAAGCTGCCCAAGACCCTGACTGAGATGTACATCCACTTCCTGGTGGTTCAGACCAAACTGAAGAACATCAAGTACAGTGGAGGAACTGAGACTGATTCACACTGGAGTGCAGAGAACAGTGAGATGATTGAGTCTCTGGGAAAACTGGCATTTGAGCATCTGCTAAAAGGAAACCTGATCTTCTATGAATCAGACCTGAGTCAGTGTGGCATAGATATCAGAGCAGCCTCTGTGTACTCAGGAGTGTTCACACAGATTTTCAAAGAGGAGAGAGGACTGTATCAAGACAAAGTGTTCTGCTTCATCCATCTGAGTGTTCAGGAGTTTCTGGCTGCCCTTCACGTCCATCTGACCTTCATCAACTCTGGAGTCAATCTGATGTCTGAAGAACAAACAATTACCAAACCTGCAGAGACACACATCTATCAGGATGCCGTGGAAAAGGCCTTACGGAGCCCGAATGGACACCTGGACTTGTTCCTCCGCTTCCTTGTTGGCCTTTTACTTGAGACCAATCAGAAGCACATTCAAGGTCTGCTGACACAATCTAGACGACGCTCACTGACCAAAACTGAAACAGTCAAGTACATCAAAATGAAGATTGATGGGAATCTGTCTGCAGAGAAAAGCATCAACCTGTTCCACTGTCTGAATGAACTGAATGATTGTTCTCTGGTGGAGGAGATCCACCGGTACATGAGTTCAGAACACTTCTCAGCAGATGAACTCTCTCATGGTCAGTGGTCAGCCCTGGTTTTCATCTTACTATCATCTGAGCAAGATCTGCATGTGCTTGACCTGAAAACATACTCTGCTTCGGAGTACGCTGCTCTGAGGATGCTGCCAGTGATCAAATTCTCAAACAAAGCTCTGTATGTGTACACAAAACTATCAAAGTTAACAAGAATTTTTTACATTAAAAAATAAAGCAAGTTTGTATAATGACTTTCTTCTATGTACTCCTGACTCTTCTTCAGACTGAACAGCAGTAACCTCACTGAAAAAAGCTGTGCAGCTCTGTCCTCAGTTCTCAGCTCCTGGTGTTCTATTCTGAGAGAGCTTGACCTCAGTAACAATGACCTGCAGGATTTTGGAGTGAAGCTGCTGTGTGAGGGGCTGAGGAGTCCAGCATGTGGGCTACAAACTCTCAGGTTGGTGCAACGCTCTTCCAAAAAGACAACCATCTAATATACTGCTCTTTCATTAGTAAATGATTGAAATTATGTTTTAATGATTCCCTTTCAGGCTGAGTTGCTGTAACCTGTCTGAGAGAAGCTGCGCATCTCTGTTTTCAGTCCTAAGCTCCAGGTCCTCTTGTCTGATGGAACTGGATCTGAGCAGCAATGACCTACAGGATTCAGGGGTGAGACTCCTGTCTGCTGCACTAAAGACTCAGCACTGCAGTCTGGAGACTCTCAGGTGTGCAATGATTGGAAATGATAGCTACATGAGCATCAATAATTGAATGCATTCAGACCAGGATATATGAAGTCTTCTCAAAACAGTCTTTTTTATTTACGTTTAGAAACCTCAAGCTGAATTACAAACAGACTATAGAAAACAGACTACTAAGATTGAACCAGTCTAATAGGGAGAGAGGCAGGCCCAAAGCAACAGTATCCAGTCTGCAGTTTCACTCTTGCTTCAGTGATGTGATGTGATTAAATGCATCATTTTAAGATACCATATGATGCATGTGACACCAACATTTGTCGACCCAATAATATGAATGACACATGCAAGTTAAATTACTCTTCAAAAATATTCTGTTCATTTTTTATCAATCAATCAGTTAATTAATTAAACTTTTATCCACATTGCTCCTAGTCACTACCAATATTATCTCAGGACACTTTGCAAAAAAGCTTATCAAGACCATTTTCTTCATTATATTTGCAAAGACCCAACATCAAGATCAGACAGGATTGAGTCCCATTTTGTAAGATCAGACCCACTCTGATTCCATTTGTCTGCCAGTCAGTCCATCCATCCGTCCATCTCATCTACTAACATTGTTAAAGGAAAAAAGAGATAAAAAAAAAAGCTCTCTCATGTATCAAGTGCTCTAAACTGAGCACTGTGTTCGCTGAACACTGTTAGCTCTAAACTGATTTAATACCTGATTATTATAAACAAGGTAATGCCAAAATAATATTAGCAAGAGAATTGACATTCCAACCATGAGTTTTGGGTATTGACCAAAGAAAATAGGTCATGGACACACGAAATGGGTTTCTTCTTAAAGCTGGCCTCACCTGAGAATTTCTTGGGATCCCCCTGAAATGCCTCCCTGTGCTGACCCCAGATAAAGAGAAGAAAATTCATTGATGGCTAGATTAAAAATTTCAAAACTATCACAACCTAGCCAGGGAGTGTAATGATCTACTTTGAAGTCTGGAGCTGAACTCATTATAATTCTGTATGGTTTGTGTGAGTGTGTGTGCAGTCTGTCAGGCTGTATGATAACAGAAGAAGGATGTGCATCTCTGGCCTCAGTTTTGAGCTCTGCCCGTCTGAAAGAGTTGGACCTTAGCTACAATTACCCTGGAGAAGCAGGAAAGATGCAGCTGACTGCTAAACTGCAGGATCCTCACTGCAGATTGGAGACACTGAGGTACAGATAGACTAAGAGATAGATACACTTGTCTGTATTTTTACACTCGCTTTGATATTGTGAGGTGCAGGATTATATCAGCATAAAAATCATTATGACAAGAATCTGTGAAAACAGAAGTTGTTTCGTCCTCTAGGTTGGACCACGATGGCCTGCACAGACTGAAACCTGGTCTGAGAAAGTGTGAGTGTATTTTCAGTTTGATTCAATTTAAGATTCAGTGTTTGTTTTGTTTTTTTTTGTTTTTTTTTTCTTTAAATCAACCCTAACCCTAACTGCACACAGATATGACAAAAGAATCTGTAGTTTTGTTGTTGTTGTTTGGGTTTTTCTTCATTTGTCGTTGCCTATGTAAATAAGAATCGGCTAAATATATTTCATAATAGAAAAATTGTTTCTGATTATTCCCAATGGTGATCAGTAATAAAACAAAACAAACCCCTGTTCGACTCTAACAGTCATTTCCAACAAAAGAATCCAGATAGTTGTGAATCTTTGACAGTAGTTTGAAGTTGTAGCTGGAAAGTCTTTTCTAAATGTAATTTAATTCTATAATTACAAGATTTTTGAATATAAAATATAAGTTTGATCGTCTCTCAGTCTCAGTTAAGTTGTTTCTGAACAAACAGATAACCCACAGCTGCGTTGTGTCTTATTCTTTCCATCAGATGCTTGCGAGATCGAACTGGACACAAACACAGCTTATAGAGAGCTTGAACTGTCTGACAACAACAGAACGGTGACACGTGTGGAGAATGATCAGCCATACCCTGATCATCCAGACAGATTTGACTACTGGCCTCAGGTGTTGTGTAGGACTGGTCTGACTGGTCGCTGTTACTGGGAGGTTGAGTGGAGTGGTGATGTTTATATATCAGTGAGTTACAGAAGAATCAGCAGGAAAGGAAACAGTGCTGAATGTGTGTTTGGATCTAATGATCACTCCTGGGCATTGTTCTGCTCTCAAGATAAAGATTACACTGTCTGGCACAATAAAAAAGGACGCGAAATCTCCTCTTTTGTCTCTGACAGAGTAGCAGTGTATGTGGACTATCCTGCTGGCTCTTTGTCCTTCTATAAAGTGTCTTCTAATAATGCAGTGATCCACCTTGAATCATTCAACACCACATTCACTGAACCTCTTTATCCTGGGTTTAGACTTTTTGCTGGTCCCTGGTTGTCTCTGTGTTCTCTGAAGGTCAGAAAAACACAGCCCAATAAAGATTAGCTGTCTCTGTTCACCTGAAACAGAGATCATCCCTAAACTACTGAATTAGTCTGATTTTTGGGGTTTGATGCTAAATATCTAACAACTAACAACCTTTTTAGGAGTTCATACCCATCCTGAGCAGGCAGGTTTTCACACCAGTGTCTTGTGCCAAAAACCCACAGGATGCCTGTGTGCTGTTTGCCATGTGTGTCATGTTCTGACTACCTCTGAAAGTGTGCAGCCCCGCCCACTGGAAGTGTGCTTTTGGAGTGTAGTGCAGTCTGAAGCAGCTGGCCTTGGCATACAGAAAACAACATGCCATAGGTTAGAGCGGAGTGTGTGCAGTCTGCTACTGCTGCTTCAGTAGCACTAGCAGTTTAGCCACAATTAGCAGTGCAGCCACCAGACCAAAGCAGCAATCAATCATATCATCTTCGTTTACATCATCTAATGTTTACATTTTCAGACTAGTTCACTGTATTACATAAAATTCATCTACGTTTGTTGTACTGTTGAGTAAACATGTATTTTTTTTATTTTTCTATGTTTATCTTATTCAATTAGCTTTGTTATTTACTTTTTATGTAAATAAAATGTTGAACTAATCTCTCCTTTCTTTAGTTTTTAATACAGATGCTTTAAAACTGTCAGTTAAAAAAAAAGATCAGACAACATGACAAAATATATCATGATAATTTTTTTTTTGCCAAATCGCCCAGTTCTATGCCTAGGTCAATCTTCTTTCTCTGTCCAGCTAAACGCATGCTGGGTGTAGTCAGAATGTAGAAATGCCTCTGGGACAGAGCTGAGATGCGTTATGGTGCTTCATGAGTAAAATGCAGCATTGACTAGAACTGGAACATGTTTAATGTGTAGTGCTGACAAAAGGTGTGGCACATTCATCCTGTGGGTTTTGTGCTTTACTGTACACACTGTTTAGCTTCAGCTTCTTGCGGTACGATTATATTTGTCTGACTAGAACAAAAAACTTTTTACTTATCTGATTAAAATTGTTTCCTATGTGAATGACTGCCTGATGTGTCATTATTTAACCTACAGTAGCTGAATTGTCATCTTATTTTGAGCAGAGTGGCTTGTCATTGGCAAACTTGAACCAATTTGACCATTTTCAGATGGGAGCATTTTGGTAGAACCATAGACTGCATATAAAATGGACCTCTTCTGCTCCATTTTTAAAAGTTATTAGGGGTTCATGTTTTCTGTGATTGACACTTGATACAGCCTATGGGTGTAAGAGAGTTCTGTAGGACATTTGTGGGGGTACGCTGTTTGAGCAGAGCATCATCACAACAGCTCTCCTGCCAAATGCTACTGCATAAATGCCAGTTTCAGGAAATGGAGATAATCCCCGAAATACCCAGAGCATTTAGGCTTTAAAGCTATAGTGTGTAACTTCTATGTGTCTGTAAATATCCATTTCACGCAAGCCACAACAAGAAGGGATGATACAAAGCTGATTAAGCCATCCGGCTTCTCTAACAACTTGCAGTATTTTTCAGCATTTGTTCTTTTTGTATTTGGTGTTTTTGGCAACATTCCCCATGGGTTCTACTTGGTTTTACCTGACAACGAGAGGGAAGGGGGGAGGAGAGTGCTGCTAGAGGCAACATGGCGGAGAACCCGAAGAAGCGACCAAGACGTTCATAAGTGGATCCTACTAAAAAAAAAAGGGAGGTCTGTTGGAGAAGAAAGAGAGTGGCAAATGGAGAGGATGAACGCGGATGTTGCTTTTCCTTGATGGAAAGTCCTAAAGGAGGAGATTGGACTGAGGTCTGACACCGATGTTGCCTTGATACTGCTGCACAAGTGACTCTGTTCATTATGAGCAGGATGTGTTGCTGTTACATGAACTGGACCAAGTACTTTATTGTTTTCTTGGAAGTGGTGCTATGAATGTAATGTATTGTCAGCAGCCTGGTGTTTGCCACGTTGTGTTACGTTAGCCTAACAACCAGTAAGTTACAAGGTGTGTAGTTCGTGCTGCTGAGTGAAACTTACTGTGAGGAGTCTGTGTGCTGTGACGAGTAAGTTTCGTAGTCTACATGTTGTGTAGACAGTTACAGTCCATGTACCGTGATGAGCAGTATGTGGTGAGTAGCAAGTGGTACATCAGAATAAAAAGGAAAAGTCTTCCAGTCTGGCTCAGCCTTCAGACAGTTATGACTGATTTGTTCATCACAGACCGACCACCAGGTCTGAGTCACACAAGCTGCATAATACTTAAGTCGATGTCTGAACCAGAGCTGCATGTTCTATGAAACAAATGATGTTGCAATGTTTTTTTTCCTGCAATGTTTAATGCAATATGAAAAATTAAAGCAAATCTACTGTTTTGAACACATTAATGTAAAAAGAAGTTTTATCATCACAGAATAATCACAATCTGAGGTTTGCCGACAGCTGGCTAGAGCTTCATCTGACTGCACCAAAACACTGTAAAAGCACAGCCATAACACCCCCGCCTACCTTATTAGACTTCCTCTAAGATGTACCCGCTGAGTGAGAAAACAACAATGGAATATGTGATGCAGTTTATTGGCATAGCAACTATTGAGGTTTTTGCAAACTGGTTCATTGCAAATGCTCATTTATCAATGAAACTGCAATTTATTTTGTGCAGCCTGAGGCCCGGACTACACGTATATAGATATTTATTTATCAGGATATTTTTGTACTGCCATCTAAATAAATGTATCTGTCCACACGTGTTAGTTCTCAAAAATATCTGCGTCCACACGTAGCCTTCAAACTCAATCCTATCTGGTGCCGCTTAAAAAAAATTCAGGAACAAAGCTACCTGATTGGCCGATGAATCGTAACAGCGTGACGCGTCATGCATTGTTTGTGGAAGCTATGCTAGTGCATCGGGTCCATGTGGCGAACCATGTGACCAATAAAAGTATTGGGCGCAACAGACGCCTCTGTGAGCTGGCTGACTGGTGGATGTAATTGTACAAAACAAGGTTCACTTGCCAGGCTGAAATTAGCCCCAAAAGGGCAAAACAAACGTAAAGAATACCCTGTATGTCCACCATCGTTGTTGTTGTTGTTTTTCTTTTTAATTCGCATGCGTGAGCTAGCGATTTGACGTCATTGATCCATAAAAGTTCAACCACACGAATCCACTTATACAGATTTTTTTTTATTTTTTCACTTGTTTTTTCAGAGTCAGATTTATCCGGTTTGAGTGCTCCAAACTCCCATTTTGGTGTGGTAGGGAGGCCTAATCGGACATAAATATGTGCGGTTTGAAATCCGCATTCGTGTAGTTGGGGCCTTAGTCTGTAGAGTCTTACTCATGACTCGTGGTGGGTATATCATCTTGCAAGGCATCATAATACATGGAATATATGTTGTGTGTGCTGGCATCACACATTCCTCACTCCACTACCCTGGGCTGATGACTCAAGGTTGTACAAAGTAAGAAAAGTGTGGTGAGACGCCTCCACTTCCTGCATTATTTTGGTTTAACTTCCTGTTGTTTTCCTTGTTTCCCTGGTCTGGCTTGACTGTTTTCAGAGCACGCTTCCTCTCCTCGGTGGAGCTGGGCGAGACTCCACACCTGCGCTGAGTATTGTCTTCGCTCCTGAGTGGTACAGACGCTTCTCCTGGTCTTCTCCTCGGCTAAGTTCTTGTGACTTTTGCTCCCTGTGATTCCTCATATGATTTCTAACCTCATTCTCTCCTGCTTGTCCACAGTGTCTACAGCCCACACAACAGTCAGCCAGCCAACCGGACTTTCCTTGTGCCTTTTACCCTGAGTTTAGGACATTAAAAATACATCTTTAACTTGCTATCTGTCTCTGAGTCTGCTTCTGGGTCCACAAAATACACCACACGCCACAAAAGGTATGTAAGGAGCACAAGCAATACCAAAGAAAACGTGCAAATTAACCCCAAACAAATTAAGTGTCTGAGTACACACTAGGAATACATTCTGAGCTCCTCTCTCACTGACAGACATCACTGAGATCTTGGCACTCCAACAGCACAGTAAATCTGCATCAATTATTCATGGTAAGTAAAAGTGCAGATCATGTTGAAAAGCTTTGGTATTTCTAATGCAGTGATCGTCTACAGCCACTTCACAGCATTGAGCTGTGGGCAGTAAGGCTTGATGGAGGTCAGTTAAGGTAAATTGTCATATATATTTAAAAAATTGTTAAACCATCTCACCTTTGCTGTATAGAGAGGCAGTAAGTATGTGAGGTTGCACATTCAATTTAGTGTTGCATTTCAGACAGACCTCACTGTAGACTGTTCTTTTTATGGCCGACGATCCAGCGTGCTGTAAATAAGAAATGAGCTGTACATCAGCCAGCTTTGGTTCATAGCAGTCCAGTCACCTGAGAGGCAGATGGGCAAATTAACACTATAACTACAACAGGGTTACATTTCAGTTCACTGCTGGTTCACTGCTAGACTCTCAAACATCTGTTAACACTGAACAATCACACAGAATTTTAACTAAGGTATCCTGAGAGGCCTAAAGGCTGGAGTCCTAATTGCTTTCTACCTCTCAGCCTTAACAATCTTATCAGGCAGGCAAAAAGAGAGGGAGTGGTGAGGAGCTGAAAGAGAAAAAAAAAACTACAGTAGGTTCAACTACAATGTCCTTCACATTTTAGCACAATACAATATGATACAACACAACCCCTGAAATCCCTATTTAGGTTGCAGGTGACTCCACTGCACCTGTTGGAAACTACTGCGGCCACCAAGCATAGCCAAGGTTAGGGTTAGAAGGATCATCACAGAGGTGATGGAGGTCTTGAGGGATCCCAGTGGGTATTTTTGACTACACAGACCATCAAGACCAAATGCCAGCACCACAGAGGCTTCTAGAGACTATTGAGGGCACTGTAAGACTCCTACCAGAGCCAGTGAACCCCTTTTTAAGCTACTCAAACTGTTTCCAAGACCATCTGGACTCTCCTTCAGACCCCTGGCAGTCCTCAGTCTCCCCATTTAGTACTTCCGCTTTAGCTGACTATTGAATGTAAAGCCACAAACATTGCAAACAGGTTTTTTTTTCTGCCCTTCTGCTCCTGTCTGCAGAGCACTGAGATGACCCTTTCATGGATGAATGAGGTTAGTGTACACAAAGAGCAACTGCCCTCTGTCCAACTTGTGCCCAATGTCTGGGCCTGCACCCAAAGGGAGGCCGTATGCAGATTAAAATAAGGGTTCCTGAATTATCCAGAGAAGCACAAGTCAAAAGCAATTACGACACTTATCTGGGCGGTGGTAAAGTTCTGCTCTTAGCAGCAAATCTAAATATAACAGCAGATCAGTTACTCGTAATGTTCATGTTTGTGTGTGCCCCTTTAGTTCCTGTTTTTATGACTATAATTGGATTTATTTAAAGTATGTCTCCTTTTTAATTCATACTCATTTGTTGGGGTCCATGCTGTTGTTGAAAAGGTGAGCACTAATGCTTTGCTGTTGATGTAAACTGTGAGCACTAATGTATTGTGGTGCACCAAAGTGCTTTAGCAATACAGCTGCTCCTCTGTTCACGTCAACACAGTTTACTCGAACGGAGTCAGTCAGCGAGAGACAGCCTAAAGGAATGAGTTTATATGTGATGGATGAGAAGTCTAAATACGGGCTGAATTAAAAGAGCTGCCGGGTTGCTTCTTTGTTTTCATGGCCGAGGAGTCTGAACCTGCGAGCGAGCAGACAGATTCCCGGAAACACTGAAACCAGCTTGTTAATCAGTGTCAGTCACCCACTGCAGAGTGACACTGTGCAGCCAAACTTGAGTCAAAGCCACACAAATTTACCTTCTTTACAGCTTAGGGTCATAAAACTTCATAAAGTATTGACTCTGTCTGGCTGAACTCAAGAAGTAATGTGTTCAACAATGAAAAAAACAGGCTACAGCTAGTTGACAATTGTAAAAATAGTCTTTTACAAGTGAAAGTCCCTCATTAGAAATCACAGCACAAGTATTTTAAGGAACATTTACTGCATAAAAACACAATAAAAACAGAACTACAGGAGTGAATGTACTTCCAGCTCCTTCATGGAGGCCTTTCACCTGCTCCATTCATGTCATTCATAAATCTACAGCTTTAAAGAGTGCACTGTTTGACTCAGAGAGAGCAATGAGCTGGTTTTGTTCTCTGTTGGTGGTCCGGTCATCTATTAACTTAATCACTTACTCATCAGTCATTCAGCCAGCCTGTGAGTGGCTGAGTGACTGATGGAGGCACTCATGGGGCCTGAAGCCGTGACACGTCTATGGCATCATGAGCCAGCAAGAAACTGATTTAACTTGCAAGAAAAATTAGCATTAGGAAGTTAAACTGCTGTATCTTTAACAGAAAAACTATGAGGGTGAGAAAGGAGAGCAGGGAGAGGAGTGAAAGAAGGTAGGTGTCTGTATCAGAATGTCTGAAAAGCCAAAGGACAGGATAAGCATGACAGAAGAGAGGCGATAGTGATCACAGGCACTAAAGAGATCATGAAAGCTAGGATAAAAAGAAAGAGACACCATCCAGAATCATGATTAAATACGTTTCAAATCCCTTTCCTGCACATATGCACACAAGGATAGCAGACTCACTGCTTCACATAGATGTAGATAGAGAGCGACAGGTGATTTATCCAGGAAGACACCGACAACAACAATAACACTGCAAGAACAGCCCAGAGGTTTCAGTCTTGATTTAGCTGAGGTAACACCCCTCATACAGCCAGCAGGAAACATGTGCTGGCCCTAAATTTAGCACAACTCTAACCCTTATTTAAAGATTAAAGGTTGAATAAAGTGGAACCTTTTCCTCGCGTAATATTCATTAACAGAGAAATGAACTACAGAAACAAAAACTGCTGTTACTACCAGGCTGATAACATGTTTCCTTTAGATGAATCCTGACTGACGTCTAGAGCCTCAAGTGGCCGCTGGAGGAACTGCAGTTTAAGTGCATCTGCATTAGAGCCTCATTTCTCTTTTTAACTTTATTTTATACATTATTACGACAAATACTTAGACTTCTGCTGTGTTTTGAATGCACCAGGAGCTCCTGGTGAAATACTATGTGAAAGATATTTTCATACATATGCATCTCTGTACTGATCCACAACAGGTGAAAATGAGTAACAAGCTGTACCCTTCACTCGCAAACAAGCCTCTGTAGCTCTGTTTGAATATTACATGAAGCTATATAAAACAATACTTCATCCTTTCATTCAGAGGAGTCAGAGCAGCTGTAAGATATTCACTGACTCTGCAGCTTTCCCCCGTCTCTCTCAGTGAATGAAGTAACTGATGGAAATTGGTTCAGTTATTACCTGCCACACTGTTTGTCCCGGCAGACAACACTTAACGTTAAGATATATTACTGATCACTCTGGTTTGGAGAGCTGTGATTAATCATTAAAACCTTCATAGAGAATAAAAAAAACACGTGTTGGCTTTGAGAGTTCATCTGCGTATCGATAACCATATTCAGCAGGGAGGACCAGTGATCGACAAACTATTGATTAGAAGCCGAAAAGTGGCGATAAAACTGCAGATAAAAACCTAAAGAGGTAGAAATATACAGACAGGAAAGCTCTCAACTTCAACCACCTGTTAGTTTCATATTTAAAGCTAAAATGAAAACGCCTTTCTTACCAGGTCTGTCCGGGCTGGAGGTCTGCATCAAACTGCCCACCGTCTCTCTCTCTCTCTCTCTCTCTCTCTCTCTCTCTCTCTCTCTCTCTCTCTCTCTTTCTCTCTCAGTCTCAAACACGCGTGGTTTGTCTTTCTTACACACACACACACACACACACACACACACACACACACACACACACACACACACCACAGATGTTACACGCTTGCCTGAATGATAATCATCGAAATAAGGGAGCTTACACAGTCTTCAACAACGTCTTTTTTATTCAGCTTCTTATCAAACATGAGCACAACTGCATAAATATAATAACTCTTTGTATGTGAAGCGAAATCCATACATCCAATTACTGAAAGTCTTTGCAGCTTGTGAACAATCAAACCTGACATTATAATCAAAACAGATGTTAAAAATAATATTGACAGTCCCAGTATGTAGGGCAGCTTATCATACCTAAGGTCTTTAAAAGAGGTCTGTAAAGACTACTGGCACATTAAGCAAATGTCTCTCCTTCTCCACCCTCTTTCTGTCTGTGTTATTAACTCTGAACCATTGTATTCCATTAGAGTCACCAATACAGTCTTTTCTGTGAGTCTCTGAACCCCATCATGCTGTAGGTTCACCTGAATCACTGCTGCAGATGTAGACCTGCCTGCTTACCAGCTGCTTCAACAATGAGCAGCAATCTCACCTCTGTCCATCTTCCTCTATCAGTCTCTCCTCAGTCTATCTCTCTCTATTTCTCCCTCTCTCTTTCTCTCCCTTCTGTAAACCCAGCTCAGTCTCAGCAGATGACTGACTAACATCAGTCTGGTTCTTCTCGAGGTTTCTGCCCGTTGAAGGAAGTTCTTTCTCTCCACTGTAACTCTCTAAATGCTGTAAAGTGTTTCACTCATGTGATTAAAGATGGGATGGGAGTTGGTTTGATCTTACAGGATGGGGCTCAGTCTGATTCCATCTTGACATTGGGTCTTTGTTAATAGAGTCTATCCTTTTTTGTAAAGTCACGCAGTATAAATGAAGATCAACTGATTGATTAACCTTCAGATTCTGCTTTGGTCTCTACCTGCTGTCAAATAAAAATCAGGCTCTTTGGCTGCTATTTGCAATGTTTACAAAGTGTCGTGCTAATGTATGGTGGCTGGAAAGGCTCAAATAGTCATCATGGGTTTTTGTTTTGAGAATAAACTCTTGTTAGAGATAGAAAGGCTGACAAAACAAAACAGCAAGCTTGAAATAACTAAAATGATTCATGCAAAAGGAAAGTTTACAAGATATACAAGCTTTAAATGAAGTGAATCAGAGCACCTTAAATCTGCCTCCCAGTGTAGCCACAGACTTGCTTTATTTAAGTCATAAGAGTCAGGAGATTTTTGTGGAGGAGCTGTGTTCAGAGATTTATACAAATCAGTTCCTATAACTTAAAGCTGTTCTCAGGGTCTGGAGGTGATTTCCCTCCTGTTCAGTTTCTTGTGTTTACACAGACACTCACCCTTTTCTACGGAGTAATATTCCGCTGTGTCTGTAGGTTAACGTTTACATTTGAGGTATGGAAGAAATGAGGAGATGATGCCAACATGCCTGGATCACTATTTGCATTGGAGATGCTCATGGCGCCTTCAGGTACACCAGGATATTTAAGGTGATACGCTCATCTCAACTCTCTGAATAAGGAACTCTTGAGTGACAACGTCATTTCTCAAAGCAGACCTACAGGTTAGCATTTGAAAAGTGCAGACTGGCACATTTTATTTATCAAGTTCCTCTTTTTAACAATCTGACGCAAGTGAAACTTCTCTGAGGTTAGATCTACTGTGGGGTTGGATTTTAAGACGTAGTCATAGTTTCTTCCTTCCGGGACAAACTACTGAGCCAAACAGTCTTTTCCTTTACATGCGCAGGTTTTAGTGGAAGATTATGTGAGACAATTTATATGTAACTGCCAACTTTCTGGTATCATGTGGCATTTAAAGAGCTCTTGTCTAAGAAATTATGTGAAAAAGGAGTTATTCAAAAAGTGAAAAAAGGGCTTTGCAAGTATAATCTCGGAAATCAGTCATTTTTGGCTTATTCCTCAAAAAAAGTGTGTTTTATTTAGTAACGATATATCCCCAGGGGATCCAGGGCAGCTTGGCCCCATTTGTTGCAAAACCAGCCAGAGAACCAGACCTTTCTAAATTGAAGGGGAACCAGAGGCTCACATACAGCTGCTGTCAGCATCACGCATCATCTACAGCCCCCCAACTCACAAAATACTGTTTTAATGCTGTTTCACCGGCTTTCTTGAATTTTTGGAAGTCAAATCAGAAAAACAGGAAGTGCTTCTTTTAGTCAGTTTTAGACTATCGTTTTTCAATTGCTTAATTACACAACTCAGTCTACACACTGTTATTACCTAATTGCTTAAGGGGAAATAAACTCTGTATGCACCAGCATGGTCAGACTTAATGATGTAGAAAATAATAATTATAGAAAATAAACTCTCTAATTATCACTGTATGATCAGAGTGCCCCAGACACAGTGTCAAAATGCTGTCTGTAAAAAAGTGACTGAAAAACCACTTACCAACACCAAAGGGTTGAGAAAATAGGAGGAAAATAAACCCTCCAAATGGACCATGCACTTGGATTTTAATTTCATTTTGGTTTTAATTTATTTTGGGAACTTGCTTAATTGCTGAGTTGGAGTTGAGCCCATTTGCAGCTGCTGATAGCTCAGCTTCTTTTCAGTCTTTCTGGACAGTTTTTCAACAAAGAGATCAAGCTGATCAGGATCTACTTCGGGTCACACATTTATTTTTTACAAAAAAAAAAAATATATATATATATATATAATCATTTCAAATGTTCCAGATTGGCTCTTCTGTTGATAGATTAATGTTCAACCTCTGAAGTTGAAGCTTAAAAGTAATGACACAATCAAAAGGTGATAAATCTTTATTATCCCAAAGCTTTTAGTTGTCACAACATCAACCTCATGTTCTACCGAATCAAACTACAAGCTTTTTAAACCAGAGGTCTTCCTCAGTTATTCATCACAGTCAGAGTGAAACTCCTGCAGCAGTTTTTCCAGTTACAGCAGAAGGCATCAGAGACGTCAGATCAGCTTCTGCTTTCACTTCTCAGGTAACACTCTGTTGCATCATCTGCAGGTTTTTACCATCATCTAAAGTTTATTGTCTATTCTGAGTGAGGTGAACCATGATGCTGAAATCCACAGACAAAGGACAAAAAGTTTTACTAAATAGTTTTGGTGTTATTGCTATTTCAGGAGGGCTCTGGTCCTTTTTTTCAACCTGGGCCCTAGTTGGACATTTTACTGGGTAAAAAGAAAAACAGTAAGTCCTGGATGGAGACATGCTGTTTAGGCTTGCAGGCAAATCCATTAAGCCCCCAAAGAGTATATATTTTTACCACTTTAAGACCCGAACTGTTGTTTTTTGGGGGGGTTTTTTTAAAGCCCAACAACATCACAGAAAGGATTGCTGCAGAGAAAGACCCTTATGAAAGCTTTAAACACCTTTTGAAACTATAAACAGTTATGGCTTTGCTCCTGTGAAATCCACCATTAAACCCTGCAGGACATGGAAGATGTTGGTTTACCTCAGCCTTAAATGGTTGTATGAGATTTTTTTCTGCATTTCACTATTAAAATATTGAAGCATATCAGTCCTAAATACCACAAACAAACCAGCGACATCAGGAAGAACTAGACCACAAACGTTTTCCTCTAAACCTTCTCCATTGTAAGAGGGGAAATAATTAAACCAGAAAATTAAAGTTTAAGTCATTTCATTTTTTTCATTCAAGTGTTTTCTTATCATGCTGATCTACATTCAAGTGTTATTTTTTTGACCAGTTTAGTTTTAATTGGTTACTTAAGGCTAAAAAGAAGTTAAATGACATAATGACTGACAGCTCTATTAACCAATCAGGCTCTTGCAGTGATTTTTACTGTACTATCAGAGTAAATTAAACACTTTTTTCACTTTCGCCTTATTTTTTCCTCAGCACTGCCTGCCTCCATGGAATTTCAAGTAAGATGTACTTTATCATGAAGAAACAAGAAACCATGTGTTTTTAGGGAATAGTGACAAAAATGTTATCCTTTTGTGTGCATAAAGTCAAATATACTCAAACAATCATTTTGTCAGGATAAAATTCAAATAAGAAAAACAATCCTGATGAAGTCCAAGTTGTGACGTTGATCTTCATTAGCCTAAATTCAGTTTCTGCATTGGTCATTTGCAGCTGTCTGGTAGTCTTATACAGAGCAGAATAACAGCTGTTCAGTGTTTCACAAACAGCATCTTAACCATAAATATGGGATTTTTTTCTTGAAGGATCTTTTCCGTAATGTTATCAGGCACTTCAAATGCAAATCTGAGCCTGTCTGTGGTAAAAACACAAACTTTCAGTGGACTCATTTTACTTTGACCTGATTTATTTGTTCATGAAGCTGTTTTGAAACATCTATCACCTGGAGAAATTCAAACTCTTTGGATCACTAAGGTATTTAGTCTCCAAAATATGCAAAACTAGAGCCCAGGTCAAGAAGGAGCAGAATGACCCTTAAAAATCGACCTCAAACTGGTGTGTAAGAAAGGAAGGACATGATCAGACAGAGACACACAAACACTCTCACTTCCCAGAAAGGCAAAGGGATTGTTTTCTTTGAGACACACATGCACACAAATATGTGTGAGGGTGAGTGTGACTCTGCAATAACATTAATATTGTTCCTTGGAATCCAATATTTTCTCAGTCAGATGCAACCACACAAAAACACACAGACACACATAAACAACCTGAAGGGCTTTTAAACGCAAAAATCCAGAAGTGCAGACAAACCAAGGCGACACAGCAACCCTACATCAGTGAGCAGACAGGCTGCAGCACAAGAACTTCTCTTACAGTGTTTCTCATCACTTCATTTTCTAACATGAAAACGCTACATACATGTTAAAAAAAAAAAATCTACATTTCATCTTTTACAGTTGAATCACAAAGTTTTCGTCTGTTTACATGAAGTGGTCTGAATGTCTTTTTGGTTTTAACATGAAATGTTCCAGAAAATTGTACAAAAACTTCAGATATTTTCCAGTTTATAAAATCTAACATGTACAAATGTTACAGGTAGAATAATTTAGCTCTTTGCATATTGACATGTGCTTGTTGTTTGAAATGTTTGTGAAGGATCCCAGTCGAATTAATCTTCATTTTCACAACTCCAGTGTTTCATTTTCTTCAAAATCATTATTTGAGTGCTTAAAGGTGTGGGAGTCAGTTCAAACGAAATGTCAGTTCATCATCTCCTCCTCCCCTCTCTGTTCAAACCAGCTTTAAAAATCACATCAAGTGTCTATAATTCCTCTGACAAGTGATCTACACGTCATCACAACATCGATATTATGACCATCCAAGTGCTCTGGTTAAATCTAGACCTCCAGTGGACGTGTCTTATCAAACACAGTCAACTCTAGTGCGCAAAAATGAGTCTAACCGCAATCTCTGTTTATTTACAAACTAAATAACATTTTTCTTGATCACATTTTTAAAGGCTCCACATAATAGTATATAAGCTGTTTACAACAAGTCCCAATTGTCTATTTTTATTCATCTTTAAATGCAGCTGCAAAAACATCACAAATTCAGCCTCTGTGGATGTTCACAGCCCGAGTGTGGACCAGTGCAGACAGATGCAGAGGTGGAAGACTTGGTGAGTGCACCAGAAGAACCAGCGCCTGTGCACCACACACATGATCCAGAATCTGATTATGAACAGTTTAATGCAACCTGAATGTCTGCAAGTTTTACATTAACATTTAAGTGTTGATTCTGATTTTTCTGTTTAAGTTTCTGCAGCAACTCAAGATGAAGTTAGTGCAAAACAAACTGTTGTTAAAAATAAAGAGCAGCTGCTGTTCCCGCTCCTTGGTGCTCTGGTGCTGGGACACAATATGGGCATTATGTGGGTTTTTGCATCTGATAATAGAGCAGAGGATATGCCTGACTGCAACCTGTGACATTTTACTCTGCGGACCTGAAACCACAATCTGGAAAATAGAGATGGTTTTTCATGCATCCCCCACACATACTTTACTTACGAATTCTTAAGGTTGAAGTTTATGAATATAGGCAAGAGAAAAAAAAGAGATTTTTCTTTAAATGGGATATTAAAAACTGGTGTTTTCCTCATAAAAATTGGACTAATTTGCCCAATCTTAATAATTGGGCTGCAGGAACACTGCACTTGGGTTGATTGCACTCACTTCGCCAAACATGGAATAACCTGTACAAAGGCGAGACATGTGCAAACCTCTTTCAGATCTAAGATTCACTGGAGACACTTTTTTTTCAGAAGGGGTCTTTTCACTGCTCTTCATGAGCAGCTCCAAAAACAAACACCTGGTGATTTCAGTCATTTATAAAACTGTTGCTCAAGTTCCATCAACACTAAAGATCCAGATCACAGTGGGTAAGTCTTATTCTCTCTCTCTCTCTGTGTTTTCCTCTCTTTTGTATGATGTTTCAGCTATCTGTCTCACTTAGCGTGCAGCAGACCTTTTTCCCAAACACAGTGGTAACCCGGCCCCAGTGTGTGTGAATGAAAGCCACAACGAACTCTGTCCAGGACAATGCCTCTGTGTGTGCGTGTCAGTGTGTGTGTGTGTACATATCATTACATATATGAGTATGAGTGTGTGTGTTTGTGGACTAGTGTTGGCTTGGGACAGGCAACATTTCCAGGAAAGTGTCAGAGTGTTGCATGCTGGGACAGAATCTAAAGATGGAGGGAGAAAGACTATAATTTAACAGGGAGGAGCCGCTCCATCTCTGTCCTGTTTATCTCTCTGCTTGCCCATCACTATATCCGTCTTTCCCTCTCTGCATCTTTTTATTTTCTCTCTTCGAACTATTCCCCCATCACTTACGTCACTTCTCCATGCTTAATGTCACCCCCCCCCCCCCCTTTTTTTTCTTCTTGTTCCAGTGTTTGTTTTTATTTACAGGGAAAAGGGGGTGGAGGATTAATCTGATACATTCAGTCGCTCTGGTTCTTCTGGTCGCCTTCACTTGAGTTCGATCACCCCTCCTGGTGATGGCTAATTCCTGGTGTACAGTTTCACAGAATTAGTGGCATCCGGGAAAGCATTAAATTAACAGGGCCAGATGGGGTGTCAGAGAGTTCCAGCTCATAGACAAAGCCCATCTTCAGTACTCCTGTCACAACTTTAAATGGAGATCTTAAAGTGTATTCACTTCCCATGAGCCAGACATCTCCATTTCTCCAGTGAACACCCTTTCAAAGGACATCAACATCGAAACTTTCAGTAAGACCATCTTCAACCCTCGTTTGTGCTCAGGATACTTCTTGAATCACACTGGGGAAAATAAATAAGCGAGGTTGAGCGGATTCCAGCATCTTTTGAGACCATCTTTAGTGTTAAATTTGTGCAGGTGTAAATCTTTAAAGAGGCCACCAGTGACTGAGCTCAAATCCATCTTGCATCTAGTCTGAGAAAGATCTGTCGGGTTAATAATGAGAAATGTTGAGAGGAAACTGACTCCACAAATCCAAAGTCTTAAGGAGTGATTGTTTGTTTGTAGATGAAATCCCCAAAGCAGCTTTTTAGCTTCAAAAGAATGTGCTCTGAAGGAGCTGAAGCGCCGTTTTAATCCACTGTAAAAGCAGGTGGTAAATGGATTCACTTTGTTTGTTTATCTAAAAAAGATTGCCTTTAAAAATACCAACAGATGTGCAGAGATGTTTTTAAATGTGGCTCTCTCCTTTGACTTCGGCAGGTTCTCACTATGAGCTCAACCACGTGCAGTAAAGACACAGAGTCCAAGAACACTCTAGTGTTCAGCCCAAGCAGACTGCAGTTTGAGTATTTAACTCCAGTTTAGACACAGCAAAATCTGCTGTTTCAGTGTTTAGACACAGCCGTACTCATACCACACAGTCTGGGGGTCATTGTTGGGGTCAGGGGAAGCAGGCGTGCTCTTTGGGCGTTCAACAGAGCCGCACCTTGCTCTTTCACTCTCCTTCTTCAGGTGGAGGGAGTCACCTGGCCGCTCGGAGTGATTGGAGGCATCCTCGGGTCGCGTGGTGGGCACAGCTCTGACGGGGCTCACCATGGCAACCTCTCCTCTGTGGTGGTGGGAGCTGTTTCCAGGGACACGAGCCCTCCCTCGCTCTCTCTCTGCGTGTCGCTCGGTTTGAAGGTTAAGTGAAGACGAGTGGTGAATAGGTGGGTTGAGGAAGCTGCCCTCGCTGTGCTGATTGGTCCCACCAGCCAAACGAGCAGAGAGAGGTCGCTCCCTCCCACTAACTCCTCCCCCTTGTCTTCGAACAACACCATCTGATTGGCCTTCATTTCCGCGGAAGCTGTCAGGTCCATTAGAGCGCAACAAATCAGCAGTGGCCAAGCTGTAAGCTCTGCTCAGTGATTGGCCAGTTCTCTGAGTGACAGATGAACCTGAGGCGGGGGATTGGCCCACAGGCTGACGAGGGGAGGGTTTAACACTCTGGCCTGGTCTCTGATTGGCTGACTGTACAGTGGGCGTGACATAGTTGGTGGGAGTCACCTGATCCCTGTTGGCTGGTGCAGAGGGGGCAGGACTTCTGGTGAAGTAGTCGGTCATTAAGTCTTCTCTGCTTCCTGTTGACACCTGGACAGAGAAAAGAGAAATTGCATTAACTTAATCTAGAGACAGGAAGAGAGGTGGAGTGGTGACCATAGCTTACCCGCCTGGAAAGCAGCTGAAACATCCTCAAATCAGCCACATTAGTTGTGCCTATTCATGCCTATTATTTCTGGACCATAATACACTGAGAAAGGATGTTTTATTACCGTCCTTTCCAAAATAGTATATGTAACAAATAAATGAGCTGCTGAGATATAACAGATTTTGTACCAGGTTATATACTTAATTTTGTTGTCAGATTTCACATTTAAATATGGGCTCAGAAAACAGACACAGAAACGGACACAGAAAACACTGAAATTTCAATCACTGAGTGCAGCGGATCATTTCCTTGAAGTAATAATCATCATAATAATCATTTTGCACTGCAGACGCTGCAGTTTTCTGCCTTAGCGTCTTGGTCTGATTGCATTTTAATGACGTAATGATCATAAATGTTCTCCCTTGAGCTGCGAAACTCCGCTGCACTCAGTGATCGACTCATCAGACCTCCCCCCACAAACAAGTGGCTGCTGGTGGAGAGTGGGTGAGTTGTGTTTAGTCTCTTAGCTAAAGAAATCAGGCAAAGCTAAAATGATGTTCGATGGCTAGTACTATGACTAGGACCCTATATGTTCTGTTGATGAAGTTAGGTGCTGTTCTGAGCCTTATTTGTGGCTATGGAGTGGCTTTTTGGTTAAGGTTTACGCATGGAGACGTAGACCACTGTGTATTGCTATCGTGCGGTCGTTACTAAAGTTGGTATAACTAGAGAAGCAAGCAGTCGGCAACATTCATGTCTTTAAGGGGGTGTCTAACTCTGTGTTACGTTGTGTTTGACCATAACTTAAATCTACACTGGAATATCCCTTTTAAGGACAACTTTAAAACAACACAAATTATGTTGATGGCTAAAAAACAACAACTGCCAATGAGTATCTAATGGTTATGTATGAGTTTTTTGAGCTGCAAGGCTTTTCTACAGGTGTCACACACTGGCACATTGAAAGGTGAAAATAAGAACAGTAGGTCTCCTTTATTTTGTTTGGAGACCAGGTTTTGTTTGGCTCAATATGAGTTGATTAACCCTTTGTGTGTTTCGTTGTGGATACCAGAGACAAGCTCAATTAATCTAAGTACCTGACTCAAGATTTTTTTTTTGTATAAAATAATTTCAGTCTAAGGAATATAAGGAAACAACAGAAGCTCTCCTATAGTGATAAAAAACCTCATCCATGATCTGTTATGGCCCTCACAGTGCCACAATCTTTTCCCACATGGTTTAGTGTTTCTGTTTGAGAGGCTGGAATAAATTAGTTGTGCGACTCGTTTTAGTCGTGGGCAGCGGTTTTTTTGATGTAGGAGGCTGAGAAGCTTTTATTTGGTGTGTGCTGGCTTGAAGCACATTTTTGGGTTACTTTGAACAACAAATGATCAGGGAGGCCGATCCATAACACAAAAACTCAAGTTTAGGTAATTTTTTTTTTCTTTTAGACATCCTCCCATACGATAAATGTAAAACTCTTGTAAGGGCCACTTATGTGTTTGACCGCTGGAAGCAAGATGAAGACTTTAAGGGATGAGATAGAGCACTGCATCTCAGATCAGATTCAAGAGTATAAAATATCTATATTCAATTGTAATGTCTGTCATATACTATATATCAGAGTTTAAATTTAATCTTTGACATCCATCTTGAACAAAGTGTCTAGATTGTGAAACTACTCACATCTCTAATAATTTCATCAAGTTCATAAAAAATTTACCTCTGTCCTTCTCTCCACTCTAAATGCACTTTTTTGCCTTGTAGGAGCGCTTACTGAATCATCACCGAATAAAGGTTTCAATAATGGACTGACTGATGTGTGATCAGCCAACACTGAAGGATCTAATATCGTCTATTTGTTTAAAGCAAAGACTCTGATGTGAGAATGAGATGCAGAGTTAATCACATTTAATAACTGAAACAGTTTAAACTTTGTATCTCTAACTTCATCATTCTCGGCCATACATGTGTTAACTCTGCAGGCTTCCTCCTCTCTGCAGGATGATAACTAAGATTGATTTTGGGTGTTGAAATTCTTTTACCACAGGATATTTGTATGGATTGATCATCTGGAATGAAATTCCCACGCTGAAGTTGCACATGTGTGGATGACAGGTGGATATGAAACATCTGATTTGTAGTGAGGAGTTTCCCTCAGACTGTTCAAAATTAAAAGCACTTTTTCCTCACCTTTGAGTCAGACACAGGCTCATCAGTAAGTGTCTGATTCAGCTGTGTTCTGCTCTGTAGTGATAAGATTTGCTGTCAGATTAAACTGCATGTAAAAATCTGCCGTGTTGAGTCAGTTTAGGCCTGCTTGAGTTATTTTATCTGAACAGATTGGGCTCCGGACTCAGGGTCATTAAATGTTTATCTTTCCACTCTACCCATAGACACACAGGGCGCACACACACTGCTGCCCTGTCTCATGCAGTGATCCCTTGGAACAATCAGATCAAGCCTCCATTTAGAGAGACATTGCGTGTGTTTACACATGATTATTAGAGTATCCGAACAGCCAGCAGAGAGATCGGGGATCGGGTGTTTAAGCTGGAGTGTGAAAAAACACAAAAAGAGAGTAAAGGCAGGTGCATACAAAAGCAGGAGAGATGCTGTCCAATCACTTGATTCAGAACCAGAGAAACTTATCTAGGTCTGTGACTGAAAAAATTGTTTTATCCTATTTTGAAGATGAATTTTATTTGCTGCATTGTGTGAATGGTTTAAAGAGGAATTAAATCAATGTGACAGAGGAGCATTAAACACAAACAGTGCACTTTTGAGTTATAAATCTTGTGTGTCTGTAACATTAAAACTTTCATTTAGCTTTTCTTTTCTTTTTGCCTTTTTATATTTGTGTTTGTTACTGTGAAGGCACTGGCCGTTGTTTTTGGAGGGAGATGAGAAATAAAACTCTTCCTGGGTGTTCCTGCGTACTTCCTTTTTTTTATGAATCAGAGACAGTGAGCCAAGCTGGGATTTTGTCTGGCTGAGGTCAGGTCAGAGCTGCAGCCCATGGAGGACTCTGGACCAGAGGCATTACTAAAATAAGTGACTCTAATGATTAGATATGCTTTCTAACAGATTCTCAGTGGAGACCAAATACAGTAGACTCTCCTTTGAGTGGTCTTTGCAGCCAAACCTGCTTAAATATATCAGTTAAGTTTTAACAACGGAGGAATACAAATGTCCTTGATTTCTGCACAGCTGTTCTCTCTGTTTCATAATTTTCACCAAAGTTTCATGTGAATATTCTTTGCAATGAATTTATTGTTGAAAGGTTTTACTATTTTATTTCACTGCCATGTACTTTCCCACTGTTATCCCCAAATATCGAGGTTTGGTTGCATTATTGTCAGTTTCCATGACTGTACTGTGAGTAATCTTGAAGTCGCCACCCTCTTAAAATAATGGCCTAAGTCAATGATCAGGTTTTTCAGAAACTTTTCCGGAATACTTTCAGAAAAACTCACACTCTTTACATAGGCCATTATACTATAAGAGTAGTATCACATGATCTGTTCAACCAAGGATTTAGGTTATTCTACCAGAGATGGGCAGCATCATGAAGCTGATCATAATATTTTAGATTGTGCTGGTTACCTCCGCCAAGGAGGTTATGTTTTCAGTAGCGTTGGTTTGTTGGTTGGTTTGTTTGTTTGTTTGTTTGTTTGTCTGTGAACAACTTTACGGAGAAAGTTACAGACGGATTGACCTGAAATTTTCACCAGAGGTGCGTCTCAGCCCCAGGACGATCCCATTACATTTTGGTGGGGATCTGGATCGCCTTCTGGATCCAGGAATTTTTTGAAGGATTCTTTATCATTGTGAGATAGGGCACATTTTTGAATTTTTGCATTTAACTCTATAAAAATGGCCAGAGTCTTTAGTAAAAAACTACACAAAAGGATCTCAATGAGTTTTATGAGGTGTCAAAGGTTGATCCTGATCCAGACAAAATTCCGGATACTGTGATCCAGAACACACAAAAATAAGGGTGTCGTTGGAATTTTCAATGCTGAAAGATTACCAATGGGCGGCACAGTGGTGTAGTGGTTAGCACTGTCGCCTCACAGCAAGAAGGTCCTGGGTTCGAATCCAGGTCAGGGCACTTCTTGTTTTAGGAACATTATGAACAGTGAACATACCAGTTTAAACACAAATAAAAGTTAATAAAAGACACTTAATACTAAAAGTTTTGGTGTGAATCACAATATAAGGGGGGACATGAGCTGCTTGGCGGAGGTCTGCGCTCTCCGAGTGCTTTTCTAGTTTATTAATGTTTTGATATTTCTAAAGGCAACAGTCCTTAATCACCTTGAGTTGACGTGCTAAAGATTTGCTTCTCTTGTTAATATTTTTAGATTCTAAATCCCCCCTGTAGAAAAAAGAAAGTTTCATTATACCTCTGTGCTTCCAGTGCTTTTATTTATTTAAGAGTACATATAAAGTACACAAAAAGGAGGATTGCCCTGCACAGCACAGATCTTAATGTTGGTGCTGGTGGTGTCAGGAAAAAAGTTCCTAAAAAGAAGAGTTCCTCCACACACAATGTGGTCAGAATATAAAAACTTATTTATTGGTTAAAAGAACAATGCGTTTCGCCTCACAGGCTTCATCAGGCTTGATGAAGCCTTGATGATGCCTTGTTGTTCTTTTAACCAATAAATAAGTTTACATTCTGACCATGTTGTTTGTGGAGGAACTCTTTTCTGTTTAGTACGTATGAAGTCTCAGAATGTTTTACCATCGGAGGCGACTGCAGGTTGCTCTCCTGTAGAAACTGTTCCAGCGTCACCATCTCACTTCCAGGTGAAGAGGAGCGGGGCTTTGTCCTGACACCTGCCCCCCGCTGAGGCTGGGCCCTTTGGGGTGTGTGGTCATATGGAAGGGTGGAACTGCGTGACAGGGTCTGCTGTGGTTGGCCGAGGCCCATGACATCATCACTGGACAGGCTGGCTGAGCGCGGCTGACGATCTGCCGGGTCTAAAGATGGATGGGACATATCAACCATGATAATATGATCAAAAAACAGGTAGAATCATTATCAGTAAACATAAGATTATCTCGTGTTTGTCGGATTATACTTTCATTTTGTTTTCTTTTTTATTTTATTATGTATTTATTTATTAATATTTTTTTTCATGACTTTTCTTTCTTTTCTTTTTTTTATCGTTTGTTACAAAACAAGAAAAACGAAGGCAGGTTGGCGGACGACATCTCTGCAGTTATCCTTATGATGTTGTGAGACTGTATACTAATAAAAAGATTAATTAAAAAAAATAAAAAAAAGAATCATTATCAGTCCACAGATGTAGACTTCTCATGCTAGTATCCTGCAAATGTAGAAAAACTGTGTGTGCACCTCTGCAGTTGACTGGTGAGTTGGAGCTTGAGGTGTTGTGGCTGAAGTCTGCAGACCCTGGACGACCTCCTGCATTGCCATGGTGACCAAACACGGAGTCAGAGGTGTTTTGGCACAAGTCCTCATCTAATAACAGACCTGAAATATTGATGCACTGTCATGCATACGCTCACAGACTTTCTGACTGAAGAATAAAGGACTCATATATCAGTGACATGGCTTACCTCGGGGTCTGTGGCCTGGAACTGGTCCCAATCTGGAGCTGTTGTTGTTTAGACCCAGTGAGGATGACTGATGGCTGGGAGTGGAGCTAAGAACTTTACGACCTTTAGACAGAGAAGTAAAAAGTTTATTTAGCCAGCTCTATCCAGCTGAAGAGAACGATCCAGCATTAAACAGTTGATTTCTATCTGTATGACTTGATGACACCTAGACTTGGGCTTGTACTTCACTATGATCCAGAACAATGTCTCTAACTTTTTATCTTTTCTCATCTATTTTGTTCTGTCCTTTGGCTTTTCAGACACACACCTGCCTTCTCCTGCTCCTCTCCCTGCTCTCCTCTCCACCTGATAGTTTGTACCACTGCACATGAGGATTTGAAGTATTCATAATGTAATAAATACGTCAATATGTCTGTCTGTTGAAAACATTCTCCAGTTCTGTAACTTAACAGCATTTTTATACCTTTTGGCACTGAAATTACAAAAAGCCAGAAGATTTTGGGAATTGTGTCAGTAGATTTTCATTGAAAGATTTTTTCTTTTGTCTCTGAAAGACAAAGATTTTTCTAAGTATGCAAGCTGGTTGAGTCAGTCTACTCAGGCTGTACTGATTTCACCTTGATCATATAGTGAACAAATTCCTAATATAATGCTCTGTTTAAGCTCCAAGATTTCCAGTCTTGCTTGCTCGCCATCTCTCTCACATTTTCTGGTGTCCCCCTGCAGGGTCCGACTGGGGGTGTTAAGATTCTTTATCATCACTCCTCATGCTTACTATTATTTGTGTAACTTTTACACAAAATTCCTGCTGCAGCAAAAGCACTTGGCCAAAGTTTGCAGCTGAACCTGATGCCTTAGATTCCTTACCTTGTCCCTGTCCGTCCTCCCCATTGATACTCTCATTGCTGCCTCCTGGAGTGCTGCTGCGATAAGCGCTGCGGCTTCTGTCAGTCAAACCTGCAGATCAACAAGACGGTAGTTAGGGACCTTCCTGGACCAGTTGTCTGTACTGTGAGCGTAAGAAAGGAGGTTTGTGCAACACAGAGGAGCATTTGTGCAAAGCAAGACATGAGGAAGGTGTTCACTGATTTAGGATGTTGTGGGTTTACAAACCAGTGTGATATCAGTTCTCACCCTGTGAGTTTCTGATTCTATTAGTATGGGTTACTGACATTTGTGAAAAATTAAACTACTTCTATAATCTAATGCTGAGGACACCATGGGAACTAGTACAATGGCAACCAGTAAAAAAGTAGGTTCACTTGATGAAATTACAGCAAATGTCTCACAGAGAATAAACCCCTAACATCTGTAAGCCTTTGCATATGTGTGTGTGAGTTCAAATAAATGCCAAATTCTGCTAATTCAGATGCTGATGGCTGCAAACGTCAACAATAGGAACAGGAAATTTAATCAATGCATAAACTATTCAAATTATTTTGTGATTAATCATTAAAATTTTAATTTCAGACAGACTTTGAATATGTGACATGCAAGAGAACATAGACAGGACTTTTTAAATCAGTGTCTTGGGAATGTCAGAAGTAATGTCCTTAAAGTTTCTTACTGAGTAAAATATCTGCTGTTTTCAGATACTGGTCAGGCATGCCCAGTTTTGGCTGTTGTTAGATAAAATAACAGTGGACTGAATTTGTATGCACACTCTTTTATTTACACTATTCCTAATATTAGAGTAGAAACACTAGCTCATGGGAGGACTTTTTTTAAGAGGATCTTTTGGGTTTTTGGGCAAGGAGAACCAAAGTGAGGCAGGACATGTGGGAAAAGAGGGGGAAGGACGAGCACCAAATATTGATCTGGTGCAGGGAGGTCTGTATGAAAAATGCCTGTGCTACTAACAAAACCAGCGCTTCTGGGAGTCATTTTAAATTTTCTCCCTGCTGGGTCTACTCGTTTTCAGATTTCACTTCACAGCCAGGGTGCGGGCAGCAGGCGGGTTGTTATTTTGTATGTGCAATCTGCAACCACACCACCCAATGCAACTACTGTTTCCTTACTCTAAAACTGCAGACACATATCTTCTAAGCTAGCGTGTAAAGCTGCTGTCAACATAAGTGTTTTGAGAGCTTTTGCGTCATTATGGTTTCTTCTTCAAGACACGTGCTGCAAATTCAGGATGAACACAAATGTCAACCATTTACAAATGTCCCATCAAATTCCAACTGCAGAAAACTGCTGCTTATGAAAACATGCTGCAAGAAGCCAAAATAACTGCATCAGGAGTCAATGATTCTCCTGTGGATACTCAACTCCTCTGCTGAGTGTCTCTACGGGCCTGTCAAGCTACTGTTGTGAAGGACTGATAAGCAGTGTTAGTTTCCTTGTTTGTGTGCAGCCTGTTGCCTTTTAATGCATTTGTTTTGGTTTTCTATACTCAGTATATTTCTGTGGATGCCTGATCTTCTTCATATGTTTCTGAGTGTGCAGCATGTTTCCCTTTATAGAGATCACTTTAGCCACTTTGGTGGGATAGCCCCTGATGGCCAACGTAAAGAGGTTTTAGTACTAAGAAAGTTCTTCCAGGTTGAGGATCAGCAGACAGGAGGTTAAATGAGTACAGAGACAAACAGCTGTGAAAGATGGGTGCGGGGTGAGAAGAAAGCGGTAAATTTTTCTTTGTTTTGGTAACTGGATGAACACAGATCTCTGCAGCAAAGCCTTACAAAGCTGCCAGATTTATTCTCAAGCAGCTCAAAACGGACTCAAACAAAACCAGTTTCTACAGAAACATGCTGGGCAGGTGTAAACTCCAGGGAAGTGACAGCGCAAAAGCACAACAACATTAATTTTACAGGTGACCTGGAAGGGTGTGAACATATATGGGCAAGCCTGGCGTGCATGTGCGCACACACTCTCACACACATCCACCGAATAAGCACACACTACTTACTAGTTTTACTTCTGCTGGTTCACATCTGCAACATGCACCTGTTTGTGTGTGTTTTGCGTGTCTGTGTGCTTGAAAAGTGTGTCCGTGTTAGTGTTTGTCAAGTGCATGCAGGTTTGTTGCATCTGAGAGTCACTGAGTCGAGTGACTGTGGCAGTGAGGAGGATAATGATGATGATGATGATAATGAAGATATGTACAGTTAAAAAGGATGATGATGATGACGATGATGAGGATTTTAGAAAACTCCATTGGCAGACACTGGCTGGCAATTCATGACATCAGCTGTGATGTCAGAGGATGACCAGAACCGCAGTCGTCTGGTGAGAGAGAGAGGGGGCCGGGAAGAGGGGAAGGAGGAGGAGGAAGATGAAGAGGAGGAGGAGGAAGTCGGGTGAAGGAGCTTGTCTTGACTTTTACTGCGGAGGAAACGGAAGCGTTTTGGGTTTGGGGGAGCTGAGAAGAGAGCGAGAAGGAGAGCATAAAGAAAACAATGAAACAGAGATTAAATTAAAGCATACATGATTATGAACAGAAAATTTAGACAGCATGCAAGAAAACCACCAGAAACAAGAAACTAGAACAGAACTGTTCAGTTAGATTCATGCACTATGATCAGGACAAAGCTCAACTCACTCTGAATTTAGTTGAAGTATTGACAGATAAAATCTGCAGACATAATCCTGCAGACAAACTTAACAGCTGTACCTTAAAGTATTTTTAGTTCATTTTTAATTTATCCTCCTAAATTAGCACAGTTTTAGTGTCATATCATCCCTTTATCAACAAAGTTTGAGGAAAGTTGTGTGAAAAAACAAACTGTCTGAAATAGTTTGAAGCATGAACAAGAGGCCTGTTTTAAACCATATTCATCCAGCAGCTGGTCTGAAAGGCTACGTTTGGTGGTAAAACATCATTTCATAGAGTGCAGGAGGGAATAAAGAAGAAGAAAATTATGACAAAAGAAAAGATTGGTGTAAACAAACTAACAAATAAGAAAAAGAAGATGGAAAACGATAGATCAGGAAGTAAGTGGAGCTCAAGACAAGGAGGCAGATAAAGCCGAGAAAGAAATTGACGAAGGAGAAGTGAAACGGAAATAACAGAGGAAGAAGAAATGAAAGGACACACACAAAAAGAAGGCGACGCAGACTGTATTTTATGACTTTTTAACTTTTACTTCTATTGCAAAATCTTCCCTATAAAATGTATCCAATCAAATTATTAATGAAGGAATAATACTTGGAGTGCAATTTAGGAGGATTTCAAAAATGTGAAATAGCCGTCATCTGCAAAAGCAAGTTGAGCTCAGTCATGTGTTTAAGAGAAATAAAAAGAAATCACATTAAAAAAGAGTTACAGCCATGCATGAAACTAAGCCCAAATATAAAGACGGAAATAGGAAAAGAACATATTGTTTTACTAAAGTGAGTCTTGTTTCACAACTTTATGAAAATAAGATGGATGTTGTCCTAAAGCAAAACTCTTGTTTTACTCCAACCAACAAAAGACACAAGCTTATCAATTCAGAGTGCATTCTTTCAAGATATCCCTGCAGACAATTGTTTGCATAAAAATGAACCAAAGATGTTTATGCTTTGAATCCAGGACCACAACCTGTTATCAGTCTCTGCAAAGTACTCTGGGAAAGATTCCTGTAGTCACTTTAGATTGCAAAGAGTTATTCTAAAAGCCTGCCAGCAGTCAATTCCTCTACAGCTGAGTGCCGTGACTGATCGTCCCAAATTAAAAAAGTGACATCCAGTGACATCCTGTTCATCAGCAGCTGCCAAGAAAAACCGAAACTGGATTTTCAGAGTTGTTTTGTTTTTTAAAAGATGTCCAGTACGAAGGACTGACACTTTTTTTTTTTTTTGCATTATCTAAATCATGAATTAAAATGCCACGCCTCGTAACAATCACAACACAAAGCTTTCAAAGGACTCATCGCTCACTGTCTTTAAACCTGCCACAAAATCCACAGCAGCTTTGCACCGGGCCTCCAAATGTCTGGGAAAATGTCCTAAAACAAACTGTTTGTTGTTTTTTCCTCTTCTTTGGTTGGTTGTACTTGGTGTAACTCAGGATATGTAGGAAGTAGACCGTTTGAACTCACTCTAACATGATTTAACTTTGCCTGAATTCAGAAAATCCTGTGAGGGTTTACTTACAGAGATATTTCAGTTTTCTGAGGTGGGGTTGCACTTAAGGGAAGGACCTGTATCTGACCTACACGGGATCCCATCGACTCAGACCCTTTGTTAAAACCAGAGTTGAAGCTGGGCTACTAACTGCTGCAGACCAGTGCAGTTCTACCGTGTCATTTAAGTAACTTTAAGAAAGTCTGACACAAACACAAATAAACTGGGAGTGTACACTGTCTTTGGAGTTTTTTCAGTGGGCAGCAGCTGAAGACCACGTATACCAAACAAAGTGGACCTGAAGCACTGACATTTCTAAATATAGCAGACACTTGTATTGACATTAGTGTCTGAGCTGGAGGTTTTAAATTTAGCTGAAATACTTGGTAAAGCTGACCCTGACCCCGTCTGGCTTTTTGTGTTTTGATAAAGGGCCAAGCGGACCAGGACCTCCTGTTGATATACATTTACAATCAACAAGAACCCCAACTAAACCAGGAAGTGTTGCTGAAGTTCCTCACTTCAACTCCAGGGTGTCACGAAAGACCTGATATCATACAATACTGACTACAGAAACCTTCTTTACAAGATTAAATACAACACCATACATTATCAGTATTGTTAATCTGAGTGCAAAAACCTTCTTTTATTATTTTTGACACTATTAAACTGTGAAAGTGGAGATCTGTGGATTTAAGAAACATAACTGAATGACAGTAAATGTGTTGGTCTGCAGCACCCTCTAAAGGAGCCATTAGGGCAGTGCATCTAATTCAAAGGGGACAACTACACCCTGATTTCACTGTGAGGCCTTTTCTTCACAGAGTCCTCCACAACACCATCATCTGTTTGATATTCAGCATTTGATCCCAGAACTTGTCAGATGAGAGGAGTTTTTATTACTGAGGGTTTATGTGTGTGAGGTGTGTGTGTGACCGCTTACCTCTGCTGATGGGTGTGAGAGCAGGACTCTGAGGTCCCAGGCTGGGGCTGGTGATGTGGTTGCTATGGTTACTGTGGGTGTGGCTGCTGTCCTGGGTGTCACTGGTTGTCCGCTGAGGGAGTGGGGGAGGGGTTTCAGGGGGGAGGAGGGGAGGCGGCGCAGGCAGGGGGATGTCAGGGGCGCTCTTCGCTCGCTCTCTGTCTTTGGCTCCGTCCTTGTCCCGGTCACCCCCTCGCTCCCTGCTGCTCTCCTTTCGGGGTTTGATCAGTTTAGCTAAAGCTTTGGCTCCAGACCACTGACTTCTCCTGAAAACACACATGGGCAATTATATCAAATATGAAGATCCACAGAAGAAGTTAAATTGGAATTTCCCTCTGTGGGACTATTAAAGGAACATCTTATCTTTTACATATTGTTATATTTAAGGTGTTGATAGAAGAATTACTTCTTGGGTGTTGGGTCATAGAACTTGTACTGGTCCATGATCTTCTCCTCCAGTTTCTCTTTCTGACGGCGAAGAGCATTCAGCTTATCTCTAGATGAAGAGACACAGACAGAGGATGAAAACTCAGCTGACCCTTTTATCAAAGGGTCATTCCAGTATTTTTTACCCCGAGCCCTAAATTATGATACAAAAAAGTTTAAGGATTCTCCGGTTGACTGCTTAAGTCCGTCATGAAATCAGGCTGTAACAGTTGTGTTAGGGTAGTTTTTCCACCTTAAATACATCTGGCACCTTGAAATCACAGTTAAAGCCCCTAGTTGGGTGTGTTAAGTCAGCAAGCATTACATCTGTGTATCTTAATCACTTTTGTTTCAGTTTGGTTTGAAATATGGAAAAAAGTCTTTGCCTTTAAAGCTCCTGGAAGTGGTTTTTTTTTTAATCATCATACAAAAATCCTCTTTGGCTTTCTTAAAATAGCTGTAGACATCTCATGTCAAGAGTCTTCTCTGTGGAAAGCAAGCAATCGGACTCCAGAAGCATTTTCAGGCATTAAAATTACTATAGAGATATTTCTCATCTTTATACTGATGGTTTGGTTGACTTTTGCAGGTCATAAAGGTATTTTCTTTAACTGTACTTTCTTAAAGGTGACTTTGTCGTTAGTCTAAGTTTGCTCAGGCTCATTTGGGCTTTAAAGGGTTTTTATTTATTTTGTTTTTCTTCTACTCTTGAATGAATATTCTTGATGCTACACACTTTTTAACTTGGTAGTGTTCAGCCAAAAGCTTAGTTGTGTTTATTCAACAAATGGTATGTGTGTGTCATGTGAAAATATGGCTGTGTTTTCCAAATGAAAACATGAGTTCCATTTTGTGAACATGTTAAGAGATTTGATGGCAAAGAGTTGTTTTGCAAAGGGATGCCAGGGTTTAGCAATTTGTGAGTGATGTTTGGAGTTTTGTGTGTGCAGTTTTAAAAAAAAATGTACAGTTTTGAAAAACGTGTTTTAGCAATCGAAAAAAAACTGTAAGTGACTGTAATGTGCCTCTGTTCCAGAAACATGCCCTTTAATTAAACACAGACTTCTTCAATACTTTTTCCAGGCAGACCAGCTCTGACATCACTCTCTGTGAAGTAGCCAGGCTCGGTAGACTAAAACAGTAATTTTATCCTGCAGAACTCAGTCGCAAGTCTGCTGTTTTGCCTTTTTTTTTTTTTTTTTGCCGTTATTGTTTTGCACAAATGCTGTTCTGAGTCAAAACTGAAACAAATTGAAAAAGAATGAAAGCAAATTAAGAAAACTGCTGAAACTTTCTGTGCAGCTTGTAAATCAGATGTGTTGCTGTATTTAGTTACATGTATAGTTTCTGCTCCTGGTGATACAGCTCTTTGCTCTCCATGCTCCTCTCCAGCAGAGTGTGGTTCTGCTGACTCAGCAGGTTGATCTGACTCAGGAGGTGGTGATTCTCCTCTTCCAGGTTCCCTTTCAGTCGACTCAACAGCTAAAACACACACACATAAACACACGGGGGGTTCAGTTACGAAGAAGATGCTTTTCCTTCAGAGTTTGAACTCTTATACGATGAAACTCTTGGCTTACCTCGCAGTGGTTGTCCAGTTTGGTCATGGTCAGATCCAGGCCCTGGTGCTGCTCCATTAGTGAGTCGTATCGTGCCATCCATTTACTCACCTCCAGCTGGGAAGAGCTTAATGTGCCCTTGAGTTCGTTCACACGCTGCTGGAGGTTTTCACACTGCTCCGACTGCTGTAACTGGCTTCCTGCCAATCTATAGAACCAAAAAAGTTAGGAACAATCTGAAGAACATCTGCCTCAGGGCAGTCCACTGATCTAGTCTGGCAGTTTAGAAATCCTTAGGCACAGCTCAACAGCTAAGCCTGAACATAACTGCGTCAAACTTGACCACAGTAGTGGACCTGGTTTATCACCGTTTGACAACAAGGTGCAACCAACATGTTGCACATGAATATTTATCCAGCATGCTTTCATACAGTCCTCCCGTTCCCCTTTGCTTTTGCACAGTGAGGCATTGTGAGGCCGAAGCAGCTGCCTGATTGGAGGAGTGCCCTCCAATGAAAACACGGTAAGCTCTCTGCCTTTTTCTTTTTAGTAATGGTTGTGACAATTAAAAAAAAACAGCCAACATTACAGATAGAAAACAGGTGTTCAGAGTAAATCTGATACACCCAATTGTTTCACATAGGTGGATATCTACCAAGAGGTGAAGTATCGGCTGATACCAATACTAATCTATCAGTGCATTACTAGTTGCTTACACAGCAGTTCCTTTGCATTAGTGCAGGAACAGACATAGACGGACATGGAGAGATTTCACCTGTTAGTTACAGGTAAATAAGTGTTGATAGAACTGTATCAGAAAAGCCTACTGACAGAAAAACTTCCTATCTTATAGACTGGTCACAAACTTCAGCCTAGATTAAAAAAATATAATTTTTAAGCTAAATAAATAACCAGGCGCTAAACTACTTTGTCAAACATGATGTGTCCTAAAAGAGATAACTCTGGACTCTGACTGTTGACATAAATCTTCATAAATGTCAGCATGCTTTAGTCAGTACCTGTCCACGTTTGATTTCAGCTGTAGATTTTCTTGCTGCAGCAGCCGGTTCTTCTGGATCTCCTGGTTCAGTTCTTCTTTCTCTTTCTGTCCCTGGCCCTCCTGCTCGTCCCATTTGTCCTTCTGCTGCAGCAAAATACAATACCTCCAGACAGAGGGGGACAGGGGGAGCATTTACTGTGGTCATAGCTGGAATGAGCATCACAGTCACACAATCTGTTTCCTGTCAGATCAGTCGTGCGCTTGTCTACTTCCTGTCTGACTGACAGACATTAAGAGTCAATCGTCAGTATCCCATAAGCAGTTGTACTAAAGGTGTAACTTTGTTGACTTACTTGCCGTGCAGTGTCCTGTGATCGTTCTCTAGCGCCCTCTGTTTGCCCTTGAGTGTTGTGTGCTGACTGATCAGCTGCTCGTACTCGTGCGCCTGCCTCTCATGAACGCTCAGCAAGCGTTCATGGTCACTGAGCACGCTCTCTCTGGCTCGCCACGCCTCCTCACGCTGCCTTTGCCATGACTCTACCTCCGTCTCCAGGGCGCTGACTTGGCCCTGCAGCACTGCATTCTGGGCCATAAGAGATGCACTCTGGGAGGAGAGTGTGGAGTTCTCCACCTGAAACACGGAGGACAAAGAGTTGTTGATGCGTCCACATTTCTCTCTCTGCTATAATAACACCATGTGACTGATCTGTCGCTGTTCACCTGAAGTTTTGCAGTCTGTGTGTGTAAGGATGAATTTTGTTCTTGAAGGGTGCTGACATGCCGTTGCAGCGCCCCCATCTGGTTGTTCAGAGAGGTGTTCTGATTCTCTATCTGTTTAAGCTGCTCTTTCAACAGACTGCTTTCTGTCTGCAGAGATGCATTCTGGGAAGAATAATGACAGTTAATAATCAATGAAATACAAATAAAAGCACAAACATGCAAAATAAGACAAGTCTTGGCAACAATAACTCAAATACCTAATAATTATAGTCAAAATGTCTTCTGATAAGTTACTCTTTACACAATAGTCATGTTTATTGTGTTGCAAATTATATATATCTTTTTTTGTAAAAATCTGATCTTGCTTCCAAACTTTTGGCCTGTAGTGTATGTGACACTTGAATATTAACAAATTCCTGCAGAAGGGTCGCACATTTTTCTCCACATCGATGAGATGATCTTTGATCCGTAGCAGCTCGGCAGTGGCTGACCCTTGACCCCTGTCGCCTCTCGAGAGCTGCTGCGAGTTGTGGTTTTCCTCTTCTTCCTGTTGCTGACGCAGAGCGGAGACTGTCTGATGAGCCTGCAGCAGAAAGTAAATAAACTGTAAAATATTTTTCAACAGTAAACCTCAGTTCAATTTCATCCTTACTGACCGCCAGAGGTGGTGCTTTAAGCACTGAATGAATCCATCTCATGCATGCGCAGGTCGAGTGTTTATACCGACAAAGTCATGTGTGACACCTGATGACACGGTCAGTCTATATCTTTCGGTGACATCAGAGGATCTGTTCCTTTTCATCTTCTCGCTTCGCAGGTAAACTGCAATCACCTCGCTCGCTCAAGCTAAGTGGCTATTATTTTCCCTCGTTGCTGGTAGCCTTGTGACGTCTTGTCAGAGCTGCAAGCTGCTCGCCCTCCTGGCTGCAACGGACTCTGCTGAGAGGTTTGTGGTTTGCTGCGGACACTTCTGCTTTGGCTCATCATCCTCGGTGGGATGCTTACTTTTTGTTATTACAAATAAGCATATTCTTTGGTGCAACCAGTTGTACTCTCTTTCGGTTGTAGTTTGTTATATTTTCAATTGTTGGTGAAGACAGTGACCTCGCTTCCTCTCCCGGCTTTTGTACGTTACGCAGATATTGTGCTGTATTTTCAATTGTTGGTGAAGGCAGTGACCTTGCGCCCTCTCCCAGCATTTGTACCGCTAAAGTTTTTGGATTGGCTGGCCTCGCGGGTGCTTGCAGCTGTTATCAGTACAACCTGTTGTACTCGCTTTAAGTTGTACTTTCATTTGATGGTGACGGTAGCATTGCCCTTCGCTCTCCTGGCTCAAGTCATTCATACGCATTAGCGGTCAGCCTTTGAGTTGTAATTTGTTGGTGATGGCAGTGCGCGCGTTGCTGTTCCCAGCTTAGGTATGGTTACTTTTCTATTTTCTGTCTGATTATTACCGGCATTTCTGATTGGCCTTCTTAGTTTGTATATTGTGGTACCATCTCGGTTGTGCCCATTTTGTGTTGTGTGGCAAATACCCTTGACTGGTGAAGGCAGTGTTCTCACTCCCACTCCCAGCAAAGAGGTGATTTATTTGGTTAAGGCTGTGTTATCGCTCCCTCTCACAGTGTCTCTTGTTCTCTTGTTTTAATTTATTGGTTGTCAATGTTTTGCAACCATTCTTGCTTGGCCTGTATGGCTTCTCTGCAGCCTGAAGGTGGCCTTGATTTGTGTCCTTCATGCATTGGCCTTAAACATCTGAAGGGGACTCTCTCAGACGATGCCTGCATAAACTGTAGCTTCATGCCCTGGGCAGTAAGGGCTGCCATACTAGTTGAGGTAGAGCAACTGTTGGGCCTCGCCCCGTCACCCAAACATTTGACCCCAGCCTCGTCACTGCCTCATACTCAGTCTGGCAAATCTAAACATTGGGCTGCTGAGACCGCAGGCCCCACCCCCAGGAAGAAGGTTAAAGGGTCCAGCCTTGCTTCCAGAATGGAAAAATTAACGGCAGAGCTCGATAGCATGAAATCCCTCTTCTTGGCCTTCCAGTCTGGGACTGGTGCAAAGGTGCCAGGTGCTCCTGATCCTCTGGTGGCCATCTTGGAGCTGGAGGGTGATGTGCTTTCCACAGCAGCGTCAGCTACTGAGTTTGCTGAATATGAGCCAGAGGTGTTCTCACAGGATGTTGCCTCCTGTGCGGGCTCCTGTTCATTGACCCACAGCTCTACTTGTGGCTCTGAGGATGGTTCAGTGGGAGCTGTCATTCGTATGGCCCTGGCCCGTTTACAGTTGGATTTACCACATGCCCAGTCGACTACGGCTAGCGCCTCCTTCAGGCATAGCTTGGCCCCCACTAAATTAACTGTGCCCCCATCAGAGGACTATGTGAAGGAGCTGCATGCTTGCTGGAGGGATTCCAGAGCCCTCTCCCATGCAACATCTGATGGCCAAGCCCTGGAAGCATGCAGGACGCACCAAAGTTTGGCTTGGGTCGCATGCTAGCAATTGAGCCAACTATATCTGCTCTAATTGTCTCCCCTGATGAAGCTCTGAGACCGGATGCTAGGTGTCCTCATCCCCAGTGTAGGGTTACGGACGACCTGCTTTTCAGAGCTTATGATGCAGCAGCGCGCATGGGATCCTTCCATCCACAACTTCAGCTACACTTCGTTACAAGTATTTGCGCTGATGTCAAGAGAACTTGGGCGGCTGATGTCCACACTCGTTCAAGCTCACCGCCAGGTTTGGCTGGCACAATCTCCTCTCACAAGGGCATGCAGGAGAATCCTCTGCAGTGTTCCAGTGGAACCTGGAGAGCTTTTTGGCTCTGCGGCTCTGGAGGCACTTGAGCGCACAGTCCAGGCCAAACAGCTGTCAGATCTTCAGAGGAGTGCACCTCCTCCTAGCAGGCCTAGGGGTTCTTCCGCTGCCCCCCAGCGTTGCTCTCACCTGCAGGCCTATCCCAGTGGCTACTTTGGACCCCAGCGCCCACGTCCACAGCCTGCTCAGCAGCAGGCGCAGGACTTTCAGGCCCAGGGCGACTGGCCTCTGAGCGACCTCAGGTGTTGCACGCTGCCCATCTTACCCCCTGAGCCTCTAGAGGCCAGGGGACCTGGTGCTAAGGCCCAGGGGCCAGTCATTGGCTGTTTTTCCCAGCAGCAGCTTAACTATTGGGCTGCTTCCACCAGGGACCCTTGGGTGCTTTCCACCTTGACCCACGGGTACAAACTTCAGTTCCGACGCTTGCCCCCAACCTGTGGCCGGGTCAAGATGACCATCATACACGACCCAGCAAAAGCCCAAGCTCTCAGCCAGGAGTTGTCCGTCCTCCTGGACAAGTGTGCCATTGAGCCAGTAGATCCCCTGTTGTAACCCGTAGGGTTCTACTCAACTTATCTTCTGGTAGCAAAGAAAGATGGCGGACTACACCCCATCCTCGACTTGAGAGGTCTCAACAGATTACTGAAGGTCCTGAGGTTCCACATGCTCAGTGCTGCAGAGGTACCCCCCGTGAGGGGGGAGTGGTTTACACCAATAGACCTGAAAGATGCCTACTTTCATGTCCCCACAGCACCACATCACATACAGTTTCTGCGGTTCACTTTTCAAGGGGCGTCACTTCCAGTTCAGGGTGCTCCCAATCCGCCTGTCTCTTTCCCCATGGGTGTTCACCAGATGTGTTATGGCAGCCCTCTCGCCCCTGCAGTCGTGGGGCATGAAGATCCTGCCCTATCTGGATGACTGGCTTATCTGTATGCCATCCCAGTCCCAGGTTGCCCTGGACACGACACATCTTCTCTCTCATGTGGCCAGACTGGGTCTCAGGATTAATCTCACAAAGAGTTGTCTGGTTCCCACGCAGAGCACAATCTTTCTTGGAATGTCTCTCAATGCTGTTACCATGACAGCTCGTCCGTCACCGCAGCAGGTGGACGACATCCTCCGCTTCCTCCTCCTCTTTCGGGGAGGCAGATGGTTGCACTATGTGGTGTTTCTACGCCTTCTAGGGAAACTGACGGCTGTCGCCACCGTGGTTCCTTTAGGGCTGCTGTCACTACGCCCCCTTCAGAGGTGGCTGAACAGCTTTCATTTGGATGCAAAGTGGCACCGACACAGAAGACTCTAGGTGTCATACCGCTGCCTCCTTGCTCTGGCTCCATGGATAGAGAGAGCATTTCTCCTTCAGGGCATACCATGGGTTCCATTGCATCCCGGCGGGAGACCATCACGGCAGATACCTCTCTCTCAGGTTGGGGTGCTGTGTGGCAGAATCGGACGGCTCGAGGGCTGTGGCCCACTCGAGACTGCTCGGTACATATCAATGTGCTGGAGCTGTGGGCCGTGCACAGAGCTCTACAGTTTTTTCTGCCTTTTCTGAGAGGCCGGCATGTACTTGTATGGTCAGACAATTTCTGAACTGTATTTGCCAGGGGAAAGAAACAAGGCGGCCGACTTCCTGTCCCGTTGCAAGCCTTCACCGGGGGAGTGGCGGCTTTATCTGAAGGTGGTTCTCAACATCTGGGAAGTCTTCGGCAGGGGAGAGGTGGATCGCTTTGCCACAGAAGAGTCGACTCATTGCCCCCTCTGGTTCTCTCTGACAGAGGAGAGCAGCCCACTGGGTCAGGATGCTCTCACCCACGACCTGCTGGACAGTCTCCTCTATGCGTTTCCACTAATCCCTCTGATCTTTCAGATGCTACAGAGGGTCCTCCATCAGGGTCACAGGCTGCTGTGGGTAGCCCCCTTCTGGCCAGGGAGGATGTGGTTCCCACTGCTGTGCAGGCTCTACCGCAGCTCGCCATGGCACCTCACCGACAGGAAGGATCTCCTGTCTAAGTTACAGGGCCAGATTTGGCATCCCGACCCTCTTTGCCTGCAGCTATGGGTCTGGCTACCGCAGGGCCCAACCTGCTGCTGACAGAATGTTTAAATGCGGTCTATAATACCATTTTGAACACCGGGGCGCCTTCTACCTGGGCTTAATATGAAAATAGATGGTAATTTTTTACTAAATGGTGTTCAGACAGGAGCGGGGACCCTGTGCACTGTTCAGTCCCAAAGATTTTAGAGTTCCTCAAGTCACTCTTGGACCGTGACTGGTCCCCTGCCACTCTGAGTGTGTTTGTGGCAGCCATTTCCTCACGGCACACTCAAGTGGATGGTGACACAGTGGTGTGAGTGGGGATTGCGCCCCCCCACAAGCACAGCGTGCCTCGGCATGGGATCTGCATCTGGTGCTTGACGCTCTATGTTTGCCTCCCTTTGAGCCCCTGGCGCAGGCTGAGCTGCAGTGGGTCTCTGCCAAGACTGCCTTTCTCCTGGCCATCACTTCAGCGAAACGTGTCGGAGAGCTACAAGCTCTATCCACGAGTGACTCACGTCTGAAGTGGAACCCAGATGGCTCAGGGATTACCCTGTGGCCAAACACAGCCTTTTGTCCCAAGGTTCTGTCATCATCAAATTTCAACCGACCTATCCACCTGGCACAATTTGTTCCTCTGGAAGGGGAGGACAGGTTAAAACTGCTGTGCCCTGTGCGGGCTCTGAGAGTCTATGTGGCCGCAACTGCAAGTATTAGACGGTCGGACCAGCTCTTCCTCTGTTGGCCCTAAGAAAGGCTGTGCTCTCTCCAAACAGTGATTGTCTCATTGAGTAGTGGACATCATCACTAATGCATATAAAAGAAGTAATCACCCCATACCATCAGGAGTGAGGTGCCACTCTACTAAGGCTGTCTCAACATCCTGGGCGGCCCTGCGTGGTGTGCGCCTGGAGGACATCTGTGAGGCAGCATCATGGGCATCGCAAAGTACCTTTACCAGATTCTATTGGGTGAATGTTGCCACCCCCCATCCGTTAGGCGTGGTTCTGTGGCCCGACTCCAGTGCTTAAAGCACCACCTCTGGCGGTCAGTAAGGATAAAATAGAACGAGAGTTACGTATGTAACTACCGTTCTATGAATCCTGGATGACCGCCAGGGCGTTCTGTCACTCAGAATCCTTGTGCTCTCACAAGAAGATTCTGCAGGAACAGATCCTCTGATGTCACCGGAAGATATAGACTGAACGGGTCATCAGGGGTCACACGTGACTTTGTTGGTATAAACACTCTGGTGGTCATCCAGGATTCATAGAACCATAGTTACATACGTAACTCTCGATTACATTGCTGACAAGTTCACAACCTGAAAATGTCTTTAAAATGACTAAGTAGCTGTCCAGCTGCCCACTTTAATCCTACAGCTTTTTGTTTATTATCTTGATGCACTAAGCTTTATGTGTACTGGGTGTTTGAAATCTTGAGTGGGACCAAATCAAACACAAAGCACATATATAAGTTTTGTTAAACCAGCATGTAAGTACTCACAGTGACTAGTTCGGCCCGTAGTGTTGCATTGAGTACGTTTGTTTCTTCCACCTTCTTCTCGAGATGTGAGATTTTCTCTTCTTTAATCTTCATCGTCTGCTGGACAGTTTCCTCCAGCCGAGACTCCAGCAGCCTGTACCTGCTAATGAACACAAAAATAAACTCATCATCACACCTCCACGATTCATTTCTGCAGGTTTAAATCCGATGAGCTGACTTAGTGAATTAGAGAAACACACCCGTCCTCCAGCGTGTGCTCCTGCTGCAGCAGTTTTTCTCTGTTCAGGCCAATCTTCTCCAGTTCTTCGTTGAGTCTCTCTAACTCGACACTCTGCTGCTGAACGCTCAGTTTCTCTGAAACCAACTCCTGCACACACACAGATACATGGAACACAACTGTGAAGACACTTTAACTTCTTCAGTTTAAAACACTTTTCCATCTTTAAAATCTACAAGCAATACCAGCCACTTTTTTTCAAGACATTAAAGGCTCATCTAAGAGTTATTCTGAAGAACTTTTACACTATTTCAGCTCATTATCACGTGCTTTAAACAGTTACTACCCACATGCAGTTCGTTTGCAATACTCCTGATAGTATCACCGGACAATACTCTGTGCAATAACCCACTTAACTGTGCAATATTATCTGTGATGTGCAATACAACGTGCATTACAGCAATTCGTACACCATTATTCACCATGTGCTGTTTGGCAATTTTCATACCTAATTTTTCCCACCGACTTATCCTCCATTTCATATATTCACACTCAGCACCTTTGTAAATATTGCGCTATTTCTCTTATATTTTTATTTGCCTAATTTTTTTTTTTTTGCATCCTTATTTTATCGATCCCTCTAGGTACCTACTGTGTTTTTTTATCTGTACTCTTTTGAATCTTGGACTATGATCTATCCTATACGACTGGTGCCAGCTGACAACTTTTTGTTAGATTGTTTTGTCAAAAGTTTAACCGTCAGTTAAACTGTCAGTTGTTTCAGATCTTCTAACTTTGCCAAACTGAATTTTGAGGGTAAAGATAAATATTTTCTGTTGACTTTGAAAGCTCATGTGGAGTATCTTTGTTTACTGACAAACAACACTCTTGGACTGAGTTTCACTGAGATGACTCGTGCCTCTTTTCTTCCTCTCACCTCTCTCAGAGTAGCCAGAGTCCTCTTGTCGATTGTCGCCTGTTTCTGCAGCTCCTTGTTCTCCCTCTCTTGCTCCTTTGCTTTGATGGCCACCTCCTTCAGCCTCTCCACCTCCTTACTCAAAGTGTTGCCCTCCTTCTGTACTGCAGCTAGCCGCCTGATTTTCTCCTCCAGCTCTGTCTCTTTGGTCTCCAGCAGCGTCCTGATCCTCCACGTTTCCTTCTCCAGGTGCTTCCTGCTCTTCTCTGATTGCTCCAGGTCCAGCTGGATCTTCCTCCTCTCCTTGTCGCCCTCCTCCCTCCGTCTGCGCTCATTCTTCAGTTCTTCCACTTCCCTTCTTCCTTCCTCCTCTCTGGACTGTATCTCCTGCCTCTCTCTCTCTACCTCCTCCCTCTCCTCCTTGCTCTTCTGTATTTCCTCCTCTAAACGATGCTTCTCCTGATTCAAAGCTGCTATGTTCAGCTCCAGCCTCTCTGCCCTCTTCTTCTCTCCTTGCACCTCCTCTCTGGCCTCCTCCACCCTTCTCTGTAGCTCCTGTGTCTCTCTCTGTGACTCTTTGTGCTCCTCCTGTAAGGTGGCCAGACGTGCAGTGGAGGAGCGCAGGTTTTCCAGTGAGCAGCGGAGGTCAAGGTTCTCCTTAGAAAGCAGGCTGCTCTCTGCTTCGTGCTTCCCCAGTCGCTGCAGCTCCTTCTGGTTCTCCTCTGCCTCCCTCTTTAACTTGTGCACCTCCTGCTCCAAGGAGGACACCTGCTTTTCTAAAGCTTCTGATCGTTCACTGCATGCACGTAGGGAGGCCACCTGGAAGCAAAAAAACAGAAGTTTAATGTCTTAGTTTATCACTTTAGAGCGATCACTTTAAAACTCTATTACTAAATAAGCTTAAATACATCTTAGTTTTAGATTACCTCTCTGTTCAGAGCATCCTTGCTCCTCTCCAGCCTTGCCGCCTCCCTCTCCACCTCCTCACACCGCCCTGCTTTTTCCCTCAGTCTCTTTGTCTCCTCATTGGCCAGTTTGAGTTGTGTTTCCAAGCTAGCCAATCGGGAGCTGGTGTCAGTGATGTTCTGGTGCAGGAGGCGGTTCTCCGTCTCCACCTCTCGAACCCTCGCCTCGTTGTTGGACTGAGCTCTCTCCTGAAGTGATGCCACTGCGTCAGAGAGGTGCTGCTTCTCGCTCTCTAACTCCGAGATCTGATTGGACAAAACCGGCAGGAGAGAGCATTAACAAAGGATGTATTCTGATGTCGAATTATGAGCTTTAAGGATGTGGGCGTGTTTTAGTCACCTGTCTGTCTTTCTCTGTCCTCAGTGTGTGCATTTCTCTCTCCAGCATCTGTTTTTCCTTCAGGATCTCCTCTCCAAGAGACTCCATGTCCTGATTGGTCAGTCTCTCCTGGTCCAGTAAACCCTGGAGACGCTCCAACTAGAAAGAATCAAAATAAAAACACTGTAATTATCATCGACATTCAAAAAAGTACCAATGACAAATGTGATATCAATCCATAAACATTCAGTATGAAGCCCCATAATGTGTCCATCTACCTGCCATTCAGTCCCTGTATTTTTCTTCTTACAGCCAAATTTCCCAATCTTTGCATGTTCTGTGCACAGATACCCTTTCTTTTCTACATGATTTGGTGGTCTTAATGAGTGAAGAAAGAAAAGAAAGAAAGACTACTGGACCAACAGGTAAAATGTCAAAGCTGCAGCTGTAATTCTGTCCTACTTTCTTGCAATTGGTATCGTGAGCTAAGCGGACATATTTTACAGAGGTTGTCAGCGGACAGAGAGACATCTGAGTACTAACATCTGTTCAGAAATCTAATGTAGCAATTCTAGTTTCTGTATCTAGAAATCTACAACATGTAGGTCAAGAGGAAAGCCCAGTTTTATGAATTGGCTAAATCCTCCAGCAGAGTCCTGCCTCCTACCTTCTTGCTGAGGCTCTGGTTCTCTCTGTCCAGCTCTTGTGTATGAAGCTGCTTCTCCTGCAGTTGGTGGTTGTCCTCCTTCAGTCTCTCTATCGAGGCCTGAAGCTCCCGGTTTTCCTTCTCCAGCTTCAACACCCGACTAGAAACGCACTCATTCAGTTCATGGACCAACGACTTACGAGCTGCAAAAAGGGAATCGAATGGTTTGGACTGAATTGAAAAAGGGATCATGTTTAAGAACGGGATATTAAAACCAAAGTGTGTGTCTTACTCTCTGTGTTAGTGTTGTCATGGTTCTTGGTCAGCTGTTCCAGCTCCCAGCCAAGATGAGCTGATTCATTCATGCTCTGCTTCTGACCGATCTCCAGCAGCATGTTCTCCTCCACCAGCTCCTCCAAACGTCTGCGTTCATTGTCTCTCACCTGAAAAACATCAACAAACATGATCAGAAACCCACAAATACCCCGACTGTGTAATACTGAGGGCTGAAATGGAGGGACATGTGTAAACGTAATTTATGAAGCTGATTTGGTGGACATTGAGATCGTATCCTGTACATTCTCTGAGTATGTTAAAGTCAAAACTAGTCAGTTCGACTTATAAATATTAGATGAAGTAACACTAATACCATTTCCAGGTCGTGTATTTTCGCTCGCAGTAGCAGGTTGTCTTTCTCCAGTGTGTGCAGTTTATCACAGCGCCCCCTGGAGGCTGACAACTGCTCCTCTAGCAGCACCTTTGTTTCCATCAGAGTCAGGTTGTCTTCACGAAGCTCCTGCATGACCGCACACACAAAAATGCACAATGTCAAATTATATCCTGTAAATTAACACATGATCATGGACATTGGAGTGCAACATGAAAATAAACATCTGATCTTCTAGGTAAGAGCTGAACACATTGAAGCTGTGCTACATTACCTCCACTCTGGTCTTGTAGAAATGAACATCATTGAGTTTTTCTCTACATCGTGTCAGCTCGGTCTCCAGTCTGTCCACTCGGGACGCTTTCTCCCTCAGAGAGTCCACCTCGTCCCGGTACAATCTGACCGAGCGCGCCTCACATGACAGAGACTGATTCTGAGTGAAACCACAGATACACACAACATCACTTTCGTCAGACAACTCAGGCAGCAGGTGTAGATTTTATTGGTGTTTGACTTCATCACTCTTCACAGTTTTACTTCGATTTCATCGTCATGGTCATCAAGTCAAGTTCAGAGTGAGCAGCTCCTGACCTCTTGTTTTAGCCTCTGTAGCTCCTGATCCTGACGCTCCACTTCATGTTTTGAATCCATCAGCTGCTCTGTTTTCTCTTCTCTGCAAACACACATACACACAAAAAATAGATAAGTTTCAACTAAACACGTTACAATCCATCATTGTGTTGTATAAATAGCCAAAAAAAAAAAAAAACTGGTGAAGTGATAGTACTTAAAGACCTTTAGGACTGACACCACTGAGGGATGAGAAACATTCAGTAAACTTGTTTTATTTCAGCCTTTAATACGTCCTGCTGAAAGAATCAGCTTATGTTTATAAAGTGGTGTGTTTGGTTCATCTGTAAATAGATGGATCCCCTGTGTGATTACCCTGCAGATCAGAACCAGACAGTGTAATACCCTGTGTTGGGCGTTTAATGGCTACCAGCTGCTACACGTATCACCACACACTGTGGGACTGTATCAGCGCTGATACAGCTGATACAGTCCCACACAGACTTTTTTGTTTCTGCGCCCGGAGGTTGACTTTCTTTATCAGGCCGTGAAGTACTCACAGTTCTTGTCTGTATCTGCGAAGCTTGGCCTTGGTGTCAGCGAGCTCCACGGACAGATGCTGCTTCTCTTCTTTGGTCAGACCGGGCACTGTGACAGCTGATCCCCCGTTCATCACTCCCACACCTCCAGAGCTCTGCCCACGGTCCGGGCTGTTCATACCCAGGTTTCTGCACCCTTCCCCGGACTGCTGACTGGACAGGTAGTCCCTCTCCTGAGTCAGATCCACAATCACCTTGAGGGAGAAAGTGTGGGTTGAATTAACACCTTCAAATTTACATGATAAATGCAGCAGAACACAGATGGAATAATTCAAAATGTAATTTTCTGACACAAATGTCAAATGCAAACTTAATTAATACTTAATTTCTTTGAGGGGACCCTCCCAAAAAGATAAATAAAGTTGTATCTAATCTAATCCTCTCATTTCTAAAACAGTGATGCGTGCGTGCATGTCTATACCTCGCTGGCTTTGTCTCTCTGGTCGATCAGCTGCTGCAGAGACACCGCCATGTTTCTGGACAGGGGTGTGAGCTCTTCAGGTGCAAGCTCTGACCCTTCCTCCAGCCAGGACAAGTCCAAGACATTCAGCTGGTTGTGAGTCACCTGTAAAACACACATTTAATTGAATGCACTTCTCTTAAATATAAGAATTGAAGTTGTAAAATACAATCTATCACCACTGCTTGAATTCCTGCGTTTCTTTAGCATTTCCAATCAAGATTATTATTCCAACTGGCAAAACCACAGCCTTGTATTTTCACTGCTTATTAAATAATTTTCCAATTTAACTGTGCTGAAATTAAAAGTGTGTGTGAAAAATCGATGGTATGCCTGATAAACCCCCAACCCCAAACTGCAAGTAAACATCAGGGCAGTTTCAACATACAAGTATAGATGATAACGGTCTTTTTAAAGAAACAATATATTGATACTGTGTTTAAATAAAGTATTATGAAGTCATACTGAGAGTTTCACTCAGTTTTCTAACGTCTGATCCAACAGAAGTCACTTATACTGTAAAAATAAAGCACATTACAAAAATATCATAATGAGAGGATGGAAAAACAATCATTCATTGAGGTGGTATCTTCACCAAAGAGGTTTCAGTCACAGAGCTGATGATGTGGATAAATCATAAACTTGGACATGGAGAGAAATAAATGATATGTAAGCCTACTGTATTTATTAGTGAAGTTTATGGAGTAAAGTGTCGCTCCACTCTTGCTGAATACAACTGATTGTGTTGTTTTTTTATTTTTTTATTAATATAAAAAAAGCACCAGGAAAAAAGGGGTCGAGTTTGTGTTGTTTGACTTCTGATTTCAGAGATGATTACACTGAATTTGGGAAACTATCACATCAGATGTTCAAAGTCGTGATGTGCATTTATAAGCTTTTTTCGGTCCTTGCTTATGTGCTTATCTGACCTCTTGGATGTGAGAGACAATGGCAGCTTGTGTCCCAATGTCCAGCAGCTTAATCTTCTCAATCATCTCCTCTTTTCGGTAACACTAAATACACAAAGACAGACAAAAACAGAAAGGGGAACATGTCTGAATAGGGTCCACAGTTTGATACAGATTTTCTATGCAGTCATTAGAAGAGGACAAGGTTGTTTGGCATGTCTATTTGAAGAAAGACTTGTTTTGTTAAAACATCAACAACATTTTCATGTGGCTTTATCCACCCTTCCTCCTTTGCCTCTGTGTTTCCATTCATTGCTCCCTCATGGAGCTTCCTCTCTCCTGGAACCAGTAGAACCTGAACAGGCTGGTAAGGCGGGAGACAAAGGGAGGGGAGACTCAAAAGAAAAGGAGATAAAACGAGGAAAGAGGGAGTGAGGAGGAGAGAGATAGAGGAGTAGCCGCAGGGAAAAGAAAGGTAAGGAAAAAGGCGGTGTGTTCAGAGCTTTGGGAGGGGTGGAAATGAGAAACAACAAAGAGCTGAACAAACAAACACAGACAGGGAAAACACCTGAGCCCCGACCTCCCACATGACCATCCCCTCCTCTTTCATTACAGGTGACCCAATTTACCCTAAACTTCCCATCCCTGCAGTAAAACTGGGTGAAATGCTGCTCCTTTGAAAACTTGTTTTAAGATTAATAAAGATCAAAAAATTGGAGTTCCCTCAAGCAGGGCTCTGAAACTGTCAAAGTATGCCAAACACCCTTCAAGGTTTTTATGAAATAGCGCCATAACTCTTGTGGTTATTAAAATATAAAAAACACTGATGTCTCTGCATGAGTGTTTTGATCCTGCAGACACACCCACATGCACTTATCATCACACACACACCGAGCAGCTCTGCTCAGACATGCAAAACTAAACAGACTCACTTCCTGGGAGAGACTGGGTGGTACAGAAAAATGTGTGTTACCTGGACAGCACAGCCGAGTATCAGCAACAAAAGTCTTTTCAGCTCCTCCATGCTCTTAGCTGGAAATTAAAAAGCACAAAGAAACACTTGTAAGAGTAGAAATGTGAAGTATCTCTCAAAATTTAATGCAGAGGACCATGTGCTCCTACAACCTGCAACGTGAAGCCAAGAAAATGATGTGTCATAAACAACAAAGTGCCGGTTTTTTTGAGTTATGTGTTTGTGTGCTGGTGCCTGAAGGTATTTCACACATTAGGCTGCACCACAGCACGCCTACTGCTCATCATGACAGACTCCTTCATCAGCTGCTATCTTCTGCAAAATCTCTTATCATTCAATTGAATCACTCTGTCAGCAAGTAAAAGCAAGATTTTGATTTATGCAGCCTGGTGCGGGCGATAATGATTCTTCAATATGTGCATAATCATGACAGAATAATGAAAGCCAGGTAGACTCAAGCTATGTTCAGGCTGCAAGCTAATCATATTTGTTTGTCAAAGATCAGATCCAAGATGGACTATCTGCACTGTTAGTTCAGAGTGATCACATCAAAGATCATCAACACATCTGAAAGACTCAAAGTGCTCACAGCATAGGTGTCAGAAACAATGCACACGTCAGAGTTATGGTCAAGTTTTGATTTGTTGCATGAATTCAGAGTAGACCAGCTGCATGAGTGTAGAGCAGGTTCAACACTGCAGGTGTGAGGAGTGCAACTGATCTGACATGCCAAAAAAGTCAAGTTTTTTGGGTTCATGTGAAGCTCTGGCCCAAATTTTGCCACAATGCAAAAATTAATTTAATGAAGTCACTGGTACAGATCTTTACTTGAGTCATTGCCAAACTTTCTGCGACAGAACAACTGTCGTAAATCATGTGGTTACACTATTTGGCAGGAAACAGTTTCAGTTTGCAGACAATATTCTCTCTGATGTGATCTCTTTCTTTCTCTGCATGCAGTTGTTTGGCGTCTGGTTTCTGAAGCAACTGTTTTCAGCCTAGGTAGGACAGTTTTCCTGTAGGACTAATACACCAAAACCTGAATAAAACCTGAAACCATCCCTTGACAATGAAAAAAAAAATTCATGCAAACTGAGTCATAAACCATGTAAGCTTTAGGTGCATCATTTGAACAGGCCAACAAAATAACACTTGAGACCAGATCCATCCCCCTCTTTTTGTCCTACTTCCTCTCCCTCTCTTTGGGTATACAGCTGCTTTTGCCTAAATTTAAATTGAGGTCTTACTTTTTAAAGCTTAACCCTGTTCAGGCACAACACAGTCTGAGAGACCCATATGTGCATTTACATTTAGTGATCAGAATCTGCAGGGGGGCAAAAGATAATCTTGGCCTTCAACTGTAGAGAATCAATCTTTCTGCTCTTTACTCAGCTGGGACATTGTAATATCAGATAGTTTATAGCCCTGATTTGAGTTAAACTTCAGAAAAAGCAGCTGACAGCAGCAACATACAGCCAACACGCAGCTGGTGTGAAGACCACAGCCAATATGCACCCAGTTTGAAGTCTGCCTAAAACAATACACAGCCTATTAAGAACAGAGCAGGTTTTGAGGGGGCTCTTATATTACAAAAGTGCCTTAAAAAGTTGGCGATCAATCATACTGGATTCAACTGAATAAAAATGTGTCATTACCTTGTTGGTTTTTCAAGCGCGGTCAGATTCATTCAAGCTTTTGCTTCAGTTTTGTGTCAACCTGCAGCTTCTTATGAGCTCATGAGTGATTTTTTAGTCACAACTCTCTTGTGTTGAGTTTTTAACAGGCTATAAAACAAAGTGAAACCAATCCTGTTATCTGTTCAATGCCTACAAAAGCAAACCGGCACATAAGCCTAAAGATTGGATCATAATGTCATCATCTAAAACCAGCAGTTAAGGGTTGGCACTAGCCTGACTGTCAGCATGCTACAAAAACATAGCCTGGCTGGGCCATAAAAACAGCCTTTATTTTTAAGGTTTCCAATTGTCAGGATTTTCACTGATTCATGTATTTGACCGTTCAAATAATGCACTCCGGATTAAAGAAGATATTTAAAGACATGCATTTACAAGACAAGTAAAGTGCTGAGGTGCTGCTTTGTCCACAGGGGGCGCCACAATCGATTCAAGCCATAAGTTTCCAACAGGAGCTTTAGAGGCACATTCATATAAATTTGTTTTGTATATTTGCTTATGAAGTTATTTAAAGCCTTCTCTCTGAGCTCTCCAGTCTAAAACATTTTCTCTCTCCTCTAGTGTTTACATGTAAATAACAAATCTTGCATTGTAAATGTGGCACAGACTCACCAGAGTGAGCAAGTTGGCCTTGCGCAGTATTAAGTGACCATTCAAACTATCTGACCTCTGTGCTGAAGTTGTCCTTTGCTCCAGACAGACTCAGCTCAGCGTTGTTTTCGCTGCAGCAGCGTTTCTGACTGTCATCCATCACTCTAGATTTGACACCGTCATTGTGTGTCAAGTTGCAATGGACACAAAAGATCCTTTAAAATCCCATTAGAGCTGCCACAGCTGGACAGAGACTAATCCATAAAAATCTGATTGGATCTGCATTTCAAACAGCAGCAAATGTGACTTAAATCCCATTATAGCAAAAGCTCTGAACGAGTTAGTTTGATCATGATATAAACACAGGAGCAACTGAGTGGAGTTCCCCCTCCATACTTGGTCTGCTGTTAGAGGAAGGACCTCATTGAAACTTGAACATATCAGAGAAGGCTTAGAGGACATATTTGACTTGATTTCACTTCATAAAGGTTGTAAATGTAAACTCAACAATCATGAGATAACAGAGGACTATTAAACACAGCGTATGGTTGTGAGTCCATTTAGCAGCAATGATTCATAAAAGAATACCTGATACCAGGTGAGGAACATGTGGGAGTGTTGTACCTGATAGTGGATCCTTGGCGATGCACAGGATGTTAGGGAGAGGCATGACTATGAGCTGCTGTAAGGTCTCCTGTAGAGAGAAGGAGGAGGGAGAGAAATACAAGGATGTGTTACTCATTTGTACAGTAAACACCTCTGCACTCTGGTTAGATCTTTCCAGGATTGTGATTTAGACATGAGCTCAGGACAGGTGGATTTTAAACTTTGGAAGCTTTCAAAGGCCCACAGGTACTTTTCTGCACTTACTGCTCCAAAGGGTTTAAAAGAGGGTCCATTTTTGTAACATCTCTAGTCCAGATTACAGTTTTCTTGTTATCTGTTGACCAGTTTATATCCTAATACATCTGTGTCTGTTACCAGCTGATATGTTAAGTCATGCATATGCAAATTTTATATTGAATAGCTGCAGTTAAAAAAAAATTAAGACTCTGTTGGATATTTTTGTTGGTTTAAATTGTTAATGTCATTACAACAGAGTTTTAGGGCCACATACAAAAAAAGGTTTTTAAGTCACTTTCTGACCAGAACAAAGTTGTAATTAAGTCGTTATATCATAGATATCATATTACGCCAACAAGGAATGCCACGTCTCAGGGTTTTTGCCCCTGATACTCATAACAATGTGGTGCTGAGGTAACAAAACATTAGAGACAACGTTAAATGACTTTATTCTCATAATATTCTGATTTTTTCCCCTAAAATCTTCAGTTTTGTTTCTCTGATATAATCCTTTGTAATGTGACAACATTAAGTCAGCTGAATATTCTTGTATTATTGGCATCCTTCAGCAAAAAGAGATTTACAGCTTCTGCAGACAGTCCACTGACACGTACTCGTACTAAACTTAGGACTAAGAATGAGTGGGTTTAGCTCACTTAATGTTTAAACAAGGTCACCCTTGCTAGTTAGCAACAGGTTTACTAGTAGGTCAGAGACTTATAAAGCTTGACTACCCAACACAGATGACACATAGCACTTTGTGGTGTGAAAGGAAACTGGAAATAAACCAGCATGTTCGGCTGTATCTGCTTAAAACTGACATATAACCATTCAGACAGAACACAGTGTACCCAGCATGGCCATGCAGACAGACTGAAGGCTGGGGTTGTCACCTCTGCTGATCTGATAATGCTTTACCTACAGATGCTGTGTTCCTGTGGTCAGTCATTCAGTCATGTGAAAAAGATTGTGCCACTTTCTGAGAGGAAGTTAGTAAGTTGTGAACATCCCTACTTTTCAGAGTGTGCTGCAAAAGAAAGAGACAACAGGGCTCGACAGAAATATGTTGAGTATTTTAAATAGTGCTTTGAGACCAGCTTGTGTACTGGGTTGTAAATGTGGAAGCAGAGCTGTGAGTGTTTGCAGGTCTTCTCAGCTTTGAATTGAACACATTTTGCAGAATTGAATTAAAGTCCGGCCACCAACTGACCCAGACATGTGTGTTTGTGTGCAAGTGTGTTTAGGCCAGCAGCCAACAGGAACACAAAGAGAGTGTGTGTCCGAGTCAGGAAAGAAACTGCACGCTGGGAGGGAATAGTTTCCATACCAGAATATCCTCCCCTGCCTTCCCAAACACACCTGACTGTCCAAACAGACCCAAAAACAGAACAATATCCTTATTTTCTTATTAACTCTGATAAATCCTTTTTGCTCAGAGCGGGAGGAAGGGCAGAGGCGCACTGTCCTAATCAAAACATGTCCTTTGTCTGCCAAAGAAAGCTGTTAGGGGATAAGGAAATATGTAAGGGAAACCAGGTCTCAAAGGAAGAAATTAGAGTGAGAGAAATGATGCAAGGAAGGGGACGAGGGAAGATATATTGGGAGTGTCAGCCAGGATAAAACAGCCATAAACACAGAAGACACCTGCAGCGCACAAAGTCTTACATAAACAGCAGGAAACAACAAGGAAGTATCAAAATAACATGTTGGACTCTGTAAAGCATTTAAATGTCTTATACAGGCTTGTGTCTGCTTAATGCTGCAGTCCAGAGAGTCATCTGCTAACCAGGCGGATAAATGCACTATCAGTTTACACCACAGCTACAACTGGGCTTCAGGGGAGTAAAATACCTGCAGATAGAGTTACACCATCTAATACACCAGGAGGTAATGAGAGACCTGACCAGCCCCTCTCTCTCTCTCTCTCGCTCTCTCACGCACGCACGCACACACACACACAGAGGAGTAAATAGTAAATAAAACATGTGAGCTGGCTGCCAGGTGTCTTTAAGACACAGCAGGACTTCAGGAGAGACACAGTTGGTTTGAAACTTTTGCCAAGTTTTTGTTTCTAATTTTATTCACAGAACAATCTGGAAAGTCTAAAGTCTATAACTGAACACAGCATTACGATTACAATTATGGCCAACAAAAGAAAGCCCTTAAATTCAGATTTGAAGTGATAATCAGCGTTTTTGGGTGTAGATTATATTAGTGTGTTTTACACATAGACAGAATAAAGAGTGGACGTAATCTGAGTGATGCTGCTCATTGTTTGTAATGAAGCGAGGTTGTGGCAGTGGTAGCCACTGACAAAAAAACAAAAACGCCTGTTCCGTTCCATTGCTGCCATATTTGTAGGACACACTAACGTAAAGGTCCATCTTGTTGGCAAATACAAATAGATGTGGAAAATGAGCATTTTCTGAAGATAAAGCACTAACCTTTACATTAATCTCATTTTTACTAAAGGTCCCATATTATGCAGAATTCACTTTAGAATGGTTTTCCTAACAATAATATGCATCCCCTGCCTGTGTACAACCCAAGACCTGGAGCTGAAGCAGGCTTGAAAGAGGTTTTCTTAAGCCTCCTGGTTAACAGCTGGATTGCACCAACTGTCAGTCACCTTTGTCCCTAATTGTGCAAATTGAAGCGTGATTCTGTGATCAAGACAGACGCCTTACACAAAAGTCACCCTCCCTTCAGTTTTCCAACACCATAAGAGCTTTAAAATAGAGCTGCTGCACCCATCGGAGTAAACTAGTCCAGTCACTGGCGTGGAACTGTAACAAGGGTGGCAAAAAGTGGACCAGCTGGGCCGAGACAGAAACACCAAGTTACCAAATCCAGTTCTACCCACACCTCTCCCCAAGTTCTCACCAGCCAATCACAGCCCAGTTTGACTAGTAAGTTAACAAATACGAGCGGATATGTTAATACAGCTGCTGTGCGTTTAAGGAGAATAACATAAGAGTCCAAAAACACATGATGATGAGTTTGGGTTGTTTCTCCATTGAGTCAAACAGATGAAGGCCAAAGGTCAATACTAACTCACTGGTTATTTATTATAGATGAGATAGATTGAGTTACACTCGGCTGCACCTGCACTGTATAAAATAGACAGTATGTTAATTTATGTGCTGTTTATTTTTGTGCAAACATGTTAAAAGTCCACATGTAATCAAAGTGCGCTCTCAGGCTGGTTTGCACCGTGAGTGTGTGAACTACTATTGGTCCAGATCTATACAGATTCTCCTGCAGCAACATCACCAGCAGGATCCAACACTTTAAACTGACAAGGGATCAATACAGCCTGCTACATGACCCATTTACACTCACAAACACACACACACACACACACATACACACACATTCACACAAGGCCTAGATCCATGTCCCACTAACACAGTGGGCTCACATTTCTAATCCCAGATCAATAAAACGGTGGCAGAGAACCAAAGATCGGACTTTGCAGCTGATGCTGCAGAACTTTCTCCCCTCTTTTGCTGCCTTAAAACCAAAACAACAGACTTCTCTTGTTCCTTTTTTGTGAAAATCAGTAAATTTATCTTTTAAGTTAGAACCGCAGAAGTGACCAAGTGGGTTTGGCAGGTAAACATCAGCAAATTTCTCTCATCCATGCAGATATTTGGAAAGAAAAAAACAAATAAACAAGATCAAATGATTTTTTTAAAATTTCAATCAAGTTTTACATCTGTTGGAAGAACTAGTAACTACTGGTGCCAACAACTGCATCAGTAAAGACTTCGTTTAAATCAATCAAGAAATTGAGCAGAAGCCAAAAATAAAATCACAATGACAAAAAGCACAAATGACTCTTCAGAGGTCACAAAAAGAGAGTATTATCAGCGGTTTGAACCTGGAGCTACATCCGTAAAGATGATGACACAGTGATGGAAGAAGGATGCAGATTTGAATGGAAACACCATTTTAATAGCTGGAAATGGTTCTCCATCCTTTTACCTGCAAAAACCCCTGACATTAGTAGTAGAAGCATGAAGTGTGTTTGTGTGCTTCACATTTTGGAGTTTATGAATAAAAATTTAGCAATTTCACATAAAGCTGCACACATCTCTGGATAAGCCGAATGTGTCAACACAAACAATCAAAATTCCATCCTGACTACCCAGAATTCCTCTTTCCAGTCTTTTGAAGTACCCTCATGGAGTGGGGGTGAGAGTGCAGCATGAAACATCTGGAAAATTCAGCAGGAGCAGCAGGCAGGGAGGAAGATGCAAGTATCATGCAACCAGTTCAAAGCCAAAAGAGTAACACAGAACAGGATGAATCCAAACATTCAAGGCTGAGAGACATATCAGCACATCCTCTCTTTGTATGTTGCATGGATATTAATGTCTGTTGTTTTGTAAACATGATTGTGATGTCATGGCCTGCCTCCTCAGACTTGTCTTCCAGCTCATCATCACCCTCATGCGCAGGAAAGACTTCACACTGTGAGGGACATGTGTCAACAAGCAGCTTTGGAAAATTTGTAGAGTGCAGAGAGATTTGACAGTCAATTAGTGTTACACACTAGTAGGAAGCCAAAATAAAAATGTGTATCTTTGTTTTTCTTTAAGCAAGAGGTCTAAAGTTTTATTACATTAAACTGACATCTGTTTAAGATACTCTGCTCTGTAAGATCAGGGATATCTTCAGAGGATAACCAAATGCAGTGTTTGCAGTGGTCGTCTGATACAATGGATAAAGCCGTGGATTTCGTATTAAGAAAGATTATAACTTTACTCTAAAATACAAAAAAGCTGTAGTTCAAGATTGTCTTTTTGTAAGATTTTTCACATAGTTAAAATTTTCAGAGATCGTCTGAATGAAGCGGGGAACAAGAAAAAGTTCACTTCATCTCCATAGCAACCCTTCCTCCCTTTTTTTTCTATTTGCACATGGAGCCTCCCAGTCATTCCCTGCTACTATCAAAAGACCTCAGGATAACACACACACACACAACACCTCAAGTTAAAAAGAGACCCCGTCAGCCCTGCACTCTGATAACCTTACAGTCCTGCCTCACCCAAACACACACTCACACTGGATATCATCCACGTTGTCCAATATCTACCCAGCAAGCAGGGCGAGAGTCTGTACAAAGTAGGCCAGAGGATATGAAGTTCAAAACATCCCATGAAAGCGCAGGGCTTTGTTCCTCAGTTCCCACGGTAACCAAGGAGGGATAAAGACAGAGGGGGAAAAGAGCTGTAGAAAATAGGAAGAGGGAGTCTACTGCTTCGGTTACAAGACGACAATAAACCTCAGACTAAAGGGTCTTAGCATTACAGGCTCTTCGGTTAGAAGGAATGAGCTTAGGAAATGTGTGACGTCCACCCTGAATGTTCTTGTCAGTTTTCCTGTAACAGACACAGTGATGACTGTGTTGTCATTTTTTACACTGACAATAGAGCCGCCTGTGTCTTAAAATTCCTGCTTCCTCTCATGCTTGTGTTGTTTGGATGTAATAAAAGAGTTTAGTTGTACTACAGTCCTGCTAACTCCTTGAAAATTCATTTCATGTCAGTTGACCTCACAGTTTTGCATATTTTGTCACAATTTCTCCCTGTAGCAACATTAAAATCTGAAGCTTCTTTGGTGTAAAACTACACTGAGTGAAGTATCAAGTTTTTCTCTTGTATTATAAATCCATTATATGACCTGTGGTTAAGGTCTAGGGGATGCCCCCAATCAGTATGTTTTGAGCAGTCATGGTCTTGCTGTCACAGGAACGACAGTGTCATTTTTTTCAGGGCCAGTATTCAACAGAAAAGCAGCCAAACTGGAACTCCTGAGAAAAACTAATGCTGTTGCTTTAAGCAGGGATCACTGAACATAAGTGAATCACCAACTGATCTCAGAATTAGGTGTGTCCCGATACAGCATTTTTTTTACTTCCGATACAATACCAAATTGTCGCTTTCAGTAATGGCTGTTGCTGATATTGGTCCGATATTAGCACAAACTTGTGCATGGCAAGTTTAGCACTAAAATACAGCCACACAGCCGACATCACTTCAACTCCTTGCTACTTTGTTAATACTTTAGTTCACACTGTTGTTGTGATTATATGGATTCTGCATGCTGGACCCCAGCACTGCTAGATAGAGGTGCTCGAGTCTGGAATGGACTCCTTGTATCGGAGAGCTGATAGCGGAGATTTTTAGATGGAGGCCGATATAACCCAATATTCGTTTTATTACTGATATCGGACCGATATCTGATATCAATATTGGATCAGGACATCCCTACTCAGAATAATAGCAAAAAACGTATTGAAGTTAAATTCTGGCCCCTTTAAAAAAATAGCTTAAAAGAGACAAGAAATGTAGTAGAGAGAGGAGGAAGAATCAAACTAGGGACCGCGGCAAGGAGGACTATAGCCTCTATATGATGAGGACTGCTTAGACTGTTAGGACATCAATGCCCCAATACCAGTCCATACTGACATTAATACATGCACTTCTGCATATTTCTATCAGTGTAATAATATCTAATGTGCAATAATTACCTTGGTGCTAATGCAGGTGGTCACCATGCCATTACATCTCATGTGGCGTATATATTAAATGCAATACCATTCTTATGAATAACATTTATTATGATGCTGAAACTTGGTGCATGATTGCTACCCCTTCTCTTTCTATTAGTTATATTTTCAGCTGTTTTACCGCTTTGACTCTTCTTCTCTGATTTTGTATTTTACTCTACTCTATTCATTTGAATGATAAATCTCAAATACATGAATATAGAGTAAATTTCAGCAGCAATTCAATTCAAGTACAGTTATTTAATTCCCAAATTAAGACACTGGTAAGAGCTGGGACTACTGAACAATGCAAATTCCATATGCACATGTGCATTACCCACATGTCAGGCATATGACCTTAACCTGCCATGCTGTCAGCACTCTCTCATTTTCCATGATTGATTCAAAACAAAAGTCTGTCTCATATCACTTCAGTGCATTCTCTCACTCACAGAGAGCTGACCAGTGTGCGTGCAGAATCAATGACACTCTCTTGAACCGGGAAAAGGAGTTAAGCTCAACTCCACACACCAAGTTTGGTTTGTTTCTGCACCTGTATTCACCTTTAAGATTGATATTCTTATCAATGTAATCTGGCAGCTCAGCCGGTACAAAGGTAACAGCTGTTTCCAATATTTTAATTACCAAGCAAAAATCATTTGGTTATTGGGAGTCAAAAATAAGAAGGAGGAATGATATGAAAACTGGTGATATTTCATCACTCCAGTTAAGGAGATTCAGGGATCTTCAATTAAATCTATGAATCTATAATATCAAAATGTAGCTATAACTGTGTGTGTGTGTGTGTGTGTGTGTGTGTGTGTGTGTGTGTGTGTGTGTGTGTGTGTGTGTGTGTGTGTGTGTGTGTGTGTGTGTGTGTGTTTTTTTTAATTTTTCTCTGTCAACCATTCAGTCTAGTCTTTGAGCTCTCAGGTTGACCAGTTAGACGTTAAATCCTGCAGCAGTGTGAAAAGAGTAAATAGTTGAGTATTCAGAGCGTGTGAGATCGGGTTACTGTGCTTTGTGCAGCGGAGAGGGAACAGAAGGGAGGTGAATGACACCCCCCCGTGCTCTCTCTCTCTCTGACACTCACACACACACACACACACACATGCACGCACGCACGCACACACACACACAGTTGGTGCTCACTGGGGAGACTTGAGAGTCAGTTGGCCCGTCTGCTGAGACATCGTCTAATGAAGAGAAAGACAACACCTAGCCCTATGTGAACGACTGTGTGTGTGTGTGTGTGTGTGTGTGTGTGTGTGTGTGGTTTCTGCAGCTGATCCTTAGGCCACATTCTGAGGCTCATAACTCACTAAACTATGAGGTGTGTGTGCACGTGTCTGGGCGTGTGTGTGTGTGTGTGTGTGTGTGTGTGTGTGTGTGTGTGTGTGAGAGAGTGTGTGTGTGTGTGTGTGTGTGTGTGTCAAGGCCATGGTGGTTAGAGATTAACCATCATGGACACATTAACCCTGTACTTCCCAGAATGACCCACTTCATTCAGTGTACACACAAACAGTCAGCAGCAGATGTGACCTTTGTTGTGTCTGACCTGCATGAGCTGCACTTACTTAATGTTGTTGATTTATCTGAGAAACACAAATTAGTGACGAGCTTTGTGTCTTTCTTAGGTCACATGATTATATCTACAGATTAGTCTGTGATTGATTTTGAATTCAGCTAAAAACAATCATTGTCTCCTTTATATCATGCACAAGCACAGACACAAGCTCTTTTTGATTTACATGAAATGATTTAGTCACTAACTTTTCAACCAGCTTTCACGTTTTTTTTTTCTTGGCAGTAACGCGCACTGATCATGTTAAGCAGCTATGTGGTTTTAAACTCGACTGATTGACCGCTGTGGGCTACAAACCAATAACGGTGTCAGTATTTCATGTCATATTCAATCATTTTAGTATTAATGCAAAAACAGATTACACTGTTTGACTGTTTGGACATAGATTATCTCAATAAATGTAATTCAAACTTGTTAAAGAACACTGAAATGTAAATATAAATAAAGACTAGTCTGATTATCTTCCTCCAGATTAAAAACATCGACAGTGAATTATTACATATGTCACACCCTCTAATCGCTGTGTGGGGTAGGAGCTCAAAGTTGTGTGTGTGTGTGTGTGTGTGTGTGTGTGTGTGTGTCTGCAGCTCAGCCAAACCAACTGCATCTGATCTCCTTATCTCTGGTTTATGAAAAAAAAAGCGTGCGCATGCACAGAGGATTTGCTCCTCTGAGGGACAGATGTGATTAGCTTTGGCATCGTGATCACATTACATCATTGACAACATTACTGACGCAAACATTTGTCACAGTTTAACACACACTTCAGGTTATTGTTTAGCAGTTTAACACACACTTGGGCCAAATCTGACTCTCTTTGGGGACACTTTAAACTCACTCTGCAGGTGTTACGCCTCCTGAGTTTATACTTGTGGACGAAGTCTAATTTTCCAATCTGACAAACTTCGACATTAAACTTGCTCTGAAGACAGTGGTGATGTCTGAAAGGATGAATGAAGCCCTTAATTCAGAGGCTGTGGACACATTAAACAGACACACAGACAGAGGTGGAGGTGATAGACATAAACAAACCCAAAGGGCTACAGTGGACCATCACTTCACACAGACTGTCTGTTCCAGGGCTCCAGCCTGCTTAGCTCCATCTTCCTAGCTTAACAATAACTTCCCCTTAAATTAATTGTGTTTCCTTATTTCACTCAGATCTATAAGCATCCTCTCCTTTTTCCATTCGGTTGCATGCAGAAATGTTCACAAACGAGTGGACATAAATACGGGTTACACTCGAACACATGCTGCATTAATTTAGCATGTGCTAAAACTCTTGAAAATGACCCGAGTCAGTACATAGATGATGTTTATATAATTTAATTGTGGGAACCTGATCAAGAGACTAAAGAAGGAGAATCATTTCCGAGACAAGAGCAGAGAAAATGTCTATACACAGGTTTTGTAACTTCTACTGCAGTCAGTAAGTAGGGAGAGCTTGAACTGTTTTGGTGTTTCAGCATCACTTTGGAGGAGCTCTCCTGGTGACAATCTTTTGTGCCATCTAACTTGGTGCTATATTTGCACTAAATTATGAATGAGCACCCCCTTTTTTATTAGTTATAAGCAGGTAGTGGTTAATAGTTATTAAAAGCATGATATTATTTTGAACAGGAATACACATTTAACACAACATTTGACACCTTACATGAAGAAAGTCTTGTACAAAGATGTCAGATTATGCTGCAGGAAGTTTCTAGTAAAGACAAGCTACTGTTGAAATCCACTGTGCCGAATCAGCTTTGAATACAGAATGAAAACAACCTTCACTGTAGCACAGAGAGAATAAACTCAGGAAACGTTCCATACAAATATCTTTCTCACTCGACCCCTTCACCTCTGAGCCAAAGTTCATTTAAACGTTCCACTGAGCCTGAACAGAGGAGAATAGGACTGAGTTCACTGACACAGGAACATGCTAAGAGGTCGAGTTTTTATAGATGCTGGAAGTTGCTTATCAGAGATCTGTTTTCCTGTGCAAACAAGAATAACTTTCCATTTGACAAACTTTAAGAAGCAGTTTGTGGGCTGCAGAAGTGCAAATTCCCCTCTGTGAACCAACTCAGACATCCACTGAGGAGCAGAGAGAGACAGGAACACTGAGCATGACAACTACACAAAACTCACTTGATTTTTGGTCCTAAAGCAAGAAAACAAACCAATAAGATTGATCCACACCAATGTAAACCATTATCAATACACACACACACAAACACACATACACACTATCATGTCTGTGTTGTGTGTGCTTGTGTTGCCTTCAGGCCTGTAAATCTATGTGTCACTCTTGCTGAAATGAGCTAGTCAGAAGACACACACATGATGATAATGATTGAAAAACACAAGCATATGCACCCTGCAGGTTGACATGACTCAGCTGACTGTACAAAAATAGAAATCATCTCCAAACAGAAAGACAAACAGAAACTAATAATATCTTACAGTTTTACAAGTACTCTGTGTTTTATACACCACAGCAGGGTGCAGGTGCATTTGTTCATTTAATCTTTATAAAATCAAGAATATGAACCAAAACACCCAGCCTATGTTACAGTAATTTATACTTATTTATGAGGGATGTGACTGTCCCAGACCTTTATCAGGCAAAGCATCAGTTAGAGACAGCAGTGCATCTTAAATCCTGTAATTGCTCAGAATTGGACATATGGACATATTCTATTTAAATGGATGCAGGAGGTCCCTGTGATAAAGCTGGAGGCCTGGTGGAGAAGTTGCATGGTGCACCATGGCCTCAGCACTTTCAGGAGATCAGAAAACAAAAAATCAAAAACACCCACCTCTCCTATGAAAACAAGGTTTTCTTCTATGTTGCAAGACTGCTCTGATTTGGATTTGGGATGCTTTGATTTGAAACAGTATAAACAAGCCTTCTCCCTATGTTGTCCTCTGAGTGTAATCACAAATAAACATTTAAAATATGAGTTGTGGTTTTTATAACCACTGTGACACAGATGCTGATGAAGACACTGAAAGAGGCAGACACACACAGGCAAAGAAAAGCAGACAGGACTGACAGCTGTGAGTGCTTACAGAGAAGTTTCAAGTGTGTGTGTATGTAGAATAAAGCAAATGTTGGATGGTAAAATGTGCATAAAAATGGAAATGCATGCCTTAAATTTTGCTTCATACTGTGAAACCAGAGGGAACACTGAGCCCCATTTGAACACAGCCTAAATCTGGTGCCATTTGTGTGCAGATGATACATTTTTTTCATCAGGGAAAAAGTCCTCTGGGCTTCAGTTCGAGATGAACTGTGTTAATGAACTAATGTTAAATATCTATGTGTGTGTGTGTGTGTGTGTGTGTGTGTGTGTGTGTGTGTGTGTGTGTGTGTGTGTGTGAGTACCTGGTAGTATGTCCTGATTTGTCTCGTTAGAACGGTAAGGTTGTGAAGGCGAAGGGACACGTCATTGTTCACATTCTTGTTCAACCTCTGATTGGTTGGGCTGGGATCGCTATGGAGACACAAGCACACAAACAACAAGAGGTACTGACATTAATCGTGGCTGTGACAAAGATCATTAAGCGTGCGCGCGCGCCCACACACACACACACACACACACACACACACACACACACACACACACACACACACACAAACCCAAGTTTTAGGGGAACTATTGTGCTGCAGAAGGATTTATGCACACATACACACGTCTGTGCCAGACTGATTTGCATGTGAACAGGAGGCTGTGTTAACATGTCTGACTGACTGACCCACTACTACATCATGACATCAGTGTGATGTCAGAGCTCTGGCTGGTGAACAATTGCCTTTTTTTGCTCACTGGAATGAAGCAGAAAACACATTTTACGCTTGCACAGGAGAAGATCAGTAAGGTTGTAAGGTGTGGTTTTTAATAATAACTTGAGAAATTAGTGTGTGTGAGAGTGTGTGTCATCGCTTCTGCCATCTCAGCAAAAACTAGTCATTTTCTGAGTGCAGACCACCGTTCAATCAAAAGCAGCCTGTTAGTGGCCTCTTAAAAACTAAGCCAAGCGGACACACAGCTGAGAGGGCGCGGCATTTAACACAGAGAGCAGCCCAGGACAGCTGAAGTATGAAACACCTGCTCAGAATAAGAAGCTTAAATCAATGAGTGTGAAACTGAATGTGGTGTGAATCTTGAAGACTTAAAACAGGCAACTGGACTGTGTAGAGGTCCAGTTGCCTGTTGTAAGTCTTCAAGATAACCACGACCTGGATGAATGAGAATCTACATGGACAATGTGGTGTGAACACTGTCTGAGACTTCTTTTAGGCTCTTCTCAAGCCCACTCAGACAGACATGGTTCAATCATTACAGACCTCTGAGCTCATTTCCTTGTATTGCTTGGGTTCTTATGGGTGGATATTTTGATATTGTTTTAACATACTCTGTTGTAGGAATGCTTGATTATGTTTTTTTGCTGATATTGGAGATTTTCAACCTTTTTTTAAAAAAAACATCAGATATCCGCTTTTATCCATTGAAAAGGACACCAAGTTCCTCTCCTGTTACTCTTACTATTACTGTGCAATTAATCTTGTGCATCCTTGGTTGTTTTCAGGCTCAATTTGAGGTTGAAAATTCAGCAGTTGACATTTACTGTAAATCTTCAACATTTAATAGACAATAAGACTGGGTCACTCTTGTAGCACTTTCACTAAAGATAGTTAATCAGTCAGGCATCATCCAATATCTGTGCTCATGAAGGGGATAGAAAAATTGTCTCTTTATAAATTAATTTATTATTGCAGAAACTGCAGGCAGTCCCATCAGTGTAGCTGTTATCGAGTACATCAACATCCCCTTCAATAATGAGACGTTAAATGAAAACTGATCAAATCCTACAGGTGTTTCATATGAGTTCTGTTATAATTTATAAAAGAAAATGATCATTTCAAGTTATTTGCGAGTAAATCACAAGAATACTGGTTTCTCTAACCCTTGAAATAAGCCAGAGGGAAGCCTTAGCGTGACTTGATATTTACAGTGTAACTTGGACTTAAAAGAAACTGACATAATAAAGATGGGAATAGATGTTTTGGCTGTCCTGTATAGTCCTGTATACCAGAAAGTCCAAAAAATGACCATTACCATAGGCAAAAACTGCTAAACAAAGTAGGCCTACTTCAAAAGCTTTAGTCACATCATTGTCGGCATACTCGAAAAGAGTTCAGTTTTTTAGCTGCATGTGAAACTCAGTCTCCTATCAGACAGAAAACCAAGACAACATAATCCCACTTCTGAGGTGTATTTTCTGACAGGTCAAGGACAATACTAACTTAACATGATTTACCAACTGTCTCTGAGTATCTCCTTCAGGCTCCCTCCTCCTGCTCCTCTGTAACCCCCTTTCCCATAAACCCCTACTAGGTACTAATAACCCCCCCTGGCAGCCCAGCCTACATTCAGAGAAGAGAACAATAGCCTGATGGTCATTGTTCTTAAGACAATAACTGACATGTGAACATGTGGTTTGGTTAGGAACAGAGGGTCATCTGTGTGGAAAAGGGTCCACATTCCACTTTAGTAGGTGATTGTCATTATTATTACTGTGGACAGCTCATGGGCCCTGTGGTCCACATGATGTCTGGGTACCTAAGATGAAATTTTGTAATTACAAGTATCAGAACATCCAATAAAAGACAATAACTAAACATAAACAAGTTGCTTTATGGTAGTGGTTGTTTACCAAAAATTAAGCATTTCAATTGAAAGCACCAGGGGTCCGTTTCACGTAGCAGGTTTAATGGAAACTCCGGGTTTGTTAACCCTGAAATCAGGGAAACTCTGAGTTTTCCGTTTCACAAAGGAGGGTTAGTTAAACCAGGGAGAGAGGGGTAACTCTAACCTGTTTCACAAAGAGAGGTAACTCAACCTCGCGGTCAGTTACCACAGTAACAGACTCCGTGAACCTAACCTGCAGGTTTAACTCAGTAAACCCAGAGTTTCAGGTGAGACATCGGCATTTTCTCATTTTGATCATGTTTTACATTGTCATGTAAGTATTAAGTGGCAGTTTGATCCCTTAAAAAATGCTCTTTTCACACTCAAAACTGAATTTTACTCTCTTATGTTCCGTTAAATGATTAGGAATATTAAACTAACACAAAAACGGGTGGTGGTCCAGCAGCCCCACATTTAACGGAGGTAGAGGAGCTGCCCCCCACCCCCCCGTTCGACGATCGCGGCCGGTCCGATCGCAACCCCCCCCCCCCCCCAGACACACACACACACACACACACACGCACGCACGCACACACACACACACACACACACACACCAGTCCGACCATCGCTGCTACGGGGTGGGGGTTTCGATCGTCGAGGGGGGGGGCAGCTCCTCTGCCTCCGTTAAAGGTGGGGCTCCTGGGCCACCACCCGTTTTCTGGCATCTGCCCTCTTTCTGTTTGCTGAGTGAAAGTCTAATATTGAGTGTAGTGTGTGTTAGTTTAATATATGTACATAGCCTATACATACTGAGAGTTAGTTTAATATTCCTAATCATTTAACGGAACATCATAAGAGAGAAAAATTCATTTTTGAGTGTGAAAAGAGCATTTTCTAAGGGATCAAACTGCCACTTAATACTTACTTGACAATGTAAAACATGATCAAAATGATTCAAGCAGTTTCCCTGCAACAGTCTGTCTGTAGCTGCGTCCGAATTGCCAAGTAGTAGTCGAAGTAGTAGTCGAAGTAGTAGTCGAAGTAGTATCTAGCATGTCCGAATTGGCCACCGGAGCGAGTAGCATGCTACTTCAGATACTACTTCAGATGCTAGACACGCCCACATTGTAGGTTGGTCTCGGTGCATCCTACGGGCATGCTACTGACCCAAAATGCACCGCGGGCTTCTTCTTCGTCCTCTTAAAAGTTGTAGAAGCGCATGTGATGCTAGCGCCACCAGCTGCTCTGCCTATTTAAAAGTGTCGCGAACGCCGGCTGGCCACAGCAGCGCGCACCATGTCGGAGCAGCAGCAGCAGCAGGCGGGACCGCAGCAGTACAGATGTAAGTTTCATGTAACTTCACACACTGTCCTAAAAAATGTGCGGTTGTATCTCTTTGTCATGTCATGGTGTCATATTTGCCCAAGTAATCATTTTATGAGCAAGTGGCGACATCATGGAGGTAAAGCTCACTTATTCCATCATTAAACTGCACAGCTGCAGTACTACAGCCAGGCCCGCAGATGAGGGGCTTCAGTTACCACTGTCTGCACGGGCGCAGTACCTACTCTCTGCCTGCGGGGGTCGTCTTTCCCCACCGCTCGTCTAGTGTGTCCGAATTGGGCCAACGTTTTTAGTATGTAGGAGTAGGATCTAGCAGTAGCACGTAGCAGTAGCATGTAGTATCCGAGCGGGCAGTTCGGACGCAGCAATTGTGATTGCACGAGACTAGATTTAAAGTTACGCATTGACGCGAGCAGCGATTTCCTCCAAAGCCCTCTCCCTCTCCTTTGCGGCTGCTGCTGTACTGCACTTTCTTTTAAAAACGTGCTGTAATTCGCTGTTGGCTTGCTGCTGCCCCCTCCTTCTCCCTGTTTCCATTGGTTGATCATTGAATCTGCGCTCCACAGATGCTGGCTGTTTATGTCTGGCGTGCACGTGCTTAACTCCAGAGCTGCGTCCGAATTGCCAAGTAGTAGTCGAAGTAGTAGTCGAAGTAGTATCTAGCATGTCCGAATTGGCCACCGGAGCGAGTAGCATGCTACTTCAGATACAGATACTACTTCAGATGCTAGATACGCCCACATTGTAGGTTGGTCTCGGTGCATCCTACGGGCATGCTACTGACCCAAAATGCACCGCGGGCTTCTTCTTCGTCCTCTTAAAAGTTGTAGAAGCGCATGTGATGCTAGCGCCACCAGCTGCTCTGCCTATTTAAAAGTGTCGCGAACGCCGGCTGGCCACAGCAGCGCGCACCATGTCGGAGCAGCAGCAGCAGCAGGCGGGACCGCAGCAGTACAGATGTAAGTTTCATGTAACTTCACACACTGTCCTAAAAAATGTGCGGTTGTATCTCTTTGTCATGTCATGGTGTCATATTTGCCCAAGTAATCATTTTATGAGCAAGTGGCGACATCATGGAGGTAAAGCTCACTTATTCCATCATTAAACTGCACAGCTGCAGTACTACAGCCAGGCCCGCAGATGAGGGGCTTCAGTTACCACTGTCTGCACGGGCGCAGTACCTACTCTCTGCCTGCGGGGGTCGTCTTTCCCCACCGCTCGTCTAGTGTGTCCGAATTGGGCCAACGTTTTTAGTATGTAGGAGTAGGATCTAGCAGTAGCACGTAGCAGTAGCATGTAGTATCCGAGCGGGCAGTTCGGACGCAGCAATTGTGATTGCACGAGACTAGATTTAAAGTTACGCATTGACGCGAGCAGCGATTTCCTCCAAAGCCCTCTCCCTCTCCTTTGCGGCTGCTGCTGTACTGCACTTTCTTTTAAAAACGTGCTGTAATTCGCTGTTGGCTTGCTGCTGCCCCCTCCTTCTCCCTGTTTCCATTGGTTGATCATTGAATCTGCGCTCCACAGATGCTGGCTGTTTATGTCTGGCGTGCACGTGCTTAACTCCAGAGCTGCGTCCGAATTGCCAAGTAGTAGTCGAAGTAGTAGTCGAAGTAGTATCTAGCATGTCCGAATTGGCCACCGGAGCGAGTAGCATGCTACTTCAGATACTACTTCAGATGCTAGATACGCCCACATTGTAGGTTGGTCTCGGTGCATCCTACGGGCATGCTACTGACCCAAAATGCACCGCGGGCTTCTTCTTCGTCCTCTTAAAAGTTGTAGAAGCGCATGTGATGCTAGCGCCACCAGCTGCTCTGCCTATTTAAAAGTGTCGCGAACGCCGGCTGGCCACAGCAGCGCGCACCATGTCGGAGCAGCAGCAGCAGCAGGCGGGACCGCAGCAGTACAGATGTAAGTTTCATGTAACTTCACACACTGTCCTAAAAAATGTGCGGTTGTATCTCTTTGTCATGTCATGGTGTCATATTTGCCCAAGTAATCATTTTATGAGCAAGTGGCGACATCATGGAGGTAAAGCTCACTTATTCCATCATTAAACTGCACAGCTGCAGTACTACAGCCAGGCCCGCAGATGAGGGGCTTCGGTTACCACTGTCTGCACGGGCGCAGTACCTACTCTCTGCCTGCGGGGGTCGTCTTTCCCCACCGCTCGTCTAGTGTGTCCGAATTGGGCCAACGTTTTTAGTATGTAGGAGTAGGATCTAGCAGTAGCACGTAGCAGTAGCATGTAGTATCCGAGCGGGCAGTTCGGACGCAGCAGTGGTCAAACTACTCGGAGTTGTTAAAACCGTCTCAAATCAGGTGTTGTGAAACCGGAAACTCAGAGTTTCCTAACTCAGAGTAGATCAACTCAGAGTTAAGGATTTAACTCAGAGTTTGTTGAACCACCTACGTGAAACGGACCCCAGAGGCCTGTACTACGAAGCTGGATTAACACATCCAGGATAACTCTGCGACAACTCGCTAAACTTCACCGGATCTCCGCGATCCCGATCAGCTGTACTACGAAGCAGGATATCAACTCGATAACTGAATCCAGTTCAAATCTGTGCGCGCACACGTAAAGGGGGTCGGGTCAGTGCCACCGGACCAATCTCCACAATGGAGAAGGCTGCACGTCATTTTTCACAGCTTTATTTAAACAGTGAGACAGACACAGCCGCTAAAAGCCGGAGGGACTGCCGGCAAAAAAAATCACCGGATGTGTAAATTACATTTGTGCGTTCATAAATTTATGGCCCCCTAATATATTGTCATGCAGCGTGTGTGATCACCACCATCACTGACCTCATTATTTAAGATACAACAGCAGTGGGGAAAAGAGTACGTGGGAGCAAATAAAAATAAATCTAAAAACATCCTTTTAAGTAGTTTGTAAGTTTATTGGAAGATTTTATTTGTACATATTTCAACGCGTAAACAGTGATTTCCTCACACTGCCTTTTTTTTTTCTCCATCATCTGATGGTCACGTCATCTGCACACATTTGGGGTTAAGAGTTTTCTAATCTGCTTCAATGAATTCTGAATGATGACTAACAAATTTGAACCTGGAGCTTGGCAAATATTAGTGTATTGCTTAGACTTCATGCTACCTGAATATTGAGGCCGTCCGAGGAAAACCTGTAACGTTCATAGAGAACGTCATCAGGTAAATCAAACGGATTTGAACGATCATGAATATAACGCTCTTGGCGAAGCGCTCCTCTCACTATCCGTCCAACGATGTCCCCGGGATCCGGCAAAAGTGGGCAAGCCATTTTCCAAGAGATCCGATTGGTCAGTGGGCGGTTTTTTATACCTGCTGAGATCTTATCCTGAAACATAACCTGCTCCGGAGCAGGTTTAGCGTTCCGCGTAAGTTACTGCGACAACGGACCCGGATAAAAAGAGATCCACCTTCGTAGTACAGAAAACCCAGAAGTTATCCAGAAGTTATCTCGCTAAGACCAAATCCAGCTTCGTAGTACAGGCCTCAGGACTGTAGCATTAACATACAGCTGGTCAAAAGTGTTCATGTGCTTTGAATCACTGTTCATCACAAGCTCATTTCTACTCCACCATGCCACTTGAGAAGTTCAGTAAAGCTCTACTTAATACATATGGGTATAAACGAAGCTTACTACCTTCACAGTTTCTTTTTATTTCTGCAGGGGAAGCTTATCATCATCATCATCAACAACAACAACAACAACAACAACAACAACAACAACAACATTTATTTAAGTCTAAAAATCACTAAGGTTTCCCTCATTTACAACACTGTAAAAAACTGTAACTTCTCAACAGCCATATACAGAGTCAGCAGAACGATACAGAACAGTGTCGTCTGCATAAAGACGGATATATAATATCTATATATTTTATAAAAATGGCAGAAGCACTGATTGAATATTCGCCACTTATACACACTAAAACCTGCAAGACAGATAATTTTGAAACTATTTATCAGTGATGGGGTTAAAGCCGGCATTCTGAAGGTTCTGAATAAAAATAGTATCATCAACCAAAAACTTTGGACAGGTCCATAAAACAGCAAAACAATACTGCTTATGTAAATGCTGGAAACTAGGGGTGGGTCAATGAAGCGATTTTTGATGCATCGTAATGAGACATGTGAGGATCGATTATGATAAACAAATCTTCAAAAATCAATTATTTATCATGAAAGCAATATTACAGAAACACCAAGAAGTTGACCGGAAGAAAAAAACGCCCAGACAAATATAGCTTGTTTAAAAGAAGTCCTGTATGGGGAAAAAGATTCATTGATCATCGTAACAATCATTATAATCATTTAATAATCGAATCGTAGCACTCTGAGTCGAATTGTAAGGTGATTAAGATGACACACCCCCAGTGAAACATTATCATTTACATATGAATGTTACTGCACCACAGGAACTTGAGGGGCACTGTTTGAACAAGCCACCTGCGTTATAGTGGGATAAATCCTAGGTGAGTATGACTTGTTGAGACAAAATTTAGGTAAATAAGTAGAACAGTAGAACTGTGCAGAAAAGTTGATATTTCTAATTCCCATTTAACGTTTGTCGACGCAGTAACAAGCATAATAGCCTGTTTTCAAAGACTATGTTCAAACATTAGTGGTGCAATTCCAGGCTATCAGGAGAATCTCTATACAAACAAATTTGTTTTGTGGCAATATGTCTCAGGAACATTTCTCTTAAAATAAAAAACAGAATTAAAACCTAAACGTACACAAATTAACATAGAAGTTAAACTGGAAGAAACACTCTGGGAGTTAATTTGTTGACACGAACTTTAAATATGAGCAAACATGGATGTTGTCGTAGTGTAATGAGTAAATAAAATATAGGTGTTTGGACTGCCTCATCAAACTGTGTGTGTTGTGTAAGCACATACTGGTTATAGTTGTTTCTGTATAAGTTTGGTTGAATTTCATTAGGTGACAAATTTTCGATTTCCTCCCCCAGTCACCTCAAAGCTGCTCTTTTTCTACCCTACTTTGCTTGATGCAGACTGTTGCAGCACATCTGGCCGTGACGTGTACAACATGAAACTGGCAAGCCAGGATGTGGTCGCGAGATCACACACAGACACTCAGGAAACGCTGGATTAACTTACTAGACACATTAAAACCCACCAAAAGAACTTTTTTCAGTGACTCACACTCATTAAACTCTGACTCTCTCTGCAGTGTGATACCTACATGTGTGTCATGATCTTGTGCAGGAAGACTCCATCTACCAGCTCCATGAACATGTTGACCCACTCCTCTGAGCCATTGTCACATGAGCCCAGAGGACCTAACATCCGCACCTGTGAACAAGAGGAGAGATAAAAATTATTGATTTGGAACTTAAGATTGGTTTTCTATTTAACTGTATATGGTTCTGATTCAGTACTGCCAAAACTCAGTTAAACTTCCTGCTTATTTACTTATTCAAAATAGTGCAAAGACAACAAAATCATCACCTACAGTACAAAATGTAATTAAAAGATTCAAGTCTCTTTGCAAAGGGTACAAGGCCAAAAACCAAAACTGAATGACAGTGATCTTTGGGCCATCAGAGGGCACTGTATTAAAAACAGACATCTCTGTAGTGGGAATCACTGCATTGGCTCCTAATCACTAAAAAGCAGAAACCACTCTCTACGAACTCAGTTTGTTGCTGTACAAATGCAGGTTAGGCTGGACCGTGCAAAGAGGAAACATAAATAAAAACAACCCAGACATGCTGGTAAAGTCTGTGGCTGCAAAACTGTTAGTTTAAACTTTAACTTCTGCCATTATCAAGGACTATGAATTGGAATTAAAGTTAATTTTGGAGAGGACCTCTCTGACCCAGGAACTTTTAGAGACCAATAAACCTTTTAATGTACATATAATCATGACAATAATGTTTAAAGTTAGACTACAAAAAACAACACTGCTTTTCTAGGGGTATGCTGGTACCAAAATAACAAAAATAGCACATTCAGTATATCTTTAAAACCTTTATTTACTCAGAGGGATATGCAGGGGGTATTGCTCTCTTTTAGAGGAACGCCCTGTTCCCACTCACAGAGCAGTGACTTTAGTAAATATAGTGACACAGCTGGAAGCAGCCCAGTAAAGCCACAGACTGATCTGCTGCCCACTGGAGTAACTCCACTGGAGCATGCTGGGATTTAGGGCCCTGTTTAAGGGAAACTCTACTCTTTCATTTTCTTCACTGAGGCATATCCTTTAATCTGATTCAGAGATCATACCAGCAGCTATTTTCCATTTTTTACAAAAATCCTCAAACTTGAAATAAAGACAAACAGAGGCGGAGAGAAATGAGAAGAATCAACCAGGTGAAAGTTGCCCTGTGTCGCCTTTCTGGTAATTGTGTTTCTGTGTCGAACAAGAGCAGGAAAAAATGTTGTTGACCGCTCAGGTCAAAAGGATGTGAGGTCAGAGAGCAACAGGAAGTAGCACAGTGTTAATAAACTGTTGACTGCCATGCTGCTTGTCACAGTGTGAGCTGGGAGCGTCCCTGCTCAACAGGATGATAAAGAGTTCAATCAAACTCTGAGGACAAAGATCTCCAAAACAAAAGTGTAATTTGAAAAATGATTTCAAATGGACAGTGATGTGTCTTAGCAGTGTTTAAGTAATTATAGCCATCACACCAAAATACACAAGCAAACTCATTCACCTGCTTGATTTGCAAGTACCCGGACACCTGAATATTGTGTCAACTTGCTAAATTCACACTAATGACTAACTCCATCATTTGTACACATTGCGTCTACCAGATCCCCACTCACTCTGGGTGGGAAATCTCCATGCTGATTGCCTAACGTGGCACAAACGATGATTAGCTTGATTTTTATCTCCGATTAGTAGCATGTTGGAACTGTTTTGAATTTGCAACAGTCAGGTATCTATTCAATTTGCACTATAAGTGGGGTGTCATTGGCTTGTGTCATACTGCATCTTTACATTGATTTTAATATTCGCTCAGGTAGTTTCCTTTGTGTTTGGTGTGAAAGCACCATGAGACCAAGTCAGCAGCATTAAAAGGGGTACCGCTATGTCCACAGGGGGGCCAGAATCAACCCAGACTAAAAGTTCCTCACAGAAGCTTTAAGTTGGTGTTTGTAATAAAGATTAACTTATTAATAAATGCCATTTTGAATTAATCGACATCATACTGGCATCTGCGATCACAAGGCTGATGTTGTAAAGATCTTTTCTGAAGGGAAAACACAAATTTTCACTATTCTTGATGACAGAATATCACTTTTAAACAGTCACTAGTTAAGAGTCTAACTAAAATCTCTTATTATGTACAAAATATATCAGTTTAACATCACTTCTAACAGGATATCAGCCCTGCTCTGACACATATATTTCAAGTGACCTTGTATGTCTTTTTTACATCAGTTTAAGATGGCTCGACAGAAATTCATACGTCTGTTGTTGTGAAATTTCACTGAGTCAAGTAGTTCTCAGGTAACATTTATATATTAAAGTGTTATCAAGTTCAGGACTTTTGTTTCTGGCTTGTTTATATTGATAAACTGTCGCATTATTGATCCAGAGATACACAGGATCAATAACCCAACAATCTACTTCCTGTCACTACAACTTCACGTATATGAGTTTTAGATAAAAAGAGAGTCACGTGTGAAAGTGTTTCAGGGGTCACAGCTGTTTTTTTGTACTGGTTGGTCAGCTGGTTGTTCTAACCCTGCAGACAAACAGAGAAAGTAAAACCGACAGGTCAGCGGCTCATCCTCTCACAACTGTGTGCGCGTGCTGCTCCACTCACCCACACCACGAGCGGGGACTCCATGAAAGTGGCCAACAACTCGGACAGAGTCACATCCATGGTTGTTCCGATTACAGATCACCAACTAGTCATCAATCCACCGGTTAATCGATATCCACAGCAAGCTCGTGTTGAGTCTCCACACAGGGCAGAACAAAGCCCCCGCGATGCATCGACCCCCCCGCACGAGCTTTCTCACCACACCACTATTGTCTCGCGTTGCCCCGTTTCCTTACACACTCTATTTAAACTAACAAAAATCCCAGAAATTAGAAAAAACTTCTGGAAATACTTTCACAAACTCCAACATGCATGCGGGAGTTAGTTCCGTCCATTAAGCGGGGAGTATTCCGTTTATTTTCCGGCTGGAGGTAAAAACACTTGATCCAAAGTTCGCAGGACAGTTGTTCGCGTTGCCAAGGATACAAGACTCGGAGCGTAAAGCGGAGAAGCCGCCGTAAATTCAAACCTGTAATTCATCAAACGAGGAAAAAGATAAAAAGAAGCAAAGTTGAGTGAAGCAGAAAGCGTGAAAATAGCCGTTTCCGTTGTTTCTATATCCTCAGCACGCCTCTGCACCTCTCCGCTCCCCTTCTCTCCACCAACTAGTGGTGTGTCGGTCTTGAACGAACGGATCAAAAGAACTAGTTCTTTTTGATGAACGAAATGAACTAGTTCTCCCCCCCTAAATGACCCGTTCAATCCGTTCAGTTCTTTTGATTGGATGAAGAGGGACTGCTTGCCTGTCTTATCCTATCGTCGCGCCTCGTTCTGTGTGTGGGTGGGGCTTAGAGAAGCAGCAGCAGTACTACTGAGCTGACTGAAAGACCGGAATGACCGATCTGACGGTAGGACGGAGAGATGGCAGAGGGAAGTGACGGAGTAGGAAGTGAGATGGAGGAGGGAGTTTGGAATATTGCAGGTGAACAGCGTCTGAACAGGAAAAAACGGAAGAAAGTAGCAAAGGAGGCAGCAAGGAGAGGCGATTATGACTCATCGGTTTCGACTAGTGAAGGGGAGCAAAGTGCAAGGCCAAAGCAAATTGAGGAATACAAAGTAATCATTAGAATGACACAGGAAGGACAATCGTTTGGTGAGTGGAGCCCAGTTAAACTGACAAAAGCCATCCATAAAGTTCTTGGGGAAGTAAAAAGGGTGAAAGTTCTGCGAAGTGGGGCATTGCTGGTCCTGTGTAGGGATGGGGCACAGCAAGGGAAAGCAATAAGAATGAGTAGAATGGAGGGAAAGTCTGTAGTGTGCTCGATGCCAGAAGTGAGGAGAGTGGCTGTGGGGGTTATATCAAATATTCCCACGGCTATAACATGTGATGAGATCAGAGATAATATAGAGGGGGCAAAAGTGCTGGAAGTACAGAGACTAAAAACAAACAGAAACGGAGAGAAGACGGACAGTCTCTCTGTCAAAATCAGGTTTGAGGAACCAAAGCTGCCAGATAAAGTATACATCGGATACATGTGCTATGACGTTAGGCCATTTATCCCCCCACCGCTTAGGTGCTTCAAGTGTCAGAAATACGGACATGTTGCAGCGGTCTGCAGGGGTAAACAGAAATGTGGGAGATGTGCGGGGGATCATGAATACGGTAAATGCCAAGAAGGGGCTAAGATAAAATGCTGCAACTGCTGGGGGGAGCACACCTCGGCGTATCACAACGGCGAGGTTGTGAAGCAGGCAAGAAGGCGGCAGAAATTCAAAAAGTAAAAACATCGATGGGAATATCCTATGCAGGTAAACACACAGATGGAAAATGTCAACAGTGTGGGGTAACGGAATCAGTGCAGCATGTGCTGATGGAATGTGTAAGATACGAAGAAGAGAGGAAGACCTTGAAAGCAGAAATGGAGAAAGAAAAAGAATCATTTAAATTAGAAAACTTGTTAAAAGTGGACAATAGGGCAAGGCTGGGGCGACTCATGGATTTTGTGCGGGATACGGGGTTAATACAAAGGATTTAGGAGTCTCCGTCACTAAAAGGTTTTAGTCTGTAACTGCCTAATCTCCTGTTCTACCGTAGATTCAGTAGGTGGCGGTAATGCTCCAGACACTAAGGAGTAAACTGCCATAAAACCAAACAGAAGAAGAAGAAGAAGACCGGAATGACCGAGTTGACTGAAAGAACGGGTCAAATGAACGAAAGACCTAGTTGACTGAAAGAACGGGTCAAATGAACGAAAGACCTAGTTGACTGAAAGAACGGGTCAAATGAACGAAAGACCTAGTTGACTGAAAGAACGGGTCAAATGAACGAAAGACCAAGTTGAACGAAAGACCCAGACGGATGAACGAGTTGAACGAAAGACCGAGTGAACGAAAGATCCAGACGGATGAACGAGTTGAACGAAAGACAGAGTGAATGAAAGACCCAGACCGATGAACGAGTTGAACGAAAGACCGAGTGAACGAAAGATCCAGACGGATGAACAAGTTGAACGAAAGACCAAGTGAACGAAAGATCCAGACAGATGAACGAGTTGACTGAAAGACCGAGTTGACTGGCCGCCGCACGAGGCCCGACAGCCGAGCCGGAGCGAGCGGGACAGTCACACACACGCAAAGGCACACAGCTGCTGCTGCAGCAGCCAGAGGCAGAGAGACAACTATTAATACGCATTTGCACTGTCTGTTGACATTTTGTACTTTTTATTATTGTTTTTAATGCACCTCAAAATAATAAAAAACCATTAAAAACCTTATATATTTTGTTACTCCTACTATAAGGAGGACGACGAGCGGACTGACTAATGACCGATTGACCGAAATGACCGAAAAGAACGAAATGAACGGGTCTTTTTACTGAACGACCCGGAATGATCCGGTTCACTGAAATGACCGGTTTTGCCCACCACTAATTGGTTCACTAGTCTGTTGAGCGTCAAGCTTGCGCAAAGTACGCATGCGTGCATCCTGGAGGGAGAGGAAGACAGCTGCAGCGCAAAGAATATAAGAAAAATATTAGAAGAATAGATGATGACCTCCATGTAACGTGTGATCAAAAAATAACAATAACAGAGGTACAAAAATGCATCGACTCCCTCAAGGACAACAAAGCCCCAGGTAATGACGGGATAACAGGGGAATTTTATAAATACTTTAAACAAGCAATCGCTCCATTTTTAACTGAGCTATTTGAAGAGGCTTTAGACAAGGAAGAACTCCCCCACACTTTAAGACAGGGACTGATAAAACTAATTCCAAAACCAAAAAAAGATGAATTAAACATTGAAAACTGGAGACCAATTAGTTTATTGAATAATGATGCAAAGCTGTTTGCTCTCATCTTTGCTAAAAGATTGAAAATAGGATTAGATGATATTATAGATGAGGAGCAATCTGGGTTTATGCCAGGGAGAAATATTGTAAATAATATTCGTCTGATTCTGGATATTATAATGAATTTATACCTGATGAAAGTTTTATTCTGTTTGTGGACTTCTATAAAGCATTTGATACAGTCAGTCACCAGTTTATGTTTAAAGTTATTCGATGTTTTGGTTTTGGAAATAGGTTTTTGAGGGCAGTTCAAACACTTTATAAAGGAATTAACAGTTCAATTAAGATAACAAATGGCACAACACCCAGATTTAGTATTGGTCGTGGAATCAGACAAGGTTGTCCCCTAAGCCCCTTTTTGTTTTTGCTGGTTACACAGGTTATGGCAACACATATTAAAAAAAGCAACTTTCAGGGTATGACAGCCGTAGGTAGAGATTTCAAACTAGCTCAGTTAGCGGATGATACAGCTATTTTTTTGTCCAACCAAAATGAACTTGTCAAAGCTGTGCAGTGTATCAGAGAGTTTTCGGTGATTTCTGGGCTGACAATGAACCTTAATAAATCTATGCTTTTTCCCCTCAAACACTGTGATCTGGCAGAATTAAATGGTATTCCCATTAAACAAACTGTGACATATTTGGGTGTTGTACTTGACAAAAATGAGAAGAGGCGCTCTGAGTTAAACTTTGAACCAATAACTCAACAGATACAAAGAAAATTCAATATGTGGTTAGTGAGGGATCTATCTTTACACGGACGGATTCTGTTATCCAAAGCTGAAGGAATATCAAGATCTGTATATCTATCACTAGCACTAGAAATGCCTGCTGTAGTCTCCAAGAAATTAGATCAAATCTTATTCAGGTTTATCTGGAAGAACAGACGCCATTATTTAAAAAAAGATATTCTATGTAATACCAAGAGGGATGGTGGTTTGGATGTGCTAACCTTCGAAATATTGAATCACTCTTTCAAGATCAACTGGCTGAGTAAGTTATGTAGAGAGAAGAACAACCTCTGGAATTCCTTTGCTACACATGTATTCAACTCACTTGGTGGTATACGCTTTATGTTGAAATGTAATTACAAAATTGAGAAGCTTCCTGTTAAACTCTCTAACTTTCACAAACAAGCCTTGCTGTCCTGGAAACTGATCTACAAACATAATTTCTCACCAACCAGCTATTATATTTGGAACAATGAAGACATCGTTTACAAAAACCGATCACTGTTTTACAAGGACTGGATGGAGCACATTTTACTAGTCGACCAACTTCTTAACAACCATGGCTTTTTACTTTCTTATGAAGAATTTATGTTAAAATTTCAACTCCCAGTCACCCCAAAACAATATGCAGTGGTTTTTGATGCATTACCTCAGGGGGTGCTACAACTTCTTAAAGGGTCTGAAAGAACGGCTGCTACTCCAGGAAATTACACCTGTGATATATTTGTGGGCGGAATAGACATTACAAGAAGACCCTGCTCGAATAGACTGTTGAGAAGCTGCCTACAACCAAAGACACTGCCTAGAGGTCAAACTAACTGGTCTGTACAATGATTTCTGTGGAATTGAAGATGAAACCATCTCTCATTTATTCTATCATTGTACCTACAGTAAAACCTTTTGGATTGATGTCCAACAATTTGTGCACAAGAAAACAGGAAGAACGATCAGTTTCCAGGAAAAACATATTTTTATTTATTATGATGACCAGGACAAAGATCTGTGCTTTTTTTGTCAGTTCATCTTGAGCTTGGGGAAATTCCATATTCACAAAAACAAATGGGCCAAATCTAAGCCAAACATTGCACCCTTCAAAAATGAACTGCTCCGTTATGCTGCCACGATCAAGGATATTAAGAACAAGAAAGCTACCAAAACATACTCTATAATGAAGAAATTCTGTACCATTGAACTGTAAGTCCTCTGGCTGTTGTATGGTTGTGTTTTGTTTTCTGTTTTTGTCGTTATTGTTGTGATGTGTCTCTCGTTGGTTGTACTGTCTGTCTTGTTCAATAAAAAAAAAAAAAAGCTGCAGCGCAAAGATGGCGGACCCAAAGATGAAAAAACGCGATGAAAAAACGCAATAAATTTCCGCATTACCTCCGATTGGCGGACCCAAAACAATTACTTCCGGTGGATAGGCTTTCTCGTTGGCGGACTTCCGGTGCCGAAATGCTTCAGGTAGTCGGATTTAGTCGCCGGATCCTTTTTTTTTCGCTCCGTTCATTCCATAAGAATCGAATTAAATTTATTATTAAGCTAAAAATCAAAATAAAACGTTTATGTATTAATTATGACTACTGTTTTGTTCTGATTTAATTCTGAAATTTACAGTAATATGTATACATAGACTAATGTCCTCATATTCTGATAATTTGTCAGAATAGGTAAATGTATGTAGAAGTTATCATCTTACTCAAATTCTTTTGTAAGAGTTTGCTACAAGTATGGACTGTTTTAACCTCTCGTTACAAATCATATAAGAGTGTTTTCTAACTTCTCTCTCCAATAGCTTTATTACACAGCACATCAATGTTTCTTAACTTCTCTGTGACCTTGTTTCTCCACTCCTATTAGGACCTCGTTTAATGTCAACAATGTTGCCCTGACCCTCACATATTTTCTGTTGTTCATAATTATGTTTTATGAGAGTGCTTATGTTGCTGCACATATTTTTCCCCCCATCCTTTAGTAACATTGTGTAACCAGGGACATGATTTATGAAATGGTGTGCTTCCTGGTGAACCTCTTCAGGATTGCTTGACTGTGCAAAATCCAAGTATACAATAGTTGTAGAGACACAAGTCACATGATCTCTTTAAGGTTCAGAAGAGCCATATAGCAAAAACAATTGAATAGCGATATCATTACAGACTGTGTAAAGAAATGGGAAATTGTCATACAACTGCTTTGAAGATTTCTTTAATGTTTTCCAAACAAAATTGTGAACAGTAAAAAAAATATATATATATACAAAATTCAGAGCACTGCCGTCGGTGTGGTGGGGGGCTTAAAATACGTTGCCACAGGCCATCATCAGCTCTGCTCTTAACCGGGTGATGCCATGCTCCTGAAGTGCTTTGATCAAAAGCTGAAATACAGTCAAATAATGTGAACAATTGAAGTTATGCAGTATGGGTTAATTGTTGTTCTTGAGCTTTCCAAATGAATAAGAACAACCTCTTAACAATATCATCAATTTTCAAAGCAAGCTATATAGTTTGATCTACTCACCTCTGGGAGCATGACATCAAAAACGAAATCAAGCAGATGAATCTCGCCTCTCTTTATTTTTTTAGAAATGGTTGTTGCCTCCTCAATGAACCGCAGGAGCTCGAACATCTATTGAAGAAAAACACACAAAGTAAACACCTTTCAAATGTAACACCTCTGAGAGTAAAAATACTCATGATGGATGGCATTTTTACTTACGCGCTGCTCACTCCAACTTAATGTCCTTATCTTAAGGTGCTGCTTTAGTCGGAGTGAGGTGGCGGGATTCCTCCAAAGGAACATTCTATTGGAGCGGATCTTTCCAGACAGTAGATCATCATGTAATGTCTGAAACCAAAGAGCAAGAGACAAAAATGTAATCATCTGAAAAAGAAACGGTGGCTTTAACAACTGATAGTGCATTCAAAAGCAACCTTGATCTGTGTCTTAGAAAAGACAGCATGAATTCCTCCACTGTCAACAGCATCCTTGATCCTGCAGAGAAATAAGAAAAAGAGCAAGCCCTCATTTTTTCATCCTTTGAGCCTCGTATTTTTGACTGATACTATGTTTCCTTGATAAATTATGTTATACCGAGGATGCTCAATGGAGTCCTCGCACCTGCAGTCAAACGGCTCAATTTCAATCCCAGCACAATCCTGATGCAGCCAGCCCCTGCACGTCTTGCACTGGACCCATTTCATGAAGTTTACCTCAGGGTAAAGCAATCTGATCAAATGAGAGACAAACATAATATTAAACAAACACGCTGTCCAATTGATTATACCTCTGCAGCACATTTGAATGTATAAATAATTTTCCCTCATGATTCGTGCATTTAAACTATATGTAAAAGTGGTCACTTCATGGAAAATCACTGAATAGGCCCCGATAATTGCATTTATTAAATTGAGTCTGCAACACACCTCTCTCCTGTGTTGTTCGATGTCTGGTAGACACAGAATTGCATTGAATCTGCCATGCACATTCTTTGGACATCCGATGCCATCTGCGTCATGGTTTCCTTGACAAGGCAATTTGAAAAGTAACATCAATTACCAAATACATCGAGACAATGTGTCCATGTAGATTCTCATTCATCCAGGTCATGGTTATCTTGAAGACTTAAAACAGGCAACTGGACAGTGTAGAGTTGAGAAGACGTTTCGCCTCTTATCCAAGAAGCTTCTTCAGTTCTAAAAGTGCTAGTGTCAGGAGCAGATATTTATCTTACTGGAGAAAGGGGGACAGGGGGACACACACCCAGAGATGGGTTTCTATGACCCATTCTTTTCAACTCCACCCAGTCGTTAACTGTCCCCCTTCTCCAGTAAGGTAAATATCTGCTCCTGACACTAGCACTTTTAGAACTGAAGAAGCTTCTTGGATAAGAGGCGAAACGTCTTCTCAACTCTACACAGTCCAGTTGCCTGTTTTAAGTCTTCAAGACATCGAGACAATGTTGATCCATACAACTGTGTGCATTTTGAAGGACTCCCACTGAGATAATACTGTTTTTAGAAGGCAATTTTCTAACCTCTGTGTCCTGCTGCTCTGCCTTCCTCTTTAGACTGAAGACCGGAGTATGTTTTCCAGCAATGAGCTCTTGACATTCTTTGGTCCAGTGGGCGAAGATTTTCCCACAACTGTAATGACAATATATCTTTAAGTACAATATATTGATTGTCTTCCAGTTAATTAGGGCATCTAGTTTACTTAAACTGTCTACCTGTTCAAAGAATTGTTCTCCAGGAGCAACAGGCACCACCATCGCCGCAAAACAGGCATGTCATGCTGAAATTGTTGTTTGTATTTCATTTTAGTGCACAATACAAAATACAATCTTGAGGATGACACTGCGTGTTGAAAAGTACTTACAACTGAGTAGTCAAACTGTGACTCCATAACGATGTACATGGCAAACTTAAAAAAAAATTATGAGACAACATGTGAGATAACTTTAAAAAAGTCCATGTTGGAAAGTTATTCTAGATACAATATTTGTGCATTACAGCTCGTTATGACCTACCATCAACATGAATATGCCACAGTCTGAGCCGAAGTCCTGGCTGGGGAAGCCCTGATTTAACAAAAGCAAACGTTAATCATCTTGTCACATACACTTTGTAGGAGCCAGATTGGGGTTTTGCAGTTTATTGTTATGTATTTTTTGTGCCAGCAGATGGTGCTATTGTGCCTGTCTATTTAATGGGTGGGTTGATTAGGACAGGTGCGCACATAAAATGATGAATGAGTAAATAAATCAAAACAACAGAAAATGTGTGTGACATGTGACATTATTCCACCTGCGGGCACGCATCAACTCAAGCGAAAAGGTGTTCGCCACAAGTAACAGCATTGGAAAGCTGTTATACACTTTTCAACTGTAATATAGAGCATGCACAAATACCTCCAAATCTCTACCCGTTTTCTCAGTCCATTGCCCAGGACATATCTTCTGCGCAATGTTCCTGTTAATTTGAGAGCGTCACTTAGATTTCCCATGATGGAAACAATGGAATGCAGGGTTAGGGTTAGTTTGAGTGGGTCGGAGGTGAGATTGAGGCTGTGTCTCATTTCAGAGACCGCATCGACCTAAGTGCCCTTCTGCACCGTCGAACGGTGCATTTGAAGTGTGCATGACGTCACGACGGTGCGAACGGTGTCCCGTTTGGCACGAGATGCTAAAAAATGCTAAGCGCGCTTAGCATGTTTTCAAAAGTGCATTTATCCACGCTTTCGTGCCGTCGGTATCCCAGAATCCTTTGCGTGCCGCTGCACAGCTGCGCATTTCAGGTGAGAGGCTGGACTCGCTTGGAGACGCAGCGCGTCTTCAAAGAAATTACAAGCAATCCAAAAACAGCAGACAGTCAGCTCAGGCTGTATGAGAGCATGATCTCTGAATTCACTGAAATCTGTTAACCAAACATTAAAGATTTAGAGACGAACTGATCCGCTCTGCTTCAACAATCAAAAACATTAGAAATAAGAAAGCTGACAAAACTACAGCAGAGTATCAGGACAACATTGAGGTTTTTTTCTTTTAAGATTTAGAGATTAAAGTTGTAAATTTAGGAGAATAAAGTCATAAAGTAAATAAAGTCATAAAGCTGCTTTTGTGGAGGGGGAAATGACTGAAGCTGGTCATCTGCAGGGTTATCTGTGGATGTATCAGCGGGTCATTCAGAGAGATTTTGTGGTTTCTGAAGAAACAATCAAACTGATGATGATCAACATTTGTGATCCAGAGGGAGTCGAGCTCCGACGAGCACCACGTCTCTGACACCGGCCGTAGCCTACACCTGCAGAGACACCAACACCTTATTATGGCATATGGATTCATATCATAAATTAAAGCTCAATGTCATTCACGGATATTTACGGCTGCATTGACAGATATATCCTCAGCATATTCATTTCTGCCTCCACAAAAGCAGCGATTTCCTTCAAGTACACCAGTTTTTTTCCCCGTGGAAAAGACGTATTTCTCATATATTCTTTTTTTAAAGTCTTTATACTTATGACAATGTTCTGTGCGACATTCTGTTGTTGAAATTAAGTGAATATAAAAGTGTAAAATAAGTGATTGCGGATGGATTAAGAGTTTAGAGGAATAAACTGCTTTTAGATGGTGAGAAAATTTTGGTTTGTTTGAAATTATGTAATTAATAACGCCCCGTGGGAGTGGTCACAGGGTTCAAAAGAGGGTCACCTGAAGCTATCGGTCGCCAGCAAACTGAGAGGAAGCAACACCTTCGTCCAGAGCACAGGTAAGGACTCAGTTGGTGATCGTGACATGAAGCCTCTTGAATCATTATTTCCATGCATTTGCTTTACTCTGGTCTGAAACTTCATTTGCTCAACTGTGCCATCGTGGACAATAAATGTAAAATAGGCAGAGTGATTATCAGAGACACCCCCTTTGGTGTGCGAATCTCTGAATTGAATAAATGAATGAATGAATGTGACGCCATGTGTTTGAGATATCGATACAGAAATTATTAAGTTATTGATATTTTGTCTGTCTTTACGACACAGTAGCAGGGTGAAAAGGGGAACAGGACATAAATAGTAATGGAGACAGTTGTGATGTGAATGTGCTTGTGTGTAACTTGGTTTGTGACTGTGCGTTTGTTACGGGGACAGCATCGAACACGTTAATATTTCATTCATTTTCATTAAAAAACAACTTTTCGACAAGTCTTCGGACTTTTAGCGGTACTCCGTCGCGTTTCGCTGCCCGTTAGATTTTAAATCACCCGCCAAAACCGCGAGCCGGTTCCTGAATCAGTCACGTGGTACGACCGGTGTTCTGCCGTAGATTGCACCCCTGCCGTAAAATGCACCCCCTGACGGAAGCGCGGTTGAAAGTACAGAACAATGCGAAATAATCCAAGTTTTCCCTACCATTGGATGAATTAAAAAGTGTATGCCTTTAATGATTTTGTTCAGGTTGTCCAGATAAGCCGAAAACAACAGCCCTCTGATTGGGAATATTTGCTGTCCCGGAAATATAATGTTCTCTACCTTAACAGCTTACTGTACAGTTTATATACCCAAGTACACCTCTCTATGTGCATTTTTTAGACACATAAAAACAGAGGGAAAGTTTGCTGCTCCATTTGACATGTTGTCATGATCTAATACTCGTGTTTTGTTTTAAATATAAGATCATTTTCTCCCACTTTAAGAAGCTAATGAGTGGAGGGGATGCATTCCACGGCATAACACCGGCTCGCGAGGCTTCAAACGTTATCACATACGTCATCAACTCAAGCTTCGATATGCGCTTCGCCGAAATTTACTCGAAAAATTCGACTCATATGGTTGTTTTTTTTTTTGTTTTGTTTGTTTTTTTCCTTAAATTGAGCCAAAAGGATGCAAAGCTTTAAAAGCTTAATGATTGATTTTTATATTGATGAATCTACAGGCATATACAATCTCTACTGAGCTAGTGTTTGAACAAAATGGTCTTAGGCACGCTTTCATATTTAAAATGCTTTTATTTTCATGGGATTATCATACAAGCCTGACGTGTTAAAGCACTAACAAAGTTAAACACAAGACTTTTTCCTGTAAATTTCCACTCTGGCATCAAGTTGTAGCTTGCAGAGGGTGTGTGTATGTACACTAAATGTCCAGCAGATGGGGTTATTCAGGCCACTGGGCCTTAAAATCCTCTGACAGCTACCCTAAACATGAATCCATGACACCTACAAAAACATTTAAGTGTTTTACTTTAATGAATAAGTTTGTTTTAAGGTTTACATGATGGTGCCATGAATATAATGTTCAGAAGACTGCATTTGGCCTTATTCTTATTTTTCTGACTGTATTAAAAGACGATAAGATCTCAAAGCCCAGTGTGAAAAAGCAAAACTGCTTATTCAGATCTGTCTTAGTGTACCCTGAGTCTGCAGTAGAAAGTGCTGTTGTTGGTGTGTACTAACTGTGCTTCTGTGTTTGTTTGTTTTTTTTCCAGCATGTTCCTCAGACCCCAGCTGACTTCATGTCCTCTCAGATGACTCCACTCCACTGAGGCCAAAGGTGAGACTGAGGCAGGGATGCAACTTTATAAGCCTAGAAAGAAAAGAAAGATGAGGCTTGAAAATGGTCTGATTTGGAGCATGGCTGCCAACCATCATGCAAACATGAGCTGTTTAAAATGACTGGTAACACTTTACAATAACCATAACTTATAAATGGTAAATTGACCATTTATGAATGGTAAGCAGATAGTTTATTAATATTTAAATCATTTATAAATAGCATATAAGCCATAAATAAATTGATGGTTGTGTATTTCTCTGTGTGTTAACCAGGAGCTGAAATTACGCCAGGTTTGATGGTTGTGTATTTCTCTGTGTGTTAACCAGGAGCTGAAATTACGCCAGATCAGGTCAAACTGAGGCAGAACTCATGACCGGCCTACACCTGGACCCTGTAAGGTAAGACATTGACTACTTCACTCCACGGACAGACCATCAACGAGGGACACTGAAGGTCAGTTTGCTTTTGGTTTGACAACAACCGCACCAACAAAAACAAGAACCCCCACCATGAACGATGAAGCAGTGCAGTTGTTCTCTGCACGAGTAGCAGGTTTTGGTCTAGTTTTGGTGATGCAACTGTGGAGAAAAATTGTTCTCTTCCAGAGAAGCAGATTTTTGTCTAGTTTTGCTCTGTTTTGGTGATGCAATTGTGGAGACAAACTTTTCTCTTCCAAAACCACAAAAACAAGCAATATAGACCCCCAAAACAAGTCTACTATCAGATTTAATTAAACAAAATAGCAACTCTGTCCTCAAAAACGTGTAAATCAACAAATTTACCAAAACAAAAATGAGAGTTCACTCAAATTTAAATTTAACTTCCTGAGGGAAAACTTTAAAATAGTCGGGATGCGTCACAAGGATTAGGTCTGATTTCGGCAATGCGTTTTTGGAAAGCAGCGTTTCTCTGCCCAAGTGGATACTCCTCCTCGTCGCCCCAAACTACCTCAAATTTCCCCGACGTGTTTTTGGTCAAAGAAGAAAATGAAGATATAAGAAGACCTCCGAAAGGTGTGAAGATCTTCAACGAGGGATGGCTGCCCAGTGCACGGACCCATTTGAAGGACATCAACCAGGTTGATTTTTCTCATACTGCTTGTTTTTTTTTCCCTAATTTGTCTTAAAACTGTTGTTTTCACTCTTAAAATGAGTGATTATGAAAATGAAAACTCGGTAATGTTAATTACAGTGGCTGTTACAAAGATAAGGATTCAAGGCTGTTGTAAGGATAATTAGACTGAAAACAAACCCTGCTAAACTCAAGTGCACAGTATTTTGCTGTGCTTTATTTTGACACTCTTAAAATGAATGACAACAAAAATGAAAACCCAGTAATGTTAATGATGGAAACAGGAGCCGCAGTGGCTGTTACAAAGATAATTAGACTGAAAACAAACCCTGCTAAACTCAAGTGCACAGTATTTTGCTGTGCTTTATTTTGACCTTTTAGACCAGTTTAGCATTTCTATTGATTGTAAGTTGTGCAAAGTGCTGTGAGCTAAGTCAGCAAGTACAACCTGAAGATATAAGAAGAGTAATGATGCCGCCATCAGGATCAGCGGGGTGACACCAGAAAGACTTGGAAGAAGCATGGTGAAGATGTCTGCGCTACACCTGGACCAGTACCCAGGTAGAAGAAAACCTCTGAACGGGGTCTGTTTTTTTCTTCTTTTTACATTTGACTTAAATATGGTGATCACACTCCAAAAAAACCCTAATGATAAAATGTTTGTTTTACTCTGGAGTGACATGAAAATGAAAAAGCAGTAATGTTAACTTTGATGCAGTGGCAGTAACAGCTGTCAAAACTGTAAGGATAACTATGCTGAAAATGAACCCAGCTAAACTTGTCAAGTGCACAGTATTCGACTGTGCTTTATTGATTTGTCCAGCTAAACTTCAATTCTTGAATAGTATTAGGATCATGCTAATGTTAAACTGCAAAAACCTCAAAAGTTAAGACAAGAAGATCCAGAGGAACTACAAGAAGGACAACAAGAACTTCAAGAACAGCATGACAACGTTGACATGGCTTTTGCTGTAAGGTTGGTTCTTTCTGAGGGTAGGTGAACATCTCCTTGTTTGTGGATATGATCATCTTGATATAAAACTCAAAAAAAAAAAAAAAGGTTTGAGGGGTGTTTTCCAAAACTTGATCTCAAATCCAGAAACAAGGTTCAAAGGTTGCTTTTCATGACTTGATCCAAACCCAGAAATAGGTTCTTAACGTGCTTTCAAAGACTTGATTTCAAGCTCTACAAAGATTTGTAAAAGTTGCTTCCAAAGACTTGATCTTAAAACCAAAAAACAAGGTTTAAAAGGTGCTTTTCAAAAACTGGTTCTTGAACAAGCAAAGACGGTATGTTAAAGGTCTGGTCTCAAAAGGTATGTCAAAAGCACCTTTTTAATTTGACAAAAGCACCTAATCTAACAAGAGCACATTCAAGCCTAAAAATAAATTGCCTCTACTCAATCAAAAGCTTTTTCTCAGCAGCACTATCACCAAGAACAAGAAGACCATTCACAGGAACTGAAGGAGTAGAAGAAGACCTGATGTGGACCCTGTGTGTCAACGCCCAAACCTCTGAACAGGACTGGGTCTGTTTTTTTCCTTTTACATTTGACTTAAATATGATGATCACACTCCAAAAAAAAAACCCTAATGATAAAATGTTTGTTTTACTCTGGAGTGACATGAAAACGAAAAAGCAGTAATGTTAACTTTGATGCAGTGGCAGTAACAGCTGTCAAAACTGTAAGGATAACTATGCTGAAAATGAACCCAGCTAAAACTTGTCAAGTGCACAGTATTCGACTGTGCTTTATTGATTTGTCCAGTAAAACCCCTATTCTTTCATAGTATCAGGATCATGCTAATGTTAAAACTGCAAAAACCTCAAGAAATAAGACCAGAAGATCCAGAGGAACTACAAGAAGGATGACAAGAACTTCAAGAACAGAGTGACAACATTGACATGGCTTCTGTTGTAAGGTTGGTTATCTTTCTGAGGGTAGGTGAACACCTTGTTTTTAGATGTCATCATCTTGATTTCAAACTCAGAGGTTTGAGGGGTGTTTTCCAAAACTTAATCTCAAATCCAGAAACATGGTTCAAAAGGTGCTTTCATGACTTGATCCAAACCCAGAAACATGGTTCAAAAGGTGCTTTCAAAGACTTGTTCTCAGACAAAAGGGTTTAAAAAAAGGTGCTTTCAAAAGACTTGTTCTTAAACTTAGAAACATGGTGCTTTCCAAGGTATGATTTCAAAACAAAAAAAAATATTCTAAAAAAGGTGCTTTTCAAAACCTTGATCTCAAACCAAAAAAGGCTTGAAAGGTGCTTTCAAAATCTTGATCTCAAGCCAAAAAAGGCTTGAAAGGTGCTTTCAAAATCTTGATCTCAAGCCAAAAAAGGCTTGAAAGGTGCTTTCAAAATCTTGATCTCAAACCAAATACAAGGTCCAAAAGGTGCTTTCAAAATCTTTATCTCAAACCAAATACAAGGTCCAAAAAGTGCTTTAAAAAACTTGATCTCAAACCAAAAACAAGGTTCCAAAAAGGTGCTTTAAAAGACGTGATCTCAAACAAAAAAAGGTTCAAAAGGTGCTTTCAAAGACTTGATCTCAAACCCAGAAACATGGATCAGAAGGTGCTTTTCAAGGTATGATTTCAAACAAAAAAAAAGGTTCTTAAAAAAGGTGCTTTTCAAAAACTTGATCTCAAACCAGAAAAAGGTTTGAAAGGTGCTTTAAAAATCTTGATCTCAAACCAAAAACCAAAATAGGTTCAAAAGGTGCTTTCAAAAACTTGATCTCAAACCAAATTCAAGGTTTTTTAAGGTGCTTTAAAAGACTTGATCTCAAACCCAGAAACAAGGTTCTGTAGTGATTTGGAATGAGCCTCACACGGTCGCAACAAAATATATGTAGCGGTTGAAATGAGCCTCACAAGGCCGTACCAAAATAGTACTGTAGCAATTGGAATTTATAATAAATGTCTGAAGATTAATAATCTCAAATTATGACATTTATGCACTCGTTGAAAGGGGCACCACCCACCCTTAATGGTGGGAAAATAAAGAAAACAAAAGTTTAATTCAGAAATCAAACATCAAGTCAGTTCTAATTAATCAGTCTTAATTAATCAGTCTCATATCTTAAGTCGAAATTCTAATTTCAGGGACTCCACTTCTGGAAGAACACTAACAGACAGGAACTTAGAAAAATAATGATCTGTTTATTACAGGATAAATGATGGTACAACACACATGCAATAAATGATGATAAGATAATGAAGATAGATAATAATAGGTGAATAAATAAAGATTCTGAGTCAGGCTAGGAGCACTAAAGTTAATGATAGTGAGTGAATATGCGCTAACATATTAACCTACACTAACTTTGGTGTCGAGATAAACTCGGGTGTAGATTTGGAGGAATCTAAGATCACCAGAAATAGGTGGATATCTGAGTTATGAACGCGTGAGACAGCATCAGCCCTGTCTGGAGCTCTGGAGGTTTGCATACTTAAGTGAGACTGGTCCTTGGAGAAGATGGAGCAGGTTCCGAAGGTCCGGGGCTACTGGCGGTTCGAGCGGTTCAGCTCAGAAGACGACTGAAGTCAGCCGAAGGATGAGCCAGGAGTTGCAGCACTCGGGCCCGAAGCAAAGCCAGCGCCTGTGGATCCTGTGGATGCTCGTTTGGGTACTTCTTTGGTCTCACTCAAAAACTCTAGCACAGAGGATGACCTGGGCCTGCTGGGTTGCGTTCAGAGGTGACTTTGAAATCACGCAGAAAACTCAGAAAAACGAGGCTCGAAGAGCAGAGAAAACTTTCAAAAATGGCTTCGCGAAATTAAAGAAAAATCAATCAAAGGCTTAATCTTGAATTGCTATGCGCACAAAAAGTTGAAGTTTCAAAACTTGAACTAAGACGATGTTAAAGAAAAATCAACGTGAATCAACACGTGGCGTAAAACTTAGAAGACTAAGAAAAAGTTCTAAGAGAAAACAAAGAAACGCACCACAGAAGGGTGTGGACAGAAGAAAAGGGGCATAAGAGCCGGGGACAAGAGAGTCAGCAGAAGAGCAGAAGCATAAGAGAGTGAGCAACCCCACTTCACTGGTTTTATCTTCTCACACTGGGAGTGTCTCCGGGGTGTGTGTGTGGAGAAAGGAGGGGTCGTGGAATCTCTGATTATTTGATCTAACTTATTCTTTTGGCTGGTAAAAGAGTCAGATCTGATACTCACTCACTATGATTAATATCACTGAATGCTTGGTTTCGTGATAAATAATTTGACACTAAACACATATGAATGAAGTGTAGGATCACATCAAACATTCTCATTATGTTTTAAGTATCACATTGAACATGCTAAATTACTCTGAAATGAAACAGATAGTAACACCTGGAAACTGTGAACAACAAAAGAGTAAACACATGTGAATGAACTTCATCATGATTAATAATGGATTCTAAATACTCACATTAAGGTTATTCAATGACATTATAACCACCTAATGGTTAAAAATACTAAACAAACAACTACAATATAAACCAAACATTTCTAAACTGTTTCTGTTACCTAGAGTTAAGTTATGATTCATAGTCGATAAATTTAACTCTTAAAAGTTCATGGAACAGTCTGAAAAGCTGTTGGTCTAAAGAAACTAAAGAGCGATAACTCGGCTTCTGGAGCACATAGAAAAACGGGAAACATCTCATTTTAACACAAATTTCATGATTAGACAGATTAGTACATTGCTGAATGCATAAGATGTCATGATCAGTCATTTGTATTCTTTCACCAAAGGAATGTAGTCTTTATCAGTGTATGGTCGAGCAGGGTTTTACGACCGAGGTCTGGAGGTCAGTGTCCCCCCTTATCCTGGGGTCCGTATGTTCACACACTTTAAGAAGGTAAATCTCAAATGGGAGATCTGGGTTGAGACGTTAATGTTTATTTAGATGGTCAGTAATGGAGTCAGTTTGAAAGGTAATAAAAACTCTGTCTCTGTTCTCCGAATCGACCAATCATGAAGAGTCAGAGGTTTAGTCAACCTCCGGTTGGGTCACTTAGGCAACCTGAAAGTGTAAACAAGTCTGGAAAGATTTATATCCTGTTTCCTGGGACCAGATAAGGAACTTTCCTGTGAGGAATGTGTGAGATTCACACCCAGGGTTGTCTTGATTGCTACAGTTCTAAAGGTGCTTTCAAAGACTTGTTCTCAAAAAAAAAGCTTCAAAAAAGGTGCTTTCAAAGACTTGTACTCAAACAAAAAAGGGCTCAAAAGTTGCTTTTCAAGGATTGTTCGCAAACAAACAAAAAGGTTTGAAAGGTGCTTTCAAAGATGTAATTTTAAACAAAATTTTTTAAGGTGTTTTCAAAGCCTTAGTCTCGAACCAAAAAAGCTTCAAAAGGTGCTTTCAAATACTTTACCTCAAACCCCAAAAAAGTTTTAAAAGGTGCTTCCAAGGACTTGATCTTAAACCCAAAATACAAGGTTTAAAAGGTGCTTAAAAAAACTGTTTCTTAAAACAAGCAAAGACGGTATGTTAAAAGTCTGCTCTCAAAAGGTCTGTCAAAGCAACTTCAGCAAAATCACTATCAACTAAAACGAAGTTTCAAAACCACCAACATCGCAACAACCGTCAAAGTGCTTCTAAAGGATCCAACGGAAACAACAACAAGACAGCAACGTTTGCACATTGTTTCTATCAGATGTAACTGTCAACACTAAACAGAATGAGGACAATAAACAAACTGTGTAGATCCTCCAACTGTTTTTGTTAAAACTGTAGTTTTTCTTATTTTTATTTATTCTTTGTATTTTTGTGAACCTTTTGAATCTCTGAAATGGAATCATTGAACTGTACTTGTAATGATCTGCATGTGTTGTACTTTTTTTTTTTTTTTTTTTTTTTTTTAAACTTATTTATTTTCTGTATGTTTGGCCATGTTTCTTTGGGTGCATATGTATGTCTGCTTTCCTCCGAACATAAGCAGGTCTGACGAGGTGACCACTCTTTTCCTGGAGGAACTGTTGCTGCAGAAACTCAAAGTGCCGCCTTCCTGTTCCGTCTGGGAAATCCAAGGGTGGTCATCTTGTTGAAGGTAAGATGAACTTTTCATTGTGGTAACGTCATGTTTTCACCAAAGTAACCACAAGAAAGCATGTAAGAAACCAGGTCCTGCATTCTGATAACTTCATCCATATTCAGTTTCAAACAGATTTTCTAATGCTGCACCTCACCTTCACTGTTTTTAAGTCGAGTATTTTCTGCATTTCTGCATTGTAGGATCTAGATCACCTCTAAGAGACGAAGTCAGGCATCCTTGTGCTGCAGGTAAGATGTGATGGGGAACACCACTTAACACACTGTCCTATTGTCACCCAAATGTCTGAATGCTTCAACTCCAGAAACAACTTTTCTCTGGTTATTAAATCGTTTTCACAAAGGCGCAATGCGACGTGGGTGTGCCTCAGCTGTTCTACCAAAGTTAAGGCCCACCTAAGCTCGATCTATGCCTGTTTTTATGTTGATAACATGTAAGGCTGGGTCAGTGTTTCCAATGTCGTGACTATAACCTCTCTTCGAAAACCAGTAGGTGATGCAACAGCTGTGTATTTTGTGAGTACTTTGTTGTTTGCAGGTGACTCAAGGATGTGGATGCAGGAGAATATTAGCTCTTAAGTGACGCTGCAGCCTTTTCTGATGTTTAACTGTACAGATTTGTGTGTTTCTGTCTGTAACAATCATACTCATTTTCTGTGCCTGTAAAGACATAGTTTTATATGTTATTTTTCAGAAACAAGTCCTGATGTCCTCTAGAAAAGAGCCCAGCTGGAGAAGTGTGTCCGACGTCCCAGTCGAACGATAAAAACATTTCAGCCATAAGGTGGGTTATTTTATCAAAAAGGTAGGTGAATGTCTCTGTTGAAACACAACAGCTGAAACAATCATAATACTCTGATGCAAAGATGCAACACCATCAGGTTCAACGATCAAAAACACAACAATCAAACCAAAAACAAGGTTTAAAAAGTGTTTTCAGCCACACAACCACAAACCAACAAGGTTCATAACGATGCGTTCAAAGACAATATGGAAACAGACAACAAGGTTCATGAGGTGCTTTCAGGGACATGATGGTAACACAAACAAGGTTTAAATGGTGCTTTCAATGACACAACAAAAAGGTTTAAATGGTGCTTTCAATGACAAAAGGACAAATCAACAAGGTGTAAATGGTGCTCACAGGGACACAATGGTAATACAAGGTTTAAATGGTGCTTTCAATGACAAACGGGAAAACCACTAACAAGGTACAAAAGGTGGTTTTAACGCAAAAGTTTAACGACAACAGTCAATAAATCAAGAAATGCTAAAAACACTAAATAAAAACCAAACAAAAAAAGAAAATTCACAACCAACCGGAGAATGGTTCAGCATCACTCAAGCTTAAAAGGGTTTTATGACTTTAAAAAGGTTATTTCTGTTTTCACGAAACTTGGTTGGCATGAAAATGTCAAAAAAATGTCAGTTGCAAGTTTTACCAAATACTTGCTGAGCCCACCACTAAAACAACAAAATCCAAAAAGCAAAACAACAACTCTTAAGGAAACAACAAATCGGCAAAGTTCACTCAGTTCTCCAAAAGGAAACCAACTCAACAAGGACAACCTCAACATCAACTACAACTTCAGGCCTCACCAACGTCTCCTCTTCAGCTTCAACTAAAATGAGGGGGACAATGAACTGTAACCATAAAATGTTTTTTTGTTTCTTTTTTGACCCTCCAGTCTGTAAAAATCTGAGATGTTTGTTTTCTTTGTGGTTTTTTTTTCTTCTTTTTGTTTTGTTTCTTTTTGACCCTCCAGTCTCTGTGAAAATCTGAGATCTGTACTTGTCATGGTTTTTTGTGTCCTGTTATTCTGTACGAGGTATTTATGCCTCCCTTTGGCTGCACATGTATGTCTCTGCTTTTCCCCTAAACATGACGGAGGTGTCGAGCCGTGGCGTTGGATGTGCTGACCACCACCACGTCCTGGGAGGATCTGATGCTGCCCCACCTCGATGAGCTGCTCCTCCATCCAGACTGGGAAGTTTTTAAGAGTCACCGTCAAGCTGAAGGTTTCTGAAGTTCTCTTTTAAAGATTTTGAGAAACTTTTCAAAGTTCTCGTAGTTGTTTTCACCGAGGTCCAAACACTCCAGCTTTTCTGGGGGGTTGTAGACACCCAAGAGAAACTTGATTTTGGCACCATCCCCGAGAAACCGGTACATAAAACAGAGATAATGATTCACTTATAGGTTAAAAACTGTGCCAGTCTAAAGAATAAATTTGTCCTTTTGTTTTAGGACTACACCGAGACGTCAATGACCTCCTCTTGCTCCAGGACCCGGCTGAAGAATGAAGACAAAGACTTGGTCCCCTGATTAGAGGTAAGTCAATCTTTGTGAGTGGTCTTGCTTGTTTCAGTCAAAGTTTTATGGTGATAAATTGATGTTAACAGTCCACTAACTGGATCTGATCCCTGTCTGCCTTCTGTAGTCACCACCCTGCAGGCGGACTTCCTGTCTCACTGTGAGCCCGTAGACCTTCAACCTCGTCCAGAAAACCCTTACTCAGGACATGGTGAGTGTGCCTTTCTCTTTCAGGCTCTACTTTGAGGAGCACACATGAGCAGCTCTCTTAAATCCTTCTAACAGATGAGTCCGTTAAGATGATGATAGTTGGATGTTTTTACTCGATGGGCACAGATAAACCTCCACAACCTATGAAGAGTGCAAGCTTTGCCATGTCACTGTCACTTTATAGATCTCCTCCACCTTTATATCGCTGACATTATCAGTATTATTGACATTATAGGATTATCACTGAGACCTTTTCTGACTGATAGAAAACTAAATGAAAACGAGGCAGAATATTCACTCATGACAGTTTTCTTCATTTACAGGAGGATACTCGAGTCTCGACTGAGGACCCAGTGATGAAGATGGATGACCTGTCTGTGACACAAGGGTCATAGAGGATAGTTCTGTACTGATGAATCTATTATAAATTATTCATCTGTTTGACCAGATGATGTGTTGTTAAACTTGCTAACATTTGAGTTTCTTTGGTGCAAACCTGTAAGATCTACAGCTAGTAGAGTCTTCTTACAATTGTAACCAGGTGGTTTTTGTGTTGTACTGAATTTGATTTTTCATTATATTTGTAAAACTAAATGTTTAATCTGAGCTTCATTTATGGCTTAAACTTTGTTAAATGGAGGCTGAAACTGTGACAGCATGTAGAGAGCTTTTTGTCCACTGGGGTTTTTTTTCTTTCAATATTTTTCCCCAGCTGGTTTTTCATCTCTACCTCCACCAAACTCACTCTGTACACAAAGCTTGTCTTAAATGTCATCTTTTTGGATGCACATATTCTATTTTGCTCATATTGCTTTGTCTTTATTTTGTTCATTTTTCTGTCATGCTTTAGTCCTCTCTCTGCTCCATGTTTTTTTGCCTTTGTATTACACATATAACTAACTTTTCACATATTTTGTCTGAGTCAATAACTCTCTGACAGTGAAATACCGTGATTGTGTTTGGTAAAACTTGTCAACTTGACTCTGTTTTTAAATAAAGTTTTGTTTAAATGGAATCAAAAACTTTTCTCTGGAGGTCAGTTTTTTATTTTGATAACATGCACAGTAGGTTAGAAAGTTTTAAAATCAGACATGAACACTTTTAAAATCAGTTCTCTGGCAAAATTGAGACGAGCCTTAATGTTCTTTTGTTCAGCAGTGGTTTCCGTCTTGTGACTCTGTCATGCAGGCTGCTTTTGCCCAGAGTCTCTTATGGTGGAGTCATGAACACTGACTTTAACTGAGGAAAGTGAGGTCTGCAGGTCTTTGGATGTTTTTGTTGTTGTTTTGTTACCTCTTGGATGAGTAGTTGTTGTGCTTTAGAAATGGCTTTATAACCTTTTCCAGACAAATAGATTTTAATTTCTTTCTCTCATTTGTTCCTGAATTTCTTTAGATCTCAGCATGATGTCTAGCTTTTGAGGATCTTTTGGTCTACTTCACTTTGTCAGGCAGGTCCTATTTAATGGATTTCTTGACTGAGAACAGGTGTGGCAGTAATCAGGCCTGGGTGTGGCTACATTGAACTCAGGTGTGATAAACCAGTTATATTGTAACAGGGAAGGAAATCCCTATTAGTTCAGATTTTTTTTTCTCCTTTAATGGTAAAAACCTTTTTTAAAAACTGGATTTTGTGTTCACTTAGATTTGTTTGAAGATCTGAAACATTTAGGTGTGACAAACGTAGGAAAAAAAAGAAAAGAAATCAGGAAGGGGACAAACACTTTTTCATACCACTGAATAGTTATATATATTAAGTTACGCTAACTTAATGAGAAGCACTCTGGTTTTCTTTCTGCATATTTTTTACTTTAGAGATTTATTCAAACTTGGGTCCTGTTTGTACGTACCCGGTTATTTTTAAAAACAAAGACATTAACCATCATTTGCACCATTCAGTCTATGGATAAAAGTTATCGGCATAGCCGCAATACTACGAGATGAGCGACAAAAAAAGTATTTGGTAGCTCTGCAAGAGCCCAGCTTAACACCCGTTTGGAGATCGTACTATAATCGGACCATAACATGAAAACGGCTTCAAATTGTGGACCGCACAACATCCGGCTGAAGCATTGCGCTTTGTCCATACTCGACCTCACGACCGTCGGACTACACCAAAAGTTCCAGTCGTTCCAGAGTTCGAGAGTTATACTTTCAGCTGAACAGAGGTGGGTGCTGAAGGAGATATTATAGAAAATGTTTATTTTTGCAAGCTTTGGTCCTCACACCGTCTTATATACAGTCTATGCTTTTATCACGGACTACTTCGCTCTTGGCGGAATAAGAATCTACCCGAAGTGGTTGCACGGTGGGTCACGTGAGCGTGCTCCACCAATAAGGTGGCTGGATTATTGTCACGGTGGCAGCCGGTGTTACCGAGACGGATAAAACACATGAAATCTAAGAATTAAATTGAATTTCAGCGACCAACTTTGTTGTTGAGTACTCAGCAGGACCCAGGCTTCAAGATCCGAAGCTGTTTTTTTTTTGTTTTTTTTTTGCCGTATATGCGTTTTGACCGGATATGGCGAAAACACTGGTCACGCTCAGGAGTATGATTGTAGTCCCATAGATTGAGATCAGTTCTGCAACGTTCAGTTATCATTTTAAATAATCAACTCTTGAATTGTGGATTAATATTGATTGTCTAGATTCGGTCTATATGTAGACGTTGAAAAAAAGACCGAATCCCGACGTTAAAATGAAGTATAAATTTATACGCGTAAATGACGTCTACATCTATACTATGCTGCATATCCCTCCACGGTATAAGTAACGTAATCCAGTATTTAGAGGTCAGTTATGCACATTACAGTTGTTTATTTCATAAAAAGTTATCGAAAAATGAAGTTGAGGGCGAAGTATAAATCACGTCTAGAAATAGACCGAATCCCGGCGTTGAAATGAAGTATAAACTTAGACTAGACGTCTAATATACGTCTTTTGCTCAGTGGGAGTAAAGCTCACATACATTGTCAACTGGAAACTCCCCCGTTTGTAAATGCTGAACCATGTGCTCTCTACCAATAATAATTTGTATTAATCAGAGGTCTGTGCTTAATATGAGTGAGCACTTTGATGATGCATTCAGAAATGAGAAGATGCTCAAACTTGATGTAATAAATACATCTTTAATAGACACTTAAATAAATAAAGTCAATTCATACAAATAGTTAAAAACATTACCTATAATCCTAATTTAAAATACAAATAAATCTGGTAAAAAGATCAAAATATGATAAAATGATAAAAAATTGTGTAATGTGTACTGACTAAATATTCCACACTCAGAAATCGAAGCCGATTGAGTATACATCCGGGCATTTCTCGCATACACAAAATTCGCATACTGTACAGTGTGAACGCACTGCCTACTCAATTCAGAGGCGGGGTTAGTAGGAGTAGTAGGAGTAGTATGCCATTTCGGACACAGCCTTGTCTGTAACAGAAGTGTTTCTTGTCAAATGGGACCTGCTGCGTGTCGTAGCGCCGCTACACTGTTTACCTCGGGTCCTGGAGTATGTCACTTTATCCTAGTTGTAGAAGTCCTGCAAACATTGTGTTTGCTGGTAGTCTGTTGGCATCTACAGTAGCAGCGTTTACATTCAAGATGTACCAAAAACTGGCACTTCCTCACATCCTGCCTACCCCACCTTTAAGGTTGGTGGTATCACAACATAGCCTCTCTGCCCTGAATATCTGCCTGGATAGAGAAAGGCACAAGATAAAAGTTTCATCCAGAGGTGAGGGGCAAATAAAAAAGGACTGACAAAGACTTAATGTCAATGTACAGGGTGTTTATTCATTTATGCACACATGATTCGTAGGTAGGCACCATATGTTTTATGTTGATAAAAGCGTTCTCCCCTCCGTAGCGCTCAAACATCTGGAGAGTCTCCTCGATGAGGTCCCCAATGTTCTCCCTCTTTTGCTGGCTGTAATCGAAGCCATCGCCCAGGTTGACTAGAGATGAAGAAACAGACAGAGAGAAAGAGAGAGAGAGGCAGACAACATGAGGAGGAGAAAACTGCAAAGATTGTACTCCAACTCCAGCTTCCATCTGCCTTCAAACCCTCTGGACAGACTGAATTTGATTTACTCTTACGCTGCAGCCAGTCAGGACTGAGCAGCAGAGGAGTTCTTAACTGTTCAGCTGAAAGTTTAATGAGGCTGCCCGTAGAGAGACAGGAGCAGCTGAAACTACTTCCGAGTTAGCGCCGCTTCTGCTGTTGCACAATGTTGTGTTGATGCACACGAGGTATGAGCAGTGACCCGGAGTCAGGGTAAGAATGGTGATTGCGTGAGTGGGTGTTTGCAGGGTGGATGTACACTTGAGGCAAAATCTAAAAACACCTTACCCCTCATGCTCCTGAAGGTATTAAAGATGGGGAGGATCTGCCGGTAATATCTCGTCAGAGCCTCTCCCACCTTGTCTCCTGAGCGCACCAGGTGCTGCAGGACCTTCAGGGTGGTGCACATCACCTGGCGGTTGCGTGTATTCAGGGCATCTGAGGTGCAAGACGAGGGAAGGTTAATATCTTGATGTTTTGTGTTGAGTTATCTAACTTGGGTTTGGGTGTAAGTTTGTGCTTTATTTCAGGCTCCAGCTGATAAAACTATAAACTGCTGTCAATCTTTGAAAAAGTAAGCTATAGATATGTCTGAATCATTAAACAGTAATCAATACATAATGATGCTGTCATCAAAATATCAAATAATGAAATACTGATATGCAAATATATTGGGCTGTGCCTCCTCTAATTGAGAAGATTACTTGGTTGTCAATCACTTACACAAAAAAATGATCTTTTATTTAAAGATTTGCAAAACTAATGCTAATTAATAAGATTTCCGTGGCATTTCATTCAATGACACGTTGCTGTGTTTCGACCCCTGAAAATTGCAGGAATAAAACTTTTATCTACAGACATATTTTCAGTGATCTAACGTCATCTTTGCACACTCTGTCTATTTTACTTCAGAGCGTGGCAGCTTTGAGCTTAAATTAATAAAATCTTGAGGAAAAATTGTTATAAACATCATTAACACTGTATGTCTTCAGAGGTAGCCACAGCTGATTAATGTCAAAGGGTTTCAGTGAAGGTAAAATACATCGACACATACTCTGTCTCAAGGGAAAAGAAGCAGTGTGTCCTTTGTGATCTGTAGCCCCCTCTGTCTTCGAAGCAGGTTGATAACCTCTAGGGTCTGCCGAGGGTGTTTGTCGGAGACATAGGGCATGCGCGCGGGCTGTGACCCTCACCCTCCCTCACACACTCACTCCTGATTGGACTGATGAGCTGGGGAATCACTGGCAGGATCTTGGAGCCACCGTGATCTAGCAGGTCATGGCATCCCTGGCGAGCCAACAACTCATATGGGTGTGCAGTTTCTGACAAGCCGTCAAAAAAGAGAGGCAGGAAGTGCTGGTAGTCCGATGTTCCGATGTCTACCTGTGGACAGAAATTTGTGTGGCATTGTTTTCTTTGCATACTTCTGTTAAGTGTGTTGTCATAAGGGTTATACAATGGAAGGGGCAGTACCTTCCCAAATCCCAACTCCTGAACCTAGCATTCTCTGATGGCAGATTTGGCACACCTTGTCATGTTATTAATAGCATGTAAAACCATACGCATAAGCCAAGTTTTACTGTACCTACCCTCCATTTAATGCGGTTTTCCCTGGTGCCGTGATCGACCATGATCTGAAAATCTCCACGCTCATAAAACATACGGAAAGTGGTCGGTTCGGAAGGGCGCTCCCGAAAAGCCCCTGCTACTGGCGGCCCCTCCACCTGGTCAAACACAAAGGGAGAGATAGAGAATGAAGGGTAAGCAGAAAAAACAGAGGAATAAAGTGAATCAGACATATGCAGCAAGTATGTCCTAGAAGTCCAATTTAGTCTACAAAAGTTAGTTGGATGTTATTTTGAAATGTACAATTGCTCATTTGTGTCTGAAACCCTGCCAAGCTTGTCTGACCAAAAAGCACATACACTCAGACACACACAAACAGAAAAGTAAACAAAGAGTAGACAAATAGTAGATTCTGTGAAAAACAACTAGGAAATCTATAACGGTCGGGCCCTAATACAAACTATCCAAAGACATTCGCTACTAACACTAACATGAACCAAACGTGAGCAAGTTTAACCTAACATCCACATCGTTAAACAGCTTTACTCACCACAGATTTCTTCATGTTGGCCATCAAACAAACGTAAAAACGTCCCAAAACCGTGAATGTTTGTGTGTCGCTCAAAGTAACATCCGTTTAGCCTTTTTTACCTGACGCGGTTGCTATGCAACGTCAGAGACGCTCTGGTCCGGTTGCTGCGGAGAATGCACGTAGAATGCACCCCTGCCGTGGATGCCCCCCCTTCATCCCATCCACTCATGAGCTTCTTCAAGTGGAAGAAAATGATCTCATATCTAAAAAAAACTTTCGTTCTGTTTTTATGTGTCTCAAAAATGGATATACAGAGGTTTACTTGGGTATATAAACTGTACAGTAAGCTATCAAGGTGGAGAACATTATATTTTCGAGATAGCAAATCAAATGGTTTTTCTGAATAGTCTGAATGAAATCATTAGAGGCACACGCTTTTTGAATCCATCCAACGATCAGTAAAACTCCTACAGTATTGAAATGTTATTTTCTCTCAGTAACAATATATATATTATATATATATATATATGTGTGTGTGTGTGTGTGTGTGTGTGTGTGTGTGAAAGGTGATCCCTGTTTTCTCCGTTTCTGGGCACCGTTTATTGGAGCATCCATAGGCTGCACAAAAGTGGCATTTTCAGTCATTTGACATATTCCTGTAAACACAAAGTCAGAAAATTGCTAGGTCAACTTTGTAGTAGGTGGTCTCACTCACAGCACATCCACAAAGCACATCCACAAAGACTGTCACTTAGACCAAAAAAAATGCTGTCATAAAAAAACTTAAATCTTGATTGTGGTCTCAGCCTTGATAACTCGTGAAAAGCGACTCAAAGTTAGCCATCGCACGCGCAAATAGCAGTGAAACAACTGTGCTGCACGATTGTCTTTTTTTCTCAAAGAAAATCTGCCATTTCAATATGTCCAAGCATCCTGACTCATAGCCAGATTATTAAGGGCTGTAATAAACAAAACTGTTTGTAAATCTGTCAAGATTTCAGTGAGTTAAGAGTATTTTTGATCATGCAAATTACTCAACTTCCATCAGCTACCATACAATGTACCAGAATGGTACACTGAAGTAAGATGTCTGCCATGTATGGACACTGGTGACTCCGCCTCGATTCATCTAGACTTTCTTATACATGTCTATGGGTCTGGGTACATGTGTGAACACAAAAGTCCAACCCTAACCTTTTAGTAAAAAGTCAGAGCTAGGTTATACTCTTATCTGACCCCTCCCTCCCCAAAAGTAGAATTCTGGACTTCACACCAAATACTTCATTATGTGCTTTTCACCTCATAGAGCACAGACACATTTCTGAACTTTTGAAAGAGAGAATTTTACCTGATTATTCACTTTTTTTTTTGAGGTTCTCACATCAAATGTCGACATGTTTCTTCCACATCATTCAGAACCAAAGCAAATTGTAGGAGTCTCGGCTCCACCCCTTAAAAAATGAATAAAAGTCTATTCTCTGAACTTTGGCTATATTTAAATCAAGTGAAAGTTTCTAATTTGCATCACAACACCGTCTCAGCGCTTGCCCCCTCCCCGGCTCTCTTCTGTCTTCCTCCTGTCTCCCTCCATCACCTCCACACCTTCGCTCCCCTCGCTACCACACATCAGTAACAATCTCATTTACCGCCCCATTAATTGCTGGAATCCTAGACACTGGTGAGAGAGGTATGCATGTGTGTGTTTTTCTGTGTGTGAGTGTGAGTATGTGTGGGTGAAGTTTGGGTATTATTTGGTCTGTTGTTGAGACTTCGTGGTGCTGTCATACTTGGCCAGGTCTACCTTTTGAAGAAATATCTGTGACTAGCTAAACAAAGGAAGGAAAGAAGTAAGGAAGGAAAGAAGGATTGGAGAAGGGAAGGATGGATGAATGGATGTCAAATAAGCTGTATCATTTTTGGGCAATCTGTTTTTCATTGAAATCTGTAATGTGCGTGCAAGCTCCCAAAAGGTTGCAGAATTACCTAATTTGCCGGGCCCAAGGTTTTCTTATCTTATTTCCTTTTGTGCATCATAGAGATAGGTCAGTGTTCAAAAACTCCTCTCAGAAGCTTTATCAATTACAATTAAACAACCATATCATATTGTCATATCATAACAACACTTCCCACCAAGGCAACAGCTGAAGTTCTGTGTGATGCTCTCCATAATACTGTTGCTAGGATACAGACTTTACACATTTTTTTTTAAATCTGTCTTACCAGAGAAAGCAAAGCCCTGGATCTGCTGTTTGCCAACGTCAAAGATGCTCACAGAACTACTGCCTTACCACCTCTGGGCAGGTCGGATCATAACTTGGTTTATCTGCAGTTTATCAGGGATTCCAGACAAATGAAATTCCCTTTGGGGATGAATAAAGCTCTTGTATTGTATTGTATAAACTTCACAGAAAATAACTTCCTCACCACAGCCTCTCAATGCTTCATGTATAAATCTCGACCCCTCGTAAAAAGTTTTTGGCCACCCAGACTTTTTGCTTTCCAGCTGATCCTAATTAGATTTCCCCATCACATAATATCATAATGCTGGGGTTTACTGCATTAGGGTAGCAACTCATCACCAGAGGTTAATCTTCCGTTTTCAGCCTAATTTACAGAACACCAGGAAACTTTCATGCAGGGAGACTGCATGAGAGGGAGGACAGAGCCAGAGATGAAGAAAAAGTGTAGTGTAATGTAAAGAGACGATAAGAAATCGGAAAAGAAATATATAAAGATATATTAAAAGAGGAAAACAGAGAAAAAGCCCAGAGCTCTTCCACAGCAGGCAGAAGCCTTGTACATCGCAGGGACATTTCATTTGTTGTCTATTTCTGTGGAAAATGACGGGTTGTGATGCAATGAGATGGCCTGTCTCGAGAAAGCAAGCCAATATGAGGAAACGCATACAGACCGACCAGCCTTCCCTGCCGCAAGCATCAATCTCTAGCATCAGAATAATCATATCTGAAATTAATCCTGTCCAAATGGGCGACAAACAAGCGACACCGCCGTGTGTAAATGATGCAGCAGCTGTCTCAGAGGTGGCTGGAAACCCAGCCATGTGGTTTTGTCTCAAACAGCTGTCGATAAAACAGAGATAGAGACATCTGCACTGGTTTTTGTGTCAGGGAGTCAGGTTTAGATGCAGCGCAGGACCAAAGGAGAATATCTCAGTTTAAGGCTTCATATAAATGTCAGATGAGGCAACAATAACGCTGTGAATATGTTGAAATAGGTCAAGGGGAGTGCAGTTGATCTGAGGTCTTTTCGCAGCAGGGTGAGCTGCATCCGTGAGGCAACTGTGTGTCTGCTTCTGAAAAACACACCAACCAGATAAAACATCCTATCTGGATACACAGCACCCCCTGGAGGACAATCCAAAATAGGGAGTCCCTCTGTGTGTGTGTGTGTGTGTGTGTGTGTGTGTGTGTGTGTGTGTGTGTGTGTGTGTGTGTGTGTGTGTGAAAAGGATTGAAAGACAGAGCAAGTGTGTGTGTGTGTGTGTGTGTGTGGGCCTATGTGGTATAGCCGGACTTTTGACCTGAATACAGTACATTACTGCGCTGCTGCGATCAGTGCTATGGGTTTGACTCTTTGTGCGTTACGACAGAGAAGAAGTTTGTGCGTTTCTGTTTTTTATGTGTTTTATGAATATCTTTGTCTTCCTATGCATAAATCTGATGCCGTTGTGTCTTTTTTTGCTTCATCCCAGTCTGTTGGCTGACTTTCTGAGAAGCTGTTCATTAGGCGTTGACTTCCTCGAGTCTCTGGACGACAACAGATGCAACCTTCTTGTATGCCTCGGCCTAGAGAGTGAATGCAAACACACACATAGCACTTAAAATACAAAATATAATACAACAGAAAAAACAAAAATACAAGTGTTGTAGAATGATAACGTATAGAAGTGGACATGTTAGAGACCTCTGGGCTATCTGGGGACGAGACAACCACTGGAGTCCCTCTGTCTGACATCTCTCTGATGTTTAGGTGAAGAGGAATGTCACCTGGATAGACACAGAAGGGATAAATCACATGAATGAGAAAATTAGTCAAAATGATTGTTAAATGTGAATAAAGATGAAAAGTTATTCCAGTATGTTTAAACTAAATAAGACTAGAATTTACACAGACTGTGGCTGAAGGTACTTACCTAAGAATTTGACCCCCAGAGTGTCCGCGAGCTGCCGAGCCCCATCAGAGCCGAAGATGTGAGTCTGGTGACTGCAGTTAGGACACTGGAAGGCGCTCATGTTCTGCACTAGACCAAGAACCTGCAGGAACACCAACCAGGATGTTTTTAACCTCTTGTTACTCTAATCTTTAAATCTATAGATGCATACAGTTATAGTCACATTAAACATAAGTAAGCCCAAAGATATAATACAAGTGTGTGTCCTCATAGAATCAAAAAAACCTACGTCTGTATGTGACCTCCAAGGACGAGAAAAACCAGCTTATATAAGTGTGTGGGCTAACATCCCTTTAAAGGTAGAAAAAAACAACCTATATTTGTTTGTGACCCACAAAAAAGTACAGTACAGTACTTCGTGATCTATTTAGTTTTGGCTCCAACGGGTCTTTAAATCATGGTGGGAATTTTATTTACTGACAAATATGCACAGAGATTCAGGTACATGAACTGTCTTGAACAAAGTAGCTATTTTAAACGTCTAACAGAGTGCTATTTGCATCTATAAAGACCGATTTTCTGTAAAACTCCATAAGAAACAAGAAGAAAAGGCAAAAAATAATTTGTGTGCCTGGGACCCCACACAGATAAGAAAAAATAGTTTGGGTCTGTCAACCCATTTAACATATAACAGCAGGTGTTACAGATGATGTCTCATGTCTTTTTTGGATTTTCAATGCCATGCACAGAGAAATTACCGGCACATTAACTTTCTTGAACATCTCAGCTCCTCTGTGAGCATCTAGCAGGGCGATGTCCTGTGGTGTCGACACAATGACCGCACCTAACAAAACAAAATAGCACAAGTTTATTGTATCTAGTTAGTGGACTGCACTGGATGCAGTTCATATAAAATGATAAGAATCAAAAACACTCTTGTTAAAAATAGCTCAGTGTGTGTGTGTGTGTGTGTGTGTGTGTTTGTGTGTGTGTGTTTGTGGGACTAACCTGCAACTGGGATGTTCTGTGAGATCGACAGTTGGACATCTCCTGTACCCGGAGGCATGTCAACTACTAGATAGTCCAACGACCCCCAGTCCACCTACAATCAAACACAACCTTCATGCACCTATATCAAATCAGATTTGTTGCCCTACCTCAGCAGTGCATTTTCACACTGTGACTATCACTTTCTAAACTCATCTCACCTGTCTGAGCAGTTTCTCTATAGCCGACATCACCATCAGCTCCCTCCACACAATGGGAGCCACGTCCTCCACAAGGAAACCCATCGACATGCTGAGAGACAATGGGAGAGGGTCAGAACAGACAGCACAACAGGCTATTATTTCAATTTTCCCCAACATGAAGAGTTTGAGAGTGAAAACAATGTTCTAACTGAAAGGACTCACCAAGGAATCCCATAGTTGGTAAGTGGGATCATCAGATTGTCTGCGAGGAGGAGAAAAACACTTCAGTCAATAAATACAAAACAACCCAAGATGATGGTCAGGGGAAAACCAGAGGGGAAGGTAAAAATGTGTCATACTTAGAGATGTGTCACTTAGATCTGGATTTCCCTTAAGGTTCATCAATTTGGGAATGGATGGACCATAGACGTCGGCGTCCAACAGGCCGACTGACTTAAACTGAGGGAAAGAGAAGAGACACAGACTCAGTAATCTTTACCACACTGTTTCTTCATAGCCAGTGAAAATGAGGTTCTCTATCTGTCCATAACGGTTTGAAATGATCTGAGTCATCAGCAAGACACCAGCTGAATGTCAATGTCAAATGAACGAAAGACCTAGTTGACTGAAAGAACGGGTCAAATGAACAAAAGACCGAGTTGAACAAAAGACCCAGACCGATGAACGAGTTGAACGAAAGACCGAGTGAACGAAAGATCCAGACGGATGAACGAGTTGAACGAAAGACCGAGTGAACGAAAGACCCAGACCGATGAACGAGTTGAACGAAAGACCGAGTGAACGAAAGATCCAGACGGATGAACGAGTTGAACGAAAGACCGAGTGAACGAAAGACCCAGACGGATGAACGAGTTGAACGAGAGACCGAGTGAAAGAAAGATCCAGACAGATGAACGAGTTGACTGAAAGACCGAGTTGACTGGCCGCCGCACGAGGCCCGACGAGTGGACTGACTAATGACCGATTGACCGAAATGACCGAAAAGAACGAAATGAACGGGTCTTTTTACTGAACGACCCGGAATGATCCGGTTCACTGAAATGACCGGTTTTGCCCACCACTACCACCAACCTGTCGATGAAACTATCGGAGGGTGCGAGCATTGATTGACAGGGAAACCGGCCAATCCGCTTCAGCAAAAAAAGCGTCCCCGCCCCTTATGATAAATAAACCAATAGTAGGGAAGAATTCGATAACGTTTACCCTGGAGCTGACGTCACCGCCAGACTGACTCAACTAGTCAACGAGTTTAAACGAAGCAAGCAAGATGTAACCATCCTGGACTGAAGCTAACGCTGGACGATTATTGACACCACCAGGGGCGGATCTAGAAAAATATTCATGGGGTGGCAAGAGGGGGGCAGGAATTTTTGAGGGATGGCAACATATGGCGGACATATACTGAGTTTGTTCGCTACAAAAAGGCATGGCTGCCATTTACAAACATGACAGACATTCTTCGTCCCATAAAATCTTTCTTTTATTAAGATTCTTACACCAGTAAAATCAATACAAAGAGGCATGGAAAAACAAAAACAACAACCCGCCGTGGCATCATGGATTTAGACCAGTGTCACATTTTAAACCTTTCTTTCTTATATGTGAGGTAGCCTACTATCATTTTCTCAGTTTCCAAAACAAATGTATAAATACAGAAATTTGAAGTGTAGGTCATCATTTGAACAGCTTTGTAAAGGCACACCAGTGAGCACAACGTAAAGTTGTTGCCTATAACAGCTGAATTCGGTGATTTCCCTGCTGCTCAGCAAAACGCTAAATTATATCTTGATAAAAAAATTTATCAAGATATAATGCTTTTATGTGTTTTGAGTCAATGCTGAGTATTGATTGCAAATATTCTAGCCAGGCAGTCACTGTGGAAGCTTCTTCTGGCTCCTCCCTGGAAGGTCTTGGGGAAATTCTCCCATGTTGGCTGCACTGGTAGTTCACATCTGGATTTGGATATATCTAAAAGATGGAGGGAAGGAAAGATTGAAACTGCATTTATCTGAAATAATGACACAATATAATTACTAATAAAATCATAATCAAATTGGAACAGTCATTGGTTAGTCATACCCATCAGGCTGTGTCAACACACATTTGTTTAATTCTGGAACTTAACCTCAGCAGTGGATCTAAAATACATTGTTCACAAATTACTAAAGCGCTGTCCCCACGTCATCACACTTTTTACTATTGTTTCCCTAATTATTCATATTTCAGCAAACACACATTTTTATATTTATTTGAAGAAGTCCAAGCAATGTCTCTGTCTACTTCCCTTACCATCTGGACCAGCTCGACTGGATGATGACTTGCTGATGACTCATGCTCTCTCTTATCTAATCTAGAACATTAGCCAGAACACACCAGGTTCACAGCAGGACACAACCTGTGTTTTTAAGAGGTGATGAAGATGAGGGTCCCAGCAATAGACCCTTTCTATATATTCCTGTTGGTGTGTGAATGAGCATCTCTGCCAACTCCCCAAGTGTGGAAACATCTTTGTCAGTGAAGGAGGTGATCTGGTGTGAAACATTTGAGGTTTAGGAAATATTCCTGCTGCAACTACTATCCATGTGCCGTCAGAGCAGAACTCCAACATCATGATGTGGCTGCCATGATGATCTTGCTGGTGGAGCTCATTGTCTCCTGGGTGGAGGGGTTGTCAGCTGCCCCTAAATCTAGCTTCACGATACCAAAGCTACCACCTATAAAGATGTAGCAAGCTAAGCTACAGCAACAGGGCAGAAGAAGTTCAGCTTCATCTACATCTTTAATGGTAGACAGGATGATTCATCATCATTATGATATGATACAGTGAGATAAGATGCACTTAATTGTCCTCCTGGGGAAAGTTGTCTTGGACTGAAATGCTGCACATGCTCAACCTCATCCACAATAATACCAATAAAGAAACTAAACGAATAAAACAGTGTTAAAAAAAACATGCAACAACCCACATTCAAAAGGGCTGTCACTTTTTATTGATGTGCAAACCTTCACACTCTGGAGGAAAAGTTCATATTCAGACTGTAATGAGTTGTCCAAACTCAGTATACCAGCAGCTCCCTAAAGTAGGTTGCCATGAGATCCAGTAGAGGGTGCCCTCATTGAAACCCTTCCAATCTTTGGTCTCATGATCTCAGGAAACTAAAGCAGGAAAGGTATTTTACAAAAATGGAGGACAAGCCGCACTGAGTGAGATTCACAACACCAAAACACATTAAGAGCACTGTGTGGAAGTATAGTAGGATCTACACCAGAGACAAATAAATAGCAAAGCTAATAACTGCACAAAGCAGCTGCCTTACTCATCAACAACAAATCATCAGGCTCACCTTAAAACTCAGTGGATCAGAAAGCAACAAGCCAACAAGCTATAGCAAGTGTCAAACCCCAATAACTGCCTTTTTTTCAGCAGGCCCCTTTTCAGAGGCTCCAAAAAAGGCTGATACGATATCAAAATCCAAATGCATCCTAATGTGCACGTGATGTTTGAAATTTGTTGAATTTATGTTTATGAATATATGACAATTTGGTTGTACCATTATTTGCCAGAACATGTACATAAAGAGATTTCACCACAATTGTCATTGTCCGTTTGTTCAACATTTATATTGGTGATAAATTAAAACTAATCCGTGTCAACAGACTCGAAGCCTTCCTCACCTCCATATATGTGTTTGGTGATGTTACACTGACCCTCGAGAGTTTATACAGAAAGACTCTGAGGCAGCTGTTACTGTGAATTAAACTGTATTATACTGTAGGACCTTTGTTGGCGAAGCTTCAATAATGAAGCAGCACTTTGTATTCATGGCTTTAAATGGTTTAGAAAATTTTCTTCTTTTTTGTTTTCAGAGTAAGCCCTTTTTTCTTATCTTTCATTCCAGTGTCTCACATTTTCACAGAGTTTTCATTTCTGTGCAGCCACTCTCAATGAGACGCAACAACTGCTGCACATCTTTGACAGATGTAAATTCTCAGTTTTAGCGAGTGTTGGACTCTTAAGAGTGTAGACTTTAGCATGTCAAGTGAATGTTGCACTGACAACATTAATAAGAAATATCTTTTACCTGTCAGGTTTTTGGCCCCCATTGTAAGGTGATGTACAGCAGGTATCTAAGCTTGGCAACACATAAAACACCTCCTTTCTGCCATGGATATATATCTGCTGTGACACATGAAAACCCAACAATACACGACTCACCTCACAGGAAATCCTTCTCTTTAATTCTTTTTTCGGTCCTTAAAAGACTCTCCAGCTGGTCCAAAAGGCTTGAAGCTAGAGTACTGGCCAGAACCAGGAGAACAGAGCCCAAACCCCCCTGTATTCTCCACACTCACCGTGTGTTAAACTTCTGACCTACAAAGCTCTCTATGGTCAGAAACCACAACCACCATAACCATAACCTTTAGTTGTCAGGCCTCTCTCCTCTCGAGTTATTTACAGTCGAGGTGTTTGATAAAGCTTACAGTTCGAGCTGTGCCAGACCTGGATCAGCTCTTAGTTATGCTGCTATAGGTTTAGAGTGCTAGGGGTACGAGCACATTGAGCACCTTTCTCTCCATCCTCTTACTGTCTGTGTCATTAACTCTGAATCATCATGTCCTGCTGGAGTCACTAATTCTCAGTCTTTTCTGGGAGTCCCTGAGCTCCATCATCCTGTAGGTTTCTCTGGATCACTGCTGCAGGCATTCTGCTGCTGTGGACTTGTGTGCTTAAGGCTGCTTCAGTTACATTCATTAATCTCTCCTCTGTTCATCTTTCTCTCTCTCTCTCTCTCTCTCTCTCTTTCTCCATCTACTTCTATCAGTCTCTCCTTTGTCCATCTCTCTCTCAATCTCTCTCTTTCTCCATCTACTTCTATCAGTCTCTCCTTTGTCCATCTCTCTCCTTCAATCTCTCTCTCTCTCTCCTCTCTAAACCCAGTTTAGTCTCAGCAGATGACTGTCTAACATCAGTCTGGTTCTGCTCGAGGTTTCTGCCTGTTAAAGGAGTTCTTCCTCTCCACTCTAACTCTCTAAATGCTGTTTCACTCATGTGGTTGAAGATGGATGGGAAATGATCTTACAGGATGGGGCTCAGTCTGATCCCATCTTTACGTTGGGTCTTTGTAAACAGAGTATGGTCTAGACCAGCTTTTCTTTTGTTTAGAGTCTTTGATACCACTTGTTGTGAATTAGCACTATGTATTTTTTTTGTTGCATGAGGATATGAAGCATTTAAAGTCCTACCTTTATAAGATACTATTTTCACTGTTTGTAACACTTCAACGCCACTGCTTTAAGTTGTGATGAATGCCTACAATCACTTATAAGGATTGTAACAAAGCCATGTAACACATGTATAGATGCAATATGCTTATCATGCATTATAAGTGATTGGTTGATATGAAGTCAGTGTCACAGACTGTTGTATGACTTTTGGACTCAGCTTAAAGTCCTGTTATGAGAGTGGGTCATTTAAATAGTATTTATTATTGTATGGTTTATCGTTTTATTGTGTAGAGAATAGTTTTGTTTCTTCCCTCCTCTCTTTCTCTGATTCTCTGAGCTGTACTGCAGAAAAAGGTGCGTCCAGATTGGACGGCGGCGTAAAGACGCACCAGACGCGCATTGGAGGACTGCTGTGGAGTGGAGGCGCATGATTGGCTGAGAGCTGATGGGCTGCATTTTAAACTCGGCTGCAGGAGCAAGGACGCCGGTTCTCCTTCGTCACTTCCAACATCTCGCCAGAGCACAGTGTTTCGAGCCATCGTTCAGTTGAATTCTATTGTGTGATTTTCGATTGTTGTTATTAAGGGACCTTAGAGGGTTCTTGTATTGTTGGAAGCAGTCAGTATATGTAGGGGAGAGTTAGCCCTTGTTTTCTCCTGTTTTTGAGTAGGGAGTCAAATTTAGGTTTGTATGTCTTTTATTTTTATTGTATATGTCAGGTAAGGAATTTTGATGTATAAGAGTGTTTTTTTTTTTTTTTGTAATAGTTTGATTTTACTTTACTTTACTTTACCGTCCCGCTTCCAGGACGGATCGTTTTTGTTTTTTTGTTTTTTTTTAATTATTATTATCACTATTAAAGTTTACAATATACCATTGACGTTTTACAGGGGATTAAGAAAAAAATAAACAAACTAGAGACAGATCGGGTAGCGACAAACACATCTAAAATGTTTGACAGAGTTTTTGTTTCCATGGTAACGCTGATGCCAGACAACGTCTATGGACCGTCGTGAACACCGTGAGGAGATTCTTTCCTAGCGACACAAAACAAGATAAAAAATGACTGTGTCATGTGTTTCTTTGACTTCTTAATGAGATACTTGTGAAAACCAAATTAAAATTAACATTCCCAATCAATTTATTTTTTGAAACATTCAAATTTACGTGGCGGAAATGGCTATCTTGTGTCACACGGAATCAAAAAGTGTTGGGATGGAAACCAAATTTGAAAACAAACGTACTGCTTGTAGGCAAAACAGTTTCAACAGTTTCATAGACTGAAAACGCATGTTTATATTGACTTTGGACTAACTACACCAGTGGGGTATTGCACAAAACCAAGGTAAGGGATTAAGCCGGGATATGTTGGTTATCCTGGCTGAACTTAGCCTCAAGTCAGTTGCATGAAAGCTTGCAAGATTGCAGGTAACATCCATTTCAACTTGCAACCACTACTTTCGAATTTCATCAGGCACAACAGGATACTCATTATTTTTGTTACAGCCTTCCCTAATGTCATTGGTGCAATTGATTGCACCCATGTGAGAATTAAACGCCCCTCAGGGGAACATGAGGGGGATTACATCAACAGGAAATCCTTCCACAGCATCGACATTCAGGTGAGAGTTTTTTGTGGTTACTCTGACCTACATAAATTACTTGTGTGCATTAAAGGGCCGTAATAGATTACATCTCACATCTTATCGTTTCAGATGATCTGTGATGCTGACTGCCTTGTGACCAATTTAGAGGCCAGGTGGCCGGGCTCAGTCCATGATTCCCGAGTCTTTCAGGCTAGTCAAGTGTTCGAGAGACTCTCACAAGGTAAGCCACACATTTTATTGTTAAGCACCTTGGACATTATAAGTCTTCACCCCTGCTGTGTAGTTTAATAAATGATATCTTGTTTTATCAGGTGAATTCTCTGGTGTGCTGCTGGGAAACAAAGGCTACGCCTGCGAGTCATACCTCCTGACTCCCCTTGCGGACCCCCAAACCACACCACAGCAGGCCTACAACCACGTACATGCAAAAACAAGGGCTCGGATCGAGATGACCTTTGGACTCCTGAAAACTCGAGTCGGTTTCAGTGCGAGCCGTGGCTAAAAAAATCGATTCCAATTCCTGACTAAAAAAACGTAATTACATTTGGGCCATAGATTTTTACATATAAAGGGGTCCCCTCGATATCAATAACACACGTATTGGCATTAAACTTGTTGATATTTTATCATTTAACCTCGGTGAGTGCGTGCCTTGTGGCCATAGAAGCGAACGGCGTCCGACGTGACAGGCGGTCATGTTGGAACTATTAAGAGTTCCATAACCCGGAAGTGGGGTCCGCCAGGCTGTACAGTGTATGCCCATGGGAGTGTCGCCACTCTGTTTAATCCACTGCTCTGATGGCAGGTATTGCTCCACTATCTCCTTTTTTAATTAAGTGGAAATGCTGACACAGCATTTCCACTTATTGTTATTCTCCTATTTCTTTATTATTATTATTATTATTATTATTATTAAGTGGAAATGCTGACACAGCATTTCCACTTATTGTTATTCTGTTCTTTTTTAAGTGGAAATGCTGATTAAGCAATATGAAATATGAAAAATATGGAAGTGGTTGGCTCCATTAGATCCACAGAGTCTCCAACAAGCATCTCCGATACCCACATGACGCTTCTGAATGGGTGTAATAAAAAATCTTGATATATTTTTCCAGCAGAACTCTCGCCAGGTGTTTGACCCGGTTGAAATTCATTGTAGTTGACATATTTTCTTCCAACTCTCCTGTGTAATAATTGTCCTTATATCCGTTTCCCATTTCCTCTTTATGTATTCTGTATTCTCTTGTTTGGCTAATTGTATGGTATTATATAATTTTGAGATGATTTTGTTACAAGATCTGGACTTTGTTAGTGATAAGAATACCTCCATGAACCCTGACTCGTCTTTTCTTAACGCTTCTTTAACATTTTTGTTATAATAATCTCTCACTTGTAAGTACCTGAAAAAATTGCCTCTATCTAGACCATGATCCTTCTGTTGGGCCTCAAAACTCTGAAATGCCCCCTTGTGGACAAATGAATAATAGGTAGTTAGACCTTTTGTGATCCATGTCTTAAATCTGCTGTCGGTTTTATTTGGCGGAAAGTCTGAATCATAGGTACACCACCTCACAATCTTAGATGCGTCTTTTAATCTGCTAATTTTGACTGTTTCCTGCCAGGACCTCAGGAAGCTGCTGGCTATAGAGTCCTCTGGGATCGCGTGTTCTTGTAATTTATTGTCACTTAATAAAGCTGTTATTGGAACTCCCTTTATCATCGTTCCTTCAATTTCCTTCCATGCTGCAGTGTATGTAGGCGAGCACAGGCAGACTAAAGGCCTCAGCTGAGCTGCATGGTAGTAGTCCTGTAAGCAGGGAAGGCCCATTCCCCCTTTTTCTTTTCTTAATTGCAATGTTTTAAATTTGATTCTGGCCCTTTGCCCTTGCCACAGATACCTCGCTATTACTCTGTCCCACTCTAAGAACTGTTCAGATGGTATTTCAATTGGTAAACATTGAAAAAGGGACAACATCTGTTGAAGAATATTCATCTTGATTGATTCGATCCGGGAGCTTAAAACTTAAAAAGGGAATAACGTTCAATCTTTGTCTATCAGTTTTTATCTTTGAATTTAGTGGGCCATAATTTATGTGATACAGTCTTGTGAGATCCCCAGGTAATGAGACACCCAAATATTTGATGGACTCAGCATACCATTTCCAATTGTACATGGTCCTAATTGAAAGTGGAGGTTCATAATTAAATGTTAATGCTTGGGTTTTATTAATATAAATTTTATAACCAGAAATTAAACCAAATTCCTCTAACAATTTCATCAGTTTTGGGAGTGTCTGGGTAGGTTGTGTTATACTTATCAATAAATCGTTGGCGAATAGGGCCAGTTGTTGTTCCCCAGATGTCATTGTTACCCCTTTTATATCATTCCTCTGCCTAATTAGTTGACTCATGGGTTCTATAAACAGGGTAAAAAGGAGCGATGACACACAACACCCCTGCCTCGTTCCTCTTTCTAAAGTGAATGAATTGGTTAAGTTTCCATTGATTTTGATTCTAGCTGTTGGTTCGTTATATAGCGCTGCAAAGTGTCAATTATAGTTGTATGGAAGCCAAATTTCGAAAGTACTTTATATAAGAATGACCACCTCACTGAGTCAAATGCTTTCTCAGCATCTAAACTTAATATCAGTGCCTCCAATTTTTGATGTGTGACTTGTCTCATAACATGCAGCGTTTTCCTGATGTTATCTTGGGTCTGTCTTTGTTTGACAAAGCCAGTCTGGTTCTTGTGTATCAATAATGGTAATAACAACTCTATTCGTTTGGATATTATGGAAGTGAATAATTTATAGTCATTGTTTAAAAGACTTACAGGACGGTAATTTCCACACTCCAATTTATCTTTCCCCTACTTAGGTATGATCGAAATCATTGCCTCCCTCCATGAGGGGGGGATATTTTTGTTCTCCCAAACCCAGATAAATGTTTTTAATAATGTTGGGATTAGTTGATCCTGCATTGTTTTGTACCATTCTGTGGGAAAATCATCTGTCCCTGGAGACTTCCCCCCTTTCATTCTCCTAATTTCTGTTTGAATCTCTTCCTTCGTTATTTTGGATATTAATTTCCAATTTTGTTCATCAGTGATCTTTGGCAAATTTACCTGGGCCAGAAAGGCATCAATCTGGTTGTCATTGCTTGTCTGGGGTTGTGTATATAATATTCTATAATATTTTTGGAAGCATTGTTGTATTTTCTCCGGCTTAGTTTCTATTGTATTCTTTTCTGAGTTTCTTATTTTATATATAGTTCTATCTGCTTGTTGTTTTCTTAACCTATATGAGTTTCAGTGATTTCCCACCTGTCTCATAGTATTGTTGCTTTGTAAAAAGGAGCTTTTTCTGAATTTCCTGAGTATTTATTTCATCTATTTCTCTTTTTAATTCTTTGATCTTACATTTGTCGTCATCTTTGTGAGACTTTGCATGTTCTTTCTGTAGTCTCTTCAAGTCCTCTTCTAATTTTTTGAGTTTTTGCTACTTAATTTTCTTCTCACGTGAGGAGATGGCTATTATTTTGCCCCTCAGCACTGCTTTTAAAGTCAGTTCTTGGGCTAGCCCCATTGTCGTCTCTGTGGTCTGCCACCGCTCTCTCTCTTTCTTACACATACACACACACACACACAGACACACACACACACACACACACACACACACACACACACACACACACACACACACACACACACACACACACACACACACACACACACTTCCTCCTCTGCCTCTCTGATCACCTTTGCTCTGAACTGGTGTATGCTGTTTTCATCACACTATCAGAGTTTTCTCTGTTTTGAGTCAGGTGTATAAACTTATACTTGTGCAACTTCAGCTACCTTTGGTTATGAGTATGTATCACAGTGTTTTAGTCAGTGAGAATGTGTTCAGAGTTTTGCAAACACGTGTATTTTAAAAAACAAATAATACCTATTCATCATTTAGATGTTTTTTAGCTGTAAAACAGATCAGGTTTGCCTTAAGAGTTGCTCCTCTTTGCATCTGGTTTCCCCCCGAAACACCAGCCCACTGCAGTTTCTTCAGTCATACTCAAACCAAAAAATACCAGAGAAATTTCAGGTTTGTCTTGTTGTCACCTCTGGTCTATGTGGTTTAGTTAGTCAGCTTTGGGGGTAAAAACTCTATCTATCCTGTGATTTAAGCAGCATTTTAATTTGTGGAGGCTAAATTTTTACCTCAAACCAACATTTACTAAAGTTTGGGGTAAACCTCTTGTTCTGCTTCAACACTCTTTGTCTGCTCTTCAAACAGGTTGAAAAGGAAACCAAAGATCAGTTCAAATCAAACACAAAGACCACATGCAAAATGGTGAGGGACTGAAATCAAACATGTAGTGAATAAATAAAGTAATTTTTTTAATTAATGAAACACATTTATAGGGATCTGGAGCTGATCTCAGTTCAGTCTGACAGAGTTTTATGCAGATGAGCTCAAGGTGGTTTTATTTTAAGGTCTTAAAATAAAACTGGTTAAATCTTGAAAAAGCTCTTCAACATGTGCAGGTTGTTCTTTGGATTCAGTTTGATCAATCAGGTAACAAAAATTGTGACAGCTTTGAGACCTTAACTTCACCAACAATCACCAGAAAACTTTTGAATATAATCAAATAAATCAAATTAAATCAAACTTTAATTTTCAGCTTTTCGCTTGACTTTAAGATGGTAAAGTGCAGTGAGTGTGTGCAGGAAAATACTTCATGGATGTTCCACTTTGAAGCTTTGACCTGATATTGATAATCTAAAGAGCTGCGCTATCTTGTGGCTACGTCTTGTTACTACAACAACCAGATAAGCTATGAGTTAGTTTTCTGCAAGTTTTCTTCAACCACAGATTAGTTTTTTATTTTTTACATTTAACCAAAGTATTTTTATATACAAAGACTTTGAAATGTGAATCTAATGTGTTAAGATCATCCGTGATTTGTATTTACAGAATCGGGAGATTTTACCTCAGCTTATTGTGCTGTTTCACTGTTTTTATGAATTTTAAAGCTGTTTTTTTTCACATTATTCTACAAGTGCAGGAAACACACATTTTTTTCCAACATCAGGCAAAAATACTTTAAGCCTGGCATTTAACATGTTTTTACCTTGTTGTTACTTTCATCTTTATTTAACCCTAAAGAGCTTGTTGAAAATAAAAACCCTTTTCCAAATTGGTCCTGGTCGAAACAGGCAGGAGCAGAGTCACAAAGATTTAGGCTAACAAAATGCAGCTTTATTAAAATCAACCAAGATCATTAATATCTTAGGCAGCACACCCACAATCAGGTGTGTCCTTTGACCAAAAACCACCTGAGAAGCATCAGATAAGACTTTTAAAGCAGTTGTGGTGGTGCTGAAAGTTAAAAATATCTTTGTATTTTGATATTTTGTGACATTAAAAGCTTTTCTATAAGTTCAGTTCTCTTCACAGCTCATACCTGAAACATCACCCTTGTGAAGACCTTCTAATGTCAATCTTAACTTGTCATTTTGGCCCCCCCCCCCCGTGGACAAAACTGTCATTGCAAATTTTGTCCTTTACAGTGTTTTCTATCAGAAAGTCTCATCGTGCTGACTTTTGACAGTGTGTTAGGAATATTTTATGTGGAAATAATAAAAACCGGACTGTGTGTTAGGCTTGAAAAATTACAGGATAAAACGATCTTATGCACAAAGAGTCAACCAGTCACTTATTTTATCAATCATCTATTTATTTCTTTATTCTTTGTGAATACTCATACAAAAAACAGATTTTCTCAGGAAAAAGTGATGTCTCATAAACAGGAGGTGGTGTAAATTAACTTTACATTCAATACAGTTAATTTCATTTAGCCCCGCCCCCTCCTCCTCCTGGACCAATGGCAGGGAGGCAAGGGAGTCGAAACCTGCAATCCTATTGGTGCATTCTGGAATTCATAAATCTATTTTTAAAATTACAAATATATAAATGCTCTACCCAGTGATAACAGTGATATGGTGTCAGGTCTACTTCAGTGCTCACAATAATAATACTTCACTGTCTGCAAACACACACACACACACACACACACACACACACACACACGCACACACACACACACAATGTATAATAATCTCAGCATCACCTGCTGACTAAAGACTACAACTCTCACCGTTTCATCATCCCCTCCCCCCTTGGGGGTCAGAGGTCATTTCTACTTAGGTGTGATCAGACAGGACAGAGGGTCAGCTGACAGGATCGTCTGTCATTCATCAGTCAGGAGAAAACAGAAACCAAGCCCTGGGCCATAATTTTAGTGTTATTGCGTCCTCTTGACTCATGCTCAGTGTCAGGAGATCAAGTTGAAAACATTGTGCTGCTTTGTTTGAGGCTGTACGTCCAAACTTATGACAGTTAAGTCTGATGGGTCTTAGTTACACTGTTAATACTAAGTTACACAGAGGCTGGTTCACTCTGGTTGACTGAGCATAAAAAGAAACAAATTTTCTGAATGTTTATCTGCAATAAAGATTTTGCTGATACTACAATGTCACAATACAGATTATAAAAAGTAAAATTACAAGATTTATCAGGTCCTGAAGAGGAGAAAACATTTTCTACGTTTCCCATTAAATTTCCAAAAGGCACAGACGACTGAAGCTTTCACCTGTCGCTTAAAACATTCCATTCTGCTCGCCATGCTAAATCTGAGAGCTGATATCATGCACACAGAGACCATAGTAGTTTTTTGTACCAAGCTGTAAACATATTTATTTCTGCTGGAAAGTCATTTTCATATGGTACTCTAAGGGGATTGACTTATTTTGCAGTCAGCCTTGTGTGGCCATTTGAGGAACTGCAGTTTTTGGCACTACAGTTTAAGTTTCCTTTCTCAGCCTTGAAAAAAGTTAGTCATCTACCTTGAAATCAAACCTTCTAACAGCCTAATTTTTGATATCTATTGACTTTGGCAGTGGTCATGATTTTTGTAGATGTTACAACTCTAATTTCAAATAACTGTAAAATGCTAATAAAACTGATATTGACACTTTTGGTAACAATTTAAACCCTGTATTTGATTAGAAAAGGTGCCCAGACAACTTTCTGAACATTGAATTTGAAAAGAACAGAGTTTTGGGATTTAAACATCTTCAGTAAATATATCATTATAATATTCAGAGAAACTGGACAAAAAGGACATGGTACCACACCAGTATTGGATGTCTATGCTTTTTAGGCCCTCAGGCACTACAGACAGACATGACTCTATAGTGCAAATCACTGTATGGACACAAAATCTCCATATTTCAGCGAGACCATGACAAACCACATTCTTCAGAGATTACAACAGCATGGCTCTATAGTAGAAGAATCCTGCTGATAAACTGGTGTGCCTGAAGTCCTGACTTGTCCCCCATTCAGTTTCAGTTTAAACATCTGATATGTTGTCTTTGCACCATTTTCCATTAAATATAGAGTGTAAATTGTACGCATATCATCACAATCTGTTTTAATTCTCCTACTTTTTCAGACTCAGCATTGAGCGACGTTAAGACTATTTGCAACATTAAACAGAGCAGGACAGGATTTTTCCATTTGATGAAAGCAATTGATGCTCCTCCTCAAGCGTGATGTCAGAGGAAAATGGCTGCTGTGTGAATATGGTGAATAGTGTTAATTTAACGGGTGGGTCTGTCGGTGTCAAACCAATCAGTCAGGGTTCAGAAAGCTGCACCCTTGGGTCTCAAATCACTCCTCAGTACAGAGGAAAGTCAGCATCTAATACAGTGTGGCTGTATATTCAGAATATGGTCGTAGCAGTAAAGGAGTTGGCTCAGTGTGGTTTTAGATTTGTTGTCTGTTTGAGATTTTCACATTTACTCCTCACCTTAAGTTTGTGCTTAAGACCAAGGCCAAGCCACAGTTATTCAAAAAAAAAATTAAGGAATTCAAAATCAAATGTTTACACTGATTCTCAGCACTGCAAAAAGTAAAAATAATTTAAATATTTTTAATCAGAACAGTTGAAATGATCACAGGATGCATTGAAGGTGAGGCCCAACATTTTTCAGAAAAAAAAAAAGTTCAAGAGATAAAGTTCAAGGTCCATAGTTTGGTCATACTACAAAATGTGAGGAGAAAATAAAAAAGAGATCAGTGTTTGAATATAGAACAACGCCAAAAGTTAGGCGTCATCTGAGATCAGTTTGTTCAGGGTTCATTCAAATTTCCTTCCCAGTGCCGCCAGGTCAATACTGTCTCAAAGATGCTGAATGTTTGCTGAGTTTTTGTTTCCTGCAGTACGAAAGAGTATTAGGGTCTAAATCCAAGATTTCCAAACACTTCCAAGCGTAAAGTCTCAATGCAATCATCTGTCAATTTATTGAAGCACAACAGAGTCTGATTATGAGAGGAAATGTATGAAGAGATAAGGTTAACAAAATTAACACAATAAAATATTGGAATCTAATAGTAAAACGGAGGGTATTTAAAGCTCCTGTGAGGAACCTTCAGTTGGCCTTGATTCTGGCCCCCCCAATGGACAAAGTGGCTCCCTGTATTAACTTATTAGTTTTGCTCTAAAAAAGAGAAAATTTTGTTTTGCTTTATTTCAACACTCAATTAAGACTTATTGATAACCTATAATCAGTAAAATGTCATCAAAGGCTGTTTCAGCAGCTTGACAGCTGACACCTATCCTCTACCAGGGGCTTCAGATATTGAGAATAACTGTAAATAAGTACTCACTCATGATGTGCATGATCTGTTTACTTTTGTAGCTCATACAGAGACACCAGCAGTAATTTTAGGGCTGAAAACTCCTCACAGGAGCTGTAAAATTAGGTGGAAACTGCAAAATTTCACTTTTATAATCAGAAACTTAAAGTTTGTTACAGTTTTTACTAACCCTGGCCCTTATTTCCTCAATAAGATCACAGTTTGAATAAATTATCACACATATTTGAGGCAGCTGGAGCGCAAAGAACACAAAGTTCATGGAATTAGAAAAAAGTTAAGTCCAGTTTTAGTGTCTGAAAGGATTTAAGGCAGCCGAGCAGTGAGTGAAGCAAAAACAGGAGGAATTTAAAACAAAACTGACTTAACCTCCAGGACAAACAGGCACATTTCATTAACCTGCAGAATAACAGCACTTTGTTGTCAAAATCAGATACTTGTAGACTTTTTTATGCAGTAAAATCACAACTTTAACTTCAAACTTTCTGATTGTTTTAGGTTTTATGTCACTTTGTGTATACTTGCATTAAAATAAGCCCTTGTTTAGTTATATTTTAACTTTAAATTTATGCAGAATGGACATATTTCTGAATTTAGACCCCGGGCCTAACACTCTGTCGTAATCCTCTCCTTGTATTTCAGGTCCCAGTTTGTTAAATCTCTCCAGTTTCTACTCTATGACTGGTCTATATGTGAATGTGTCTCTGTGTGAGTTTAAGTGTGTGAATGTGATTATGTGTGTGTGTGTGTGTGTGTGTGTGTTTGTGTGTGTGTTTTTAGCGCAGCCAGGAGCAGGGCACCCACTGTGGTTCAGTGTCCAGTTTGTTGATGAGTCTTAGCAGCTCATTGAAGGCTTTGTCCAGGTCTGTGTTCACGATGACAGCGTCAAACAGGTGACCACAGCTCTGCTCCATCTCACGGGCTTTCTCTATGATGTCACGCAGCTCCTCGGGCTGAAACAAACAAACATACACACACACACACACACACACACACACACACACACACACACACACACACACACACACACACACACACACACACACACACACACACACACACAGAAGGGCCTGTCATTGAGGCAAACATCCTTAAGATGCAAACACTAATATTTATGTGTGAGCGAGCGAGCGTAAACAGACCTTGGGGTTCTTGCTGTCTTTAGCCAATAAGGCTCTGAGTCTCTCCTGTGAGGGCGGAGCGATGAAGATGATGTAAGGCTTCAGGTCTGAACTTCTCAGCACCTTCAGAGCCTGTTGACACAGGACATCCCAGAGATCAGTCTGATGTGTCACAGCGAGATTATACCAGTGCAGCATGGCTAACTGAAGGTGTACTCAACCCCTGGCTACTGATTGGTCGAAAAGTGTATGCAGGATCATTTTAGGCTTAAAGTTAAGGCTAAAACGTCCATGATCTGTGTTGAGCGCATCCTGTCAGTGTCGCGTATCACGCAGCAAAAGGTTGGCATTCTAATCAATGCAGCATCGCACACAGGAAGCATCGCAGCTCCATATTAGAAGCGTGTTGAGCGCAGCTCTGCTAAAGATATGCACCAAGTCTATTTTCTCTGCTCTATGCTTCCAATACACGTCAATCTACACAGAGAAGATCATTCTAGACAGGATGTCAAGCACAAAAATATGTGCTTGTCATCTGGTCTTTCAAAATAAAACACCATATGCCAACTCCTGAATGTGTATCAGTTCATGTAGATGAGTAATTTATCTGCTGCTGATTATGGATTTATCAGTAACACAGAACGATCCAATGGTCAATCCCTGATCCATGTGGACCCCAGCAGGACTTTGAACTGCTAACTCTGTCTGAAGGTAACAGCACAGCATAAAGGAACATAGTTTACTTTATTAAACTCGAGTAAACCTGCAAAAAATGAAACTGTAAAATCACATTGCTTTTCCACATACAACAGAGGCTCAACAGTCACTGAAATATATCCAAATTAGCAGGAAATAGACCACAGAAAGGAAAAATAACCTGTTGTGAGCATGTTGTTTCCTCTATACTGAGCCAAGCTGACCGGGGCTGCACTACGCTGCTGCTGACACGCTCCAAATACACATCCTGTGTGCAATAGACAGCGCTGCTCTACGAAGCAGAAACTTGGCACTGACGGAACGTGCTCAACACAGATCTTGTATGTTTACGGCTTTATAGTAGCATGCTGGTCTCTGACCTCGCTTTGGACTACATGTTTATTGTTTCAGAAGAAAGTTGTGTATTTTTCAACCTGAACTGATAAATGTTCAGTAAACTGTAAAAAAAACAAAAACCAGGACTAAGAGCAGCTTAAGAGATTTTCAAGTGACTTTATTCACCAGATAGCACTAAAAGCACTGTGGGAAAGAAACACCGGATCAGATATGTCCTTCAACATCAGTGATGCACAATATTACATTTTTGCAGATATTTATCATGCCGATATTTTGAAGCTCATCCTGATATGAATACAGATATTTTTCTTTTACTGAACACAGAGCTCTCTTGTAAAAGACCTTTTAACCTGTAGACAGTATATTTATTTTAGAACCAGACATTAAACATTATCTGAGTTTACCATAGATTATAGATGTATTTCTTTTAGATATGAACATCCAGTAATGCCTCTGTTGTCTGTTTCCAATACTTCAAAATGTTTCTATGCAGCCAACAAGCTTTTATCTGTGCATATAGTTACAAACAAACAAAAACCAGGACTAAACTATGTCTTCACACTCTGGAAAAACACAAGAAAAATCAAAGCTGCAGTGTTCATGAGGTACAGTGGAGAAATGTTAATAAGTCATACATGAGAAGAAGATGGTCTGAAACTCAATGTGATTGGGGGCCCAGAAGGCTAACCCTGAAGGCAGGCTGATACCAAGTGAGAACAGTGTACTCACCTGAGTGTGCAGACAGAGCACACAGATTTTTCCAGTGTTAATGACTTGTCTCACTGAGTCTGTACTCGTCCCGTAAAGGTTCTTCTCAAATTCGCCAGACTCGATCAGCTTCCCTGGAGAAAGGAGAGGGAAAAGATTCTCATTTGACTCTGAGTTAGAAGCAAGATCTGTGTGGAGCTAAAAGAATGGTTTCAAACTGAAGGAAGAAATACCATAAGATTTGGTCATTAAGTTGCTAAGGATTGAAGAGTCATTCCAGCTCCTCTAAGAACATTCAGATATCATTAAGTTTTTACACATTTGCAAACAAACTCATAAACTTCCTCATTAATCTGATACTGTAGACACACCAATCCAACATTGACTGAGAAATATCACGAATTTACCTGCTGCCAGTTCTGCTTCAAACGTCTGACGAGATACAAAGTGGTAATCTCGACCACTCAGCTCGCCTTCTCTACGGTTCCGTGTGGTGTCTATGTCAAAAACACACACACACACACACACACACACACACACACACACACACACACACACACACACACACACACACACACACACACACACACACACACACACACACACAGGTCAATATGTCCACAAATGCACTGACACTTGTTTACTGTTTCAGTGTTAAATACTAACGAGGTACAGCCCCGGCGAAGCGTTCTGGTTGGTTGTTGAGGAGCCTCTGTCTGAGCTCTGTCTGCCCGCAGCTGTTCGGACCAATCAGAGCAATCGGTCGCTTTCTATTGGCCGGCTGGTGGTAGAGAGCCATCTCCTCATAGGTGAGAATCTCATCACTTTCCATATCTGAGCCGGCAATGGGGAATAAATGATAAAAACTAGTCAGAAGCATGAGGACAGGTGTGCAGAGCAGACGAAAATAATGATGATGGTGCATTCACACAGTCGGGAATAAAAAGTTAATTCAAAACTAATTCAAATGAAAAACTTTGGAGTTGTTTTACAAAGAGACAAACCATCATTTCTGTGAGCGTTGTAAAGCAGCTTCTTTCTCTTCCTCTTGTTTTTCTTTGCACACCACAGCTTCCCTGCAAACAAGCAGACATCTTCTCAACACACTGCAGAGCTTCAAGGTTCACACAGCTGTGCGTTCACTTTTTATTTTACTAGTAGAGGAGGCGCAGCAGAGGTTCAAAGTCCTGCAGCATGGGACAAACTCTCTTTGTTTGTCATCTATCAGATTGCACCAACATTACACCTTTTGCTCCTGAAATTTTCCATCTCAATTTAGTGAGCACAGAAAGAAGGATTTCTGTTTAACACATGCCTGTACTAAAGCTTCTTTACACTACTTCAAACAGCTTATCCTTAATCTGCATTGTCAACAGCAAAACTTCACACTGACTGACACATGTGAGTGTTTAAAGATGGCAGGATGAGATTCATCAGCAAAAATATTACTTTAGCATGTACATGACAAGATAAGCAAAGAAATATAAACTTTTTATCACAAGAGGGTCCAAAACAGACTGAAAGAAGAGATTTCAAAAGAGATCTGAACTCATATACAGGTGTACAAAAAACTGCATGAGCAAAAACAAAGAAGAAGAATGAGAGGGAGATCATGTAAGATGATGTATTACATGTCATGTCATAGTATTCAATGATTAATTAATTTTGCAGGGACCTACAAGAGCAGCTTAAGAGATTTTCAAGTGACTTTATTCACCAGATAGCACTAAAAGCACTGTGGGAAAGAAACACCGGATCAGATATGTCCTTCAACATCAGTGATGCACAATATTACATTTTTGCAGATATTTATCATGCCGATATTTTGAAGCTCATCCTGATATGAATACAGATATTTTTCTTTTACTGAACACAGAGCTCTCTTGTAAAAGACCTTTTAACCTGTAGACAGTATATTTATTTTAGAACCAGACATTAAACATTATCTGAGTTTACCATAGATTATAGATGTATTTCTTTTAGATATGAACATCCAGTAATGCCTCTGTTGTCTGTTTCCAATACTTCAAAATGTTTCTATGCAGCCAACAAGCGAAAGCTTTTATCTGTGCATATAGTTAATACATCACCCTGCAATTTTCAGAACTGAGATACCCATAATTCACTTTCTAAGCTATTGTGTGCTGATACCAATAATGTTGTACTTCCCCCTTTGAAAGACATACTAAATGTGCGGCTGTATTTAGCACTTCATGCCTAGGGAAAAGTCTGAAGTTGACATAAATACTGTTAAAATCAGGGCCCGTATGCACGTTGAAAGCGTTTAGCGTAAACGCGATTAGGGCTTAAACGCGTTTAGTTATACGGGCCTTAAACGCGTTTAGTTCCTATACGATTTTGGTATGCACAATGCTGTAAACGGAACCGTATAGCTAACCGCGTTTACTGTGTCTTAAACGGGTCGAGTGACGCTCGAGTGACGGTTCGACTGACTGTCGACTGATCCACTCCTACCAACTCCCCACACACGTCTTGGAAAGAAGATGTGGCGTAGTACCGTAAGGTTACGAGGACTTGTTGTAGTGGAATGAGGGTGAATCCTCGGTTCGAAAGTTCAATTTCAGCGGAAATCTCCTGTGTGAGGTCGAGAATATGGTGCCGTCGAAATCTAAACTTACGGAACACTTCGTGGTCGTCATACGTGTCGAAGGGGTGTTTTCTGTCACGAAAAATCCTGTTTCGACGCAATTGTCGCCGCTGTCTTCCTTGGAACAACAAGAGTGCCGCCGTATTTAAACGCGTTTAGACCCGCTATTGGACCCCCAGAGGTGCGATAACTTTAAACACGAAAATCCGTATAGGAACGGCTATACGAAGTGACGTGCATACCGACATTTTTGGCGTTTAGGAGTTAAACGCGTTTAGCCCACTAAACGCGTTTTGCCAAGCAATGTGCATACGGCCCCAGGTCAGTAAATGGTCTTTGTTTTCATCAATGACTGCACACAGCTTGTGGTATGATGAATGAACCTCTGATCATCTGGATTTTCAGCCTATGAGAGGTGCTGTTTTCACTGGCATTGTGAAGACTGGACATGTGTGCTACACATTTTTGTGTTCTTTTTAAAAGGGATATTCCTGCATAAAATTAAGTTAGGGTCAAACACACTGTAACACAGTTAGACACCCCCTCGAGAGATGAATGTTGCTGACCGCTTGCTTCTCTAGTTATACCAACTTTAGTGATGTCCGCATGATAGCAATATACAGCAGTCTATGGATCCACACGCAAACCTCAACCAAAAAGCCACTCTACAGCCACAAATAAAGCTCATAAATGTTCTGCCTTGAGCTGCGTCACCCCGCTGCAGTGGATGGACTTGCCCAACGTCTCTGTAAAAACAAGCGGCTGCTGGAAGAGAGTGGGTGAGTTGTGTTTGCTCCCTTTACTCTTGTGTTTGCTAAAGAAATCAGGCAAAGCTAAAAAGATGTTTGATGGCTAGTGCTGTGGCTGGGACCCTATATATACTGTTGATGAAGTTAGGTGCTGTTATGAGCATCATTTGTGGCTATAGAGTGGCATTTTGGTTGAGCACATGGCTCTGTGTATTGCTATCATGCTGTCGTTTCTAAAGTTGGTATAACTAGAGAAGCAAGCTGTTGGCAACATTCATCTCTCCACGGGTTGTCTAACTCTGTGTTACGGTGTGTTTGACCCTAACTTAATTTTACGCCAGAATAGCCCTTTAAAGCAGTCAGCACAGTCACAGTCACAGAAGCACTGACCTGACTTCTCGGGCTCCTTATCCTCTTCTATCGTTTGTTTCATGGCCTCTCTCTGCTGCTGGAAACTTTTCCCTGTGGACAGAAACAGTTCGGCTGTTTTCAAAAACATCAAACAATAAATCGACACCTACACAAAAATCAGACAGACAGACAGCAATACCTGGTACCAGTCCAGCTAGCGGCTGGTTGTCCTCATCCCCGTCCCTGTACGCCTGCCACCAGTTTGGATCTGACTGGCTGATGATATGGAGAATATCTCCTTTCTGAAAAGACAAACCGAGCTCTCTACATGGCACGTAGGGATCGTCTGAAGGGTCGTAGTCAAAATGTGCTTTCACATGAACCTGAAGGATGGAGAGAAGAGAAAAAGGAAACAACATGGAGGATGATTTATGAGCCAAGGGAAAACTGGGTTCATATTTCCTGCAGGAAAAAAAAGAAAAAAAAAAGATGTTTTCAAATTGTCAATGAAAAATCTAAACTCACCACATTTTCTTTGACTGGAGGAGGTTTGCTCTGAGTACTGGGTATGAGCACAAAGGTCAAAAGGCCATGCATGTCCGCCTAAAACACACACACACACACACACACACACACACACACACACACACACACACACACACACACACACACACACACACACACACACACACACACACACACAGAAGGAGAAGAAGAGGAGCAGTTATTAGCCTGACTTACTCAGAGCTCCAGTGATTCTTCAGGAAAACAGTCTTTAAGTCTTTAAGCAGTCTTTCAAACAGGACAGTTCTGAATATGAAGATAAATCCTAACTCCACCTTCACTTACCAGAATATCAAAGACTTGGTTGACGTCTTTCCCTCTGATTTCGATCCCGTTGATCTCCAGTATTTCATCTCCCTCAGTTAAAAGTCCGCTCCGCTCTGCCGCTCCACCTCGAACAATACGACTGATCACCACGCTGTCCATCTCGTTACGTACAGTTGCTCCCTGCAGGACACACACAGAGAGGCAGGAGAATGATGGGGGAACAATGGATTTGCTGCACATAACATATTCTCTGCATTACAACAAAGCCAAAAATCTAATATAACAGAGAAAAAGTGATAAAAGCCTCAGAGTCTGTTTCATCTTATTCAGTAAACATTACTCTGTGACTTTTGCAGCATCCGCTACAGTCACATCCTACCTCCTGAGGAATCCTACCTTCTCTCCTGTCTCATTAACACCTAGTTGTTGTTTTTGCAGTTGACAAAGTGTTATAATTCAATTATAATGATCATCATTTCAGGCAGATTAAAATGTAATTTATGAGGGTATTTCCGCCAGAGACATGTTTTAGATACATTTTTAACTGATAAATGCAACATGAGGCTCTGCTCCAGATTTAAGAACATGACTGACGTTATGTCTGTAGTAATATTATCCTGTACTAAACTTAACGCCCTATCAGAATACGTCATACACTTATCATTAACTTGCTGTCAGTAAAGGAGATTTTAAGATTGCTCGACACTGCAGTCACACTGATGAGGCAGCCTGTAGTGTCTGCACATGTCGTCAGTTTATTGTGAGGAATGAGTATATTCAAAATGTCATTAGTCAACCTGAAAATAACAGCTACCAAGGAGCACAACAACTGCAAAGACACATAACTGATCCAAAAATAACCCAAAATATCTACAAATAGACCCCAAACAGGGCCTAGGCAACCACAAAAACCCAAACAAGACAAGACACCAAAACAACAGAAGAGTGCTTAAGAACCAGATGAAATCCAAAGACTGAAAATGGAGATACCAATCAAAGTTTTAAGACACACAGAACAACTTCAATAAGACCGATGGACACCCCAAAACAGAGGCTTAGACATAAAAAAGGACCTCAAAACTACTCAAAGATGCAAAACAGCTACAAAGGAGCCAAAAATCTCCAAAGAATAATTCAGAGGGACACCAGACAACCACAACAAATCCAAATCAGTAACAACAGGATACCAGTACAACTTCATGGGACACAAAACCACCCAAAAACAGCTACAAAGAGACGCAAAAACCTACCAACAGTCCCTGAACAACTACAAATGACACAATTAAAAATAAAAAAAGGAATAATGAACCCTGTCAACTGAAGTCAGAGAACACTAAAATCATGGAGTTTGGATCTTATCGGATAAAAAAACAACAATCAAACATGGGAGTGACATTGGTGTTTGTTGATATTTGAGCTTATCAGGTGCTAGAGAGTAAGAATTCATCTTCTGAGCAGTGTTTTAACTTACCATTTTCTTAATTTAGAGGAACAAGTTTTTTTCTGGAAGTTTTTGTTTCCTACTGCACAGACAACAAATGAAATAAAATCTTTCACAGCTCCAGCAGTAATCAGAGTGAGAGGCGTTACCCTAAGAGATGCTTTAAATTCTCATATACAGTAGATAGGTAAATTTATGTAATATAGAAATATGACTCTATAATAACTTTCTTTTTAACTCAATCTTAAAACAGGAACATCAAAAATATAAGTGTGTTTAAGTCTTCAGCTAATCTAACCTGACTGCCAGGAGAAACTGGAGCACCTGAGTGTGTGTGTGTGTGTGTGTGTGTGTGCGTGTCTTACCAGTGGTATGTCCTGGGCCTTCTCTATGCGAACTATCTTGACAGTCTCTCCTCCCCACTGGGTCAGGGTTTCTCCTTGGGCGGGCAGCGGCTCAGGCTGCATCTCCCTCTCTGCTATGCTGTCATGAGCCAGGAGCAATGACTGCCAAACACACGCACGCACACGCACGCACGCACGCACACACACACACACACACACACACACACACACACACACACACACACACACACACACACACACACACACACACACACACACACACACACACAGGAACAGGAACACACACACTCAGAGTTACTACAGGGTCCCTTAATTTATTTGCTCAGACAGCTGTGTGTGTGTGCATGTATGAGTGTGAGTGTGTGTGTGTATGTGTGTGTCGTACCTGGATGTGTGTGTCTGACAGCAGGTTTAGGAGTTCAAGTCCCTCTTTGTTCTGAGCTGGCTGGATGAGGTTCCTGACCTAAAACCATGGCAACATAAACATCATCATCATCATCATTACAGGAGGCCTCCAGTTTGTTTAAAACTTTTAAACGTTAGAAAAACTCTTAAAATGATTTTTTCAAACCCTAAAGTCTCCCTGGCATGGTTTGGTGAGCTGAGCAGTTGATTTTACTTCAAAGAATGAAGAAAAGAAAACCTGCTCTTCAAAATTTAACTCCAGATAAAAATGATACAGCTTGATAATTTGCAAGATCAGGTAACCCAGGACTTGATTTACCTGTTCCAGATGCACACTTTTAAGGGTTACCAAATCAGGATTATACAGGGGGCACTTAAGTCTGCAAAAAGTAAAAGTCCCTCACAGTTAAACCCTGACACACATGCGCCTCTCTACTGGAAATCTGAAATCTTACACATGTGAATGAAAATGAGAATGTGAATTTTCACTGTAAAAGGACAGTTTAAATTTGGGGTAAATGTAGTTTTTCAGCTTTACAGTGTTAACTAGCCCCTCAGCTGTGTGTATAAGGATAGAATAGTTGTTCATTGCACATTTGCACGGACACAAGGCTGTACAGGTATAATGGGATTTTTATGCGATACATCCAGTCAGCTCCATAAAAACAAAGAAATGATTAAAATATATATCTTTACATATTGAGATGAAAGATCAAAAGAAATAAACCTGTACAGAATGCAGAAATGACCAGACATTGCACATTCTTTGCACATTCTCGCACATTGTTGTTCCTGCAGTCTTATTAGTATATATTATTATTACTACTGTAAAGTTAAGAATAGAAGCCCACTTTTATTACAGTTTTTTGTCATTTAAAACTTGAACTGAGTATTTGCGGTGTTTTACCCAGCAGATGGCGCTCTGAGGAGCAAGCCACTGCTCTACTCCCTTCAATGCATGCTGCACACCTATCAAGACAAGCCAGTCTGAAAACAACTCTTTTCAGGCATTCAATACAAAAATGATACTATTATACATTTATCATGATATATTTAATATATCATGACTGATAGTTATAGCTACTCTGTGCAACTTCTTTAATTTATCAGTCTTTCCACGTAAGAATAAGACAAAGAGGCGATAATTGGTGGAAATGAATACACGTTTTTAGATGATTTGTCTCTGCTTCTCACTTCATTAAATCTCAACTAACAGAAGAGAAATTAAAATCAAAATTAAAGCTATGCTCAGTTATTTTGAGTCATTTAAAGTCGTCCTGCCTTCATTACGGTTCATATTTCTATGGTTTATTTTCAATCAGCTCAACAGAGACAAAGAAAATGTTTCAGAGCGCTCAGAATGAATCAAAGTTTTCCCCCTCTAAAGCCAAATGGAGGGCAGGGGGCGGAGATGCCAACACGGAGCAGAAATAATGTGCTGCTCTTTAATGAGATTCCACTGAAATGAGCCATGAATAGATCTGACAGCTCGCCAACAACACTGAAGCACACAAATAATTAAAGCACTGATTGTTGGGATCCATCACATTAGCTTCATTTGGACTGCTTTAGCATCAACAACTTCGAATCTGTCTTCACAGAGATAGTTTATCAATTTTTTTTAGACAGATTAGAGTTTTAAAAATGTGGTTTCAGGAGACTTTGTAGACAGGAGTCTCTGTTTATGTGAAATACAGTGTTATGTTTTAGCTCTGATTGCTGCTCAGTCTCCAGCCTCATATGACAGACATGCCGACCTGTAGGAGTATGTGTTAGTGTGTTCTGAAAATTAAGATTAATAATGGAGGAAATTAAAACACATGTATTACCTCTGTGGCCAGCTGAAGTGCCTGCTGTGTCTGTGGGTACGGTGGAGAGGGTCGGTGCATGCTGGAGGCCACTGCATTATGGATCTTCAGCGCTGACTGAAAATCAGACTACAAGAAGACACATTGTGAGAGTGTAATCAACTGAAGGCGACATGTTAAATATACACAAACTCCTGTTTTTTTAAAGTGAGGAGGTAAAAGTGCCTCCACGTGGAAAGATTTGACAGGATCTCTCCCCCTCTTGGATGGAAGTTTCTGTGTTCGTTTATAAATAATTCAAGCTAGGGTTTATACAAAGAAAAAAAGGGTATCTGACAGACCTATAGTCTCATGTAAATATGATCTTATTTTATCGGTGGAAATGTGATCCTCTTCCCAAACAACCCTTCATTCGGGTTGTGTCCTCTGGGTGTTTCGCAGAAAACCTTGTTGTTTTGAATTCTCTCAGTTCTCTTGAAAGAAACAAAAGCACTAGTTAGGATGAGCATTGATAACTAACCAACCATGACTGAGTGAAGAAAAGCTGGTGCCTCTCTGTTAATGAAACCAAAACTGAAGTTTGAATCACTACATTTCTGAACACAACAGAGTCAAGAATTAGAGCCGCTAGAAAAACATGTCAGAAAACGATGATGCTACTGCTGCTGAGGGAGATTAGAGTTTGAACACAGATGCATGTTGGTTTCCTGAGGATGTATAAAAGATAATACCAGACCATGATAAGAGACTAAACCTGATCAAAATGACCTGCTAAAGCAGCTTTGGTCTCATCATGTCTGTTCAAACACATCATTAACACTGAGCTACTTAAACATCAGCTTCTTCACCTGCTCATCATGGTCATTTAAACAGTGTTTCCAATCCACCCAACAGAAAATTGCTGTCAGGCCACTGAGCAAACACAACACAGAGGGACTTTAGCTGAGCTCATAAACGCTGCCTGTAGGTGCAGGTGTGAGGTGCTGCTTTTTCATGTTTACAAAGTGGTCAAACAAAATAAGCCTGATGTTCTCTGGAAGCTGTCAGTGTAGGGCTGCACGATTTGAGCCAAAAATAAAATTCAGATTTGTTTTCCTTTGAAAACTCGATTTTTTATTTTTTATTCAGTGACAACTTCACCAAACTTCATTTTAATAAATAGTTTTTTCTATCATCTCTCAAAACGAAACCACTGAAAACAATGTAGTACATATGCCGAGCCAGTAAGTGGCGCTGTAACGCTGCAGAGGAAATGCACAAAATACAGGAGAAGAGTACAAAGCATGCGTATAAAGGTTGTTTTGGCTGGACACACACATGCACCATAAAGAGTTACGTGTGTCACATGATCATTTCTAGAGATGCAGATAGGCATCTACACAGAGATAAAATGGTAGTTGTTTACGGATTTATGTACTCTCCGACCCATTTTCAAAAAAGTACTGTTTACAGTCACCCGAAACGCCATTTCCATGTTGATATAACTTCAATACGACCAAAAAACTTTTGCGTTTACTCCTGAATTTGTTTCCATGTGGACAGGTTGATACCGTCTTCAGACAGACTTTGCAGGAGTGGGAGTGGAGTGCTCTTTATCTGAAACTGCGAAGCTGTATCAATTCCACACAACCGACTTGCTCTTGCTCCTTTTAGCCACAAAATTATCGCCTTCTTTTACAAACGCCATGTTTGTTTACACTGGTGTGTGCTGGAACTGGGGAGCACTGTCACAGGAAGGGGGAGCCTACGGTGGGCCGGAGGAGCGAGACATGATAGAGAGGAAAATCAATTTGACAATTTTAATTTTTTTAACATCCGTCACGATCAAATAATCCAATTACGATTTAAAATGGATTAGTCATGCAGCCCTATGTCAGTGACAAGTTTGAGGATGTTTTTATTGGACTCATGCCTGAAACTGGAGTGAGGGGGTCTCGGCCAAGCAGCAAGAGAAACAGCCCTGTTTTCATGGTTTCCACTGTCAAAAGTCAGCAGGCTGAGATTTCCCTCAAGAGGACACAACTCATGTTAATACTACTTCTATCTCGACCAGTGTTTACTTTTTACCTTGACATGTTTGGACTGCTAACTTCCTGCAGTCTTCCTCAGAAGAGTCACATGATGTTGCTCTGACATTGTCTTTCAGCTGATTTATAGAAGTTTGGTCGTCCTACTTGAAGTGGCAAGACAACCAAGCCCTCTGCAGTCTGACAGTCTCAGGATAGTATTCCGGGTATGTGACAGCAAGTTTGCCGCTCATTTAGTTTTACCGTCCGAAGAAATATAAACATAAGCCCTGAGTGTTTGTCCCCCCGGTGCCCCCTGTCTCCTGCTCTGTCCACCTTCCTGTCCTCTTACAATAGAGACAAAAAACCTGAAAATAAAACCAGCGTCCAGCCAGCTTCACCCTGATGTTAGTGTCCATGAGTTACTCTAAACATGTAAAAAGAAGATAATGATGCTGAGAAAGCCAAAAATACAATTGTAAGGTGAGGACATCAGCAAAGATAAAGACATTTGGATTTCAAGAGCCAGCTTTGTGTTTTCTGCTGTCTTGTCTGTAGAATAAAGAAGTCTGAAGAGAAACTCAAAATCATTTCTGGAACCATTGAGGAGTAAAAAAAGCCAGTGTGTGTGTTCCTCTTTTAACCAATCAGGCACAGACACTGAAGAAAAAGCTCTAATTTGGCCTCCAAATGTAAAGTACTGAAAACTGAGGGGAGGAAAGGGAGGACAGACACCAAAACTAAAATGAGGTTACTTCCCCTGAAATACAGATAAAGTGTCTCATTTCTTAAAGAGGCTCCCGTTTTTGAGGCTGTCTGTCCCCTGAGATGGGGCTACAGTGTTTCAGGAGAAACACTGAATTATTTGTTAGCTTTGGGCGTAAAAATATCCAACATAAGAATATTTAATACCAGCACACAGGACTGCCCATCAGCAGCTTCAAGTCCAGGAATATTTTAATATTATATCTGCCGCCTCTGTCCTCCTCTCACAGCTCAGACTCTTGGCTCCACCTTCATGAACCTCTCTCACCTCAGAGGGTCAGAGAGTTCATAAAAAAAAACCACAATTACATGCTGACGTATGGACTTAATTCCACTGAAATCTCTTTATATTACCTTGTTTAATAGTGCAAGAACCAGCTCCACGTCATTCTGACTCTGCTGGTCAGTCAGGCAGCTGCGGACCTGCTTCAGGGAGAGCAGCAACTCCTCCAACTCTGCAAGAACAGCACAGGAAACAGGCTCATTTATAACATCAATTTCAAGCTGAATTATCCTGCTTTTAGAAATTGATCAACACAAGAGGGAAGGTTACTGTATTAACTTAATAACAACATAACTGCATCCTGCCTCCTTTGTTTAATTTTAAAAGAGAGATGCTGTCCTGAACCCAGCTGGAACAAACGGATCCTTTTTAAGACGGGCAGTCTCACAGGGACTACATCCATGTTTTCAACACTTGACAGCACTGATACCTGTTAGGATTCAGATTCAGCTGCTTCATCTGGACATACTTGATTTTGAGAGCTTGAGTGCATGCTATGACATGACTGTGATATAAAATCTGATTTTGTTAGTTGTGTCATGTAAAAGACATATTGGCAGAGCTCAGGTCTGACTTTGTGTTCAGGAACGGCCGTCCTGGAAGCAAACAGCCTGAGTTTCCAGTTTTCTTCCCCTGCCTCCATTCTCTGATCAAAAATATGAACAAATAATAAATAAAAAAGAGGAAAAGGTTCAATTCCAGCTGTATCAGCCTTGAGTTTATGTGTGGTGGACGGCAGCTCATTTCCTAGTCAATTTTTTTGTTCTACTTTGTGCGTTTCTGTTTGTGTTTGTTGCCAACCCTCACAGAGTTTTAATTAAGTCACCCTGGAGAGCCTCTCGTGTCCTTCTCTCCCTCTCGGAGGAATTCCCTCCCTGATGGCAGACATGTCTTTCTTACATTCCTCGCCCTTCCAGCCACTTTTCTTTTTCCTTTTCTCCTTTTTTCCTTCATTTAGAAACCATCTTTCAAGTCCACCACCCTTCTCCCGACTACCTTCTCTTTTCTTTCTTTCCCCCTGGGAGTTTCACTACACCAATGATCTGCAGTTATGCTCTAATCCACATTTGTGTGTGTGTGCGTGTGTTTTACCCAGCAGTGCGTGTGTGTGCTGGCTGCTGAGCACTTGCTGCTGCGGTGTGTCTTGGAGGAATGTGGGGTTGTCGATGCCGATGTGAGGATTCTGGGAGAGCTTCCTGAGTCTGAGTGAGGCATTCAGGTCAAGCTGTCGACCCTCCTCCTCCCTACGACGCCGAAGATCCTCCTGAAACACACACGCAGATAAGACAAATCATACAACTTAGCTGGCCGACCCTTTGATGGTTCAGAAATAATATATCTATGTGTAACTATAGTAGAAAAATGATGCCCCCCCTTTCTCTCTCTTCCACTGATGATCATATTGACCGATTAACCGATTAACCAATTACAGACACCATTTTTACATTTTTTTTTCTGCATCTTATCAGAAATGATGGAAGTTTGCTCAAGGCCTTGCAGACACATTCACCAAGTAACCATTCTGCCAGCGATCTTTTCCAGTGCATCTAATATTCAACCTTTTTTAACACAAACTCTCAAATAAGAAGACCAACTTGACTTTAAAATTAGGCCGACAAAGAGAATGATATGCCTTAAAAACACACGACCTGTGAGCTCATACCTGGTGCTGTCGTATCCGCTCCAGCTGTGCGGAACGTCGGGCCGGCAGCGTTCGACTCCCCAGCTCTCCTGGACAGTCGACGGCCATTTCCCTGTGCTGCTGTCCTCCTCTCAGCTCTTCATCTCCTCCTCCTCCTCCTCCTTCCCCAGCAACATGGCCGTTCAGGTGGGAGGTTGTCATCCCTCACACACACACACACACACTTAAAAGTCTTGAGAGAGAGTTTGCGTGTGTGAGTGTGTGTTTATGTTGAGCACAGGGATGTTAAGGTGAGTGTATCTTTATCACAGTCAGGTCTAGGAGGGGAGTTCAGCAAACTGGGCAGCCATGATACCTGTACCTGTGGAGAGAGTGAGGAAGACTGGGTAATGTTTCTCCTCAATAGTGACTGAACTGATAAAATGTTGAATGAACTGACGAACTGCTCATGTGTTTACTAACAGGGAGTCAGTGTTGGGGTTTTCTGAGTATCCAATCAGTAGGGGTGGGTGATATAGGCCAAAAAATGGGTCACGATAAGCTTTGCCATTCTGGCGATAATGATAAAAATTATTATAATTCCTATCTATGTTTTTGACTTATTTTGTCTGGAGAACACCGGTTGGCATAGTTAAAGGTACTCATCCACAAGTTTGAGAGGTAGGTTATAGAGGAAACTAGTGAAATGTGAAAACACTTTCAGCATTTGTTGAAAACTCTTGGTGCACAGAGTGAACAGCAGCAGATCCTCTGTCCAATGTGAGGCAAACCTGATTGCACTCATCTAAACTCCAATCTTTAAGGAAATCCCTCATGTGGAACCTTGTTCAGTAACCAGCTGCTCAGAAACCTCTTCCTCATTACTTTCAGCCATGTTTGATTGTTTGTTATTCTGCTCTGTGTAGGCTACAAGTCTGTCACTCGTGATTACATCATCAACTTGCATTTATTGCGTTCATCGTGAGATGGCAAATATTTATCGAGAAGGAGTTTTCTGACAATAAATTGTGTACAATCATTTATTGCCCATCCCTACCAATCAGACAGTCGCTTTGTGGATACGGTGTGATTTACAGTGTTGATTTTCTTTTGGTATTTTTTCAAGTCTTGAAGCATTACAAATGAAACACTCGTATTATAAATAAAATAAAACAAGATAAAGAAGCAAGTTTCATTTGTATTGTCTCTGTAGCGCTCCCTTTGATACTGTCAAGACGGCAGCTGAGAGATTACATTAAAAAACAACACGTTGAATACAAAAGCCATAAGAATGAATCAGTTTGAGGGAATAAACCAAAGTTACTTTTTTTCAGATAGATTACACATTAACAATGGGAAAGTTGCGTCCTCATTTTCATGCTCACTCTGGACTTCATTCATCCGACAGTCCCTCCTTGGTTCTGCAAATGCAGCCATGTTGATTTCAGTCTGGATTATGTGCAACTTTTCCACATTTTTGTTCCCATCATTATTTACTCTGTTCAAACTGGTTGAGTTTCTCACACTGCCTTCTTCACATAAATGCACTGGTATGAACTCTGGGTGAGCTAAACAAACTGGCTGACTGACTTAACTGCTTGTACCCCCAGTTTGACCTAGTTAGAGTTCTGGATGAGTAACTGGTGTACACACTGATGATGGTAACGTTCAAGTGTTTTCAGATGACTGAATGAATACATGTAAAACTATGTTAAAGACCCTGCAAGTTTTTCATCATCAAAATAGTTTACATCTCCATTTGTCCTTTTTTTTTTTTTTAAAGTAAACTGGGAACAAACACTTCATCACTGCCCCCCATTTTGCAGGCGTAACCATGACAATAGCTTTGTCAGCAACCGGGTGGTCCCTTACACACCCGCGCACATAGATATATGTCGGGAGGAGGTGGGAGGGAAAGTGCATGGGTGAGAAAACAGAGTGAGGGACAAGGGAGGGCGAGTGAGGTAGAAATGACCAGAGTGAGAGACAGAGAGAGACAGAGTGAGAGACAGAGTGAGAGAGAGACAGCGAGAGAGAGAGAGAGAGAGAGAGAGAGGGTAAAAATAAACAGGTGGGAGATGGATGGATGCCTTATCTCTCAGTGCCACAACAACAACAGCCCAGTGTTTGATATGTTATCTCTAACCAGCAGGACTGTACACACACACACACACACACACACACACACACACACACACACACACACACACACACACACACACACACACACACACACACACACACACACACACACACACACACACACACACACACACACACACACAGGGAGAGCAGAACAGAGGTCCCATGATGCAGCAGTGAAGAATGCCAGGCAGCCCTGGGAACAAAATTCCTATGATGGGGGAAGGGTGTGTGTGTGTGTGTGTGTGTGTGTGCGTGTCTATATTTCTGAGTGTGCGAGCTCTAAAAACACACCACACTCACATCTCAGGATATCTGCTCTGATCATCATCAAATCACTATCACTAAACAGGAAAAAAAGCTGATATAGATTTTGTTTCTATCACATTAAATCCCCTGACGATCACACACACCCACATGATCTGAGGGACGTGTAAACCTGACCGCCACTTCACATTTCCACCCTTCTCCTTTACCAGCATACATTCAGCAACCCCCCTGCCCATCCTTGTTTTCTTTGGTGAGAAAAGTTCTGTAATGCCTCAGGTCCCACTGACAAATATGTTTCCTCACCAGGAGAGCAAAATAATCTCTGAGAAAATCCTCTGGAAGGTAGTGAACATTATTCTTTTGACTGAAATGTCTGGACTACAAGTCTTTTAATAACAATGGGACCTGTGTCAGGGACAGGGACATTCACTTCTCAACATGTAAACACATTAGGAAAAAATGAACAGCTCATTTTAAATTTGATGTTAGCAACATGTTTTAAAAAAGTTCAAACCTGTATATCTGAGCTCTGAAAAAGTGGTGCAATGTTCAGAAAAGACAGAGGACCATCCCCCAACTAACAAGGTTAATTTATAACAGATACTGCTGTGACTGTGTGAGCAAACAGTTCAAAAGATTCAGATCAATGTCCCTGAACATTCAACTGCAAAGTATTTGGGGATTTTTTTTTATTTCAGGGAATCTAGAAAAATCTCTGCACAAAAGTGGCAAAACCTCAAAGCTGATACTGAGAGGCTGTCATTTCTGAGCTCTCGAGCAGCACTGCATCAAAAACAGGCCTGACTCTGTAGTGGAAATCACTGCAATGGCTAGAAACCACTTCCAAAAACCCCGGTCTGTGAACACAGTTTATCATTTATCACTGAAGTATGCAGGGTGGAATCCAGGAAGGCCAGGAACTCCTCTGGACCTGGAGCCATTTAAGATTGACTGAAGTAAAGTGGGAAACTCTCGAAACTTGTGGTCTGACAAATCAAACTTTAATATTCTTTTTGGAAATCATGGATGCCAAGCTTTCCTTTCTAAACAAAAGAAGACCCATCCGCCTTGTTCTCAGCCCCCAGTCAGAATCCATCATCCCTGATGGTATGGGGATCAGCAGAGTCCATGTCATGGGTATCTTCCACATCTGTGAAGGCTCCATTAATGCTGAAAAATATCTACAGGTTTAGAAGCAACATCTGCTGCCATTCAGACAAAGACTTTTTCATGGAAGACTTTTATATTTTAGCAAGACCATGACAAACCACATTCTGACTACAGGGATTAAAACAGCATGGCTCTGTAGGAGAAGAGTCACTTCACCTTCAGAACTCCAGAAAGTGGTCTCCAGGGTTCCCAAACATTTACAGGGTGGTGTTGAAGGCAGAGGTGAGCAAGTTTCCATATGGACATGTTAAGTAGACGACCGCACTTTGTGGAGCATGCTGCAGCCGCACATACGTAGTTGCGCACACCGAGACATAACAAACAGCAGATTTAACCAACAAGTAGTGGACGTCATAATGCCGCCAGCATTGGCAATAAGCCAGAGCTTGAGGACCCTCCCGGGACATTAAGGTCTCCCGTTTGGGAACACTTCGGCTTGCCAGTGAAATATAAGCAGGAACAAAGAGAGGTTGATAAAACCAAAGCGGTTTGCCAACATTTTTTATCTGAGATCAGGTATGTTTCTGGCAACACGTCAAACCTCTTACTGTTAACTGTTGCACATTAGATGGAGAAAAGATTTTTTTTATAGCACATTTATATTTTGCATTTTGTTTTCTTACCGCACCAAGCCGTGACCTCAAAACAGAGGTAAGTTCCGAACCCAGATTTTTGTGAACTGTCCCCCCCTTACTTATTCCAAATGTTAGTTTTAAAACATGTTGCTGTCGTCAAATTTGAAATCAGTCTCAATTTTTTCAGAAAGCAATGAAATGTTCTCTTTCAGTAATTTAAATTCTGTCTTTGCTCAATAGAGTTTGAATGTTTTGGTTATTTCTATAAAAGAATCCACTTTACGCAGTCAAAGGCTTCCGACTCCTCTCTGTGAGAAACCTGTTAATTCACCAGAATAAGGTATGTCAAAGCTCAATCAACACACAGGCCCTTGGCTGAGCAGCAGGTGAGTGGAAGTGAAAACACTGTGGAATAAAGTCTCTATTTCAGAGCCAGTAGAGCCATGAAACAGTGACAAAGAAGACCCTGCAGTCTGAGGAGCTAACGTCCAAGGTAAGTGCATGAGGATTTAAGCAGCTCGTCTGGAGAGCTAACCTTTCTCCTACAACAACAAACATTAGACTGCTGACACATGCTGAGGGAGGGACAGAAACACAGCCAGGATCAAACTGAGGCTCATTCAGGGCATCGAGCAAGGGAAAACAAAGCACCGAACACCATCCTGAGGAGGTACCAGACACTAAAATAGACCTGATAATAACCAACTGGACACGCTAACTTGAAGCACCTTGAAGACAGTGTAAATGCAAGCTTAATCCAGGATGTGGATAAACAGGCCCCCTGGGTGGTAAAACTCTTAAACTCAAACAGCAAACAGTTCAATCTATAAACTAACAAGATTCTGAGACAGATTAGGCCTTGGGAAGTTTTACATGTGTTGTAGAGCTGCTTGATACCGATACCATCATTACAACCAGCCTGAATACTTCCTCAAGTACAGTAACAGGCCAGTTAAAGAGGGAAGTTGAACTTGACTGTCCTTGACTTGAGCTGACACACTCTCATTATCAGTGTCAGCATTGGCTGCTGGAAAACTGTAATCTACAGACCACCAGTCATAGCAAAGTTAACTTTCACAGCATAACAACAGCTCAGCTGCGAGCTTAACTGGCATTTGAAAAACATTACATTGAAGCAAATCCTGATTTACACTTCTTATTGAAACTCTGTGGGACTGATAAAGTCTAAATGCCTGTTGGGGGGGCAGACTGGCTGCATGAGACCGAAGGGTTTGGGACTGAACTTGTCTTAACACCAGGATCGTCCCATTCTTCTATTTGTATTGCAAATGTGAGGAATTAATATCTCCACCCCAAACATCTCCAGCTGATCTACTGATCTACTTGCAATTATAAAATTTTGCGATACACTGAGCATTGCGATACAAGATATTGGAATTTATACAAAATTTTTCAACTGTTTATCTAATTCAGCATTTGTCTTTACTTTATGTTTGTCTCATTTACACAGTATTTTTATTTTCATATATCTTGCAAACCTCATATGTCAGGTCCATCATGTGCCCTGCTTTGATTACTAACGTCCCTCCCCAGGTTCTGCTTTAGTTGTTGTACTAACTTTTTCCTGCTCTACGATGTCACCTCTACAGACCTCACTGTACAAACAATTGATTTTATTTTTCCATTATCATAGATTTGACTTCATATTAACAATTAATTTGACAAAATCGATACTTCGTAAACGAGAAGATCAATAGATCACCAGACAAAATATCCTGATACTATGCTGTAACAATTTTTCTCCCATCCCTTGTATTTACACACCAATACTTTACCGGCCTGTCTCTGTCCCTATTTTAAAGCTCTTCAACATATGCAAGATGACTACAAAACTTTTCATCATGCATTTTTTTGTGTTTTTTTTTTAAGTGTCTGTCCCTGATTTCATACACAAACCGATATCATATTGTAAAGAAGTTGTGTAACTTAAATTTGTGTAATTCAATGTGAGCTTTAAATCTGTGTAGTTTTAAAACACCGATCCCTGACAGCTTAACTACAATATTATAATGTTTAGATGTAACTGACAACACTTTAAACGCATTTATCCAAACATAGTATAATGCTGAAGCAGAACCTGACATGTGATGCCTGAATAGAGCTGTCCTCAGATCAGCGTTTTCTGCTGAATGCATCCTGGTGGAAACGCTGATTAAGTTTTGACTCCCAGTTTATCTGGAAAAACCTGCTGAACAGCTGATGAAGATCTGCAGCTGTTTTCTGCTGGACCCCTCAGACCAGTTACCAGTTCAAACTTTATCTGAAGAAGAGACACACACATCTGATGAGCTATGACCTAACCTCCCCGTCTCTCTTTCTCTCTCTCACACACACACACACACACACACACACACACACACACACACACACACACACACACACACACACACACACACACACCATCTGCTGCTACACTTTACCTCCTGCTGTGCATGTATCAGTGTGTGTGTGAATGTGTGTATGCATGTGTGTTTTGTTAAGATGACAGTTCAAGGCAAAGCTACCAGAACAAAAAGCTCTCTGAATGAAGGGACTCTTTCAATCTCCACAGGCTGTTTGTCTGTTTACCTCCTGCTCTGTTTACCTGTCTGCTTTATAAATACCTCCAGTCACTTCCAACAGCAGGCTTTCAGTCTTTGCATTTAGTTAGCAACCAAATAACTATTCAGTGAAGCTGATCGTTAAGTAGCAAGTTATAAATTTAAGTAATTACTAAAGAAATTAAAATCATCTGACAGAAATAAGCATTTTAGCATTGACAGCAGTAGACCTGGACATTTCACTGGCAGCAAACAAAAGGGTTGTTAGTTTCTCCTCAGGACCTCTGACTGGCACCAGGTTTACATTGAGAGTCGTAGCTCGATTAGGCCGTTTAACTGGATTACTGGCACTGAGCAAGAACAGAATTATTGACAGAAGCATGTCTAAGGTAGGTGCAAGCAGCAGCCTCTAGTCTGAGGTACGAAGCCGAGGCAGAGGTGCTTAGAACTGCGACTCTGCAGAAGTACCAGAAACCACGTACACACTGAGCCGAACATACCCATCTTCAGAACAAAACAAATGTTTTTCTAACACATTGGTTTCAGAAGCACGGCTGACTTGACTGGCAGGAGCACTGTAACCATTTGAGAGGAGGCTAAAGGCCCCTCCTCCAGTAGGTTGAATCAGCATTACACCAATATGGTGACCACCGCCGATAGGCTTCAAAACTCTGCTTGAACTCTGCTTGTTGATCATAAAGTTAATGTGAGAAGCCCCATCCCTCTTTGATTTTGATTGGTCGGAGATAGCTGTGACAGTATCAAATATGGTGGTGATCTAAAAGCTAAAATATTTCAGCAGAGATCTTGGTCAGCACAGCGACAGAGAACAGCTAACACTGAGGTCGTTCTTACACTCCAGATGCTGAGAGTTGAAAAAATGCGTTCATGTTTTTTTTGTGTTCAGCTCAAAAATCTGCCACCAGTGTAAACGTTCCGTTAGTCAGCCTAACTGCTGCATTTCTTCTTTTGGTCTGCTATTGCATCATTCACAGAGAAATACAGGATTAACATCACGGAGGAGCTTTAATCTTTACAACCTGGGTGTTAAAACAAACTAAAGCTTTAAAAACTATCAGCTGATTAGTTCAGACAAAGCACAAACTTAGATAGATGAATGTTAAAATCTGCTTCTATGAGTCTTTCCAGCTCACTCATGATGCCTGAAAGGATCACACCGTCAACCCTTCAGAGAAATTTATCAGATTTACTTCAAACCTCAAACAGTTTGAAATAAGACATACAATAAACAAAACCACTAATAAATCTGTCTGGTAGGAAGTAAACAGCCTAACACAGACATGAATAACAGGGTGTGGCGAGTGCTTTTTTATGAGGCCTTTATTCCTGTTTCCTCCTTCAGCTGACTGACGTGAATTGAAGCATGAGGTGAATCAGGAATGAAGAGTGTGTGAAGTGTGGATGTTTACTCTAGAGGATTATCTCAGAGTGGAATTTGTTTCTTTATGTTGCGCAACAATCAAAGCCAAAACTTCCACTCAGGGAAGACAAAAACCAGCCCCAGTTTGTTCAAACCATGACAGGTGCACTGCAGGTTTCTTAAGAGAGAGCAGTATACAATATCGACAAAACTGTTGTTTTTACTGCAGTTATAACACTGTTTAGGCTCTTTACCGAGCAATATGAGTCAGCTAAACATGGCAAGAATCAAGAGATGAAGAGATAATGTCCTGGACTCTTAGAGGTTTTCCCCTGATCTGTCTTTTTTAGGATCTGCAGTGAACTACAGTGAAAAATGAAGCACTTTCAGGGGGACAGACTTTGATCAAACAGTCCTGAGGTAGAGTTTACAGCACTTAAAACCTGTTTCCCAGCTGCAGACTGAGACAATCTACCATCTATGCCAAAAATACATCAATCAATGACTGGGGCTGGGCGATATAACGATAACGATATATATCGAAAATGAATTTCCCTCAATATCAATATAAAACGTGGTCAATATGCTTTTCGATAGTCAGCATTCTGCCATGTTTTGGTAGACTATACGAATAGCCAATGAACATGAATGAACGAAATGAATGAATGAATGACACAAAAACCTCATAGATGCAGTAGCTTATTGAATTGCACAAGACATGCCACCAATAAGCACTGATAAATTTCATTTAAGAGTAACAGGGAACATTTAAGAGTGTTTTTTTATATTGTAATATTAATATTGACTGATATGAAAAAATTATCATGATAAACTTTTTCCCATATCACCCAGCCCTAACTTCACATAACCAGTAAGTCTTTTATATGACGTCAAGAGTTTCATTTTTGACTCTACAGGCATTCAAACAAAGTCTTGTTTTTGACTTTCTAATACTTCAAATTCAGATTTTAGCAGACAGTAGAGATGGAGTGGATTGGCAGTGTGGTGACACAATTTCCCATATTTACACTGATTGATGAAGATAAAGACAGGACACTATACAGATAAACCTCAGCTCCTGACATTAGTGCACTTTACTTACAGACATGCCAGTGTCTGACAGCAGGGCCCATACTGACGTTTAGCTGACGCATCAGGGTGTCCCCACCAGACAGTTTTTCTGTTTCTACTGTTAATGCATTTCCCTTTTTAATACTGGTTAATGGTCTCATTAACGTTCTGCAGCTCTGAAAGGCACATGCCTGCAGCAGAGCTTTGGCTGGTGAAGCTCCATCCTGTGAGCTAAACTCCATAACAGTATAGTCCCTCTTTCTGCACTTTATTCTAGTGTGTTGGTTGCACTGGTGCAGCTTGTACTCTTATACACTGAATTTACAGTGACTTTCTACATTAATTATAGATTTAAAGGTGGGGTAGGCAGGATTCCTTTAAAGAAGCATCTTTTTTGTGGTGTATTTACAAAAAAGCTTTTAATATCAGTCAATAGCTATTAGTTATTGATGACATTTGGTAATATAATGATATCGCTGTGTTCTCTTATGTCTGTGTAGTCATCATTTAAAATTTTTTGAGTGGGCCGCTCTTTCTGACTGTAAACAAAGCCATTCCCCGACCTGATTGGTTGTGAGGCAGACGCTGCTCCATTGTATTGTGAGGCTCGCTCCTTGTCCTCGAATAACGTGCACGAGCCCAAATAAAGCGTGCTACATTATTGGACAGTAGAAACCAATCAGAAAATAGACAAAATTGTTTGAATCCTCCTTTAACCACGAATGCCGACACAAACAAGAAAAAAAAGGAAATACTGGAGACTCTGGCAGAATAACAGACGCTTAAAAAGAAGGTAGACCAGACAAGAGCTATGGGAGACGCTTCAGGATCTTACAGACCCTGTAACCTTTCTGCTGGACAGGTAAACCGCTTTAACAAAGTAAGCCAAGTGTCTGTAACAGAAGTGTTTCTTGTCAAACGGGACCTGCTGTGTGTTGTAGCGCTGCTAAACTGTTTACCTTGGGTCCTGGACTATGTCACTTTATCCTAGTTGTAGAAGTCCTGCAAACATTGTGTTTGCTGGTAGCCTGTTGGCAAAAAAGCTTTCAATATTAGTTAATAGCTATTAGTTATTGATGACATTTGGGTATATCATAATATCGCTGTGTTTTGTTATGTCTGTGCAGTCAACATTTAAAATTTTTTAAGTGACCCGCTCTTTCCAACTGTAAACAAAGCTGTTCTATACCTCCCCCAAACCTGATTGGTTGTGAGGCAGATGCTGTTCCCCCTGGTCATTCATGAGCCCAAACAAAGTTAGTGTGCTACAATATTGGACAGTAGAAACCAACCAGAAAGTACAGAAAATTGTCTGAATCCTTGTTTGGCCACGACTGCCAACACAAGAAAAAAAAACGAAGGATATAACGGTGACTATGGTGGAATAACGGGCGTTGAAAAAGAAGGTAGACTGAACAAAAGGTAAAAAGCCGGGTCAACATCAATGAAGCATAGACCATGGGGGACACTTCAGGATCATACGGACCCTGTAACCTTTTTTCTGGACAGGTAAACCGCTTTAACAAAGAAAGCCAAGTGTCTGTAACTGAAGTGTTTCTTGTCAAACGGGACCTGCTGCGTGTTGTACTGCCGCTAAACTGTTTACCTCTGGTCCTGGACTATGTTTGACACAATCGATCATGACCTTTAACTTCAAAAGATGTTTAAATATGGTGTCAGAGGGGTAGCTCACGCCTGGCTTTGTTCTTATTTAAGTGACAGATGGCAATACGTCTCTTTGGGTAAAACGGATTCTGGACTGTTGAAGGTTAAGTGCTGCATCCCACAAGGGTCAGTCCTTGGTCCAAAGTTATTTATTCTGTATCTGAATGAACTCTGTAATGTGTCTAAGTATATGAACTCCATCCTTTTCGCAGATGACACTAACTTTTTTTGTTCCGGAGAGCACTTATCTGAAATCATATCTACTGTTGAAAAGGAGATGAAATTGGTTAAAAAATGGTTTGATGCAAACAAATTGTCGTTAAATACAAGTAAAACAAAATTTATGATATTTGGGAACCATAAAATAGATACAGATGTTAAACTGAGCATTAACGGTAGAGAAATTGAAAGAGTGTCAGAAGCAAAATTCTTGGGTGTCACGTTGGACCAAAGACTGAACTGGAAAACTCATATAAATCATGTTAAATCAAAATTTGCTAAATCAATGGGCATAATTTACAAGGTAAAGGATTTATTGAACCAGTATGCCTTATATATTTTGTATTGCTCAATTGTAGTCCCATATATCACCTACGGCCTGGAAATATGGGGAAATGCATACCCTACCCATACGCAACCTATTTTCATCTTGCAAAAAAGAGCAGTACGGATTATCACCAATTCAACTTACAGAGAACCATCAAATAAATTATTCATTAAATTAAGAGCATTAAAATTTAAGGACCTGGTGGACTACAAAATAGCACAGACCATGTACAAAGTACATAATAATTCATTGCCGTGTAAAATTGTCAATATGTTTAAAAAAAGGGAATGTAGGTATGAGCTCCGTGGGACACATTTGATGGAAAAAATAAAAACTAGAACCAAGATCAAAGAACAGTGTACTTCGGTTAAAGGTGAGAATTTATCGAATGCCCTTGACGATGAATTAAAAACGTGTCAGACTATTCACAAATTCAAATCGTTGTTTAAAAGCAAGGTGATCGAAAATTATAGAAAAAATGATTGAGGTTACGGATTAATTTATATTCTGGATTTCATTTGATTATTATTATTTTTATTTATTTTTTTCTTTCTTCTGAGTCATCTTTTTATTCTTTGTTTTGTTGTTGTGTTTTGTTTTTGTTTTCTATCTAACGTGTGGAATAAGATGTTTTGAATATTTTGATTTAGTAAGAAGGATAGGCGATAATAAGCTTTTGCTTCAGCCTATGCCTTTTCGGTCCGGTTTTCTTTTCTTGTAATTTACTGTATATATTGAATGGATATGACCAGATCGAAATAAACTTCAAACTTCAAAACTTCAAATGTCACTCTATCCTAGTTGTAGAAGTCCTGCAAACATTGTATTTGCTGGTAGTTCATTGGCGTAGCACCAGTGCTTTTTACTTTCACGTTGACTGGGCTCCATTTGTAATTATCTGAAGTATTTATCTGCATTACGATACGCAGCATTATGATACGAGCGAGCAGGAATGCCTGTCTGTGGGCGGGGCTTGCCGGAGCAGAGAGGGAGGGGAGGAGCTGAGAGGAAAATTGGTGGTGGTGGTGGGGGTACTGTTTACATTCAAGGTTTCTCCCAATAATTGGCACTTCCTCAGATCCTGCTTACCCCACCTTTAAGGTTCAGAAGTGATGTTTTAACTTCAAGCAATATCAAAATTTTGTATCAAACATCAGAAACAGCTCATAGACAAAGTTCACTGGTTTAATTGCTGCACTTCTCATTCTATTCACAAGGCTGCACAATGTACTCATAGATCACATGTGTTTCTCCTGATAAGAAGGCCCAATATTTGCTCAGGGCACTGATGGCCTGTCCAATAAACAACACTAAAAAGAGAGTATAGGATACAAGGTTTAGTGTGCCTGCCACTCTAAAAAAAAATCAAAGTAGAGCAGCAAGTGTGTGTGTGTGTATATGCAGTGAATGTCACTGCGCAGAAGCAGAGCTGCCTCTTGCGTGAAACAGTGCACACTAAAGAACACACACTCATGCACACACTCAAAAAGTCTGTACCACCCTGTACCAGACAGGGAGAGCATGAGCCAAAGCGAGGCAGAGAGAAGGAGGAAGCAGATGCATGCCGCGTTAGTTTTTTTAAATTTACACAGCACTAAAAGAAGAGGATGCATCCAGCTGATGGGCTTCATATGAGATTTTTTTAGTGTGCTGAAAACTCTGACATAAACCTGGACTTTTCCCAGCTCTGAAGTAGTTCCTAGTAATGAAAGCAGTCATCAGTCTGTGCACCACAGACTACACACTCCAGGCATGTCAAGGTAGATGCAGAATGAAATATACTATTGTTCATATATTAAATATTATATATTGATTAAAAAAGGTCTAGCTTTTACAAAATCTGCTTAAGAAGACATGACCTCTCACCTATTGTCTCCACAAGTTAAAGGCAGCTTTATCGAGTGTTTTCTGAGACTTTTCAGGCTGTAAGTCAAGCAGAAACACCGGAGTTTCACCTGACATGGACTATGACCACCAGGTGACATAAAAAGCCTCTCTGATGGTCTGATTTATTGATCTGTAAGTGGGCTAAAAGAAAGAGAAAAAAGGAGAGAGAGAGAGAGAGAGAGAGAGAGAGAGAGAGAGAGAGAGCATTCCTGAGAACAGAGGACTTCTGTATTTTTCTGGCTTGTGGCCTAAATGTACCCGTCCTCACCTCTCTGCTTCACTAGCTCGCGGAGTGTGTGTGAGTGCGTTTCTAAAAGTCAGCTGTGACCCCGTCACCATAGCGATGTGACCTCATACCTGGCAGTGGAGCCTATCTAAAGGTCAGTTTAGTTTGTGCGTACTGGGGTATTTACACACTGTCTTATACAGTATACTGCAGAGCTGCACCTGACTCCACATCCTGCAACTGGAGCCATCTGAAGGGAGGATTCAGACTCTTTCAGCTCAATGCTACATCAGCTACATCAGCCACATCAGCCATGTGATCTACTTTTCTACTCTAAATGTCTGACTTCTTATCAACTAAAGTCAAGATGCACTGATTATTCAAGATGCAAACATTGAAACTTTTTATATTCAGTGACTGTTCAGGTTTTTCTCACTTCTTCACCTTTTGATAGTTGCTGCTGCTTGTTGCTGTTCAGGATGATGGTTCTTGTGATGTACCATCAATTTGGATGTGTTGACAGCTGATGAAATTAAAGGTGGAGTAGGCAGGATTCTGTTCAAAAAGCATTTTTTTTTTGGGGGGGGGGGGGTGTACTTACAAAAAAGCTTTCAATATTAGTCAATAGCTATTAGTTATTGATGACATTTGGGTATATCATAATATCGCTGTGTTTTGTTATGTCTGTGCAGCCAACATTTTAAATCTTTTAAGTGACCCGCTCTTTCTAACTGTAAACAAAGCTGTTCTATACCTCCCCCAACCTGATTGGTTGTGAGGCAGATGCTGTTCCCCCTGGTCATTCATGAGCCCAAACAAAGTTAGTGTGCTACAATATTGGACAGTAGAAACCAACCAGAAAGTACAGAAAATTGTCTGAATCCTTGTTTGGCCACGACTGCCAACACAAGCAAAAAAACGAAGGATATAACGGTGACTATGGTGGAATAACGGGCGTTGAAAAAGAAGGTAGACTGAACAAAAGGTAAAAAGCCGGGTCAACATCAATGAAGCATAGACCATGGGGGACACTTCGGGATCTTACAGACCCTGTAGCCTTTCTGCTGGACAGGTAAACCGCTTTAACAAAGAAAGCCAAGTGTCTGTAACTGAAGTGTTTCTTGTCAAACGGGACCTGCTGCGTGTTGTAGTGCCGCTAAACTGTTTACCTCTGGTCCTGGATTATGTCACTCTATCCTAGTTGTAGAAGTCCTGCAAACATTGTATTTGCTGGTAGTTCATTGGCATCTACAGTAGCACCGGTGCTTTTTACTTTCACGTTGACTGGGCTCCATTTGTAATTATCTGAAGTATTTATCTGCATTATATCTAAATTTAATTGAAATGATACGAGCGAGCAGGAACGCCTGTTTGTGGGCGGGGCCTGCTGGAGGGGAGAGGGGAGAGGAGGAGCCGAGGGGAAAACTGGTTGGAAGGGGTAGAGTTTACATTCAAGATTTCTCCCAAAAACTGGCACTTACTCAGGTCCTGCCTACCCCACTTTTTACTGCTGATTCAAATAATTGATTTTAAAGAGGCATTAACACACAATGAATTGCATGCATTTGCACCTCAGCTGTAAGGCAAAGAGCCTCAAGACTCCGCCTATAACTGATGTGATGGTGCCCTCAGTGATCTACATATTCCTTCTTTTATGCATCAGAGAACCTCCTCCTCTCCCTTTCAAATCAGGCTCAAGTTTAGACCTGTTGGTAACCACTAATATATCTGCCATCATGCAAAATATGTCACCCCACCCAGTCAAGATAAACCTCCACAATAAGAGAGGCCTGGAGTACAGTCTGCTAGAGTCATTTGTATGAGCTCAATACCTGTTAGCTGAAAATTCAGTTTGATTCATGAGTTTTATCAGACAATAAATGCAGACAAGACACAACGCCATGCCACAAGATCCAGGAGACTTGAATGAGACCAGATCAATGAGCTCAAATATGACCAGTTTTCAGGTTTAGATAAATAGGTCCTCATTAGAACCAGCTCTCAGTCCTCATCCTTTCTAGGGACAGAAGTGAGAAGATTTTATTAATGCAAATGCCAATATTCTGCTTACTGATCGAACTCTGCAGATTGCAAAATGTAAAAAAAAGTAGGACTAAGGAGGTTCACTGTGTCAACAACACAAATTTTATCTTTATGAGTTTTATTATCTGCTGTACTCTGCCTGGGCAGGGAAGTCTGGTCTCTGACTAGACCTTTACAGATCAGCTGATTACAGATACAGCCTCTATTGGACGACATACCTACCCAGATATAGGCAGCAAACATCCAAAATGACACTATTTTACTAAAAAACAAACAAAAAAAAAAACTTAAATTGTCACACTGACTTCTCTAATTTTGAGGGATTGGATTCATACAGTCTCTGAAAATACACTGAACTTCACTGTGAGATATGAGAGCCTGAGGATGCAGCAGAAAAACACAGGGCTCTATTTTCGTGTAAGCCTGTGAGGCGACAGAGGGCGGCGAGCCCCGCGCAGTTGTATTTTCGTCTGGCGCAGCCCGGCGTACAGCCAGTTCGGTATTTTCATGGACTGAGGCGCACGGAGGTGAACCGAGATCCGCCAAGCTGGGCGTGGTGGCATGGCAGGGGGAGGTGTCGACAGAATCAGCGGGCGCAGTGACATTTTCGTGCTTGCCACTGGCGTGTAAAGCTCGCTGATTCAAACCTGGTCAGCTTTTAGCGCAGGTGGAGCGCAGCTGGTCTAGTGGTATTTTGGTAGACCGGCGGCGTATCGGCATACGTCACAGATGCCTCACCGGCAGGTTTCCACAGTGTCAGGCACATTTCAGTGCAATAAATAATCATCAACAACTATTAATCTGAGTCAGCACATACATTTAGATCTATCGATATATTCTGATCTATATCTAATCTGATGAGCCTGTTTGGCACGTGTTTGGACACACAACCTGACCGAATCAACACAGCTGAAACCGCATTAAATTGAATTAAATATCTAGTAAATAGACACACATGATGAAGTGAACAAGATATGTAATTTGTCTCCCTCCTTTCCTTTCTTCCTCTTCCTCTTATTTCTTGCACAGCTCGACCTGGACACGTCTCCGTGTCCTCTCACCGTCCTGCTGCTGCGGCGGCTGAACAGATGATTTGTTTCAGTGCTCAGATGCGTTATCTACTTTAAGCCGACATACGGATATTATAATATTCAGTTTTGTGAGGCAAATTTATTTTATATGCCAACATCTATGAAAGAAAGAGCCAGGCCATGGAGCGCGATGCGTCATTTACGCACAGATGGTTCCAATTTTAATGCCATTATTGGAGTTAATGTTGTGATCTGTGCGCACAACCCACCTTTGTCACATGAGGTTTGAATATACAACTTTATGTGAGTGTCTTTATTTGTGGAAAAGGGTGTTTGTCTTACCAGTGGGTCCAACATTACACACACCAAATCCATCTGTGCTCAGATGTGAGAGTGTGGAGGACGCCCAATGCAGCGCTTACAGTGACACTTGTTGAGGAGCTGCCTTCTGTCGCCATCTTGTGGCATTACTGTCTTCAGACATCTCTTGATCTCTTTGACTACTTCACGAAAATAGTAATACGCCTCGCCTGTGGCGGATTTAAAGGCAAGGAGAGGAGCTTATGTGATTGGTGAAAACAGGTCTTGGCTGTGTTAAACCCACTCCACGCCCTCTCTCCTCCCTCGCAACGACTTACGCCACTGGGAGGAGCTGAGTTAGGGAGGGGGGATACAAACATAACAGTCAGTATCCTGTCTATGACAGTGATTTGGACTGTACCTGTCCTCTGTCTGCCATGATTGCTTCCTTGACTCTTCGTCACATTGTTGTATTGAAAGACACTAAGTGGAGAGCACTGATGAGAGAACTATTCAGGGAAGATGATCTTGAACCTGTTCTTAATTCCCATCCAGAATCTCTACCACTAAAATGCATATGTTTTCTAATCCCACAAGACGACCTGTCAGCCAACACTCAAGCCTACACATCAGAGCAGGTAAGGGGTGAACAAAGTTGTATCCTCACATCCTTGCAGTTGATGCCCATGCTGACCTCCAGCTTCACAAATCATGATGGTTTCTCTTCTTCGGTCCTTGTCTTGCTCAAATCTACACAAAAACACAGTCACTAACACTGAAATACCAAAAATTGTTCGGGTAAATTCTTCTTAGTTTCTTGCCCAGGGGCACGCTAACAATGTTTGTTCAAGCAGACAAGAATGTAAGCTTACCAAAAACACACCACACAACAAAAGGCAGCAAAGCCTTATCAAAAAGCCTCAAGCACACAGCATGAAACCCAACAGACACTGTAACCAGTCACCATGTGAGATAAAGTCATCTGTTTATGACCCAGAGTCGGATTCATATTGTTCTCCGTCTGTTTGTGGAAATGCATCTACCAATTACACTCTAGTCAAACTTCGTAGAAACACAGCATAGACCTCTAACACACACCCTTTACACATGTGAACTCCTGACAACGTCAAGAACTTTTCAGGACGTCCAGGCCCTGATAGTACCAGGAACTTTCCACTCAAACGTGCACAGAAGGATTTTCTGTGTTAATATTTGTGGGCTCAAAACTGAGAAAAACCTATACCAAAACTATCACTCTTTGCATGTTCAAAGCAAGTGGACCACTTATTATTTAACAACTGCAAATCACAATATTGTCTACTATAATCACAAACGCAGAGTCTCTGCAGCTCAAACTGACACTTAGATGTAGAAATGAGAAAATACAGACTGGAAGCACACACTCTGTAGAAACACAAACTACCACAAACTTCTTTGGATTATTTAAAATTGTTCAGAATAAATATTTTTATTTTGTGTACACATTATTTTGGGGAACATTTCATTTTTCTTTTCTTTCAATGCTGTCAGCAGATGTCAAAAGTTGGTCTGTGGTTCATGACCTTGTCAAAAGAACTCAATTAGCTGCCAAGGAGTTTATTTTTGTTTCTGTTGTGTTACAACAGGTATTATTTTTAAATTTTAGAGGTACTGCAGTTCAGAATCCCTGGGATGTAGTGTGTTTGTTTGATGTAAACATTATAAAATGTTAAATGCTAATTAATTTCGCTGTGTCCAGTCATAAAGATGCAAATTCTAACTTTGATTTAACACTCCAGATAAATTACAAAGGAGGTGACTCCTTTCAAAGACACAGTTTTGAGTATGTGATACTGTGGGGCAGTTTACAACAAACTGCTGACTCACATTTACAATCCTAATTTAAAACTAGAGTGAAAAACGGGAGGAAATAAAGAAAGAAAGTCAGGTAAGTCACAGTCTAGCTGTTGAAACTGCTCTCAGTCGTGCTGTTGTTGTTATCTTGTGTCTGCTCAGCCTAAAGTATACATACCATCCTCCAATAGAGATAAGATTAACACCTACAGAAACTCATGATTGTTGCAGATTCGTTTTAATTGCATGGCACGATTAAATCTAGCTTCCGCTTTTTAGGATTTATTTGTATATTTTATCAGAAATTACCAAGTAAAGATAAATTAGACTTCTCCACGTACTGTTTACAACTCAAGATCTTTGGTCAGCCTGACTTTCCAAGCAGGTAAGAACTAACCTTACGACTGACAAACTAGCCATCATAAATAAAAGCCGTTTAAAAATGGGGTTACTAAAATTAGGAATAGAGTAAGTCTTAGTGTTAATGAGTGAAACAAAGTGTAAACGGCACATATAAACTGCGCACACTCTTCTGTCATAAATGTATAACTAATATACAAATGTAATGACCATGTAGGGTGTATTCTGGTTATTTTCTGTGACAGCTCAGACTGACAGCTATCGTAAACTGAGAGCATTAGCTGTTTTGGTTAGCCTGCTTCTCTCTCATAGTAAACCTTCAGGAGCTCTGTTAGCTCTCATTAGCCTCATTTCTATTACAAATAAACCCACTTAAGCTGCTGTAATCTCTTCAACTACACCCACACTGAAACTAAACATATGTTACTTAGCAGGAGCTGTTAAACTGCACTGAACATTATCAGGCTAATGTTAGCAGCTAACTAACTAGCACCTGTTGATAACAAAGCCGCTTCAGACCAGAAAACACTCAAGTACTCACTCTGTTTCTGAGGCGATCACGAACTCCCTCGGCTGCTAAATCCAGTCGGGTGCTCTGCACTGTGTGTATTTCTTACACCAAACAGGAATACCTCACTTTACGCTCTTCTAATTCACAGTTTCACTCTAACAGACCTGTTGCTCGTTGGTCGGACACAGCAGGGTAGAGCTGCCTCACAGACTGTCATCTCCAGCTTCACTCAGGGGGAGGAGCCAACATACCAGCGAATGCATAAAACAAAGGTGCTGATTGGATGGAGCTATGAAAGGAATCTAGTGGAGACCAATCAGGAACGTTGCTACGTCTGCGGAATGTAGCATATGAACGCTACACCGGCATTACTACTATGGAATTGTGCGTATTAACAATCCCAAATCAACAAACTTGAAGAGAGGAGATATTTTTTCCCCCTTTTCCCCTACCTTTTTTCTATTAAAGGATACGTATTATTAAATGTCTGGATGAGGTCTGCCTGAACTCATTAGGTCCACCATACAGGACGGTTCAAAACCATTTTAACATGTTTGGAACATACAAGAATGTTTTATTGTAGTCACTATGTTTGATATGGATGACAAGTACATGTCGGTGCAGCAAAATAGTTAAATTCACTGATTATTGTACATTTTGACCAAAAAGGGAGATGCAGTTTTTTCCAAACGAGTATCATAACTGCAATAACAGAAAAACTTATGTTTGTGTTGTGATCACTCTAAAGTAACATCAGTAAATGCAAGACACTGATAAAAAAAATTAAAAAAAAAAAGTAAAAGTTCAGTTTGACATTACAAACACAACCCCCTGTTGATCAGACGCTGTAACTTCACAGTGCTCTCTGTTGTGGGATATCATTTCCTTTCTGATAACTCACCTGTAACATCTTTTGTAGGGCAGAGGGTGTTGCAGCAGACACAGATGTCTTACGTCACCTTCATAGTTTTACAGGAATTGGCAACAAAACTACATGTACACCTAAAAAAAATAATAGAATATCCTGAAAAAGCTCCATATTACCCATGAGTAACTGAGGAAAGAAAATATATTCATGCAAACCAAAAGTCTTCAATAGTCTTTGGGTTTACATTTGAAAAAAACGCCTAATGAAATGGGATACATCATTTTAAGTTTGAGGAAGTTGCCATTTTAACAGTCTAAATATTCTGTATTTCTCTGTCTAGTTCAGTAGCCACAATCACAATAACAGGGTGACGGCTGACTTGATAGTTATCCAGAAGATGATCATCAAAACACTCGTAGGGACAGCAGGCCTCAGATAATTCAAATTGGTCTCATAAGACAATATGCGCATATTATAGTATATGAAGTTTGAAGGAATGAGTAAATATGATGTGCACACAAGACATAACTAACAAATAACTATCTAACACATCTTGTTCCCTTTAAGGGGTGCATGAACTTAACCATCATTAAGGTAAGAAATCCAGATGTAACACAAGTATGTAGAGTAAAGAGAGTGAAACATGGCAAATTTAAACGAGCACAACCTTGATAAGAAATTCTGATTAATTGAATCAGCTCGAAGAAAGAAAACAAATGACTTGGATTTTTGACCAAAATGTAATATCTGTAATTGACGATATCTAGACTAAACCTACAGAGGGTGAATATGACTAAAATGTGAAAAAACAAAAAGACATTTTAGTCCAAAGACTAAGACTAAATCTAAAATAGCTGCCATGGTTTACACTGGTGCACACAACATATTAACCTTTTTAAACAAGAACTTAACACATAAAATAACAAAAACATCATCTCCTGAGAAAGATTTCATGTCCTGTGCACACAAATTATAACAACTGTACATGAGATAAGTCTTGAGGTAATTGTAGACAATATCATTAAGGAGACAAGACCATGAAGTTGCTCCCAAAGATCACAGGTCTTGCACACACAATAAGTTGTCTCAACAAGATTATCATGTTGTACAGAAAAGGTATTTTTTTTGTTGGAACACAGTAGTTTGCCTTGTGCACAATGTCCATTCATTTGCTTTTACAATAGATGCGCTCTGTGGGCACATCTTCAGTCGATGCTGGAAATGCAGTCCTCATTCTGAAAAAAAAAAACCTTTGGATTTTGTAAAAAATAATGAAACCTTACAGGATACAGCTAAAATGACATGACCTGACAGTGTGTACAGAATAATCAGGATTATTTTTATTAATTCATCTTCAGTTTCAATAATATCATTACAGAAAAAAACATCCTCTTCATTATATTTTTACAGTAGTAGTAGAATGCTGTGTCATTGCTTCATTACAAGTGCTGGTCATAGTTTATAGTGTGTGCAGTGTGACACTGAGTTCAGTCCAGTGTTACGAATCACTCAGTACAAAGGCAGTTTAACAATAACCTGCTTCTTCTCACTCAAATGGATCTATCTGGGTTTGACTTGTTCTCCTTGGGCTGGTGTCAGGACGTGTTTTAATGCTGTGTTCAAGTCATAATAATTTCACTGTAAATAACAGCATCAGAACACAGAAGGTGGAAAACCCTAGATTTAAGCAGATTTTTAAGAGTAGATTTCTAACTTCTGCAGAACTCCACTTTCATTCCATCTACATGACTCAAACACAGCATAGGCCACTCACAGATAGATTCATGGTGCATTTGAGGTAACTGGGAAGTTTCTCACATCTGTATTAGTGGAATACACAAGAAGACAGTGTTGGTACCAAAACGCCTCCCTCTGTCTAACCAATAAACACATCAAGAACTGATATAGACATCATTTCATCAGATCAGAAAACCCCACCCAGGTGCTGCACCTCTGGTCTCACGCCTGGAAGTGACACCTGCCCAAAGAAAAAGACACGCCCTCTTTTTCATGGGCATGCAAGAGTGGAGGAGAAGTATGGAGTGGGGGGGAGAAGAGGAAGATGACAGGGGAGGGTAGAAATGTTGGAAGGTGTGCAGGAAGACTGTATCAGCCTATGAGGACAGGAGAGGGTCAAAGTTCAGAAGTTCTGCTTGCGCTGCATTCAAGTCATATGGGAAATGTAGGAGACATGAGCTTCAGATCTGGAAATTAACTAAAGGGGTGGTTGAGAATAATCATGAGCAAGCCACATGTGCAGAAAAAAAAAACAAAAAACTATCAGGTCAACTTAATGTCCACCAAAAAAAAATTTCAATTATGTACCAGTCTTTCCTGTGTGACTTGATTGCAGCATTGGACTTCTGCCTGTGTGGGTTTGTTTGGCACTGATCACACTGATGGAAGAATCAGAGGGGTGTCAGAAGTTAAGGTATGGTGCATTGGTGAATGCTCAGGAATCACAGATTGCATTTGATGCATTTGAATGGTCCTTTTTGATTGGTAAACAATTTCAGTTTGGTGTTTCTTCAGCCGGATGACACTAGCCTACTAGCTTGTTAATGCTAACAGTAAACTCAGCCTAAGGTTTTCTAGCTCTGACTACAAACAGCACATTGAGAGAGAAGCAGTTGTATGATTTAGATTTTTTTTTTTCTTTGACTTTATCAAGCACCTTTACACTGTCATGGTAGAAAGATTCCAGTTGTGTAGTTTACGAGCACCTGAACACAACACCCTGCTTTCAAGTGATGCTGACTTGGAAGTTTTTCACAGCTCAGTCAAATGATATTTTCCTTCATGTTCGTTGACATGACAAAAAGATGAAGATGGGTGATTGGCCATTTGAGTAGAGTCATTCATCTTTGGCTACTGAACATATAAGGCTGATGATATTTTATGTTTCTACAATTTAACAAATCCCATCAAATGACCAAAACCAACAGATCATACTTAAACTTGGTGCATTTCAAGTCTCACAGATGGTGTTATTTATTGATGGCAAACCACTGCTATGAAGAGCAGACCGTTGATATGGATACAGCTCTGATCACAGACTTTGGATGACTGAATTCAATCTTGTCAATGTGCACAAAGTGTTAAAGTTAATTTAATGTTGGTTTGTTTGGTGGGAAAACCAAAATAAGAGACAATAAGACAAAGAAAGTAAGGGGAGGTCAAAGACTCCTAACCTGTGCATTACAACCACAAAATCAACAAAATACAACATGGTGCAAAGTTCAGGGTGGTGCATTAACACTTTCCAGACATTTCTTTAAACTGAAGAGCAAATATAAGCAGCAACTCAGCTCTTTGCCCAGAGCCCAATGAGGAGTTGAAATTGCAATAATCAGTGTTTGTACAAGTTTTGTGGGAGTCCCAATTGATTCACAGGGTAACTGACCTCTGTGATGACAAAAATTCTTAAAGATAAACACAAGAAAATGAACTCTGCTCGTACAAATATGTTGGCAGCAGATCAGGTCGCAGCCCCCATGCCTGCTTGTAAACCACTTGTATCAGTATATTTACAATACCTTAACTGATAGACCCGTTTTAATAGTAAATACATTTTACAGTTTTTCTTTTCTGCATTGTTGTGTGTACTGAAACCAACAAACATTTAAATATACCTAAGTATTTTGACTCAACGTACCATAAATTATTGTGCCTACGGAGATATTGAGTAAAACAAATGAATATGTATTGTCCATAAACACAAAGGCAGTCCCTAAAAATGTACGTTTCAATTTTTTGACAAACGTTTGCTAAAAACTACAGAGCCAGGGTGTTACGGAGAGGGATCCTAAACTTGAGGTCCTTACACAATGAGGGTCAAGACGTCATTTCTGAGGGTCGACGGAAAGTTGTTGATAAAAAATAAGTAAATAAAATTTTCTTTCACTGTGTGATGTTTTTTCTGTTACATCGTTATATCATCTGTGAGAATCGTTTCAGCATGTTTGCTGCATGATGTCTGTAGGTGATGCTGCAGGGGCTGGACCGTGAACATGTAGGATATGACTCGAAAAAGTTGGAGACCACTGGTTTAGGACTGTGGTTCCTGGTCATTGAATGGGATTCGGGTGACAGAGAAATATGAAATATCACAAGCATTATCCTTTCATGATAGTGTGGCACATATACAAAAGACCGCCTCATTGTAACAAGTGTTGATTGTGTTTCATGGTGTAAACCTTAAACAGCACTTGAATGCAGGGTTAGAGTTGTACTAATCAATCTGCATCCTATCTCTGATTAGAAATCATCTTGTTTTTCTAAAAGCAGTAATATTTGTTGTAAGGACCAGAGGAACACTTCCAGTATGACCACTGACCCACCTATCAGAGTTGAATGGCTTTCATTGAGAGTAATGATGACTTTTAGTGTCTCAGGATGGTTTCAACGTGTAACATTTTGAAAACAACTAAGAAAAAAAGAACTTGTCTTGGTATTTTCTTCCTTTTTTTTCCCCCAAGTGGGTAATATTTTCTGCACTGGCACAAACTATATCAGCAGCTTTAATCAAAAGATATCTTTAAAAGTCTTTAGTTCATATATATCTGTCAATACTGATGTAAGGGTCAGTGTGTTTCAGGAGCAGATGTGGTGGTAGTGCAAGGAGAGGTAATCAAGGAGTTTCTATATCGAAAAGAAGTAGAAGAAGAAGAAGAAGAAGAGAGAAAGAAGGGAAGAGAGAAGGTGAGGAAGGAGGAGTGAAGGAAGGAGGGAAAGTCTCTATTTCTCTATAACTACCAGGAAAAGAGTCAAACGCACAAAGCAAATGAACAGGGGAGAAGAGGGCATGATTACTACTAAGATGATAATATTCAGTCAGAACCATGATAATTATAATAAATAGAATATTAATTAAGAATATTAATAATCATTGTTATCAGGATAATAATAATAATAATAATAATAATAATAATAATAATAATAATAATAATACAGAATAAATCTCGTATTTTATATATTTTTTTCACATTTTTTTCTCAATTGAAATACAGTGATCTCCTCAAAGCAGACCAATGAGGACTCAGCCTTCGCTGGCTCCGACTGGCTGTTGCATATGACATCACAGCTAATGGCGACCAGGTAGACATGCATCACTTCCTGCCCCCGCTCATTTCCTGTCCAGACAGGAAGTCCTGGCACTGCCATGGTAATCGGTAGCGAGTGACGTTGAAGTCTGTGGAGAGAATGGGTCAGCGTCAGAGGTATGTAAGGATCATGGTGGCTAATACGCCTTTATTTCCTCCGTTGTAGATAAGTAAGGCCAAAATACCCCTGACATGGTGAGCTGGTGACTTGTTTTAGCAACAAGACATGCACAGAGGTGATCAGACTGGAGAAGCTGCAGGATTAAGGTTATACCCCATCCTCTAACCAGAGCACATGGTTAACTTAACGATAATTTGTTTGGAAATTATCGTTAAGTTGTTGATGTGTTAGCAGATATCACATCATCATATCATATAATTGTACTGTATCTTTCATATCCTATGTCCCCTATGCACAGGTGTCCTCGGAGTCTATAAGTGAAGATACATCTTTAACAGTATACTGCACCTGCATCATAGCCGTCCGATGACCATGACGTCCACGACCTCTCCTTTGTGCAGCTCCACATACTGCTCTGTTTTGGGAGGTAACATCAGCAGACCATTGGCGCTACGCATTGACATTAGCCTGCTGGATACCTGGTTACCTACAGGAATTGAGGCAGAAAACAGGAGGCATGTTTAACCCATCTTCAAATATGAACACACCATGATCTCGGTGAATATTCTCCTCTGATTGGCTGAAGGGTATCCATTCATTCCTGACCATGACCTACTACAAAGTAAACAGTGCAGTTCTGGTTCAAACAGCCTTTTCTAAATCAACAGGCTGACTGTGTGAGAGATTTCATGAATTTTAACATCTCTGTAAACTTTTTGTATTTTATTGTGATCACATTATTGTGATAACGGTAAATCTGTGACAGTTTAAGATCTGTATAAAAGAAAAAAAGTCAGGATGAACAATGCACAGCTCCATACACTGGAGTATTTCAATATTTTGATCTGTTTTCAGTGTTCACTTCACAAAAACCATTTCTATTTTTCAGTTTTTTTCTTTGATTGCAGAGTTGGCGAGTTCTTCAATGGAACAACCAGCTTTTCTCAAACTGGCAGTTTTAAGACTTATAAAGGATTTATTGGACCCCTTTATTTTATTGGGCTACCCTACGTATGTTCTCTACGCTCAGCTGGGGAGTAGGTGTCAGACGAGAACATCTCTAAAAGCTGGTGTTACAGATGTTGTAAGATACGCGCTTTGATATTTATCGAATAAGTCCTAAAGGTTCCAATCAGGGTGCAGGTGAGGATAAGGTTTGTTCAGGTCAGGGACACTCGTCTTATCAGGGTTAAGTACCTTGGCTCGACATCAATATCTGAGTGCCAAAATAGTACTTATACTAGTACAAAGAGCTGGTTCATGCCGAATCAAATGATCTGAATCACGAAAGAAGAGCAAAAGCTCCGTCAGCTCACAAGAACAGCATCAACTGATTAATTGTTGTGGAAGTCAGTGTCTTTGTTAACTGATTGAGGCCACTGACTTTAGGGAACTTTAAAGAAGTGTTATTTTCAGTGGTTTATGACTGTAACTGAGCTGTAGCCAACTGTTTCTCTCTTCCTCATCACATGAATATCAGTTAACAACCCAACTCAAGGTCTTTTTCAACCTATGTACATACAGTATGTGGTGTCAGCTTGGACCTGGGAACTGCTTACAAGATTAAAATATTGTTTATTGAATCCTCTGTATCCTGACACACACTCCAGATTCTTGCACACACACAGACACCTTTACCTGTGCTTTGTGCCCAGGGCAGTGGCTCCTGGTGATGCCAGGTGAGAATACAGCGGTGATACTCTGGTCTTGGATCTAACTTCACATCACAGGAAAGCTAAAACAAACACACAAAAAACTGTTACTGAAGTACCACATGTGGATGTTATGACTTTAGAAAGTCACATTTTGGGGGTTCAAACTGTTTTAAAACATTGTTGTCTGGTTAGATTTATCAACACATAAATAAAAAGCAAAGTTAAAGGCACACAGTCATTTCTGCTTCATGTACCTTTTGTGTAGATTTGTGTGTGAATGTGTGATTGTGTTTTACCCTAGCTTTTATAATTGTAGGTCTTGGGTCCAGTATGCCTTGCATTTTTCTCAGAGCAGGAATCACAAACAGGTTACACGTCACCACTGCGGACACTGGATTACCTGGACAACAACAAAACACAGATTTACCAGATGATTTCACAAATCAAAAGAGTGTTTTCTGTGAGTTTGCACCAAAATGTTGTGTATTTCTTGCAACTGTCTTTGATGACATGTTTCTGCACACCCATATAACCCATGCATGTGACTACACCGTGATTTTACCTGCTGTAAACTTGAGTGACCTTGCTCAACAGTCCTGAATCAACATCTATCATTTTTTGGATAACTTTTTGTACCTGCTGACTACTTAAAGTAGCCACCAAATGAGATCCTGAGGGCTAAGCACAGAGGGTGTCGGAGAAGATCCAAGGGTTAGAAAATTAGGAGACATAAATACAGTGACACTAAAAAAATAAAAAAAACACATTCACACACTTAATAAAGTTTTTCTTACTTTCCTCACACGTATGTCATACCTGGCAAGGCAAAGATGAGTTTTCTTGCTCCATCGATGTCAGCTGTGGCGAAGGTAGTAGGAAGACTAAACAACAGAGACACAGGCTGTTTTTTTTTTCATCTTGATACCATTACAGTATAGGGGCCTGTGCTTCTACTGCAATTGTTATGAATAACAGTATGATCAAAAGTAGTGACATAGGTTTGGTAGCAGAAAAAAAGCTGGAGAGCAACTACAGATGAAAAATAACAGCAGTATCACAAATAAGAGTTAAACTGAAGAGTAGGGAAACAGTACTAAGGAGGTGACACATTAGAAGCAGCATTAGAGGGGGTCAGAGAGGGTCAGAGTTAGTACTTCAGTAGTAGTGAAAAAAGACAGTAGTGAAAAAAGGACCAGCCATTATAGTAGAGGGGGAAGAAGAGACAGAAGTAAAGCGAGAGCTCTAGTTATGAACAGGTGATATCAAAGCTTGCTTTACTTGACAGAATTGAACACAAAGTATTGAGACTCGTGTCAAAGATAGAAAAATCACATAACAAGTGAAGATAGTGTTAAAACTATAAATGTTTTGAGGCTCATACAGTAATTCTATAGCTTCAATGTGTATCAGCCAATTTTTAAGACAAGAGGGGAAAAAACAAAAAAGGTATCAATGCACATTACAAAGACATAATTAATACGTCTTTATATGACACCAGGCAATAATGTGATGACAAGAATGAAATTTCTCATACCGTGGCAACAGACCATCAAATAGGTATCAATTATGAAGCTAAGAAATACGCTGTCAGCCCACAGATGCACGAACACATCTATCAGACAAACTTTGTATTTTCACACAGCCCTGACACTTCCCTATTTATTTATTATTGCAACAAGGCTGTATAATGATGGAATGTTATTTTATTGCTACACATTGTTCTATTTATGGACAAAAAGTATCTACTGTATATTCAATGCAACACTTTTGTTCTCAAGTATAATATATTGTCATTTGAAATGCAGAGGCTCCTCTGGCTCTTACCTTCCTTATATTTTGCCTAAACTACAAATCCCAGTGAGGTGTAGTTGCTGCAAGATAGTCATTAATGGTGTGTTTCACCTAACTCTGCAGACAGATAATGGTGCTGGGGATGACTTCAGATAAGTGATGACTGCACACAAAGTCGAAAAGTGGCCCTTGTTGTTATTAGCATTGTTAGATATACTGGGTAATTACCGCATACTGAGTGAAAGCAACACAACAGCGAGTCCACAAATAAAACTAGTACATTACTATCAGTGTGGCTGATTGATTAAATTATATAAAACAAGACTAAGTTGCTAATAATCACCATTGTTTGTTTCACCAGTTGTTTTGCAGCTGATGTAGGAAGCAACCATTTTGAATTTTGAGTTTGGAAACCTGAAGTTGCCTCAAGTTTTCAAGTAGGAACTTAAAGGGATATTCCGGCGTAAAATGAAGTTATGATCAAACACACCGTAAAACTGAGTTGGTCACCCCCACGAGAGATGAATGTTGCTGACTGCTTGCACTGAGTTGCACCTTTATGGGGGTGGTCCCAATATTAAATCTGACAAGTATGCCAGAATTTCTGATATTTAATTTTAAATGGTACACACCGTACGAGGGCAGCAATAGATTTTACAAGCAATGGAATGTTGCTTTGGATCTTTTGTAAGCACAAAAGGATAGAAAACCCAGGCTGAAGTAGCAGGAGGTCAGACTAAGTAGCAGTGGCAGATGTAGTAGGAGTTTAAGCAGTAGAGTCAGTAGAACCGTTAAAAGATGAAGTAGCTGTAGAGGGAGTATCAGCACTAGAATTAGTAGCTCAGGCAGGATTGGTGGTACCCAACTCAAGAGCTCTGGTAGACATAATGAGAGAAGCAGCATCTGTCTCACCCTGGTTTCATAAAGACTCGTCCAAAGTGAATCTGGGCATGAAGATCAATATCCAGCACCTGCTTCAGGTAGTCCTGATGAGAAAACACAGAGAGAAACAAAGTGTGCAAATAGAGACAACATCAAGCCAAACACAGCTGTTATACAGTAACTGAGATTTATCCTTTTAAAAAAAGAGTGAAGTTTAGAGTTTGGAGTCGTAAATGGAGGAGGGGGTTACCTTCTCTCCCATGGACACGCCCCCTGAAGTGATGATGACATCAGCACGACTGATTCCCTCATGGAGAGCGGATAGCAGGTCATCAGGGCTGCAATTGCAAGCATGACACATCAGTTTACCGCAGCAGCCGAGTGCAGCTCTCTGTGGCTGCGAAGGAGCTTAAAAAGTCTGAGAAAATAATCCTGTTAGAGTCGTCCAGGTTAAGCAGGGCCGGGTCTGATGATGTAATATCATTATGGAAAGCTTGTAATACATGATGAGGAGTTTGAAAGAAACAGCATTTATCAGGCAAGAATTTTCCAAAAAAAAAAAAAAAGACAAAATCAAGAGGCATTATGGGAAGTAAGGTCCCAGTTTTATGGGGACTTAAAGTTTGGATGTGTTGGCCTCTGCTGTTATGATTGACGGTAAAACTTCGTCTCTCTGAGTTCCTAATTAAACATAGCATTAAAAGGTTGAAGAAGTTGAATGAAACTTGGTCCAGACACAAGATATCTTTTTTTAGTAATTATCTAAGGCTGGCATAAGCCGGATTTGTCTGTCCACAGCTTATCTCCTGTGCTGCTGAACACATCAGTCCAATATTTTGTGTTAATTTGCCACCATCTCCAAATATGAAGAGATAGGGAGCAATTTTGTGCCAGGGTGGAGCCTTGGACAGGCCTGCACAGATTAAAAAAAGTGATTTTGATAATAATGGTGATATTTATAGACTGCATATGCAGGCTCAGACACATCTGGAATTGTTGTCATCCGAAAGTCTGAGTGTTGAATTACTTATAATTCAGCACAAGAGCTACCACCTACCGTCTCTATACGGTAAGAGTTTCAATCTGTGATAAACTGTGATTCATAAAGTAGCTCTATTGATAGTAAGTACTAAAAAAAAATATCTACTCATGTCATCCTGTCGATTTTTAGTAATCAGTGTTTCGGTGTCGAACTATTTCCTTTCTGCGGCGTAGTGATACTTGCACACGCGCAATCAAATATGCAGAGGGGTGAAGCGATTTTTGTCACGTGGACCAATAGGAGCCGAGTCTCGTTGCCATAGTATCAGAATTACACAAACATGGCGACGAGTGCATCTAGCAGCGAGACAAGCGAAGAGGAAGAAAAGAACAGGAAAAAAAGAAAACAGCCTTCAAAAGTGCATAAAAAAGGAACGAAACGATGTTATATGAATCTATCATCTGTCCAGAGTGAAGACGTTCTCGACTTTACAAGGACACATTGGGAAACTTACAGAACTAGTATTAGAAAGTGGCTTTCTCTACAGGGTGAGACAAAAGACCAGCCAGAAATGTACATATGTGAGTAACACAAAAAACAATTATATGGTGCTGCTGTTTTTGCTTGTAGAAACTGTTATGTTGATTCTGGCAAGACAAAATCTTTCTCAAATGTCATAAATACATCTACCTAATATCTAAAACAGTTATTGGTGCCTTAGTATACGCACAAGTGAATTCAGATTATGAAATGTAGCAAATTTCTTGAAGAAAACGTCTCAACTCAAGTGATTTGCACCCAGCACAATGAAATATATACAGTAAATTTAGCTAAAAGCTTATATTTCATACATAAGAATGACACAACCTACTGTGTAATAAAAGCAATAAAATATAAACAGCACATCATGGCCATAAATGGCTGAAAGTCAATCGAATTGCTGCCACGCCCCCCAAAATTGGAATAATGGAAAAAATGTAACAAGACAAAAATGTTCTCTTGTCATGACCACTTAAAATGTTTCTGGACCAGTCAGGTAAATGTGACTGATGTTAAATGCGATGAGTTTTTTTTAATATAAAACTATTGAAAACTGAGATTCTGCGGTTTGGACATGTTAGAGTGAGGCTCATCTGCACAGGAAGAGGCCATTTTTACCCCAAATGTATGCAGAATGACAGATCTACATACATCCAAGTAGAACTGGAGCACAGTGGTGTTAACTCTTCAGTGAAGTCTAGGTTACATCAAACTTTTTGGATTGTGTTTTAAGAATGAGTCTGTTCTTGAGGTCTCATTTGCAAAAGTCTGGCATCCCTTACAGCCATGAAACCTTTTCTTCTAAAACTAAGCATTCAGATTTATTTTTTTCTGAATTAATGCTGTTTTTTATTGAAAATATAAAGTCTGACTGCACTTTGAAGGGTTGTGCTGGTGTGAACAAGCAAACTGTGCATCAGGCTGAGCATTTCTCTGTATAAATCTTAAAAGCTCTTACTTGTCTCCGACTATGCCGAGGTTGATGGTGGGGTATCCGTGTTCCTGGATGGTGGACAGCAGAGTGGACCGGTTGGAGTCTCTGATTTTTCCCGGGTGGAGGTCGTCCTCTGGATTTAACAGCTACAGTCATAGAAAAATAAATCAGCAAGGATTTGACCAAGACACAAATATAAATGTAAACATGCTAGCATTGAGTGGAAATAAGTGTTTGTGCTATGCTTTTAAATTAATGATCAGAGTTGAACTTAAAATGCCGAGGTAACCAAGTATTGGATTATATCAGACTTGCGTTAAAGGCACGATAATAAGTCTTCTGCTCCTGGTACTTGTTTTGAAACAAAAGCCCTCTTGCATGTTGGAGACATATTTGCCCTAAAAGAGTCAGATGATTTGAAACACTGACATTATGTTGAATCTATAAACTAAGTGTAATTCATAATCTGGAGACAACTGACTAGACTTGCAGATGATTTTGCACCATTAAGTGGTCATGACAACAAGCTCCAGGGCGGTGAATTGGAATAGGGTCAGTTTGGTCCAGAGTGTATGCACAATACCTGAAACAGTGCAGGTCCACAGAGGGGTGCATTTAACCCTTTGTGCACACTTTTGATGATAAAATGGTCTCAGTTTTTCTAAATTGCACAGGGTATGCTTCTGTAAAAGCAGCAGAACTCTCTTGATCATTTTGCCCTCAGTTTTGCATTGTTTGTATACAATACAGCTGCCACCCTGTGGTCAATAAATAGTACAAGAAATGACAGTGTGCGCTCTTTGTATACAGAGCTTCACTGATATGCAAATCAAATGAATACCAGCAGGAGTTTACCCGTCCTTGTTTCTCTTTCCCCCAAAAACCATTCATTTATTTCTGTTGATATCTGGGCCTGGCCTCTATTGACCAACATTTGAAGAAAACAGTATCCCAACCTACATATTTGAATGTACCTCATTTCCAGTGGACATGACAGCCACCACGGGGAACTTGTGCACGCTGACCTCAGTCACTCCCACTGTAGCCAACAGGCCAATCTCTGAGGGGCCCATGTGCGTTCCTTTAGCCAACACACACTCTCCTCGCCTAATGTCATGACCTATTGGCCTGTGCAGACACGCAATCATGTTACAACCATGAAGAGCTTACTTATGCAGCTTTGATAGCAATCAGGATAAATGTAGCATACCTGATGTCCTGACCGGGTCGAGCCTGGACCATAATCCTCACTTCCAACTCCTCGGTGCCCTGAAAAAAAGACAGCCTGTTGATCACACCTTTCCCTAAAATTTAATCAAGTCACGGTTATAAGTAACATTTTTCATCATGCACTTACATCCTCAGACTCCCGTAGAAGCTCTGTATCTTCTACTTGGACCACAGCATCAGCTCCACATGGAATCGGAGCCCCAGTGGTCACCCTCATCACCTGACCTGGCATCACAGTATGGGTGGGCTGCAAAGACACACAAACAAGTCAAATCAGATCATTTTTAGAGTGCTACTGATTTGGAGATGCAGGTAGATTTTGAAGAGAACCCTTTAGTTTCACTGGGAAGAGTCTGCACTAAATTCCAGTCCTGATATTGTTACGGTCTGTGAGCGAGCCGGTAGCTTCCTATATAATCAGACTGTTCCTCAGGAGGCAGTGTGAGATAAAATGCTTAGACATGCAGATTTGGCAGCAGGAGTTGGACAAAGAGGATGGAAAGTTAAAGAAATGTGTAAAAGGTTCACTGCATGTTTGGATGTCCTGTTGCTTGAAGAACCGCGGGTGCACAGACAGAGTTTGCGAAAGATTCTCAAGAAAAAGCAGCCAAAATAACCAAACGAAGAGGTTATGATAGCTGGACAGCACGGTATCCCTGTGCTTGGAAGCTGTTTCTTTTTCCTGTGTGGTATTAGAACAAAGAACAGCTGCACAGTTTTAGTGATTTAGTGACAAAGAAGTGCTGCATGTGGGTGACACAGACAGAAGGACCTAACATGGACTCTCTCTAGCTCTCTTTGAGGCACTGTGGGCCTAACTTTACAGAGAGACAAGAGAAGGGGGGGTTACCCTTGTGGTGTCCAGGCTCTTGCGGCCCATCTATCTGCATGGTTAGGTTGTAGAACCATGAGAGTCCATGTGACAAGGCAGACAAGGTTGTATCAGCACTGTCAAAACCTAGAGGGCATCATAAATGGAGTCATTAAGGTCAAATGCTGTGTCATACTCCCTCTCTGTTAAGTTTCTGTTTCAAGGTTGGTTTCTTTCTTTCTAACACCTGCGATACATTGTTTCACACCAGACTCCATATCTATTAGGTGTAAGTCTTGTAGTATCTGACCCCTTCAAGACTGCCAACAACCTTCTGACAGCAACATTATCCATCTTTTTACCTTGTCACCTCACCCCCAATGCACAAGCTGCAGAAAATAGCATTTCAAGTGCACTAGATGGATTTCTATTGGAATAAATTGAAAGCTTTAAGCTGAAGGTATCCAAAATATCCCAAATGGTTAGACATGAACTACAAATTTTCAAAGGAATCGTAACAAAAACTAAATAAGACACCCCGTTCTTTCACAGAAGAGCCACGCACTACTTTTGATAACAGTTGAAAAATGTTATAACAACTATCAGTCACATTACTGGCAGCTAAATTATCACTACTGGCACTGGGACTAGGTTAACAGCAGTGAAAGTGAAAGTGAAAGTACAAGCCATAATAAAGGTATTATTTAGCCAGTGGATGTAATAACAACAGTTACTTTTGTTTTAGTATAACACCAACATGAAAAGCGAAGTCAGTCGTGTTACAATTTTAGAGGTAGATTTTCTTTATCTCTGCAAACACAATGATATGACAGGTTTTTCACTACTTCTACGACTACAGGAAGAAGTATGTACAGTTTCACTGCTAGTACAAGGTCATATACAGTTAAATATGACTGTGGTGTTAGTGTATTAGAGCTGACCTGTTGTCCAGCCTGTGATTCTCCCATGATGAAGCGATCTCCAGGGCCATCAGCAGCTACAGGTTGATGATAATGATGTTAATAGGGTGAAATTTGGGGATGGTTGTTAAGTCAAGTAGAATCAAAGTGGGTAGTTTAATTATAGAAAACTATGTTGAGTGATTTCTCTTTAATCAAGTCAATCCCAAAGAGTTAAACATGGACATACAGGTGAAAACAGGTCATAGTGGACTCATAACATTAAAAGACTTCAAATGAGAATTGGGTTGTGTCAGGGATAAAACCATCAGACCAATGGACATTTAAAAAACAGTCAGACAGAGATAATAAAAAAGTTAAAATGGCTTAGGAGTGCTGCTTTCACGTATTTGTAAGTATCAAACACAGGTGCTCTCAGGTCTCAGGAAAAAAATCATGATAGCATAAAAGGGGGGAGGTCAGACTTAAATATTGTTGAGGGTAAAAAGAGTGATGACCAGAAAAAACTAAGGCACATTATGTTGAAGAATTAAAAAGCCTTCAATAAATGGGCTAAAGCGCCAACACGTTTCAACTTACAAAAGTCTTCCTCAGGGCATTCAACACAAGTGACTGCTGACATATTTTCAAGGCTGTAGAAGCTGCCTTTCAATCAGTTAACTTCTTCTCAGGTGCAGTGAAAAAAGTGGGTGTGTACTCTTAATGAGTGTACTTCAACAAAGAAAACTCAGAGCAAGAACAAATACACACAATCACCCATCAAGTCCAATTTCACAGGGTTCTTATGGATTTCAGCCCTCAATGTTATGATTATCGATTAATTATATGATCATTAGAAATAGATAGCAGAGATGGTCCTACCTCGTACAGCATAGCCATCTTTAACAGAGGCAGGAAACGGGGGAAGGTTGTCTTTGGCATAGATGTCCTGAGCGAGAACTCGACCCAAACCATCTGAAAAGATGAACCCAACTTTAGTTATTTAGTCAAGAACACATTCAGTCTACAAATTATTAACCCCGATAATAATGCATGCAAATGTACAATAATGCATTAAAACAAATTCACAATTCTGTCTGTGTTTTGCAAAATCATGAGTAGTAGTGGAAAATCAAAGTAGCAGTGGACAAGTTGGACACAATACAGATATATCGACGCACCTACCAAGAGTACAGGAACGCGCACACACACACACACATTTTACCTTCCAAAGACTCACCTCTGTAATTAATGACTTCAATTCCCAGAATAGGTGTCATCTCAAGAACTGTGATGAAGGCTTTGTCCATTGACGTCAATGGGAATGGGGACATACGATGACGGCGTGCAACTTTGCTGATATCTACTGCACTGTGGCCTTTACACACACACACACACACACACACACACACACACACACACACACACACACACACACACACACACACACACACACACACACACACACACACACAAAGAAACAAAATTAAAGCTTCTGTGTTAAAGTAAACTGTGAGTATGCTCCTTTAAACATTACTCAAGAGTTTGTACATTTTCCATTGTGATCTAAGTTGGACCAGCATATAAATGAGGCACACACACACACACACACACACACAGCCTGAACTTACTGGCTCTCAGGATGTTCTCATTACTGCCACATCGTGACTGAACCTGCAGAGAGAGAGACACAAGGATAATCTATATTTGCTCAATGTTTGATGCAAATGTATGGGAAGGGTGATTTAAACACCTCTTCTTCATATCAAGACAGCAAGTAAAGGCTTTCATGTTGATTTCATCCATAAATAATGTCTAACAACAGGACATGGAAATACAAAGAACATGACTTCTTGCTGTGATGGTGACAACTGGCACAGCAGTAGCTCCGTCTCTTATTCCCTGATTACACAAAACGACTCAGGAGGATTAGAAAATAAAACATGAAGCAGTGTGTGGTTACTATACTGTCCTCTAATCACACATCAGATGTCAGCAGGCAGTGGTGGAAAATCAGTGCACTAACTGAAGTACTGTGCTAATTAATTTCAAGTGTCTTCTCCATTATCATAATTTTTTGTTTTTTTTTTGGATTCCTGCAAAAAATCATCAACAAAACTTACAAATTACTTCACAGGTCAGAAGGAGAGGGAGAGTCTGACCCTCAAAGGGTTATTTGCAAGCTCTGGATATCAAAAATTTTAGTGTTTTCAAGCAGCAATGGCTGTGTGAAAAGAGCATTCTTGAACGTTTTGGGCCTTACTGATAATAACTTCGATGGGTATCATATTTCCAATTTGACAGATGTTATCTTTATGTCCTACAGTTGCACCGATCATTGAAGAACCCCAGGAAAAACAATGAGGTGAGCAGAGACTGAGCCTTTTATAAAAGTTTTAAAAATATGCTGAGTCATTGCGGTAAAGAAAGTCAAACTTCTGTGATTAACAGGTGTTGTGATAAAAAGTCGCACTTAGGAAATAAAAGTCACAAAAAAGAGGGAAAAAAAACAAATTTTAAAAACGAAAGTCATAGTTGTGAGATTAAAGTTCTAAATAAGAAGTGGAAAGTTCTAATTATAACATAAAAGTCAAAATGATGATGAAATAACCACTAAAAATGAAACAAGGTGAATTCATTATTATAGGAAAAGTCATTAATTTGACATATCAAGTTGAAATTATGAAAGGGTTAGGGTCATTATTTTGAGGGAAGAAAAAGTCTTTTTTAGTAGAATTAGTTATTACCATGAGATAAGAAGTCATAACTTTAAAGCCAAAAGTCTCATTAGTTTTGAGTCAAATTTGTAGGAAAGTTGGTCAAAGTTATGAGGAAAAAAAATTCTAATTTTTTGTTTTTTATCCCACAGTTTTGACTTTTTTTCTCTCAGTTTTGACATTGATTTTTACCGATAATACTGACTTGTACAATACTCATTTTGATTTTTCTTTTCATTGAGGCTAAATCTCCTTTTTTGTTTACATTTCTCTGACAGGAATGAGCTTTCATGTAGCTTTAGTTTAGCTTCATGGATCTAGTGCCTCACTAATGTACAGTAGTTCTTGGAAAGATCTTGCTTTTCCACTGACTGGCCCAGACTAATATAGAAGTGTCAGAAGATCAACAGAAACAGCTGTAACACTACTGACAAAAACAACACTATCTCACAAAAATTACTTGTCTTAAGATGTCTTGACCTACTCTGTTGTGTTTTTGCTGTAATAAAACACCAAAGTCACGCAAGTCAGACTTGACAAAAGCAAGAGCAGCAATTTCAAAACTTTTTGTAACTATTAGTCATTAAGATTCTGAAATTAAAAGAGTCAAGTTCCTAAAAGATCAGAACTACCTGTAAGAGTTGTGAAAAAAAAAAACTTTAAATAGAAAGAAAATTTTGAGTGAAGGACTTTCCCGCCACAGAAGACTTCCTCCTTTTGCACTTGAGACAGGTAAGGACTAGGATAAATGTGAACAAATATGGGAACACTTGGCTCTGAGAACATTCCGGCATTATTTGAGATTTTGCAAACTGACTTTTTTGATGGACAACAGCTGAAGATATTTCTCACAATCTCATTCATTCCCACTCAGTTCCAAACACCACACAAGTCCCGAGACTTTTACTTCAAGAGTAATCGGGATAAATCTTGTGAGCGAAAAACCGGCAGTAAACTTATGTGAGGTAGAAACCAAATGCTTACAATTGCTTCAGACTTGTTCCTTGAAATGTAACCACCGCTGCGTAACCAGTGGTGGTTACACAGGGACAGAAAAACCCAAAATTATTCAAATGAAAACTGTTAACTAACGAGCTGAAATGCCTACCTCTTTTCACTGGGAGTTTGTCATAATAGGTGAGACGTGAACTTTAGTGTGACAACAAAAGTCTGGGGAATCGAGGCAATAAGGAAAAACTCCAATCATGTGGAAACTGTCCTTTGTAGATTTTTAAAACCGATTATTTGCCCCACCACCTGCATTAACACTAGGTTCATTCTAAGCAATGCTGCAAACCAAACAGAAGAGACTCTAAACTTCATGCAGATTCCTCATTTTCTAAAGGTCAAAGGTCATTTTTATTTAGTCTGTGTGTGCTTGCATGTGTGTAAGTTTGTGTGTACCTTAGGTGTCGGGCATGAGGCGGTGGAAAGGCGGGATGTCGCCTGTGTCGCCCGTGGTGACTCAGAGGGGGTGGAGCTTAAAGAGGCCGAATCTCGAGGAAGCACCTGAACGCCTCGGGAAATGATAGAGTCCGGGATCTACACACACACACACACACACACACACACACACACACACACACACACACACACACACACACACAAACAAGTACATACAGACACACTTTATGCCAGTCAGAGAATTTTCTTCAGCAGTTTTAACGTCAATTCAAGATGTGCCAACACGAAATTTGGATTCATGGAGCCGCTTTAAACTTTGGTAAAGAAACAGACTCTTAGACACAGAAACACAGAACCAGTATATTAAGTCATATAACCTGTAAACATCCTAACAACAGTTAATAAATTAAGTGCTCCGTGGTATCTGCGGCTGTCGTGTTGTTGAAAGTGGGTCTCCAAGACAGAGGTAGTGAGCGCTAGAAAGGCAAAGAAGATGGTTTGGATGCTTTCTACCCTTTGTGTGTGTGTATGTGTGTGTGTCAACTCCTGGCCTTTATGTCTTCAAACTTGACTATTGACTTGAAATGTAACCACAGACCATCCTATGACACTTGAGGAGACGAGTTTGTAAGTTTGATTCCATTAAACTTCAGTCTTGGTCTGAAAGATGGCCAAATGTGTAGAGTTTGGGAACTGCAGAGCTGGATGATAAGTGACTGAGGCTTTATGACCTTTCCAACATTTCCTGTAACTCTTTCATCCATTTTGAATTCAGTATTAACTAGAGCTGCTTTATCAGTATAAAATTCACTATACTACAGAGTTAGCGTGTTCAACTCCATAGTAGAAACTGATTTGTGCATATAATGTCAAGTAGTCTTATTTTCTTAAACCAGATGCTCTTTCCTTATATCATAACAGTTATGGATTTACTAAGGATGTACAAGCAGAAATCACAACATTTAACTTTTTTTGCAACCAGAAAAACTGACAAAATAACCCTGGGAAACTAAAACTCATTCATTCTGTTGTTTTGGATTTCCAGCCTACACATCATTCTGGTACAGAAAGAGGCACTGTTACAATGTTCATGTAGCAGATGCTTTTATCCACAGGGACATACATACGAGTCATACACCAGTGGAGGACACACACTGGGAGCAAGGTGGGTCAAGAGTCTTGCCAAAGGATACAACTGACAAACAAGGAATAGGGGGGGAATTGAACTGAAAACCTTACAGTTGTTGGATGACCACTCTACCTTCCAAGCTACTGCCGCTCACTGAACACAAACCAGTATTGGATATACTGTCAATGGTTTGAAAGGCCAAATAAATAAGATTTATCCCCCCAAAATGTATGCCTAAATCAAAGTGCATCTCTGAATGGTTATTCGTATCTATAAGAAGCTTTTAAATGTAATGTAAATGTGTATGTCCATAGAGTGTGCTCTCTGTGTACATCTTTTCATTTTGGACATATTGGCCCTCATTTATCAAGCTGGCGTACGGCAGAAAACTTGCGTACACCTTGCGGATGAAAATTTTGACGTGAGGATCGGCATTTATCAATCTGCACATGAGCGTACGCTACGACCAAATCTCACGACAGGTCTGACATCGTGTACGCAAGTTTGAGTCAGTGTGGATCTGCGGTGCAGCAAATGTCTGTCTCAAAATAATTGATATACACACCTCAAACCTGTCATTACGCACAATCAGCCAGATTTCATTAAAGATTTATAAGGAAATAAAATAAATAAATTTGTTATGTCCTTAATGAATAGGTCTATTTGATAACTCTGCCCAGAAACACTGCCACAGAGCAGGAGCGCCGTTTTGACATTACGCACACATGCACACGCGCCACTGTGGAGCGCTGCGTATGACTCCTAAAGGCAGGTGTCTCTGTCTTTGCCCAGCAACAGGGACGTTGTTGTTGACTCCTGAAAGGGTGTGGGACATCATTTTGGCCAGTACAGTTTTGCAATGTTGCTCTGGCGAATGGAGCGCCGTTGGCTGTGCCGGGGCAACGTGAGGACCCGATGCCCGGAGAACAATAACGAGGAGAGACTCCACAAAGGTGCTGTACAGAGGAGACAGGACCTTATCGATGGATTCTGACATGTAAAGTGTAAGTTTAGAAAGTGCTCTTGCTATTTAATCAGTGATAAAAATCCAATAGAAATCCATAAAAATGTGCCTCAGGGGCAGCAACACACCGTTTGGTGAGGTTAATAATTATTTTTGTTCAGCCTCTGTCAGACTCTCGAGTCTGCTCTACGTTACAAAGACGCATCAAATTAAAACTGAATACTTTCAATAAAAGGAGCAACGTACCCTATGTCATGGCGATAAAAAATATGAGGCATGTATGAGATATTAATTTATCATCATGAGCAACATACTGACTAATGATTTATTCAAACTTCAGCTACTGTCCACTATTCTGCGGCAGGGCGCCACCATAATCCTGCTCCAGACAGAAGTTTTCTGGACTGCTTTTATACCAGTTTTGAAGCTTCCAAAGAGCAAATCCTTGTTAGTTTCCACTACAGACACGAGGATATCCACTTTCAGCTCGGAAAAATTTTGCATCTTTCTAATAATTCTCCTCTTTCATGTTTGACCTCAGTGGGCGAGGCTTCTGAACCACGAATATTTAAGGGCATAAACACGTTAATGACGATCGATTTCAGCCGCCGCATTTATCAAGACCCGACCAAACGTACGCTGGGATTGGTCAGATACAAACCCTTTCATAAATCTCACGTGTGTCCTATCGTAGGATGAATCCTGCGCTCAGATCTGCGCAAGATTGATAAATGAGGGCCATTGTGGTTAACAGCTTTTGTGCAGTGGCGTGAAGCTCACAGCTAAGAGGCCACAGCTCAGGGCTAATAAAAGATATATAGGGACCAAATGACACCTGTCTCCCTCCTCTACTCTCCAAATGGTCTGCTACAGAAATACAGGTGATACAGGTGTGCGTCTTTTAGACATGAAAAGGAACAGTCAGTATTTGCCAAGAATTGGTGATGTAGAGGCTGTGACTGAGGGTGGAGCAGAGTCAAACACATAGCAGAGGAAAGAGAGCAACTTCAGCAGCAAACATACTCAGTCCACATTTGTGCAGAGGAAAATAATGTGTTATTTTCCTCAAGTCCCTGCTTTGTTTTCATTAGTGATAAACTCTCTCTCACTGTTTCTTTATGCATTAACTCAACCATTTGTTTTTTCACAGGCATTAGTACTATTTTAATGTTTCATGTAAAAATGAAGAGATTTTACTGTTTCAAAATATGCACTATTATGCAAAATCTGTTTTGTTTTGTTTTTTGACTCAGAGCGATTTATTCCACAATATTTTTTTCTAAGAAATAAATTGATTGTACATCCCAGTAGCAAAATGTCCAAGCTTTTCAACCAGACCACAGGAAATTAAATGGATGCCAATCTGCTTTTCTAGTAACAAACCTTGTATAAATGGAGTCCTACTTCAGTCAAAACTTGTGAGCCACTCAGGTCAGAATGGCAAAGAAAGATAGTTTGAAATCTGGAGAATCCTTCCTTGTTTCTCCGAAATGAAATTTCTACAATCAGAGGGATAAACAGGATGTGTTTAGCCTTTAATCTTCTTCCAGCATTTAGGGGAAAGATCAGAAGCCTCGGAGCAGAACAGACTCAGTGACCTATCATCCAAGTTTGCAGAACAGAGACGGTGATGAAGTGAACAACAATCCATGGCAGAGGAGGAACAGAAAGGGTGTGTTAAGTGTCTCACCTGTGGGTCATGGGTACAGGAGCATGTGAAATGAGTGGGAGGGGCTGGTGTGTTTCCAGGCAGGTAGGGACCCCCTTTAGCCATGACCACAGCATGACTCGTCTGACACACACATGCATGCAGGCAGGAACACACAAACACAAACACACAGGTGAGGGAGATGAAATGGAGTGCTTTGAAATGGTCACAAAATGGTTGATGTCTTAATGTAAATGCTTAAACATGACACACTACCAACCTAAAAGATTGGTCTGAATAACACCTCATAATTTGGACATAATATGGGGAAACATCTTTAGCCTTTTAGGCAAGTTCATTGAAAACTAGGAGTTAAAACAGAGCCTCTCTCATCTTGACAGGACCAAAACCACAGGAATGTTTGAGACTTCTTCTGAATATGTTTTTTTCTGATCACTAAAGTCCTTCAGTTATCTATAGTACAGTAGCCGGCTTCTGCAATGACCCAGTTTCCCCCATAGGGATCATTAAAGTTTCATCAAACGAGTTTCCAGAAGCTGCTCTGGTCGCGGGGTGTCTTGTCATCTGTTTACCTTGGCAGCGATGGCGGCCGCGGTGATGTGGGAGGAGCCATGCTGGTGATGGTGGTGGTTGTGCGCATGGCGACCTCTCCTCCTGTCCTCCTCTTCCTCCTCCTCTTCCTCACACTGTGTGCCGCGCTCCATGGTGTGCATGTTGGAGTGTGCGTTGCCGTGCGTGTTGCCCATAAGAGAGGAAGGGGAGGGCAGCTGCTCCAGGGCGGCGTGTGTGGATTTAACCCTGACGGTGGCCTCACGCAGCAGGTCGATGGCATGAGGCAGGGCCGGCAGGATGAACTGGAAACACTCCTGAAGAAGAGTACAGCGCCAGAGTTCAAGTTGAGAACTATTTGAGAAATGTAAACAAAACACATTACATTAGCAGTAACAGTAAAAAGGAACTACTTTGAATTTGAAGCTAATGCAAATATCTTACACATTGTTTTGTTTTTGTTTTTTATACCAAACAACTAAAAGGCACGAAAAGTGTTGTAATTATAGCAGTGCATTACAAAAGCAAAATTTTTAGGGCCAATGTGTCACAGTTACTGTTATAATTTTATAGTTTAATATTGAGCCAGTATCAGAATGATCTAGGAACGGCTACAGAGCCTAAATGCATGTTTTTTTTGCAGAGAAACCAGACAAGTACACAAATGGGTGATTTGAAAGATGGATATATACAAAATTCTAAACATTAAATCACAGACTCTGCCTCCCTTAGCTGGCTTTCTCATGTGCACAACCACACAGTAACCCCCCCCCCCCCCCCAAAAAAAAAAAGAAAAAAAAAAAAAAAAAGAATTACAAAAACTCAAAAATTGGTATCCTCCTTTGGAGATTTCTTAGGAAAATAAACAGCAAGACTCATTGTCCCATGAGTATTGCCCCTTTAAGGAAAGGAGCTAAGGGGCTCTATTTTCGTGCCCACCGGTGGCGCGGCGGAGGGTGGCCGACCCCGCGTAGTGTTATTTTTCTCTGGCGGAGCCCGGCGCACAGCCAGTTTGGTATTTTTGTAGACTGAGGTGCACCAAGGTCCACCAAGCTGGGCGTGGTGGCGTGGTAGGGGGAGGAGTTGGCAGAATTAGCAGCCGCAGTGACATTTTCGTGCCCACCGACAGCGTAGAAAGTGCCCTGAAAGCTCGCCGATTCAAACCTAGTCACCTTTTAGCGCAGGTGGAGTGCAGCTGGTCTAGTAGTATTTTGGAAGACCGGCGGCGTAGTGTGCATACGTCACTGATGCATCACTGGCAGGTTTCCACAGTGTCAAACACATTTCAGTGCAATAAATAATCAACAACAACTAATAATCTGAGTCAGCACATACATTTAGATCTATATTGATATATCCAGATCTATATCTTATCTGATGAGTGCATTTGGCATGCGTTTGGACACTCAACCTGATCGAATTGACACAGCTGAAACCGCATTAAATTAAATATCTAGTAAATAGACAAGACAATAACAAGATATTTAGTTTGTCTCTATTGTCCCTTTGTCCCTATTTCTATCTTCCTCTTCCTCTTATTTCTCGCGCAGGTCGACCTGGACATGTTTCCATGTCCTCTTTCCATCCTGCTGCTGCGGCAGCTGAATAGATGATTTATTTTAGTGATCAGATGAGTTATTTACTGAAGCCTACATACGGATATTATGATATTCCGTTGCGTGAGCCAAATTTATTTTATATGCCAACATCAATAAAAGAGAGAGCCAAGCCACAGAGCGTGATGCGTCCTTTACGCACAGAGAGTTCCGATTTTAATGCCATTATTGGAATTTGTGTTGTGAACAACTCACCTTTGTCACGTATGGTTTTAATAGATGCAGCTTTATGTGAGTGTCTTTTTTGTGGAAAAGGATGTTTGTCTTACCAGTGGGTACAATGGAACACACACCAAATCCATCTGTGCTTATATGAGAGAGTGTGGAGGACGCCCTCTGCAGTGCTTACAATGACACTTGTTAAGGAGCTGCCTTCTGTCACCATCGTGTGGCATTACTGTCTTCGACTACGTCACAAAAATTGTAATACGCCTCGCCGTTAGCGGATTTAAAGGTGAGGAGAGGAGTTGATGTTATTGGTCAATACAGGTCTCGGCTGTGTTAAACCCACTCCAAGCCTTCTCTCCTCCCTTGCTACAACTTACGCCGCTTGGAGGAGCTGAGTTAGGGAGGAAGGATACTTACACCGGGCTGCACCGCTTACCAAAATACCAAAATGTGCTTGGACATGCCTTGTCGGCACGGCGGGCCTGACTTAAACCGCGCCTGTGCCACGCGGCCGGCGAGGCACAAGAATAGACCCTAAGGTCTCTTGTGTACATGTTCTTATGATGTCTGTGTTCAACTACCTGTGTAGATTTTTTTTGATTGTCAACCCTATCTGTGTGTGTTAATCTCTCCTGCAGATGGATCCTGCAGCTGGCCAACCCGCAACGTTGGTTCCTCCACAGTCCACTTCCAAACTGGCTCACCACTAAACAAGTTCAGACCCCAAACAATCCAAAAAAAAAAACAATCGGAGCTAAAGCCTGTGACAGATGCACCTTGTTTAACTTCCACCTTTACACAGGGTTTCACCCAGGAGTCCTCAGTAAGCAATTGTGTGCTCTCAGGTTAGCATCTCCAACCGAAGAGAGTAAATAATAGTTGAGAGCCGCTCTTAAGGAAACTTCTCCAACCAAAGATGGTAAGTAACGGCGGAGAGCCTTTCTTGCATGGCATGCACCACCTGATGGTGGGACACAGATGCGCTCCTGGGCAAACAAGCTCAGAAACCTAGTCTGGGTTACAGATGCCTTTGATCAAAGTATGTTTACCAAAGTACTTGTTTCAATTGTAACTGTCAGTGTCAAAGCCTTCACAGACAGGATCAATCTTGCATTAGTGTTTTTGTTAAGAGAAAGATTCTGTGCTCTGGGTTAACTGAATTGGCCTAAAATGCACAGGTGACAGATAGGGTCAGGTAGGGCGGCAGTTAATCGTATTTTGATCTTGGAAATGAAAATAAAGTTGTTTGCAGTGTGTGTCTGGTTAAACTGACACATAAATACCTGACTGGAGTGAACTCGGGTATGTGAACCTGCAAGGAGGACCAAAGACTGGTGGTGCTTACTCTGCTAATGTTAGCCACATCCAGCAAACCAATTAGAAACCATTTACTTGCAGTTGCTGATTCCTTGTTCAGTTGCACTAAATAAAAAGTGCTCAATTTGGACTGTTTTCTGAGTCTTATATTCCCCTTGTACCAGCTGGTTAGAGAGAATTCATATTTCCATTTCAATAGTTGGGAATTTGGCTGTTTTGGAACACCCCTGATTGTTCAGTACTCACCTTGCACACAGGTGCTGCAGGTCTACTACTGTCACCATTAATCTTTCTTTTTAGTGTTGCTGTGTGATCTAATGAATGGTATCAAATTCAAATGAATCATTTAAAAGACAAAAGTCATAGAATTATACAAAAAACTCCTGCAATGTGCCAGTTCATTGGGCTGACTTCTTAACTTTTCATACTTTTTGGGCTATTTAGTGAATGTTTAGTGAATGTTGCAAAGGTAGATTCAGACTTGGTTAGGACAAACCAGAAATTTTCCAATCCCTAAGTCAAGTCAAAGTCCTAAACTTTGAGTTGCAAAAACTCAAACCGTAATGAATACTGCATCTAATTCTTTTTTCTGTTTATCTCGTTAAATTCACACAACAGGAGAAAGCTTCAAGACAGGAACCCCAACCAAGTCTCAAGTAAAATAATAACTTACTTTTCATACTTTGACATTTCTGTACTTTAAATCTTTTCCTTTTTCATATTTTTGTTATTTTGAGAAAAGGGGTTTCAGATTTTCCTGAGCAATGAGCCAAAATCATCAGAATTGTAATGAACATATAAAGTAGTAAACCTTAGCAGACACATGACTACAAATTTATACAACTCAACAGGATCAAGCTGCAGTCAAGTAAATAGTAATCCTGTTAAGACTCTCTCTTTTTTAGAGTACTGTCAAAGTAGTTTAGTGTACAGTAGGATCAAATGTGTAAGAATACACACCACTGAAGCAGGATTGACTGAATTCAGAGTCCTACCTGAGAGCCCTTCTTGCTCCCTGGCAGGTTGATGATCAGAGTTTTTCCACGAATACCACACACGGGCCTGGATGGAGATAATTCAGTATAAAAACAGATTAGAGCAGGAGAGGATACTACACTCCATAATCTGGTTAGAACAAAACTGATTAAGAGATTACTGTAGTGCTGCACCTCCTGCTGCAGACAGCATATATGACTGAGGAGTGGAAACGTTTAATCCTTACCTGGACAGCATGCCGAGAGGTGTAACGTTGAGTGATCCCATCAGCATGGCCAGAGCCATACCCGGAGCCTCCCGCTCTATCACCTCCCTGGTGGCCTAAAACAACAAACACCAGGTTCAGTTAGTTACTGATTACATACACTCCTGATCAAATCTTAAGATCAGTTAAAAAATTGCAAAAATTTACATTTACCACTGTTGGACCTTAAGATGGTTCTTAGTAGAGCTTCAAAATGCAAAAAGTAGAAATGGGAACAAGAGACCAAAAGTTTTGAGCAGGCAATTTATTGAAAACAACAATTTAACTGAAATAGGCTGTTCATCAGCTGATCAAAATTTTAAGACCACAGCTTAAAAAAACCTAAACACCTCCTAAAACAGAAATAAGTGTCAAAAACCGATTCAGTAATAAGTAGCTCCACCATTATTGTTGATTACTTCAAAAATTCATTTTGACATGCTTGATGCAAGTGTTTCCAAAAGGCTAGTGGGAATGTTGCTCCAAGTGGTGAAGATGGCTTCACGAAGTGTATCCACTGTCTAGAACTGATGTCCATTTTTATAAATCTCCCTTGCCATCCACACCCAAATGTTCTCTGGAGTGATGCTATTCTCCTGGAAAAATTCTTGGTCAGACGGGCATTGTGAATTGTAGCGTTGTCCTGCTGAAAAACCCAGTCAATACCACACAGACGAGGGTCCTCAGTCATGAGGGATGCCCGCTGCAACATCTCCACATAGCCAGCTGCTGTTTGACGCCCCTGCGCAACCTGGAACTCCATTGTTCCATTAAAGGAGAAAGCACCCCAGGTCATGATGGTGCCCCCTGCAATGTGCTGCGTTGAAAACATCTCAGGTGGCATCTCCTTGTCATGCCAGTAGCGTTTGAAGCCACCAGGACCATCAAGGTTAAATTTTTTCTCATCAGAGAATAAAACTTTCTTCCACCTTTGAATGTCCCATGTTTGGTGCTCCCTTGCAAAGTTCAAACAGGCAATTTTGTGGCGTTGAAGGAGACGTGGCCTTTGAAGACGTTTTTTTTTTTTTTGAAGCCCTTCCTTTGCAGATGTCATCTGATTGTTATTGGGCTGCAGTCAGCACCTGTAATGGCCTTAATTTGGGATAAGGATCGTCCTGCATCTTGACGAACACACGTTCTGATCCTCCGGCTCAAGGCTGATGATATTTTTTGAGGTCTACCACTTGATTTTTTGTTCCATAACCCTCCAGATCTTTTAAGAAATGAAAAATGACCGTCTTACTGTGACCAACCTCAGCAGTGATGGCATGTTGTGAGAGGCCTTGTTTATGCAGCTCAACAATCCTACCACGTTCAAAGGCAGTGAGCTTTTTTGCCTTTGCCATCAAGAGATGTTGACAGTGTGACTGCTTGACAAGAAATGACATGGAATCCACATTTTTGCACAGATTTGGGCTTTTAAAGGCTGTGGTCTTAAACTTTTGATCAGCTGATGAACAGCCTATTTCAGTTAAATTGTTGTTTTCAATAAATTGCCTGCTCAAAACTTTTGGTCTCTTGTTCCCATTTCTTCTTTTTGCATTTTGAAGCTCTACTAAGAACCGTCTTAAGGTTCAACAGTGCTAAGTATAAATTCTTGCAATTTTTTAACTGGTCTTAAGATTTTGATCAGGAGTGTATTAAACATAGCTCTCCAGTGAATTTCTTAAAAGAGGGCAATTGAATTTCCCTTCTGGGATAAATAAACTTCTTCTTATCTTTATTCTTGTTGTTATTACCACAGTAATTATTTATCATTCATTTCTTTTTTAGCATGTCAGTGTCTCTGTGTGTCTGTACCTCAGGTGTTACATCTCGGGGTGCAAAGCCAGTTCCTCCAGTTGTGAGAATGAGATTCAGCTCCAGATCATCACACCACTCCAACAGGGTGTCCTGTTTACATACAAACATGCAGAGGTAACTACATGAGTAACACATGTGTAACAGGAGTACGGTGGTCATATAGGACAGCTGCATTAAGTAGCTCCAGCTTCCTACAGACAGCAAATTTGCTGCCCCCCCTGTTGCTCACTTTTAAGTCCACAGTGCTCTTCAGTACCTCTTCAAAGGACTGAAGTGAGGAAATGTACCTTGCTTTGTGGATAACTGGCAGATGCTCACTGGAATTTCAGACTTGTGAATGCAGCTTTATTGACTTGACGGATAAGACACTGCAAATACAGCCATAGGTAAGTTTTTGTTAGATAATTTAGATACCCCTTTTTGCACTGACTATTATTAAATACTGCTGGAAAAGTAGTTTGGAGAAATACTGTTATAATTTTTTTATAATTTATTTATAATATCATTTATAATCATTTCTCTCTTCCTTAAAATACCTAAACAACATTGTATTTTCCAGATGTTAATGGTGTAACTGTGTTTTAACTGAATGTAAACTGTCTAATATCAGATCTTAGACATTAAGCACTGATTTCATCATTATTAACCATTTATCAAAGATTAAATCACGGTTGCTGCTCAATGGGAGAACAGAATTGATCTTTATAACCAGGAGCATGTGCTGCAAATATTACTTGGCAAACTCTCTCAACAGGCTGCTCTTTGAAGAGTTTTAAGAATTTAGTATAAAACAATTATTTACCAACATAGATCAGAAAACATTCAATCAAGCAATGATATCAGTGGGATTTTGGTGAGCGGCGCAGCCCAACGTAAGTATTCCCCCTCCCTAACTCAGCTCCTCCCAGCGGCGTAACTTGTAGCGAGGGAGGAGAGAGGGCGTGGAGTGGGTTTAACACAGCCGAGACCTGTATTGACCAATAACATCAGCTCCTTTCCTCGCCTTTAAATCCGCCACCGGCGAGGCGTATTACTATTTTCGTGAAGTAGTCAAAGAGATCAAGAGATGTCTGAAGACAGTAATGCCACACGATGGCGAAAGAAGGCAGCTCCTCAACAGGTGTCACTGTAAACGCTGCAGAGGGTGTCCTTTACCCTCTCATATGAGCACAGACGGATTTGGTGTGTGTAATGTTGGACCCACTAGTAAGACAAACACCCTTTTCCACAATATTCAAACCTCATGTGACAAAGGTGGGTTGTGCACATAGGTCACAACATAAACTCCAATAATGGCATTAAAATCTGAACCATCTGTGCGTAATGACGGATCACGCTCCATGGCCTGGCTCTTTCTTTCATAGATGTTGGCATATAAAATAAATTTGGCTCACAAAACTAAATATTATAATATTCGTATGTAGGCTTAAAATAAATAACTCATCTGATCACTAAAACAAATCATCTGTTCAGCTGCAGCAGGATGGGAGAGGACACGAAGACATGTCCAGGTCGAGCTGTGCCAGAAATAAGAGGAAGAGGAAGAAAGAAAAGGAGGGAGACAAATTAAATATCTTGTTAACTTCATCATGTGTGTTTATTTACTAGTTATTTAATTTAATTTAATGCGGTTTCACGTTGAGTGTCCAAACGCGTGCCAAACGCGCTCATCAGATAAGATATAGATCAGAATATATCTATATAGATCTAAATGTATGTGCTGACTCAGATTATTAGTTGTTGTTGATTATTTATTGCACTGAAATGTGCCTGACACTGTGGAAACCTGCCGGTGAGGCATCAGTGACGTATGCCGATACGCCACCGGTCTACCAAAATACCACTAGACCAGCTGCGCTCCGCCTGCGCTGAAAGCTGACCAGGTTTGAATCAGCGACGCCACCACGCCCAGCTTGGCGGATCTCGGTGCGCTTCAGTCCACGAAAATACCAAACTGGCTGTACGCCGGGCTCCGCCAGACGAAAATACAACTGCGCGGGGTCCGCTTCCCTCCGCCGCCTCATCGGCTTACATGAAAATAGTGCCCAATGTGTTTGTGCAGAAGGTGATAAATAATCTGAAACATTCACACACAGCAAGTGCACAAAGTGATGACATTCAGGTCAAGCATAGTTTCTCTGCTCTATACTCAGTTGCTTGCGTACTGTTTCCACTGATGTTTTTATGCTGCAGAAACATCCTCACACATGCAGATCTAATAACCCACATACAGCCACCATCATTGAATACTCCACCATCCGCTCCAGCTCAAGCTACCCCTCCTCCACCTACACCAAACAGAGTATTTTGAGTTGTAAGAGTGAGTCCACAGATAATCTTCCACTCTGAGGAATATGCAAGTGTTTAAGGATAGTTTCTGAAAATACCAAGGCTTGAATGTCCTTAAGTTATCTGTAAAATGCCAGGAGTTCATATGTGAGAGAGGCGACAGACTGCAAGTGACCCCCCCATCCCCAGAAGAGGACACGTACCTTAATGTCATCAAGCTCATCTGGGACAATCTTATAGGCTGTGATGACTCCTCCCAGCCTGCAGGAGGCAACAAAAATAAAGACAGGTAGAAGTGAGAAGTTGAAATTAGCAAGTACTGATCTAAGAATCTACAAATCAGAATAATGTCAGAGGAAAAACAAATACTGATCTTTCAAAAGTCACTGAAAGACAACGAGATGAGGTTTTGGTCTGAAAGCACTACTTCCTCGTGTACAGGATATGAAATAAGAGTTATCACTTTGTCCACGGGAGGCGCCAAAACCAACACAAACCCAAAGTTCCGCACAGCAGCTTGAAGATAGTTGATTATGTTACTCAAAAGATGTCCAGTTTAAGTACACAGTACAATGGGATGAAAACACACAATTCAAAGCAGGGATGTCAAACTTAACTACAGCAAGGGCCATAATCTGGATTTAGGTCTAACCTGAGGGCCAAACAGGGTCAACATTTTACCAAAACTGTCAACCTCCTTTTCAAAAAATATGTAACAAAAATAGCAATGATTATAAATCATTTGGAAATTTAAAAAAGAAAAAGATAAGTTTAAAGGCAATCTGAGATAGAAAAAAAAAAAAAATTTTATTCAATTTTTATCTATTAGTTCAAAAGATCAGAGCATGATATTATAAATAGAAAAATAATGCATTTAAAAAGCAAATATATGAGAAGAACGTTAAAATCAGGTTTAAAAGCTCAAAATATGACTTAAAATTTAACATTAGAATCTTAAGTATTAAAATGACACAAGTCTAAATACTGAGTTGAACAAAATCAAAGCATGAAATAAAAAATCCAATCATGTTCGACTCTTGAAATGCAAACGTGAAAACATGAAATGAAACACCAAATTTTTTTTTTCCCCACATTCTTGACTATTTATCAAATCTTCCTTACTCTTTAATTTCCCAGATTTTCATGGCTTATTAAGGACATTTTAAACAATGGTGCTAAAGTTTACATTATTATACTGGAGGAAATCTGAAGACTTCATACTGGTGGGCCAATAATAAGACAAATATGATATGATCTTGTGGGCCAGATATAATAGTTCCACGGACCAGATTTGGCCCCTGGGCCTTGAGTTTGACACCTGTGATTTAAAGGGATAGTTCTGTATTTTTAAGTGAGGTTGTAATAACATAACTTATGTTCTGCTTATGGTCAAACTGACCAGCATCCATCGAGGCTAGTTCACTCACGAGAGGCATGTAACTCATCCACCTCATTCCAGAGAAAACACTGAAATACCCCTAAAGAATTATCCAATTCAAACATACGGTGTGTCAGTGTGTGTTTAGTGACAGTGTATACTCACAGAGAGGGATCATGGACCAGGTCCTTCAGGTTGACCCCACTCCTGTCCTCAGCAAGGTTCCTGTAGCAGCTGTCACTGACTATAGAGAGACAGAACACCTCAGACACAATCTAAATTTCTGATCCTTTATTTCTGCTGATGAAGTTATCAATTGGAGCAATTAGACTACTTTTTATATTTTTTTTCCATCTCAAACTCCCAAACTATGTAAAAAAAAATATTGACTAGGTCTTGAAACACAAGATTTCCCCTTTAATACAAAGAGTTACTATAGAGCCCTTGTAGCCATCTAACAGCAGCAATATCAGCTACTCGATTCATTGCCCTGAGTGGAGGAAAATAATGATATCACTTTAATGTCTGGTCAGAAAATATGAAACAATAAGCCTGTCTCTCACCTTTTCCTCGAAGGCTCAGCAGACCAGCTGCTGGCAGACATGTTTGATTTAAAGATGAATGAGTGATGTTGATCCTTAACTGTTTAAATGTTTCTTCCCCAAATATCACTAACCCAAAAGGATAATTCATTGTGTGCTCTGGCATGGAGACATGAAAACACAGCTTATCTTTCAAGTCCAGTACACTGGGTTCAAGGGCACAAACATTTAGAGATCATCCTGACTGTCAACTCAAGTACAGAGGTGAAAGTTGTTTTTGAAAGCCTCTCTTACCTGGTAAAACCACAAATAATGAACAAGTAAGATGTCTACAACACTGGACTTACAAGTCTTACATACTGATATAATACAATATCCAATCACTTTAATTACTTGGAGGATTAAAACCAAACCTGAATGACTTCTCTCATTTACCCAATCCCTGATTTCTTACTATAGTCCTCCAGATGTACATTTATTTACATCTGGTATGACACTGATAATACACGTGAAAAATGTGTTGGTTGTGGATCTAGTATTTTTAACAGTGAGTGTCTGATTCACAAAAGGCATGCACAGTTTTTGCACCAACCAAAAAAAGCAGACTTATTTTCTTTGTGCACGCAAATGGTTAAACGCAGTCCAGCCTTTGCCGCAGAATTAAAGTAAGATTGAAGATTATTGAAGATTGTATTTTTTCTACAGAGCAGATGCTGTTGTGCTGTGGTGACTTTTTAATATTGCTTTATTATCATTGGAAAAACAGCAGATCACAGAGGCTAATTTGTGCTTACCTTGATTTCTCACTTTTTAAAAATGACACAAAATATAATGAATTGTCCCAGAGAGGTAACGCAGCTTGGTCAAACTGCATATATTTTACATTTGGAACCAGCTGGGCGCTGTGCTTTTTCACAAATCCCTCTTTGGCAGGAGGAAAAGTAGATTTGCTGGAAACTATTTTAGGATTAATTTAAATATATATTTGGTAGACCAGTGGGCATCAAAACGACATCAGATCAAGAACAGTGTGTAACTTTAATCTAGCTCTGACTAACCGGTAACAACCAGGCAAACAGATGTTTAAAATTAAAACCTAATTCTCATAATGTACCCTATCAGGGTGTGATTCTTTATCCAGAAGAACCTACAGATCTGCTGATTCCATTTTCAGTATTATTTAGTATTTACAGCTTTCTGTGCTTCACTCTCTAAAACATCATGCATGGCCTAATCTCCAATAAAAATGTCCTCCTCATACAAGATATGTAAAACAAGATCAATCACACACTTACACACACCACTCTGGTGATAATGTGTTATCAAAGTGGAATAACCTGACAGGAGGTTGTGATTGTTAGCTGGAAAAACAGCTGTAGAAGCATGTACAGAGGGGTCAGACAGGCTGTGAAGTACAATCTGTGATTTGGTGCCAGTGTCACCAGTTTTCACATTAAAATTGGCAGTTTGTTATTTATCATTTTTTATTTCATCTTTTTGAAACATGCTGAAAAATGTGGGTGGACGGCGTACCCTGTATCCCCCGCCCACTACACCCCTGGTTGAAAAATACCGACAGTGTGGGCTCTACAGACACACACCACGAAACACCTCATCCAGATTACAGAGTATTTGTGTTTTGTTTTTTTTTCTATTTTTTCCATATTAAATTCTTTGTTGATTTGATTGTTATTTGCTTTTTTGATAATTTCATTAACAAATACTTCAGTTAAATCTGCATTTTTGGTTGTTTCCTTTGTTTGAACTTAAACTGTGACAAACCCTATTTGATTTGTGTTTCTATGTTGGTCTGTCCAATTATGTACCAGCACTATTTGCAGGCTGAAAATCAGGTATAACAGGAGATCAAATACCCTGTTTTTTTGTTTTATGCAGAATAAAAACAGGTATCAATACCATCTGACTTTTACTGGTACTTCATCTATGTTCTACTTTAGTCCAGCATTTTTCCAGACCACTTAAAAATTAAACTTGGACAATTAATCTTTTGCCACTTAACTGTGCTGCTTTTAAATATAATATATTATCCACATATATCTTATAGTATTGGGCCCCTGTCAGCTGTAGGCCCTTAAATTCATCCCTACTTCCCCCCTTGTGCAGCTCCCCTGTACACATATGTATAACATTTTTCAGATACATAAATGTTGGTAGATTTGTTTAATAAAGGCATAATGGTCAAATGAACAGCCAAGGTAAATAAAAAAGCTTAAGGCCTGCATAGGTTAGTGTCTCAGTGGACAATCCCAGTCAAATCAGCGTGGCTCTAACCCTGGCCACAATGGGTATGAAGGGTTTATAAGCGTGCAAATACATCTGACAGGAGGTCGTGGTTGTCAGCTGGATGGACAGCAGGGTTAGCTGCTGTTAGCCGAGGTGCTAACTCATCAAAACCACGACAGACTCCCCAGTAGCAGCTGGCTCCCATCCTCTTAGCATTATTCTCACGTCTTCCCCTGCCCTGAAAAGGAGGCAGCCGAGCTACTGGTGACTGTCACACGGCTGTATACTGGCCCCAGTCATCTGCACGACTCACAGGCGAGGATCAACCAAGCTAATGAGGAAAGCTGCTAAAACAGACCTACACAACTGAATTAATATCGCTTTGACGCTAAGCCTTACAGAGTAACCAGCTTTAATTGGCTACAAAACGCACGATTTATTATTTATACAGACCCACTGCTGTATTAAAAATGAACATTTAGTGCAAACAGAATGACTGCAAAATCATTAATATGAGAAATGTTAATGTAAAGCATCTCCTGAAGCAGCCAACATATCGGATCTGCAAAGGGACATGAATAATGCAGCTGATGTAGGCTCAGTAACGCAACACTGAGAGAAAATTCAACGCGAAGCTCGAAACAAAAACCCACAACCACACCGGAAACTTGTTTTTTTACTTTCAAAATAAGGGCGCCTATTCGAATTACAGTCTCGATATAGCATGAACTCACCAGAAAAATATGTAGAATAACATCATTTAATGTTATAAAAAAGTACTGTTTTTACACGACTCTCCATGTTAAGTAAATCACTTGTTTGCAACACATTTCTCCTAAATTCAAGATAATCACCAAACAGCATTATTTTACCACCTCACTGACTCCGATTCATCTAAAAAAAAGACTGATACAAGTCTAAAGCATCATCTGCATGCCTGTTATACCCATGAGTGCTGTAAATACAATTATAGTTTTATCAATTAAATACATACAATCCCAATATACACATTCTGAGTTAGAGTCTAACTCCATCACAGTGAATTTGTTAAGGTACAAAACAAGTGGTGCTTTCTCAGTCAGCAACATTTTGCTTATGGGGAGCCCAGGTATAAATATCATGCTTCAATGCCACTTTGAAGCAGTCACATGAAGCTTAGGCAATCAGTTGACCAGGACAAACTGCCAGTTTTAGTGCTGAAAAAGAGCTCTTTGAAATGGTTTTGGATTTGGTGGAAACATATTTTGTTACAACCTTTTGCACGAACTATGGTGAAAGTAAAAGAAAAAGTCCCTTATCATTATCTTTGGGCACTGGTGGTGGGTCACCATATCATACCAAACTAATCATTGTAGTATAAGGAGGCAATCGGTGTGTTAAGAGATTTAGGTGACTCTACATTGACGCACGCTGGGAAGTTACTGAATATTTATGTAGCATCTTTTGTTTCTTTACATTGTGTAGATGTTCCTTGCATACTCAAGTGATGTAAGGCTGCTCATACATGTCAGTGTGAATTATATAGCTTGCAGAATGCCTAAAAAAATTAGGTTTTACCTTACAGTGGGCGAGTAGAGATACTGGATTGAAAAAAAGTATAATTTGTCAACATATGATCATTATTCTAATTTTACAACAAATTAAAGCATTGTAATCCATCTATTGCGGATGTTTACATTGTGGTTAAGATAAAATTAACATTAATGATTAAGCCTTTCTTAGAATACTGACTGATTAATTCAAAAGTTCTCTATCAACATGAGAACCACACCGGGAAATGACTTGACCTCAGCCAGTGTAAGTCTAAAAAATCACTGGTCGAAGATTAAAAAAAAAAATATATATATATATATATTTTATATATATATATATTTTTTTTTTCAACCAAAGCCGCTGAATCATAAATGTGTAAAGCTAAGAAATTGCAAACTGAAAGTGGTGAATTAACTTTGAAAATACATATAGATGAGGAAGAATGACTTGAGGTAACTACAGTGTTCCTCTTATTGTGAAAGCTTTTGCCGGATGTTCCTTTTCATCCCGCTTACCCTGACACTGATTAAAATATCTGGTTCCACCGTCGAATTTTACCAATTACAGTACCAAATATGACAGTCAGTCTCCATAAATAAATATTACTGTAACCAAAGTGTGTACATAACCAAAGATGTTGTCGTTTTGAAGCAAATTCCACATCTGCCCGACCTGTCAGGCTGCTAACGCTGGAGCAATGACAGTCAACGGAACCGGTTAGCTTAGCATAGAGGCTAACAGCAGCGGGGACGGTTCGTATCGTGACAGCGACGTGCACGAGCTACCGACGACGAAAGCCACAGAGGCGCAACACAGAGAAGATGTTTTAGAGCAATTCATCAACTGGTGTCCTTACCCGTCAGAATCCCCACTCGGGTCTGATGGTCGTGGTTGGTGAGCACCATCCCGTCCGCCGCCATGTTTACAACCTCTGTCTGCACCGAGCCGGCACACACACACACACACACACACACACACACACACACACACACACACACACACACACACACACACACACACTGCTTACTTTGTAAAAGTCAGAAACAAGAGTTAAGAGACCTTCCCAGTCTGCGTATTTAAAATTGTATATAATTACCAATCAGTGTTTGGTCTTTCATTACGCAAGGCTTATATTTAATGCAAACAAATTCACTCTATTAGGGACATTTGCAGCAGAGGTGGATCCAGATTTTTCTTAGCTGGGGTGGACCAACTCCATGTGGGGTGCAGGAAACTACAGTATTTGATCATTTTCATTTGAGAGTCCTGCAGATGTTTGATGCTTTTGTAGGACTGCTCAAATGAGGGGAAACTAATGTAATTCCATCTAATATAATTTTGACTAAAAGAAAATGTTCAACATTTGCATATAAAGAGAATGGCAGACCACCTGCAAACACCGGTCAGAATTTTTTAGACTCTCAAAGAGGGTTTTAAACAGTGTTTCTGCATGACTGCTAGTTGTTTGTCGTCTCAGTTTGTTGCTGGAGACACAGAGAAAGCTGTTGAAAAAATAAAGGAAGAAAACCCAATGATGTAGCTGAAAACAGCGCTGTCAGGAGATCTTTGCAGGGGAAGCTGAGAGTTCAAGAGTTTACATCTAATCAGCCATTTATCAAAATTAAACAACAATCCAACAACACATGAAGATACGCTATATGGATTCTTGGATGGCCTTACACTTTTGCTGAGATTGCAGAAGAAAACCTGAGCACAGTCAGTTTTGATCAGCCACTTCAACTGAAACACAATTTGACAATCACTCCTGGACTATTTCAAACATTAAACTTTGATAATGGATTTTTTTTCTCTTTCCTAAATTTACTTAAGGTAAATTTCAAATTAAAAGTTTGTTCCATGTTTAACATGTTAATATGATGGAGGCAGTGATTATGACCTATCCTGCAGCCAGTTTGTAGTTTGTTGTCCAAATGTTTTAGCTTCACTCTTGGGGAGCTCTTTTGACACCATGACATGACATGATTGAATTTAAAGGCTAGTTTGCACTACTGATCAAAACAAATATTTTAATAGATCCTCAAGAGAGTAAGATTTAAAAAAACAAAAAAACAAGAGTCCAACCTCTGGTATATTTCAGTATCATGAGCCTGATTTCTGTCCACAAGGGGGCAGCAGCGCACAGTGATTTGCTGCATGAACAGCCAACACATCTCCGTTTTTCACCTGTGGAGACTGTGGGCCCTGCTGAGAGTCTCCTTAGGCATTGAAAGTGTTATATTCACTGTTACAATATGGTGAAGACTGAACGTATTATATACATATCGTTTGTTGAGCTCAAACTGCAAATAAATATAGCGTCTTTACATTGACTTCAGTTGACACATAATTTTGTTTAAAGATTAATTTTATTAATTTAAGAGTCATTTATTGATTCAGCTGAAAAAAAAATAGTTCCTCTGACTTCACAAGATGAATCATAGTTAATATTTTCATTTATTGGCTTGCTTATTAGTTAAAGTTCACATTAAATTGAATATTTCTGTTGAAGGTAACATCTGGAAAGGGGAACAGGACTCATGCAGGAGTATTTAAGATGATATTTCTGTTCTCATTCAGCTCTCCTTCTCAGAGTTTTGTATTTGACTCAACTTTCAACATAAACGAGGCAAATTTCACAACTACCTCTTATGGTCTATTTCATTTTTGTGGATCCTCTCTGTTGTACCTTTGCAATGATTGCAGGACAAGAATTTTCTCCAATAACGCTGTCATTCTTTAAGAAATATGCAAAAGTGCAAATATAAAGTATTCTGAGATAATCCTGATGCTCTCTGACATCCAGTTATCCCTGATTAATGCAACAGTATTTGCACCTCTCAGGTGTTCACCATAGTTTCCTGTAACAGTAAAGTATATGACTGAACATAATATGCCAACAGAGGTCATCCCTAAGATCTGAGCTATGCTAATTCACACACTTTCAAACAGCACTTGTCAACTTTTATGATGCAATTGCTCACTAACATCAGTCTGATTAGCTGCACCTATATGCTCAGCTCATATGTGATATGACACAAAGTTTAAGTATGTAGCATTTTCATTTTGTTTGATTTGTCTTGTGTGATTTTGAAAGTGAAATAAGCCATCTAAACAGGCAGTGGTATTCTCCAACACGGCAGTGTGTGCTAGTGAAGGACAAAAACGTCACTGATTTAGAAAATATAAGATTATTAAATAAGGACGATGACCACATAACGTGTACCATGTTAATGCTTATAAATCTACATTATTACCAACATTATAAGTACCAAGTTAGGGCTGTATAGAATGATTGAATCATTCAACACCAATCATAGTCTAAAATGTGACATCTAACAATAACTACTCTCTGTGTACTTTCTAATCCTTTTTCTAACTCTATAGAAAAAAGCCAACTGGTGTATAACTGTAAGCACCTGGAGGTAGTTTCTAATACTAGGATTTTGTAGCATCTCTTTCTGTCATCAGTTCAGTCTCCATTATAAATAATCTTTATGGTAGCCACATCTTGCTCCTCTGTGGGTTTTAAGGATTCCTGCACATGATCTCCCCTGTAGAAGAAGCTGGAGTTGACTGCAAGAACCCACTCTGTGATCCTCTGCTCGGTATAGTACTCCTCCTCTTCATCATTGCTGTCCTCCTGCAACCTCTCCAGACGGCCTTTGTCTACAGAAAGCCCAGATTCTGTTTCAATGGCTGAGTCATTGGAGCGGATGAGCAGTCTCAGTCCTTTGCTGAGACTGGCATCATGTTTAGGCTTCATTGTACACCCTTCATTGGCACCGGCAACACTAGTGTCATTCTTTTGTTGTACTGGAGGGTCCACTGGTGCTGGAGTCGATTTTACGGCTGGCTCACTGTCCAAGGTCTTTTGAATCCATCTGCTGCAAGTCCCTGAATCTTTGACGAATGCTTTGTTTCCTGCTGCAGGAGCAACACAGATTTTACTCGATTTGATTGACTCCTGATTGATTTTCCCATGTCTTTTCACCATCACATAAATCACCTGCTTTTCTTCAGTTTCCTCTGACTTCTTGTTTGCTGTTAAAGTTTTTTTTCCAGAGATGGTTCTTGATCCTTTGATGGGAGGTAGAGAGATGATTGTAGGAAGTCTAGTTTTGGATAGACCTATGAGATGTTTTGACCTGCTCAGGATGTGTGCAGTGTCAGATAATTTTGCAGCAGCTTGGAGGTAAACACAAGATCTCTTTTTGATGTCTGTGACACTCGGTCTGTCAATATGCTGGGCGCTGATCTCCAGACCTTGACTTCTTTTTTCTGAAAAATTAAATCCCCACCGTCCGAACCTTCTACTTCTGTTCGAATCCGACCAGTCCGGCTTTTTGTGGACAACTGTCTGAGAACTTTTCATGACCTCATTTGAGGCTTGTTGCATCCTCTGTTAGTTGAACACATCCATCTTGGTGGCACATGAAACCGTCCGTCTGTTAGCTGTCTTTTATACTGTCTATCCTTTTTAGACCCAGCCCACTTCACTCCACACCTGCATGCACACACAAACCCCTGAACAGACATTCGACCTGTAACATTAGACGGTACCAGTTACCTAAAAGGAAACAAACTCTTTCACAGCTGATGAAGAGTCATAAATCAAACAACAATGAACCACATACAGGTGATACTTGAGTCTTTAGATGCCAATCCAGAATGCTAATGTGGGTGGAAAAATTAGTTTTGTTAGTTTGACAACATCTCATTCTTAATTAATTCTCGTATCAACTCCTGCAGATTTTTTTTTTCTTGTTTTTGTTAAAAAAAGGAAAGATCCCATTGGATCAGTGCCCTAATGGGACATGGACTCAAGTAGAACCCTGTAGGTATACTATGATATCTGGGATCAAGATGTCAGCAGTTTATCCTCTTAATTATTTATTGGTGTTATTGTGGATGCAGTCGAGCATGTGCAGTACTTGAGTTCAACACAAATTTCCCCAAGGAGACAATAAAGTGTATCAAATAATATTGTATCAAATTGTATCACATCACACCTCATAATTTTAATCATCAATATCATTTTAATTTCCTTGAGGGAACCCTCCCAAAAGAATAAAAAAGTTTTATCTTATCTAATCGAAGATAATACTGCATTGTTCCACACTTTATCATATCGAACGGGGTTGTATCATATCGTACCATTTTGTATCATTTCAGATTTTATCATATCACATTGCATTTCATCTCATCTCATAGCAATGCATCATATAATATTATATTGTGTTGCATAGCATAGTATTTATCGTATTGTATCATATCATTTTCAGGTTGGCCTAAAAACTTTATGGTATGCACTATCTATGATGCATTTCCTCCACCTGACCTGCCCGCCAGTCTTACAAATAAGCCTCCTGTAAAATATTCACCACTGATGGTATCTCATCTGTCACTATGGATAAATGGGACGAGATTGACAGAGCAGGAAATGACTCTGTGTTCTGCAAACCTAAACCTCAGGCTTTAGTTTCAAGTCACGTTCTTTGTGTAAGAGCTCCTTGGTGACTCCGTCTAAATCCACTTCCTGCTCTTTTAATTAAAACTCTGCTCAAACTGAGGAGGGAGGAGGGAATTATTTAGCAGCTGTCAGTGACACCGTGCACTTAGAGCAACAAACACTGATGGGAATGAAGGAAGAACGCCAATATTTTTGACAAGGAATTCAATCAGAATCAAACTGCACTTATCAAATCTTCAGTCTGACTCTCAGATGGTGAGACCACACACTCTAAACAATGACTGACTGCTGCTCAGTCAGATTAAATCTCTCCTCTCAGTTTGTTTGGACGTGTAAGTCACTAGACATGCTGCCTCTGTACTTAATAATGATCCTGAGACAGGCACCAGCTCTTGAGTTGCAGTGGGTGTATTCTGAGCGGTCTGTTTCAGTCTGTGACACTAAACACGGCCTAAACGAGCCAAACAGTGTATGGACTGAGGTGAGCTCACTTTTTCCACTGACAGAGATTGATGACCTAAAAGTGACTTGAGGAGGGCCAAAAAATCTTATCACAGTCTGAGACTGTCAAAAAACAACAGGTCAGGACAGACAGACAGGATGAGGATACTTGAAATATATCAACCTGATGAAGAATCAGTACCACTTACTTTAAATAAAGATGGATAACATGCCTCGATCTCCACCTGTTGTAAAAAAAAAGTGAAGCCAAAATCCCTCCAGTTGCTGGGATTGGTGCAAATCTATGAACTCAGAAAAAGCAGTTTACAGCTCTTTTCTGCTCAGCATTAACATTTTTGAAGTCTTGTAAACCTCACACTCCTGCAGAGTAATTCAATATCGATGTAGTGTAGGCAGAATATCCAAAGTCATATTGCACATTTAAGTATTTTGGATCCAAAACGTACAGAAGTGATCTGGCTGTTTGAGAGTAATTCCCCTTTTCTGCAAGCCAATACACAAATTTAACTTCCTGAAAAATGACAAAGATCCCTCTGGTTGGTTTGGTCCAGATCAGAAGTGGTTTTTGGGTTGGTTTGACGTAGAGCTGTCATTATGCAAGATTTTTACTGGTGTTCACTGAGACTGAATTGTCTGCTTGGGTCAGTGTGCTCTGTATCTAGAAATCATAACTTCTCCCGTTGTTGTTAACAAAGACTTTGTCATAAGTCCCACCCCCACCTGGTTTTGATTGGTGGGAGGTCAAGCAGGGCGGTGCTCTAAAGATTAATTATTTTCAACTGAGTGCACAGACACAAAGATCGGCTGATGCTCTTAGGTGTTTTAGTCCTAAGGATGTTATGTGCTGAAAAAGTTCAGCTGCATTTAGTTTCAATTGAAAAAAACAGGCACTTGGCACTGTCCCTGATTGTACATAAAAACCTGCAAGAACTGCTAACAAACCAACTTTGATCACAATGAAATCGGCAGGATGGTGTTCTACCTCATGAGGATATACACTAGTCTATGATTTGGTGCATCAGTAAAAAGCCACTTCTTAGACAATATATATTGGCACTGCTGTTCAGTTTTTATACAATAAAATTAAAACATTTATTATTGAGAGAATATATAACCATTGTTAAACAGAATTTTGAAGTATTACATCAGTTATTTGTTCTGTCAATTTGTAGACAAAATTTTACCCAAATAGTCACAGGGATTCACAGTTACATTCCTGACTGTAGAGTAAATCATAATGACACAAAAATCTCTAACAATGTCCTTAGTTCATTCAAGGTTACCGTAAAGTCAAGGCCTCAAAATAGACTCAAGTGCAATACTCATGATTCAACGTTGGAGGGTGCTATTGCAAGACTTTATGATCAAGAACCAGCTGCAGTACAGCTCATAAAACCAAACAAAACTACAAATAATTCATTTCACTTTGGCTCAGGTGGTTCCAAAAACCTCTGGGTCAGTGGCAAATTTTTTTACCTGAAATTTGCCCTGATTTTATGACAAAAATACATCAACAAAAGATGAAAATGATCTACATCATTACATCACTGTGCTTTGGGCTGCTTTTTGATGTAATTTTAACTCAAGCCTTTGCTTGACTCATGCGACAACCTCTTCTCCAGAACAAACTTTGAGAACACTTTAAAATAGTCAGAACTGCAGTGTGTTTCTATAAAAACACATGAAAAACCATAAAGGCAGACAAAGAAAAACAAGAGCAGGATATCATTACACCCTGTCTGTCTGCATACATGTGTCTTGATTACTGTCTTTATTACTTCTGTGCAGAAAGAACAGACAGGAATCAGAGGAAATTCCTCTTATCATTACAAACATCCAGACAGAGCAAGTTAAATCTGCCTTTAGCAGACCATCAAACTCCTCTTTGATGTCTGCTGTTTTAAACTTTTTGATATGAGTATCTTTACTTTCTTGTACTTCAAATAATTTGTTAGTTCAAAAAACCTATGTATCAATTCACTCAATATTTTTGCCGCAAATTTATTTATTTATTTTGTTTTTGCTCGTTTTCTGCGTGCTAGTTTTCTGTTCTGTGTCGATGTTCTATGTTCTTATTATTTTACTCTGGTTTGTTTGCTTGCTGAGAGACGTCTTATATTTTGTAACTGTATTGCAACATAACGGCAAATAAACACCTTTGTTCAAAAAAAAAAAAAAAAAAAAAAAACCTATGTAATTGTGCTGTTTAAATTCACATTATCTTCTGAGATAGTCTGGAATCCTGGCTGCTGCAATCTCTGTTTCTGGTTAGTTTCGGTTTGTTTTTCAGATGCTGTGTGTTCCTGTCTGTCCTCTTTTTTGATTGAAAAAACTTTGTACATGCTTTTGTTTTACGCAGGCCATCTTTTCAGGATCCAATGAGGGCCATTCTGGTTAACTAAGATAAATTCACAAATTTTGCATAAAGAGGCATTCTCATGGGAAAACTGCATGCTTTATTTTTGTCTATTTACATTTTTTTCTTGAATAGTATCATAACTCTGCAGCATGTACTGAAATCTAGCTTGTGTATTAGAAAGGAAAGATGTAACAGATACTGTAACAGATATGATAACAGATACCTTGCTACACTTGCTACATAGAAAACAACAGGTTTTATGGAGAAAAAATTCACCACAGGAGACCTCCGCTCAGCCTGGCAAGGCCTCAAAACCATGGTGTCTGTGAATATGGCCGCCACCATCTCCAGAACCATCTGTGTGGAAGGCAGCAACCCCTCCTCCCTACCTGACGACCTCAGTGCCTTTGACACTAGGTTTGAGTCAGACGATTTCTCCCAGCTCGAGGAGACCAGATCCTTGCTTTCACCTGGCAGCTCCACGCTTACCTTCAGGACCGAGGACGTGGTGAGAGCCTTCAGGGCGACCAGAGAGAGGAGCTCACCCGGCCTTGACAACATCAGCAGCCGAGTCCTGAGGCACTGTGCTGGGCAACTAGGAAGCTTGTTTCGGACTCTATTCCAACACTCCTTCGACAGTCACACCGTCCCCAAACTGTGGAAACACTCCACAGTCATCCCAATCCCTTCCAAAAACCACCCAAAGACTCTGAATGACCTTCGTCCTGTGGCCCTCACCTCCCTGGTGATGAAGGCCATGGAGAAGATCCTAAAACAGCACATCATCAGTGCAACTGACCCCCTGATGGACCCACTCCAGTTTGCGTATCGCGCACACAGAGGTGTCGATGATGCAAAAATCTTCATCATCGACTCCATATACAAACACCTGGAGCTCCCCAACTCCTCCGCCAGACCACTGTTTGCTGATTTCTCATCAGCATTCAACACCCTGCAGCCCCACATTCTGGCCCCTAACTTTCCTCCCAGTTTCACCTGGATGACCAGCTAATCCTGTGGATCCTGGACTTTCTGGCCAACAGGACTCAGAAAGTCCAGGTAAACAACCACCATCATCGACAGGAAGCCAGTGGAGGTGGTGGAGGAATACAAATACCTGGGCACCATCTTTGACAACCTCCTGAGATTCTCTGCCAACACAGAGAAGATCCTCAAGATGTGTCACCAACGGCTGTACCTCCTCAGAAAACTTAACTCCTTTGGAGTCAGCAAACCCATCATGACCACTTTCTACTACGCCTTCCTTGAAAGTGTCATGACTTTTTCCATAACCTGCTGGTTTCATTCCCTCAGCCTACAGAACAGGACCAGACTGCAGCACATTGCATCAGTGTGCTCCAAAATCATCGGCGTGCCTGTCAGAACTCTGGCACACATTTTTAACCAACAGGCCCTCAGACAGGCAGCTAAAATCATTAACGACCCCTCTCACATACTTCATCCCGCATTTCAATGGCTCCCCTCTGGGCGGCGTCTGTGCTGCATCGCAAGCAAAACCAAGAGAAGGAAGGCCACTTTTGTCCCCAAAGCCACCCTGCTTTTCAACTCCAGTTGCTAATTCCATCACCACACCAATATGCCCTCCCCCCTGACTTCTTGGCACAGTTGTAATATTGTCGGCACCTTAGCCCACTAGTCACTTTATTATTGTACATTTTGCATATTTTACATTCTTTGTTGATATTGTGTATTTTATATTGAGCAGGTGTATTTATTTATTCCGTTTTATACTGATTTTATACTTTTTTCTCCTTTTTCTCTATTCTGTTTTAATGTTTGCTCGGCTGCTGCTTCTCAATTGCCCCTAGGGGATGAATAGAGCTATATTGAATTGAATTGAAGCATGATTTTTCGCGTTAATAAGTTTTTGCAGTACTTTTAAAATTAATTACTTGATTCCTCTGAGCATAAATACTAAATATAAATAAAAGTACTCCCAATTGTGTTACAAACAACAACAAAAAATGGAAAAAAAGGATAACAAAAAACAACAACAAATATTGTCAGGGTTTGTGAAAACATGAAGTCAATTTGAGAGAGGCTTCATATTATGTATGTTTTTGACACATGTTAGGTTTTTAAAAGCATAAAATTCATAAATTTAAAGCTCCATAAAAGAAGGAATCACCTCCCGGTGTTGTTAAAAAGGAAGAAAACAATATAAATCATCAAAACCAACGGGAGATTTAACTATTCTAACTTTCTGAAGGGACCCTCTCTTATTTTAGTCATAAAGAATTATTTAAAAATTGAACAAGCTTACTTCTCAAAAAATCAAGACTTGCATCTTTTGTTTACAGTTGAAAGAAATACCAGCAATTTTCCGCAGTACAGTTACGGAACAGAGTTCTGCTCATCTACAATTGAATTATTGTTCAAACTGGGTCAAGCCCAGTGCAAACTGCGCACGCGCAGCCCCTAGTCTGCTTCTCAATGCCATAGCAACCAGTGCAGACAGCTACCGTCAACATGGTGAGTGTTTCGGTTCTCGCTGTCTATCTATCGTTACTTATTGGAATAAAATAGTTGATATACGGGATTCAAACTTTATTTAAGAATGGGAGAATGCTGTCACATTGGTTCTGATAGTGGCTGGTGACATTACACGCAATATTGGAGTCGCTGTGAGCTGATAATGGGCTAACTGTAATTGGCTAGTTAGCTAAACAAAGATGTCAAAATGTGATTTATCTTTTACTCAGAGCCGAATCAAGGACTTAGTCTACGCTCTGCAGCTAGTGTAACGCCAACAGATCGTGTTTGAAGACGAAAAGCACGACTAAAGATGCATTGTGGAGCCTTGTTTTTACATTTACAGCAAAGGCAGAGTACATTTACATTAAAACTGACGAAAAACGTGTCTTTAGTTCTGAACTACGTTGTTGTTTGCTTGTTTCTGAAATTGTCGGCTGTTTTTTATCCTAATATAATCCTGCTATTTCCTGTCTAACTGAATGGCATCTCATGTCTGCAGGCAAAAGCAACTACAGTGAAAGAGGCACTGGCTAAATGGGTGAGTCTTATCCAAAATAACTTAAGAAACTAGGAGGATATACTGTATGATTCTGTGCCTTAGACCTGCTTCAGTGGCCAATTAAATATCTTGTGGCCTAACAACTTTCCCCCCCCCCCCCCCCCCCCCCAAAAAAAAAATAAAAATAAAAAAATAAAAAAATAAATAAAAAATGTTCTCTTTAAAAATTAGCTTTGTTGCTTTATTGAACTGGAGTCATACTGCAATAACTTAAATAAATGATGCACCACCTTAAACCAAATGCTTTGACAGGAAAGCAATTTAAGCAGCATAATAAGTCAACAACATGATGTAGTGGACTGCTGACAGATGGATCATTATGGAGCTGTGTTTTTTGTATGCTAGATGTAATTTTTGTATTTGTGTGTTTCTGTGTGTGTCAACAGGAGGAGAAGTCCGGAGAGAAAGCGAGCGAGGCTACAGAAGTTAAACTGTATGGTCAGATTCCTTCTATAGCCAAAATGGATGCTTTGCTCTCTACACTCTCAAAATGCGAGTGAGTCCTTCACCAGATCTGTGTCTTATCTGGACTAGTTTTTATACTATACAACACATATTGATGTGCTTTATTTGTACAGCAATTAATCTGACACTGGCTATATGCTGGAGCCTTCCTGAAAGGTCTAACAATTCCCCTCACATGGTCAAAATGAACAAAAAATGGCATTTTGCTTTGTTTCATGCAAGGAGTTTTATAAAATCGCTGGAGGATTTGCAAGGATTTGAAAAATTGTTTTAATTTGAATATTTTAGGGACTTAACCTCACCTATAACTTAATTGTCAGAGTGGTGTCAGTGTAGATATAAAAGGCTAAAATAAAAAAGCTTCTTTCTGTGCACCTTCAGTCAAAGCAGTGTGGTGCCTGGTTAGTGAGGTCAGTTTCCTTTGCAAATACAATTAAACCAATGAAAGCCAATCTCCTGTCAGCTTTTGTCTCCTGTTGTAACTGTTTGGAGCAACTTACAAACACAAATGAGTGATAAACTGATACTTCAGTCAAGGTCTGCTGATGTTACCTACATAAACATGCAGAGATGGAGATAACCACAGACTCCAAAACTGAAACATTAATTGTGTTTAAGTCATACCAGCATGTCATTTTTCAAATACCTGATGAGTAAATGGTCTGTGTCCTCCACAGGAAACTCTCTCTGTCCACAAACTGCATTGAGAGAATTGCTAATCTTAACGGCTTGAGTGAGTGCTCACTGCATGAACACAGACAGTATCATCACACATGATCACAGTTATCAGTTTATATGAACTTCAGTAAAATTATTTTTTTATGTGCTTCCAGAGAACTTGAAGATATTGTCATTAGGAAGAAATAATATAAAGACTTTAAATGGGCTGGTAAGTCACATTAGAAGCAGAGTTTATACCCAGCAGTTGTTATACTTGTACAGCTTTAGTGATTTACAAATGAACGCTTTGTAGAGTCATATCTACTATGTAGTGTGTTTTTATTTGTGAATGTTTGAGCAGGAAGCAGTAGCAGACACATTAGAAGAACTTTGGATCTCCTATAACCAGATAGAAAAACTGAGGGGAATCTCCGTCATGAAGAATCTCAAAGTCCTCTACATGTCCAACAACCTGGTCAAAGATTGGAGTAAGCTACATTCATGAACAAAGTTCACAAAATAAGATAGTTGGAGGAGTAATGTTTGACCCTGTTGGTGCATTAACTGCATTTTTGGGGCAGTTTTCAAATGGACATGAAAACTTTAATGACTCAGTGACTCTGCATCTTAAAGAAATAACTGTATCTTATATTTAACTTTATATACTGTTGGTTTGTTGTGGCCTTTTTATATTGTATAAAGTTTGTTTCCTGTCTTGTGCAGGGGAGTTTATGAGGCTGGCTGACCTGCCGTGTCTCGTAGACCTGGTGTTTGTTGGAAATCCTCTGGAGGAAAAGTACTCAGCTGAGGGAACCTGGATGGATGAAGCCTCGAAAAGACTCCCCAATCTGAAAAAACTAGATGGTGAAAATGGGGCAGTAGCATTTATTAAGACATTCTTAATCCTAACCAAGAACTCATATATGAGCAAAGCAATAATTTACTGGTCCTTGTGCATGTTGAAGTACTTAAGTGTACTTATTTTAACTCATTTTTTAAGATTATTTACAGTTGACTATTTTGATAAGTCAGGTGTGGTCATTTGATGTTGAATGAGCTGAGCAAAAAAAAAGATTTGTTCAGAAAATAGAAAACAGAAAAAGTTCAAACAAAGGGCTTTGGAGGGTAATAAGAGAGCTAAATCTAGCCCATGATCCCTGACAAAGAAATGTCATAAACTGAACCAAGTTAGATGACTGAGTTTAAAATTTGGTTTAAATATCAATTGAAGAAAATGAAAAGAAATGTAATTTCAAGCATTTTTAAATTAAATAAGTGTTTTACAGGGTGTTTTATGAGTACCACCTCCCACACCCACACCCAGGCCAATACACGTTAGGTATGCTTAAAATTCAAAATATATACTGACAGCTGTTTGAGGTACACTATAACAAAGCAATACAAACTTAATTTTCAGAACTTTTATTCCATAACTTCACTATTAAGACATTGATCGCTTTTTTTATTATCAGGAACCCCGGTCATCAACCAAGAAGAGGACGAAGGAGAGGGAGACGACTGAGGAGTCTGCTAATCTACAACCCACTCTCCTGAGTCTTCCTTTTTTAAGTTTTTTAAGGTTTTTGTGGTGCTTTTTCTGTCTGAAAAGAGGATACAGAGAAGCATGGACTGAAGCTATTAATTATATTATAAATAAAGTTATTCGTATTCTTATTGTAATACATCAGCAAACACAAAACACATACAGAAAAAATGTTCTGTATCAGTTCAGGTCAGGAGAGACTGCGAAGTTGACTATACGTCAGGCCTTGTGTTTTGGGACCAGAAAGATATTTTGGGGAAACCTTAAAGTGGAGCTACATTTCTAATACATCTCCTGATGCTCTTAACTGTGATACACTTTTTTTACAGTTAAGATGCTAACATTTTTTCTTACATTTATTAACATAATATTGCCTGTTAGAAGTTATGGTACACCCATTAAAGGGCCAAAAGTGCTGAGAGAACTTTTTGATTTGTTTCATTCTGTGTTCATCTAGTAGAACTAAAGCACAATGTAGCACACACATTAATTAGAAGAGGCTTTTGAGAGGACCATTTTTGAGAAAGGCGATCTAGTTCTGGATTTAAATAGTTGGATTTAAGGAGTTGGATTTAAATACCAAACACTGTGATCTCGTAATAACACTGCAACAGAGAGACAGGCAAGTAATGCTAAAGAATAGGAAAGTTATTCAATACACTAGACTGACAACTGATGGCTAAAAACTAAAAGTCCAGCAAATAAGTGCATCCTTCTGCTGTTTTCCCTACTTATTGACATTCAGGAATTCAAAACTGGGTCCAACAAACCTCTGATTCCTCAGGGTACTACAAGTTTTAATAAGAGGCAAATTTTTTCATAAATGGACCATCTGTGGAGAGAAAAAAAAGGATAATATTTAAAACTAACTTGACCAAAATGTCTAAAGCTGTGTTTGGCGCTTTATTGTTTTTAGATCTTCCTACAGCATTATACTGAGGTTATGGATGTGCCCAGACATAACATTTGAATAAAACATAAATGTGCACTGTATCAAAGTCTTATTTGCATTTTTGAAGGGCATAAGCAATCTACTGTTTTTATTGCAAATGTTTGGTTAATTTTGGATGTTGTTGCATGTCTGTTGCATAAGGTCGTCAATTTACAATGTCTTAGTGAAATGTTTTTCACACTATTAATACATTTTAGACATGCTTGTACGTATAAATGTTAGATATTTATGGTTTTTAAATGATTTTGATCTTTGGAATAAATAAAACATATCAGTTGAACCACATCTCCTGAAGTATAACAGTCTTTTTTGGTAATATTTAATTCTGTTAATGCTGAATTATAATTTTTTTATAATTGTTTTAGTATAGTTCCAATCAATATGAAAGGGTTGAACTTGTTTTTCACAAATTAACCTGATTTGACCTCAACAAATATTCAGCCATATTACCCAAAGATCCCTTCGATGTGATTAACAATCTCACCATAGGTATCATAATTATGTTAGTCATGATATCTATGAATTTAATTGCTTAAGAAAAAGTAATCTTCCCACCCACTTTTTATTTTTTTTTTGTAGAAACTTTTGATTGGCTGTCTTAGACATCGATCATGTTTCTTTTGTTTAGTTCCTTAGTTACGGCCTTCAATTCGGAAGTTGTTGTCTATGCCGCGAAATATCAACAAAACCAGATCACGAAACTCTGCCAGGTTAACGAAGTCGTGGTGGTGGTTGGCATAAACTGGTCTGTGAATGGATCAGGATGGCATCGAAAGGGATAGATGAGGATGAGGACATGGAATTAGATTGGACGCCGGTCAATAGAGGCAGAGGGCGAAACAAGCCAGGTACACCATGTGGAGGTGAAATAAGGATGACAGCTACCCAAACTAGTAAAAGAGGTTTAGATGGAAACAGCTCGGATGAAGGTGGCAGGATAGTGAAACGAAAGGTGGAGAGGGAGGAATTTAAGATTGTACTGAGGTTCAGGAAGGAGGATGAACAGGTTAATCTTAGTCCGATAATATTGTCAAGGGAACTAAAAAAGAAAGTAGGTGATGTAGAAATGACTAAAATACTCCGAGATGGAAACTTGTTGATAATCTGCAGAAATGAAGAGCAGAAAAACAAGGTAATGCATGTAGAAAACATATGCAAAAAAGTGATTTATGAAAGGAAAAGTTTCAGGGATCAATGCTCCCAGAGACGATCAAGATAGGGTGCATGAGTCTCCCATTCAGGCCTTATGTCCCTCCTCCACTTCGATGTTTTAAATGCCAGAGATATGGACATATCGCGATAGCATGAAAGGGGAAACAAAGGTGCCCTAAATGTGGAGGGGACCACACACATGAGCAATGTGGAGATCAAATGGAGAACAAGTGCTGTAACTGTGGTGGCCAGCACAGAGTGACGAATGGGGGCTGTGAGAGCAGGAAAAGAGCAGTTGAAATTCAACAGGTGAAGACTGCAAACAATATAAGCTGTGCTGAAGCAGTAAGGAAAGTTCAAAAACAAAAGAAAAGGTATAAAACAGACAGAGACAATGAGAGGACAAGAATAGAACAAGAACAGAGAGAACATGATAAATTAAAAATGGTAGTGGATATTGAAAGATTGATTGTGTTCATTGCATATGTAATCAACTGTACAGACCAGGCCAGAAACAAGACAGAGAAAATTAGAACAATAGTCAAGGGTGATTTTTCTAGAATTTTCTAGAAATAAAGAACATATCTTGGGAACAAGTCAATAAGAGGCTTGAGGATAATGGCAGACAAGGATTAGGGGGAGAAAAGACAATCTGATTATTCTTCAGTGGAATGCAAAGAGTGTTTTAGCAAATGGCCAAGAATTCAAAAGAGTTATTGTTGGTATCAGAAACAAACCAGAAATTATATGTGTACAAGAAACGTGGCTTAAACCAGAGTTAGATTTTGTTATTAAGGGATATGTTAGCGTGTGCAGGGATAAAATGGATGGAGTTGGGGGAGGATGTGTAATATTTGTGAAACATGGAATTCAGTATGGAATACTGGAGAAGGGGAAAGATCTGGAAATGATAACAACTGAAGTATGGACAAAAGAAGGAGTAATCAGAGTGGTGAATTTTTACAATCCATGCAAAAAACTGTCAATAGAGTCATTAGGTGAGCTTACTTGAAAACTAGAGGGCAAAGTAATTTGCTGTGGAGATTTTAATGCTCATAGCACAGTATGGGGTAACTATAATGATGGAAATGGGGAGGTAGTAGAGGTGTAAAAAAAAATCTAGTATGCATGAACAATGGAAAGGGATCAAGAATTGATCTTCGACATGGGTCAGAATCAGCCATTGATCTCACCTTAGTATCAGACAAAATAGCAGGTTTATGCGAATGGAAAATTATGAAAGAATCAACAACAGGCAGTGATCACTATCCAATAGTTACAAGAATAGGGTTAAGTTTAGAGGAATATGATACAGGGGGGTCAAGAAAGATGGGTGTTCAGCGGGGCCAACTGGGAAAAATACAAGCAGATTTGTGATGAAGAAGGTAAAAAAAAAAACAGGACATAGAAGATTATAACCGTGCAGTATGTGAGGCAGTTTTAGTTGCAGCAAATCAATCAATACCAAAGAATAGAGGAGGGAAGAGAAAGAAAATAGTGCCATGGTGGACGAAAGAATGTGAAAATGTAATTAAATCCTGGAATAAAGCATTTAAAATATTAAAAAGAACACATAACTTCCAGAAACTTATTGAATATAAAAAGTTACAGGCGAAGGTGAGAAGAACAATTAAAAATGCAAAGAAGGTATCAGAGGAAGATAAAGCAGAAGTACTGGCCAAGACTTTTGTTAAAGTACATAATGTCAGTAATATCAGTGAAGAGGGACAAAGAGGAAGGGAGAAGACATTATCTGAAATTAATGTAGATCTGGTGCAACAGGAGGAAGGAACAAACGATGTATTAAACTTTCTTTTGTATTAAAATTTCTACAGATTTGTCATAACATGCTCAACTGTTTAAGTGATTCATCTAAGGACATTCTATTAGATTTATATAACAGGATCTGGGAGAAAGGAAAATTACCAAAAAACTGGAAAGAGGCTGTGGTTATACCAATAGGCAAACCAGAGAAAGACAGGACAAACCAGAAAATTACAGACCAATCGCAAAAACATCAAATGTATGTAAAATAATGGAAAAAATGATTAATACAAGATTAACATATTATATGAAAAAGGATGGATATATTTCAGCAATACAAAGTTGATTCAGAAGAGGCAGAAATACAATGGACCCAGCACTATGTCTAGAACATGAAATAAGGAAAGCTCAGGTCAATAAAGAAAGTGTAGTAGCAGTATTTTTTTACATTGAAAAGGCATATGATATGCTATGAAAGGAGGGATTATTAATTAAATTGGCAAAATTGGGGATTAAAGGCCAAATGTATAGTTGGATTAAGGACTTTTTAGATGGAAGAAAGATTCAGGTCAGAATAGGTAAACACTGTTCAAGAAATTTTGGTATAGAAAATGGAACACCCCAAGGGAGCATCATGAGTCCTATGCTATTTTCAATTATGATAAACAATGTTTTTAGTAGCCTAGAAAAGGGAATGGGTTGTTCACTTTTTGCAGACGATGGAGCGCTGTGGAAAAGAGGGAGAAATATAGAATTTATTGTTAAAAAGATGCAAGAAACTATTGTTAAGATACAAGAATGGGCATATAAGTGGGAGTTTAAATTTTCAGTAGAAAAAAACTAAAACAATGTTCTTCACATGTCAAAGAAAAAGAAGGAATATAACTTTAAAAATGTATGCTCATGAGCTAGAAAGAGTCAAAAACGTAAAGTTTTTAGGAATATGGTTTGATGAAAAGTTAACATGGAATATACATATTGAAAAAATAGTAAACAAATGCAAAAAAGTGCTAAACATAATGAGGTGTTTGGTTGGAAGAGATTGGGGAGCAGAAAGAGTGGCATTAAAAAACATTTACATTGGATTAATAAGGTCAGTATTAGATTATGGAAGTGTGATATTCAGGTCAGCAGCAGATACAACACCGGAAAACTAGATAGGATCTAATATCAAGCATTAAGGTTATGCACAGGAGCCATCAGGACAACCCCAACAGCAGCATTACAAATAAAATTGGGAGAAATGCCCTTAGAATTGAGGAGAACACAGTTGGCTATTAATTATTGGATAAATTTAAAAGGAAATAAAGAGAATCACCCAACTCAAGAAGTACTAAAATCGTGCTGGGAAAAGGAGAAAAGAAAGATAAAAAGTTTAGGATGGACAGTTGAGCTAAAAACAAAAGAACTAGAAATAAATGAAATAAACATCAGCCCAACTGTACCACTACCAACAATTCAGCCGTGGCTGCTACCAGATCCTGTGGTAGATCTAACACTACTGGAGAAGAAAACCAAAAATAAAGAAATCATAGGACAGCCACAGATCATACAAGACTACATTGAAAGGAAATTCTATAGTTATACACAAATTTCTACAGATGCATCAAAAAACCTGGCAAACAATGTAGGTGTTTCAGTAATTGTCCCAGAATTTAAGGTCAAAATTTTAAAGCGCATTGAGGACGGACTGTCGGTATATACAGGAAAAATGTTAGCAATTCTGGTAGCACTGCAGTGGATAGAAGATGTGAGACCACTCAGATCAGTTATAGGTTCAGACTCAAGTTCAGCAATAATCAGCTTGGATCACAACCATTCAGACAGCAGACAAGATTTGATAACAGAAATTGAACAAACATTGTTTAGGATTCAAATGTTAGGGTTAGATGTAGTATTAGTATGGATACCAGCTCATATAGGATTATTTGGAAATGAAATGGCAGATAAATGCGCTAAGAAAGCAACAGAAAAGCAGCAAATGGATATTATAGTGCCATTTAGCAAAACAGAAGTAAAGAACATAGTTAAACATAAGATCAAACAAAAATGGCAGGAGCAATGGGATAAGGAAGAAACGGGAAGATGGTTTTATGGAATACAAAGACAAGTAGGGACAATGAGAAAAACTACCAGAACTCGTGAAGAAGAAACCTTAATATCTAGAATAAGATTTGGACATACTAGACTGAACAGTGCATTACATAAAATAGGAAAACACAACAATGGAACATGCGATCAGTGCGATAGTCAAGAAACATTAGAACACGTTATGCTGCAGTGCCCAAAATATGAGGCTGAAAGGAGGAACCTTATAAGGAATTTAAGTAGAATAAAGATGAGATACAATCTAAAGGATTTGACACAGAGGAGTTCTGGGGAAGAATCATATCGATTAATAATCAGGTTCCTAAGGAAGACAGAGTCAATAGAAATTTATTTCTTTATTTCTTTATTTTATTTTTTTCATTATTATTTTTTTTCATTATTATTATTAAGATCCAGATCCACACTCCAGACCAGTTGGTGGCGCTAATGCGCCATAACGTTGTTTGCCAACCGCCATAAAAAGGAATCAAGAAGAAGAAGAACAACAACAAACCCAGAAGTCTGTCAAAGTGTTAAGAGACTGAGTTCAGTATATACGTGACGGAAATTATAAAATTCCCCAGATTTTGAGGAACAAGTCTGTAATATAGAGTTTGTCAGTGTATGTCTGGTGTTAGGAGGTCGTAATGCAGCAAAGTAAAGCCGCTGTGAGTGTGGAGGTGAAGCAAGTGATCGCATCTCTCTGTAAGATGCTCTCAGCCGTCGGGCTAGAAGAAGTCCCTGCACCTGAGACCTTCAGACGGGCTAAGTTTGGTGCTGGACCCGAGGTGGTTAGTTCATATTTTGTTTGTCTTTATCAGAAGCTGTCATGTAACGAGAGCTGGGGAGGCTATTTTATGGAAGAGGTTTCACTGCAGCTGTTTTAAACTTTGAAGAAATTTAGTTCGACAAAAAATACTGGTTCAAAAGCAGATGAGGTCAAAGGCAGACAAAACCGTAGGACAAAACCACCAAAGAAAGGAAAGGTACATTTTTGTCTTTTAGACTTTTCATTACAACAAAACAACAAGAGAAGTTGTGTTTTCTTGGGTTAAATTGAAGTAATCTAAATGTAGCTACACTGAAGAAAATATACTGTACTTCATTTACAGGCCTGTATCATATTTTATTATATCATATTATAAATCATACATCATTATTTATCAACATACCATATCACTTTATATTTATATCTTACTGTGTCCTCATCCCTTTACTCTTAGGTTTTTGCCATTTACCTCAGAATATATCCTTACTGCCCTGCATAACTCTGATTTATTCATACCTTTGTATCACACCTGTATATAACACAGTTTATAATACTTTTTAAGTCTATTTGTATTTGCTATTTGTTTGGATTCTGTCTTATCTTCTGTTGCACCCCATGCCAAGGCGCCAGATGGGGCTAACAACTATCATTTGTTACACATTGACCTATTAAAAGTAACAGAAAACTCTTTTCAAAGTTTACCATGTCACTTATTGTAACCAAAGACAAAGAATTAAACGAGCACCAATAATTAACAAAAGAATAAATCAATAAATAAAGAAAATATAAAATCAACTAAAGTTAAAGTTATTCTTATTGTCTTATTCTTATCAGAAAGTCAACTAAATCACAAAGAATCCACCCCTAATGCCTCTGGCTACAGCAGGTGGTTCCTGGGTTTTAAACACTCAGGACCAGGTGAAGCCAATCGTCAATTAGTGGCTTCACCTGGGAAGACAAAAGGGCGAGAACACACACACAAGCAACATACAGCCGTCACATCTTATCTTGTATCTTATCTTGTCTTATCTTCTCTTGTCTTATCTAACTCTCACATTGGTAAAGATTAATTTAATTGAATTACCTGCAAGCCACTTTAACAACTGCTGTACTCCTTATCTAATGTATACATTTTTTTCACGATGGTTTCTTGTCATAAATAGTGTGCAAATAAAAATTAATGACAAATTGATAAATACAAATAAAACAAATAAAACAAATAACATAAATGATATTGTTAGTATCTAGTCTGCGAGAGCTCCCTGTACCTTGTGTACCATTGTACCAAGTACCTTGTGCATGTACTGTATGTGCTTTTGTGTACCACTGAAGTCATTGTGTATTCTGCTGTTCTCCAGGAGGATCAGTTTTGGAAGCTCCTCTCCAACATCCTGCAGACAGCAGGGATTGTTTCCTGTGAGGCTCAGGCACAGTTTGGAGGAGGTCAGTCATGTCTTGGTTGTTAAAGATGTCATCTTTATAGTATAGACCTTTTTTCTGGCTGGTACTGAATACATATTTTGCAACTTCTGTGATCTGGGAATAATTCTGGGTTGTTAGCAATTTTAATCTTACGCTAAAGTTTGTTCTCCTCACATATTAGAAGACTGGCTAAAGTGAAGTGGTCTTTTTTTCCCTTTGTTTGTAACCTCAGAGCACTGTAAGCTGGTAGCTGCTGGTCTCTGGCAGACTGGTTACTATGCTGACTGGATGTTTATTAAGGAGGGAGGAGGAGGAGGAGGCGGTGAGGAAAGGCGATGCTCCAGTAGAGAACTCCTCCTCGCTCTGGGCTGGTTGATCGCTGAGGGAACTCTGGAGAAGCTGGTGTCACAGAGGGTGAAAAAACTGGACAGGACACTGTTTACACCTATGCCTGTAAGTGCTGCTGGTTTACTGCCACCATATACTTGCAAATGAAAGCTGTATTTGTGCACTTTAGTATCTTTAATCCCTCTCTTTTTGCACATATCAGGTAAACAGTCAGTTTCCCACTAGACCTCAGATTGACTCATCATCTTTGCGAAAACTTCAGTGGCTTGTTGGGTCTTTGAGACATCAGAACCGGATCTTGTTGTCCATGCAAGAGGAGCGAACTCACTTGCTCCATGCTGTAAGAAAATCTCTCATTCTCCGTTTTTTTCACATTTTAATTACTGAGTTCATAAGGACAGAGCAGATGTCCAGACATATGGGGAGAAGACATGACAAAGAAATAGTGTTGTATCTCACCCTGCAGCTTAATCTACTGATAACTACCAGGATACAAGCTGGTTTTAGAAACACAGAAATAGGAAATAAAACAAAAATGATCTTTTTGGACATATGTTTAGGTTTTTCTTGCCAGCCTCTCCTACCCGGAGTCCTCCTTTGAGCAAACCTCAGCAGTGCTGAAGGAGGTAAGTGTGTCTCAGTTGTTTCAGTGAATTACTTTAAAGTTTTATTTTACATCTAAAATTTCCCATAAAATTTCAATCAATAGTAGGGGCTTTTATTTGTGGTACAAACCTTTATAGACAACAGGCTGCTGATTTAAACCAGCAAGAATATTTACCTGTATATGGGCACTGCACTTGGCTGGTTTCAGTCGTATCTTTTAGAACAAACCTTTGCGGTCACCATAGGCAATCACACCTCCTCTACTTCTGCTATCGCCTGTGGTGTTCCGCAAGGTTCAGTTTTAGGTCCAATTTTATTTTCTATATACATGCTGCCCCTTGGCCAATTAATTCAGCGCCACAAAGTCTCCTTTCACTGCTATGCAGACGACACACAGATATACCTTCCTTTGAGACCTGAGGACCCAAGAGGCCTAGCTGCTGTCATGGACTGTCTAAGTGACATTAACTGTTGGATGGCACAAAATTTCCTTCAGCTAAACTATTCAAAATCTGAAATAATTCTCTGTAACATACAAAACTCCCCCCTCATTCAGTCTTGTCTCGGTCCACACTCAGTAATCATCAAACCAACAGCCAGAAATCTGGGAGTAACCTTTGATTCAGACCTCACCTTCTCCACCCATATCAACAAGATTGTCCAGTCCTGTTTCCTTCACCTGCGCGCCATTTCAAAGATTAAACAAATACTCACCCCACCAGATCTCGAAAAGATAATCCACGCCTTCATTTTCTCAAGACTGGACTATTGTGACTCTCTCCTCCCTGGTTTAAACAAGAAATCACTCTCTCGCCTCCAACTAGTTCAGAATGCAGCAGCTAGACTTTTAACTGGTTTTAGTCGACGGCATCACATCACCCCAATTTTAGCCTCCCTTCACTGGCTTCCTGTCAGCTTTAGAATTGATTTTAAGATTTTATTGATTACTTTTAAAGCGCTCAAAGGACTTGCTCCAAGCTACATTTCAGAGCTTTTAATATCTTATGAGCCAACTCGCAGCCTCAGATCCTCTGGCGAAGGCCTCCTGGTCGTTCCAAAGTCGAGGCTCAAGACTAAAGGTGATAGAGCTTTCTCCATCAGAGCTCCTCGACTTTGGAACGACCTGCCAGAGGAGATAAGGCGTGCAGAGACAGTCGCTTCTTTTAAGTCAATTTTAAAAACTCACTTTTACAGACTTGCCTTTATGTGATGCCATCTTTCATCTTTTATTGCCTTTTACCGTTTTTATTTTTCTCCTTTTTCTTTTACCTCTTTCACCTCTTTCTTATTTAGACTTACTGCCTTTTTAGCCTTTGTTTTACTTATAATCTTTTTATTGATTTTAATGTTTTCATTTTCCTTTATTTTATATATATATATTTAATTCCACTTTATCATTTATATTACCATCATTTTATTTTATTATGATTTTATTATTATTATTAATACCCTCTTTTATACTTACTAGCCTGTTTTCTTCCCTCCTTGTCTATTTCTTTTTTGCTTTTATTTTGGTCCTCATGGTCCCATTTATTTTGTAGGGTTCTTGTATTGCCTGGGTTTCTTACGAAAAGTGAAACAGGCCTACAATTCAGAGGCCTGTTTTTAACTGAGCTTTTGTTTTTATGTGTTTTTATTTTCAATGTGCTGATGCTCTGTGCTTACAACTGTTGTCAAAGCACTTTGTAAACTTCTGTTTTTAAAGGTGCTATATAAATAAAATTATTATTATTATTATTATATAAAACCAGTAAATGAATAACATTAAATAAAAGTCACAGGATTAGAAGAGAGCGAGCTCCCTTTAAATATCAGTGCACAGCCTAAATATTTTGGTTTCTTCATATACTATAACTCATGTATTTGCCTTTAAAATGTTGCTTTTTCAATGAAAGAAAAACGTCTGTTTTTTGTTGAAGATCAGCCCATGGAGTCAACATGAAAAGTCGAGTCCTCACCATCTCTCCTTTATTCACTGGGTCTTAAATTTGTTTTGTCTAAATCCTGGTTGTTTTAAGGGAGACTCTAACACCAGACACTGACATGCTTGGGCACTGTGGATGCATGTATTAATAATACTTTACTTCAGTTAACCCTCCCCATTCTCACACCACTTTCAAGAGGCTTTTGCTTTACAGTCTCTCTTGGACAGAGGTTGACTTTTGTGGCGCAAATAGCATGGCAGCTCTCAGGTCCTGTTGTTTTCTTCTTCCGGCCACCACAATCACTCTATGTGAACTGCTGCTTTTGAATTAAAGGTTAGGAGAAACATTTTGGATTAGGGTTTAAGTTTTTTAAGTAAATTGAAGATCTGATCTCGGAGAGATGCGTCCGAAATAATGTATTTTAGGGTCTTTTTTCTCTGGAGGACTGTTTTCACAAATAAGTACCATTTAAAAGGGGTTTTCATCAGGATTTTTTTGAAACTGTTGTGAAGGGCTTTGCTCATATAATATAATACATATAATAATACATATCATATCACATCATCATAATGTAGAAAAGCGCTTGAGCCTCTACTATGGATAATACAGTGATAATGTTGGCAGTAACCTAGGAGACCACGGAAGGTCACAGGTCATGCTCCTGCCCTATGTTGTTCACATAGATATCGTATAGGATATGTTATGTTATAATTACTTGCAGCTAATGTCACTTGGACTTACGATGCACAAGCCTTCTGCTTAGTCATTCACATGGGAATTTCGAGGAAAACCAGACCACGTTGTTCTGTTTCTCAAAACGTAACTGTAAAGTTAAAAAAAAACACATGAAGGCCAAACATAAACGTTAAAGTTACTGCGCTTACATTGCATGGGCGTTCATATTTTCACAGGCTTGAGATATTCGTTAAACTTATCCTTCTTAGGTACAATTCTCTCTCACCCTTTTTTCTCTCCCTTGACTCCGCTCTTTCGCCTCTACACCGCCACTTTCGAGCGAGCTGCAGTAGAGCCGCACGCTAGTGACAGTTCAGTTTGGAGAGGCCAAGTAATTTTTTATCTTTATTTTTATTTTTTTATGATATGGGAAGACGCTTGGAAGGAGGGGTAAACGGTTATTTCCCGGCTAACACGAAATACCAAGCAGCTATTTTCCAAGCCAATGTTCAGCTGTTGTTGATGCCTTTGTGTTGTTACCATGGTGATAAAAAAGCTATTGGATGAGTTTGGGGCAGTTGTTTTTTTCTTTAAACAGTTTGTTGATAGCCCTGGTCACTCTGGCAGATGGATTTTATTGAGGGGAGTAGAGGAATCTACACACCTATCAGGGTGTTGTTTGACACACTGATTTATGAGTGTACCATACAGTGCTGCTGGCACGTTCAGGCCTATCAGACTAAAGTCACTCTCATGACCGAACTTTTAAGTCTTCAGCGCCACAACCATCTACCTCCTGAGCTTACTGCTGAAGCCATGGTCAACCTTCTGATGGAGGACAGCAAGAGCACTCTCAGAGTGCGTCTGTGGGAGTTTGAGATGGAGGATTTTGACGAGGATCTGAAGCCTCTGCTTAAGCTGGTGTGGGAGGTAAACACTTGCATGCTCTAAAGAGACATTGAGTTCAAGGCAAGAAGATTACTCGACTCCGCAGATGCCATGCTTCCTTTATTTAAGCATCCCAAGATCCTGAGGAAGGCACATGAGTATGCTAGGATCCTTGTGGAGGAGCTGCAGACCATTCCTGTCCCTAAAGAGTTGGACCTTCAAGAGGTGGTCATGGCTTTAGTCCCCAAAGTCCTTCAAGGTTTCTGGAAACCGAAAAAAAATAAATGTTGTGACATGCCCTCGAAAAAGATCAGCGAGATGGTCGTTGGAGTAACCTCCACAGCTATTTCTACCACTCTTCAAGTTACCTTCTCCAAACCTATAGAAGACAACATGATCCTCTCAATTGACAAAGAAGTGAGGGAGATATGCCCTGAAGAAACTCTGAGGAAGAAGATAAACTATTTTGAGGCAGAGATTTTGAACATCATCACCAATGTCACAGTGAGACACATCTGTTTGTTGTTTGAGTCTCAGACTCGCACAGAGACACCTGTTGAAAAAGCTTTAGCTCCTGTTGTCACCATGCCAGCTGAACCTATACTGATGTTTTTTGCCCCTGGAGGGGAAGCCAGAAATGAAGAACCAAACAAAAAAGACTCCTCAGTAGGACAAACTGCATGTCCTACCAAATAGGCCCAGAACCAGACCCTTATGAGGGGGATATTATGAGGGGCTTTGTACCAAACAGTATGATCCCTCTGAGGTGGAAGCTCAACCAGCTCCAGTCGAGGCTGATAAACCCACTTCCATTGACCAGACACCACCAGAAAAGCTTTTGCCAGTCCCTGTGGTGGTCTAAACCCAGTTACCTCCTGTTTTGCTGCCAGCCAAGCCTCCAGTCATGACATCAGCCTTTTGCTGCTCAATCTAATTCATCAATACAAAAACCTCAGCAGTGAGCATTCAATGAACAAAAATGTGAAATAAAATCTAAAATTGGTACTGATGTTGTGCTGTCGGATTAATATAAAACTGACAAAAACAATAAAAAAACTCCATATACTTTAAAACTTACGTCTCAGTACAGCTATATGATTTGGTTTAATATACTCTGTCATTTCTTTTACTCTGTAATGTGAAGTCTCTGTGTGTGTGTATGTATGTGTTTCAGGACTGTGTGTGTATGCGGGGTCTGTGTGAGCTCCTAGAATCATACCTGAACTGGAAACAGGTGGAGAAAGTCTTCTGGACCTGGATGGTGAGTTAGACGCAGAAACATACACTTTAAGTATTTTAAAAAAACAGAGAATCAGCAGATTTTTAAGTGACAGAATCTGAATAACATTGGGTTGCAAAATTATGATGTCATTGTTGACAGAGGTTGCAGCTGCCAATGTGGTTTTGTGTGTGTGTGTGTGTGTGTGTGTGTGTGTGTGTGTGTGTGTGTGTGTGTGTGTGTGTGCGTGTAGGGCAGTGTGTTGGACTGCCACCTCACAGATCCAGTTGTTGTGGAGAAGGCTCCACACACACTCAGAGGGAGTGCAAAAGTTTGTCACCATGGAAACCGAGGACTTGAGAAAATGGAAAACATGCTCCAGAGACTGCCTACAAGACAGGTGTTCAACACACACACACACACACACACACACACACACACACACGCGCGCACACACACACACATGCACAACCACACTAATGCACTTACACACATGCACCTAGATATTACTACAATCAGAGGTCATTAATTGCTTATTATGATCTGTTATGGTCCTTATAGAGAAGCTTAGTGGTTGAAAATATTAAAAACTGAAGGAACAGCAGATGTACTGACAAATGCATGCATCCACTGTTTTTGCTGCCGTGTATCCAGTGTTCTGACACCATGCCTCAACAGCATGTAACACAAACAAACATTAGCAGCCAAATCAGCTGGATAACACTATTTATTATTTGACTGTCCTCTTACCAATGCAGTGCAAAGTGTTGGGATGTGCTACTACACAGTGTTTCTACATTAATTCCTGTTGCCAACAAATTCCCAACAAAAATTGACTTACTGGCTATTATGAAGGGAAACCCAGCAATGACAGCATCAGTGAGCACAAGTGTAAAGCTCTGAAACTGGAGTAGCATTCAATATCAGTATGGAAATTACTGAGAGTAGTCACAGTAGTTCTTTGTTATTCATTTTTAATTGTTACCCAAATTGAAAAAAAAAGTTATTAGAAATAAAACTCAGCAAAAATGACAAACAACCGTTTTTCTTAATCCTTTCACTCTGGTCTTACACATTAGTTTTCTCTTGTCTTAACGCCTCTCATTATTCAACACAGAAAGGACAGGGGAGATACCGAGCATTTGCTGAGGACAGAGGAGGAGCAGAAGCACTACAAGCTGGATCAGATACCTCCTCCCTTCCTCATCTCCTCCCCTCCCTCTCCACCCTGCACACCTTTCCTCAGGTGTACCGAGCCAGACTCCAGACCATAGTTCTAGTGAAACACAGCAGCAGACCTACAGACGGACCCTGTGGTGGTGCTGAGACTACAGATGAGCTCCCGGCATCTCAGGCTACTCAGCTGCTCCTTCAGATGGAGGCTCTGCTCCTACAGAGGAGGGACACTCAGAGACTGGCCAACAGGATGCAGATGCAGGAGGTGGTCAGCAGGCAGGAGGATCTAGTGTTAATACCTCCATAGATCCAAAGACAGACTGAATGTTGGTATTCACAAGGAGGATTTCTTTGATTTGAAAATAAACCCAATTTAGATTTTTCATCTTTAAGTTATCACTTTTCACATAGAGTTTTTACTTTGAAGCTCGTGTAAGGAGTTTTTAACACGTCACGAAACAGACTTGTATTGTTAGTGATGTCTCGTTATGACCTACAGCAACAAAATGGACCAACAGCAGCAAGATTAATAACTTCAAGATAATTTCATACTACCTACAAACACTGCAGCAGGGGAAGAGATGGAAAAGACCATGTTCACTGTGCTGAATAAAGAGTTAAAATTTATTTATTTACAATAGGTGACAAATTGCTGTGCCACAGGACTACAGGATACAATTTTTTAATTTGAGAAAAACAAGCAAAAAAAAAAGGCAAAGATTTGACTCTGAGTCCACAAGGGTGTGCCAAAATCAGCTTAAACCAAAAGTTTCTCCCTGGAGCTTTGATTAGTGCTCCACCAGATGATTTTACTAACTTTATTGTAAGATTTTTATCAAATTTTTTATCAAACACGTTACTTTCTCCAAGTCAGAACTAAAGCTTCTGTGAGGAGAACTTACGGTTTATGTATACTTAGGCGCCTACTGTGGACAAACTAGTACCTCTTATCTTTTCTTTAATTTGTCCTGTGTGTACTTATATTGTGTTTTTTAATGAAATATTAGTTCTGTTGTGTCAAGGTTACCCCACTGAGAATCTATGCTGTGGAAAATGTAGATGATAAGACTACTTCAGCAGCATCACTTCATATTTCACCTGCTCTGCGGCAGCAGTTTCAGGCATTAAATCAACAAAACAGACACAATCCTTGAAATTAGAGTGTCATTCGATTTAGAGGTCTCTTTAAAGGTAACGATATTTATTTTATTGTTTTGAATCCAGCTAAAAACTCATCACAGAAGCTTTAAGACAGATTTCAAAACAAAAAAATCTGTTTGTCAGTCTGCAAATTTAAGAAATCAAACAAGTTCAAACTAAATAACAAAATATTAATTTACGAAACAGATTAGATGAAATTTTTGCTAGGATTTTTGAGTACTGAAGTCCCTGGTTAAGGCTAACATGTCTGACTTAATGCTGAGGATGTAGACACAACTCTCACTTTGATTTCACTTAGGCTCAAAGCACCATAGGCCGCCCAATAATTCTACTGAAGGTCCACTGCAAGTCCACGAGACACATGTAGACTGGATAAGCAAATATGCCCCCCTCAAGAGGCCCTTGCAGAGGTCAAGAGCTGGTCCACTGAACTTCTGCCACTTTAATGTTTTCAAAATTTGTGAAAGCTACACAGAAAGAAAAAATCATTGATACTGCACAACAACAACAACCAAAACAAGGTCAGCAGACCCTAGGATAAAGCTTTAATGTAAAAAAAAAAAAAAAAGTAAAATATGAACACATGAACTCAGCTGTTATTAGACAAATACACTGCATAAAGACAAACACGAGCCACAGAGGTCAAAAACATCTTTGCATTTTTATTGATTCATCTATTAAATTAAACGACAACAAATTGTTTCAAGTGTGACCAGCAAATTTACTTAAGATTAACGCAACACCAAGACATATATGAATAAATAAATGTCAATCATTTAAGGAGCTTTGAACACCGTTAACTTGTAAGTGTTTGGCAGGAGAGATATGAAACAGGAAGAGTGACAGTAGATATACAGCGTATCCACATCCTGATGATCCACTCAGTCTTTTAAAGACTGAGGCTGTGACGTTAAGGCTTTTATTACCATCATGAAGAATTCACCACCAACAGTTTCTGCATGTATGAGTTGAGCCACTTCTGTCTCTCCATGGAAGTGAGCAGTTTACTCTTCTCTCTGAAAGCAGCATCATCAGCCACCACCATGTTCCTCTTTGCCAAACCACCACCCTGAGGTGACCAGTCAGCAGGCCACGCCCGCTCATCGCTGTAAGGTAACACAAGAACGAGACCCTTAGACCACTTTTGTAGGGGACATGAGGCCACAAGTGTAATTTTCAAGTTCATGCTTTAAAATCACCACTCTGTGAGAGGATGCCAAAAATGAGCAAATAGTTCAGCTATTTAGAATAATGTTGCAAAGAGGGAGCTTTCATCATCTTAAGTACATGATATCAGACAATGTGGAGAAATCTCTGTATGAAAGGGACAAAGACCAAAACCATGAATGGATAGCCCTGATCTTCAGGCCCTGTTAAATACAGGCATGATCCTGTAGTAGAAGAGTCCTGCTCCTAAACCAGCCTACCAGCAGTCTTGACTTGTCTCCCATTGAAAACATCGGATACGTCATGAAATGAAAAATACCACTGCATTGACCCAGAACCTTTGAACAGCTGAAATCCTCCAGCATGGTTTCACCTTCTAAACCCCAGAAAGTGGTTTACTGGGTTCACAAATGTTTACAGTACGTTGTTAAAAGAAGAGGTGAGGCCACATAATTGTAAACATGCCTCTGTTTGACTGTTTGATGATGTTGAACCCGTGTTGAATATCATCGGTTTCTTATCAATTACCTTGCTTCTACTCTCTCAGGGCCAAGTAGCCACGCCTCCCTCATCAGTCTGCCCTTGCTATTGGCTGCTGCTCCGATGCTGGGTGTGGACATCATTTGAATGCTCCAATCACGGAGAGAGATGGAGGGGAAGAGGACATCCCAGTCTTCTTGTTTGGGTTCCTCTGAATCAGCTGGACTTCTGCAAATAAGGTTCAAGTCAGAATTACTGAAGAAATGCAATCTAGTTGTTGTCTCAAATTTCAGGTTTCATACAGAAACCTCAGCTAGACATGCATGTATATATATTATTTACAGGGTTTTACTTGTTAAGTGCATTTCAGTTGTGTACTCAAGACCTACACTTGATTTTCCTCATTATCTCAAAATAGCAAGGCCTGCTTTCTTGTGATAGAGGGACAATTTCCCAATAATGTAGACAGCTAAACAATAGTCTGTTGACAGTGTTATGCTGCCATATGCTGCCTACACTAATGAGATAACAAGATAAACAGGTCAGGATCTGGAGGAAACACTTATTTGCACAGGAAAACTGACAAAATGCATGTCCACTTAGGGCTTTTGTGTAGTTGTTTTTATTCTCTTCATGCACCAATAATAGTAAGTAGTAAGTTTGCTTATGTCTTTAACTGAGTTATTAAAAATCACCTGAGATGTAATCGAGGATGAGGAAAACCAGACGTCATCACGATCATACCCAGGATGCAAAGCAGCAGGGTGGGCATACGAGGGAAAGACGGTAGCTCTGACATCCTAAAATGATTGGAAAGACAAAGCTCTCTTAATTAAGGCTCATCAACATAACCTAGTTCTTCTTATGTCTATATTTGACTAATGAAAAGTCAAATAAAATAAATCAAAATACAAGTTAATGATCAGAAATAGTTTCAGATATATTTTCTAATCAGAAAACACTGTTCAAGGTTTTCTTGTTCATAGAGTTGACATTTGACATTAAGAAAGATTCTTGGAGCATCTTTTTAGTTCAGTTGGTAGAGCAGGTTTAAAGCCCTCCTCTTACAGGCTGCAAATTTGATTCCTTGACCTGATGAAATTTTGTGCATGTCATCCAAAATAAAAGCCACTGCATATCCCAACTTGCACCACACCCCAAAATGCCCAAATGCGCAAGAGCTTGCAGCCCCTTTGCAGGTTTAATCCTGTGTTTTATATAGCAAAGATAAAAAAAAAGAGATTTACTGCAGCATGATCAGTTTAATGCTTTCTCTTAGGTTCTGAAAATAAAAGAAGTCACAATGTAAGTTGTTTAGAAATAAGGTCTTCAAATAAAATTAATTAGGTGCAAAAAAAAAAGCTAGAAAAAGGTTTAAAAAAGTAAGAGCAAAGTACACAGCAGTATCTAGTAATGAAAAACATTAAAAACTTGAAAAATTGTAACTCAGATTTTTAGTTTCTGCATAAGCACACAAGCTACTGGTAGTGTGAGACTTTTCAGTTAAACATGCTGATATTAGATCATTTATTCAACACAGTTTCAAGTAATTTGCTAGAGAAGTGTTTGTTTTTATAAATACATTTCCATAAATCCAAAAAGAAAACCTGAATCTGATCTCATCACTTTTTCTACTACAGCAAAAGTTTAAAAACATGCACACGAATTTACTGAGGCTGCTTTAAACATTTAATTAAAAATAAATAAATAAAAAAACTTCTAAGTTGTGGTCAGAGGAGTTTTAAAAAGCTGCTGTTGTCTTACCTGTTCCTCAGGAGGTAGGCTTGTCAATTGCTCTCTTTAAGTTTTTTTTGCTGGAGGTTTTCTCTTGAAGTCTTATCTCAGTTGTTGTAGAGCAGGTGTCACAGAAGCAGAGAAATAAAACCAACAAACCACACCCACGGGAGAAACTTTCTAAAGTCTGAAACTTGGTGAGCTGCTGCTTAATATCTACTCCTACTGTCGTTAGATTTTGACTTAAATTTTCCGTCTGAATGGCTGCTGGTTGTTTCTGTCAGCGGCTGTGTGGAGACATATGTTGGATGAAAAGTCCGTTTCCTGACGTATGTACTTATATACCCTGGACTTGAGTGTTTTAAACCCCATCCCCCTAAACCCACCCACACATACACTACAGCATACATAGATCAAACCAACTTTGACTTCAGTGTGGAAGAGGAAAGCCCAAGAGGAAGAGCTGTTAGCTTGTTAGTGTCCCGTTACAAAGACTCTTAGTCATATTGTGGTTGTAGAGAGCCCACCGTCTTATTATTGAAAATCATTACTGAGCCGCTGTGTGTGAGGAAATATGTGCGAGTGTGTTCATTCATGCTGTGTGGCGGATCAGACACACGTTAAATGTTTCTCTCCAGGACTGAGTCACTTTGTCCATACATGAAAAAATAGGATATCTTTGAAGACAGTTTTACAAAAATACTCTTCTGCTTGTCCCTAACGAAATATAACAAACACACTCAGAAGCTTGTAAAATTCAGAGCAGATTCAACCTACGATACCTGTCCCAGTGATGCAAACACAAAACTCTAATACATCTTCACTCTAAAGTTGATATTGGAAGCTTTTGAATATGCATATTTGATTTGGTGGCCTGTCTGAGTTCACCCAGTTGAACTATAAATTAAAAAAAAATAGATGCTTGTCACCTGGTTTCTGCAGCCCAAACCTGAACCCTCCCTGTGACATAGTCTCAACACTGAAGTGCGCACAGCACCCTCAACCATCAGTTTGTGAGGAACGTGTGTTCATTTTTAGGAGCCTCGTTTTTCTTGGGCCCCTACAATTATCCTGGCTTTTCTAACCCATCTAGTGTCCCAGAGTTTCTGGTTTGTGCTGTGTTTGCAATTACTGACACTAACCCTGGGATTTTCTTCCTGCACCCTTAGTTTATCATGATATTACAGATACAAACAAACATCACAGTTTGATCAAGCTCTTACAGAGATAAGATAAAAGAGGTACATTAACTTCACATTAAGTTATATTTAACTGTTCAAATCGGTATTTGAACTGAATATCAAATCAACAAACAACCTCAATTCCAAAACAGTGAGGATCCTCCACAAAATATTGATGGTAACGGGTTGGGACTCCACACAGACCAGTTTCTCAGCAGGACTCTTCTCCTACAGAGCCATGCTGTTGTAATCCCTGTTGTCAGAATGTGGTTTGTCATTGTGTTGCTGAAATAAGAAGGTCATTGTCTGGATGGCAGTAGATGTTGCTCCTTTAACCTGTAGATATTTTTCAGCATTAATGGAGCCTTCATAGATGTGGAAGATACTCATGACATGGACTCTGATGATCCCCATACCACAGGGGTGCTGGATTTGGACTGGGAGCTGAGAACAAACCAAGTGGTCCCCTTCCTCTTTAGTATGTGACACAGCATCCATGATTTCCAAAAAGCATGTCAAATCTTGATTTGTCAGACCACTGGATAGTGTTCCTCTTAGCCTTGGTCCCTCTTAAATGGCCTGGTATCACTGGTTCATGATGATGCTGTATATGGTTCCCTCTTTGTGTGATACAGTTTTGAATTTTGAGCCAGTGCAGGGTTTTCCACTATAGAGTCATTACCTGAATCTTATAATGGTATCATGCACTGTAGATGATGAGATTCTCAAACTCTGTGATGAGTGCCAGTCTAAAAGTTTGTAAACCTGACATCAGTGATGAGGACAGGTGCTTTTCCTGGTTTCAAGTTACCAATGATCAGGATCGTTTTAAGACCCTCTCAAATGTGCATTGCTAAATCGGTGGCATTTGGTGTAAAAACACTTTGAGTATCTTCAAGACAAAGATCAGGTGTTCACTGCTGAACCAGTTATACAAATTGTGAATGAAACCACACTTGTTGTGGTTACAGGCTGATGTGTAACTGAATAAAACATCTGAAAAGAAAAGGCTGCTTCTGTTGAAATGCCTGACATAATAGAGGAATATTTTCTGGACACATCAAGAGTCTTTTGTACTACTGTAAAAAGACACCTTATTAGTATGTCAGCATCAAGAAACCTCTGTTTCTAAATATGGCCTTGTTTATGTCCCTTTTTTTGAAACTGTGCTCCTAGGGCATGAAATAGCTACAGCATGTGGTTCTTTACCAACATGGGAACAAGACAAAGGTTAAACGTGGACATTCTGCAGATTTTTAGCATACAGGAAGCTTGTTACAATTTAAGGGCCTCGTTATGGGCATTGTGGGAAATAATGACCTGCTGACAGGAAGCAGGTAGCCTTAACAAGGGCCCTGCAACAAACGGAGTCTATAAAAAGGATAACAAGCATCAGACACAAAGCCTGAGTCACCTCACGCTACCTGGTCTAATAAGAAATAAAGTCTCAACCCCTCTTAGCCTTTGTTTCTGTTTTTATCTGCTCAAAATGAACATAAAGAGGTAAACCAGTGATTAAATATTGGAGAAATTCGACCAAATTACCTGATCAGTTTGATAGCATACCTGCAAGTTCTTGATTGCTGCCCAGTCAACACACTTACCTTCCAATGCCCTGACAAGGAGGTTTTCATGTTTTTAACCTGCCAAACTTTGACCTTTGGGTTAACCACATATTTATGAGTAACATGCAGGCACCAATGCAAACACCAGTGGCATTTTTAGTGGGATGATGGATGGTTATTTCAGCGCTTATCACAACTCCAAGGCAGATATCTCAGACTCAACATGTCATAAGGCTTTCTATTTTTAAATCCACTGGAAATGTGTTACCTCGCTGATCTGCTGCAGTCTGCTGGTCACCTGTTGATCTTAATTCACAAATCTTTTAGTTACAGAGAACATCTCTGAAGTTTAGTGGGTGATTATGACAAATAAGTGAGTGACAAAAGCTGCCAAAAAGCGGCCCTGCATTAATGGTCAATGTAGTCAAGCGTGCTCTTAAGAGCAAATCAGCCATTTGCATACACAATGAATGGAGGCATGTTTTCTCTCGTGCCATTGGCCAGTAAACTGTATACTTTTGTCAAGCATAACAGCAAAACTTGGAGGAATAAATGTGAAGAGCATTAATAATAAACATAGTGTATTATTGTGACATATAGTCAAGTAAATCTAACCTACCTTTCTCAAGTAAGATTATATTTGCATTCAATCAAATTCTTATTAAATATTTAAGTTGAACTTGCAAGGTATTGTATTGAATTTACATGAGATTTACATTTGAGTGAGAGCTGCACCAGGATGAGAAAAATGCACAAAAGTTTTGTAGAAATTAGGTGATCTTTGAGAATGAGAGATAAAAAGTGTGATTTAAAGACAGAAAAATGTCTTGTCAGGGTTAAACTCAAACAAAGATCATTATGAAAAATTGTGGTTCAAACTAAAAATCTAACTCTAATACAGTGTGGGAGTCCTTTAATGAACGAGGGGTGTCTACACATTTCAACATTACCTGAACATGTCAGGTCCATGTCATGCTGTGCCTAGTGCAAATATTTTTTGGACCATACTTTCCCCTGCATGTCAGAAACACAAAACCGTGTGCACGTAAACCCACTTCAAAACAATTTTAAGGCTACAACCATATGTGTACAGATATTGTTCAACCCTGTTAAAAATGCCCACGTAAATCAGCAAACGAGCGAGAATAAAACTGAATAATAAAGGAAAGTGTTGTATGTTAATGCAGCTCCTTTCTGCACCATGATGATGAATTAAGCTAGGTCTATTTTTAAACACACAATTAAACCTAACAGCGCTGAGTAGACATAAACTAACCTGTAGCATCATTTACATTTACTTTGCACAAGTTGGGAAACAAGGTCAATGTACCTCTGCATCTGCCAAGACTGAGCACAGCTTTTAACTCTCAACTTGGACTCAACACTCTCACCTGACTTCAGAAACATTCACTCAGTTTAAGTGCAGATTAAATTATATAAGAGGAACTTTAAGACAGCCAGTTTTAGACCAGAATTTTTCCTGACCAACCGCATGAATAGAAATGATGATTCATGTAGAAAAAGCAGTAGTGGCAAAATGTGAACGTTTATTTACAGTAGTTCTACAAATATCAAAAATACAAATGTTGCATGCTGGATACACTTAAATAAGAATTGCTCCAGTTGATGTTTCTGCCGTCGACCAAATTTTAAGCAACTTTTATTGCACAACTTAATACTGATGTAAGTCTGTGGATGTTTATATAGAAATAAAGATTTATCCTGATGATAAACTGATTTTGAAGTCTGTGTTAAAGGACATTAGTAATAAACTTCTGTTTGGATCAGAGTAACATCATGTTTCATAAACTATAAACATTATAAACATGGTGATACAGTACAGTATACATGTGCATGTTAACTATTTTTGCATGCTTTTATTCATTCTAAATCTGTCTGCAGTCTCTGAGGTTCCAGACCCGACCTTGCAAAACAAAACCTTTTTCACCTTCTTATTTTACAATTCATTGTTGCATCAGACTAGTGAGAAACTTTTTTTTTTGTTTTAAACCTGCGCCCTAGTTTTTAAAAATATTTTCATGTCCAACCGATTAATAAGTACAAACTCATCCAAAAGAGTGCTGTTTTTTTCAAAATCAGTCATATTTCAGCCCCTGTTTGATTAATCTGAACTTTTGTTCCTCTTCTCTTGAATCCGTCCTGTTGACGCTCCCTGATGTAGTTCAACCACATCGATGCTGCAGCTGCCATTGTGATGCTGAAACAGTTATAAGCTGATCAGACTCTCCTCCTCCGTCTCTACATTATTGACATCCACCATATCAGCTGGGGACACAATCTGTGTGGGAGGAGCCGGGGGCGGGTCAGTGGGGCAGCTGCGGGCAGGCGGTTTAATTGTCTGTTTGATTGGCTGGTTGGCGGGGTGATAGACGAAGCAGTAAGATCCAGGCTGACAGCTGTTCTTTACACTAATGGCCGACTCTGTGGGAGCCAGAGGACGGTGGATGCCATCCATGTAGACACTGAGCACATAGGAGTCTGAGGAAAGGGAGCAAAAAAGCATTATGTTAATCAAGGAATAATAACTAACCTTCTGGACTAAGTATAAAACTGAGAAACTGACAGCTCCCTAAAAGTGAGGCCAAAACACTGCAGCCAGTCAATAGAGCTCCCCCTACTGACTGGCTGCGGTAGATGCGGTAAAGCCAGTCTACTCCATGTCAATAGATGGGACATGGGTCAAACTTGAAAATGAAAACACCTGTCAATTATAGTTACTGTCATTATGGTTACTCCTTATCATGCTGAGTCACATTCAAGTGTTTGTTTAATTTCTAAAGTAATATTAAGGTGTTTGAGGCCATAAAAAGTAGTACAATGCCATGATTAACAGGTTTGTATTAACAGGGTATTAAAAAGTGACAATATAACGGGAAGAAGCTGTTGTGAATCTTACAATCTAAAATTCAATCTTGAAATGCACTGGCGGCCAACGTAAAGATGCTCAGAAAGCCATAATTTTCTCAGATTTCTTGTGAAGTCTATCATGGGACATTTAATCAAGACAAGTAAAAAGCTGCAACAATAAACTAGCTGTGATAAAATGAAAGCATGTTCAGTTGTCTCTATATCTTTAAAATAAAATTACGAGTGTACAAGAAAAAAGCTGTGTCTCAAAATTTAAATAGCTATTAAAGCAGAGCAGAGATTCCTTATTTCACCATTAAGGTTGAATTCTGCACATTGTTAGTTTTAAATAGATTTAATCTAATCAATTTATTATATATATCTTTTATCATGACATGTTTATTTAACATGCCTACATTTTTAAGTTTGATTTTACCATTCAAGTTTGACAGATTTTAAACTGGACTGAAACCAACCATTATTTTGGACTTGATATCTTTTCTGCTAAGTAGACTGTTTGAATTGATTTTAAAATTCGCTGCTTCACTCAGCATCAAAATGTATCTGAGTCAGTAATCGTGCAAAAGCCTCTTCTCATGAATGAAAGGATAAATAATGAATGACTGGATGAGTCCTTTACCTTGTTCAAAGCGTGCAGCACACTGCTCAGCAAGCTCCTGGATGGTTGTGGTCGGGAGGACACCAAGAGTCTTTGAGTTTGTCCCAGCCTCAGGACAACACACTGTCAGAAAGTCCTACACAACACACACAAACACAGCAAACAGTAAGACAAAGAAAGCTCAATCACACACCCCTGTTTGTGCGTCAGTTTGTGACTTCTGTTCCCAATGGTTCTTGCTTTTCAGATTAAAAGCACTTCATTGTGTAAACCTGATAAATGTACTCTTTAATAATAATCATCTTTGTTCCTATTTGTACAAATAGAAGGTACCCGCACAGATCCCTGGGCCATACGCTCCTGGTTGAGCGTGCGTCGTCTCTCCCAGCGGTGGATGGAGTCCTGAACCTCTCTGCTGAGTTGCCGCGTTGCTGACCTCTGCTGGTCAAACGTCTTTATGTGCTCCAAAGCGCCATACGTGGTGGTCAGGTAGTAAGAGCCTGCAAAAACCCCCCCACACACAGAAGAGTGGACATGTTTGATAAGAGCAACAGAACAAAGTGTAAGTGCTGTGTTAAAAAGTGCATGTGTGTGTACCCTCTCCCAGTGCTAAAGATGGGTCCATCAGTTCCATCATGTACTCCACGTCCAGCTGCAGGGCGGACAGATTGGATCTGGCCAGGACGTACATCATTACTGGCAGGAAATCATCAGCTCCATGGGCCCGCCCTGTCACACACACACACACACACACACACACACACACACACACACACACACACACACAAACAAGTACACACAGACACACTTTATGCCAGTCAAAGAATTTTCTTCAGCAGTTTTAACGTCAATTCAAGATGTGCCAACACGAAATTTGGATTTATGGAGCCGCTTTAAACTTTGGTAAAGAAACAGACTCTTAGACACAGAAACACAGAACCAGTGTATTAAGTCATATAACCTGTAAACAGCCTAACAACAGTTAATAAATTAAGTGCTCCGTGGTATCTGCGGCTGTCGTGTTGTTGAAAGTGGGTCTCCAAGACAGAGGTAGTGAGAGCTAGAAAGGCAAAGAAGATAGTTTGGATGCTTTCTACCCTTTGTGTGTGTGTGTGTGTGTATGTGTGTGAGTGTCAACTCCCAACACACACACATATAAACACATAAATATTTGCACAGTGTAATCTTTGAAGGGAAGTAAATTTAAATTCAAGGTGGAGTGGTTAAATCTTCTTGTGTGACTTGCTCAGTTTGGGTTCACTGTTGTACAGACTGATCACAACATGCTGCATGACAATGAGTCAACAGACAGCAGATGTTTTTTGTTTTCAGGGTTTACAGACTTAATTGGTCACATGCACATCCTACATGTACATGAAAAGAAAATGTCAAAGCCTGCAGAGATGGCTCCTTGATTGCTCACTGTCATGTCGTGCTCGTGCATAACTCCCAGATGCACTGCACTTGGTGTTTATGGCAAAATGCTAATTTGCAACACCTCTGTATGGGAGGCTTTTAAAGAAAAACACAAAAAACTACAAGACAGCTGGGAATACAATGCAGTAATAAAGGCAATCTTGGTAAAAGTATAAATGCAAAATTAGAGGCCAATATATAGATACTGACATGCATACTCATGTTTTAGTTTTGCATCTACATGTAAGAAAAGCACCAGGAGGTCAGAGGTCAAAGAGCCATTGGTGTTTCTAACCTGGGCTGCTGACAGACATGGAGTCATAGATGATCTTGCAGGCCTTCAGCAGCATCTCAGTCTTCTTCTGTGGCGAATATTCCAGATGGAGGTTGTTCAGTTTGACGCTGATCTTCTCCATTGAGGAGGCCTCGGGGACGGCTGTGGTTATCCCTAAAGCTGTGGTGGTGCTGTTGAGGACAACAGACTGACACAAAACAACACAACATTAACAAATTACAGTGGATATCTGTCATCTGGATAACTGCAACTCATAATGTCAGGTTATTACCTGGTTCTGTGCAAGCTGTTTCAGGCTGCTGTCATTGGTGTGAAGTTTCTCCAAACTCTGATAAATCGGCTCCCTCAGTGGTTTCAAGACGCTCTTGCACAATGCAGCTTCTACTATGCTCTCTGCAGAAACCCAAATATAAACGATCACATAACATGTAATTATATCTTAAGAGCAGATTTTAAAATGGTCAGGGTTACTCTGTCAGATTAGACAAAGCAATCAAAGACAAAACATTTTCCAAAGGCAAAATATCATAAATGAAAAATGACAAATTAGTTTTACTAAGGCCAGCTATCCATCAGTGGACTTAAAGAAGATTTGGAAAAGACTCCTGGAAAACTATCAGCTTGCACCTGAATAGGGGAGGTTGATCTGCCCACAGCTTCACTATCCACTCCTTTTTTTTATTACCAGTAATTCTTCATACATTCTTGTTCTTCCTGTTTTGACTGTCAGGTTTCCTTTTCCGCTTTTGCTAGAGCTCATCTATTGGTTGTGTTATGTCACTGCGACTTGTGATAATATCAAACACGTTTGATGTTATCGCCTAGACTATAAACCCTAGACTAGGAAAAGACTGAGATAAAACAGCACAGATTACCACCTTAAACTTTAAGCTCGAGATGATTGGAGGCCAGTGAAAATCCACTGTGACTCAAGTAAAACTCCAAGGTTAACTTAAGACTTTCAGTTTTTAGTCTGGGACTGTGAAAATCATTTGGTGGAAGCCCAGCATAAATTTTGTAATGTGTTAGAATTTAATTGAAAAGTTGAATGAAGCATGTTTAAAAAAAAGTTACCCAGTTTGTCCTGTGCATACTGATGCTGTGGCTCCAGCATGGACTGCAGCTCTGTGCTCTGCAGCAGGTAACTCTTCAGCTGAGTCACCATCTGCCTGATCTCTTGCAGCAGCTCAGTAGAGGATGAGTGGTTGGACATGGTCTCCAGGGTGAAGGCACGGTGCTCTTTGACCTTAAAATACAAAATATAGATGCTTAGTTTGATTCCACCTTGACTGATGCAGAGAAATCTAAAAATACAAGCCAGATTTGAACCAAGAAATTGAAAGAGACGACTGCTCACCAGGTTTCCAAAGTAGCTCAGAGGGTCTCTGGCAAGCTCCACGATTCGCTGTTTGAGGCGGCGGTCGTGGCTGATGAGGCCTGTGAGGACAGTTGAGAGGCGATACCTTGCTCGGTCCAGGATCACGGTAGTCGGAGTTCTCTTGATGGGCATTTTGGGGCTGCGGCTATCAGCAGGGCGGCTGGAAATAACACCAATTAACCTTTTAATATGCTTCTTTTCATCTCTAATGTATGTAGATTTGATTATACCCACAACCCCAGTACTGATTTAGCTATGCATCATTCAAATACAGAAACTATCTGTCAAACAACACTCGACAAGACTTGTCATAAGCAGTGTGAAATCCATTTGAAGTATAGTCTTCTGCAGCTCAACAGTGTCATATAAAGGTCTGTATGCAGAGCTTAAAACTTTTAAACGCATTGTGCAAAGTTTAGTTTTTGTTATTTATAGTCCCAGCAAGCTTGTGCTGTCTGAAATTTTGCACGCTGCTGTTCATGCTCTTGCATATTTGGAGTTCCTCTTTTGCTGTTGCAAGATGCGATACAATTTCAGTTGAGCTCGAGGACAAAGGTGCATGCATGTTTGGCAATGTATGTGTATGTATGTAATACCATAATGAAGGGATATAATGTTTTTATACATTTTTGGAAATGTTTTGACTTAATATAAAAGTGAAAGTTGATTCAATGTCTTTGTTTGTACCAAAAGGAAGTCTGCTTTTGTCACAACATTCACCACATATTTACCCACATAACTAACATATCTGACATGTATGCAGCTTAAAATCCAAAAGAAACAGAAATGTCATCATGCAGCCATTTGAATTTAAAATTGACTCTTGGACAATCAGACCTAATTTCAACCTGTTTCAACCAAATGTAAACATTAAAGCCAAGCCACAACCCCAGCCAGAGGACGACTGAAAAAACAAACAACCAACAACAAAAAACATAGACTGTATATAGAATTGACAGCGTCTGCCTCCTTGCTGGGTGAAGCCACTCCGAGTACAGCACCCTCTGTTGATGAGCTGCAGTAAAGGTCATAAATCCCGCCTCCGCCAGCAAAGCTTATGGGGCTGTGGACAAACTTTAGAAATTTATTACACAGAACATACATTTTTCTCCCCCCTACTTGTGATGCTGACATGCAGTTACAGTAAGACTGGTTTGTGCTCAAGTCCTCTTTTTTCTGTGAAGCTCCGTTTTTAAAAGTTATTAGGGGGTTCATGTTTGCTATGATTGACACTTGATACAGCCTATTGGCGTTTAGGGATTGCGTAGCTCACCCGGGGGATACGCTGTTTGAGCCGAGCGTCATCACAGCGACTCTCTGCGACTGCGCGCCCGAATGCGCGCATCGCTACTGCGCAACGCTGGTTTCAGGAAATAAAGAAAAATCCCGGAAATAACGAGAGGTATTTGGCTTCAAATCCGTAAACAGGCGGTAGGCGGAACCAATTTGTCCATAGTATATACAGTCTAAGTTAGTAACTTGTTGTTGTCCATTATGTAACTGAATTGGATGGAAACAGAATTGAAAACTTTACAAGCATTAATTTCCCATTTTTCAACCTAAGAGGCACACATTTTTAAGCTATCTTTGGATTTAATATATATCTCAGTCTGATATTTAGTTTTTAAAACTGCCTTGTCACCAAAATGTGTCATGGTCTCAGGCATGATGAAAACCATGTTTTTAAACCATCGAAATTAAATAAAAATCCTGCAAGTGTTTACCTCAGCTAACTCAGACAGTGGCTGCATATTGCTGCTTTGCCTCGCATTTTTTCCAACAATATCGGACCAGTTTTGTTTCGCTTCACAACCAAAACTTTTCATGGTCTCAGGTGGTGAAAACTGTGTACTTTAAACCATAAACAATCAATAAAACCCTCGCCTGCATTTTCCGCAGCTTAAATTTTAACTCAGCACGGACGAGACAAGGAGGCTCCCCTCAGGGTGCGGAAGAGGAAGCGGCAGCATCTTGCTGCTGTTCTCTGCTATTCTTCTGACAAGATCAGACCAGATGGTTTCCCGCTTCACAATCAAAACGTTTCATGGTCTCAGGCGAAGCGAAAAACCATTAACTTATGATTAATAAATAAAATCCCTGCAAATATTTACCTTACTTTAACTTAACCTCAGCAAGCAACATATTGCATTTGTCCTGACAATATCAGACCAGATATTTTTCTGCTTAAAAAAATAGTTTTGATGGTCTCAGAGGTGGCTGAAAACCATGTATTTAAAAGCATAGCTAATAAATAAAAACCCTGCCAATGTTTTCCTCAGCTTAACCTTACCTTAAGTAAACTGCAGTTAAAAAATTATGATTTTATTAACAGATATCTGCAAATCCATTTTGGGGACAAACAAAGCTGGAAAGAGCTTAAAATTACAAGGAACCAAGGGATACACCTACTACACACATACACTTTCTACGTACAACTAACAGTGCTTTTTACAGTGCTGACACATGACCCCCGAACAATGAAGCGTAAATGCCCACTCACGATGGGACTCACATGTTTTCATTTTCCTAACACTCATAATTCCACAGCACCATGCCTCCGTATCAATAACACTGCACAACAGAAAACAGAAATAAACAATGAGCTTACAGCATATGGTTTTTCTCTAGAGAAATACATTTTACATACATTGATGTAAAATCCCTCTCCTAAAAACAGTATCTTGCTTGTTTTATCTTCAGGCTGCAGTTTTTACAGTTAACATTAGACCTACTACAAGTGATGTGAGCCTTTTTAGAAAGTTGTTTTCTTCTACCTTATTTTAACACCCTCAGCTCTTGTGAGATGTAGTCAACCACAGATGTCTATATTTAAACTCTTCTTCTTCCTAATGCGCTGATGGTACATCCTAACCATGACATGGCTTACAGGAATTGACTGTAGTGCTGTGTACTCATGAGACTTACAGGTGTGTGTGTGTGTGTGTGTGTGTGTGTGTGTGTGTGTGTGTGTGTGTGCTGTTCAGTGGAGTGCAGCTGGTCTAGTGGTATTTTGGTAGACCCGCGGCGTATCGGCATACGTCACCGATGCCTCACCGGCAGGTTTCCACAGTGTCAGGCACATTTTAGTGCAATAAATAATCATCAACAACTAATAATCTGAGTCAGCACATACATTTAGATCTATATAGATATATTCTGATCTATATCTGATCTGATGAGCATGTTTGGCACGCGTTTGGACACACACCCTGACCGAATCAACACAGCTGAAACTGCATTAAATTAAATTAAATATCTAGTAAATAAACACACATGATGAAGTTAACAAGATATGTGATTCGTCTCCCTCCTTTTCTTTCTTCCTCTTATTTCTCGCACAGCTCGACCTGGACATGTCTCCGTGTCCTCTCCCCGTCCTGCTGCAGCTGCTGCTGTGGCGGCTGATAGGATGATTTGTTTATGTGCTCAGATGAGTTTTTTACTTTAAGCTTACATACGAATATTATAATATTCAGTTTTGTGGGCCAAATTTATTTTATATGCCAACATCTATGAAAGAAAGAGCCAGGCCACGGAGCGCGATGCATCCTTTACGCGCAGATGGTTCCGATTTTAATGCCATTATTGGAGTTTATGTTGTGATCTGTGCGCTCAACCCACCTTTGTCACATGAGGTTTGAATATGTGCAACTTTATGTGAGTGTCTTTATTTGTGGAAAAGGGTGTTTGTCTTACCAGTGGGTCCAACATTACACACACCAAATCCATCTGTGCTCATATGAGAGAGTGTGGAGGACACCCAATGCAGCGCTTACAGTGACACCGCCATCTTGTGGCATTGCTGTCTTCAGACATCTCTTGATCTCTTTGACTACTTCACGAAAATAGTAAAACGCCTTGCCGGTGGCGGATTTAAAGGTGAGGAGAGGAGCTGATGTTATTGGTGAAAACAGGCCTCGGCTGTGTTAAACCCACTCCACGCCCTCTCTCCTCCCTCGTTACGACTTACGCCGCTGGGAGGAGCTGAGTTAGTTAGGGGGGATACTTACGCCGGGCTGCACTGCTCACCAAAATACCAAAATGTGCTTGGGAACGCCTTGTCGGCGAGGCAGACCTGCGGCACGTCTCCGGCAAGGCACGAAAATATAGCCCAATGTGTTTACCTGTAACATAAGCTGAAGACATCAGTTGTTTGGCTGATATAGCTTACAAAATATCCACAGTATCAGGAGAGCAGTTATTATTGCAGCATTTTGTCTGCTTGCAAGTCATTCAACTAAATACTTGTCCAGAAAAGCGGAATTAATTCTGTTCTGTTGGTATACAGGGATTGTGCATTCATCAGGGTTTCTTTTGCAAACAGGGACAGGTTCAAAATTGTCTGTGAAACCTCAGACCTCACATGAAAATCCTTGACCACAACCCTTTTTGTAGTGCCAGTTTAAGATGCCATATTTACACCCTTGTGACTTACTGCCTTCAGTGTGAATGTTACAGATTTGTCATGCTCTGACCAAGTTGTCTCTCTGCTTTGTAGCATTGTAGGCCATAAAAGAGGTATTACGTAGGTGAGGGGGAGTAACTGTGAGCCCACAGAACACACAGGATGCAACAGCACTGTGGGTTTGTGAGTGTGCGCAGGTCTGCCAAAGTCTAAGTGAATCTCAAGCTTTGGGTTTAAGAGCTGTCTAATTCTGCATGCTGTTACAGACTGAAATCGCACACTTAGCTACTTTTTTATATCCCTACAGCCCTGTTGCCAGTTTCAGTAAAAGAAAAGAAGGGCTCCTGATTGGCTGTTTGCTTTTTTGTGTTTTCTTTTGTTACTGCTTTTAATGGTTACTGGTAATTTGATGAAACATTTTTTTAAGTCATCAAAGAATAAGCCAAGGGGATTCGAATATTTCATACTGTTCATAGGGATGTCACGATCTGATACTGATATTGATATTGGATACTGGTCTGATATCAGCAAAAAAACAAATATCGGATTATATCAGCCTGCATCTAAAATCTCTGATATCAGCACTATGATACAAGCAGTCCATTCCAGACTCCGCTCCAGCACCTCTATCTAGCAGCATGCAGAACCCATGAAATCACAACAACTGTGTTTACTAAGGTACTAACAAAGTAGCAAGGAGTAGGAGTGATATTGGCTGTGTGGCAGTACTTTTGTTTAAGTCAGAAAAAGACATTGCAGCTGAGTGCAAAACTTGTCGTGCACAAGTTTGGGCCAATATTGGATCAATATCGGTATTGGCTAATACTACGGTCTACAATATCGATGTTGTATCGGGACACCCCTCGCTGTTTAGTTATAGTATCAACATGAATATAAGAGTGACTTTTATCCTTAAAATACACCTAAAAGAAATGAGATTGTCTCATATTTGGGTTTATTATTTAAACCCTCTGGGGGTAAAGCTGTCTTATCCAATGCATTATTGTTGTGATGACAGTCTTAGATCTTAAGATAGAAGGATATGACACAGTGACTTTGGCCTACCATAAAATCCATAGAATATTTTATGACATTGCTAATTTACTGGTGATGAACTTCTGCAACAAAAGGGAGCTTTTCAATCACACGGGTGATATTTTTAGAAACTGTAGTTAAGTAGTCTGATGATTTATGATTTATATTTAAGTTTGCGAGTTTATGTTTATTTTTGTTGTTAGCTGACTGCACTAAACTGCATCGGTCTGCAGGTTTCCCAATATCTGGTGATACGTTACAAACATCCAGCCTGTATTCAGCCTGTCCAGACTTACCTGTGGTTACTCTCCTGCTCCTGGGTCTGCTCTCCTTCCTCCTCAGTGCTGCTGTTGGAGCAGGAGTCAGGGTCTGTCCCTAGCACAGCACCCCCCTGTGGTGAGTACAGGGACACATCTGGCCGCCGAGCAGGGGAGGGAGGAGGGACCCTCATCCCAGCACTCTGATTGGTTAATCCTCCTCCTGCCTGGTTGGGGTTCACAGGTGTGTCCACTGCGGATGGTTTCCTCCTGGGTGGAGGGACTGGACGGGACGGTTTCTTGATTAACGGTGGGCACTGGGGGCCGGGTTTGTGTTTGCCTTCCTCTTTGTTCTCCTGCCTCTCATCCTCTCTTTTTTCACCCACCTTTTTTACCTCTTCCTCCTCATTTTGTTGGCCACTGTTCTCATGTTCAACACCCTCACTCAGCAGACCTGATTTACTTCCCGTTTTTGCCTCCCCTCTCTCTCCTCCCTCCTCTCTCTCTGTCTTGTTTGCAGGATTTTGTCCCTTCTCTCTCTCCCTCCCCTCACTTACATCTCGGTCAGTGCTTTTCCTGGAGGAGGTACGACGAAGTGGAGCAGGAGGAAGAGGAGGAGCGGCCCTACTTTGCAGGGGGACCGGAGGCCGTGACGGGGGAGGAGGTGATGTTAACGTTGACTTCCTCTCTTCTTTCTCTCCCACTCCTCCCCTTCCTTCCTCTTTTCTCTCTGCTGCTGTGTTTACACAAGATGAGGTGTGAGGCAAGGGGTGAGGAGAGAAGAGGAGGCCCATCCCAGACCCTGAGCTCAGGCTGGGGGGTCTGGGTGGAGGGCGTTTGTATTTAATCTCTGTACTTGATGCAGTTGTAGTCTGACCTTTGACCTCTATGATGGCTGTCTGAGGGGCTTCTCCGTTCTGCAGGGAGACGGGGATGTTCTGATTGGTTATCATTTCAGGTTTGGAGCTAGAGTCAGGTTTGGGGTTCAGGTCTTTGTCGGGGGTCTCCTCGACAGTCACTGGATTTACATACAAGAAGAATCTGCTGTGGTTCTGATCCAAAACCGGGTCCTGATTCTTCTCCTGCTGGTTCTGATCAGCGGTCCAGAAATCTGCAACAAGTGAAGTCAGAGTCTTTCGGGTGTCTTTGTGAGCTTTGACAGATTTATCAAACATTTAATCTCTAGTGTTTGGATTGAACTTCTCATGTTTGTTACATGTCCAATGATTCCATTACAGGGCTGCAACTGGGCTGTAGAAATCAGTGAACTTTCTCTTTCATGGTCAACCCAAGCTTTAAACCCGAAATCCTGTAGTTATTGCCATTCACCACACCTTCAGCATGCACTAGCAAACTTGCTTAACCAAACCTAGAGCGTCATTTCTTTTTCTGCTGTATTTTTATGCAGTAATCCTCATGAAATTGTAAGTATTTTTAGAGTTCACTTATTGTATTTGAATTATAAATATTTGGTACTTTCTGCATGTTGGCATAACAGTATTCTCACCTACCAGTATAATGAATTACCAGATTTACACAAAAATGACTCCAAATGCAAAGACGTCAAGAGTTGTGTGAATGCACAACTTTGGGAAATTTCAGGGTAAATTTACAAGAAGGCGTGCATGTGTGAAAAAGGAAGAAAAAATTAAAGGATGATCATTACTTTGTCCACAGGAGGTGCCAGAACCCACACAGATTTAAGCATCCCTATTGCTGCTGTACATTGACCAATTCATGTCTGATATTAACAGCTATTAAGTGAAATTTTGGGAGGAAGAAAAATCTATAAACACTATATAGACCCACCTCTTTGTAAGCAACAATTGTAAAATCCTACAAATGCATTGATAAGGCTTTATAACAACCCCTATGAATGATAAGCATTCTAGATCTGTGATGGGATTAAGATGATCCTGAGTATATGGATCAGAATGATCTCAATCTGACTCAGAAGTTTCAAACAATTCAAACTATGGGCTCTATTTTCGTGTCCGCTGATGAAGCGACGGAGGGTGGTGGACCCCGTGCAGTTGTATTTTCGTCTGGCAGAGCCCAGCGTATAGCCAGTTTGGTATTTTCGTGGACTGAGGCGCACGGAGGTGAACCGAGATCCGCCAAGCTGGGCGTGGTGGCATGGCAGGGGGAGTTGTCGACAGAATCAGTGGGCGCAGTGACATTTTCGTGCTCGCCAGTGGCGTGTAAAGTGCGCTGAAAGCTCACCGATTCAAACCTGGTCCGCTTTCAGCGCAGGCGAAACGCAGCTGGTCTAGTAGTATTTTGGTAGACCGGCGGCGTATCGGCATACGTCACTGATGCCTCACCGGCAGGTTTCCACAGTGTCAGGCAGATTTCAGTGCAATAAATAATCATCAACAACTAATAAGCTGAGTCAGCACATACATTTAGATCTATATTGATATATTCTGATCTATATCTGATCTGATGAGCACGTTTGGCACGCGTTTGGACACACAACCTGACCGAATCAACACAGCTGAAGCCGCATTAAATTAAATTAAGTATCTAGTAAATAAACACACATAATGGAGTTAACAAGATATGTAATTTGTCTCCCTCCTTTCTCCCTCTTCCTCTTATTTCTCGCACAGCTCGACCTGGACACGTCTCTGTGTCCTCTCCCCGTCCTGCTGCGGCAACGGCTGAAAGGATGATTTGTTTCAGCGCTCGGATGAGTTATTTACTTAAAGCCTACATACGAATATTATAATATTCAGTTTTGTGAGCCAAATTTATTTTATATGCCAACATCTATGAAAGAAAGAGCCAGGCCACGGAGCGCGATGCGTCATTTACGCACAGATGGTTCTGATTTTAATGCCATTTTTGGAGTTTATGTTGTGATCTGTGCGCACAACCCACCTTTGTCACGTGAGGTTTGAATACATGCAACTTTATGTGAGTGTCTTTATCTGTGGAAAAGGGTGTTTTTCTTACCAGTGGGTCCAACATTACACACACCAAATCCATCAGTGCTCATATGAGAGAGTGTGGAGGACGCCCAATGCAGCGCTTACAGTGACACTTGTTGAGGAGCTGCCTTCTGTCGCCATCTTGTGGCATTACTGTTTTCAGACATCTCTTGATCTCTTTGACTACTTCACGAAAATAGTGATATGCCTCGCCGGTGGCGGATTTAAAGGCAAGGAGAGGAGCTTATGTGATTGGTGAAAACAGGTCTCGGCTGTGTTAAACTCACTCCACGCCCTCTCTCCTCCCTCGCAACGACTTACGCCCCTGGGAGGAGCTGAGTTAGGGAGGGGGGATACTTACGCTGGGCTGCGCCGCTCACCAAAATACCAAATTGTGCTTGGGAACGCTTTGTCGGCGCGGCGGACCTGACTTACGCAGCGCCTGCGGCACGTCTCCGGCGAGGCATGAAAATAGTGCCCTATATGTTTAACCCTAATCAAACCAAGACTGGATTACCTGAGGTAATCCAATTTTTTAATTAATTTTTCTTCTGTTGAATTACAGATTTTATTCTGTGATAGTTTTAATCGGAACAGTTGAGCCTCTAGTATTATGCCAAAAGATGGGGCCTGATTCCTGCTGTAAAGGTTAAAAAAGTTCAGATTTCTCATGGCCCTTGCTCCTCCTCACATGAACTTTGGATAGAAGTTTATTGACACAGCTTTTCCAGGTTTTTGAAGACATTCAAGAAAGATGAGTTATAAAAATAAGTTTTTTGGGGATTTGTGGTGCTCAGGAAAATATTACTATCTCTCCTTTCCCAATGTGTGGGAAAAAGTTTTCTATCCAGCAGCATAGTGTGATGATCATGCCGTCAAAAATAACATTAATGACTGTATTTATGACTCTATAGGGGTAACTCTATGAGGCCTGGCCTGCATTGTTTTATTTTAGTTGCTGTGGTTGGTGGTCACTGTGTGACTACAGAGCAATAGGCTAAACAAATTATATGATTATTTGTTTGATTTAGTCAGTTGTTGATGGTACCAGACTGCCTGTTTTCTTTGCCCCAGCCTTGAGCTTTGTGAGTCACAACCATTTTGCTTCATCTTCAACAGTAAAATACCTAAAATCATTGTGAAGTCTAACCCTAATCTAACCTTTTTTTTAACCAAAACAGCATTTTACTTAATAAAAAACATGACCAGAATGAAGGAGTGTGTGTCCCAGAAAGACCTAGAAAAGCTTGTTCATGCTTTTATTTCAAATAGGGTTGATTATAATTATGGTCCGCTGGTGAGACCAGCTAGAATAGACTGTAAAACAGCTGCAGCTCATTCAGTATTTGGCTGCTTGACTTCTGACCAAGACTGAAAAAATGGAGCATATTACTCCCAGTTTAGTTTACAAATAAGTGATTTGAAGCAGCATTTAGTCAATACGCTTGTAACTGGAACAGACTGCCTTTAAAAGTTAGATTTGCTTCAAACATAAATATCTTTAAACTCAGGTTAAAAACATTCCCTGCTCTTGTGCCTTTGAACACACTTCTACAACCTGCACTTTATAATTACAGGACTGTTTGATTTGGCCTTATGTAACTGTTATGTATCTTAACATCTTTTTATGCAAGCAATAAGCAAAAGAGGGAGAGGATGTAATTTGCTCTTTTTTTTTTTGGGGGGGGGGTTGTAAACAGGCTAGGGATGCATATTATTGTTAGAAAACCATTCAAAGGTGAATTTTGCATAATATGGGACCTTTAAAATCATTTTATTCTCAATTGTTATGAGTGCATGTGCTCTGGATTATAAATACATTTAAAAATTCAAAAATTCTAAATTTGTCTGAGCACGCTCTATCGGTTTCTAGCTGTTTCTGTGTTTGTGTGAAGCTCACTCAGTTGCCTTTGAGTGCCAAGTGTGCTAGATGAATGTGTTAGCTATGTATTGCCTATTATCAAATAATTCATTTCAGAGTTTGTACAAAGTTAGAGTACATTATTGCATTATATACGTTATTAAGACGTGAACATCACTTGTGTTGTACACCCTTTTTATGGCCTCACAGACCACCAAGTGTTATGTAATGCATATTTGACACATCCTATCTGCTCAACTCAACTCAGCTTTATTTATATAGCACCTTTCATAGGCAACACAATCTCCTTCACTAGAGCAGCAGTAAAAAAGGGGCATGGCCTTTGTATAAAGTGCAGCGTTAGACCTTTTTCAGTTTGGGGTAATTTTGCATTCACTTTCACATGCAGTGTTCATTTTTAACATCATTGTTCAGGTGCAACATAAGTTAACCATCCACTGCTCAACTCACACCATGTGTATTATTACCTTCACTTTAGTTTTCATCCATGCACAAATATGTTTCGTATCCACTGTCTTACACTTGTTGCTTGGTGAAACTTATATTTTACTCCCTCTTAATTCAACTTGACTACCACAATAGTTAATGATATCTTTTCCCCGTTGAGGTGACTTTGTTAACTATCACATTTTTATTGATACTATATTTTTAAAATGGGTTCTCTGCATTTAAAGTTTTAAATTCGTATTACGATTTGGTTTTATTTTGTATTACTTTTATTCTTCACTGTGGTTTTATAAGAACCATTCACCTGAATTTGAGGATTTTTTTGATCAGAAAATCACGTGAAGCTATTAAAGAGGAAACAACGTAAAAATAGAGAGTCTGAAAAAATGCATGACAATGCAATAAGACCTTTAAGTCTTATTGTTAATTGCTTTTGTATTTACTGTGTTTGCTGTGCTTTCCTTCTGTTTGTGTCTTGTATGCTGGATGTTTTATTATACAGTAAGCTGTCATTTGCACACATTTACTTTAAATTGTGTCATTCCTGCTTCATTTTTCTGTAAAAGTACATCATGACTGCACTTCCTTTCACCTTCTAGTTTCCATTTCGGTATCCTCCTTGTCTGCTGCTGCAGCAATGACTAAGCTTTAATGCACTATCCACGTAGATTTATATACCTGCTCCCATAGCAGAGATGACCTCCAGCTCCTCTTTGTTGGTTGCCGTGGTAATAGCCTGTGGTAATCTCAGTGGAATGGTCAGAATGTCCCTGAACAGTGGATTAAATTATAAAAAGAAGCAGTAAGTCTAAACAGAGAGTTTCAATAAGAGGCCTCACACACTTTGTCTTTTTGTGTCTGGTGTGTGATTAGGTGTGTGTGTTTTCTATGTATGAGTCATTTCCATGGTGTGATATGTGTGTGTGGACTGCATGTAGATCTCTATGTTTCCTGGTACATGTCTGGAAGATTGCAAAGCCATAGACTGAAAAATTAACTGGTTCTAATATGTATGTTCCTGTAAATAGATTATGTTTTGAGCAGCATGACATGCAGTACTTGTAAATGTATGCTGTATTTGTGCCCAGTTATGAAATTGTATTTATGTATTTGTTACCTGCTGGCACAGTAGAAGGATATCAGTTTAGTGATGTCATCAAACACCAGACTGGAGCGGTCTAAGTGGAGAACTGAAACAGAAACAATCTGCTCTCATATGCACATTTTGCAGTTCTTGAACTTTTCATATTTTTCATGCAGTAATGTGTAACACATACATGCTTTGTGTTGTTTGACCCTCAGGTTGCACACAAGCGGCATCCCCTCTCCATCAGGCAGCCGTACCCACAGTGTCATGCCCTCACTCTCTGTGCTGTGAACCAGGAAGGCCTGCAGGTGTCAATGTGAGCAGATAGGTCTCAAGGTCAGATTCAACTACATGCAAAATAATCACATGTAAAAATATGTCTCAGAAAGATAGTTTCCAACTGATGACACAGAGGACCATTATTTTTGCTGCAACAACTGTCAACATACCTTTGTGTATATCTGTCATTTAATTTGCATAAACCACAGGCTGAGCATCAACAAAACAACACGCACTTTCTCTATTCAAGCTGAACCATAATTGTTTTTTGAAGAGACAAATGTGTATTAATCTTAATTTATTAATGTCACCATCAGACATAATTTATTCTACAGGTCCCCTTACATCCCGTTACAAGTGGAAACATGCTTAAAACGTAGAACAACACCCTGATCGGTGAGTGTGACATGAGTCAACACTATCTCTAACTCTTTTATCTCTATTATCTCAACCAGATTAAATGTGTGTCCAAGTACTCTCTAATGTGGACCACAGGTTGTTTTACTATGCAACAAAGAAAAACAGTGAGACTTCAAAGACACACGTCCTTTTGACTCTTCAGGTTTTGTGATTCATTCAGCTCTGGATGGTTGTAAAAGAATGAGAAGCATTTCTTCACTTGATAGAGATGAATCTCTGGAGACAGACAGAGGATCAGACAGACTGACAGACAATCTGAACATGATGGTTCACAGCCAGGCCATTCTTTATCAGAGAAGCAATACAGAGGATGGTTTCACAAGTGAGTGAGAATGACAAACACTGCTGTCAAGGTGACATGGCAATGGTCATGGCTTGTCAAAGATGGAGACTTGAGTTTCAGACTTGGACTCATGACTTGAAACTTATGTTGGACTGGAGCTTTCAGACTCATGGACAGTCTGTAATTTCAAATGTTTGTCTTGATATCTCATCAACATCATCATTCCCTTTTGCCACATGTAATCTTTCCCTTTTCTAATGAGAGCAAAATTTTCTCCTCTCTCTCCTTCAGTCTCTTAGGTCTCGTTCTTCCTCTGTAAACTCTGGCTCATTAAGGTGTCCGCATGTCCACAGTAAACGGCCTGTCATCAACGTTGTCAGAATCCTTCATCAGCTAAATTACATGGCAGACTTGGCCTTGTCTGCTGGAAACTGTAGCCTAGCTTGTGTGCCAGTTCTCTGCCAGTAGTTTCTCATTAAAGGAGTCGAGCCAACAAACATTTATCTATTGTGGTAGTGTGACACAGAACTCATACAACCTATTTACAAATGCTGCGTTGTCCCTTTAAGGGAAAACAAAAGCCCTAATATCTAATGCATAAGGTAGTCCAAAGGTCATCTTTATCACTCAAAAATGGCTGTAGCCAGAAATGAAAAGGTCTAAAGATCCCCTACCCAAAGTTTCTTACAACATGCACTCTTTAAATTTTTGGAAAAAGCTGGGATCTCTTTCGGATTCACTGCTGCCACATAATATGAACCTTGTTAAACTTCCTTATGGCCCAGTTTTCAGTAGTTTTTTGCACAATTACGCTTCAAAATAAGAGTGAATTGACCCAGTAGACTGCTTATACAGCTGCTTTTATCTAAGTGTATGTGCATGAGTGTGTGTGTTACCCCTGTCGTCTGTTTCTCCAGTATACTCATGATTTTCTCTTTGCTGGTGTTCTCCACTTGCCACACCGAGGTGCTCCCTACCAGCCGATCTACGGGACCCAGATAGTCGGGAGTTTGGGAGGATGGTGGGATGATGGGTGGAGGTGGAGGAGAAGGTGATATGGTGGAAGAGATTGTTGGAGAAAGTGGAGGAGGGGGAGTAAAAAGAGGAGTTAAATCAGAGGAGAGAGTTGGCTGGGGGGGCAGCAGGGGTGATGGAGGCGCTGGAGTAGGGGAGAGAGGCTGAGGAAGAGATGGAGGAGGATGGTTACATAAAGGAGGGGGAGATGGTAGATTTGGGGTGGCAGGCAGGGGAGCTTTAGTGGCAGGAGGAAGGGATGGAGCAGTGGATGGAGGTATAGGAGGACCAGAGGGGAGCTGGGAAGATTTGGGCGTTGGGGGTGGAGGCGGTTTGGGTCGACATGGCCGTGCAGGAGGTTGGGAGGAGGGCAGGGATGGTGGAGGGATGGGAGTGATGGAGGTGATGGATGGAGTGTCGAGTGCCCCTGTCAGTGGGCTGTGGAGAAAAAGAAAGTAAAGGTCAGAGAAAATAACATACTGAGGATTGTTCTCTGCTTTTTGAAACAAGAGCAGAACTATTCCTATACTCTCCGTAACCATAGAAACACAGACTGAAATCTGTGTTTAACATCTGCTCTGCATGCATACTGTGACACATGATTTTGATGAACCTCTAATGATGGAGAAGTTCAGGAGCCACCACTTTGGTGGTTTGTTTTGCATTACTGTAAGTGGGTCATCTACCAGTTGTTGGTCTTGTTGTTGTTAGGAGTTCATAGACTGAATTTTAGAACAGACATACTTGGATTGAATAGCTCTACTTCTGCTCTTCTTCTTTTGTGGATATTATTCTGTAAGCAGCATTCAGTCACAACATTGTGAACGCCTCTCTAATATTGTGTAGGCCCCCTTTGTCAGACCAGAGCCAAAACAGCTCTGGTGAGATGGGGACTTGAAACATTGAGGATATTTTTGGTATTATTACGCTTTTGTTTGGAGAAAACAAAACTGAAGATTCAGAATTAAGGGCTGACAGTCACCGACAAAGAAACTCAACTTGTGAATGTAAGTGTGCTGATTGAGGGGGTTTAAAGGGACAAGGAGCTGAATGTATGAGACATCAACCAAATTAAGGCTAAGCAGACAAGATGCAAACACAAAACCAAATGTGGAATGGGCTTTGGGGTGTTGAAGGACTGGTTAGCTGCAACAAAACAAACAAACAAACAAAAAAAAACCCACAACAGACCAAGAAAGTTAGGAAGGAGACATTTTGGTGAGGTCAGGTTACAGCTTTTATGGTGATTATAGCCTGATTTGGCACATGTTAGGCATTTTGACCTGGAGCATGTTTGGTTTTTCTGCCTGCCTTCTGTAATGTTTTCTGTAAGGTCAGGGACACTGAGCAGGGAGAGCACAGAGCTCTCCGTAGATGCAAAAGTCACAAGTGTAAATAAACAAAATGGCAAAATGAATCATGCAGTTGGTGTTGCTAAATGGAGCTATAAGATAGAGGAAAGGTTTGGCAAGCTCTGGCAAACATTTGTATCGAACATGCATATGTTTTGACTGTACTGTGAATGGAAATGTCCAGATCAATGTGATTTACAATAGAAAAACAGACTGACTTGTGTTTCGCATTGCTGGCTGTCAGTGATACAATTCCTTTTTTCTGGTGTTAAATTTAGCTGCTTAAAGTCCCAGTCTGATGAAAATCATGTTTTTCTTGTTGTCCACATGTTCATATGGCATTTTTCTGATGCAACAGGACATATCATGAGAAAACTTAGAATGCATTTCTGAGTATTTCTTAATTCAAATCGCTGTGAATCTCTGGCAGACCCAAATGGAAGGTTCAGACACAGTGGGATTTTCTATGTCACAAATCCAAGCTCCGCCCCCGGAGCCCCGCTATGCAGGCCAGATCGTCCAGAGAGCACGATGGCCGAACGAGTGCGTGTGCGTTAGTAGATTGCAATGCTCCTTAGTAAGGTAATTATGATATTAGCTTCCATCATGCCCCTTAACACATCCGAGAGCTGAATAGCTCCTATGTTACCTGCTACTTATATTACACCAAACTAGCATGAAGACACTTCAGAGCAGTGCTGTTTCTGCCCACGACTCAAAAGCTATTTGCTAATTGCTAGCTAGCTACTGGAGCTCTGCAGAAGCAAAGCCCTTGAAAACAACACAGGTAATGTGATCTTGACTAAAAACTTCATAATCACAATTTAAAGACAACTGAGAACACTTCAAGTAGTAACAAAGAAAAAAGATCAAAGAAAAGCTAACAGGGTTACTATCAGTCATCTATATGATTACAATAAGGTGGTTGTGTTATCAGGCAGCAAGAATATCAGCCAAAAAATGGCTTTGATGAGAAAATGATGCTTAAAATGTATTTTTTGACAGCTAAAAGCATGCTAAATTCAAAACATGCTAAAATTAACAACTGACCAGTTGTTCTTTTCCCTCTGGTGGTAGAGAAAACCCCTGTCTGGTTTAGTGGTTTGGCATTATACCTCAGAAATGGGGTGACATCAGCTCCTGTTGCAGTCAGCCTGCACTGCATGAAGTGTGTCATGACGATATTAACCATAGGTCCATTGTTGTGCATGTCGAAACATTATGTTTGCAGCTGCAGCCTTAAATGGGCTTTAAATGAGAAAAACACAGTGACCTAAACTGTCCAGTTTTAGATTATATACACGTACTTCCTCTGCTGTTCACTCTGCTTGTTTATCTTTTTAAAACATAGTCTTGCTAACATCGAGACAGTTACAAATTGTTGTGTTGTGTTGCATCAGAGGGATGTAACATATTTGACCATTTAAGTTTCTGCTTTATCTCCCAGTTGAGACATGTTTTTCACAAGAAATATCCTGCGAATGTGAGGAAATCGTATGACCACAGAGTGAGTCCTGTTTGTGTTTCACATGTGACGCTAACTCAGAGGAAAGAGGAGAGTAACAGTCAGGTCAGCTAAATCTGGGGAAGCAGTGGAAACTGCAAATGTCAGTAAAACACTGCTCACAGACATCCTGGAAAATATTGTGTTTCACTTGAAAAAATAATGATTTCAGACGCTTTAAGTGTAATGTAAGTTCTTTTTACTCTTCTCTGAAAGTTTTTAAGCATCTTCAAACTTCTTTTCCACTCAAATTCAAGATAAATTGTGTGTCTTTTATTTGTTTGTTTGGTGGCCTAATTACTCAGCACTTTATTCCTTTGAGATTTTAATGATTGTGATATATGATGCATTTTTGTGGAATTGTCTAAACAGCCTAAATGAAAAAGCTGATTAACTCTATCCTCACCCATAAACAACAACTGAAAATATAGCTCATATAATCTGTACAAACAGTTAAACACTCATAGGAGCAATCATCCTGAAATAGTTTTGCAGGCCATATTGCAGGCCATATTGCAAGCCATCTCACAGAGCAGGGAATGGAGTGAAGCCTAAACTGGATATTAGTGTAGAGATCACTGTTTTTGTTAACCTTACATCGGCTCTGGTTTATTTTGTGAGCATTTGAAAGTTGAGACTGTTTGACTAACCTCGCAAACTCTTCACATAACAGCTAAAATATGCTCCTCTTTTCACAGCTTCAAGTCCCACATGCATTTAAGATAGTCATAGTTTACATTTACCACCTAATAGATAAAAGGTTTGACCCAGATTTTCTAATAATCACTTCACTTTGTTTAATACTTGGGAACACTTTGTCTTGCTTCTATGAAAACAGCATTCTTATCAGTCAACCTACAGGTCCATTGAGGGTAAATTTCACAGCAGTCAAAACATTCAGCATCTTTTAAAGTTCCTTTTCACAGAAACTGTTTAGAAACTAAGTTGGAATTTTCTTTTCACTCAGCTTGTCCTGTAACACAGCAAAAACCCTGTTGGTCTTGTAGTTTGTGGTTACTTTGTGTCTGTTTGTTAAAATTTGGTTGACGCTGTGTTCACCAAACTTGTGTGCGTCAAGAGGTATGTTCCACAGTGAATAATTTCCCAGTCATTTGGATGAAAATTTACCACAAACCATCTAGTCTAAAGGTAAGAAAACACTCAGAAAAAAGTCACACTTGAGTGAAATCATTTTAAAGGACTAAACAGGGATTAAGAGAGTCTGCACGTAAACCATGTCAAATCTGCTGGCTGAGCATGGCTAATGCTGGCAGAGCTAGCACCACCAGTCCTTGTCCTTCCTGCAGGTTATTGCCCACCTGCCTGATCTAGTTACATAATGTCCATTTTGATGAGTTAACCAACCTACAAACAACTTAATCTCATTTTTTATATCGTTTGAAATACTGCCAAACCATGCAGATGCTATTTTTTTACGTTTATTTACATCTTGATAGTAGAGAAGTATGGCATTATAGCCAGTAACGGGAGGCTGTGCCACAGCTAAGTCCAAACATATGACTTGCATTTCAGGTCTGCCAAGAAATAAGAAATAAGAAGAACTTTATCACTACAACTGTTTATGTTTTGTTCAATGGAATGGATGTTCTGGTGATGTAGTGGCTAGGAGGGGTGATGAAGTAATTGGTTAATCAACTCAATGAGCTTATTCCTAGTTTTAACATCCTTTGCTTTTTTTCTGCGATATATTCCGCGTCTTTCCTTCTCTCCTGCTGGGCAGCTGTTCAGCCATTATCCACCAATCTAAAACTGGTATTATCTAAATAGATTGGAGCAGAGCCGGCCCAAGCCTCAATGGGGCCCTAAGCAAAATTGGATTTTGGGGCCCTCTACTTCTGCCAATAATATTGATTGTTGATCATTCACACACCTTCACAAATCTCTTTGATTAACATTCCATGACATGCAAACATACCTTTATTTTGGCGTTTTTTTTTTTCTCTTTTTCTTCTTTCTTGCTCTTTCTTTTCTCTGCTCCTAAAGGATAGGTTTTTTTAATTGCTCTTGAGGGCCCCCGTATTGGCTGTGGGGCCTTAAGCAGGTGCTTAGTTCTCTTATGCCTTGGGCCGGCTCTGGTTTGGAGGTGATATTAAAGTCGGTTGATTAAAAGCTCCTGTGAGGACTTTTGTGTTGATTTTGGTGTCCATCTTATCTCTTTGCTGATGTAGTCCTGTACATGCCAAGGCAGTAATTTCGAACAAAATATATCATCCTGCTTTCTTTTCAGTGGAGTGTCAAATGGTGTGAATGGTCTTTTAAAAACACTAAAACAAGGCTTTTTCTGTGCTCAAAGGAAATCAACCTTTTTGCTTTAGTGCTAATGGGGTGGGGGGATGGAATGTGCTCTACTTCTTGTTGCAGATTGATTTGATATGACTTGGTGATGATCAGGTCATCTCTGGCGTCACTGTTACTTTTACAAAGCTCCAGTGGCACAATCGGTTATGCGCAGTACTTATATGACAGTAATAAGCAAAGCAATGCCAAGGTTTTGTGTTTGAGCCTCACCTGGAGCAGAGTTTTCACTGAACTTCCAAGCCCGAGGATAAATAAAATATTCTGATTCTGATTGATTCAGAATTGATCACCCCTGTTTGTGGAGTTTGAACCAGTCAAAATCAAGAATCTAATTAAGTATGAATTAACTGTAAAAAGTAGTTTGCATGGTCCTTTTTGCATTTGTAACCTGTTAGTTTTCATTTCAGACAATTTTGCAAGTAAAAAACTCATAACAACAGTTAACGTAAAGTATATTTCCCAAAATGTTGCAACATAAAACAGACTGCAAAAAGTGGGTAATAATGTCAAATATATTAACAGTAAGTTACTGTAAGTTGCTGTAAAATGAGTCCTTTTACTTTGACATCTTTGGGCCCATGCAAGGGTTAATACTACAGGAATGTTACTTTATTGACATTTGGACCTATATGCACTGTTTCGGTGAGTTTTGTTTGTAAGTAGTTTTAATACCTGATCTGACCTCTTATTTAGTCAACCTTACTTGACCTTAAAGATAACTACACTCTCATTCAAGTGTAAAACAAACAGCACAATCCTGACACACACTAATGAACAAATGATGTGCCGTTATAGCATATAATTAGTTTTTTAATCTGAGATCTGGACTCTTACAAACACTGCACATAGATTTACTGTGGCCCTCGCACAGTTTGACACAATGTTCAACAAGTCTGTCTCATAAAAGTGAACTTAAATCACACTTTTCTTCACTATTATCGTTCATACTCTGGCCAAAGTTTGAGGTAAAAGTGTTCAAACTCTTGGCATTGTACTCTAAAAATCAAAGCTGCCTCCCTCAAATGTCCTGATCTGCCCTTTTCTGCAGCAACTTTCAACCTAGAACTCTTCTCAACACCAAGTTAGTCACCCTCTTTGTGTTATTCGTGTCTTAAAAATAGGATTTAATGAAAAAACTAAAAGCGGCACCAGGAATCTCAAAAACCTCAGAAAAGCTATTGACCTATTTATTTGTCACTGAGTCATCACATCTGGTTTTCCTGCTCTGGCTGCCTGACTTTCGACCCCCGTCCTCCCTCCCCCTCCCCTCCATGACAGTTTCAAACAACCCCCTGCCCCTCATGGAGTAAAGTTCTGTAAGTTCCCATTACCACAAACTTTTCATAAACTCACCTTGAGTCTGTAGAAACAACGCTGTCCTCCATCATATTTCCACAGATTGACGGTTCGACTACTCTCTGTCACTCTGTCTCAGCTCTATCAAAAGCCCCGCCTCCTCTCTGCTCCCCACTCCTTTTTTTTCTTCCTCCTGTTGATCTGTGCAGGACTGAATAAGGGAAAACTAAAAGGCAAAGGGAAAATATATTTCTTTGTGTCAGCCCTTCCCTCTCTCTATCTCTTATTTCTGCCTCCACTTCCTGAGCCGATCGTAAGGCAGGAAGAGGCTGAACACTTTGGTCAGACTTCCCCTCCTCTCTGCTGCCTCTTACCCACAGTCCTGACACTTCTTTCTCATGTAAACATACGTGTCTGCACTGCGGTTTGTTTCTTTTTTTCAGTCCAATGTAGTCTTGTCCTCTTTTGTTCAAGAGAATAGATGAGAATTCAGCAGCTTTGCAAACTTTTGTGTGTCAAAAAGTCTTTCTAATGTTGTAGAAACACACCCAAGCTCAAATTCTCCCTGTTTCTTTGGCCTAAATATTCAGCAGATGCTTCCTTTAGTCTCCTCCTCTCCTTCCCTGTCTCCTCCCTCCGTCTTTAAAGATTTCCAGATGCTCCCCCTTCAAACTGAGGAATGCACCACTTCATCTCCCCCTCCTCTCATTCCTCACTACCTCACTCCTCCCCCTTTATGTTCACACAACTGATTGTCAACTGATTTCTTATCTTCCTCGCTGCTTTTCAGTGTGAAGCCTAAAGATTATTTAAGTTTCAGAGGGTTTTCTGACCAAATGAAACTTATTTCTGGAAAAAAAAAAAAAACTTCCAGGTCAGTGCACAAAAGAAACAACAAAAAAGACAAGTCAAAGAACATTTGCACAAAAATCAGATATTTAGAGACATCATTTATATCCTGAGGCAGCTAACAAGCAAAACCACCTTCTCTTTGGTTTACTCGAATCAGTGCACACGAACAAGATGAGAAAGACGCTCCTGAAGGCCAAACCTTGAATGAAGTTGGCGTACGTGGCATACCAGCAAATCACCATAGTTGAAGTGAGTTTGAGCTATTCAAATATTGCGCCAGTAAAAGTCTTAAGATAGCTGTACAAAACAATCAAGAACCTTAAGATCTTTGTGTAGAAGTGGGAAAGATCACAGACTGAAACACTTCCTTGCTCACCCCTTGCTTGATGAAGTGACGGTGAAGCTCCCATGATACACGAGAAGTATGATCCTACTTTCCTCAAGTTTTCACCATGAAAAACGTCTGTCTGTTCAAATTCTTTTGTGCACAATGACCACCGTTGTTGTTGTTGTTGTTGTTCTTCTTCTTCTTCTTCTTCTTCTTCTTCTTCTTCTTCTTCTTCTTCTTCTTCTTCTTCTTTGTCATTCAGCTGGTGCACCAAACAAATATGCTACTGGTTTGTCCATTCTGTATGACCAAAGGAACATGGGGCTGCAAGATGGAGACGGGACTCCTATGAAGATATAAAGACTCGATTTAAGTTACCAAAAGCTAAACTGTTTTTACAGTATGCTGATTATGTACTACTTGAACACACTTATGACTATTATAATCAATATATATCATAAATACTACAAACAAGCACTAGGTGGCAAAGACCTGACCTAAAACACTGTGGTGTAAAACCAAACATGTTCCAAACAACTGATGAGACTCAGATTTTTATGGGAATCAACTCTTCACCAATGCCTGCAGCTATGAAGTTGTACTGAGTGTTTGTCTCTGCAGGAAGTGAACGAGGGGGGAGATGTTGGTGATGTTAATGATGGTAGCTCAGGGGGGAGCGGTGGACGAAGTTACACAGAAAGTCAAGATTTTCTTTTTTGTAAATCTTACAAAAACACCAATGTAAACCAATCTATTTAATTAATTTATAGCACAGCCCTACTAGTCACTGAACCATTAAGAATAAAATAAATGAACAATTAAGTGGAGTTAATTAAAAAGAAGGGGGCTAAAAATTTGTGGGATTGTAACTTTATTTTTAACTTCAAACCCTATCTAAAGAGTCTTTAAAGAGAAAACATTTTGAACTAAAACTTGAAATGCTAACTGAAGTTATTTTGAGGCTTTTTTTTGGGTTCTTTATTCAATAGAACCACTGAAGAGATACAGGATTAGAGAGTGGGCGGATGTCATGCAGCAAAGGTCAGGGTCAGGAGTTATGCCAGTGAGTTAACCTGCAGGAAAGACTATAGCTTCAGTACAAATTTGACACACTTACACTGCCCCCTCTGAAAATACAGATTGTAATTTCTTTGTGCTCTTAAAGAGGTGATATTAACTTTGTTCCATCATTCAAAACAAGATATTTGAATTTCAAAATGTTAAATGTTGGATGTCAATTCTGAAGTTAACATGTCCTGGAGTAATCTCAAAATGAGACTGCATGTTGTTCAAAACAGTGTGTTGAAAAAGTCTGACAAGGCTCCACTTGTCGGCCCTCATGTTGGGTTGCAAACAAAAGATAATCATGTATTTGAGTTTGTGGATTTAAGAGTGCTCTTGGTCTGCAAATGACCTCTGCTTTTCCTACTCTGACTTTAAAAAAAAACAACTTAAGACTGATCAGCCTAACCCAGCTATCACTGAGTGAGAGGCAGGATGCACCCTGAACAGGCTGCCAGACTACATTAGGGCTAACATACAGACACCTTTACGCCTACAGAGAATGCAGAAGGACCATTTCACCTGATGAGCATGTCTGTGGACTGTAAGAGAAGCCCATGCACACACAGGTAGAGAGCATACATGCACACACATCTCATCTCAAATCTGACTCAGAAACCTTCTTGTTGCTAACCTCTGAACCACCATGCAGCTCACTGGAAAAGGTGCTGAACTTAACTCACATTCACCTCTTTCTTTACCTCTTCAGAGTTTTTATGCCAATAGGTAAAACCATTCAATTCAAGTTGTATTTTTAGGGACAAAAGAAAACCTTAAAGCATTAGAGCATCAAATTTCTCCCGGTTTAAGATCAGGTAACAAAGGTTATCATCAGACTATTAATTATAGTTAGTAAGTGAAGTGGACTGGACTGGCCCCAAGTGCTTAATTTAAATACCAACTGCTGATACTTTCAGTTTTTGTGCATATATTTTATAGTTAACCGCACACACAACATGGAATCCCCCAAATCTGCTCTGATAAGATGGTTCTGATTACCGCAAAGCCCTCAGCTGAGAACAACGGACATGCATCTGTGGTCAAGCGAGCTGACTGCAGCTGCTTCCTGTGCAAAACAAGGGCAATCCAGCTTGTGTTGTTTCTGCAGACTCTGAGCTCATCTGACTGTGACAGATAGGAGTGAGTGCTTTCAATTGCAAGTTTTCACCAGCTATGAGTAACCACTGGAGGGAGCTGTGGTTCAGAGCATTGCATGTAACAGTCACAGCCTTTAAGGGTGAATTGTGATAGGAAATACCATCCACTGCACAGAGCAAAAGCTGAAACATACCTGCCCAGGATAGAATAATGCAGCCAAAACATACAAACTCTCTCTAAAAGCAGTGTATGTCATGCTAATGGGTAAATGAGCATTGCAATACAGGTAACTTCATACCTGTCTACTGATGTGCAGACTTTTGTCATGAGTTTGTGGATTTTATTGTCACTCTTTAATGTGCATGAGCAGGGGTGTGTCGAGGGGGATGGCCAGGTGGAGTATAACTCCCTTTAAATCTGGCCACCTCAGTATTCTTACCTATGATTGGCTATTTGATTGTGAGAGGCGGGACTTGAGTTTAACTTAGCTATTTAGGCTTAGTGTGACAGGCTGCTCCCAGATTTGTCTGCATAAAATGTGGCACAGTTTATTATTGGTGCTTTAAGTTAAAAGAAACATTGCAATTCAACCATATAAAGGTACCATACAGTTTGTAAAAATATAAATTTGTACATAACATTGTAGTACAGTATTTTCATGTTTCACAATCAGGGATGCACAATATTATCAGCAAGTATAGGCAGATACAACTCCAGAAGTTAATTATCAACATTGGCAGATATGAAAAATTCTGCTGATTACCTGCAGAAAAAAATTGTGTTTTAATAAGTAATAATGTTTTTTTTTTGTATTTGACAGACAGATATGTTTGGACTGACATTTTTATTTTGAGTCCTGTGAGAATTGATGAGGAGATCCCTTTGCTTTGTTTGTTCTTTAAAATGCAGCAAAGTGATAAATATAAATGAATACAACATCTGTATGACGCATCGGTGTAAGTAGTTAAAATAGATATGATCAGTGAAGACAGAAATGAGCATTAAACATGCATTGCATGTATTTATACACTGTATGTGGGAAAGTGTGCATGACCTGCAAAAGTCAGTCTTCACCCTGTTCAAGCAACAAAGTACATACCCTGACCAAAACAGTCCAATTTTCACAACTATATAAGGAAGTGAAACTTACAAAAACCACTAAAAGAGAACTATTTATATGCTCTAGTGGATCTTCAAAGCCACAAATCACAAACACACCTTTTAATATGAACACATACTATAATTAAATCATGAGCTCAATCAGAACTGGCAGCAAAAACCAGAATACCAGTCCAGTCCTGCATGAATCTGTGAATGGACATTGAGGGCACAACAGTTTCTGCACAAAATGCATACTGATCAAAGTTTGTTAATCCGTAATAGTCCATGTTAAATACAGGCTGAAGCACCTAAACGGCTTTAATATTATTCTATTTTCCATCAGAAATTTCTCTTGGATCACCACTCTACTTGGCAAGCTTGCCACACTTACTGTGCAAAAGTGATTTGTGGTATCTGTGTCAGACACAGGCCACCATATGCTGTGCCAGAAGCCTACTGTGCTGCTCCTGAATACATTTCTAACCAGCACTTTTTCTTTTATCTGCTCTCTGAAAACACAGAAGCTGCTCTCCTTTTCAGCTGAAATAGACACCAAGCATTTGGTGTAGATGATTCTTTTGTTTACCACGAGCAGGCTGCAGGATTTGACGATCTTTTGGAAGTCCAGTGTGATGACAACAAATGAAGGAGAATGAATGAGGGGAACAGCTGTCTGTTCATACAACATGAGATATTTTATGATGGAGAGGGACACAACTAACATATATATATATTTAAACTAAAACTTAACTGTGCATTTACCTGCACATTTAAAGAACAGATAATTCAACAAGGCTTTAACGCTCAAAACAAATCCAATATCTAATTATCTCCAGCTTAAAAAACCCTTCAAACTTAAGTGCTGCACTTATTACAGGCTAATGGAAATATTGAGATTGGGACAAGCATTGTCTGCTTAAATTTATGCAGCAGTAAAATGAAAACAGTACACAGTCCAGACCACTGTGTTTCCCTGGACGTCTTTATTGCTGCACAAACAGTGTGTACTGCATTACCTAAACTATGGTGTTGATTTGTTATTTTTTAACCCAAACACTAAGCTAATGAGATGAGCTCCCACACACCGTCTCACTTTGCGCTGACGTGTCTATTAATTTCCATGATCACTCAGTCAGGACAGGCTTATTATAACATTTACCTTGAGTGTCTCTTTTATGTACGGAAGACAAGAACGGCCATGGATTTTTCTTTTCTTTTTTTAATGCACTGTTATCTTGTAATAACGACTTATTAGCTTGTTATCTCGATATAACAAAGTTATTTTTCTCATGATAACAGAAATGGCGTTTTAGTCGACCACAACATTGTCGTCGTCGTTTTCTTCTGCTTCATCCGGGTCCGGGTCGCGGGGGCAGCAGCTTCAGGAGGGAAGCCCAGACGGCCCTCACTCCAGCCACTTCCACCAGCTCCTCCGTGGGGATTCCCAGGCGCTCCCAGGCCAGGCGAGAGATATAATCCCTGTCTGGAACACCTCTAACGGGAGGCGTCCAGAAGGCATCCTAACCAGATGCCAGAGCTACCTCAGCTGACTCCTCTCGATGCGGAGTGTCCGAGCTCCTTACACTATCTCTAAGGCTGAGCCCGGCCACCCTGCAAAGGAAACCCATTTCAACCGCTTGTATCCACGATCTTGTTCTTCCGGTCATTACCCACAGTTCATGGCCATAGGTGAGAGTCGACACATACATCGACCGGTAAATCAAGAGTTTCGCCTTACAGCTCACCTCTTTCTTCACCACGACTGATCGGTTAAGCGTCCGCATCAACGGTAATTTTTAAAAAGGTTGGGTTTTTATTGAAAATGCTGATAGTGCTTTCCATTTTGCGAATGCGCATTACACTTTCAGGCTGTTCCCTGTGAAACGGGGAACTCTGCAAACGATCAGCACTTGGTACGTTGGTCTTGATGAAATTAACCATAAACTGTAAATTGACGTGGGAAACAATTGAGTCATCCAATCCGAATTGTGGTTGACTCAGAAAATATCGACCAGTAAGTCGACCAGTCGACTAGGACTTTACAGCCCTAATATATAGTGAATTTTGGTATTTTTTGCATCTCAGTTTTACATTATGATGAGCACAGATGGCCTAAGAGCATGTGGTGGTCAGTGTGTATTTCGACATGTGCTGTGGACCGTGGGTTGTGTCATTTTGCTTTATTATGTTATGTTGGAGAAGGTGGATATCAAACAGCGTTGAGCGTTCAGTAAAGCAGTGGACTCTGGTTGGTGATGGTTGCAAACTGCAGCTTGGTGTTAGCTGCTGCCATGTTTTCATTCCCAAAGACCCAGAAGTGCTGTTGTTACTAAGTCTCTCTCTCTCTGACAGACAGTAGTTATCTCTGTTTGGGGTCATTAGCTCACAGTTTGCACACCTGTCCCACCAGGTACCTGTGGACCTCTCCTGCTGTCCAACAGAAATTTCTCCACTTTTC